TTGGTGGCGGACTGGCGCTTGCCGTAAGGGCTGGGCAGGCCGGCATCGCTGTAGCACTGCGCCTTCTGGGCGGAGCAGGTGGCCATGTTGGCATCGGGGCCAACGCGGCACTTGTTGTCGGCGTCATCGCAGGACTGCTTGGTGGGAGCGGCGTCGCGGGCAAAGTTGCCGCTGGGGAGGGCGTAGCCCGAAGAGATGAGAGCCGCGACGGCGAAGATGGTGGCCTTGGAGAAGTGCATTATGAAGAGTTAGGTATTAGGAGTAAGTTGGTTTGGAATGGTAGTTGGTAGTAGAGATGAGAGGAGTTGGCTGTGATGGTGAGCTACAGAGGAGCGCATCCAGTGGTATATATACCTTCAATGTTCGTATACGGTGTCGCCGTCGAGTCTCCGAACAGACCATCCGATCAACGCACGGGGATACGAGACTCGTATTCTTCTTTGGCTATCACCTGTAGATGCTATATTGATCAGCATATTGGCTTCCTTTTGGTATCGACATGTAGGCCCGGCCTTTGGATCGTATCCAATCAGCTTTCTTCTACAATAGCTGCAAGCCCCAAAGCATGGACGTGAGGCGAAGCACCTACCTACGTAGATGTCTACAGTTCCACGGGACTGAACTGAAGTCGCCGGTGACGCCCCTGACAGCTGCGTTCGCAAGGCCCGTCTGGTGCATGCAGTCATCTTTTGTGCCGGATACGAACTGCTCCACGACTGAACGTCATGTACTGGGTATAGGCTCCTTGAATCGAGCTTCAGATAGAGAGTAGTGCGGGAAAAGCTTCATGCACGGTAGGGCTGGTCAGGCCCTACAGCGTCTGTGTCGCAGGACAGACCACCGTGAGAGCAAAGCATCACACACAAGGCTGAGCGCATGACAGCAGATGGCCAATGGAAGTCGGCAGCTCCAGCTCAGCCGCACAGCATGGTCGGCTATGCGGCAGGCCCTTGAGACGGGACGCGCGCGGAGTGCATGTTGCTTCTCGATTGGGACGGGCTGTCTCTCGATCGGGGAGTCGCTGTGTGCAAAGAGCGTGAGCGACACGCGGCGTCGACTTCATCGTTGACTTCATCGATTGACGCGGCAACATTGCTGGCAGACGCTTGTTTCGCTTGAGTCGTCGTGGTGCAGAAGCGTCGGGCTGTGCAGCCGGTCAGGACTTGATGGTCGACGAACCTCCTGATTGACGTCGATGCCTTCCGCTTCTGGTGATCTCCATGAGGGGTTCGGTGAAAAGCCGAACGGCGGCTTTTAGGGAACCAAGTCGCCGATCTAAATTTAGCGAACCCTTTGACTCTCAACAGAAGCCGACAGAAGGCAGCCCTGCCACTCGGGTGAAGTGTTCAGGGGTAGGCTTGCGCTGCTGTCGCTGCTGACGTCCCTGCGCGCCTGCCTTTCCGCCGCCGCCCGACTGTTTTCACCGCAACGGAAAAGGAAAAAAAAAAAAAAGTCTTATACGATATAGGGGTATGGCTAACAACCTCTTGCCTGTGTCCATGGCCGAAGACATTGATGACACAGAGAAGTGGTGTGGTCGTTCGTGGGGGATTAAGGTGTGGCTTGATGGCGGGATGGATCTCAGCCGACGGCCCGCACTCAAGCTCCCGAAGGAAGCGAATGTTGCCAAGATATTGTACGTAGAAGGCTGCTGGACTTGCAAACGAAATTGATTGCTTACCCGTATTCTTCCACCGTCTCCCGTCAAGGCAAACTTTTTTGCGTCAAAATGTTCATTGCGTTGCAGCTCTCATAGCTCTTATTCTAAAAAGACTCGATCTAATGGGTATTCCTTCGTTCAACACTTCATCATTTATTAATCCTTTCCTTTGCGGTAGCTACTCGCCACAAATAGCAAAGAAAGCACAATGCCACAGCTGGCTAGACCGATGGCCGAATACCAAGCTCCACGGTAGCCAAGCAACACGTCAGCGCCACCATTGTTAACGTGCACTTCGACGGTGCCAGCGATACCGAGACCCCACGAGATGGAGTAGTTGACGACGGTGGTGACGAGTGAGGCCGCGATACCCTGGTGGCGTTTCGGGACATGATTGCTAAGAATGATGGTCGCAGCAGGAAAACTCATGTCCATACCGAAAGGAGTAATCACCATGGCCCAGAAAAGTTGCTTCCAGTAAAGTTGCTCGCGAGGCAATGTCACGAGAATAATGTTCCCCGCGCAAAAGGCCACCATGGCGCCAAACATGATCCAAGACGTGCGGACGCGGCTGAGCAGAAAACCGACGGTCAACGCGGCTGCGATACCGGCGACGCAAGTGGGCGTGAATTGGGCGGTAGTGTTGAGGGGTGAGTTTCCACGGACGACCTCCGCCAGCTGCCAGGCGTAATACAGCCAGATGCCGAAGCTGGCCCAACCAAACGCCATACATGCCAACACGAAACCAACTTGAGCGTCAAACCCGCTGACTGGAACCAAAGGTTGCTGCACCTTCTTCTCGATGAGGACGAATGCCACGAAGAAGATCACTCCCAAGATCAGGAGAACAATGACATACGGGTTTTGCCATCCAACGTTGGGTGCCTGGTTCCAGGCGACATTGAAAAGAACAAGACCCACGACTCCAGTGGCGGCTCCGAGATAATCGAACGACTGCTTGCCAATAGAGCTTGCCGAATCATCGTGGGTTTCGTTGGGAATGATTGGGATGGTGAGGAGAGCGGCGGCGGCGCAAGCAATCGCCGTCAGGTAGTACGCCCAAGGCCAGGATGCGAACTGAGCGACGAGAGACGAAAAAACAGCACCGAGAGTAAATCCATTGGGGGCCGTCGCTCCGAAGATGGCAAACACCATTTCCTTTCTCCGACCCGGCGGGTAGGTCCTGCCCAGAATAGCCAGCGACGTCGGAAGAAGGATGGCAGGGCCGATGCCCTGAAGAGCACGGCAGACATCGAAGAAGATTTGCGAATGCGAATAAACCGTGAGGCCGGAGATCAGGGACCACAGGCTGAACCATGCCCAGCCAATCCCAAAAAGCAACTTGTGTCCGTACATGTCTCCGAGGCGGCCAGCGATTAGGATGAACGTTCCCACGGTCAAACTGTAGGCAGCGGGGAACCAGCTCAGCTGTCCTGGGGTAAGGTTGCCAAAGCTCTCTCCTATGATGTGCAATGGAGCAATTGACTGTCCAAGTCCTGCCTGGGTGAAGAGCTGGGCGCAGCTGACCAAGGCAACAAAGGCGATCTCCCTCGGCAAGCCCATCTCAGGCTTAGTTGAGCGTACGCTCATCCTGCTCATCCTACTCTTCTCGTTCCTGAGTTCATTTGCTTCCGGTGCGTCCTCGATGGCATTTTCCGATGTGCCCGATGTGCGAGAGCTATCCGTGGAAGGTCGGCGGCTGGACATTGCTTTTCCGGTGTCCTGATGGTTCGGGGGCGCATCCGCCTTTTCGACATCCAGAGACGCCATGATGACGGGGTAGGTAGAGACAGGAGCGATATCGGGCGAGGCTTCGAAACACGTCGTGGGAAAGGGAGTGGCTTTATGCGCCGGGGGCGCCATCAATTCTCAGCATCGGGCAAAGTTGCCGCATCACGCAAGGCCCGCGCAGTACTTTATTCCGAAAATTAGGGCGCTGAAACGCTGTTGAGGCGGGTCTCGAATTCGCCGTTGTGAAAGCAGAGGCGCTGTGGCAGTCCGTGGATTGGCCGCTTATTGCGCCTTACGTCAAGTTCGCCGTGACCTAAGTCCGAAGGTCTTGATCGGATCTTCGGATTTGCGGATTTATCATGCGGAACCGCGCCGTTCAACACACGGTCAGCATCAATCATCAATCATCACCACCACCACCGAAATCCTTCTCATGTCCACCGGCAACCTTTCCCGAGCATCGCACTTACGTGTACTCACAATAAATCGGAGCATCAAGCCGACTGGCCATCGACTGCTGTCATCATTGCTAACATCATACACACTCATCACAAGAAGACTACTAAGAGGCACATCGTACACTTACATCGGCGGCTCCCAACTATTAAAATAAGAATAAAAGGTCAATTTAGCATCTACTACTTATACAGTTGCCAATTCAGGTTTCAAATTCAGGTTCTCATACTGAAACCCTTAATATCCAAAAGAATTGCGAGGTCCACTAGGGAAAGTTGGCTGCCAGGTGTCTCGGTTCATCTGCTGGTCAGCCTCCCACTTGTCGATTTGCTCCCGGTCCCAAGTCCCCTTGGCAGCGTACAACTTATGCAACCATTCAGGCTCATCGTTGAACTGGACTTCTTCGAGTTGACTCCAGAAGCCTTCGGTACCATTCTCCGTTGAAAATGGCGAGCTGTACTCCTCTCGCAAAGGAAGCTTCGCAAGCCAACCCTCGATCCGTGGCAGGTCACCGCTTGCAATCCAGTCTTCCTCCAAGCTCATGGGGTAACCATCAGTGGGGTCGTCGAAGTCGGTCCTTTGGTCAAATTCCACTTGGACTCCAGCCTCGTTTGCACGTTCCCTGACAGCATTCAACGCCTCTTCCTTCTCGATCAACCTACGCGTCAGCTCTTGACCGTGCTTCAGTCTCTCAACAGACTCTTCCGGCGCCAAGTGCTTCGGGAACCTCGAATGCATTGCTTGCCAAGATGTAAAGTCAGCATCCGCGGAACGGAATTCCCTCTTGGCCTTCCTGTAGTCGACGATGATCTTGGCGTTGTCGTTCGACTCTCCGTCAGAGTTTTCCGGCATGTCACTGCTAATGGCCTCGGCGTCCACCGGTGCAAACTCAAAACCGGCCGGTGTGTCCCAGCTATTGTCCTCGACACCAATCGGCGCGGGTTCGGAACGGCCGACCGCGGGCTCAGAATGGCTGACCGCTACATCGGCGTCGGGCAAGTTTGTCTTTTGCTCGTCGCGTTCCATTTCTATGGCTTCGACAGGTTCCATGGCTTCGACAGGTTCCGTGGCTTCGACAGGCTCCGTGGCTTCGACAGTCTCCTTGATCTCGTCGTCGAACCTGTAAGGCTCAACTTTGGGCGGCTGGTCGGGCAAAGGAATAAGCTTGCAGTTGATGAAAACCGCCTCGAGGACAGCATCAATCTGTTCCTGCCAGTTGCAACGGCGCTCCAGCTCCGCAATTCCTACTTCGTCCAGCCTTGAGTTCGCGACTTGAATCTCCTGGCGCCTGAAGTCGATCTTGTTGAGCTCTTCATACACGTCGTCGTCGTCCGGGTTGCCGCACGCGCCTGTCGTAAGGTAATCGTAGTACTGCCATTTCTCGGACAGCGTTTGGTCTTCCTCCATGAGGGCGTCTCTCCTGAGCTTCAACGAGTTTAGGATCAGGTTCGACTCTCTCCTGGCCACCAGCGCTTCCTGAATCTTAGTAGACAGATTCGGAGTCAGTGCCAGGGCCGCAATCTCTCTGTCGGCCTCGTTCGCAACCACCATCCTGGCGTCACCCTCGGTGTAGTCAGTGTCGTCCTCGCCGCAGAAGTAGTAGTTGATGTCGTCTGCGTCCGTGTGCCCATTAGATTCAGGCTGGGCAGTCGCATCCTCCATATCGATGTCTTCCGCGGCGTTGTCCATTGGGTTTCTTCCGGCGGCTTCGCTTGAATCTGTCTGCGTCGCATTCGAAGCCATCTGCATCATCGCTTCCGAAACATATCCCGACGGCGGCAGTCCCTCAGAACTCGAGGCAATTCCGTCGTCCGACGCGTCTGACGAAGCAGTCGGAGACGGGCAAAACTGCCTGCGGAGAGCGTCCATCGCGTATGACGCCATCGTTGCGACTGTTGCTTTGTCGCTGTTGTTGCTGTTTCGTCGCTGCACTTGTTGTCGTCTCCAGGGCGTTATAAGTCCAGCTTATGTTTGTGTGTCTGCTCTTGGCAACCTCTCAATGAACAGTATCGAAATATTGAACGGCAAGTTGTCTCTTTTATACTTTTTATCGCAAATCAAACAAGTTCCTTGTTTGACTAGAACTCTTTGTATCGTGCCATTGTCTTAACATTATTGTCAGCCAGGATCACTCCGATAACTCTCGTTTTTTCAGCCTTATTACAGTCAGTTGTTACACTACAGCCTTACCCCTTACACCACACGTTTATCCACTGCAAGGGAATAAGGATCTTAAAGAGAAAACGTATTCTTTTAGATAGCAGCATATATACCTCCATAGGTAGTAGTAATTTAGGGGGACAAGCGGCGTCCAATTCCTCGCGCCCAGCTTCACAATTATTTATGTCTTTGTTTAATAACAGTCATGAAAGCATGGGAATATAAATAATTATGGGTTGCCTACATACCTATAATATTTGCTCTTCATCACACTCTTCTTTCGACTTTCATCTCGCAAGAGCATTCGCAAGAGCGACCTGATCAACACTCACAAGACACACTACATCAAAGTTTCAAGATGCCTCGTGAAAAGAACACAGGTGGCAGTAAGCCAGCAGTCTCGATCGACTCAGTTACAGGTGGGGTTTCCGGACTCAAAATCCAAGGAACCAAATACAATCCTTCTCAAGTCGGCGCTAGTACCGCATACAGTCGGTTTGCTGGTACTAACAATACCGGATACAATCCCAGACCTTATGCAGATAGGCCGCACACTGCGGACGAATTCGAACAGGGAACCATAATCCGGACGCCTCATCTCGTGCCGCGGCTTAACCGGAACCCTCCCTCGGGAGCCGAGTCGCGGCATGTGCTGCAAAGTGCGGTAGGAGACATTCTGATCAAGGAGCGATATTTCATTGTCCTTGTCAAATTCCCCACTCACATGCTGGCCGTACCCATTACCTCATGTGGGGACCGAGGGATCGGGCATCTACGCGAAGACATACGGTCCCAATACATGGCTATTCGGGCGCTCGAGGATACCAAGTACGTCAACACTACCAAGTACCCTGCCCTGGTAGTCGAGTGGAAGAAGTTCGATCTTATGGCAACTTCCTACGTTCAAACCACATCCCCGGTCACGGTGAGCTACAATTTCAAGATAGAGGATGTGGGTTATCTCGAGGGAAAGAGCTACGATACGCTGGCTGCTAACTTTAGGGGCCAGCTGAACCAGGCTTTCAAGAAGCCGTAGCGAGCAGGTCTGAGTAGGACAAACCGAGAGACAGCTCCAGCTGCCACATCGAGAGGTAAGTATGAGTTTCCTTTGTTTAGATATGAGTTTCCTCTCTTTAGAAAAAACCACAAAAAACCCACAAAAAACCCGAAAAAATAAAAAACCAAAAAAAAAGGGGGAGTTCCTTCACGAACTATATGTGCCAGACCGACAGTGTACTTCCAGTGACTATAACTTACGAGTGATTTGATATATTTGGAATTGGCTTGTGCCTATTTTCAGTGTAAACTATAGACTATCCTTTATTCTTTTGGATAAAGAAGAAGGGTTGGGGGAACGGTGCGGCCGGCCTTTGTTCTGAACACTGCAGCCCGCATAACGGATCCTTAAGAATCTTATTGAATTCCACATGATTCCACCGCAAGAACAAGTAACTTTTAACAATCTCTTACTTCTCTATCCGAGGTATCTAATTAAATCCATATACATTATTTTCAACAGACGAACTTGGCATTAAATAAAGTCCGCGTAGGAATTATAAGCCCTTATACACCCTTACCCTTACTATAAACTACTCCCACCCCACCCCACCGCATCAAACGCGAACAACGTCCCTTATCCCCGTACAACGCCTTATTACTTCTATATATAACACCCCTCACCCCACCCCTCACCCCTCCAACCCACCTACAACTCAGCCCACCTACCCTTATCTCCCAACTACAGTGCCGAATGCTGACACTGCGTCAAAAGACACGATACGATACGATCGATGGCTAAACTAAACGCGAGAAGAGAAGAGAAGAGAAGAGAAGAACCTGGGCGGGAAAACGCAACGCAATAACAAACACTGTGTTTTCGGGTTTCTGCTTCTCCCCCTACAAAAGGAAGGGAGGGGAGGGGGCAGGAGCTGGCACCCCCTTGTTCTTTTCCTATTAGTCTATTTATTTATTAGGTATGTTTTACGAGAAAGAAAAAGCAAGACAGGATAGGTCCGTTTTCTTTATCCACCACTACAGCCAACGCAACTTCGCACACCGGATCACAAGTCACACTATCAGCAGCAGTATTAAATAATTCGTCCATAACAAGCATATTAATCTAACCTAACCTAATCTGTTGAAATAGCAGTAGCAGCAGCAATAGCAGCAGCAGCCCTAAGCCAAATGGGTATCATGACATCATAACACATTACCCCGAACCCGCCCTCGCCCTCGCGTGCCCAGCCCATGTGTGTTGAAAAAAAAAGCGGCTGAGCACACCCACACAGAAAGGAATCCCTTTTTTACACTCCTGCTCTTTTAACAGCTCTTTGTACCAGCCCCCTCTTTGTACTTCCCCCCTTCATTTTACTCCCCCCTCTTCTCCTTAACAAACACACTTCTCGTCCAGCCATCCTCGCTCTCAAACGTTTCCTTACGGAGCTTATAGCCGCCGAGCCAGGGCAGCAGCTTCGCCCAAACACACCAGTAGACGCCGCCGGCGAGGATGACGCCGGTGCCGACGACGCAGTGCAGGTAGTAGGGCAGACTCTCGTAGACGTTCTGGTCGGGCGTGTCGGGCGGCACGTACGGCGCGACGACCAGGTAGATGTTGCTGAGCAGGAAGAAGATGGTGACGGGCAGCGTCGCGCTGAAGGGCGGGTGCCAGTTGAAGGCGTCGCGGTGAAGGTAGAGGTGGATGAGGCCGCCGGCGACGAAGACGTTGACGATGGCGAGGGGGTAGGAGATGACGTTCAGTACTGGAAGAGGTTTGTTAGCTGGCTGTTGCGAGCACTGTCATGTGAAATCGGACTCACTGAAGTTGTAGGCGTCGCCGGGCGGCGGCGCGAGCATGATGATGACTGAGACGATCCAGTGCTCAAACAGGCCGGTAAAGGGCGCGTTAAAGGGCTTGTTGCTGGCAAAGAAGCCGGAAAAGGGCAGGATGCCCTCGCGGCCGAGTTCCTGCACCAGACGGCCCTGGGAGAAGATGACGGAGAGGACGTTGCCGAACGCCGAGAGGGCGACGAAAACACTCAGGGCCTTTTCGGCCTTGGGCCCGAAGACGTTGCGGAAGAAGGACGCGGCCAGGATGCGCCCGCTGTTGGCGATTTCCTCGCGCGGGACCGCGGCGAAATAGGCAATGTTGGCCAGCATGTACATGATGCCGACGCAGATGATGGCGACCGGGGCCGCGATCTTGATGGTGCGCACCGGGTTCTTCATCTCGGACATGGCGTAGTTGGCGTTGCTGTAGCCGATGTAACTCCAGATGACGTTGTACAGGGCCGTCACGACGCCGTATGGGGATCCCGTCGTGCCCGAGAATGCGTTGGTGAAGTTGTCCGGCTTGTCGATCTTGAGGTGTCCGCCCAGCGCAGCCTGGAAAGTTTGTTAGTATTTACTCGAGCATGGAATTCGATCGACCTACAAATCCGGAAATGATGATGATAAGCAGGATGACGAGCTTGATTATGCCGAGGACGTTCAATAGCCGCAGACCCCATTTGAGCGCAAGGCCGTGGATCAGGAACGCGACAGTGACGCAGGCGAGACCGATGCCGCGCTGGTTCCAGCGGTTCACCTCGACGTCGGCAGCGTTGAGGATGTACTCGCCGAAAGCAACCGAGTTGGATCCGGCCCAGCCGAGCAGGATAACGTAGCCAGTCTAAGACAGGGGGAGTCAGTTGCGCTCACACACTCCAAACCGCGGCGCGACTCACGTAGAAGCCCGTGACCAAGAACTTGGGCTTGGTGTAGACGAATTCGAGGTAGTTCTTCTCGCCGCCGTTGCGCGGCAGGCCGGTGCCAAACTCCAGGTAGACGGCCATACCGGCGGCGGCGATGAGCATGCCGGCGACCCAGATGAAGAGGGCCAAGCCCACGCTTCCGCTCAGGGCCAGGATACTGCTGGGCGTGGAGAAGATACCAGTGCCGATCATGCGGTTGAAGATGCTGAAGAAAGTCAGAGTCGTCCGTGCGCGGTTTCAGGAAGTAAAAAAAAAATAAAAAATAAAACTCACAGGAAGACGGCGCTGACCAGGCCAATCTGGCGGCGCGAGTCGCTGGTGTGGTAGACGGCTTCGCCATGCTCACTGCCCTTTTGCGACTCGGGGTAGTTTGCGGGAGCATCAAAGGCGACGTCGACGTCGCTCTTGCCTTTGGCGAACATGGTGGAGACGACTAGGTTCGTATTGCAGGAGCCCGGGAAGTAGGAGGAAGAAAGTAGCGAGGCGCGGTGGTATAACTACATAGCTTGGCCTCGGTCAAAATTTTCTAGTGAGGATTGTGCAATGCCCGTGTATAAGGCGTCATCGGGGGTTTGGCGAGCCATGTGGGTAGATTTGCGCCGTTTGGGTAAAGCGTTGGCTAATAAGAACTCGGACGTGATCCGCCGTGGCGACGACTTTGGGAGCGTGAGGACGGGGCGCCGGGGCGGGGGTGGTCGTATTGGACGGGCGACCAGCGACCCGAGTGCCTGGAGGCGGCGAGACTTGTGTCTCTGTGCATGGCGGACAGGGAAGAGCGGGCAAGCGACCTCTCATGATAGCGGCACAGCGGGTTGCGGTGGTGTTGGGAGCTTGGCAGTAAAAAAAGCTCAGCCGAATCTAACCGCAAACGGCGTCAGCCCTATCGTTGGCGGCATTCTAGAAGCTCCACCTCTTCTCACCTCTCACCACCAAGCCACCTTTTTTCGCCATGCCGACTCGGCATCTTGCGAATATACGACTTGCATGTCGTCATCGGCACTCGCCTATTCCATTCGACTGCTTGCGGCGAGCGTGGAGCATGTCGACATGGCGCCTCGCAATGGCATAGGTGCCTAGGTAGGGAGTCTTTGTCCGCGCCGCACCCACAAGGCCGCACGCAGACGATCGCCCACCACGTGTGTATACAAATAGGCACAACCCCCGTAGCGATCCGCGGGACTGCACAAGCGATCGGCGAACGGAGCCTCGAGCCGTTAGGTCTAACCTCCATAGTATAGTCTTGGCTTGGCTGCCACATATTGCGTGCTCGACGGGCGAAGTGGTCAAAGAGTCAATGCTCGTAGCCTGGCGTGCCTGAATCTTGCTTGCTTGGATCATTGATCAACCTTGCACTCGCTGGCCCCGCAGAGATCTGCGTCTCCGCACCAAGCAGGATCCGATCCGGTTTCCTCGCCCCCGCATCCTTCGCGTGAAGATCTCTTCCCTGCCGAGGCTTGGGATATATAGGTTGGTGCAGAAAGAGTCGTCTCCCGCTTTCATTTTCCGTAATATCTTCTAGAGCACCGTCAATGGATTGCAGAAGAAGTGGGTAGGCCAACGACGTGACAACGTCCCGCTTTCCCCAATCAGGAAATCGACGCTGCCTGCCTGTATATTGATCCATTTAGCCTGTACCGGATAGGTCAGTGATAGCAGATCGCACAGTACTTACTCGATTGCCACCACGCGGGGACAGCTACGTACATCACTGAGGTGTGGACGACAAAATGCCGACCGCCATTAGGTCTGCTCAACCACGGTCGTGAGAAGCATTGTCTACTCTCACTCCAACTCCGTCAACCATAAGCACAATGGCAACATCAAGCATCCCCCTCCTCCTCATCCTCTTAACCCTCTTCCTCCCCACCCCCACCCACGCCCACAACAGCACACACCACTTCATCGCCACCTGGACCGCCTCCCCGCAACTCACCGAGCCCGCCAACCTGCCGCCCCACCCTTTCAACTTTACCAACCAAAGCACCACCAACGACAGCAACAGCAGTAACACCGTCCTCTTCAACGCCACCCTCCGCCAAACCGTCCGCCTGACCCTCAGCGCACGCACGCTGCGCCTGCGCATCAGCAACGCCTTCGGCACCGAGACGTTACGACTCACGCGGGTTACGATTGCTTTACCCAAACCCAGCGTCAGCAATGGCAATAGCAATAGTACCAGCAATAACACCGGTACCGCAAGCGGCAGCAGCGCCATCGACACGCGTACCCTGCGCGCGGTCACGTTCGACGGCGGCGAGGGGACCAGCATCCCGTCTGGCGCGCAAGCAGTGTCCGACCCCGCGGACATAGGGGGCCTAGACGTCGGGCCTGGGGCCGCGCTGGCCGTGAATCTGTACCTCCGGTCCGGGGTCTCCGGGGGTGCGGTGACGGGGCACCCGGGGTCGCGGACGCGGTCGTGGGTTGCGCGGGGGGACGGGGTAGGGATGGCGGACCTGCGAGACGGGGACGAGGCGAAGGAGGCGCAGCACTGGTACCTGCTCAGCGGCATCGAAGCGCTCGCGCCGCGACGCCAGCGCACGCTCGCGGTCCTGGGGGACAGTCTGACGGACGGGCGGGGCAGCGTCACGGACACGGACACGCGGTGGACGGACTTGTTGTTCTCACGGCTGCAGGCCAGCGCCAACACTTCCGCAGCAACGTCGTCCTCCGGCCTCCGCGACATCAGCGTCGCGAACCTCGGGCTGGGCGGGAACCGCGTGCTCGGTGACGGATTAGGACCGAGCATGCTGGCGCGGGTAGAGCGGGACGTGCTCGCGCAGCCCGGCGTGCGCTGGGCCGTCATCTGGGGCGGGATCAACGACATCGGGACCGCGGCCGCCGAGGCAAGCGCGCAAGCGGCGGTGGGGGCAGCGCTGAAGGCGGGGTATGCGCAGCTGGTTGCGCGGATGCGGGGGGCTGGAATCGTGGTGGTTGGGGGGACGCTGACGGCGTTTGGTGCGCCTGCGGGGACGGAGGGGACGCAGCCGTATTGGGATGCGGGAGGGGAGCGGGAGCGGACGAGACAGGACGTCAATGCTTGGGTGAGGGGGAGTGGGGTGTTTGACGGAGTGGTGGATTTTGATGCGCTAGTGCGGGATCCAAGGAATGAGTCGTTGCTGCGGACGGAGTTTGATTCGGGGGACTTTTTGCATTTGAATGCAAGGGGGTATAGGGCTTTGGCGGAGGGGTTTGATTTGAGGTTGTTGGAGCGGGGGGGTAGGGGTGGGGGGTGTGGGTGAGGGAGGGACTGGAGGTGGTGTGGTGGACGTACTGTACGCTGCGTAGTAATGTCCACGCGAATGTGAACAGAGATGCCTACAGGACCGTGTGTAAGCTGAGTTCCAAGACATGGAAGACCGTGTTTCTTCAGATGAGGTGATTACAATCCATAGGTTATGGTAAGTCACCACCATCACCACCACCACCAGTCATATACAATCACAAACCAACTCGTCATTCCGTGGTATATACAACAACTAAAGCTTGCCCCTGGCCACATTACCGCTTCTGACTTCGTAAGCACATGCCTACTCACACGCACATCTTCAGCAGCAGAATAAGGGGGTCAAACATACTAAGCAAACAGCGCCTTCGCGGCATGCTCGACATGGTCATCCGCAAACGTAGCCATAAAGTAGTAGCTGTGATCGTAGTCCTGCTGCAAGCGCAGACGGATATCCTTGTCGTTGCCGGCCTCCTTGGCCGCAGCCATGAAGTTCTCCGGCAGCAGCTGGCCCTGCTTGTAGAAGTTGTCGCCGGTGCCCTGGGGCTGTCAGCACGCGTTCTACCCGCCTCGAAGCCACCACTTCTCTTTGCTGGATACTCACCACGTCGATCAGCAGGTGCAGCGGGCCCTTCCACTGCTTGACCAGCTCGCTGGCATCGTGCTCCTTCCACTTGGCCTGGTTCTCCTCGCCAAAATAGCCCTTGAACGCCTTCTGGCCCCAGGGGCAGTTAATCGGGTTAGCGATGGGCGCGAACGCCGAGCACGACTTGTACATGCCGGGGTTCTTGAGGAAGAGGGTCAGGGCGCCGTGGCCGCCCATGCTGTGCCCGGTGATGGAGACCCTGCTGCCGTCGAGCTGCTCAAACTCGGAAAACAGCGCCTTCGGCAGCTCCTCCGTGATGTACGTGTACATGTTGTAGCCCTTGGAGTAGGGCTCCTTGGTCGCGTTGACGTAGAAGCCCGCCCCGCTGCCGAAGTCGTACGCGTCGTCTTCGCCGGCAATGCCGAGGCCGCCTGGTGGAGGTGGGCACGGGATCAGCTGGTGTTGTTGTTGTTGCTGTGGCTGGGTGCGGGGAGAAAGAGAGAGAGAGAGAGAGAGGGTAGGATTTCAGCAGCTACTCACGCGGCGAAGTGTCCGGGTACACGACGGCGATGCCCTTCTCGCTAGCCTTGTGCTGGAAGAAGCCCTTCTCAGAGCAGTTATCGCCAGTGCAAGTCAAGCCAGAGAGATAAAACAGCACGGGCACCTTCTGCGTCATCTTCTGCTGCGAGAAGGCCTGCGGCGGGAGGTACAGGTTCAGGCCCATCTTGCAGTTGGTCGAGGAGGCTTCGTGCGTGAGCTTGAGCAGCTTGCCGCCGAAGGAGGCAATGGTTGCGGTCGTGGTGAAGGCCATGGCGTGCGTGTATGGGTATGGGTATCAATGAGCAGTGTGAGATAGAGAGAAAGGTAGAAAGACACAGAGAGGTGGGCGGCTGCGGCAAAGGCGCGTTTTGTACCGAGCTCGACGGAGCTGCGATGGTGGGGTCGAGAGGGGAGGGGCTCTGACGTCGTCTCCGCATTTCTCCACCACCAGACCGGCTACGGTAAGAATTCCCGATTGCCATCGCGTCGTCGAGGAGAGGATTGCCCCTTTCAGCTCGTCTCACAATGCCAATTGCCGCAATCTTCAAAGCAATCTGGTGTTGAGCTTACGTGCTTACCTCAAAACGGCGGCAGAACTAACGCGAGCAACCAAAGCCCGCTAACTGATCCAGGCACCTCCGGCGTACATCACTGACGAGCCGCAGCGCGCGAAAACGGAAAGACAACCATACGTAACCGCCATTCTCACGATTTTGCAAAACTGTTTAGAACCTCAAACGGCCAGGTTTGAACAGGCGCTGTCTCCCCAGCATACCCGACAAAGCCCATTTGTGAAAAAAACTCCCAATCGCCGTCCCAAAACAACCATTTTGTGCCGCCCGCAAACAAACTCCACCGATGCTCTCGCGCATTATGCCCGCTTCGCGTCCTCTTACAGCAGCTCCTCGCAGGTCCAGTCCTCGTAGCTGCATCGAATTAGCCTCGAGCGCTCGTGATTGTGATTGTCGTCGCACTTACAAGCCATCCGGAAGGTACCTGCGCACGACCAGCGGGATCTTCTTCTCGCGAAGCTCCTTGATCGCAATCTGGAGCGGGTCCGTCTCGCCCTCGAGATCAACCAGCACCGGCGCGTTCATGCTGTCATTACCATCAGCTCCATCCACATGCACAAAACCCACCACGCCAACCCAAGCCCAACCAAACATACCTGATCTGCAAAGCGCGGGTGCCCAGCACGCGGGCGCGCTCGTACTTGGTCATGTACGGCGTAGTAGAGCGCTGGTCGTCAGGGATGCGCTTCCTGCTCTGGTCGGCGACGGTATTCGTGATCTTTGCATGGGCAGCGGCGCTCGCGTCGCCGGACACGACGATGTTCTCGCCCTCAGCGCGGCGCTGGTCGGGGTCCTCGTGGCCGCCGGCGACGTCTTCGTCCTCATAGTAGGGCTCGGGCTCGCCGGGCTCCGAAATGTCGTCGTACACCTCGGGCTCGCTGTTGCGGCGTCTTTGTATCAGCTTGCTGTGCGTGTGATGCGTTCGTTTTAGACGGGCGAGTGAGATGCCACGAGGGCGCCGAGTATGACGCTTCGTGCAATTGACAGAAGTTTGCGCGAGAAGAACGGGCAGACGCCATAAAGAAATCGAGCGAAACGCGGCCGGCGCGTCGAGACATGTGAAAAAGCACTTACTTGAAGCCAGCATCGTCATCTCCGCCGCCGTAGTCAGACATTTTGCGCGTGGGTCGGTAGAGGGTTCGAGGTGACGGAGGGTGCGACGGGGGACAAGCAGCTCAAAGAACATCACGGCCAGGCAGCTTCGAGATTTGCCTGTCCCACTAGTCCGCATCCGCTCACCGCCTTCTGCTCACAATCAAAACCGGACGGACCCAAACAATTCATCGGTACCTATATGCAAGGGGACGATGACGAGAAATGCTTGAACTTGTGTTTATTTATATATAGATGGGCGACAACAGCTCCATCACCGCTTCATAGCAGAGTCCAAAAGTAGAAACAAAAGCTATACAATATTCACACCAACCCTCTTTCCCCTACTCCTCCGCAAACAGAATACCCCTTTCATACAATCCACCCACAATAATCTTCTTTTCCTTCAGGTCCCTTACAGCAGTCGTACTACAGCCAAAAACACTCGCGCCGACAAGCAAATCGCGCCACTCGCCGTCCTTCCACTCAGCAACCCAGCTAGGGCTGACCTTGCCCGCCGTGCACGCCTCGGCGTCCTTCCACTCGCGCTCGCCCCACGCACCCTTGTACGTCTGGACATGGAGGCAGCTTTCACGCGCCGCCTCCACAGCGGCGAGGGCGGGGGCGTGGGCATGGCCAGCGGCAAGGAGCGTGCCGGCGCTGTCGACGGACAGGTTGTCAACGAGGAAGGGGGTCTCGAGCTCGCGGACGAGCTTCAGGTCGACGGAGGTCTTGGCCTCGGCGCCCTCACCCTCGGTCGTGTACGTCATGTTGAAGAGCTGGACGCTGCGGCGCGTGGTGCTAGCGACAGCGAGGGTCGAGTCGCCGAGGCGGACGACGCCGTTGGCGAACGGGACGGACGCCAGCGTCGATACCTTGACGTCGGCCGCGGTGGCCAGGCCCGACTCGTTGCGCGGGTCGGGCGACGCGCTCAGGTCGACGTGCACGACGGTGCCGCCCGGCAGCGCGAGGTAGTTCTCGGCCTTGTTGAGGAGCGGCGCCTTGCTCGCGGTGAAGAAGTGGTCGTTGGTGACGATGAAGTCGGTGGCTGAGAGCGGGAGCACCTGGTTCGGCGCGTGCAGGAGCGGGTGCTTGATGGTGCGGACGTGGAAGGCGGCGGCGCGGCCGAAGCCCGCCCACGGCGTGAAGGAGAAGAGCTCGATCGTAGGGCCCGTGGAGGCGTGGTTCACGATTGCCAGCGTCGACGTCGCCGCGTCGTAGTTTATGCCGAGCGGGTGGAAGTCGATAGACGTGTCGATGCCTTCAAGCGCAATGGGCTTGGGATCGGCGTCGGGGTCCGAGTAGTACCATTGGAAGATGGCGCCGGAGATGTTGGGGTTAATGAAGGTGCCCTGTCAGTGTCAGTATACAGACAGCCTGTGTGTATGGGAGGGGGTGCGTGTGCTACCATGACGGTGTTCCAGCCATCGCGGCCAACGTCGCAGCTCAGGAGGGCAACGCCCTCTTCCTCAATCATGACGACATCCTCGCAGTTGGTGAGCAGCTCCGGGTAGCGGACCTCGTGGCTCTTGAAGGTCGTCGTGTTCCGCAGGACATCGGGTGCCTGGGTGGAGAAGGTTTGCAGGGTGCGATAGCGCAGGGCCAGTTCGGGCCAGATGTAGGCGACGATGGCCAGCAGCTGTAGGTAGGTTCAGTCAATCAGCCATTGCCCACGACCTGTTGGAAGAAAAGCGTACGCACCACTGCTACAGAAATCTTTCCCTGCATCTTGATCGACTTGAAGAGAAACACTCGAGCGGACAGTCCTCTCTATTTAACTGATGGCAGGCCTCCGCGCCGAGTGTCTTGAATTGGAGCTCTGGGCTCCCCGCGGCCGCGGCGCTCCCCCCCGTCAGTTCATCCCCCGCTCCACCGGTCCCTGCACATCGCGTATGCAGCACGTAGTTTTACCGACTACTTCTATCGGCAAGGATAGTCCACGGCATCATCGTCCTTTATGTAGCACATGGTACGCTTCACATTCTCTTACATTGCCGTTTCCATCCTCAGTCCACCCCAAACTAGAGCGCAACCGCGTGCTGAAACCGCCCGAAAGTTTACCTCGCCCTTAATCAGCTCGTCCCCACCGCTAACGGCTACGTCCGTAATCCGCCAACTTGCCACATTTCAGCCTTAGCCGCCCCGCCCAACCCTGATATCCACGTCTTCTAGAACACCCCTACAAGTAGTCGCTAGCCCTAGCTCTCCCCTTTGCGCCATCGCCGCCTTTCCTCGCCGGGCTCCGGCTCGCGCTCGATCCTCTCCTCCTCCTCGGCGGAGGAGACGCCTCTGGCGAACTCGTGTTCCGCCGTCTTCTCGCCCCGCCGCCGCCGCCTCTCGGTGCGCTCCTTCCCACGCCTTCCACCAGATGCGCCCTGGCTGGGTGGATGGCGGGGCTCACGCGCCGCGGTGGCGGGCTCGCACGTCGCGGCGGAGGCGTCGGGCTGCGGCTCGGCGATCGTGAACGAGACACGGTACTGTACCTGCGGCCCTTCGCCTTGGGTGCCGGGCTGCGACTCCGGCTAGCCGATGAGTAGCTGTAGCTCCGTCTGCTTCCGTTTTGGCGTGCGCGGTACGGGCTGCGCGACCTCGAAGCAGAAGGGCTGCGTCTGCGCCGAGGCGTGGGCGATCTCGACACCGAAGCCTTGCTACGCGCCTTCCTGGGAGGCGACCGCGACACGGAGCTGGTGCGCCTGCGGCGTGGAGACGGAGACCGCGAATCGCTGTAGCTCCTGGCCCGACGGCGGGCCGGTGTTGCCGAGCGAGACCGGCTGCGGCTGTCGGAGTAGCTGCGGTTCCGGCGCGGGGCGGGCGAGTATGATTCCGAGCGGGAACGGCTGCGTCCGCGGGGGCTGCGGGAGCGAGACGCAGAGTAGCTGCGTCGAGACCGCGAGTACGAGCGCGAGCGAGAGCGCGAGCGAGAGCTGTAGCTGGAGTAACTCGAGTAAGACGACGCACTTTCCGAGTCGCTCTCCGGTTCTGGCGGCGGGAGAGCTGCCGGCACGGGTTTCGGCATGTTCTTGAGATACTCGCGCATGTCCTCGGTGATGCTGCCCATGCCAATGGCCGTGAAGAAGTTGATGGCAAAGCGGGTGTTTCGGCTGCTGTCCTTGGGGAAGATGCCTTCGAAGCTGGGCTGCAAAACATCCTCCCTCATACGTTCCGTAAGCTTCTTCATGCTCATGGATTGAGCGAGTTCCTCGAATAGGATCTTGATGAAGATACGGCTCGACGACGTGGTTTCGTCCTCGTTTAGATGGATTACAGACAAAACGTGCCAGCCGATGGCGTCGCTGGCCAGCAGGTGCCCGAAGAACGACGCGATGATGCGGAGGCGGTTCGTTTCGTACCGGTGGATAGTGTCGAAATACTTGGCAAAAGCTTCCTCGTAAAGCTCTCTCCATAGCCGGTTGAGCTTGCAGAAGCGCTCACCGATCAAGCCGTAAAACTTATCGTAGGTTCGCTCCTGCGACGCGCATTCGACGATCATGGAAACGAGTTCCAGCTCTTGACCAGGAGGCAGATTTACGCGCATCAACTTGTGACAACACTCTTCGAAACCACCGCTGGACTTGATGGTGAGGTAAATCGTCCGACGGAGGTTGACCAAGTCAGTGTTGGTTTGGTCCTTGATTTCCAGCTCCCGCTCCTTGACCTCCTCCTCGTCCGATTCGCTTTCGTCGGATTCATACTCTTCCTCGCTCCCTTCAGCCTCTCCGAGAATTTCGGCCTTGAGTTGTTTGTACGCGTCCTCGTGTTCCTGCCACTCGGCATCTGTCGTCGTTAGTAAAGTCAAAAATGCTAAAGGCGAGCAACTCACCATATTTAAAGATGTTGAGGCCGTCTTGAACCTCCAGCTCATCATCAAGCCCGGGCCGATGAGTGATTTGATCCTCCTCCTCGACCAGATCCAGCTCGTCCCGAATCGCCGGGTTATCCTTGTACCTGTCCTTCCTAACCTGGAACAAAACTTCGATCATATATTGCGTCCGCTTGTCAATAGCTGATTCGTGCAGGATGTTGCGGAACTGGTCGAACACGGCTAGGGCAATGGGACCAGACATTTCTTCCAGGTGTTGTCCGACCTCGCGCGTCAGCCCGACAGCAATCTCCACGCTGTCATCCGTGGGCTTGTGAAGGAGGAGAAGGAGGATTTGTGCAGCCACTACGAACGTTAGCAAAAGTCATTCACTAGTAAGGACGGCACGTACACATCTCGTGCACCACCTGCTGGTTGACAAGGTGTGCAATGAAAGTCGTGCTGCTCAAACAGACAGCCTTATCATTCCGCTTAAAGGCCTTGCGGAACTGCACAATCAACCTCGTCACCAGCAGCTCTCCCACCTGTGGCAGCTTGGTATTAACAATCGCCGCCATGGCCGCATAAATCGGCGTGAATGGCAGCGACGCCGCCTGCGCCTTCATGATGCTCCGGCAAAACAGACCCCTCCCGCGAACCAGATTCTCGTTGAAAAGCTCCGGCACGATGAACTTGATGTTGCTGGTATTGACCTTGTTGATCAAACCGTTGATACTCTTCTTGAGCGCCTCCCACGCCATGCGCTGGTACTCCTTGCTACTCTTGTCCGTGATCTGAGCCTGCAGCGCGCGCAGCTTGGCCGGAGGAATATACGTTCCTCCCGAGCGCATGTTCAGCAGCTTTTCGTACTCGGCCTTGGCCGCGGCCTGCTTCTGTTCGTCGGTGAGCGGGGCGTCGCGCCCGCGCAGCTCGAGATCGCGCTTGCTGTGGTCGGCATCGCGAGCAGGAGGTCCCCTGCGGTCGGGCGAAACGGTGCGAGAGCGGCCGCGCGGCGGGGAGCGATAGCGCCTTGGGGAGGGCGAGCGGGAGTCTGGCGAACGCTTGCGCTTCTGGGCGCTCACGGGCTCCGGCGACGGGATGCGCACCGCAGAGGCCATTTCCGTATCGCCGTCCATGTTGGCGATGGTGTGACGAGTGCGAGGGGGGCGGGGACGAGGGCGCGCGTGGCAGAGGGCGATGATGTCGAGCTTGGTGGAGGTGACGGAGCAACAAATTGAGGTGACGGCTGATAGTCGGAGAATCCGCCCGCGTCCAGCTCTCCATCAGCCGTGTCCTCAACTCCGGCCCAGACACCCCTGCACTATCGACTGTAAAGACGTCCAATTGCCGCTTGCCCACTTCCGCTCCTTTGGTCTCCTTCACAATGGTGAGCTTACATGCCGCTCGCATCGTGGCATGACTAACGCGTGCGCCCGTAGCTCGACCGTCTCGTTGGCCTCGCCATGCTCATCGTAGCAACCGCCGTCTTCACTTACTACACCATATGGACTCTGTTGATGGTATGCGCCCGGCCGTTTCTCTCTGCTGCTCGCGCTGACAGATTAGCCCTTCGTCGATGAGGACCACCCTCTCCAGTCGCTCTTTCCCCCTCGCGTCTGGGCCATCCGCCTCCCCGTCATCCTCATTCTCCTCGCCAGCACCGTCGTAGGCAGCTTCCTAGCGATGGTCATGATACGCAGCAACCGCAAGAAGGCGCTCAAGGCACAGAAGAAGAGTTCGTAGGCGGGTGGCGAAGGGCACGCTGAAACGCTGCTGAGATGCTGGCCGAAATGCTTAAGCAGACCCTCCTGAGCACAGTACAGACGTTGCTATGTAGCTTCACATAACGAGTTTGAGAATTGAGGTTTCATTAATCAACTCTCAGTGGTAGTCCCTACGGAAAACAGCATGGCCGCCCTAGTATGCACTGCTTGAAGCTTGCAGCAAAATTCCTCCCCAACTCGCATCATTCCGAAACCCCGCATCAAAATCCTCCGTCCATGCTGACTTTTCTTTCGTGAAATCGCTTGCTTGTTGCTTCGCACGTTGCTTGGCGTTTTTTTCGTTCCGTCCCACGTTCATTCTTACCTACATGACGGTGCAATTATCCTCACTGACGATAACTTGAGCTGGTCCAAGACCACCCCCTTCTCCTTCATCGTCGTCATCGCCGCCGGGAGCCATATAGAATCTCTGCATAAGCTCGGCCAGCATGCCGCGCTGTAAACATTCTGTTAGCCAGAGTTGAACTTCCAAAGCGGGCAAATGCAACAGTAATTCCAGCGCAAGGGTAAAAAAAAAAAAACGTCAAGCAACGTCCGGCCTCTGACTAATTTCGTGCCCTGACACTCCCAGCAGTTTGTGTTCAAGGTACAACGTCATGAGGCGGGCATTCATGTACTCCATTCTGTAAAAGGTGCTGAAGCGGCGTGCGTAATGATTCGCTGGGCCTCTCCCGTACAGGCGAGTAAAGGCATCGAATGGATGCAGCGGAATAATCGAGTGAAGCGTGTACATCGCAAATGAATCTCTACTCACCGTGATGAAGGTGTCGCGGCTTCCGCCAGCACGGGCGACGTCGTTTTCGCTGGTGATACGATACTCGTCGTGCATTCTGCGTCTACTGGTCAATCCTCCTGGAGCAGCACGCTCATCTTCGTCTTCTTCTCCTTCAGGGACGGTGGTCGTGTCGACCGGGTCATCATCTTCGGCGGCCTGGCCGCGCTGCCGACGGCGCATCCGACCGAGAGATATGGAGCTGAAAGTAGAGCTGTCTGACTGAGTGACGCCAATGCCAAGACGGGCGTTGCGACGGGCGAGGGCGTCGGGACTGAAAATCTTGACGGTGTGATCGATACCGGAGACGGCAATTACAGGCTCGTATGGGTGACCTACTAAGGTTAACTTTTGCGCAGTATGAAAAGGAATTCGAGGACATGCCTTGTGCAACGTTGACCACCTCGCCATCGCCCTCGAGTATGTTGACTATTTGTGAAGTCTTCTTGTCCCAGATGAAAAGATGTCCGGAATCGCTACCACTGACGATATACTCATCGTTCAACCCAAAGAATCCAACATCTTTTACGGTCTTCACGTTGCAGTGACCGCGATACTGGCGCGTGTGTGACGAGCATGGAATGTCAGCTTCAACCTTCTCCTTGAGACGAGTGCGTTCAAACGCAGAGCGGAAGAGGAATCTGTGGTTGGGGTCGTCATCATCTTCATCATCCTCATCTTCATCATCCTCATCTTCATCATCATCATCATCATCATCATCATCGTCGTCGTCGTCGTCGTCGTCTTCATCTTCACCGTCTTCCTCGTCTCCGCGGTTTTCTTGACTCTCTTCAACCACCTCGTGGAGGTCATCAAGATTGATCACTTCCTCATCATCAGCCTCAGCGTTCTCGTGAGGACGACGCACCAAGCTGGCGCTTTCCACAGGCTCATCATCCTCATCAGTGTCGATACTTTGCAACCTGTTTCGAATCGCCGCCTCGTCCTGTCTCACACTGGCATCACCTCTGCCCAAACCACCAAAGGCTTGGTCCACCAGCCTGAAATCAATGCCCTGACCTGCGTTCATCAGCAAGCCACGTCCGACTTTGAAGCCCCAAAATCTCAGCGCAGCCTTCCGGTCTTGCGCTCCTACAGCTTCAGGCGCAGAACTTCCGGCTTCCGACGTGGAAACAACGGCGCTGGAAAGGTCAGCAAATGGGATCTTCAAGGCCTGCGCAAAGGCGATGACGGCAGCCTTCTCGGATGAGGAGACAACCCGGTTCTCATCGGTTTCAAACGCAGAGGTTTCCAAGTTGACAACAGGCGTGGTATCGTCCGCAATCTTGAGGAGATACGGAATTAAGTTTTCATCGATGGCGTCGATGCCAGCATTGCTAGGGACAGGAAAGCGGTTCGAGGTGATAGAGACGTCACTGGGGCGGGTAAAGCCCTCGAGCAGAGCACCAATACCGCTATCGAGCCAAAGAAGGATCGCCTTGAGGAAGTCGTAGCCAAACTGTTCGTGACGATCAATAACTGGTAGTTCCCGAGGAGAAGGAACAATCTTTTCAAAGTACGACAGGGAACTCTGATCAATAGCGCGCAGTCTCCCGCCAAGTACACGGGCGAGGGTGCCTGCAGCCTGCACAAACCGACGAGCTGAACCTCTCTTTTCCCTGAGATTATTCTGGAAAGCAACATCGACCTCAAGAGGGTTTACCGGGTAGCGCCACGTACGGTGAATCTCGTCCATAGAAGGTAGGATCGATGCCGCGTAACCAAGAACAGATGTGAAGGGGACAGCATATCCAGTCGGATCAGAATCGCTAACATTCCTGCGCGCGCCAAGAGTGAAAAGGTTCTTGCGCAAGCTAACAACAGCCTTTGCGATGCGGAAGCTTTGCCTTTGTGCCTCGGGAAGAACCGCCTCTCGAGCTTCAGATATGGGGCTGCGTGGCCTGGGAGGCTCGATCGGGATCTCTTCGCTCTGGCCGTTTTCGTAGTGTACCATGAGAGACATTTCCTCTTCCCGGTTTGCACCATCTCCAGTGCGAGGGCGCGACCCAGCCCGTTCCGTGCTCTCCTGTGAAGCACCTGTTCTAGCACGCTTTCTCTTGCGATTCTTGGACTCTTTAACCTTGCTTTTCGTGACCTCCGCCGCATCGGGGCTGCTGTTAAGGTCAAAGCAGTAGATCCATTCACCAGACCAACTCACGACCATCTCGTTCGGGTTCGCATCGCTGATTTTGCAAGCGGTGATATGGCCATTGTCTGTACGCTTCATGCGCTGTTGTCCATTCGGTGCAAACTTCTTAACGCACTGAGTAGCTTGCCTCATCAGTTCATCGTCGTGATCCGTCCTGCCTGGGGAGAGCGGAGCGCCCCTCTCGCGAAGCAAGTCGCGCCCAGTCATCCTTCGGTCATGGAGGAAACAGTGCAGATGAGCTCCACCGAGGGCAATGTAGTGCGGCTGGCTAGGAGAGCAAGAGATGGTGTTGAGGTCAAGATGGTAGCGCTTGTATGAAATCAGTGCTGGCGGGACGTCGTCGTTAATTCTTGAATTGGGTTGCGGGTAGGCCGAACTAGGCATGCGAACGTCCCATTGCCTGACCTCGCCATCCTCGGAGCATGTCAGGAACAGCCAGGGTGATGATTCCGTGACAATCCTCTTGACTCTATCACCGTGAGACCTGAAGATCCTACAGTTTGTGTTGCCGTCGCCTAAGAAGCGCACGCCGTCCGGAATGCCACGAGAACGACTGGCTGCGGCACTCGAAGCCTGTGCCGACGATATTGTAGAATGTCCAGCATATTCAATATCAAAGACCCTGACTTCCGAGTCTCCAGCAGCCGTAACTACAGTCCGGTCATTCGAATGTGGCATGAATTTGACAGAGAATATGTTTGCGCGGTGGCCGGTGGCAATTGTAGTCGTGAAGTCGAATTGATTGGCTGAGTGCTGAGGAAGGTATCTGTGGATGTTGACGTGCTGATCGTCTGAGCCCGAGGCAAGGAGCTGACCGGATTTTGACCAACTACTAAATTAGCTTTTACAGTATGAGATTGGAGAGGGAAATCTACCTCAGAGCATTGACGCAACCTGTGTGTCCTCCCAACTCATTGACAATATCAAGATCCTTGACAAACTGTCTGTCGCCGTAAAGAGCCTTGACGCTAGAGAATCTGGGGTCGCCTCCCAGCTCACGGCTGAGCAGACGATCGTAGAGCGAGTGCTTCATGGCGAAGCGTGGAAGGATGTAGCAACTTTGTATTTGCGAAAGTGGGTGCGTGATGCGTGGTAAGAATCAATCAGTGCAGCTTCGCGTAAGCTTCCGTGAACTAAATCCGGGAGGGTTGGAGTGCTGCAAGGCGGACTGAGGGTGAAGCAAGCTTGCATTGCGGGCCTCGGAGCTTTTTGTCTCGCGCGCCGGACAAGGCTGCTCGGGGAAGAGGGAAGCAGAGCTGGAGAGGTCGAGGTGAAGTCGGTAGCTACCTAGCTTAAGGCGTCGGCGGTGTGCTCCAATGACGCGGTTATGCGATAAGATAAGGACCGGCTCGCGGCCCGCTCGGGTCCGCCAGGCACGGCGCGGAGCATCAATTGCCAAGGACTCTGCCACATAAAGCACAAGATAGATTGTCAATCCTGCTAGCGAGTGAACTCCTATACTATGGTCTACTGTTGCTAGCTCATCTTCATCTGATCATATCTCATCGTCTCGTCTCATGCATCTAATCAACAAAAATCTTCTTCTCCAGCTCTCCAAAGTGCTCAAAGAAGCTTGAGAACAAGTTGATGGCATGTTCGACATCGTGCGCGCCTCCGGTCTCACGAATACTGTGCATACTCAGCTGGGGATTGCCCAGATCAAGCGTCCTGGCGCCCATCTTCGCCGCCAGCATTGGTCCAATGGTGCTGCCGCAGCTGGAGTCGTTGCGCACCACGAACAGCTGAAGCGGGACGCCCTCGGCACTGGTGGCATTGACGTTGGTGCTGGCCTTGCGTGCGCGCCGTGCAACTTCTTCAAGCAAAACGATGCCAGGACTGTTGGTTGCGTAGCGGGCGTTGGCGTTGATCTTGATGACAGTACCCTTGTTCATCTCCGGGCGGTGGCTACCCTCATACTTGGCAGGGTAGTTGGGGTGGACGGAGTGCGCCATATCGGCGGAGATGAGGAACGACGTCGAGAGGGTCTGCTCAAACGCCGTTGCGCTCTCGAGGTCGTGCATCTTATCGTAAGACTTGTCCGAGTCCGATTCGGAGCTCGGGACGACCGAAAGACGTCTGATCACGGCGGGGAGAAGGTTGCTGTCAGCACCCTGAGCAGTCTGCGAACCAATTTCCTCATGATCGAAAAGAGCAATGAGGCGGATGGTAGGATCGTTGTCCAAAGCGGAGGCATCGGAGAGAGAGTCGATAATAGCCTCGACGCTGCAGAAAGACATCATAAGGTTGTCGAGACGAGCAGAGAAGATGAGCTCGTTGTTCAAGCCGCCAATGACAGATTTCTGGGTGTCGTAAAGCACTATCTCAAAATCCATAATGTCAGAGGCCTTGACACCAGCCTCCTCCGCAATGATCTCGACAACGTATGGGTGGTGCCTCTCCGTGACAGTCTGGAGAGGGTTGAATGTGTCATTCTCCTTCTCCTCGGCCTTCTCCTCGGTCTTGCCCTGCCTGTTGAGCTCCGCAGCCACAAGACCGGCAATCGGGAACAGCTGAGTCTCCTTGTTGAACTCAAAGTTTTGTTGGCGATCAAGGTGGATAGCCAGGGTGGGCACGCGCAGGATGGGCCTGTCCACCTTGACTAGCTTCTGTTGGAACCCACCATCGCTCGTCTTGACCATGACCCTTCCGGCAACGCTGAGATCGCGGTCGAACCAAGTGTGCCAAAGACCGCCGCCGTACGTCTCAACGCCGACCTGAAGGAATCCATCGCTCTGCCTCTTGGACACGGGCTTGATACGAAGGCAGGGCGAGTCGGTATGTGCGCCGATCATGCCGATGGGGTTACCGGCCTTCCATTTCTTACCGATGGCGAAGGCGACGATGGACGAGGAGTTCCTGGTGAGGTAGTACTTGCCGCCCGGCTTGAGGGTCGACGACCACGGGTCCCGTTCCTATTTGGTCAGCCACATGGAGTAATGCTGCAGGGGAATGACGGGCGAACTTTGATCTGAGTGAAGCCAGCCTTCTCCAGACGCTGTTTGGCCGAGTCGGTGGCGTGGAAGGCTGGGGGGTTAGCTGCATTCCGGATGCGGAGACGATGCAGCTACTCACGAGTGGGCGAGGCGTTGACAAAGTCCAGAAAGTCATTTGCGTGCTGCAGGGTTGGGGGAGCCATGTTGGACGAAGAGTTTCTGAAACACAGCGTGAAAGGCAGTCGGGGTGCAGGAGTTCGGCGGGCAACGAGCATACTAAATGACGGCAGAGGGCGTTGTCGCGATGCGCTGGCGGCGGGCCAATGAGACGAGGGCCCCCCGCGACGCGATCATAACAACAGCGTGAGAGGAGCGCGCCCGACGGACACGAGGGGCTGCACGCTTACCTCGTTGTCGCCCTCGCCCTCGCCATCGCCCTACGCCTAACCGTCGCCTTGGTCCCTTTGGACGCGTGCACACGCCCGCCCTTACCGATAATCGGTCTGCAGCGTTGCGTCCGATAGTTGCCGTGGTGAAGGCCAAAGCTTACCTTGCTTCTTTAGTGAAGATCACGGCTGGCTGCCCCGTCCCGCAGGGCAACCCGGACCACCAGCTCTCCAAGACCACCACAACCGCGACCTCCACTTCCACGAGCCTCCGCCGCCGCGCCTCTGCCAGGCGCATCGCCTGTCGTTGCTGTCAAACGCGCCCGCCTCCCGCCCGCCTGCAGACCCCTCCCGTTTCACCCCGCGCCCGCTCGCTCCAAGGGGTGGCTGGTCGGCGCATTCGCTCTTCACCACCGCCACGACGGCCAACTCACGCCTCCATCATCTGGCGCAATCGCACGCTCAATCGCAACGCCCGACGCTATCCACCCTGGCGCAATCCCGCAATGCGCGGTTCAGAGACCAATCTGGGTCTCGCCATAGCCGGCGCAGACCCAAGAAATAACAACCTCCAAACGCCCGCCCTCATTTCCCCTCCGGAATCAAAGACCCCGCCGACTGCGACAAAGCGCAACCTCAGATCCAACAAAGACAATGCCAAGCAATCCGAGGCCATCGACCCAACCGCTTTGTCCAAGGCTTTGGAGAAGTTTGAGCACACCGGAAGGCAACGTGAGCCCACGCCGGGTTTGAGTCCGAGCAGGAAGAGACAGCGGGTGTATGGCGACAGGTCCGTGGCAGCCCCTCCGAGGTGGCGATTGACGTAGGCTCAAAGGCTCACCTGTATGCCAGATTCATTCCCAACCGGTCTGGAGTAGACTTGACTGCCAGCTTTAGTCTTCTCCACGATGATGGATCGCCAGCAACACCATCCAAAACCAAAAGAACTCCCCACAACGAGCTCCATTTCCAGAAAAGTATGCCCGCATGAACTCCAATTAATTCAACTACTAATTCGTTCAGCCGAGGAGGCCAATCGTACATATTCTTCTCTTCTCCGATCGGAAATGTTTGATGACACTGTTCCTCAAGCCCTCTCTCCAACAAGGTCAAAAACACCGCCTGGTCGCACGTCGATGCCTATGCCAGCACTCACGCCATCCACGCCTCACAAGAACCTCTTCACATATATGTCTCCGCGTCATACGAGTGTTTCCGGACAACCGACCCCGCACAGAACGCCTTCATCCCGCCATGGTCCCAATCTCAACGCGCGCTCGGAAATCTACAGTCTCTCCCCGGTCAAGTACAGCAGTCAGACCATGTTGCTGAGTCCACGGAAAACTCCGAGAGCCGTCCCGAAAGTCCCGTACAAGGTCTTGGATGCACCTGAGCTCGCAGACGATTTCTATCTCAACCTGGTGGATTGGGGAAGCCAAAACATCCTGGGCGTCGGTTTGGGTCAGTGCGTCTACATGTGGAACTCGACTTCCGGCCGCGTGACGAAGCTTTGTGAGCTCCCAGACGACACGGTGACGAGCGTCAACTGGATACAACGAGGCTCCCACGTTGCCATCGGAACAAACAAAGGATTCGTCCAAATTTGGGATGCTCAGACGCAGCGCCGCCTTCGCACCATGACGGGACACACTGCGCGAGTGGGTGCGTTGGCTTGGAACGAACACATCTTGACCTCGGGCTCTCGCGATCGCCTAATTTACCATCGCGACGTCCGTCAGCCCGATCAGTGGTTGCGGAAGCTCGTAGGGCACAAGCAAGAGGTTTGCGGTTTAAAGTGGAACTCTGACGACGGCCAGCTGGCATCTGGTGGAAATGACAACAAGCTCATGGTCTGGGAAAAGCTCAATGCCGAGCCGACATTCAAATGGGCCGAACATAGTGCCGCTGTCAAAGCGATCGCTTGGAGCCCGCATCAACGCGGTCTGCTGGCATCTGGAGGCGGAACGGCCGATCGCACCATCAAGTTTTGGAACACACTCATCTCACCGCACGGCCCTTCATCGGCTGCAGCTGCAGCTGCTTATGCTGAGTCGTCATCTTCAACCCCCGCCAACCTTCTCAGCAGTCTCGATACCGGATCGCAAGTTTGCAACCTCGCCTGGAGTCGTAACAGCAATGAACTGGTTTCCACGCACGGCTACTCACAAAATCAGATCATTGTGTGGAAGTATCCATCCATGCAACAGGTTGTCAGTCTGACTGGCCACACCTATCGTGTCTTGTATCTCGCCATGAGTCCTGACGGTCAGGTCATTGTCACGGGTGCCGGAGACGAAACCCTGAGGTTCTGGAACGCCTTCAAGAAGAAGGAGCGTGCCGGCGGTCTTGGGACCGTTGAGGATTGGGGTGTCATTCGCTGAGTGATCCAGCCTCTCGCTATTCAACCTTATCCGATGTCGGAATCACGCCGCATGCACAGCACTAATTTGCACATTGCATGCAAACATCAACCACAGCATTGCCTGAGCTACGCTGGTATTGGAAGTCCAGGAAAACGAGCTCACAAACGGCCGCAGCGGCGAACAAACACGGCGAAGGCTTCGTCTGCCCTTCGCGGGCCATTGCCGAACTGAACGTTTTGCTATCGCATGACCGACGTTGTCACATTGCCTTGCATCTTGCATCGTTAGACTTGGGGATGGACATACATCCGTCACGTTGCAGTTGCACTTAGTGGCGATGTGCTATACATGTACGGGGCGCGCGAGGGATGCATAATCTAGCTCGACAGATGGATGCATCAGAAGTAAGAAGATACAGGAAAAGTGAAAGAAAAAGCGGCTATGACGATGTTTTTGCAGTTTCTTCTGACATTTGCTTTGAGCGAGGCGAGGAGTTACGGGTTTCTCTTCTTTGCGTGATACCTGGCTGGAAATGGGACTGGGAAGGATGGGTAGAAGGGAATGGGATCTTGCTATTGTGATTGCAGATAGATTCGCGGCGCATTGCAGCCGACAGTCTGAATAAAAAGTATTTATGTGAGGGTGTGTTCAAACTGATGTTGATGTCTTAGTCTTGACCGAATGGGGACACCAACGCTGGGCCCGCCGACCTTACCTACACCCCACCACCGCAGTTGCCATCCAACTTACTTGTCCAGGTCGCCCGCTCGCTCTCGCGACGACCCCAGGCTCTTAATAGGTTAAGAGCGCCAGAAGCCCACCATAGCGCAAAGAACCTCCCACCCTGCTGCCGGCTCGACTTCCCGCTCTTCAACCGCACCTCCTTTCCCGCTTGCTATTGCCGAATAACTCACAAATACAAAGTGCCATCCACTTCCAACCTAAGGTTCACCAAAAGCCTACAACTAACTTCTCTTAAACTTACTTACGCCGGGACGCTCTCATCAGAGGGCGCAGACAAACGTCACTTTTCCTGTACCCGGAGAAGCGTTGACATAGCTATGAGTGCCGTTGGCAACGGCATGCCAAAAGCCGTTGCACTGCGGTCAGAGGGAGGGATGTTGCTGTCCATATCCCCACGATGAGCGGTACTGCGTAGAAGCGAAGGTATGTCAAGTCGCTTTGGATTTCGATGTTGATAATGATGCTGCAGTCATGCCTACATGCTCCTGTAAGTAGATAAGAACACTCCCTATGGATCACTTCTTGCGTAGACCCAAAGCTTGTGTTCGTAGCTAATTATGTACCTCACGAGGGTATGTAGGTTGTAACAATGTTTCCCCCTCCGACTGTACGGAGTAGTACCTGTTCGCCAAGCAAGCTCTCCTATTGTTCCTATTGTTTTGCGCTCTCAATAGAAGTTGGTCATGACGTGGACTCGCTTTCTTTCTCATCACCGACACGTTACTAGTGCTCATGCGTGGCGGTTTGCTTACGATTTGCCAGCAACTAAGTCATCGGTCAGTTTGTTTTCTGACATTGCATGGGAAAGCCTTGGCTTTTTACGATAGGTTGCTCCCGCAGCAGATGGGGTCACATTGCCATATCTACCTTGCCATGTATGGTGTGTTTCCTGCTTGACATAGGCACATCTCTTGCCAATGTCTCCACGTGCGGTATTGATCGGGATCAGCGGTACTGATGTCTAGATCCTTCGCTGGCCTAGACGATGCTGTCAGAAGAACTCAAGGTAGCTTCTTCCCTTTTCTTCTATATAAACCCCATGGGTTCCGCCTTCTCTCTTCCTTTTCTTCTTCAGAACTCTACACTTCCATCGTCAACTCCAGCATACTCAACAACTTATACTATATCCACTCTACCAGGAAGTAAATCGACTACAACATTATGTGCAGCCCGCCATTAATCACGTGGACCTCTCAAAACGGCGGCGCCTGGCTCCGACATCACCAACTCCCAAGCAATTATCACCCACGCAGAAGGGCCGGCCATCCGCACGCCCAAGATGCAGGCTACGAGCAGCCTTTAGCGCCTCGACCGGTATACCAACCTGGCGCAGCCCCAGGAGGGCCACAACATGGATTACACCAGCCGCATGGCAACGGGTACCCTAATGGCAGGGCCGCGTACCCGCCAAATATGCCGCACAACCCTATGCCTGGCTATAACGGTGCAGGACCTGCACAGGCTGCCCGCGGTGCTGCGCAGTTTCCTATGGCGGGCCTGGGAGCAGATCCGATGGCGGGCCCGGGAGCAAATTATATGCCAGGCGCGGGAGCGGGTCATATGCCAGGCCCAGGAGCTGGTTATATGCCGGGCCAAGGAGGACATCCTATGGCAGGACCGGGAGCCAATCCCATGATGGGCGCGGGAGCGAATCCTATGATGGGCCCAGGAGCGCATTACATGGGAGGCCAGGGCCCAGGCCTAGACCCAGACCTTGTCCCATTCCCACAAATGGGAGGGTATGACGATATTGACGATGATGACCTGGACTTTGATCCTCGGAACATGGTGATTCCGGAATGGATAGCCGGGGGAGTTCTTTTACAAGCCGGTAATGGAGGTTACGACTTTATTCCTCCGGGCAGGCGTGTTGAAGGGGCTCCGGAAGGGGTGCCTGGGGGAGTTTGGGTGCAAGCTCCTGACGGAGGTTTCGACTTTGTTCCGGCTCTGCCTTTTGGCAGGAGCTTTGGCAGAGGTATGCATGGATAAGGAAGAGAATTGGGCGCCACTTTGCCCACGGGATGATGCTTGCGTTTATAATGGCGCGGCGGAGTTGGATTTACCCACGGTTGCTCACCCACTGGTACTGAATCATGTAAGCCTGCGCGTTGCGCTGCTGAGGGCGTTATATTGCCTGCTGGCCGGCACTTCGACATTGGATATTTATGGTCTTTCATTTTCGTACGCTCGATCACTGATCAGAGCACTTCAGCAGGCTGGAGGGGCTGCTACTTGCGACATTTTGGATGACAACCTCTCACGAATTGGAAACACTAACGACTATTGGAGCTAATCACATGAAATTATTGGAACCGAAAGGCTTCGAAATTGGATATATGGAGATTTGGATACGGGTTTGTAACATAAACGGTAAAGGACTTATGTGTATTTAATATCAACAACGATATATTGGACTGATCAGTCATTGGCTATTTATTTCTCTGGCTCTCTATGATCTAAAAGGTACTACGACTTCTGAGTATACTAATCTTATCGTGTATATGTCTGCGGCTTTGCCTTTGCGCTTATAAGTGTGGCCACAGCAAGCAAGCACGTCTCCTAAGGTATATATAAGTGATTCAAATGCTCCGTCTTCTTGCAAAACCGACAACTTCCTCCTATTACATCCACTCTCCATGCCGAAGGGGTAACCGTCTATTACGCGATTGCTATTACAAAGTATGAGTAGCGAGAGAATACTGTAGGCGACTTGCCTTGATACTCACACCAGCGGCATTCCTCATCAAACAAGGATAAAGATGCTACTCACCTTGCGGACAAATACGTTATCCGCAGGCTTCTGAAGCAATGATAAGTTTATTCAGTACTTTACAGATATGATCGGCGAACTCACAATGATAGAAGGCTACCTAAGCTTGTAACAGTGCGATGCGGAACAATTAAGAGTTAAGCATTGTTGATCGAACTCCGTTCCACGTTTACGTGGAAGGAGTTTTTGCAGAAGCTGTTGTGACAGATATGGCTAAGTTCAAGGTTTTCTGAACTTGAGGCCTGGCTAAGAGAAGGATGATGCCAGGTTATCTTTATATAGGAGGAGAGTCCCTTCGTAGTGCGCTGGCGATCTATCACGGTCTTTCCTAGCTACTCCAATAAGACTAATTGCTGAACAGTGTTAAGTGATTGAATGGCAGAGAGTAGATAAAAGGCAATACCGACGGCCTAGCACTGAGATATATTGCTGATGAAGGAGCCAGAGAAGCCGTTGCGGACACCAAAATCGAGTAATCGAGCTTATTCGAGCTTGAAAGACCGTATGTACTATGGCAAGCGTTTACTTTTGTGTATGCGTACTAAAGTAAGTTAGAAATTGCCCGCTGTATGTCTCTAGCATCTGAAGATATTTACGAAAACTATTTACCGACAAGGCTTCAGTTTCAGAAGACGCTATTCCTAACCACCTGCCCTGAACCCATTCACCCAATTCAACTCCCGACTTCCAGCCCCCAGCTCCCGACTCCCAACTCCCAAAGCGCATCCCACGGAAACACCTCCCAGAGCAATCCAACCAACCCAACCAATCCCACCCAATAAGCAGACACTAAAATCACAAACCAAAAAAGGGTATCTCAAACAAAACCGCCCAAGCCACTACCATCAGCAACAGCAGTAACAACAACTATTAACCCAGCAAAATGAACAGCAAACGGAACTCAACTGACAAGAAAGAGGCAGAATAATAGAAAGACGGAACAAAGTAAAGGGTAAAGAAAAGCGTTTCATTCATTCATTCGATTGTTTGTTTTCGTTTTCGGCTTGTTGGCTTGCTCGCTGCGCTGGTTGCGTTGTGCTGCGCTACAACGCATCATGATAAATGAGAGATAGGAGCAGAGAGGAGGAGCAGGGGTAGAAGCGATGAGGTGAGGAGGTGAGACTAGTTGAATGAGAGGGTTGAGGGGGGGGATGGAGAGGGGAGAGAGAGATGAGAGAAGGAGAAGGTCAAAGCAACAAACAAACCATGCTCGCACTAAGTGCACATCCTCACCTCATCTCACATCCTCTCTCCTCTCCTCTCCTCTCTCCTCTTCCTCTACTACCCCCTCCCCCCCTCCACCACCACCAGGCATTGCCACACCAACCCTGACCTGCGCCTGCCTCTCACTCGCACCAACACTCCCACCACCCAAAAGCACATCCCCACCTCTTCCAGCAACCCCCCCTCTCCAACCCACCCTTGCCTCCCCCGCCCTGAATCCCTCCACATCCGGCCCATCAAAGCAAACCCCCCACTTCTGCTGCGTCTCAGCGTCTGCCCTCAGCGTCGCTGCCGCCGCCACCGCAACCCCAGATGGGACCGTCGGCCGCCGCCGCGCCGGCTCATCAGGGCTAGCCGCAGCGGCCTCCTCCGCTTCCTGCAGACTCATCTCCACGCCGCCGAGCCCGCCGCCAGCGCCCGTCCCGCACGCTCCAGCACCCCATGCGCTTCCCGCTCCTCCGCTTTTGACCTTCTGGAGCTGCCACCGCTTCTCTGGCACCTCGCGCACTCCCTCTCGCCAGCGGTGCCAGCGCGCCCCTGCCCCGCGCCATATAATGACTGCGGCGTCGCAGCACTGGCTCCAGCTGGTACACGTGTAAATGGCAGCGTTCCAGGCGCCCTGCAGTGGGAGGACTGCCGAGGCCGCGGCGCGAAGGGAGTGGTTGGGCTCGTCGGGATGTACGAGCTGCCATACACGGTTGACTGTCGAGGGGACCTGGGTTGAGTGTTAGCAACCCAATCTCTAATTTTGCTCTGCAGTAAGAAAACGGGAGAAGTGTTGAGGAATGTATGCTACACACCCATACGATAAACATCGAGACAAAAAATATAAACGCAACCTTCGCATAGCTCCACGCCGCATCGCTGGCACACGGCAGCGTTCTGCCACCAGTGAACCCTCCTTCACTACCCCACGTACGCGTACGCCCGAACTGCGGCGGGCCCTCGAGGTCACCCAACAGTTCTGCGGAAAGGAGAGGCGGGAGCGGCGGAGGCTCTCCGGTGCACTCTGCCGCGGGAAGGGGTCTGAGCTGCGTGCTAGAATGTGACGTCGGTATTGCGGTAATGCTCATGCTGGATAGGCTGTTATTACGAGGCGGCTGAAGGCAGGGTGCCGGTGCTGCGGGGTGTAGGCTTCGGCCGCTGCTGAAGGAAGAGGATCGGCGGGATGATGCCGAGGCAGTCGATGCCGATTGCGCCGCAGACACGACGTCGCGCTTCATATCCGCGAGAGCGTAGGCCGCGGGGTCCATACCATGAGGGTGACGGGTGGTGGTGTTCTCGGCACAGGCCCTGGCGGCCTCAGAAGCGGTGGTGGAGATGTTGAACGGATCTGCATTCTTGCGAGCTATGTCACGCAGGGTGCGGCGCTGTTCAAAGATTACCCTGCCAGTGATGAGATAGATGAAGACTGTTGTGAAAATGATGCACCTTATAGGTGTTAGCGCGAGATCCATTTAAATGAATACGTATGTTTGGAGAGGATATACCAGACCGGCCCGTAGAAGAAGGCCATGCGCATCCAGCCCCATCTCTTAGCGACCCAGCACCAGAGCTGCGAGAGTAGGCATTAGCGTCAGCTTTCGCCAGGGACATGTGGGCGCGTACTATTGCGGGACCATATATATCTATACTAGAGGTCTCATCAATAATCAGGTAGACGAGGCTAGGGACGAAGGGGATTCCGTAGCAAATGGCGATGTACCGGTATTCCAGCTTCCGTAGATCGTTGGCGTTGTAGTTGCTATAAGTGTTTAGTAGTGCCAGCAGTTGCAATGATGACAAACTGACTGGAAAAATGTCAAGTAGACATTGATTGCCATGCACATGGTCCACAGCGCGTCTGCCGGCATAAACCTGGGCCGGTGTCAGTAGTTACTGAAGCTCCGGGTGACATATAAACACGCACATCTGGATGAAGAACCCCTGGAATCTGCATAGGGCTATGCTGCCCCCGAGTTCGGGGAAGGAGGTGACGGAGAGGACGGTGGCGATATTGGAGCAGACATTGCCAATGCACGCATAGGCGACCAAGCGGTTGATGGGTTTGCGGAAAGCGGGAAAGGCGGCAAAGGTCAGGAGGATCCAGAAAGTGCCGACTAAAGAGATGGCCGACGTGGTGCGCTCCAACGTCTCTATGTTCCTGTCTTCGCGTGTCAGCTCCACCATCTTGCTACTGAGCCCTTTCGGGCTCCTTGCCAAGCGAGGTGTTTCCGGAACTGTTGGGAAGCTGAACAGACGAGCAGCGCGCTTTAATCGGCAAGAGAGATGAGGTAGGAGCTGGCGGATAGAGCGTAGCACACAGCTAGAGGAAGACAAGAAGCAGCCCAGCTGAGTGTCGATGCGTATGTGTATCGGCGCATGATGAGGATGATGGCTCTCAAAGTTTGTCGATAGCCAATGAAGCGGGGTGGTACCTCCGAAAGAATGGCTTACGAATTAGGGTCCCATCATATGCGCGCCCACTCACAAGCTGACTTTGGTAGACGTCAAGCCACCTGCGCGTACAGCGCCACGACGGCGCGCCCCCCGCGTCACGCCGCTTCGCCATGAGCCGAGAGATGCCCTAACAGCGACATCGCTGAGCACTCCAGCTCCCCGTCTTGAGATCTCATTCTCATCGAGCTCGAATCCATCTCTTTCTTTTTACTAATCAACTGTCAAACACCGACCACCGACTCGGGTCCATCCATCCATCCCCATCCGTGCGCGCATCCTCCGCCATCCGGGACCCCGCGGCTCGAGTCACGGCCTCGCATCGTGTCGCGTCGAGACGACGCGGTTGATCGCTGCGCCGGTGCGAGCGTCGGGCCGTCTGGAAGCGTCGGCTCGGGGTTAATGGACTTCCGCAAAGCTGGCACGTGGCTGGATGCTCATGATCCTGGACAGCATGTGAATGCAAAAAAGTTGATGAATTGAGGTTGGTGAGAATGTGTTGAGAGCTTTCGCAAGGAAGGGTTTGTGTTTGTGTGCGTCCACGTTCGCGAGGAAGACAGTCGCAAACCGAGACAACGTCGTATCTGCCTGCCTCGAGCCTCAACCATGACATTTGCCCGTGCAACTACCGGCACTTAAAAACAAGTGCCGAACCACTCAAATCATTTACACAAGCCCCACTTAGACGGATTCTAGTATACCTGTGCAGGAGTCAGTTTGCATTCGATCACTGCTTTAATCGGTCTATATCCGAGTTCAAGTTCCGAAGAGGAGCTGCCAGCCGATGTTGCAATCGCACTAGGAGTTGCAAATAGCTCAAAGATGCGGTGGTGCGGGAGGCCGTCGGGCACTAGAGGACCGGCGGGTGGCGTGTGCGATTTAGACATGGGACCGAGGGGATGGAGATGTCACTGGGGAGACGGACGGTGGAAAAGAGAGGAGAAGATTTTTACTTAACCTATGATGCTCAATAGGCTCCCTTGAGCGATTGTTACGTCTTGTGACTCAATTAATTGGGCTGTGAAGAAAAGAGAAATTCAATTTGTATGTAAGCAAGTACTTTAATGTGCCCGGGCCGTTCATCCGAAAGTGAGTTTTCAATCTGTCGAAATGCCCAGGATGCCCAAAATGCCCCAGCCCTCACTGTAAGGGCCTGATCTCCGTTCCGTGTACTCAATTTTCCCGTCAAGTCCTCAAGTGCCAACTAGCACAAGGCCACTATCCTCTCCAGTAAAGTTTCCGTTTGGATCCCAATAGCCGAGACACACTTGCTCTGCAGCAGGTCTAGTCGAAAATTCCCCTTACTTCCTTCCAGTTCTTGTGCCATTTCGCACGCTCCTGTTGGTAGGACTTCGTCGCCATCCAGCTGAAATACCAAGTAGGTTCTCCGTGTGAGAGACCTCTGGGGCGGCACTCCAAATCCCACTGTTCATTCTTGTCGTGAAGAAAGTACTTGTAAAGGTCATGATTGTTGTCTTGCGCCGTAAGTTCCATGCAATGAAGGCATAGGCCATCGAAGTAGTCGAGTGTCTTCTGGTGTGATCTTTTCATGTTGCTCTGATTACATGACGCTCGGCATGTCATGCAAGCAGACGTGTCGGGAGTGTATTTAATCTTCTCAAGTCGGTTCAGTACGGTCGCTATACTGGTCGACCGAAAGACTTCTTAAGGGGCCAAACGTTGTGTACGGTCAACGCCTTTTGGCAATCGAAGAGGGTCTTTTCCTTGCACTTGCATGAAGCTTCCTTGAGCAGGGTTCCCATAGGTCTCCAAAGGTCATCAAACAGTACATGTCGAAGACGTCCCTTGGCAGCGTTGACCTGTTCTAATTCAGGTCAGTAAACCAAGAAAAAACGACAAGTTCTGCCAAAGAGACTCACGAATGACGCGTCCGGGGACATGGATGTGACGCTGGCGAGTCGGGTTTTTGTCATGGATGTGACTTGAGACGCTGTAGGCCAGAAACTTGGTTGTAGCACCAAATCCTTCCATGTTCTCGAAGACCCAGAACGGGTACAGGAGCAATGCTGCATGATCCTTGTCGTTGATCTTCTCTGGGCCCTTTTCGTTTCTGGCATACCATTCGGCGAACCAGTCTTTCAGGTCGGACATTACAAACTGACTCAGTTGATACTTGTCCTGTAAGGCCGCAAGGTGCCATATAGTGTCTCTAGGAACGTGATAAACTCTCTCCGGAAATATGGCCTCCTGCAACTTGAGCATCCAGATGTGCCAGGCTTCAGTGGTGATGAAAGTATCCTCATGGGCCTCGAATATGTTGAGCTTAGCTTCGAGATATTTTTTCGACGCGAAGAAGCGCGCGAATGAGTGTGAGTGCGTTATCAACACCATCTTCTTGACTTTGAAGTCCGTAACTTTGATTACCGGAGGTTCTTCGCCTTCAGAATCGTCAAACTCGCTGTCGTACTCATGGACCCTAATCGTGTAATCCGCATCCTGAGCAATCACGATCTCAGACGGCAACGGCTGCCCCGCCGGCGCAGCGAGCAGCGCACTCGCCATGACAGCACCAGGACCGGCTTCTGAGTCCTGGAAGGGCGATCGCAATCGCAGGCGCGAAAGTGAAGTCGCCAACAGCGCAGACTCCAGAAAGCCGCGCCGAGCAAGAGCGTCGTGAGCGAAGTGAAGTGCGTATCCCGCAGCACCACTCGGAGGGTATTCGTGGTGAGCGAGGCCGTGAGGTCGAAGCAGGGTGTAGGGTGGCGCGCAAAGCGCCCCGGCAGCGTGTGGGCGCGGCGCCGGCGACAGTGCTTGAAGCGTGGAGCGGGCAGGCAAGAAGTAGGCCGCGAAGGCAAGAAGATGAGACAAGAGGCGGGCTACCAAAGGCGAGGGCGGCGTTGAAGCAGCCCTGGGCCGAGGGGATGGTGGGTGGTGTGGAGAGAGGAAGAAGAAAGGCAGGGCGAGGACGAGGAAGGCTTTATAGGACTGGCTGGTCTTGACGGGCAGGCGCGACGCGCAGGCAGGAAGGCGCAAACGGCCGGGCGTGGTGAAAGTGAAAGTGCCTTTTCTTTCAGGAAGCTGCGCGGCCGCTGCACAAGCAGACCTGTTGGCAGTACTCACCAAGCGAAGCCTTCACGTCTCTCTCAGACAGATAGACACGCACGTCCAGTCCCGCCGGCTAGCAGATAAACGCATGCTTGATTAGACGCAAGAGCAGCAATGGCAATCGTGTATCTAGTGACCCAAGCCCACAACACCACACCGCACACCCTTTTCAGAAGAAGCCCATCACCAAACAAAACTCCACAACGCCAGCACCCTCCCATGCATGTGCAAACTAGACCGCCCACACCCCCACCCCTCCTAACAAGCCACCCTCCACTATTCCTCCCCTACCCCTCAACCATCTCTCTCTTCAACGCCTTCCCTCCATCCTCACCCAAATGGCCCAGCAAGAAACTGCGCTTAAAATACTCATTCGGATGCAGAATCGTATCCAGCTCCGCAGCACCCCACAGCGCCTCATCCTTGACCCTCTTCAACTGAACGCGATGGCCGTGTTCAAAGACGCGATTACACGCAATATGGTACCTTTGCCTCTTGACATCCTCCCTGACGTCCTTCAGCAGCTCGCGATCGCCGACCCCCACGCTCTGCAGCATGCCGATGAGGTTGTCCGGCGCGAAAGTGCGGTACGGACACCCGTGCGTCTGGCCTGGGCCCGGCAGCGGCTCCGTCGTCAGTTTCTGGCACGAGTAAGGCGTGTAGCCGCGGCCGCGGCGGTTGGCGTCGCCGCCGACGTCGCCGTATGCATGCCGCACGTTGTAGCGGTATTCTTTGTTGAATTTTTCGTCGGTGATGAGCTTGAAGCTGCGGCGCCAGAAGATGAGGCATTCTTCGAGCGAGAGGCCGATGCCTTTCAGGAAGAGCGTGTATTGCAGGCGCCCGAAGTGCTTGAGGTGCGAATTCGCGCGGAGTGTGCGGTGTAGGTGCTGCATGCACAGCGGGAAGTGCTGGCTTAGTGTATCGATGCTGTTGGCCGTCGGGTTCTGCAGGCCTGTGATGCTGCTGTCGGCAGCGTAGGTGGCGTCGGGGGCGTTGAAGTTTTGAGAGAGGTGTGTGAGGATCGGGGAAAGGCGGTCGTCTTCGTCCAGGCGTGGAAGGGCGCGAGAAGTCAGCTAGAAAATGTTAGCAATCTCATCTATAACTTTTCCTCTTTGGTAGCAGCCACTTACCTCCAGCGCATCGTCCATCCGCCTCGTGAATTCCACAATGACCAGACTCATCTGCTCTCGTATCGGCACATACGCCTTTCCTCGTCTGAGCAGCACCCTCCGCTGCTCCACCAGCTCAGGCACCTTCTCCCAGTCAACCTTGAACCAACCCTCGTCCTCTCCCGTCCTCCTCCTGTCTCCACCGCTCGCAGCAGACAATGCGTCGCCAAGCTCTCTCTTCTCTTCCTCACCGACCTTCTCCCACTCACCCCCCATATCAAGAGTATTGACGAAATCGCGCCTCTCGCGCGCATCGTCCTCCTTCCAGCGCAGGCGGAAGAGCATCGTCTCGAGCCGCGCAAAACGGCGGCGCAGGTCTTCGGTGGCGCTGAACGCGAGGCGCAGGATGAAATGGCTGTAGTGGTCCTTCTTACGCTCCTGGTCCAACTGCGAGGACCGGCTCGAGTTGCTGTGCAGCGGGAGGTGTTTCTCGAGGATCGGCGTCATGTACGAAGACGTTTCTTCGGGGCTGCGGTTGCGAAAACTGCAGGCTTCGAGTTCGGCGAGAACTGTAGTTCGAGCAATCAGTACGATGAACGTAGTTCGAGCAATCACCACGATGAACATGGCAGATATCAAAAAAACTCACCCTTCAACCTCGCAATCGCCCACTCCTCAAACTCCTCCAACGTGATCTCCGCCGTGGGAGGCAGGGTATAGAAGTTCAAGCGATGCGTATACTCCTGCTCCCTCCATTTCGCCTGGGCAAACTGTCTTTTCTTATGGTCGAGTTCAGCGCGGCGTTTCGGATCGACGCGAGCGAAAGTCGAGCGCTGCATCTTTGCGTGGTTGTGCGTGCGTGTGTGTGCTGAGCGTGCTTGCGTGGGCAATTTTGTTGTTGCAGTTGGGTCTGTCTGGGGTAGGGTAGGGCGATCTTTGGCGGGCGCGCGCGGCGGGTGACGCGACCGACCGCTGCACGCGTTCGCGTTTCGCTGACTAAATCCCGCGTCTTGTTGGAGGCGCGGTCGATAAATAGTGTCCGCTCTACAAAAAATAAATGTAGCTGGAATAACAGTTTTACAGTAAAATCAATCGCGCCTCGCATGGATCGGACCATTAAGTTACTCGGACAGAAATCTATTCTACGCTCTAGACAGATCTACGTCGCACTCTAACCCATGAGGTCACCCAAGCCGTCCGCGTAGTAAGCGGGAACCACGCCCGTGCCATCACCGGCACCCATGAAATCTTCCTTCTTGCACACGCCCGACAGCACCAGGAGAGTGCCACCCAGCTTGCCCTCAATGCCAAACTGAATATCAGTGTTCAGCCTGTCACCAATCATGCAGGTCCTGCTGCGGTCGAAGTGGAACTTGCCCTCGATCGCGTCCATCATGGCCTGGCTCGGCTTGCCAAGCGCCAGCGGCTGCTTCCCAATGGCCGTCACGAGCGGAGCGCCGACACTGCCCGCGCCAGGGAACAGGCTGCGCGCGTTGGGCAGCGTGCTGTCGGTGTTGGTGGCCAGGAACATGGCGCCGCGGCGGAGGTACTGGAACGCGTGCGCGAGCTTCAGGTAGTTGACGTGGAAGTCAAGGCCGGCAAGCACGATGCCGACGTCGGGGTCCAGAGCGGAACCGTCCGCGAGCGCCGTGAAGTCCTCTGGCTCAATGTCGCGGCGGAGGGCCGAGTCGGTGCCGCCGATGAAGGGCACATTCTCCGTGGCGAGTTCTTGCTCGATGCCAGACTCGCCGAGCACAAACACCTTGTTCTTGGGCGCGGGCAGCTTGAGGATGCGCGAGATGTAGACGGCGGCGCTGTAGGAGGAACCGAAGACTTCTTCCTGTGATCTGAGTCAGCACATAGTAACTTCTTCAGCTCGGCCAGGAGATCGTACCACTTTAGCCGGAATGTTCAGCTTGTCAAACTTCTTCTTGTAGTCCTCGCGCGACTTGGTGCTGTTGTTCGTGACAAAGACCAGCTGCTTGCCTGGCGACGGTAAGCATGGGCCTGCGTAGAGATATGGCAGGGACGGACTGACCTTTGCTCCTCAGCAGCTCCAGAGTCTCGGCGACTTTAGGGAACAGGTGATCGCCAGACCATAGCACGCCTATCCTTCATGTACAATCAGCCTCCGTGTCCGAGTAGATGTCTTTTGTGGTTCGCGCAAGGCATCCGCAGCGCGCGCAAATGCTGGGTAGGGCGGAGGTGCAGAGCGGAAAGGCATACCATCGCAATCGAACAGGAAAGTCTAAAGGCCAGTGTCAGTCGCAGCGCGGGAACTCCGAGAGCATTTGGACTCACGTCGAACTTGTCGAGGAACTCGTTGATGCCAGCGTTGTCGCCGGTGAGGTACTTGGGCTGTGCCATCTTTGGAGAATGTGTTGTTGAGGAGTTGCGCGCTCTGCTGATTGTAGAAGCGTGATAGCGGGATGATGGTGGAGTCAGCCCTGTCAGCGGTGAAGAGTCACCCGCCGCCGCACTCCCGCGGCTTCCGATGACGCACCGAACGTGTCTCGGCGTCCAGCGTGAGGCAAAGCATGGTCTCCCGTAAAGAAGTCCTCTTCGCAGAGATGCACTCGGAAAATTGATGCTGATTGCTTTTGGCGGCATGGTTAAGACGTGCATGCAATGGCTCGGCAAACCCGTCCCGTACTGCATGCATGTTTCGGGAGATGATTGCCATCATGCAGATACCCGGCAAACCGAGCCAAGGATCGCTGAACAGCGTGCAGTCTTGTCTCAAGCACACGGAGCTTCTGTATAAGTATATAGAGGAGGTGCACATGAGAGTGCACAGCCACATGTTTAGGATGTCCGCATCACTGCTGGCATAATGTCTCTAATCCATGAATGCGGCCTTCGTGGCGAGACTGCTCTTCACAAGTATGAAACCCGCTCTCATGATCATATATACTTTCATGTGTCTTGCTTCAGATCTAAGACTTTACGTTTACTATGACTCAAAATTCAATAATATCGAACAACTGACAGCCTATATCTTATAATGTTATACATAGAAATGCGGGTGATCTGCAGGGCGATTGATCCTGAATGCACGCCTCACTACCTGAACGAGTAAGTTGCACCAACGGCAGAGACATGGCCTCTAAAACCGTGTGGCTGACGCCCTTGTTACAGCCAAACGCTGGCCTTGACGTACGCGTTGCAGCGTCGAGGGCATGCAACTTTTATGCAGCATACTGATATTCCAAACCATGACCAATTTTCGTGAAGAACGCAAGACTTGCATATGTAGTGAGTCCTGCGTTTTCGGCATGTGGTGGGAGTGAAGGATACCCTATGAGTTGAATCTGTCTATCCTTACGTTAATCAGTTGGACCAATAATCCAGTGAGTACAGTGGCAGCCGGATATAACGAAGGATATTGCAGATCCGCCATGTCTGATCAGAGTTTGTTAGCCAAAAAGCCTTCCCGCCTGGGGATCTCATGGCGGTGCTTCGAGCACATCTATTGCAAAAAAATCGTTGAAGTGTATCTCACTTCAGCTTACCAGGGCGCAGGGCAGAGGTTTATGGCAAAGCGGCAGGACAATTGCCACTAAGAAAGTTTTCCGGAAGCTGGTGGTACGTGAGATTCCGGGAGCTACTCTAGGGCGTGCATGGAGCTGCGCAAACACCGCGGCTGCGACGGGCTCTAGAACGACGGGAGCCCGAGAATGAGATGAGACGGTGTGAGCATGACACTGGCAAACGAACCACCAAAAGGTCGTACGATACTATCGGGATCAGCAAATCAGCAGCACTTGCTCCTCTGTGGTATACCGAAGCTTTTCTTGTCGATGATCAAACGGGAAGCCAGATCTCAGCTTGTTGGGCGAGATCCCAGTTGAGCGATGGCACATCATCACGAGAGGTGTTCGAGTCACATCTGGTCCAGGGGCGTTGGGGTCCAGAGCAGAGCGTTTGAGACTGTCTGCTGACCGGCCGCATGGTTAAGGTGTCTTCAAACCTTGCATCTCCCGGAACCCCAACCCCTGGTCCCGGAGATTTAGAGGAGTTAGATCCCGCAAGGACCAGTACCACGCTGCAGCTGTACGAGGATCAGCATTGCCATCCAACATGGCGGGGATGCGGAGAAGTGGGGCCTGTCGATTTCAAGACAGAAAGATGTTTTTGGAAGTCCAGTACAAACTATGCTCTTGCTTCAGAAAGCGGCTCTTCTATTCCATGCCTTTAAGTCATCTGCCCCTGTCCACGCATAGCTGAAGTAGGAGTTTGGTGGTTAGCGTAGCAGTGCACCATGAGAGGCAGACATCATCGTAGTGACATAAATATGCAAAGAGCCGAGCAGCTGCGGTGGAGAGCATCGGCTTTCGGATCACATCGATGACGGACGAGAGGTTTGGAGCCATTTGTCATGCCATACAGGCGGCCACAGGCTGTGAAACACGGCCCAAATATCTCAAGACATGAAAAGCAGGCAGATGGAAATGGCTCGGGCTCCAGCAGTGAAGGTGCTCATCGAGGCAGCCACGTTTTTTGAATGAAGCTGGCAAACTCTTCACGTGCCGGTGCAGTTGAGCTATTAATATTGAGCTGACTATTGAACTCAAACAGCTCTAGGCCATAACGAGTCGTGTTTATTGGGCCAGTGCAACGATGACGGCCGGCTTGACATATGTCATGGTGGGACGGTCGTTTGACGCGCAAGACGAGCTGACGGGCGCTCCGGTTAAAACATGTCAGAGGATTTGAAAAGCTTAGACTTCCCAGAGTAGAAAAAGAAGAGGTGGAAAATGGGAGGTTGTTGGTTGTTGGTTGTTTGAGTGGTGGAAGCAGGAGGTGGTGCCGGAGATGGGCCATCGGCTCTCCGCACCGCGCTAGGCTTACTCGGGGCTAGAGCCGTTATGTCTAGGCGACCTCGCAGAGCATCCCTCCAACTACTTTCCACGCGAGACACCACAACACACACGCGAGTTTGATTGTGCATGCAGCGACGGCACTTGGCAGCCAAGCACCGAAGTATCAACGAAGAACGCTGTGCTCCTTTTTGGCTCTGGCCTCGCTCTTCGGCGTAACCGCTGTGTCCCACCGCGCGCCACCATCTATCCCCGGAGTAGGGAATCATCGCTTGCCCGGCCGATCGCTCTCACTCAGCGGCGACGACCTCTCGCTGCTCGGCCTCTCGGACTTCGGACATTAAGCGCCAGGGTTTGCCCACCCGTGTCATGCCTGTCCAGGAGGTGCCCTTGATGCTTGATGTGAGACCCAACGTGGCATGGACAGGCATGCATGTGCCAGGTGAGGCTGTGGCAATGAACAGGTTCATAACTATCCAGCTTCCGGGAGCCGGGCCACGGTCATTGTGACGATACTTATAATACCAGCCAGTCCACCAACGCATAGTCGAACAAGAAACCCCCCGCTTCCATCACCCTTATTTTAGTGCTTCATCTGTTTGGTCAAACCGTTCTTATACCCACCTGCGTCTAAGCTTCTCTACCCATGGCACTACTTACTCTTGTCGTCGTTTTAAGCATCGTCTTCTTTGCTAGTCTCGTCAAGCGTGTCTTTTTCCCGTCCAAGCCTCGAATACCGAAAGGCTTGAAGCCACTCCCGGGACCTAAAGGTTAGTCGCACGTGGCAGCAGACTTTGCTTTTATTTAGCCATTGTTCCGGAAGTTGACGCATGCCAGGCTACCCCGTCCTCGGCTCAGTCCCAGACGTCCCTATACAGAACAGCCACATAAAATTCGCCGAGTGGGGAAAGAAGTACGGACCGATCTATCAGGTCGACCTCGCCGGAAGTAATCATGTATGGATCTCCACAGACGCCGTTGCGCGTGATCTCCTCTCCAGAAAAGGAGCGATATACTCGGATCGCCCGCACATTCCCGCCTTGCTGCATGACAATCGCACAAGCGCAGAGTACCTCCCTCTAATGAGCAAGAACCGTGAGTGAACTAACCAACCCTCTTTCCGTGTCAGGAGCTCACGCGTCGAAGCGCACTGGACGAGACAACGCAAAGTGGCGACGCATATTATGCGTGAGTCGCAGGAGAACCAATTCTACCGCTACCCGGAGCTCGAGTCGATCCGGCTGCTCAAGGAGCTCATGGACGAGCCGTCGGCTTACAACCACGCGCTGGAGTCGTTCATCTCGCGCGTTACGTGCCGCCTGGCATGGGGTCACCCGGAAGCCAGCGACGAGCTGAAGCAGCGGGCGCGCGAGCTGCTCATCAGCGTCTCACCAACGGGGCAGCTAGCGAACAAGCTCCCCTTTGTCATGAGCCTGCCCAGCTGGCTGTCGCCGGCCAAGGCGTGGGAGCTGCGGCGCCAGAAAACGGAGCGCAAGTACTTTGAGCTCATGCAGTCGCAGGTCAAGATGGACATGGCGGAAAAGCGGGCGCCGCCGTCATGGATGCGCACGCTGCAGGAGACGTGGGGCAAATGGGGCTTCACCTACGACCTGGAGGCGGCCTTTTGCGTCGGGATGCACGGCATCGCCGGCGCCCTCACCATCGCCGCGCCAATGCAGAGCTTCTGCCTCGCCATGTGCCACTACCCGCAGTACCTCCCGCTGCTGCACGAGGAGCTGGACCGCGTGTGCGGCGAGCGCATGCCGCGCGCGGAGGACCGGCCGAACCTGCCTGTGCTGCGCGCCTTTATTCGGGAGGTGATGCGCTGGCGCCCACCCGTCCCGACGGGTACGTCTTCCCCCAAATAACTCTAATTCCCTGATCGACGCGCCGCTGACGTAGGTTCGCTACAATAGGCATCCCGCACTGTCTCATCCAGGACGACGAATACATGGGCTACCACATCCCCGCGGGCAGCGTCATACACCCGCTCGAATGGTACGCAGCAAGCAGCGCACTGACCCCTCCCTCCATTCCCGCACACTCACTCACTGACGTCTCCACACAGGGCCATCGCGCGCGACCCCGCCCTCTTCCCGGACCCAGAGGCCTTCAACCCGCTCCGCTGGCTCGAGCCGCAGTACCCCACGTACCGGGAGCCGCTGACCGAGTTCCCGACCATCATCAACAGCACGCAGTTTGGGTACGGGCGGCGGCTGTGCCAGGGGCAGGGGGTGGCGGACGAGGATCTGCTGATTGGGCTTGGGGCGCTGGCATGGCTGTTCGACATCAAGAAGGCAGCGGGGGAGGAGAAGAAGTCGGCGGGCAAAGGGGACGCTAAGGCCGGGACGGAGAAGGGCGTGCCGACCGACGACGACGACGATGCTAAGCGCTACGACAGCGCGCACTCGGACAGCGAAGACGCGGACGCAGACGCCGACGCAAAAGCGCGCCCCCGCCGCAGCGGCAGGTCCAAGACCAGCACCAGCGCCTCCTCCCCCTCCACCAACCCCACCACCACCGCCCCCTCAGACCCCACCCTCAACTTCTCGCACCTGCTAATCGCGAAGCCTTTGCCATTCACGTTCGCCCTCTCCGTCCGAGCCGAGAAGCAGCACCGCGCGGCGCTGGTGCAGGAGCTGTATGCGGCGCAGTGCGCGCGCGGCGAGTTTGCGCCCGGGAAGCGGTTTTGGGGCGAGAGGGATGGGGAGGGCCAGGAGTTTGGGTGGGTGGTGACGAGTGGGGCGCGGGTGCTTGTTGGGTCGTGATTTTGAGGGGTTGGGGGTGGTCTTTTTGTATGGCTTTTGCTTTTTCTTGGGGGGGGTGTTGGTTTGGTTGGTTGCTTAGTGTGGTGGTGTGTGGGTATAGAGTATCTTTTTGGCAGTGCTCTCGAGTTTCAACAGCTCAAACCCAAATACAGTTCACACTGAACGAGAAAATGAGTAAACGATGAGAGTCATAAATCATACATCATTTACCTCGTTATACTACCTAACTGTGGGTATATCATATCATATCATGAAGCCTTTGCCTTTACCTTGCCATGCCATGCCATGCCATTCATAACCATCCTTCCCAATCCCATTTAGTCCGTGTCCGTGTCCGTAACCATCCCAACCATAAAACCATCCGTTCAGTTCAGATACCGTCATAATAACACCACCGCCACCCCTTCTTAGCATATCCAACACCATCCTCCTGCCTTGACCCCCAAACCCCCAACACCCACCACCAAATCCTCAGCACACTCTCCGCCCCAGCGCCACAGCTCACCACCACCACCACCACCACCACCACCAACACAAACCAACACGAGACGACACAGCCGCGCTCGCCCTCACCACGACCCCCCATCCCATCCCATCGCATCGCGTCCGCGTCTGTGCCTGTGTCTGTGCCTGTGCCTGTGCCTGTGCCTGTGCCTGTGCCTGTGCCTGTGCCTGTTTCACATCCACACCCACACCCACGCACAACCCCTGCAGCAACTCACCCCACCACGGGCACCTTACCCCAGCCCCCCACAGCCTCGGCCGACATCCCCGACCCTCCCGAGACGAGACGCCCGAGACGGCCGACCCCATGACCCAACACCCATGATCCCTGTCAGAAGCCCGCAACACTCGGGCGGAGGACCTGCCGTTTCGGTCCTGTTGCCGTACGTGCAGATGCAGGCAGGGTAGTGTGATTGGTGGGCGTTGCTAGCTAGCTGCCTGCAGCTAGGCTGAGACAGGCAGGATAGGATGGCGGTTGCTGTGGCCCTCGCGTTCGCGCGTCTGCTCGGGTCCATGTTCGGGTGCGCGCTCGTTCGTTCGTACGATCGGGTCGGGTCGGGTTGGGTTGGGTCGGTGGTCGCGCTCGCGCTGTCACTCTCGCTCCGGCTCTTTGGCTCTGGCTCGGGCTCTGGCTCTGGCTGGGTCTGGCTCGCGCTCGTAGTTGCTCGCTCCGGCTCGCTCACCCTTGCACACGCCTACCACGACCACCGCGCCTCACTGCTCTCCCTCTCACTCGCACTCGCACAACTCTCCTTCCTGCCCCCAGGCAGGACATCGACGCCCTCCCCCCTCTTCACCAGCACGACCCTCACGCGGCCCAGACTCGCCTTGCGGGGACTCCTGGCTCTAAAAATCTCGGCCAACTCCTCGAGGGTCCTCCTCTTCGTCTCGACATAGCCGGCCCACACGACGGCGAGCACCAGCGCGTCCCACGCGACGAACACGACGTAGTAGCGCCAGCCGATCTTCGTAACCGCCACGCCCGTCGCGAACGTGTTGTAGAAGTTTGCCAGGTTGACGAGCGCGTTGTACGCGCCCATGCCCTTGGCGCGGCTCTCGTAGCGGAGGCACTCGACGGGGTAGAGGGCCTGCAGCGGGGTCCAGCCGGCCGAGTAGACGAGGCCGAAGGCGAAGATGAGGACGATGACGGCGCGGGAGTGGGAGGGGCGCAGCGTCTTGGGCGTGCCGTCGGCGTGGAGGAGGGGCGCGTTGGTGCTGGGGTCGAGGAGAGGTGGGTTGGTTGCGTGCAGTGCGAGGATGCCCGCGAAGAGGAGCATGATCACGAAGGTGCTGGTTAGTAGCTGCTTGCGCCGGCCCCAGCGGTCCGTGAAGGTTGCGCCGATGAGGGCGCCGGACAGCGAGACGAGCACTTGGCACCCGTTCAGCAGGAGGCGCGTGTGGTTGTTGGTTATGCCGGCGCTTTGGAGCACGAGCGGGTAGTAGTACGAGATGGGGCCGTTGCCGACCCACTACGGAAGAAGTGTTAGCTGCGGGTGCAAGAAGAAGGAGGAATGGAGGGAGTGAGTGAGGGAGGGGAGGCATACCTGGCTGAAAAACGCAAACGTAACCACGATGAACGACCGGTACCGCACCTCGGCGCTATTGACCAGCTCGCGGTAGTCCCACCAGCGCTTATCAGCGCCCGTGACGGAGATATCCTCAACCATCTCGCGGTACTCGAGCTGAACGATAGGGCTCTCGCGGTCGCCCTCGCCATGATACTTCGCCATGACAGAGAGGGCCTCCTCATGGCGATCATTCGCGATAAGCCAGCGCGGGGTCTCGGGCAAAAACGGGCTACCGAACAGGACGACGCAAGCAAAGACGAGCTGCAGCCAGGTCGGGACGCGCCAGGCGGCGGTACCGTGCAGCTCGCTGGTGCCGTACGGCACGAACGAGCCCGGCAGCGCGCCGACGTACCAGAACGCGTTGTAGAGGCCGGTCAGCGGGCCGCGGTAGACCGGATGCGCCATTTCGGAGACGTAGGCGGGGCCGGCCGAGGCGCAGATGCTGACGCCGAAGCCGAGCACGAAGCGGCCGCCCATGAAGGCCGCGAGGCTGGTGCTTGTGGCCTGCACGACTGTGCCCAGCACGATCAGCAACGCCCCGCTGAACATGCCCCATTTGCGGCCGTAGGCGTCGGTGGCGGGCCCTGCCGCGAAGCTGCCTGCCAGGTTGCCGATCTGGTAGATCGCGTACACGATGCCCGTTGTGGGGGTGCCTTTGACGGGGTCGAAGCCAAAGTAGCTCCGGTACTGCGGGTACGAGTTTATGGCGGCCATGAGGCTGCCGTCGTAGCCGTTGATGCAGCTGTTGGTTGTTGCGACGAGGAGGCAGAGGTAGAGCTGGGGGTGAGGGAGGAGCGTTAGCTGCGCCGGCTATGAAGGAAAGACATGGGTGGATGGGATTCGAAACAAACAGTAGGTATCTCATATTGCGCGGTGAGTGATGCCCTCCAGACAGACAGACAGACAGTGAGGGAGACGCCAATGCAGGGCAGGGAAGGCATAGGTACGGAAAAGCAAAAAAACAGGCTCGACACGCTCGCGCTCGCGCTCACCTTGAACATGCGCCACGTCCAGAGCGACGGCTTCCCGCGCGCCGCCGCCGACGCAAGTGCCACGTTCTCAACGCTCAGCGTCTCGCAGACGGGGTCCGTGGCATTGACGCTCCAGCCGCAATCGCTGTCGGCGACCGAGCTGGCGGCTTCGGAACGGCGGGCCATTGTGTTTGGCGCGCAGCTAGGTACCTAGGTAACTGCTGGACAATTGCAAGCGTACAATCGCAAGCGCGGCTCCCTGCCAGCAGGAGCGAGCGGTGGGTGGGGACGGCGGACAGCGGACAGCGGACAGCGGGCCTGCGTGCTCCGTAGGTAGGTACCTGGTAGTGGCGAGAGACGGAAGAAGATGACGACGGCGCTGGGGGTAGATGGTCGATAAATGAGAGAGGGCCGTGCGGATGCGCTGCCCTGCGCTGCGAGGCGATACGATACGATGCTGCGAAGCGACGCGAGGCGAGGCGCTCGCCCGCCCTGCGGGTATGTTGGATATATAAAGCTCGGAGCTCAAGCCAGCCACCGGGAGGCGAGACCGACAGGCAATTGCGAAGGCGTAGGCGCAAAAAGAACACCAGTAGTAGCAGCAGCAGCAGCAGGAAGAAAGCAAGCAAAGCAAGCCGAAGGTATGAGTGTGTGTGGAGGTCAGCAGGCCAGCCACACTCATTTAATCAATCGAGCAATCAAACAAACAATCAAAGGCGGAATCGAAAAAACAATCGAGAGCCCAGCTCGTCGTCAGGCGCAAGACTTGGACTTGTCGTGCGAGAGCGGGAGAAAAGAGCAGCAACAGCAGCAGCACAAACACAAAAAGAAAAGGAAAGGAAAGGAAAGGAAAGGAAAGGAAAGCCAAAATAGCCCTACGGGTACACAGCCAGTCAGCCCAACAGCGTGCAATTCCAACTCCCAATCCCACTCCCACTCCCACAGACACGCAGTGGCACAGCACCAACCGCCCCAAAAACTCCCGCACCGCAGGGCAGCGCACCGCATTCCCGGCGCGCCGGAAATGACACCCCACCCCCAACCCATCCTCATGCATACGGCATACATGACTAGGCAATCCGTACAGTAGTTACATACGCACGAGGCCATTTGGCCCCCCCGGCACCGGCACCCAGCCTGCAGGGTATGGATTATGTACGGTAGGGGAGTTAATTTGCGCCCACGCGCCGGCGGGCCTGGAGCTCGGCTGGGCCGCGCCGAGCAGCACGGCGGGGAGGGTTGGAGGAACACTACAGTACCTACGCCTAGTCACTGGCGGTGCTGACCGGCGCGGGTGACAGAAGTGGACGCGGCTGCGTGCGTGCGTGCGGTGCGTGGGGGAGCGAGCGAGCGAGGACGGCCCGACGGAGGACCAGGTATGGGTATGTATGTATGTGCGAGACAGGCAGGACGGTCGTGAGTGGTTGTTTTGTTGGTGGGCCGTGGACCGTGGACGCAACGCAAGCGGGGAAACGCACGCACGCAGCACACCCTGCAGCGTGCGTGCGTGATGCGATGCGGCGCGGGTGCGACCCGGCGAGATGAGACGACTTCACAACCTACACACCTACTCACGCCCGACTTAGGGCGGTACTTGGTAATCTCGCGCTGCACTCTCTAGGTGCTTCATCTGTTTTCTTCTCCCCCGATGGATGGTGCCGCTTTCAAAAGGAAGAGAACCACCGCCAGCACCACCACCACCACCACCAGTCGTGCAACCCGCCCCAAACACGCGACGCAGCCCTCACGAGCAGCTAGCTGTAGACGGCCAGAACGAGAAACAACCAGGCACCCTATGTAACGGCCCTAATGGCGTCCAGCCCAGCCCAACGCCAACGTCCATTGGTCGCACCGGCGGCTCTTGCTACTGTACCGGTGCGGGCCGTGGTGCTGGGTGGTGCGCTGCGTATGTATAACCCGTAGATATCTCCGAACGCGCAGACGGGAGTCACTGGTCGTGGTGCGACTGATCAACTAACTGTATGCCTGTGGTTTTCTAACCGTCTGTCTGCCTGTCTGACTGGTTGGTTGGTTGGTTGGCTGGCGGTGATCAGCGCGATGAGACGAGATGCGCAAAACTGGCGGTACCTAGTGATGGAGGTGGTGGAGCGGGTGCCGGGCCGTCGAGCCCGCGGGGCGGGAACGGAGGAAGCGTGGAGTCAGGGAGTGGGAAAAAGCAGGCGGGCACGCGACGGCGATCTACTCGATACCTACAAAATAGTATGTATATGGGACTATCTGCTTTCGTGGTATATAGCATTTTCTCTTTTAGTCCCCGGGTATCCATCCATCTATCCGCCCATCCCGGCCTCCGCAGCAGCACCCTTCATCTGCACCAACAACCACAACCACAATCACTCACACCCAAACCCTCCACACAAACCCTCCACCCTCCGCCTACATCCCACCTACTACTATCGCATAACTCCCCAAACCCAGCCTCAACCCCGACCCCGGCACGCACCCGAAACACCTCCCTACATAACCGCGCGGGACGTCTCATTTCCCGGCCGCTCCGAGGCATGTACATGCATGCATGTGCGTGTGTGTAACCACTCCTATGTAACGATGTATGCAATTATAGCCGCGCCCAATCGGAGTTTTCTTTGGGGGGTATTGTTTTGAAAGAGTGCTGGTGGTGGGTGGTTAATTTGCGGAAGGTAAATAGGTGCTGCGTGCTTAAGGGAAGAATGGAAAGACTAGAATCGGAATCGCGCGTGGACTTCACCCGCCCACTAGAGAAAACCTAGCCTAACCACACAACCACACAACCCCTTCCCCGCCAAGTACGTGGTAGAGCAGACACAGCCAGGCCAAGCTGCTAAGCGCGCGAGCGGCAGAACTGCTAAACTGCTATATGATGAGCGTGCGGGGTAAGTTCCCCTACTCCAAATAAATAGATAAATAAATAAACAAATAAACAAGGGAGTGGGTAGCATCGTAGAGATGGATACTACATAACTACCACACAAGCAGGGAAGCTGCGCGGAGCGCGTCTACCTACTTGGCTGTGTGGTATGGTGTTTACTCCGTACTCCGTTGACGTGCGAGCACGTATGGTTGCTTCTTTTGTAGAATGGAGAGGGTGTGCCGATTTTGCGTATGTCGCCGCGGCTGTTTAGGTGGTAACTAACTATGGGATAAGGCGGGAAAGCTACTGCTGTTACTTGAGGCAAGGCGGACAGACTCCTCTGCCCGGCAGAGATGTACGGGATTGGATTTCCTAGATATTTTAAGTTGTACTATTCGGCGATGACCTTGCACGAACGGATAATCCGTACCTTCTCGGATTCTAACGAGCCGAACACGGACAAGGACTCCGTAGGAAGCGGTCAACATTACCGACGGGTGAACACAGGCTACGAGATCGCGCAGTCCATACACTCCGAATTACCTACGCATGCTCCAAACGGTAATAGTAACGGTGATAGTAATAACGACATCCACCACCCATCACGGCCGCTAAAGCACACCGGTGGCGCTCAGTGCTGCATACCGACCCCAGCCCCAACCTATGGCTTTAACCACTGCGCACTCCACTACGCACTACACTTAGTAGACAGATCCTTCATACACAAGCAGCAGTGGCATCAAGTACGAGAGAGTGAGAACGCCCCGACCATGTCGTCGGTATATTTGTTGTCGTCTTGAAGAATCGCCATCATAGTCCGGCCTGAAGTCTGCAGTGAGACTGTAGTGGATGTATGATAAAGACGGGGTGGTATATATACCGGATATCATTATCAGTAATGGACAGGTCGTGCTGCGGCATTCGTGCCCAAGACCCCGCTATTCGTCCACGCCAGGCCGCATTTCTCGTCCACTCACCCACCCCCACCCCTACCACCACCACCACCGCGGACATCATCACGGCAGCACGGTCCGGGCGTACTTTGGTATTACCCGGCCTACCTACACTCTCGTCCACCCATTCGTCCGCCTCACACACACACACACACAAACCCCACTACACCTCCCACATCTCCCGCTCCCGCCAACCACACACTCACCAACCCACAGCAACAGCAAGCACTTCCTTCAAAATTCAACCCAACCCAATCCAATTCAAGAATTCAATTGAATGCATATCATAACATCATCATAAGCTTTATCCGTTCTACCAGCCCGGGTATACACAGGTAACCAGCACCATCCACACGACCATTAATCAACCCCCTCGCCACACAACACCACCGGACACACACACTCCGACCCCTCCGTCCGTCCCGTCCATCCAAACCAAACCCGCCAGTTAGTCGGTCATGCACCGCCTCTATCGCGCTCGTTGCTCCACAAACAGACACAAAGCCTAAGAAAAGACAAGAAATATCCACCAGGAACCCTCCCTTTCCTTCCTAACGCAGCAGCGCAGCCCTACCAGCTCATCCATGCACATACATGCACATCCTGTCTTTTTCTTTTCCCTCTTCTTTGCGAATTCTTCGTACTCTCTCTTCGTCGAACCACAAGCACTGCCGTTGGCTTCGTGTATATATATATGTATATATATATATATGTGTGTGTGTGCATGTCATAGTCATCGCAGTCGTATAGCGAGTTCTTTTTCGTCTTGCGTCTTGCGTCTTGGCTCTTGTGTAAGCGTCGTCGTCGTGAAGCCAGCCAGCCAGTCAGTCAGGCAAGCAAGCCAGCCAGCGCAGAAGCAAGCACAAAGAGTCGTAGGCCCCGCCCATCTCTTCCCGTCCCTTCCATCTCAATCTCAACGCATCTCCATCCCCATCCACAGACAAAGCGAGTCTCGCGCACTCGGCGCGTATGTACGTCTGTAGCAAGCCAATCCAAACAAGCAAGCAAATGCAAAACAACAAAAAAAAAAAAAAAAAAAAAAAAAAAAAAAAAAAAAAAAAAAAAAAAAAAAAAAAAAAAAAAAAAAAAAAAAAAAAACAGAGATAGCCGCCCGTCCCGCCGCGCTATGCAAATGAGACCCAGACTCAAAACCAAAAGAAAGCAAAGAGACCCGAGACCGGCTCGAAGCGGCTCGTGGGAAATGACCAGAAAAACCAACCAGACAAAACGAGCAAACAAGCAAGCAAGCAAACAAACAACAATGAGGCCGTGACCAGACGTGACGTGACGTGACGTGACGTGACGTGACGTGAAGCAATGCGAAAGGAAGAAACGAGATGGGAAAGCCAAGCAAGCAAACAAACAAACAAACCTACCAGCGGCCGTGACAGTCATCATGACATCGCGCAAAAGCAAAGAAAGAAGAAGAAACAGAAGAAAAAGAAACAGAAGAAGAACCATGAGCCATGAAACATGAACCATGACCCCCTAAAAACGACAAAAAACAACAAAACCGAAAAAAACCCTCACACACTGACCGTCCGCCTCCTCACGACCGCCGGCTTCTGCGCATAGCACACCAGCAGCCGAAAACTCGTCTGGCGCCGCTCGCACTCGCGCAACAACGCGCCATCAGCCCAGATGCTGGGCGCGCCGTCGAGCACCATGCTCTCGTAGCAGCGGCTGTACCACCAGCGGCCCACGCGCGCCACCATCTTCGCGATGCCTTCGCCGTCTGCGTCGGCGTCGATGCTGGCACCGGCACTGACATTAACACCAGCATCAGTACTAGCACCGGCACCAGTACCAGTACCGGTACCGGCGCCTGCTACACCGGCTACGCCTGCGGCACCCAGATCGCGCGACCGCGCGACGCGCCCCGCAACCGGCACGCCAACAACGCAGGTCTTGACGCCCTCGAAGCCGCGGCGCCCCACAAGGCGGACCAGGGAATCGCTCATGGGGGCCAACGCAACAGCAGCATCACGGCCCTGCATGCGGAGCTTAAGGCCGCGCACCGCACGTCTCGCCCTATTGCCCATGCCCATGAGGTCGAGGTCGAGGACACTGACCTCGAGGAAGCCGCCGGGGCGGAGTACGCGCTTGCACTCAGCGACGGTGGCGAGGTGGACGGCGTCGGAGGCGGCGAGCGGGTAGCGCAGGACCGCTGCGGCGAAGAAGCCGCGCGGGAATGGGAACGGCGCGCCGCTGCCCGGCGTGTAGGTTATGTGGCGCAGGTTTGCCGGCGCGCGCGGCATGCCGCCGCTGGCGGTGGCGCTGGGGCTGGATGGTGAAGTTGGGCTGGCCGCGGGGCCGAGGTAGTACACGCTTGCGGAGGGGTAGGTGAGCGCGCAGTAGTAGGACCAGTCTGTGGCGGGGTGTCAGTGTTGTTTTACTCTCAAACGGTATGTGTGATTGAAGGTGTGTGTGTATGGATGGGAGATGTAAGTACTCACCCTTTCCCAGCCCATCGATGATGAGCACGCGGTCCTCGGCCGGGTTTTTGAGCTCCGCGTGCGCGGGGCTGAACAAGACGCGCCCGAAGCTCAGCCATTTACTCGTCATCAGCGCGCCGAATCTCAGATTCGCCATTGACGAAAATCCATCGCTGTAATGCTCGGCCAACTCCATTAGCTGTGCGTCCTGAAACGGGTGGTTGTGGTTGTGGTGGCCCTTCGGCTGCGTGCTCTCGGTCCCTGCGGCTGCGGCAGGCTGGAAATTCGCCCGAGGAGACGTCGGCCGTGCGGCACATGATAGTGGTGGGCCCATAGCAGAAAGGAAGCTCAACTTGCCTGTCTGAGGATCGAAAAAGCTGTAGCCTCGTCCGTCGTCAGAAAGCCGCACGGGCTTCGACTCGGAGGCTGCTGGTGCGGCCAAGGTCGCGGCGAAGCGAGACTGGCGCATGTGCTGCGTGGCGGCGTTTGGTCGTCTGGTGGGTTGTCCAGCCTGAGAGCGAGATGCCATTTGCTGCTCCAAAGGCGCCATTTTCGCCTGGGGCACAACAGTGTTCTTCTTCCCGGTTTGCTCGGGAGAAGACAGCACGTCGTCAATGAGGTCGTCATACTCGTTCCAGACTTCGTCCTCCTGAGCCGGAGCATCAGGTGCGGGAATAACAGCCGTAGAAGGCTGGAAGCTGCCACCGGAGCTGCTGGTACAAGAGAGCTCAGAGTACTTGCGCGAAGGGAATGCGAAGAACTCATGAGCCAAATGGCTTCCTTCGCCTGGCGTAGTGACAGGCGACATGTACAACGACTGCGGAGGGCCCTCGATTTCAGCGTTCAGGTCCTCCGATGAGTGAGTAAAGGGCATCGGGGGAATTTCCTGTGGAACCTGGGGAACCTTGGCAACAGGAGAAGGCCTAGTAGGAGCAAACGGCCTTGAAAACGATTGTTGGGATGGCTTCTGCTCGCGATCTCTCCTCGAGACCACCTGCGGGATGCGGCCAACCTGAGGAAGACGGCTTGGCCTTGACCGCGGCGGAGATACCACGGGAGCCTCTTGGGCAGGAGGTGCGCTCGCAGGGGGCTGGACACGAGCCTCACGTCGGGCATCAGGAATAGAAACCGGAACAGGTCCACGCGTCGGCCTCACGGGGTCTGGCTTGATGCCAGCATCGTCCGTAGCAGAAGACTCGGTACGGCGCAGGAGGACCTTTGGCGAGGCTGGCCGAGGGATTTGTTCGTACGGACGCTGGAAAAGCGGAGGTGATGGCAGCAGAATGGATTCCTGGTGCTGGCTTCTGAAACTGTCGCCACGGGCTGGAGCAGGGCGCAGACTTGGCTGCGAGACATCGTTCCGAGTCGCCTCCCGCATCAGCATCTCCAACTCGTCCATGTCGATACCGTGAGCGTCTTCTATGGCGTAATGAGGGGCTGATTTTTGTTCGTGTTGCGACTCCGGCTCTGCTCTGGGTGCCGAGTGAGCACGTTGGAAGAAGTTCCATTTCTTTGGCGTTTTGAGATGGCTTTCCTTCTCTTTTTTCTTCTCCTCTTTCGAGACGCCTCCAATGTTGGCGTTCGCAGAACCATCACGACGCGTTGCGAATTTTAACGACAGTTTAGAATCACTGCTGCCATTCCGACGGTGCTTCTTAGCACCGAACGTCATGCCGTTCCCGGTGTTTGACATTGCTGAGGGAAGCAACGTCGGCTCGCTGCGATCAACACTGATTTTTGGTTTCACTTCCACTGAAGCTTCCGAAGCATTGCTGGCTTGACGCATGCCCATTGTAGGACGCGCAGTAACAAGGCTTGTCTCGCTGCGAGCATTGTCTGCTGCAATCGGAGTAACGCTGCCTTCACCTCGCAACACCACTGGGGTAAGTCTGTCTTTGAAAAAGGGGTCCATCTCTGGTTCGCTTTTGTTGCCAAAGCTTCCTTTCCGAATGGCAGAGGGACGGGTTGAACTGTTGCTGGTCACGCTATCGGCGCTCGGTGACCGCCCATAGCTGCCACCGATGCTTGCAATGCTACCATACCGTCCTCTACCGATGCCGTATCTACCATAACCTTCGTGTCCTGTGCCTGCCGCAGGACCTCTGCGTGGCTTCTTCTCCTTAATGTTTGCACCATCGGTCTCCGTCTTGCGGCGAGTGAAAAGACCGAAACGAGAGGTTTTGCTTGGGCTCGGGGGAACAGACGAAACCTTGGATCTGCCCTCTGCATCGCTATGTTGATCCGGAGTCGTGCCTCGGGCAGTGGTGATGACGGTTGATACCGGGGAAAACGATGATCCCATTCCAGGATGGGCGGTGCTGGTGAACGAAGTCTTCCTCGAATGACTTCCTTGGGCAGACCCGAAAGGAGACCCGACTGCTCTCGAAGAAGTGGAAGAACCCTGGCGTCTGTGGCGAGTGGTAGGCAAACTTGTGAGGTTGCTTTGAATTACAGGAGATGGATCCTGTGTTCCAGAAAGATCCGGCGTGCCTTCGCGGCTCGGTCTGGTCGGCTTCGGGGGCTTTGCAAGCGGTTGGGCATTTGCCAAGTGGGCCAGCTCTGGAGGTGGGTACACCGGCGCTTCCCGTACAGATTGTATGGATATCCTGGTCTGGACAGTGATACGAGGCGAACGATCAGCCGCGGACGGTCCTTGTGCTATAGGAGCTCCGATTTTACAAACCTTCTGCTGTACTCTGCCCTCTGCCCCTCTGACCGTCGAGCCAGACGAAGAAGAAGTTCCGGATTGAAGACCTCCAGTAACTGGTGTGATTTCATCGGTTTTGCGTCGTGCGACCGAGGGCCTTATCCTCGTAGGACTGCTTTGTCTGGCTCTGGGACCGAGCTTTGAAGGAAATACAATGCCAGGGGAATGAGAGGACATGGAGGTGGGCGAAGAGGTGTGGCTAAAGCGACCGGGCGACTCAGAATATCTCGTGGATGGACTTGCAGACATTGCGTACATGGGCGTTGGCGGCGGCAGGTCTTCGGTGAGCAACTGGTGAGGCAACATGGCCTCCTCGCGAGCCATTGCAGAGGCAAGTGGAGGAAGAGCAATACCCAAAACTGAATCCGAGCATTGTTCGTCCGAGGTGTTGGCCATTGACTTGGGCTTGAAGGAAAGCTCGGTGCGAGCGCGCAGCGCTGGCTTGCCGATGGACAAAGGCTTTCTTCTCAAAAAAGCCGATCTGGGGCTGTCGACGGTGGATGCGGAGGAACCCGAAACCAGGGAAGGCGTGCGCGTGTTCGCTGCATCGAAACGTGGAGGCCGAGGTATGGTGGGGTGGGGGAGCGGCCCACTAGGATTTTCGTGGCGCGGCGCACCATTACCCGGACTTCTGGAAGATGCAACCCTGATGTTCGTACTTGGGGTTTTCGTCTGCTCGGGGGTCCTTTTGAGTAGCCTAGTTACTGAGGGACGGCGGTCACTGCTAGATGAAGTCGGGGGTGCCGACCTCGTGGGTAGCCGGCTTGGGACGGTACGAGGGGATTGCTGGTCGGAAGCTTGCTGCTGCGACAGAGCAAGGTTGGATCTGTAGAATGATGCCATTTCGGAGGCCTGCCTCAAGCGGTAATACCGGAAAGGTCAAAAGCAAGGCTGCAGAGGCTATCTTCCGATGGTGGCGCAGCGCATGAAAGCATGTGCGTGTCTGTCGTGTTATCTGCCACGCCCGACATGTAAGCAAATGGACGTATACAGATGGCAGGGTAACGCGAGAATGACAATCTGGCGTTGCATGCTGACATGAGGGGTGATCTCCACCTACAACCAGGGTAGGACAAGGGACGAAAGAGGGGTAGCATACCTGAGCATATGGGTTCCAAGTTCCTAAAATTAGTGCCAGGACGTCGACCTTGGACCCGTCTTGTAGCAACAGGGACCCCACGTTTCTTGAAGGAAGGATGTCGCCTTTTGCTGCTGAACCGCCACCGGTCCCGCCGAACGATGGACATGCACGATCTGTGGCTCAGCCGACCCGCTTTGACTCGTGGGATGCTAAGTTTGGGCACACGATTCACGCCGGGAACAACGTGGAGAAGGTGGTCGAAGCGTAACCGCGAGGAAGGTGGCGGGCGACGGCGAGGGGTGGTTGGGTATATAGTACATAGTCAAAGGAAAGATCCGCATGATGGACTGTGCCTCGGGCGCTTGAGACGTGAGGATGAGCAAGTGAGAAGCGGCAGACGGACAAGAGCGAGACGAATCGCAGCGGTGGAGCAGGCGAGACGCGTCTATGCGCAATGGCGTTGAGCATTATTCGTCACCTTGACCTCCTCCCCTTCACAAACGGCTTCTGCAGGTTCTGTGCAAGCGAGGCGGGAGCCGATCTAGTTGCCCGCCACTTCTCGGGCCAATTCGATTGGAGCGGCGGACGTCATAGGTCAAACAGGTCGGCGCTCCCGAGCCACGCGCAAATCGGGCGGCTCTGTGCTCGTGGCTGTGTAGCCACCGCCACTTTGACAACTCATCGACTGCGACGACTGCGGCAGGCGACAAAGAGTCACGGTGAAACCTTCTCTCGCCATCGTAGGTCTGCTCGCTGATGAGCTGTCTCTAGCACCTCATCCAAAGTGTGGAAACGAGGCGGGTATGCGGGAAGGCCGGGAAGCCCGCTCGCCGACCAAAGTTTGAGGCTTGCACTATTGCGCCGTGCGGATGTGCGCCGCACCCCCGCCTCGCCCTGTGATTGGACCCAGAAGTTTTGGCTATGTGACTTAGCCCGCATAGCTCGTTGGTCATGTGACTCGTTGAGGGTGTGCCGTTGGCCATTCACAGGCCAAAGATGCCTTTTTGCGCCCTCACTCGTCGCGCGTAGCTACGCTTGTTGCGCGTCAAGTCCATAATCGCGCAAGGTACATCCTGCCCAACGTCTTCTGCCACGCTGCCTCCCGTCCGCCTCCCCGCCGTCCGTCTCCACTGCATTCGTGGGCGTGAGGACCCTTATTTTGCTAGGAGGGCGCTTATTTGATAGTGATCCTCGGAGCGTCCCGCACCAAACGAAGGTGGAGAAGGCCTTTATTTCCGAGATGGGGAATGTTAGATGGTGGTGGGGATGCTGCAGGTAGGTCGAGCGTTCGGTCACACCGCGTGAATGTGATAGGATCTACGGCCCCTCTTGTAGTAATTATGAATTATGTGATGGGGCACCGGGGATCAATAGAACGCAAGATCGGATGCATTGTGCGATGGGGAAGCCGGTTGGTCTAGACCTAGCCTTTGCTCTTATGAATCCTCCGCCACCATCGGGGCAAAAAAGGAAAGATACCCGGGAATGCAACCCAGAGTAGTTTAGACAGCAGGTACCTTGGTCGACTATCTCACAGCCATCGTCGTCAATCTGATGAGGATGATCGGCCGGCTACCGGACCGCGAACCTGCCAGGCGGAGGGGCCGGAGTCGGACATTATTGTAAGATCTTCGCTTCAAAACAATAAACGTTTGCTGCGTTGGCAGTTGGGCGGCACGCTTCAAGCGGAGAGTCGATTTTTTTTTCTCTCCTGTGACAGATCGCCGTTCAGAGCCCGACGAGGTCGGCCATATGGCGAGACCTTTGGATATTGTCATTTCGGCATCCCCGATAATTATGGAGAATGGGATTGATGAGAACAAAGAGTGAGGTGGCGGTCCTGGATAATATGTAAAGAGGGGGGTCACAGAGTCAAACAAAGGGCAAACGAACGAGCGAGGAGCAAGCGGCGTTCGGGAAACCTGATTGAGGTAACCGAGAACCACCATTTGTAGCTGCAGCTGTACGGAGTAGCTGCAGCTGTACGGAGTAGCTGTAAGCCAGTAGTGTGGTGGTGACAGGCTCAGAGCAAAGGAATTTCACACCAGTGTGGTTGGTCGTCACGTGCAGGGCTTTGCCAAGCAGGCGTCATGCCGCCCCTGCCCGCGCCAGGAACAAGCTGAACTGCCCCGAGCTCTGCGTCGCAGCCGCGCTCTCTCTCTCTTTCCTCTCTTCACTCCGCTTTCAACCCAAAATTTCATTGTCCCATTTTCGCTTCGGCGCTCCCCATCGCCCATGTTAGTCGCTATTTCATAAAATCCTGCCTCTCGTGCACCTTGTCCATCTTTGCGAAAACTACAAGCTGATCAACGCGTCGCGCCAGCCTCATCGCCCTCAGACCTCTCACATCAACCCGATCCTCTGCTGATCCCCACACCAACACGATGAGCGACTACGCCAAGATGAAGAACGCCGAGCTCGAGGCTCTCCTCAAGCAGCGCAACCTCCCCCACACGGGCAAGAAGGCCGACATGGTCGCGCGTCTGCAGGAAGCCGACAAGGTCCAGCCCGGCGACGCTCCCGTCGCAACCACCGCCAACGCCGAGGACGAGATTGACTGGGACGACGACACGACCACCGACGCCGCCGGCAAGCCTGCCGCCTCGACCGCCACGAGCGAAGCCGCTGCTGCTGCCGTCGCGGCCGGCGGCCAGGGCCCCGTCGACAACCCCCAGGCCGTGCCTAACCAAGTCGTCGACACGGACCCCTCCAAGACGGACGACCTGTCGGTCAAGCCGCCCGGGGAGAACGAGGCGACGGCCGCCGACGACGGCGCGGCCCCGACGACCGAGGCCGCTGAGCCCGCCGTGCCGAAGAAGGACTACACGTCTGGGCTGAAGGAGACGACGCTGGAGGAAGAAATCGAGAAGCGCAAGGCGCGCGCGAAGAAGTTCGGGATCCCCGACGACGAAATCAGCGACGCGCAGAAGCTGCTGGAGCGGCAGAAGAAGTTTGGCGAGACGGGCGGGCCCAAGGGCCTGAACGAGGCGCTGCCGGAGCGGCGCGAGAAGAAGCGCGCTAGGGAGGCCAGCGACGAGGGCGGCGCCGGCGGCCGCGGCGGCTTCAAGAAGCGCGGCCGTGGCGGCAGGTTCCAGGGTGGAGGGCGCCGGGGCGGCGAGCGCAGGGAGGGCGGCGGCGGCAACAAAGAAGGCAACGCAAGCGGCAACTGGCTGAACGAAAACGACAAGGCCAAGGCCGAAGCGAGGAAGGCCAGGTTCGAGGCGGCTCCCTCGACCTCTTGAGCGAACAAAACGGACGTTTCTTTTGCCTTCTTCCTTAAACTAGCGGATCTGAACTTGGACGAGAAATTTGGTTTCGGCGTTCTACTGGAGTTTAATTCTTCCCCTGCCATGCACGCACACACCCGTCATCCACTACGAGCAGTTACTCCTACCTACTCACCTACTTACCTATCTACCTCCTACTCTGTACCGTCGAGCCGCGCGCTGCTGTTGCTGCTGCTGTTTGTTTCCTTTAGGGCACAGAAAAGAAAAGAAAAAATACTTGCGCGCAACCCTTATGTAAAATAGAGATTTGTTCCGTCCTATCCTGTCCTGTCCCGTCCTGTCCTGTCCTGTCCTGTCCTGTCTAGCCTTGCAGAGGCCAAGCTTGCATCACCGTGCTCTAAGGTAGCTAGCTATACCACACCACACCACGCCACGCAAGCAAGCAAGAGAACTCCCCCCCCCCCCAACAAAACCTCATCTGAACAGATGAATGAACCACATCATCATCATCATCACCATCATCTTCCTCTCCCATTCATCCCATTCACAAAAACACACACATTCGCACAGTGAGTGAGTGAGTGCGTGCACTTGCGGCTACCTTACCTACTAGCCTATACGTACGGCTCCCATGCCGTGCCGTACGGTCTGAGATCTGGATCTGGATCTGGATCTCGCTCGAAGTCGGAAGCTGCTCTGAACCAGCTACGCGTGCGATGGCGGCGCTGGCGCTGGGTTGGGTTGGGTTGGTTGGTTGTGTGTGTACTGGAACGGGGAGGGAAGGTGCGGGTGGTGTGTGAGGGGGAAGAGTGAGGGGGTGTGGGTATGGGATGGTAGGAGGGGGTGGGGGTTTGTTTGGTCGATTTGTTTGTGGTTGGGGGTGTGGTGTGGGGTGGGAGTTAGGAGAAGGGAGATTTTTCGTAAGTTATCAGGGGCAGATATACTGACCCGTAAGTCCTTGGGAGGAGAGGCTCAAGTTGTATCTGTTTAAGTAGGGTAGGTTAGGTCATGATACAAAAACAGCTCTTTCCTTCTCACATCACCACATCCTTATACTCTACCCCCTCCAACCAAATGCAAACGCAAACGCAACCTCTCAACTCACTCAACTCACTCAACTCAAAAGCGCGTACCTCCCTCCTTCAAACACCAACAACATTACTTCCTTACTTTCACTTTTACAGCAGCCACGAAACCAGCACCTCCCACCGGCCACACCCCAAACCTACATATCAAGCCCCCGTGCCACGCCTCCCACAACTACGCAGAAGCAGAGAAAGCGTTTTGATGAGTTCACACTCTCACGTAAGCCTGTCATCTCCTCAACATAGTAGAGTTACAGCGAACGGCCGGTGGTCTGATTTTGCAGTTATAGCAGACAATCCGAGCAAGCAGTGACTGGCGGGCTTGTCCTTACGGACAGTAATATAACGCAGATTGGTGCTTAGCGTTAGTGTTGTTGGTTGCTGATGGATAGCGTCGGGGTGGAGTTGTGGTGGGTAGCTTTTTCTACTAGTAGTGGGCGTTGTTTGTGAGGTTGGGAAGGGAGGAATTGGTGGGTGGTTGTGAGAGATGGAGGGGTGCGGAAGGGGGGTGTGTTTATTGTGTATGTGCTGTGACCCCAGTGCGTCCCTCGTATTCTAGTGCGGTTGGTGAGGTTCGTTGGTGGGTTCGGGTGTTTCTGCGAGTTTTGTTGGGTTGTGCTAGCCTAGGTCTTTTATAGTCCAACTGTTATTTGGTATTTCACTGTTTTATTATTGCTGCTGGCTACATTAGTGGTATCCTGTCTCTGTATATGTTTACGTATATGCGTGTGTGCTTTCACAGTATTAATTGTTCCTTATACTTAGACCGTATATCTCGCCGCTAGTATCATTCCCAACTTAGCGCCAGCGACTAACAAGCGCGCCCAGCTACTCTATCTACCGTTACAAACAAACACCAAAGCCCCGTAAACGATATATGTAGTATATTTACACCGCTATAATTTTCTCTATATAAATTAAGCCATTTCTACTCTCTTTTCCGCCAATGTTAATTGCTATTATAGTAGCTTTAGCTCTCATAAACCCGTCAGTTTTTCCGGACGATTTTGTTTCCGGTCTTGGTCCTAGGAACTATACGGTACTTGCTGAGTATCCCTTATTGATTAGAGAGGGTAAATGTTAGATTTCGTGGATGTAGGTTTTGGTGGGGCGGGGAAGTGGTTGTGTGTTCTGACTTCATATTGAAGTAGAATGGTTTTTTAAGTGAGTGAATGAGTGATAGTGAATAAATAAAGGAAAATGAAGGAATGTGGAGGGACGAACTTCGTATATAGGAGTGAATGTCTATAGCAGAAGTATGATATATAGCCCATACTTGAAGTTCTGTGTCTGTACTTCTCTGCGGGAATTAAGCTCGTATAATAGATTCTAGTTCCAACTATAACCCTCTTAAGCTATTCTTTATGGCGGCAACTTTAATCCGACTGTTGGAAATCTCTCTAAACACCATTGCTGGTGCTAATATCGTGGGCGGTAAAACGAAATCGACTGCTCAGAGTTTGTCCTTACGCGTCCCTCGTGGACTTTTCGCTGGAACAGAATACGTTCTAATTAGCCGATTTCGCTGAGTAGTCGATTTCATTTAACCGTTAACGACATTACTTAGAATGAAAAGCTGGTCATGATAAACACTTACTTGGCTGTCTTCTTTCTCTCCTATTTTATTAGTCTTTCTTACGTTGTCTCTTCCTTTCTTTTCCTTAAGCTCCCTAGCTTATTTTTGATCGCTTATTTTATAAAAATACTCTCCGCTTTAATCTACAAATTGACTTTCCTTTCATTTACTAGAGTACTAAAAGGGATTTAAGATTGTAGGATGTATTTAGCAAGGATTTTAGGTCCCTCCTACTAAAACTTAACGAGTGGCAGTGGATATAATGAGACGTTTTAAGTAGTAGGGATAGAGAGTAAATCTTCCCGCCCTTGTCTATAGTCTTGAAAGTCGGCATATGCTTCATGGTATATCGCATCTTAGAGTAGAACAAAAACTGTTCCCAGTTCCCGCAAGCAAATTCGGATTTTTCACGAGCTTACGCTTAATTGTTTTTCTTTATATGGTGGTCGATGGATGTTGGCCGCGCAGTCTTCTATAACGCAGCGCACTTCTTTCCATCCATTGTAGCCGCCTATGCAAGATACTGTGTTGCTGGGGATATGAGGAGCATTGCAGCGTCGTAGCTGGATCGGCGATGTTCCAAAATGTTGGCACTTTGGAGAAGCACAGCAGGGTATGTGGAGGGTTAGCGGTAAGAGGGCCCAAGCGGCAATGTCACGCTAGCGTCTCGCGCATTGTGTCACGAGTCATTCGACGTCCTTCGTCCGCGACTGTTTGGCACCCGCGGCCACATCGTCACCATGCACGCCGCCCGCCGCGCACTTCGACTCGCTCGCTACCTATTCGTCTGCTAGCAGATCGTGCGTGCTCGCAGGTCCCCGCCACTACTGAGTTCTTGCCTGTAGATGCCCCGTTCGAGAAGGCCCGTCGCGCTCTTTCGTCTCCTTCGATCACCGGCCGCTTCTCCACTGACGCCGCGCACACCTCGGGATCGCGATTTTGCGGCAAGCACTCTTTGAACAACGTGATGGTGGAGCAGGTTTTGTAATACAGAGGGTGGATACATGTGGTGGTGGTGCGCTGCCTGAGCTGCCAGCTTGGACGCGTCGCCGGAGGAGTTGACGGACATCAGCCCGGTGGGCGACGATGCGGCGGTTCCGTGGGCCCGGTGCCAGTGCGGCATGCGGCATGAAGCATGATATCGAGATGCGTGTTGTGCTGGCAGCACCTGTTCATCTATCATGTCGTCCTCTAACATATAAGGAGGTGTGCTGGTAGGGACAGGGAGATGAGGCTGTTTTGTTTCTTTTGCTATTTTGATGTTTCATGACTGCTTTTTCCTGTCCACTTTCTCATGTTTGCTTTTTCGAGTAATCCGTATAACGGTGGACGGACGGCGTCACGGCGAGACGGAACCCAATCTCACGACTCATGATAGTGACTTGACGGCAGCTGTCAGCGGGGGCAGAGTCAGTGCAGCTCTTGCATAATGATATAAGTCAGCAACGCGTCCAGACAGGAACAATCAGTCATACGCTTAGATTGACGTCGTGAAGCCATCTACACAGCCACTACTTAAGGGAGGCGATGTGTGGCAGTACATGCACAGTCCAGCGGCGTTACACCGCCTCGTAGATGATGTACAGGGTGACAGGTTGGGAAACCCCTTCTTCGCAGAGACATGAAGAGGAAGAAAAGCAAGTTATCTGATGATATCATCGCCGGCTTTTCACACACACAACAGATCCACGCGGCATTCGGGCGCGCGGGACGGCGTATGCGCTGGCTATTAAGGTGGGAGAGCGGGGGCAGTCGGGCAGTTGTTGGAGCAGTACGTAAATATGGATGGGGTATGGGTGGGCCGGTATTGCAGGAAAAAGTCTTCCAGAGCGAGAGCAACAAACAAACGGATACGAAGGACGAAAGGCCGCATCCGAAACGACGGGCCCGCGTGTAAGATGTTAGATGGGTGAGAGGAAGTGTATAGCTAGCATACTTGTGGCAGGCGGTGTCAGCCGCAAACGACGATGCGATGCGATGCGAAACGACAGGCACCCCCCCCCCAGGTCCAGCTCGCCCCGTTGTTCCCGGTGTGCCGGCGCGCAGGTGTCCCGGCTAGAAGGTGCACTGGATCGCGGTGGTGTTTGTCCACCTTGTCGCCCCCCCCGCAGTCGTACGTATGTATAGGCAGCCAGCACACCACAAGGTATATCACGCGGGATATTATTGCCCGGCGCTGGAGTTCTCGACCCTCCAGTGCCCCCGCTGCCCTCCCGTGCCTCCCCCTTCTGGGAAAGCAGGCAGACCGGGATGACGTGGTCCGGGTCGGGCGCGGGTGGCCAAGCCGGCACGAAATTGGGCGCAGCGATCCGTTTCAGATTGATCTGCGCGCGCCCTCAAGTCGCGCGGCACGACAAAGAAGGCCGGCTGCAGAGCTGCAGTCTCGTCTGCCTGCTCGCAGCCGCCGTGTCTCGTCTCGCCTGCAGCTCCGGCTTCGATTCGCTTTCTCGAAGCTCCACCCGCAGCCCTCCCAGCGCGCCCACCCACGCCCCCCCCCTCGACCCTCCCGACTCTCCCTCTCCTCCCGGGGCCGCCCCTGCTCGCCATGCCAGATGTCCGCAAGTGAGCTGGCGAGCACTGTCCCGGCCGCCTTTGTCTGCCCAGGCATTGACCATCGCTTCGTTTCCCTCGCCCACCACACCTTTCTCTTCTCATAGGCCTCCCGCCTCCCCCTCCGAAAGCCTGCTGGCCCACTGACTCGCGCGATCCGTGCTCGACGACCAGCACCATCATCGAGACGCCGCGCCTGACAGCGAGGCGCCCGCAAAACCGCACGTCAACGGCGCGCACCGTCCACCTCACTTTCCACCACCTTCGCCTGCGCCCGCGCACCACCAACCCACCCTCGAGCCCCGTCGCGACGCGCCCAGCTGCTGAGCTTCTCCGCTTGGCCTTTGATTCCGATCCTGTCCCGAGCCGCCCCGCGACTGCCTCAACCCGCTCGCTGTCGGCGTTTTGCTGTCGAAGACGGTTCCCTCCCCATCTTGCGGGGGGTCTATAAGCCCACGAGGACGGCCGGGAGGCGACACGCGATAAATGATGATGGACCATGGGGCGTGCAATGTCATCTACCTGGACCGCCGCGCGCATCCCGAACGTGTACGGAGGGACAATGTGTTGGCAGGCATGAACGCCCGTGATGCCCGCGCCAGCCTCTCCTCCCCCGGCTACTTTACCTTTGGCCGCCTGCAGAACACGGCCGAGGTCCTGTCCAATGCCGAGACGCTGCTGTCCATCTTCAACGAAGGTACCCTTACTTTCAGCCCCCAATTGTCCGCCCATGACTCGTTCGCATTGCTGACTGACTTAGTTGATATATGTCGAACCGGTGCTTCGTGCCTCCAGCGGCTCTTCGACTTGCACAACGGCTCAGCCATCGAAGACAAGCCCGTCATCGTCCTGATTGACCTGCCGTACGACGAGGAGCAGCGCATAAAACGGTTGTCCCGCGAACCACGAACCCCATCGCCCACGACTACCAGGACAACCGGCCCCGACCTGACGGAGCCTGGTGATTTATACGGCATGCACTTTTTGCGCCACGTCGCGGCTGAGATCCAGGATAGACGAATCCCCAAGCTGGTCATCCCGATAATCGTGCTGAGTGGTCTGGACAAAGAGAGGGCGCCAACCGATTCCCCGAGCCTCAGCAGATCGCAAGCATTGACCGACACGGTGCGCCTGGTCCGTTATCTGGATGCCGGTGCCGTTGATGTTCTAGCGAGTCCGCTGTCCAAGGATCACATTCACGGTTTGGCCGTTCACGCGCATCGCATATCCCGGGAGGTCAGGAAGGAAAAGTCTAGTTTCCTGGCACAAAAGGCACGCAAGGTCTCATGGGTCGGCGTCAATGAGGCGAAGCCTTTTTCCTACCTGAGGGAGGCCATGGTGTCGAATTTGATGGGAAACATTTGCTGTCCGGATACGTCGGTGGATACCTTGGATCCAACGTGAGTTGCTTGATTGATGATTAGCGTCTATAAATATCTAATGCTGACCGACATAGCGACATCGAAGTAAGTCCGGATCGACGCGCGGAGATTGCCCGTGCTGTGGGCACCTGGTCATTCTCCGCGCATGACTTTACAGACGACGAGCTACTATTTGGCTCGTTGACAATGCTCCAGCATGCATTGAGCATGCCCGAAGTCGAGCGCTGGCGCATGGACGAAGGTAATTTTACCAAATCTACATCGTTTTGAATTAACTGACTTTTTAGATGAGCTTATGATTTTTCTCCTTGCGACCCGAAGCGCCTATAACGAATTTGTGCTTTACCACAACTTTCGTCACGTCGTTGACGTGCTCCAGGCCCTCTTTTTCTTTCTTGTCCAGGTCGGAGCTTTACCCGCTTACCCGCCAGACGTCCCGCAATCACCTGGACGGGCCAAGCCGGCAATCGCCACTCTGCTCAAACCGTTCGATGCTTTGACGTTGCTCATCTCGGCAATCGGACATGATGTCGGCCACCCTGGCGTCAACAATGCGTTTTTGGTGTCACTGAACGCACCCTTGGCTCAACTGTACAACGACCGCTCCGTGCTTGAATCGTTTCATTGCGCAGCATACTCGCAAATCCTTCGCCGCTATTGGCCGGCCGCCTTCCAGGATGCCTCGATGCGGAAGTTGATGATCAACTCGATCCTTGCGACTGACATGGGACTCCACTTCAAATACATGGCTGATCTGGGGAACTTGCAGGAAAAGCTAGGAGCCAACAATGGTGGTATTGACGGGTGGAGCCCGAAGGTTCTTGAAGATTATAGAGATTTATTGTGCGGTCTGCTCATCAAATGCGCAGACATCAGCAATGTGGTGAGTATGAGAGGGTTGGAAGAGTGACCCAAACTGACGATGACAGGTCCGGAAATTCAACACGGCAGTGCAGTGGGCTACGATTCTTACGGACGAGTTCAGCAACCAGGGTCAAATGGAGAACGAACTTCAGATGCCGACATGTCTTTTCGGAGGTCCACCAGACCGCGAAGACCTGGTGAAGCTGGGGGAGTCGCAAATAGGCTTTATGAACATCTTCGCACGGCCGTTGTTTGAGTCTGTCTCGGACATACTCCCGAGCATGCGATTCAGCATGGACGAATTGATAGCCAACAAGCAAGTCTGGCAATCAACGATAGAAGAGGAAAAGGAGCGCAACATGGTAAGGTTGAATATCCCCATGGGGATTTCAACTATGGACCACGCGCGGAGCCCACTCTCTACGAGCCGTGTGGATTTGTCTGAGAAGCCAGAGAAGAAGTCCTCAGAGTCGAAGCGATCAGAGAAGAGATGGTCTTCAGAGGCCAAGCGGTCTTCAGAGGCCAAGAGGTCGTCAGATTTGAGACCGGCGGCTCCTCCTCGCATGCAGTCCAGATCCAAAGCCCCGCCACCGCTGCCCTTGCCTACGACATTCCCTCCGCCAGAACGTTCTTCCGGCCGTTCTACACCATTGAGTGCCATGTTCGGAAGGCGTTCTTCAGCCGCGAATGCTATACCGAGCCCACGACTTGTGGAGAACAATGCAAGTCATGCACGTCGCGGCAGTGCCGACGCAAGTCTTACGACGATCCTGGTAACACACGACCCGAGCAGTCATCAGCCAAAGGCGAAGAAGAAGGGCTTACACTTACGCTCGCAGTCGCCCAGCAAGCGCAAGGGATCGAAGCTCAGATCAGACTCGCCTGTACGTCCACTATCGCCCGAACCCGAGACCTCAACGGCAATCCCGACTGATTTTGTCATTCAGCCACGCGTGCCAAATCAACGACCCGTGGCCAACGGCGCCTTGCAACCGAACAACTATCTCCTTCCTCATTCGAGTTCCCAAAGTCCACTTACCGGAGATCCGGACCGGAACAATGCCATCCCGCCGAAACCCCGCACGGCCGATGGTTCGTCGCCCCCCGACTTCACGGGTGTTGGCGCCGCAGCGGACACGCACTCCTTTCCTAGGTGGAGACGTGAGCGGGGCAACTCTTCTGCGGGCAATGGGTTCCGGAGCCGCCGCAAGGGCTCTCTCACGCCTGCCCTCCCTACTCCTACGGGCGAATCTATTCCGCTTTCGGCGACAGAAGCAGACGGCGCGAAGAACGGGCCTCTCCTCACCGAGGGCTCGACGGTTCCATCCCCTATCGAGCCCACCGAAGCGCACATTAAGCAAAAGAAGGGATTTGGTTTTGGAAGATTCTTCCGGAGGAAGAAGGAGCAAAAGCCGCTGTCAGAAGAGCAAGGAAACCAGGCACCGAGCGAGAAATCCGACCCGCCGATGGGCAGACGTGGATCATTACCCTTCCAGTTCCAGAGAAGGGGCTCTGTGCCGATGCCACCGAAGACGCCAATCGGCCAGCAGGGGTCAATTCCCGGCGCGTATCCGGAGACGCCATTGAGCATGGCGGACCCTGGATCAGCTAGGTAGCACCCGTTCGGCTATGCGGCCTCAAGCATGGCTCCACCACGATGGCGACGTGTCCACGTCTGACCAATCATCCGCCGAAGAGTTGTCATCCGCATATGGTATCAACACCACATCGACACATCATCACCTTCTTACCTCCGTCCGCAAGCCGATGTCCGCAAGTCCGCCCGCACGTTTTCTTGTTTATCCGGAGTTGGAGTACTGTCTCGCACGAAGTTAGATCACACGAACGACGGATCACGACGAAGGAACCAAAAAAACATTATGCTCTTTGTCTTTTCCAGCGAAACGACTGCTGTGGATCCGCGGGGATTGAAAAGAGCAGAATTACCACGAGGTTGCTTTTTTTTTTTTCTCGTTTGTCCACAGAGATCGGCGTATCTCTGGGCGTCTCAACGGCGTTTTTTGCTTGCGTTTTCCGATCCGACCGGCCAGCAGCATGCTAGTCATCACACACTCACTCATCTCTGGCTTATAGCCACCATTCAATCTCTCATTTGTCGCTCCTTTCAGGAGTCCCAGCGCATTGTTTTTTTGGTGGTGGTTGGTATGACGACGGTCTCGACTCGACGAATTTGAAGTCGTGTTGGGCCGGACCCACAGTCTACGCACCATCCCGCATGCTAGCGGCTTTCGCGAGGCGATGCGGGATACTCCACGTAACGATGCTGCTGTTGTCTCCATCTATTTTGCGAGGCTCGTGCATATGTGCATGAGGCCCGCGATGCCACGCTCATTATTCCCTGGTGTCTATTGTCTGTCTGTAATGGAGGAGGTTTCGGTGTCTCCTCATCTGTTATTGCTTCCTCTGTGTTACTTCTTCAATTTCCGACTCCGAGGGGGGACAGCGAATAGGTAGTAGCTGCTTCTTCTTCGGCTTACGGGTCTGCAACACTTTTTTCTTTCTAGCTTTTGCTCCTTGTGTTATTGTCTCTTCTTTTTTCACTTTTTTTTCTTCGTTTTCTTCTTCTGCTTCATCGTCGCTCTGTCGACTCGTTCACTTTTGCTTCTTCTTCTCACACACGACACCGTTTGTTTATTAGTATTACTTAACCACTACCTCCGAGGAATGGCGGGGCTTCATAGATACCATTACGCGTAGGGAATATCTCTACTTCTTTATTGTTGCTTCGCTTGTTTTTTGTCTTTATCCATCCTGTTTGTTGTTTTCCTCTCCACATCTCTCTCTCTCTCTCTTTCTCTCTCTGTCTCATTTTCTCTTTTTTCCCACGCAGCCCCCTCCTTCGAGGTGCTTGAAAGCAGCCCTCTCCCTCCCTCCCTTTCCCTCTAACTCTCTCTCTCTCTCTCTCTCTCTTTTGAGATCTCTGTCTTGCTTTCTCTCTATCTCTCTCCTCGGGTCCGGGTTTTGGGGTTTCAGAGGCCTTGTGGTTGTGTGTGTGTGTGTGTGTTGCGTTTGTGTTTTTTCTGTGTCGTTTCTATCTCTCTCCATCGCGCGCGCGCTCCCCCTCTCCCTCTCTCTGTGTCTCTATCTGTTTTCTCGCCGTCGGTGGGTGCGAGAATGGATGGATGGATGGATGGATGGATAGATGGATGCGGGGGCGCCGGATGTGTAGTCAGTGAGTCGGCGGGCAGGCAGTCAGTCAGTCGGTCAGTCAGCCAGTCAGTTTGAGAGATCATCAAAAGAAAAGTAAAGAGCTTCTGCGTTGCTTGCTGTTGTTGTTGCTAGGTCGTGCTCGTGTGTGTATGTGTGTCCTTGTCTTCATCTCCCCCGAGTCCTCGGTCTGGGATTTTGTGTGCGGCTGCAGTGGTTGGCTGGTTGATTCGCTTGCTTGCTCCCTTCTTTGTGCGCTTGATGTGAGGACTTGGTCTTCTCGCGGCCTGTTCTATCATGGTTCTTCAGTGTATCACCCGCTCCGCGTTCCTGCTGGTCCTCGCTTCGAGGCCCTGGATCTAGTCGAACCGGTGTCCTGGCACGCCTTTGCGTACTCCCTCTATACGGGTTGGGGCTGTCGTCGTGATGGTTGGACGGGCCGCTGCTTTGAGATGCTGGTGTGGAGGGTTGCTGTCTTGTTGGGTTGGTGGCTGCTGCTGCCGCTGGTGGAGAGGGGGAGGATAGGTGGGATGGGGGCTGGGGGGGATGTTTTAGGGGATGGGGTTGGTTGTGGCTCGCAGCCTTGCTGGCTGTCTAGGTGTAAAAGTGTGGATTTAGGAATTGGAATAGGTGATTGAATTGAAATGGAACAGTATAATAGGGATGGTAACTTTATACGCTGGATAGGATAGAGAGATGTTAGGATACGCGTTCACTGATATTTACGAACGGCGGGCTAGGCTAATGAATACTCCACTACCGGAAGAATATGGCGAGGGCGACCGAGCCGACCACGATCTCACACGGGGTACATGGTGCTTTGACGTGGAAGCCGGCAATGCCGAGGCCAGAATTAAAGTGGTAAAAAATGCTTATTGCTCGAGCGATCACCTTTTGCGTATACATACATAAAGCACGGTGATGATGGTGTATGTTAGTTTCTGGTCTTGGTGCTTAGCAGCAGGGTAATGCTGTAGTGGTGATTATTAGTAAATCATTAGTGTTAAAGAATTGGCGATTAGATGCTGTTTAGTACGTGACTTCTGGAATTTGGCATAGGTGTCGGAGGGGGGTTTAAGCCCATCATGGTGTCTCTTACATGGCTAAGGCTGCTAGGGCGTTGTGCTAGGCTTAAGGTTAAAGATGAATGGAAGGTGGTGAGGATTGTGTTGTGGGATCCTTTTATAAGTGGTGTTGTGTAGGCTATTGTTGATAGTGCCGTGCCGTGTTTCCTTGAACAATGTAAATAGGAAATTAAAGCTGCTGGTAGATACATTCGGGTATACCTGAGGTTATAATGAGTTTGCAGGTGGAGTATAGAGCTATAGAAATGCTGTAGTTGGGGACGGTATTTCTTCAGGGCCCCTACCCGGAAATGATCCATTGGTCGCAACATGACCTATTATTTCCGAGAATCACTTAACTTTCTGTTCTCCAGCTGCCAGTTCTAAACATACTGACGAATCTTAAGGGTATCTGTATATTTTGAGGCACGTTTATAGGCACGTCTATAGGATACGATGACTTTTTCTTCACTGACGTGGTTCACACGTTAAAAGCCCCTAATTCGGAAGCTAATATCTTTGCATTGAGAGACCAAGCTACTAACATCCCTTTTTAAACTCTGTCATGTTTCATAGGCGTGCGGCGTAAGCTGATTTGAGCAGATAAGCGGAGCACATCATCTGGCCCCCAATCCGTAGGTACTCAGCCTGAATCAACCCCGCAGTGGCAGTTAAAACTTCAAATCCCTCGGTTGCCCTCTCTCTCTCTCCAGGCATTTTTCAATCCAAGATGGATTCATTTGGAAGGACAGAACTCTCCTCGGCCTCGTTTCTCGACGAGGAAATCTTTGATACCATCGTCGTCGGCGGAGGCACTGCTGGCCTGGTCGTTGCTACCCGCCTGACCGAAGATCCTGGGCATAGGCTCCTTGTGATCGAAGCCGGAGCTGATAGACGCGACGATCCTCGCACCCAGTGCCCTGGTCTCGCACCTAGCACGTACTTCGACCCTGACTTTGACTGGTGTTTTACGAGCAAGCCTCAAGTGAGCGGAGCCACTGAATTCTCACACCCGCAACAACAGTGACTAATGTCTCTTTCAGGCCGGCATTAATGGACGCCAGATTGCAGAACCGAGGGGACGGCTCCTCGGAGGGTCCTCTGCTATCAACTTGGGCGCAATGATCTACCCCTCCAAATCCGGCTTCGATGCCTGGGAGAAGCTGGGGAACTCTGGCTGGGGCTGGGACGGCATCAGCAAGTATTTTCGCAAGTTCCACACGTATCACGCGCCCGAGGAAGCAACGCGGAAACAGCTCAACATCGACCCCAACGAGGGAGCTCTTCACGGCACTGATGGCCCTATTCAGTCCTCCTACGGTGGCGAGGGCTGCTACACCCCTTTCAACGAAGCGTGGGGCACGACGTTCAAGAACTTGGGATACGGAATCACTGGTAACCCTATTTCGGGCATTTCTACAGGCGGCTACTCAAACACTGGCACTATTGACCCGAAAACCGGGCAAAGAAGCCACGCCGGCGCATACTTGACTGATGAAGTCTTGAAGCGGCCCAACCTGCGCATCCTCACCGAGACGCACGTCGACAAGCTCATCCTCACCAAATCAGACGATGACGGTTCTATCATCGCTACTGGCGTCCACATAGCCCTCAAAGACGGCACCAAGCGCAGCGTCCCCTGCACCACTGAAGTGATCCTCGCGGCCGGCGCCCTTAAAACGCCTCACCTCCTCGAGTTGTCTGGCATCGGCAACTCAGAACTACTTCAGAAACACAACATCCCCGTCATGATCGACAACCCCTACGTCGGCGAAAACCTGCAAGAGCACAGTCTCGTGAGCTGCAGCTGGGAAGTCCTCGACCCTTACACGTCAGGGGACATGATGCGGGAGCCCGCCATCGCGGCCGCAGCCATGGCCGCCTGGCAAAACGGCGGCAAGGGTCCTCTCAGCGCCTGCGCGATCGCAAACGCATTCGTCCCGATGCACGACTTCGGCGGCGACGAGCTCGACAACCTGCTGGACAAGCACTTGAACGACTACGCGTATAAGCCGCACCCGGCGCAGGCGGCGCAGTACGCCCTGCTGCGCGAGATCCTGCACAACCCCGCCGACGCGTCCGGCCAGTACGAACTCGCGCCCTTCCAGGTGAGCTCGGATGCCGGGCCGCATCCGGGTGAGGTCCTGGGCCTGCATGAGCCCGGATGCTTCGTCTCGATCGTCAGCGCGCTGAACCATCCTTTCTCGCGGGGTAGCGTGCACTTGTGCAGTACGGACGCTGCCGTCATTCCGGAAGTAGACGTGGGGCTTTTTGAGCATCCGCTGGACGTGGAGTTGCAGGCAAGGCACTTGCTGTGGGCGGAGAAGTTGGCAGGGACGGAGCCGTTTGCTGGGCTGTTGAAGAAGGGTGGACGGAGGCTGCATGGAGAGGGGTTGCTGGGTGGAGAGTTGGAGGCCGCGAAGGAGATGGTGCGGCAGAGAGGAATGGGCCACTTTCATGTTGTGGGATCTGCGGCTATGATGCCTGAGGAGCTGGGTGGTGTTGTGGATTCTCGGTTGAGGGTCTATGGGACACGCGGGCTGAGGATCGTGGATGCGAGTGTGTTTCCGTTGGTGCCGAGGGGGAATGTGCAGGCGGATGTGTATGCAGTGGCGGAGAAAGCGGCGGATTTGATTAAGGAGGAGAGGGCTTGGGCAGGGACGTGAGTGTGCGGGAGTGATGGTTTAGGGATGGCTGAGAGTGGTGTTACGAGTTATTTGCATCTATTTTGCAGCTTTATGATTAAATGAAGTCATTGGAAGTACGGGAATGACCTGATTTTGCTTGAGGGCCTTTATTTTTCGTACAAGCTTCGAACATAGCAATCAACGTAAGAATAATAGAATAGCATGTCTCGTTGTCTCTTTATGAATCAAACAAGCCACCCTTCGCGCTACTACCAAGTACTACGGCTTGTCCTTAGGCGGGTCAGGCAGCTTCCGGCTCACAAAATCACCCCACTTCCAAGGCTCTCTCGAGCTGCCTGGACCAGGAGGATCGTCGTCCCAGGTAGCCTCGGGCGGGTAAGGCGAGACAGGAAGACGTAGACGTAGCACAAAGCGACAGTGAGAAAGCGATGATTCGTCATCGGCATCAGTTTCATCATCAGAGTCGGGTGCCCAAATCGGCGCTGGGAAATGTCCTTCTTCGAGTGTGAAGTCCAGGTTGCGTGGTGTAAAGGCGGAATCCAGAAGAAGAGTTGCGTTATGCTGCGGGCGATCCTTGAACCAGGGCTCCCAAGAAGGTGCACATCGCCGAGTGAGGGTAATGGTAAGTGTGGACCGGGCGAGCATGAGAGGTTTGACGCCCTGCTCGTGGTTGGTACCGTATGTTACGTGCTGCGTAAGAGTAGCCGGGTCCAGAGCGCTCCAGTGGAATTCGAGAGCGAGATGTGGAAAGAATTGGCCGGTGAGGAGGAGCTACAGTTTCGTGAATATAAATTTAGAACGTTGTTGGGCCTGGCTACGCACCTCGCCTGTACCGTCGGGCGCGAACTTGATGTAATCGGGGCCGAACCATCCGCCCCACTCCCATTATTTGTCGCAGAGGATAGAGCCAAGCGTTTCTTCAAACATGCTGAGTGTGTTGGCTTCCCTAATCGCGACAGCAGAAGTAAAACATTGGCAATGTAACTCCGTATAGACGTTGAAATAGAGCCAGCACCTGATCTACGTTTGGGCCCCCTCACGATCCAAAATGGCCCCATTGTTATTGTCATCCAGTTCCGATACGGATTCGGACTGATTGAGGAAACAAGCACCAGGTTTGTTTTCCGTGGTCGACTCGTTTGGTTTCAGTGATGGTTTTAAGGTGATGTTGTTGAAGCTGCAGCAAAGGTACCCGGAGCTTGGCGAGATCAGGTATACGGCATACAAAAGCACTGCAACAACGTAAAGAAAAACCAAGATGATTCTTCCAAACAATGAAGCTCTAGTTACTCTGTTTACTGGATGTGTTGTTCATAATTTCGATCCGACAGTCTGGCGCTGGCGATACAACCCGCACTTCAGACCAACTACTAACACTACTACCTGACCCAAACCAGTAACCGGATGCCGCAACATTGAACGTCTCGACGCGAATGCGCAAGAAATAGTTAGCTAGGCCAAAAGAGGCAACTAGCCTTCCAACGTCGAACGTCTGGGTGCGGGCGCGCGGGGGGTTAGTCAGCTGCGATAAGAGCCCTTCCTTATCTATTTCCGGCCAGACTGATGGTGCTCGAGTGAAGTGACGGTCAAAGACATTCTCGTTGGCGGGTCAAGCTTTCACTAAGTCCGGCTCATGCGTCTCAGAAGCCCCAGGGCCACTGAATACCTAAGAAGCCATCACGTTTACGTGGGGCTACGGACTGGGCGACGTATACTGCAAACAGTTACACACTCACGGCGCGCATCTGCGGTGTCGAAGCTATAGTCCGTGGTTCTGCGTCTGGAGGCTGCAATCCCCTTTCCTTTAGCTTGGGTTTCCCGCCTTTGAGAGTCCGAAAGAGCGACGGGGCTGAGAAGCGGGATGACGCGAAGGTTGAGCGGCAAATATAAGATCTTACTGAGATGCTCCACCAGCCGATCTTCTTTGCCAGCCATCTCAAAATTCAACTAAATGAGATAAAGAAAGAGTGACAAATCATATGTGCGGTTTGCCGCCCACACCCAAGACTAACAGCAGATGGCGCAGGATCCATATGGCAGTGCACTCACAACCTGAAACCTCAACAGGTGAGCAAAATTGTAGCGCATCAACGCCAGCACATATAGCTGACAATCAACGAAACAACGTCATGATAATCGTCAACATCGCCTTTGTCGTCGTCACCGAAATTGTGAGATCTAGATCGAAAAAAATGTTTAGCTATCTTGCTAGCCTTGCTTAACTTTGACCCGCCAGTTGAATCAAATATGTCCCTTGCTGTGTGGTTTAGGGCCCTGTAAAGTAGGAGTGGCGAATTGCAGGATTCAAGTTGAGGGCCTGGCAGTTGCCGTATTTATATGCCATGGGACAGCAGATCGGGCCTCTTGGCCCACTAGGTATCAGCATTGTAAACGCGAGCTTTGCTTAATTCCTATCGCATCCTACAGGCTGTCATTTGTTAGTTGATATGCGCCTCAGTAGGTCCTGTGTTCTTGTGTTTGTAAGAAGCTTAGGTGTTTATTCTGCATTTTGCAGTTTTCCATCTCATTCTCAGTAGTAAGATTTCCACATCCGTGCTATACTGAAGCAAGGCACACCATGCTCTCTAACCACTCACTCCAGCACGTCACACAAACCGCCAGCATAGTGACTCCCTCAAATCTCGATCGTCGAATCTAAAACCCCTCCACGTAGCAGCGCCAACAATACTGAAAGCCACCCGCCATCAGTGACAAACACACCCACCCACACCATGCACGCTTAGATATAAACCCCGCACCCCATCCCCACCACCACTTCAAAGCTCTCTTCCCAAACCACCAACCACCCACAAAAACACGCACAATGTCCAACTCCCCCACCACCCCCCAACCCCAACCCCAACCCCCACCCGCCACCCCCGCAATCCTCTTCTCCCTCGAAGTAGCCTGCGACCTAATCAAAGCCACGCGCAGCTCACCTCCCGCCTGGCAAGCCGCAAAACCAGGCATCGACGCCGCGATCAGGAGTCTACGGCTCGCATCCTCTATCGAGCCCGGCGTGGCGGCTGTGCAGGAGGGACGGCTGCGCCCTGACATCCGTAAGGTGCGGCAACCGCAAGGGTGCGTGTATGAGAGCGCGGTTGTGGGGGCGGTGTTTAGGTTTAGGGGGGAGGGGGAGGGGAGTGCTGGGGGGAGTGAGGACGGTCTGCGGTCCTTTCAGCAGAGCAGGGCGGAGCGGCAGAGAGGAGGTGCAGCGCCGACAACAACCACAGCAGCAGCAGCAGCAGCAGCAGCAGTTCCGGTCGAAGGGTGGGGGGAGTGAGGACGGGAGTAGTGGAAGTGGGGGTGGGAAGGCGCGGCAGGTGGAGGGGGAGCCGGCGGTGGTGTCGGAGCGGAGGCTTTGTGGGAGTGGTAGTGTGAGCGCGAGTGCGAGTGCGGATGGGCGGACGGATGGCGCGAGGAGGACCAGGCGAGAGCGGTTCCATCCGTATAGGAGGAGGGTTTGCCGCGCTAGTGACCGGCACCGAGCGACGGAGGAGAAGGAGGAGGAGGAGGAGGAGCCGGCTGGGCGTACTGAGGCCGCTTCGTTTGCGACGATGGAGGAAGCTCCTGATGTCGACGATCCAACGGCCGGGATTACCGCTGCCAAATCCAGCTTCAAAGACGATGAAGAAAAAGAAGAAGAAGACGATGGCGACGAATACGACAGCGAAGACGACGACAACGACGACGACGACGACATCTCCGTCGACTGGACCTCCTCCTCGCACCCCCTCACTCCAGCACACACAACTCGCGCGCACGACACTTCCACCAGCTCGCTCAAGCGCGCAGTCCCGCTTATGGACGCGACGCCCTACAGATCCGCGCTGAAGCTCTGGGACCGGCGCAATGCGAAAGTGCGGCGAGAGCGGGAGCAGTGGATGCGGTACGCGATGGAAGCGGACGAGCAGGTGGAGGTGTGGCAGGCGCGGGCGGAGAGGGAGAGCGAGGCGGCGAGGAGAGCGGAGGAGCAGGCGGGGGTGTGGAGGGAGAGGTGTGCGGTTTGGGAGAGGGAGGCTGTGCGGTTGATGGAGGTGGCTGGGGGTGGGCTTGTTGTGGGGTGTTGAGGTGGGAGTTGGGTTGGCTTTGTTTCAGTGTTTGTTGGTGGTGTTGTTGGGGCGTTTTGACGATGTTGGCAGTGGCAAACAACTCGAAGACAAGCGAAACTTCTCCACTGGTTGATGTCTTTAAGCCATTACAAAATGACGCCCTCGCTAACTCTAATCAACCGCCCGCCAATACCTGACACCACCTGCCTCCAACCACCTCACCCGCCCCATCTTCACGACCGCGACGAACGTCAAGCGCTAAAGCGCTAACGACACTGGTGCGAGCCCGGACACTGGGCTCGATGGGAAACTGAGGCACTCTATAGCGGGCCCTAGGGGTAAAGGAGTAGTTGCTGGTGTAAGGGTGAAGGTGTAAGACTAGTGGTCACGTCTTGGCACGTATGAGGCTCGTTGCGTGCGACAATGCAATTCTCGGTTTACTATGCATGCTGTGCACGCTGTAGCGAGATGCACTGGGCCGGACATGATGTTTTTACGCTCAGATAGTATACTGACTATTTACTATACGCAGTCGCAACAGTCCATTCCCTGCCACCACGGTATTCGTGTCGTCGTAGCAAATATCCATGAGAATGAAACCAGCCCAACCCAATCTCTAAGGTAAGAAGTGCCTCATAGCGCTATTGCCTATCATTTTACGCCTTCATTCGCGCCTGAAGCACATGAACCTACCCTGGCGCTCGTACTCGTCTAAGATGCGGTTGCCAGCCACAATGTCAGCCGGGTGCACTAATATAATGTTAGCCAAGCCACATTGGAACTTTGTCTTTCGATCAGGCTATAACTCACTCAGTGCGTGGGCGTGCTGGAAGCCGGCGCGAGAGCCCCATCCGAGTTGGATGAACTTGGTCTTGCTGAGTATCTCCAGGGTGTGGCGTTGCGGGATGGAAGGTGTCAGCCCAAAAGCATTCGGAGCAGGAACATTCAGATCAGAAGCCTCCTGTTTGGGTATCTCTGGACTGGTGGCCTTCAGGCTAGGAACGTTTTGGATGGGAGTCTGTGGACTAGGAGGGTTCCACTGGTTGAGACTGCGGTGGGAAGGCTCCGGATAGGCAAATCTATCGGTTTCCGGAATGATCCCGCCTGCACGCTTCTTGTCCAAATTTGAAGTTCCGTAGGTGAGTTTCGATTCAGAGAAGTCTGGCTTGAGAAGCCCCGAATTGATAAACTTCTCCTTTGTCTTGTCGGACTTGTCGTACAGGGCGAGAAGCTCGAGAACTTTGCCGATGGTAAGGTTGACTTTCTGGTCAAGGTACTTGCCTGCATGAATGCGTGGATACACATCCATACCAAACCTCCCATCCTCAGCATAATCCGTAAGTTGCATCACGTTTTGCAGCACCTCTTTGACCGTGTCGGTCTCGTTCAGCACAGGCGCACCCATTGCCCAGTAGCCGAGCGACACCAAGGGGGCATCTTTGTCCTTGACAGTTTCTGGGAACATTCCGCTCCACTCATTCGCAAGCTTGAGCGTCACAAGCGCCCTGCCTTGGCGTGGAAGGTAAGCAACCTCGCGGTCCTTCCCATCATATACCACCCCTGCCCCCCTATCGAACCGGAAACATTTTCCTAGATTCAAAACTGCGATGGCGTTGCACGGCGATCCAGGCACGTATAATACTTCGTTAAGGATTAGAGTTGTGAGTTCTCCGTTGCTCTTGCAAATTTGGAGGGCGACGTCTCCGATACCATGGGCGGTACTGATACCTAGGTTCTCGTCACGAAGTGTTTCAGCAGCGCCGCAGAAGTGGACAGGTAAACTTCCAATGGGGTTATACGTGGTGAAGTAGGAGCGATCATTGCAGATGTGGTAGTTGAGAGTGGACAAGCCAACCCACGCACGTGGGTTCAATGAAATCTCTTCTTCCATGATTCTTTCGCGCTGAAAATGCTGGATGACAAAGTCAGTGTAACATGTGCATACAAAGGTAATCGCAAAGTCCAGATAGATGAATAACGCTGAGATGTCACCCGGAAGCTCGGAAACCGTCTTACCTTTTTTGGTGCTTGGTGATCACGACCTGAAGAAGTTGCAGCTCTCATTAACGGGGAAGATATACCCTCTTGCTGCTCGGCTAAAGGATGCTAGTCCTGTTTATCGTAGGAAGCTCATGTTAAACGCGTTGTAAGATGGCTTAACAGCTGTAGTGTAGGTAAAGTAGAGGAACGTGCACAGGTCTACAAAGCCGGCGACCAATCGAGTGGCTTCCATGTTCTTCGCGAGATCGATCCGGCCAATATTGAATCCTTTATGCCTTTGCCTCACGTGTGTAATTGATCAATTGCAGCGACGACGAGCGGACAGGCAGGCGACACGGGCAACGTCATCGAACGTAGAAGCAGACGGGAGTGGTTGCACCGTGCTCAATTTGAGTCAGAAAAGTTCCAAACAACAACCCCGCCAAACCCGCAATCGCCCACCACGACACGCGGCCAAAAAATCACCCTCACCAACTACGCGCCTCCTTTGCCGACACCGTCGCCGTCGCCGCCAGCAACTCGCGCGACGTCGCGTTGCGCCTCATGCCGCACGCAACCATGCCCTCGCCGGGCTTCCAGGCCCTGATCCTCTGCGGCCCCGGCGTGTCCCTCGACACCTTCACGTCCAGCCCAAAGGATTTCCCCAAAGCCCTGGTCCCGATCGCCAATAGGCCCATGGTGTGGTATCCGCTGGAGTGGTGCTACAGGATGGGAATCACAAGTACGTAGAAGCTGTACGTCCCGGAGGCGGAAGTGGAAGCGGAAGCAAGGCGGTACGAGGTAAAGAGAGGGAAAGAAAGGGAAGCAATGTGGCTAACGCAACTACTTGCGCAACAGACATCACGCTCATCACGCCCCCCGAATCCGCCGACGCGCTCGAGGCCGCCCTCTCCCAGAACCCGCACCTGACGTCGCTGCCCTCGCCCAAACCCGACATCCTCGCGCCCGCGGACCTGACGCAGACGACGGGAACTGGAGACCTGCTGCGGCTGCCAGCCGTGGCCAACACCATCACCGGCGACTTTGTCGTGCTGCCATGCGACCTGATCTGCGAGCTCGACGGGGCCAGCCTGCTGGAGTCGTGGATGGTGGAGCAGGCCGGGCTGGGCGAGGCCACGGGCGGCCCCGACAACAAGGAGACGCTGCACCTGAGCACGGGCGGGGAGAAGATTGGGCGGCGCGGCGGCCTGGGCGTGTGGTACCCGACCAAGGGCGCCGACGCCGTCAAGGGCGAGGAGACGGACTTCATCGCGACGACGCCGCTGCCCGCGCCCGTCGTCGCGCCCCCGCCGGGCTCGCTGCGCCCCGCCCTCGCCAACCTCGTCTACTCCATCCCGACCGACGTCATGAAGGACATCACCGAGGAGAACCGCCATTTCCCCATCCGCCACTCGCTGCTGCGCAAGCACGCCCGCGTCCGCATGCTCACGACGCACCGCGACGCGCACATCTACTTCTTCCCCTACTGGACGCTGGACATGCTGAAGAAGAACGAAAAGTTCGACAGCATCAGCGACGCGCTAGGCTGGTGGGCCAAGGCAGGGTGGCAGGACGGGCTGGGCGAGAAGCTAGCGCTGCGCGAGGTGCTGCAGCCCGACGACGACTCGGCCGGCGACGACACGATGATGATGCAGAGCGGCATGCTGAACGACGAAGTGGACATCGCCAGCCTCAGCAGCACAGCCGTGACGCGGCCCGCGCCCGGCTCCGCCGACGCGCTCAAGGCGTTTGCGACGCGCGTGCGCGACGCCTCGGACCCGGCCATCGCGCTGGCCGTGACGGCCGCGGAGCCGGCGCTGACGGTCCCGCCCATCCACGCGTACGTGCACCCATCAGTTGGGGCGCAGCCACTAGTCCGACGCGTCGACACCGCAGCACTACTACTGAACATCTCACTGCGGCTGGCAAAACTCCCCTCAGTCGAAGAAGTCGGCAAGAGCGCCGCCTCGCCATTCGCGCACCCAGCCAAGATCGCGCACCCAGAAGCGGTGCCGAAGCGGTGCCGGGTCGAGGCCGAGAACAGCCTGGTAGCCGAGAACGTATCGATAGCCGAGAAGTGCAACGTCAAGGAGTGCGTGATTGGCGCGAACTGCACGATTGGGGTCGGGGCGCGGCTGCAGCGCTGCCTGCTGATGGAGGGGGCCGAGGTGGGCGAGAACTGCCAGCTCACGGGGTGCGTGCTGGGCAGGAGGTGTAGGATTGAGGGCGGGGCGGCCAAGGGCGACGAGCGCACCGTTTTGAAGGACTGCGAGGTCCAGGAGGGCCATGTCGTGGAGTGGGGCAGTAAGTTTTTCTTTTCCTTTTGCTTTTCCCCTATCCTTTTTCTTTTCCTTCTCCCTCCCTCGTATACTTTTTCTTTCTTCTTCCCCCTCTTCATCACAAAGACAGAACACCACTAACCCACACCCCACAGAGGAATGGAAAGACGAGAAATTCAAGCGCTTCGGCGGGCTCGCCGACGACGACGACGACGACGACGGCGGGCCGGATGCATTTGGCGGTGATTCGGGCGACGATGCCGACGCTGATCTCCTGCAGCCGGAGCATGCCGGGGATTCGATGCGGTAGATGGAGGGGAAGGAATTAGGGGAGGGATTTGATTCGATGTGCGGAATAGATGAATAATATGTTCGAAAAGAGAGAAAGAAAGCAAGAAAGCAAGAGAGATTTGGCTTGGATCATGCACGCCTTGTCATATCATGTCATACGTCCATGCAGATACAGTGCTCAAGTGCGCAGGATAAGAGCGCGTCCAAAAACCGGGTATCAAATAGGTACTCTCAGCAGAGCGGCCATGACGGCGGAGCCAGCCCAACTAGCAAACTGGCTACGAATATACATCCACTCCACTCCTTCCCCCCTCACCAACCCACCAACCTTCCCCTCCTCCCCGCCCGCTCAGTTCCCACCACCAACCCATCCATCCACACCCAACATCACCAATTCCACGTCCTAGACGAAGCCGTAAACACGGGCGGTTTCCACTGCAGGCGCTCCGAGTCGATGCTGCGCTTGCCCTTGAGCCTTTCCTTTTCCTTCTGCTTGTTGCGCTGCTCGATGACGGCGTCGGTGAGGACAATGATGTGTTGGTTTTTCTGTTTGTGGGGGTTAGTGTGGTGAGAATGATAGAAAAGACAGATACACGCACATAGAGGAGGGAAGAGAGAGGGGATATAAAGGGAAGGGAAAGGGAGAGAAGAGTAAGGGCAGCTTACCGAGGTGTACCGCAGCATATTCAGGTTCTGCAGCGTATGCAGCACGTCGTTAGTCGTCATCGCCGTCAGCGCGCCCAACTCCTCAATATTGCCCTCGGTGCGACCGGGCTCCATAAGCAAGTCGACAATGACCTCCTGCCAGTACGCGCGATAGCCGAGGAGGCCGAGATCAGAGAGGGGTTTTTCAGGGCTGCCGAGCTTGCCCTCGCGCTTCGAAAGCTCGTACGAGAAGGCAATGAGGAGCTTGCCGAAGCCCTTGCGCTGGTATTGGGGGAGTGTCAGGATACAGGCGACGTTGTAGCCCTCTGCGCTTTCTTTTTCCTTTGAGAAATAGCCGACGAGGTGGCAGCCGTGCTCGTCGCGCGTGCACATGCAGTAGAAGAGGAAGGGGTCGACGTCGTAGTAGAGGGTTTTGTGGTCCAGGAACAGCTTCGACAGCAGGCACAGGTTGCGGCACCAGGTGCGCTGGCGGCGGCCGTCAATCTCGAAGAAGCTGACGTAGTCGTCGCGGTAGATCTCGTTGCCTGGCGGGTGGTAGAGGTCGCACTTGGTGCGGTGGCGCTCGAACTGCTTCTGCTCCCCGAAATAGCACAAGCAGAACTCGCACACGTACACCATGTCGGTCTCGCTGAACTCGACGGGGTACGGCGAGAAGTACCACGGCTCGATCTCGTGCTGCCCCATTTGCACGCGGTCCAGGTTGCGCACCCGTGATATTTCGGTCTGGTTCTGCGTCATGGACCCCGACGTCCGCAGCTTTTCGATTTCGTCCTCGCGTGAGTAGATCTCTGACGGCACTGCTTTGGCTGCGGCCGCGGCGTCCTGCACGTCGACGAGGTCCATCTCGTCGTCGTCGGGCCGAGGCGTCTCGCCGTCAGCCAGCTCCGTGGAAACAACCGTGACATCGTGCTCTTGGGAGAGCTGCTGCCTCTTGCCAGGAACGCCTCCGGATAGTACTTCAGGCGTCGCAGAAATCTCGCGGTCCAGTTTCGACCTTGGCCGCTTGTGCATCTTTTGTGCTTTTGACGTGTCTGCTTTCGACGCCTGCTTGTTGGCAGCGACCTTTTTTGGTTTTTCCGGAGCAGGCCACTCGACTTCTCTGGAGAGGTCGATGCGGTCGGCGGCGATCCACTCGTCTAGACGCTTGTTGAACTCTTCATAGTGGACATAGAACCTGGGATTTCCCTGGCGATGCTGGATAGACAGAATTTCGGCCTTGCGTTTTTCCCCGTCCTTTGATTTGCATGGTCAGTCAGTACAATATACATATAATTGGTGTTGCGTCTAGCCTGGCCTGAGGTGAGGCGGCGGGCGGAGGCTAATGGGAAGAACAACCGACCTTCTCAACGAACGCCTTGACGCCAACCCTGCAACAAAGTCAGCGCTTGCACGGCATAGCAAACACGATGCGACGCACCTGAGAGACGACAGCGTGGCAAAGCCTTTTTCGACAGGGTCCGGCGTGCCGCTCGGCTCATGCGACATGTCGCGCGGTGCCATGGGTGCAGAGAGAAGCCCGCTTTCGCGCGTTTGTTCCGTGGGAGCCCGGCTCGTTGCGTCGCTCGATTGTTTGCGAGAGGCGCGTGAGGAGGATGTCGTGATGGGAAACGCGCGACGCTCGTCGATGGAAACGGGCGCGCGCCCTTCCGCTGGACCCTGCCACGTGACTCACCTTTGTTGCGGCTCCAAGAATTCTACCGACTTCTCGGCTGCGTCCGACTCCCATCCGAGCATTTCCTTGGCACTCCCACTCCGTTTCTTCAGTCACAGTGCGAGGATGCTTAGCTGTCTAAGGAAGGGGACGAGGTAATTTCCGGGCTGCTAGATACAACGTTAAAAAAAAAATTAAAATAAAAAAATAAAAAACCAAAGCAGCCTGTTATGGCAAGTGTGAAAGGCGAGGAATTGCCAATTCAGGAAATAACAGCTCCTCCCGAGCCGGAAAGACAACAAACAGCAAGTAAGCACCTTCCGCAGTGCGCAAGGCACAAGCACGCATGTGCATGTGTCCTGTCTAGATAGCCACGCGCAACAACAACGACAATCAAGAGCCTCGTGATTGCCTGTCTATCCCACTACCACCAAACTGCGACAGTGTTAACGTCTCGTTCATGACCTACGACTATCACAAACCATCACACAAGCAAACATATACACACCACTCACCACACTCACATGGAAAGCTACTACTTGCATTGACTATTCGCAGCAAGGACAATCAAATAGCAAGCAAGGCAAGTACGCAAACAGATTCATGCAAGACAAGACAAAACTAACAGCGATCAGATGCAGCCAGCCCGAATGCACGCACGCAAGCGCTCAACCCACCTCAGCCCACGTAAGAAAGCAATCAATCAAGCAAGCAGGTACATAACTACCAAAAAACATGCAGTGCAGAACAAACACTCGATGAACAAACCCCCCCCAACCGCAAACTAGGTAACTAACTAGCAGGCAAGCAAGTAGGTCGTCATCGTCCACCATCAACCATCAATCAGTCAATCAGCAACGTCCCTCGTAGATGTCCTGCCTACAACGCATCCCAATTTTTGTTTTTCCCCAGTCCCATCCATCCATCATCATCGTCATCGTCGACCACATTCATGCATCAATAAGCGCGTCAGACCATTAAGAACCTCCTAGAAAAGAGATAGAGAGAGAAAGAGAGGGAAAAAAAGGGAAGACAAGAGCGTCTCAGAGAACCTAGTACGTAAGTGGGCAAAAACCGCTCATGCAACGACTCTGCCCCCTGCTACAACTACTAATAACCACCCTCCTGACTAGCTAATCTCCCCTCTCCACACTCCCCCTCTATTCCTTCCCAAAACCCTTCCTTTCCTAACGCGTCACACTTTTTTATGTCATGAACCGCATCCAACCCCAACTTAACCCCTGTTCCTCGAGAACGCACCCGGACGGTACTTGCCGTCACCGCCCGCCGGCCTCTCAGAAGACGACGAGTCGCGGTTAGAGTCGCTGCGCATGTGCGGCGGGCGGTAGCCGCCCGTCGTCGGGGGCGTGGAGCCGGAGCCCTCGCCGCTGCCGCGGTTAGGCGCCTGGTACCTGCCGCCCGACGGAGCGCTGGGAGAGTCGCGACGCCAGCCGCCGGCACCGCCGCCCTCGCGGCGAGCCGCAGGCGGCACGTAGCCACCGGTGCGCCTGGGCGGCTCGGCCTCGGCGCTGGGAGCAGACTCGGCAGGAGCCGGAGCCGCGGCCGGAGATGCCTGGCCGCCGGCCGCCCTGGCCGCCTCGCGCTCGCGCCACGACGGCTTGTTGCCTGCGAGAGCGAGACGGGGCGGGCCGCGCTCTTCGGTGGGAGCGGCAGCAGCAGGAGCGGCGGCAGGAGGAGCGAAGCGGCCCTCCTTCTTGGCTTGGAGCTTGGCCTCGGCCTCGGCCTCTCTGGCGCGCTGCTTGGCAGCGATGTCGTCGAGTTTCCTGATGCAATGTTAGCTTTGGCCATGCAAGGTCAATAACTCGGGTGTAAACATACTTGCGCTCCTCGTCCCTCTTGGCCTTCTCCTCGAGCATCCTCTGCCTTCTCTCCTCGTCGGCCCGAGCCTTCTCCTCGGCCTCGCGCTCCGCTCTCTCTTCCTCCTCACGCCTCCTCCGCTCCTCTTCCTCCCTCTCGCGACGCTCGCGGGCCTGGCGCTCGCGAACCTCCTTGACACGGGCCTGCATCTTCTGCTGCAGCTCCCTCTCAGCAGCCTTTCTGCGCTTGTCGAACTCGGCCCTCCTCTGCTCTTGGATCTCGTTGCGGTACTTCTCGTAGACGGGAACCAGACGAGTGAGACGGTGCTTGAGAGAAACGCTCTCCTTGTGCTTCTCCTCGGCATCGCGCAGAGTCTCGGTCTTGGACTTTTCGTAAGCGGCCTGGTCGCGCTTGCGTTGGGTCTCGTAGTCGTCGGCAAGGTGCTTGACCTCCTCACGGCGGTAGGCACGCTCAAGGTGATCGATACGCTTGCCGGTGACTCTCAGCTTCTCGCCAATCTCATTCTTCTCCTTCTCAAGAGCGGCAAGCTTCATAGCACGGATGCGACCAGAGTCGAGCTCGTCGATGTTGAGGTTGTCGAAGTCAAGGTCACCACCCTTCATGCCGCTCTTGAGCTCGTTGAGCTGCTTCTCAATCTCCTCGCGCTTGATGCGCTCCTGTTCGGCCTTGACGCGGGCGGCATCACGGGCCTTCTTCTCCTCCGCAAGCCTCTGAGCCTCGGCGGCCTGAGCCTGCTGCTGCGCGACCCTCCTCTTCGTAGCCTCATCCTTTTCCTTCTGAGCAAGAGCGCTGGCAGCGGTTTGCTTCTTGCGCTCAATGACCTCACGCCTGACAAGGGCCTCCTGGTGCTCCTTCTCAGCACCGGCCTGAGCTCTGGCCTGAGCGGCAGCCTTGGCCTTAAGGCGATCCTCGTTAAAGGTAGGATCGACATATTGGCAGGTGATGTACAGCGACTTCGCAAGACGGGTGAGCTGGGATCTGACGATCTCAGCAGGGGTGCTCTGGAGGCGCTGGACGGTGCCAGTCTCGGTCTCAGAGGAACCGGCACCAGAGCCAGGGTGAAGGGCCTTGGCCGAAGAGAAGACATCGGAGTCGAAGGTAAGAACACCAGAGGCGTGGTCGATGCGGATAGCCAGGTCGCCCTTCTTGCAGCCGTTCATGATGAACTTCTCAATGGTGTCGGCGCTGACCTGGAACGGCTCGGGGAACTGAGCAAGGTTCAGGACGAACTTGAGATCGACCGACTCGTAGACCTGGGACAGCTGCTGGAACAGACGGGTAAGGATGACCTGCTGAAGCGGCTGGACGTACTTTTGCATCTCGGGGTCGTTGCCGATCTGGGTGAGGATGGGGGAGATCTTCTTGCAGATCGAAAGCGGGTGGAAGTCAACCTCGAGGATGTTGTAAAGATCCCGGATCTCGGGGCGGGCACGCCTAAGAAGGCCCTTGCTGAGAGCGTCCTTGAACAGAATAGCACGAGTGGGGGCAGTGGCCATGCCGAGGAGGTTGGTGAGACGGGAGTTCTTGTTTTTCCTGGCCTCATCGACATCGACCAACGCGCCACGGGACCTCGAGGTGCTAATGACCGGGATGGACAGGGCGGAGAGCAGGACGAAGGAAGCGGCCTTGGTCATGTCAGCCTCGGTAACCGCGGGGTTGTCCTTCTTGGAGCTGTGGCCAGAAGCGACGGCAGCGGCCGACTGGCGGAGCAGGTTGTAGTAACGGCTCCAGGCAGCGGCGTGGAAGAGGTAGTTCTCGCTAACGAGGAAAATCCGGGTGAGCTTCTCGAAGTAGTTGGCCATCATAATGTTCTTGGCGGGGCGCTTGCTAAGGCTGAGAAGCGTGTGGATGTCCTCGACGCTGCGGAAGGCCTCCTGCCAGAGCTCAAGCTCGACAGCGACATTGAGCTGCTGGAAACGAGTGTCAAGGTGGCGCTGGAGGGTGTCCGGGTCGCTGAGGTTGATGGCGTGCATCTGCGAAGAGAACTTGGCGGCGTTCTGGAGGTGGTTCCTCAGAAGCTCGCAAAGCCTGCGGAACTCGGTCTTGCGGGCATACTTGGAGCAGAATTGGAAGGCCTGGTGCGCCGTGCTCTGGTACATGACCTCCAGACGGGCGTTGTTTTTGAAGATATCCAAGACCGTGCGGTAAGTCTCCCAGAGGAACTTGAGCCATGGCGTAACGATGGCCCTGTCGGTGCGGTCCTTGGACTGTTCGCCGGAGACGGTGGAGAGGAGGATAGACTCGGGAGTCTCGCTGGCCTCAAGATCGTCGATGTTTTGGGTGGCGCCAGTCGAGTCGATAGAAGACTGGACCTCGTCGGACTTGGCCTGAGCCTCGGTGACCTTGCGCTCGGCGAGCTCGATGAACCTCTTGAAAACAAGCTACAATCCCAATATTAGCCGCCATACACCTCCAGTTCCGAGCTTATCCGTACCTCGATCGTGCCGATGTTGGTGTTCTGAGCAGTGTTCTTGTACTGGTAGAGGCCGTCCTTGGCAGTCTTGCCCTTCCTCAGTTCCACGGCCAACTCGACGAACTGAATCATCATCGGCTCGAGGGAAGCGATGGGGTTGTTGCGGGTGCGTTTGGAAACGACATGTTCGTGGAGGAGGGACAGCGCAGCCTGCTGCTGTCCGACTCCGATGAGCTCTTGCGCGCGCTGCAACGGAAGTTAGTGAGAAATCATCGCGATGGCTTGCGCAATAGTTGTGGCGGCGATGACGCGAGACAAGCCAGCGCACAAAGCACAAAGAATCAACTTGCCTTGAGCACATTTTCCGGCCGGCTATGGGGTGGGGGCGGCATGATGGGCGAACTCGGTAGGTGTTTGCCTCTGGCTGGTGCTTGTCGCTTTTCGAGGCGTGTCGCGAGCAGCCAGAGAGTCGCTGCAAGAAGGCGATAGGATGGTGTTGAGTTTGTTAGGGCAACTGGATTTCTGGATGGCCGGCGTGTGGGTTTCTCCGATTACTTTTCTCGGCTAGCGCAGCGGTGCGCGCGCCGTGTGTGAACGCGGGCTTGCGGGCAGCTAGTGGACGACAGAACAAAGATGCCATGGCCGTTGTCGGCGGGGGACCTGGGTTCACGGCAGTTTGCGTCATGCTGTCACGGTTGTGGATCATGGATGGTCGTCGCGACAAGACATGGAGCTTCATCACTTTTCGCCGCCAAGCACGGTTTTGGTCGGTTGCAGAGGAAACGAGAGAGAAATAATGCTAGGTATGCTGTAGGAGCATGTACGTAGTGGTTTAATGCAGCCAAGCAGGCGTGCCGCAAGCAGGATTGCGCGTAGAAGAAAGAGAGGGCACCGAGGGGCCGGCGGCCGCGAAAGGAAAGGAGGCGCTTTGATTCAGGCGAGAGACGTCTCTGAAATGAAGGTCTCGCTTGGTGCAGCGCGACGGCCACAGGAGCAAAGTTGGCGAGGTCGGACACGCGCTCGCTCGCTCGCTCGTTCGCTCGCAGAACTCCTTGTCGAGAGCTGCAGGCTGACAGCGAGGATGGTGCTGGAAACGAGACGGCATGCAAAAGCCCCCCCGCGCAGCCAGGTCCAAGACCGTGCAGGTGGGAGCTACTATCAGTCGTGATTGATGAGCCGTGTTGCGGATCGCCGGCCGTGAAGAAGCCACACTAGTTCTGCCGAGACGCTAAACTTGTCCAGGAGCCTGCCTTCTCCTTGCTCAACCCGCCGCCCTTACACACATTCCAAAGTCCTCTCGCATCTTGCACCGCTGCCCTCGTCGCCGGCCCCCGCGGCTCCTCACCTCAATTGCCTCACGCTCCCTCTCTCTCGATCCCTCACCATCGACGCTCTTTTCCGACCATCCGCGCGCAACCCATCCGACGACGACGAGAACGCGGGTGTCGAGGGCCGGCCATTTCCCTCCCGTCAACCCATTCGCCCTGCGCAGGCACGTCGCACCGCACGCTTCGCATCGCTACCACGTCAATGCTGACATTCCACAGACAGCAAACACATCAGCTTGACTTGTACCTCCACAGCGCTCCGCGACCCGACCGCCCGCAATCATGATGTCCACTCCGTACGAGGCCCGCAACGTCGGCGACGGCAAATCCAAGAAGCAGAGCATGGCCGAGCTCAAGCTGCGGCGGTTGACGGAGCTCAACACCAGGCTGAAGGAGGACCTCAACCGTTCCAGGATACCCGTCTCCGAGGCCGCGCAAGAGTGAGTCGAGTCTAGTCGTCGCTGCACCCTGTTCCCGGCACTAACCCACGTCCCAGTTTGATCAACTTCACCGACAAGGAGCCCAAGGACTTCATGGTACCATCGAGATGGGGCACGGTATGGCGTCTCCCACCTTCACCTTTGCTGCTTTGGACACTAGACTGACTCTCCCAGGTCGACAAGCGCGACGACCCCTACGCGCCACAGCAATCCAACGGCTGCTGCATCGTCATGTAGCGCGACGACGTCCACACTTTTTCCATTTTCCTTTCTCTTCGACGGCGTTCCCACGAGTTTTTCGATCACCCACGGCAACTTCTTTTCTCGGTTAATAGTCACCCAGGCACGCCAGCGCCACTTCTGCTTACAACTGCTGCTGGGGCTTCTTAGGGTCCATTTCCTCACTTGATATCACTGTACCTCGGAGCGCATCCGGTTGTATATTAAAGACAAAGCTAGTTTCTATTCGCAGGAGCTGGCTTGCCTATGGTGGAGCAAGGGACAGGTTCTTCAGGCGGCGACTTTCTGGTTCGTTTATTCAAAAAGCGACGAAAGATCCTTTCTCTTTTCTCTCTTTTTGCCGGCTCAGCTTCGACTCTACTGCGCCAGCGAATTCTTGCTCATTAAGCGGATTCGTGCTAATATTTTTGGAAATGCGCAACCCACTTTTTGACGCTCCTTTCCTTTTCCGCGGAAGCCTGCGGCCGCAAGGTGCAACCTTGTTTTTGATTTTGCGAGTTAATGTATGATGAGCGCCGGTTGTTTTCACATCACAAAACAGATTCCCCAAAAAGTGCCAAGTGACGACTATTTTCTTGCGTGCTTTTTTACCCACTCCACTCCACTGTGACAATGACCAGAGACAGAGACAGAGAGAGTGAAAATCATATGGCTCGGCCTAGCCCAACTCCCCCCGCCCGCTCGCGGTCTGCAGCCAAAAAAAAACGCCATTAATTACCGGCAGGTGTTAGTGGGTGGCGCGCCCTCGGGCTAATATCAAAGCATTGCCCTTTCGCAGCAAAGCTAAAACACTGGCAAAAAAGACGCTCGCGCCCACACGTGATCGGCGTCGCAAGACCCGAAGCTCAATCTCCCCAAAGCATGATGATCCCGTCACTCGCTCGCTCAGGTCCTGGCGGCGGGCGGTGCTGGGACGCTGCGCGCGCAGGAAACTTGCTTGCGTTTTGGTTTGGGCGGGCTCGCTTTAGGTGCAGGTGCAGGCTGGACCTCGCGCATACATACTTTGATGTTAGCGGTGGTTTATTTTTATTTGTTTTGTTTTATAGGAGTATCGCGCGGCGCAACGGAACCGCTGCTGCTGCTGCTGCTGCTGCTGCTACTGGTGGTCGTCGTTGTCGTCGCGTCGCGGATATTGTAGTTATGGATCTGGTCGGTCACAGACGCAGCACGCTCATCCACGGTCACTCGAGAGAACCTTACCTATGGCCCGCGGGGTGCTAGCGCGCACGCCGGCTGCCCATCCATATCGTTCGCAATACAATAGCGACCTCTAGCTGCTTACATAGTATGGCTTAGGGAGCTACCCTCGGCACGCTATGAACCTAGCTAGGCGGCATGCCGCGCATTAAGCAAAAGGGAAAAAAGCAAAAAGGTAGACGCGAAGACGAAGAAGCAAAAATTGCGGATGCGTCGGTAGCCGTTGCGACGCTCGCTCGGCAAAGCAGCGCTGCGAGCTCTCTCTCACTGCATGAAAGCCCCAAGCCGGTCTGCAGCGGCCAATAATGCAGCTCGTAACTACTGGGCAGACTCGGTACTCGAGGCCATCGTCGTGATAGTCGTCGTAACTCGTTCGCAGCCGCAGCTCCCTATCGCGCACATATACCCCCTCTTCTCGCATCGACGACAAAGGCCTCGGGCGCCGCACCGCGCGGTGATGATGATGCTCGGCTCGCAGCCAGCCCCAGAACCCCCCCCCCCCCCGGCCCCGCATGTCGTGCCGACGGTTCCGGGGCGCGTGATTGGGCGGCGCGAGACGGCCCTGCGCTGGATCCCGGTCGCGGGCTTGCGTGGGCTAGGTAGGTCAGGTCGGATCGAAGCGCGCACGGCTCCGCTGCGCTGGAGCGAAGGACTTGGTGTAATTTTAATTCTGGCGGAGGCGCGGCCTGCTTGCCTTTCTCAGGGCCGGTGAGGGAGGGGCGGTTTGGGGGCCGTTTATGGGTGGTGTTTATCACGGGTTATGCGATGCTTGTGTGGATATGGTGGTGATGGTAGTGGTGAGCGAGGGTTGCGAGCGCTTGTTTGTCTGTCTGTCTGTCTGCCTGCGGGTTGGAGGTTCTGGAAGCGTGGCGGAATAGCCACGGGCTATGTTTGGATGGGAGCACACGTGTGGAGGGGTTGCACGGGAGGGACGTAAGGTCTGCGCTGTGGGTAACGTCGGCTGGAGCTCAGGAGCGTGCCTTGGGTGCGGTGCCCCATTCCAAAGGTGAGGCTAGCTGCAGCTATGTAGGAGTTCGTGGTGGTTGGGAAGGATACAGCGTACTATCGAAAACGGCATGTCTTGGCAAGCCTCATGCTGGCGTTTTAGGAAGCCTATTTGGAGTCTGTGGTTGCCTTGTATGGCCTTATCCACTCTTCCAGCTCCTATAATGCAGAGTCCCTCGAGACGAGGGTTTCAAGTGTCGAGGGAGATCTCCTTGTCAGAGGCCAGGCCAGGCTGCGGCCACAAGCTTCCGTCTCGGAGATGGGAAAGCATTCTGGTTCAGTGGTGGGGTAGGTGCATTAAAAGGTGCATTCCCCAATGCTAAGGGAAAAGTCATGAGATGCTCGTGACAGCGCAGGCTTTATGACTTGCAGCGTCGCACAAAATAACTAACCTGGCAAGGGCGATAAGAAGATCAATGGCGTAGCTGACCAAGGCCGATCCCGCTGGAGTGGTTCACGAGGACCCTCAAAGTGCCGCTCAGATGACCCAATCGTGGTGGTGGTGTCGACGCCTTCATCAACAACACCTGACAATGAGGGTAATCCGTACGGTGCGGCTCGCCTCGCGCGGCTCAATGGGATTATCTCCTTGTTTGCAACGGAGTGGACTGTATCGGAGTAATTCGCACCGTCCGCTGCTGCGTAATAGGCCCTAGCCTGCGGCAACGTGAACAGGAAGAGGTTGGCGGCCGTCGCTGAGCCCTTCACGAACGAACTGCCCTGACTCGGCTCATCCTCCCGCGCTTTTCGCTACACCACGGCGGGACCGCGACCCCTCGCTGGCTGGCCTCAAAATCGATTATTTCGCCCCTCGTTGTCCCTTGGTCCCTAGGCTCGCCGCTACCATACATAGCACACAGTCACCACCCCGCGCGCGGGGGCTTCGTGCGACCCGTGCTTCCCTTCAAGTTTCCACCTCCACGTCCGACTCCACATGCGATCGGTTATGTCTCAACCAGATCAGGACCCTCAGTGGTCGCAGTCGCAGCATTTCGAGAGCATGGACTTGCCTGCCCAGGAATTCGTCGACAATCTGCTGGACTTTGACCACATCGACTTCGACCTCCCCATCGACTTCTCGGGCCACAGTTCCGCGCCGAACGACCACCAGCTCTCTGCCCTCGCCGACTCGTTGAGCTCGCAACACCTCCCCTCCTCCGGCGTCGTACAACCTCAGCAGCATGATGACCTGTCAAATGACCGCCACCAACAGTCGAACAATGACTTTTTCGACTTTACCTTCCAGCCGCCTTATGAGCAGGCGAACCATCAGCAGCCCAACTTCCACCTGCCCCAGGACCACCCAATGCATTCGCACGGGGCTGTTCCACCCACGCCGAATAGCGTAGAGATGCACGGAGGCGCCGCGCGCTATATGCATCATATGGATCCCCAGAGCCGGGCGATATTGGAGCAGCGCTTCCAGCCGAGGAAAGAAGACATGGTATGTCGCCACGGGAAAGCGACTTGAGACTCTGCTAACGCCCTCAAGGCAAGCTTCACGCCTCTTGTCTCTCCCGCCGTGACTCCCCATGAGCCGCATTTTCAATTCCCACCAGAGTACACCGTTCCCGGCGCCTATTTTAGTCCTCTCACGTCACCTGCGCTGAAGGCCCAGAATCAGAACCATCGAGGTTCTTTTATATCGCATCCCCATACTGCGGACACTTCTATAACAACGTCTCCGATAGATTTGGACATGGATATGCTTGAAGAGGCGGCGATACCGCAGGAGCACCAGCCCAAGGCAAGAAAGAAGACTACAACCACGCCGCGCTTGTCTGCATCCTCGGGACGGGTGCGGCAGTCGCCGATTGTCAAGGCGCAACACAAGCGGAAAAGCACATTGTCATCTACCCTCCAGGCTAAAGAAGTAAATGCGCTGTTGGAAGAGTCTCAAAAACTTGGACCAAGATCTACGCACTCGTCGATGAGCTTAAACGTATCCCGCAGTCGGGACGCCTCAGAAGGCGAATCAATATCTCCTGAACCTCTCTCAGAATCGCTCATGGGCCCCCCGCCTCGACCAGGGTCAGTCACTACTTCGCCTTCAATCCTCGCCCAAGGCAGCAGGCCCGGGTCTGTGTCCAGCTCTGAGGGTCCGGGTGTATGTCCAGCAACACCCGCGTCATTGATGGGAATCCAGCCTTTGCCGAAGACAGCCCCTCAGCCAGGTTCCCAATCGGGTACACCGTCATTCGTACCGCAAAATGGCACGCAGCCCGTGCTGGATGATTTGACACTGCCTGAAGCCGCTACAGACGAGCCGGTACGGCCTAGTATGTCGCGTTTGGATACCGCCTTCCAAGATGACCAGTCTACGCCTCGGATGCATGCTCGCAAAACACCCAAGCTGGGACCACTCAGCACCCCGTCAGGTCCACTGTCATCGTCCGCAATGAACAGCCCCGCAATAAGTGCTGTGGCTTCGCCAGTGTCGGGAGCGGTGAACGCCAAGAAACCTCAATCTGGACGCGGGAAACAGAAGAGAGGGAGTGTAAGCTCGACGATGGTTAGTCCTGCTTTGCGGCCGAGAATTAGCCCAAGCATCAAACCTCTGCTTCCTCAGGGTGGTACGTATTCCCCTGCAATCGCAAAAATTATACAGGTCACTGACATCGTTACAGCAAGCATGAGTGAAGATACTCAAGCCATGCTTCTCGCAACCAAATCCAACTACCAAAACATCCTCGAGGGCACCCATCTCCCTGGTGTCTCGTACCCAGAGGCCCTTTCTACGAACCTCACATCCAAGCGCACTTCTCATAAGATTGCCGAACAGGGCCGTCGTAACCGCATTAACCTGGCGCTCCAGGAGCTACAGTCTATGATCCCAAGTCCAGCGCTGTCGCCCAAAGACGCTGGCGCCAATCCAGCTGTGACGAATGGAGGCGGTACTGCCGAAGAAAAGGAGAAGGAGAAGGAAAGGCAAAACAACAGCAAGGCAAGCACGGTGGAGAATGCGATTGAGTATATCAAGCTTTTGAAAAAGAAGGACGAAGAGAGAGATCGCAAGATGTTAGAGCAGCGAGAGGAGATTGAGGCGCTGAGGAAGAAACTAGAGACCAGCGCGGGGGTTGCGAATCCCGTCACAGAAGAAGCGGCGGTTAACGGGGAGCCTGCAAAGGACAAGGCGTAGGAGAAGCATCAAATGGAAGGAGCCGAGCATCGAGCTGGTAGCAGCTTAGGAGTTTGGGAGGTATGCGTTGTGATAGATACCCATATCCATGAGCTGGTCAAGTTGCAGGGTGGCTAGCGATTTGATTGTATGGGCGCAGGGCGTACTTCATGATTCATTGTTGTTACATCGGGGCGATGTAATGATTGCATTTTTCGGATTCTGGATTAGATGATTTAGCTATGATAGAAGACCCGGCCGGCCAGATCCGTTGCTCCGAGGATCGACTTATTGCTGGTATATAACTCTTGTAATTGACAATAGAGGTATACATTCTAGATGTTGGGTGTGTATATGTAGAAGCATACGTATAGGAGTATTGCGAGAAGTAAAGTGCCCGATGATGATGCCTGAGGCAGATAGCCGAGGCGGCGGCGGCGGCGCATCCATCTCCATGATCTATGACGCCAATGCGGCTCTAGGCCAATAACAATATCAGCAACAACCTACCTACCGCATTACCATGCCTCCCTTAAGCAGCCATGCCATTAATGCGCATTCCGTACACTGACCCGCTCCCAGCACCTCGCATCCTCCCACGCAGCGCGTCGAGCGTCTCGGGGGCCATCACAGCACTGACGACGTTCCTGACCGCGGCGCCACCAGCCCACCTGGCCAGCACAAGCGCGGCGTCGGCTTCTTCACAGTCACAGCCGCCCCATGGCAAGACGCTGCTGCTGACAGGCGCGGGGATCTCTGTCGCTAGTGGGTTGGCAGACTATAGGGGCACCAACGGCACGTATACGCTCAATAAGTCGTACAAGCCCATCTACTTCAGCGAGTTTGTCGCTAGGCATGAGTCCCGTAAGCGCTACTGGGCGCGCAGTTTTCTGGGCTGGACGAATCTTGAGAAGGCTCGCCCGAATGCTGCGCATTGGGCTGTGAGGGATCTCGGGGAGCTGGGGCTGGTCGGCAGGGTGATTACGCAGAGTACGTGCATCTAGAGGATGACCCAAGACGAAGTGCACACTAACAGGAGTCTCACAGACGTCGACTCCTTCCACCTAACCGCGCACCCCTCGCTCCCAACCACCGAGCTGCACGGCTACCTGCGCGCCCTCGTCTGCCTAACCTGCCGCCACCAGTACCCGCGCGCAGAGTTCCAAGCGCGCCTCGCCGCGCTCAACCCCGCATGGGCGGGGTTCCTGGCCGAAATGCTTGCGGCCGGCGCGCTGAGCACGGAGAACCCGGCCGCGCGGCGCGCAAAGGGCTTGCGCACGAACCCCGACGGCGACGTCGACGTCCCCGGCGTCGACTACGCCAGCTTCCGCTACCCGGCCTGCCCCGTCTGCCTCGCGCGCAGCAACATGGACCGCGACCGCGGCGGGCTGCGCGTCGTCGTGGACAGCGACGGCGCGTGGTGCACGGCGTCGAATGGCGGGGTGCTGAAGCCCGCGGTGGTGATGTTTGGGGAGTCGATTCCTGCAGCGACGAAGGACGCGGCGGACGCGGCGGTCGATGACGCGGGCCGCTTGCTTGTGGTCGGCAGCAGTCTGGCGACGTACTCGGCTTGGCGGCTGGTGAAGCGCGCGAGGGAGCGCGGCGTCCCCGTCGGCATTCTTAATGTTGGCGGGGTGAGGGGCGAGGAGGCGTTTTTTGCGGACGTGGATGGCGGGGAGGAGGGTGCGGCGCGCGCGGTTAGGGCCGCGGAGGACGCGACCCTCGTGCTGCCTGGGGTTGTGGAGAGGGTGAGGGCATTGAGGGGGATGGGTGAGAGCTTGCGTCATGCGGATGGGGTGAGGGCTGGTGTGGGCGGGTGAGGTGGGATGGCTGTGTGAAGTTGGGAAGGTGTATGAGGTTGAGGAAGGCGTTATGCGGTTGCTGGTGCGTCGGATCAGTCAGTACGCCACATACTGCTCCGTCACCGCCAGGCATGATGGGGTCGCGATCACATCTCGAGACTTGTCCCTGAGAGGTAGACTACCTAGACATCTGAAGATCTTGATCAGAGACGGGAGAGACATCTTACATACATCGCAAGCAGCGTTCTGGTTCCAGAGACATGTCTCCCGCACCCTTCACTCTTGTCCACGACACCATGACAGGAATAAGGCGTGATGTAATGTAGGCTTAGGAGTAGGCAACAAAAAGACCTGGCGCCCTCACACGCGCGAGCGGTGATTCAGGTGGTACAGTACACGAGAAATGCGGTCACTGATAGACCCTAATTCTAATATCGCTTCCTGTGTGACGTCCTGGCGACAATAGACAATAGACAATAGAAGGCCAAGCGGACGGCGAGACTTGGTCTTCGATTTTGGTAAAGGGTTGGGAGGCTATGTAACTGGTTTTCTGCAGCTTGCTTGTGTGAGTAGGCGTACGTGTTGGTGGAGGGGTGAGGTGGTGGAAGTGCTGATGAGGGGGTGTGTGTTATGGCTTGCGTTTTGGTTTGCTTCTTTGTTCTTTTTGTGTTCTTTTGCTTCTTATTTTCCTTCTTCTTCTTTTCTTACTGTAGAGATGGTGCCATGGCGTAGTTGTGTGGCTATGGAGGAAATTGGTTGGTTTGGATGTATGATGGCTGGTGTTCGTGCTCGTACGCGGCTATGGCTGTCGGTCAGTGACTGGTGTTCCAGTGTTCTATGCGATTGGGGGCGTGAGGAGTGTTGGATGGAGTTAAAAGCGATATTGAAGTGTTGTGAGTGAGTTTGTAATCGGACATCTAGTGTAGCATGAACGGGAGTAAGTACTTACGCTTGGTGTGTTGATTTTTGATAGTAACTTAGGGCAGTAAGAAAATGTTCGAGAATATGAGGGTAGAAAATTCAAGTTACTGCCCCGTTTACTATAATCTACTATATAGCCTGCTAACATTCTAAAGGGCTTGAAACTGGGAGCGCTAATACTTATTAGCTAATATACTATAAGGGGACAGAGAGTCGCGCCTTACAACCTATATCCGTATATAAAACCACCTCCGCTCTCTTCACGCCATAGCCGACGGGTACATTCGGTTAGAAACCATTGCTCCGTGGCACACGACGTTGCTTGCCTGGTTCCACTGGGTAGGTATCGTATGGTACTGATTCCGCGTGCTACCTAATTCATTTCCTAACTACGCAAGCTACTGCCGACTTACTTTCAGCCCCATCCAGTCTTGCGCCATCACTTAGCATCACTGGCCCATAATACCAAGCACCACCTCCACGGCATCTATATGTTGACCATTTCAGAAGAGGAATGCGGAAGGAGGCCAGCATCTGCTAAAGTAGTTCTAGCATGTTTGAAAAGAGTGATGTGAGTGAAAACTTGCGGGATAGAATTGGAGTAGTTTATGTCTTCAGGGACCGGAACCGATTAGCGCATAACTGTCTTGATTAACTTCAGAATAACGGGGTAATAGTCGAGCTTGGTAGGTGGTTCCTTTGATGCTTAGTGGGGTTGCTTACCTACCTAGGCACCGTTATATAGGGATCCAGCCTCCGTTGATTTCAGGCGGGCAGATGTAAAGATACTGTGTTAGCTACGGAGGACTTCTTCGTGACTCTAGGTAAGAGGCTTATCATATCCCTAAGTAGAGAGAAGCGTGCTGTCTTCCCACGGCACATACGCAAGGGAATTGAGAGTAGTATATTTAAATAACCCCATTAATACTGTATATTCCCCTATGCTACGCTTACTATTACTTCCCTCTAACATTATAATATACTTTATCCGCACCCCGCTATCTAGCCAACCCAACCAGTCTCCCCCGAATTGCCTAAAACCCAAATCAATCCCGAACCCCCAACCCCAACAATCCAGCAAAACAAAAAGTCAAGCCCTTTCAGGCCCTATAAACCCCCAATACCGAGTTTCCTCAGCTTATAACAACAACGCGATGATTCGAACACTAAAACCCCAAGCTATGACACCCAGAGCTTAGGTTACCTTAGTACGTTTACGAATAGCTACTAAACCACTTAACGCAGCAACTCGTTCTTGCTGAGTGGACTGCTGGTAGGGGTTATAAGGGTACCTGCCTACCTAGCTTCCTTAGTAGAGGGATGGTTAAATAGACTAATGTATCGTAGGTACTACTATTATTTACTCTTACGAGATGTTGTCTCGTTGTCGTCGTCTGCACCACAACCTCCCAACTCCCAATTTCATTCAAACAATCAATTGCAAGTACCAATTCAATCCAACCCCATCCAGGCACCACACTCCCCCATCTAAGCAAGCCAAGTACGCATACAACCACCAGCCAACCCATCCATCCAATCCATCCATCCAATCCAGTCGAACCAACCAGTCTACCCATTCTTTCCCAACCATTCATCCAAACAACCACCCAGCCAGTCAGCCAGCTTTCGCCGTCTATGCCCTATTACCGCATCCCATACTACACCCCACCCAGCCGCACTTCTTGCCCTGCGTCTAGACGTCCGTGTGCCAGTGTGTGTGTGCCAATGTGTGTGCCAGTGAGCCAGGGTGCCAGAGCCAGATCCAAAACAGCAGCAGCCCGGTCCAGTACAGACAGCAGTCCACTCCAGCCCAGCTCAACAGTCCAACAGTCCAACAGTCCAACAAGTCCAGAAAAGCCACTTCACCACTCCCTCTCCCACTCGGGCGGTCTGACTGACCGACCGTGTGAGAGTGCGTTTACGTATGAGTCCTGACCGCAGCCGCAGCCGTCCGTTCCGTACCAGTGAGAACAAGTGCGCGGAGCGAGAAGAAGCCGTCCATTGCTGTCTGATGTCTGTCGCGAGCGTGCGTGTGTCCGTCCAATTGAGGTAGGTATTTTCGTTTCTTTCTGCTGCTTTCATTCTTTTCATTCTTTTCATCTTTTCCCACCACTCACTCGTAGCTCGCCACTCGCAGCTCGTTCCTCGCCGCTTCAGTCCTCGGCGACCAGGCCACACCCACATAGGTACGCGCAAAACAACCAAACCAAACCACGCCAAGCCAAGCCAAGCCAATTAATCATACCAGGCCGCCATAGTCCTGCCTCCTTACACCCCCTTCTTCACATCCACACCCACACACACACATACACACTAAGCGGCGACCTCCTCGCCCCCAACCGCAACCAGCCGCTGCCGCCAGCCAGCGCAGACCTCCTCGAACCCGCCGACGACATCACTGCAAGCCTTTGCGGCCTCGCGGCCCTCGAGGCGCTGCTGCCAGCCGCCGCGCTCAATCCACCTCACGCCCTCCTCGCGGAGCTCGCTCTCGCGGCGCCATTCGCCCAGCGCCTCGCGCACGACCTTCAGCCGCCGCTGCGCCACGTTCGACGTCTGGCGGCCCATGTGCAGCGAGTCGGCCAGGTACGACAGCGACTGCAGCAGGTCGTGCGTCTGGTGCGTCAGCGTCGCGAGGGCGTGCAGGGGCGTTGGCGGCGCCGTCGGCAGGTGCGTCAGCGTGTCCGTCAGCAGTGGGAGCAGTGTGTCGATGTCCTCGGGGCTGGGCGGCATGCTGAGCGGCGAGAGCAAGCTCGACGTCAGGCTCGTCAGCAGCCGTGTTTGGTGCGTCAGGTGCGTCGTCAGTGCCGTGTGGGCCGTGATGAGACTGTGTGTAGGACCAAACGTTAGCTGCTGCGTCTTCCCTCTTTGTGCTTGTGCTTGTGTCTCGCTGCAATGCCTGTTCTCGGCAGAATTGGGGGTTCAACGTACCGCGTCGCGCCGCTCTCGACGCCCGCCTGGCTCCCCAAGTCCTTCAGCTGCTCCGTCAGCCGCATGACGACAGCGTCATTGGCGCTGCCGTTCTCCTCCATGCCTCTCCGTGCCAGGCTCTCCACCTCAGCCATGCGCTTCTCCAGGCCCGGACTGATGCCCTCGCTGTCAAAGTCGCTGTCGTCGCCGTAGTCGCTGCCGTCGTACTTTGACTGATTCCGGCGGTGGTGCTTGCGCGCCCGCGACGGCGGGCTCAGCGTGCTCGTCGACTTGGGCGACATGAGCAGGCTGCCGCGCGGCGTGGCCGCCGTGTCCGGACTCGACACGTGCTCGCCGTGACTGCCTTGTGCGTTTGCATTCGTGTTTGCGTGCGTCGGGTCGGCCAGGTCGGCGTCGGTGATGATCTCGTCGCCCTCGTCGCCCTCGTACTCGTACTCATCCTCGTCGGCGTCGGCCAGCTCATCGGCCAGGTTGCCCAGCTCGTTGCCCGCGTTCCCGCCGCCGCCGCCGGCGAAGCTGTGGTCGCCGTGCTCGTCGGGGTATTCGTTGACGCTCGAGGCGTAGCCGTGCGAGGATCGCGGAGTCTCGGGGCGGATTGCGGCGGAGGAGGCGCGGGGGCGGCCGGGCGATGCTGGGGAATCGAGGTTTGACATTGTGGGATTGTGGTGGGCCAGTCGCTGTCGATTGGGGGAGGGGACTGGTGATGGTGGAGGGTAAGGTGGTGGTAAGGTAAGGTAGAGTGGGCGGTGAAGGGAGAGATGTCGTGGTTGTCGGGTGGTGCTGTCGTGTGTTTGTTGTAAAAAGGTCTCAGGCACACACAAACAGCACTAGTGAGGCGCAGGAGACAGCGATGAGCGGTGTCCGAGCGTGGTGTTCACAAGCTGCTGCGTTTCAGGCGGGCGCCGTGAACTGAAGTCTCGACTGAGCGTCAGCCCAGGGTTGTTTTTATTGTTCCCTCCTGAATCGCTGCTCATGATGCGCACTCGCTGCAGGGAAGCTCCCTGCTTCTCTCCCAGACCCTCGCCCGACACACGTACCCGCCCCCCTCACCGCTCCCGCCCTGCGCTACCCAGCTACGCTACTGGCTGGGCCTGCCTACTCTTCACCTTCTCCGATACGGATTATACCCCTCATATACCACCCGTCTTATCTCTATCCCCTTTCTCCAGTTTCAACCGCGCAAATCCATTTCTGCCTACTACATAGATACATAGCACTCTCCGGCCTATGCCGGTACATACACGTGCATTGCATCGCCTCGCATCGCATCGTCTCGCAACATTCAAAGTCCAGATTAACCACAAGCACGCGAAGTCCACTCGAAACGCCCCATCCACTCACAACTGGCCCGCACCCCCCAATTTGAACCCGACCATCGTCTCGACGCGTCTACGCCGGCTGGTACTTGCGCAGCTGCCATGTCGTTAGCAACCCGTCCCAAAATAGAAGCACATATACCATCACTTACATCCAGCGTCAACGTGCGGCTCGAGTTGGCCGACTGGTCGCGCATGACGCCCACCAGCGACTCGCTCTCTTGGAAGAAGCCGTGCTTGAGCGAAATGACAATAAACTGCATGCCGGGTCCTGCGTGGTCCTTGACGTAGTTGGCCACGCGCGTCACGTTCGCGTTGTCCAGCGCCGCGTCAACCTCGTCCAGCACGAAGAATGGCGACGGCTGGAACGAGTGGATCGAAAACAGCAGCGCGAGCGCCGCAATCGTCTTCTCGCCTCCACTGAGGTGCTCCATGTCGCGGAACCGCTTGAGCGGTGGCATCGCGTGGTATTTGATACCTGCAAGGTACGGCTCGTCGTTATCTTCCGTGTCGAGGTACGCTTGACCTCCCAGGGGGCTCGTGCTGCTGCGCGTCAAATCCTTGTATACGTGCGCGATCTGATCCGATATGTGACTGAACGCCTTGTTGAAGAGTTCCAGCCGCTTCTCCTTGACCTCCTCAAAGTCGTCGCGCGCCCGTTTGGCCCCGCGGCGTGCCGTTTCGAAATCTTTTTCGGTCGTCTTGAGACGCGACTCGACGCCCTCAAGGCGCTCGATGGCACGCATGTTCGGCGCCATTTTATCAAGCTCAGAACTCAGGGCATGGATCTTTTCCTGGAGGTGCTCCTCGATTTTGCTGGACTCGCTCTGGATGTCGTTAGTTTTGGGAAAAATGACGAGAGCAAACAACACTTACCTCCTTCAGGTCATCATCCAGCTCATCAAAGTCAACGTTGATGCCGTAGTCTTGCGCTTGCGCTCCCATCAACTGAGTCGCATCGTTGTCTTCGCCGTCGATGTCCATTGCCTCTGGATCACCATTGAGCATTGTATCCAATGGCAACGAGTCCAAGTTGTTGCTCTGCGCGGTAAGGGGGACCTTGACTTCGTCAATCTTGCACTTTCTGAGCAGAGCATAGCGACCCGCGCCGTTACGCTGGACTTCCGCCTCCAAACCAGCAACGGTCTTGAGCGTGCCCTCGACGTTCCTGTTACGTTTTTGCAGCTCGCGCCGTTGTTCCGTAACCCTCTCAGCGCGTTGGTTGTAGGACTCGCGATGAGTGCTGAGTTGCTCCTTCAGCTGCTCAAGCTCGGCCTGAAGCACGTCGATCTGGTTCTGGATCGTTTCTTTTTCGGATTCGAGGGACGAGATGAGAGCCTCGTCGCGTGATTTTTGAACCTCGAGCGACTTGATCCTATCACTAGTCGACTGCAGACGCTGTGTCTCGAAACTCAACTGGTTCTCCAACTTGCTTCGCTGCAAAGTGAATTCGAGCTTCTTTTGCGCTGCCTCCTGTTGCAGAGAGCCCTGCTGAGCTTCGTAAGCGCGAATATTGTCGTAGCCCAGGCGATCACAGAAAGCCGAAAACACCTCGTCTTCAACCTCGCCAACGGAATCTTGGAAGCCTTTGAGGTTCTCCTTGATATTTTGCACACCCTGCGACTGTTCCTGGTACTTGGGCCGTGCCTCGTTGAGCTGCTCGGTAGCAAAGCCGTGCTCTCTTCGCTTGCTCTCGATATTACGGTCTAGCGTCTTGACTTCCTCCCGCATGTAGCTCAAGCGCTGTTCGAGACCAGCCAGCTCGCCCTGCAATGCTTCTTCTTCGGCACCACGACGGTGGCCCTTGGGCATCGCTGCAAGGTCACCGAGAAGCTTGTCTTTGAGTTTGCGGAGATTTTCAATCTCAGTATCCTCCCAGCGCCGGGCATTACGGTCTTGCGGTCCTCTGCCACCCGTCATCAAGCCACCCTTGTGAATGACCGTTCCATCGAGCGTGACGGCCTTCGCATCGACGCCCCTCTGATAGCAGAGGTACTTGGCTACGTCAAGATCGTCGCAAACGATGGAGTTGCCGCACGCATAGGACAACGCCCTCTCCACCGAATTGTCGTACTCGATGGTGTCGATGGCAAGACGCATGCCGCGATGCATACCCTTGAGGTTGGGGTTGATGGCCTTGACTTGAATCGTGTCCAAAGGAATGAATGTGGCTTGACCGGCCCTCTGGTCACGCAGATACTGGATGCAGTCCTTTGCGGTCTTCTCAGTGTCTACAACGATCGAATCGAGGTTGCGACCAAGGACCGTGCTGACAGCCGTCTCAAACTTCTTTTGCTTGGGCTTACAAAGCTCGGGGAGCCTGCCGCGCACTCCTGGGAAGATTCTCTTCATTGCAGCAACAGTTTCCTTGGCACGCAACTCCTTCTCGCTCTCGCGTCGTCCGTTGTCGGCTTCGAGGAGCTTGTTGAGCACATCCTGCAGCTTCTCGTCAAGCTCAGTCTGCATCTGTGCCGTGCGAAGTCGTTCAGAAGTCATGTTGTTGAATTCCTTCTTCTTCGAATCGATATCCTTTTGGGTCTGCTTGATCTGTGCCTTGGTGTTGTCACGACGCTCTCGGAGCTGCTGCATTTCATCTTCGAGCTTTTGGGCCTGCGATTGGGTGATTTCAACCTTGCTTTTGAGGCTGTTGACCGTTTCCTCGTCCGTCTTCAACTGACGGGTGAGATTGTCAATTTTGATCTGATCGGCAGCAGTACGTTTGGTAACCTCGCTGCGCAGTCGACTGTACTCCTGCAAGTCTTCTTCGCTCAATTGGCGTCCTTCTTGCTGCGTCGCCTGGCGGAAATCATCTTCCCACTTCTTTTGCGCTTTCTGCACAGTGCTCAGATCCTTCTTCAGCTGATCGACGTTCTTTGTCTGGCTGTCGCGCTCTTTTGTGATTTCATCGATCCGGTCCTCGTATCTCTTCAAGTTGCGGTTGGAAATGGTGATCTTCTCGTCGATAGGGACCAGGCTGTTCTCCTTTTCTTCGATTTCCCTCTCTTTATCCTTAATGCTCCTCTCGACTCTCGACACGTCACGCCCAACTTTTGCTTGAGAGCGCTTCGCTTCCTCGAGCTTTTGTTCGTACTTTTCGACACCGCGCTTGTGCTCCTTGAGCTCTTCCTGGTGTTTCTGAATTTCCGCGCCGGATTCCTCCATCACGCGCTGAAAGTGAAACAGCTTCCAGAGCACATGCGTAACAATTGCCTGGTCGCGCTCATCCGCCTTCCGGGCGTAGTTTTCGGCCTCTCTCTTTTGTTCCTGATATTGCTTGATTTCAGAGTTGATCGCACGGCGTTGATTGAGCTTGAATCCTTGATCGTCCGCCGCCTTCTCTGCCTCAACCTTAAGCCTCTCATACTCGGCCTTGTACTCCAAGCTACCAGAAATTTGCTCAATGAGCCTCGTGAGATCCTTTGGCGATTGCGATGCGATCGCTTCGACGTCTCCTTGGAAGACCAAAAAGTTGCGCGCTTTGATCAAGATGTTCTCGGCCTCTAACGCTTCGTTGTATTGCTTCGCGTTGACGACGCGGTTGTTAATCCTGTACTCGCTCTGGCCCGCGCTGGTGATGCTTCGTTTCCACTTTTGCTCCTCGCCCGCATCATCTTCGTAGACAGCCATGACCCACGCGGTCTGGGGATCATTGCGCTGGCTGGATCTCTGAGTGGTCTCGTCGTCCGAAACGACCCCGCCGTCAGCCTGGCCATCTGCGCCGTCCTGCTCGGTTGCGGTGCCGTCGGCGTTGATTTTGGATGTTCGAAGGACGCGACCGCGGTAAACTAGGTCGCGCAAATGGCTCGATCGCAAATGTGAGGACTTGATACCCAAGACGAACGAGATTGCGTCCATGCTACATTCGACAGTCAGCCCCGCTCGAGCGCGTCAGCGACAACGACTCACGAATTGGATTTGCCGGAGCCATTAGGACCGATGATGGAGGTGAAGTGAGAGTCGCCGAACAGCAGGACATGATGCCCTCTGTATGACTTGAAGTCTAGCAGCCGTCAGTGACGCGCTCCTTGTGCAGTTGGGAAAATGCGGAGAAAAGCGCACTGAAGAGCTCGAGGCGGATGAGCTTGCCCATGGTGACGAAGAATTGGGAGGGTTCAGCGCGGGGGCGCGCAAGTGCGCGTGGTCGGTGGATTGGGACTGGGGTGTCTGCGTCGTTCCTTCTCAAACACGACGCGTCGATGAACGCGACTTCCAGGCTGGGCCTTTGCGACGCCCGCCGCGCCAAGCCTTCTCACCGCCTTACACATACGGCCTCAGGTATGATTTCATCCCGTGTTTAGCAGGCATTTGCTGGCGACCCCAATCACATTCGCTGTACAGCCACGTTTTCAACAACAACTTCGCACCGCGTCAAGCAGAACCACCCGACCCAAGCACGCAAACGTCTCCCCGCGCACATGATGCGATAAGCTAGGAGTCATTCGCCGGTATGTCCCGGAGGTCCCTGAGGGAATATATTGAAGCTTCGGTGCTCTGGTGGACCTTGTTGCATCAGGTTAACTGACAAGCACAACCATGACTAGGATAGATCAGACGTCAAACTTCCATCAACCTCTTCCTCACCAAAAACCTCCACCTAGCCTACAAATCGTCGAAGAAGGGCTTACCATGTCGGAGCCCGTCCACATACCAAACTCCAAGTCGGAGCCCGCCCTGGGCACAGCCTCAGGGGCCTCGGAAACCCCGCTGGCAGGAGACTCTACACATGCAAACTCAGCTCTTCAAGACGTCGAGGGACACCACTCGTCATCTGGGTCGCCTGGCCTGACCCGCAATGGATCATTCTCAACGAGCAGCAAGTACGATGACGACGACGATGACGATGAGGCCTTCCCTCCTCTCGAGCGTCTGTCTATCTTTGACATGATAGAAAACCTCGCTCTCCCTCAAAGATTCGAGAAATTCCAGCAGACCATCGCAACCCAACGGGATAAGTTGCAACGACAGCAGGAGAGGTTGAAGTCGCAAGGCTTGACGGCCAAGGACAAGGTCATCGACGAATGGAGGAGGCGTTTGCCCCCTACAGCTGACGAGCAGTTGGACAAATACAGGAAGCGAATGCGCGAGTCTGTGGATCGCCTGGGCAAGAGATGGAATGAAAACAAGGCCGTCACTGCCCGCGAGAAGGTCGCGTTCATCGCAGGTGTCTTGAACATCTTCATCAGCGGCTACCTTATTGGCGCGCAGCCGGAGTGGTTTCATATCTGGTACACGGTGCAGCTGCTCTACTTCATGCCCGTGAGGTATTACACGTATCACAAGAAGGGCTACCACTACTTCCTGGCGGACCTGTGTTACTTCACCAATCTGCTAGCTGTTTTGGCCATCTGGGTCTTCCCGAACAGCAAACGGGTGTTCATCAGCACGTACTGTCTGGCTATGGGCAACAATGCTGTGGCGATTGCCATGTGGCGGAATTCGCTGGTGTTCCACTCTCTGGACAAAGTCACCTCGTAAGTACCAGGAGCTTGTTTTGTTTAGCGGAGTCGCTAACCGTGCCTAGACTCTTCATTCACATCATGCCCTGCGCGACACTTCACTGTATGGTCCATCTTGTTGCTCCAGAGATCCAACGGGCACGTTTCCCCGCGCTCTACACCATCATCCATTCCCGGCCCGGCGACCCGGAGCACTACACCCTGCCGCAGATGGTCGTCTGGGCCACCGTCCCTTACGCCATCTGGCAGCTATCGTACCACTTCGGAATCACCGTGCGCCGCCGTGAACAGATCGCAGCCGGACGTCCGACGTCCTTCACCTGGCTGCGAAAGTCATACGCGCCCACGCTTCTCGGAAAAGCAGTGCTCTCGCTGCCAGACAGTCTGCAAGAGCCCGCCTTCATGCTTATCCAGTACTCGTATGCCGTGCTGACCATGGTCCCCTGTCCACTGTGGTTCTGGTACCGCTGGGCCTCAGCCGGCTTCCTCACGACCGTCTTCGTGTGGAGCATCTACAACGGCGCGACGTACTACATTGACGTGTTCGGCAAGCGTTTCCAGAAGGAGCTGGACGCCCTGAAGCGCGATGTTGCGAAGTGGCAGAGCAGTCCGGACTTCCCGAAGACGCCGATGGAGGAGCAGCCGCCGAAGGTGGAGGGTGCGGGCGAGGAAGCGAATGGCTCGGTGAAGCAGGAGAACGGCGAGGTCCCGAACAAGGAGAGTGATGGCGGTATTGAGCAGATTCCGCTGCTGGATAAGCCGGGCACGGCTACTGGTGCGCAGAAGGAGGGAGGGGATGGCGAGTTGAGGGAGCGGAAGTAGGGGCGGGTGTCATGCACACTCATACACATACACACAACAGAGAGAGAGAGAGAGAGAAAGAGAGCTTGCAGTTGGGTTTGAAATCCACCACACGAGCACACGAGAACACGACTTTGCGCAGCAGCAGCAGCAGCATACACAGCTGCCTTTGGGTTCTAAAGTAGCACCACAAATGCTTTGACTCGCCATAAGCATAGCAGATAGGCTCATAAAGAGCCGAGGAGCCGGCAACAAAGCAGGCTAGATAGCAGAAGAGAGCACGGTATTTGGGATTGCGGTTGCTTTGAGCATTCGAATAGGTATTTAGCGGGCGCTAGGTGGTCGGGTCTAGGTAGTATATCGGTCGGTTACTGTGCTGTAGGATGATGCAGCGGCTTTTTGGTGTCTTGTGTCCATAAGGTGTCGTGTGAGCGGTTGTGCCTACCTGTTTGTTTGTGTGCGTGTGCTGGTGTGCGTTCTTTCTGTACATAGATGAGATTTAGGTATGGACCTTACTGCGCGGGCCAGCGACCCAGCGCGGCGGAGAAATTTAGCCACCGCGCTGCGATGACGTCGCGCCGCGTGCCGCGTGCTCCCGACAGTCCGACAGCTTTCTCCATCAGCCCTACGACGCACGTCTACCTACATAACCTTAAACATAGCGAAGAGGTGCATATTGCATATTGTATTCGTACACATCTTGCACACCTAGCGGACAGGACGAGACAGAGAAAGAGAGAGTGTGCTTGTGGGCAAGCTCTGAGATTTGAGACTTGCAGAAAGAGCACGCACGATGGCAACAGAACGCAAGCTCCCGCGCGTCGCGATAACGTACTGCACGCAGTGCAAGTGGATGCTGCGGGCGGGCTATGTATGTTTATTTCGCCCGTCTCTTCCTACCTCAAGTCTTAAGTTACCAAGCGTATTTGATAGGCACTTATCCGTGGAGCAATGCTGATATATATAACCCATGAACAGTTTGGTCAAGAACTGCTCTCTACGTTCGGCACTGCGCTGGGCGAAGTCGCGCTGCAGCCGGCTACTGGGGGGGTTTTTAGGGTCGAGCTGGTACGTTTCTTCTTCTCTATTTCTACTTCGTTCATTTTCCCTTAAATCTTTCTCTTCCTCTACCCTCTATCCTTCTTTCCCATTCTTCCCTCTCCTACTACGTCCTTCTCTTTCGCACTGCTCTCCCGTCACTCCGCCCCCATCTCCCCCATCTCTTGATCAAACACACCCCAACCAACGCACTAATACAACACAACAAAACACAAACACACTAACACCCGCCCCCCACACAGACACACATCCCCGCGAACGTCACGTCCGCGCCCGCCGACGCGTCCACCCAGCCCCAGACGACACTGCTCTGGGACCGCAAGGCCGAGGGCGGCTTTCCTGGTACGTATTCCTGCTTCCTTTCCCCCCTTCTATCCCCCCTCTATACCCCCTTTTGCCCCCTCCTTACACCCCAACCAACCAACCACACAATTTAGCTACACCAGCCACACTAGCCACCACACTAACACCGGCCCACAGAAACCAAACTCCTGAAACAGCGCGTGCGGGACCAGCTCGAGCCGGCGCGGGACCTAGGGCACTCGGATGTAGGCGGGAAGAAAGGGAAGGATGAGCGCGTTGCTGCTAGGGAGGCTGCGGCGGCTGCTGCTGCTGCTGAGGTGGCGAAGAGTGAGGGTGATGGTGGGGAGGAAAAGGGGAAGGGGGGTGAGGAGGGGGAGAAGAAGGAGGAAGTGAAGAGGAATGCGGATGGGAGTGTTTGTGAGGACTGTCGGTAGAGTGTGTGATGGATGTGGTGGGTGTGGTGGTTGGTGGGTACGGTGGCGATGCTACTAGCTGGGTGTTTGGTAGTGAGATGAGGGAATGGAAGCATGGATGGAAGGAAGGAAGGAAGGAATGTCTGTCTATGAAGTCTGTCTATCTACAACCCCAGCACCATATCCTCCAAATCACACAAAGCATACAAACACGAAAAAGGAAAACCCACCTACTCATCCCTCCCCCTCGACAACGCACTGCCCATCTCCGTCTCGCCGACGTCGTTCCTGCCCGTCCCGGCCCTCTCCTCCCTCAGCACGCGCCTTTCCACCTCCTCAAAACCCCTAACAGCAACGCCATACCGTTCCCACACGCCCTTGCGATAGCCCTGCGCAATCTTCTTGACGAAGCCCGCCTCGTCCCAGCGCTTCTCAATCAGCGTCTCGAACGACTCGCCGCCCCGCTCAACCCCCCACACGGCCTTATACGCCGCGCCCAGCGCGCACGCATTGCCCCCGATATCCAGCCTGTAGACGCCCTCGGCACCGCCAAGCACCTGCCCGCACAAGTCGGCGATGGCGGCGTTCTGGCTGCCGCCGCCAACGAGGTAGACGCGGCGCGGCTGTGGTGGCAGCGCCGCGCCGCTGGCTGGGTCCGTCTGCGCGGACACGAGCCCCGCGCTCCGCAGCCGGCAGCTCAGGAACTGGCTCTCGACGATGGCGCGCGCGTCGGCGGGCGCGCCGCCCCACGCCGCCGAGTCCGCCGTTACGGGCTCCAGCGCGTTGGGGAGCGCGGCGTTGGCGTTCAGCGCCGAGTAGTTGAAGCGCCAGTGCCCTGCGCGCAGGTTGGGCACAATTTCTGGGAGCGGGAAGAACAGGCCCAGCTTCATTGGGGCGGTGTCGTCTGCTTGGCCGAGGACGGGCGTTGAGAGTGCGGTCGCGTTGAAGGCGTCCCAGGACTTGCTGTCTGCGCTGTTGGTGGTGGCGTTGAGTGCGTCGCGCACTTTTTCGCGTGCCAGCCCGCCGTTCTTGTAGCACAGCATGAACATGTACAGCCCGGCTGTGGTCGGGTGGTTCATGAAGTGGTATGCGGGGTCCGGCTTGTACTGCGGGGTGCTCATGAGGAAGGTGGTGCTGGTGCCAAGGGAGACGATGGCATCGCCCTCGCGCATAGGTAGCGCGAGCATCGTGCTCGGGTTATCGCCCGTCGAGGGGATCACGGCACATTCCTTGTTGAAGCCGTAGCGCGAGACAAAGTACTGGCTGATGGGGCCGAAGCTGCCGCCCCCGTCCTCTGGCACGTGGCCTAGCTTCTGCTTCAGGTCTGCCATATTGGCCTTTCCGCCCGCGGCCAGCGAGAGCAGCCCTTCGTTCCAGGCGCCTTTGGAAATCTCCCACAGGTCCATGCCGCAGACGTCACTGATGTCGATGGGGGCGACGCGGCCGAGGAAGACGGACGCGAGGAACGAGGACACGAGCGAGATGCGCGACGTGTTTTTGTAGTACTCGGGGTACTTTTGGCGGAACCGCATGATTTGAGGGCCACTGAAACGCTGGGATACGGTCAATCCTCGCTCTTGTGCTCGCAAAGGGAAGAACCTACGTGGTGGGCCTTGCTCCCCGTCACTCTGGCCAGCTCCTCCGGGCCGCCCAGAACCAGATCAAACTCCTCGCACTGCTTCTGGGTGCTGGCGTCTTGCCAATTCGGGCTATATGCATGGCTAAACACGCCCATGCGGACGCACTCTTCGTCATCGCCGCCAGGCCCGCACAGTTGCTCAGACAGGCCTTTCCCGCCCTGCAAGCCGCCCAGGACCTCTTCGGCCTTGGGGCCCCAAAACACCGTCCCGTGCTGCATGCCGGCGCCGGCAACGCCCTTGACGCGGCTGAAGTCGAGGCCGGCCGCTTGCAGCCGCGAGAGTACCAGGTCTAGCGCCTCGAGCCACATGGCCACGGGCGCGAAGATTTCATTTTCGGCATCGTTGCGGAGCACGCCTTTCTTGATGCCGTGATGGGAGAGGTCGGCGTCAAAGTCGACGGTCGCCGAGTGTGCTAGCTTGAGGTCGGATGAGACAACGAGGCCTGTCGTTGTGGTGGTTAGTTGGGGAGGCGGATGGATGGGGATGGAATGGGATTGGGCAAGCGTACATTTACATTGCTGTGTCGAGAGGTCGAAGCCCATGTACAGGTCACCGGTAGCAGCCATGATGGCGGTGGTAGCTCAAATGCAAATGAATTGTGGTGGTAAGTACAAAAAAGTTGCGGGAAGGAAGAGGGGTAGATAAAAGCAGCGAGCTCGAGGCAGAGCAGCGGTCAGGTGCCGGGGAATCGCGAGAGGAGCCGGCGGCGAGGCCACTGAGGACGAAGGGCCATGATTGCTGGAGAAGTGGGGCCACAGTAGCACAGCAGCCAAAGCATCGTGAGTCTCTTGACCGCAGCCTGACGTGTGAGAATGGGAGCTTTGGCCAGACGCGGTGTGGAGCTTTGCGGCGGACGCACCTCAGCCCTGCGACTTTAGCCGCCTCCGCTTTTCCGCCAATCCCACGCCATCTCTTTTACCCGCCGTCTTCTCCTTCGTCCGCCGTCTGTTGTCTGTGGGGACTTCCAGACCGGCCCGCGCAGAATGAAATCGGTCATGGGAAAGACAGGGGGGCACGAAATAGTTTCCGAAGCAGCCGCAAGCAACATCAAATGTCGTCCAATGGGCGCAAACGGAACCATCATGGGACACAGGGTAGCGTTGTGGGGTGAGTAACGTTAAACAATGCAGTAGGTGCTTGAATAAATTCACCAAATGCAATTCACCCAAGTTTACCGGTACGACGACGTTGAGGCTGTTGGGCAGCTAACACGCCAGGTTGCCAACTCCACCAGATCACAACGACGCACAACAAATGCAATCATACAAATAGAGTAACTTAGTCGTTGTTTCTTCCATCAATGCTATCTTTTCTTCTCTCGCTGTTTCCCATCAGCTCATGCTCGCCCTCGTGATCGCGATGTAAACAAAAAAGACAAAAGTGAGCAGAGACCAGCCAGGCAAGCTCTAGACCTCCCGCCCTCCCAAAACTCAAGAAAACTATGTAGCCGCTGCTGTCACATTGCCGTATGTAAACGTGAAAAAAACTGTCCCAAGAGAGATAAGGAAAGAGAAAAACCAGAATCTGACGACAGACCTCCATGCAAGAGAGTTTTCGGTGCCAAAAGGAAAAAGGGGAGAAAAGCAGTCCGTCCGCCCTCGTCCGTCAATCCGATACCAGATCGACCACAACCAGCTTTTCAAGCTCTATGATACAGCCTGTCGGACAAAACTTCATCCCTAGGTATCGGCCGTCGACGTAACCATAACCCAACGCTCATTTCAATGCTCGCTGCATGCCGCGCACATACAACCACATTACTTATCTTGCGACGGCGGCAAAATCGCCTGCATAGTCTCAATGTCCTCGATAACCTCATTGAACGCAGTCGCTACCGCTTTGCAGACGTGGTTCCTGTTCCAGTCGGTCCGGAACTCCCAAATTGCGTCCATAATGGCCGCGTTGATTTGCTCCAGCTGCTCGACGCTCAGCCCCGAGCTCCGCCGCACCAGCTCGGAGTAAAGTATCGCCACGGCCGACTCGTCCAGCATTATTTGCAGCTTCTCCCCTGTCTCCTCTACCGCCCCCTCTGCCGCTGTATTGAGGATGTCGGTTATCGGCGCGGTGTGGTTCTGCTGGTTCGAGGGCGGAATGCCGCCACCGTTACCGCTGCCGCCAAGCGTGTGGGGTTGTTGCTGTTGCTCTGATTGTGAGGGCTGTGAGTTGGTGGGTTGGGATGAGGCAAGGACTTCTGCGGATGAGTTAGCAGGCTTGGTTTTACAGGTGGATTGGGTAGGCATGCCTTGAGTATCCGGCAACTGGGAGCCGCCAGTTTGGGCGGGCCCGGATGCGAAGTCGGGGTGTAGGCCTTGGGTCACGCCATTGGTGGTGCTCTGCGAGTTTTGGAATGGACCCGAAGAGCGGTGCGAACGGTCCGAAGTCTTTTGTCCGGACGTAGTCGTCGAGGCACTGTTTTGGTAGTCTCCGGGCTGCGTGTTTGGTGCCATTTGCATATGAGACGACTTCTGCGAGCGTTGCTGCGTGTCGAGACCGCTCGCAGCTTCTCCTTCGTCGAGCCGGGGCCGCTTGTCGCGATGCTCTTGAGACTCCTGCTCTTGACTGTCGTTCTCATGACTGTCGCCTTCATGCTGGAAAGAATTGGTGATACTTCCCGTTCCGTTGCTCTGGCGCTGAACGGTCGTGTTGTCAGAAGTGGAATATCCATTCGACAAGGAACTTGGTCCAATTCGGCGGACCGGTGTGGAAGGAGGCAGCGGATGAGGTTCAGGCAACTTTTCGCCGAGGGTGATGGGGCCAGAGAGCTCATCAGTCGTGTTGGAAACATCGACAACTTGGTTGCCCGCTTCTTTCTTCTTCTGCTTCTTTTTGACATCCTCCGCCTTGTAAACACCTCTCCAATAATCCCTGTAAGCAACGCCTTCCAGATCAGAGATCAGCTGAGGGTTATTCGTCTTGATCATCTGGATGTCAACTTCAACGTTTGTAAGCATCTCGTTGCCTTTCAGGTGCCTCTCAGTGTCGCCAAACGATTTAGCGTCTCTCACTATAGTCCAAACATCACTTTGGAAGTCGCCCGGCGTTTTGTAAAAGCCATTGGACAAACGGCGCTCGATGTAAGTGATGTCCATGTTATAGAAAAACTTTTGGGAGGCGGTGTCCACAAATCCCTGCCGACCATGTTTGTCCACTGCCCACTCGTACGGCCTCTCTTGCTGTACATCAGACTTGACATAGTTAGGGTCCAGCTCAGCCCAGAGATAAGCTAGTGCTGCTTCATCGACGATACCCGTACGGAACTTTTTGTACTTGAGCTTCAACTGATCCATGATGGGTTGCAAAAGTATCTTCAGGCAGTTCAGCACGTGGCGGTCTGACAACACGTGATTTTGAAGCTCTTCGCGAGTCGGCCGATGTTCCTCTTCCTTGGGCTCCGGTGCTTCTTCCAATTCAGGCAACTGGCGTTTCTTCCTGTTTGGATCGGGGAACTCTGTTGGCGGCTTGCGGATCAAAGCAATAACGTTCTCGAAAAACTCTTTACGTGAGGCTTCGTCCGGACGCTGCACCTTGTAGATGTTCTTTGTGGAATATCCAAACAAATCCCTCAACATGCTGGGATCAAGCTTTTCAGACTCGTGCTCAAGTTCCATCATCCCCAGAACCAGAACAGCATCATTGGCCGGAAGAGCACGGAGTTGACTCTTGAAAAGGCTCATGACTTCGTTGCTGACGGTCTGATACCACACGTTGACGTTGGGGATATAAATAACGGAAGGCTTGTGACGACGCACTTCCTTGAAGAGCTCGACGATAGAGGCTTCCGGGGATTTTGCGGTATCTCCAAGCAGAGTGGGAAGATCAAAAGACTGCACATGCATACCCTCAAACCTGTGGAGAATTGCTGAGCCGAGGTGTTGTTGGCCCATACCTTGCACGCCTTGAATCAAAAGTCTCGGGCGGAAGATCTTGGCGCGGTCAAAATCGCGTTCCATGTTGGCACGCTCGAAAGCAAAAGCGTCATCGCGATCATCGAACTCGGCCTCCTCTAGGGCGGTCAACTTCTTCTTTTGCGGAATTAACCGGTCGATGACATGGGAGATGTTGCCGAGCTGCATTCGAAGAAGAGGCTCGATTGATTTGTGAAGCGGTGCAGGAGCAGCGTTGTTTGAACGCTCGGAGGACGGAACGATTTTGTTGATCGATATCATAAAATCCTTTGCCAAAACCTTTATCTGGGCTGGATCAATGATGAGCTTCTTCGTAGAACCGTATATCTGCGGGTATGTGCCTTGCACCGCGTTGAGAGCCGCTTCCGTACACAAGGCACGCAAGTCAGCACCGCCATAGCCCTTGGTCATGTCGGCGAGCTGATCCTTGAACTCGGGCTGGAGAGGCGGGTTCCAATCCTTGGTATGAATGTCGATGATGGAGCGACGGGCGGCCTGACTAGGCAGCGGGAAGTAGAACTCGCGGTCAAACCTACCAGGGCGACGAAGAGCCGGATCAACGGAGTCGGGGCGATTGGTTGCACCAATAACCACCACCTGACCACGATCATCCATGCCGTCCATAAGAGCCAACAGAGTCGCCACAATGGAAGCGTGAATCTGCTCCTGCTTGCTTGACCGCACAGGAGCAAGACCGTCAATCTCATCGAAGAAGATAATACTTGGCTGGTTCTTCTGGGCATCCTCAAAGAGAAGGCGGAGTTGCCTTTCGGCCTCACCAACCCACTTGCTCAGAGCATCAGCGCCCTTGCGCATGTAGAACGTAACCTTCTTCCCGTTGCTGCTGACGGCGTTCGCTAGAGCACGAGCCAGCAGCGTCTTACCAGTACCGGGAGGACCGTGGAAAAGGACACCGCGTGGCGGTGTCATATGGAACCTCTGGAAAAGTTCTGGATAGAGCAGTGGGAGAGTGACCATTTCTTTGAGCTGATTGATGTGATCATCGAGACCACCAACGCCTTTGAAATTGACACTCTCGTCAACGCCAAGAGGGTTGGAGTCCGACAATGCTCTGTCCTTGTCAAGCTTCCCTAGGTTAGCAGGTCCCCCTCCAAGCCCTTTCTGCTTAGAATCGGCATTATGTGCCAAGGCTGTAGGCTTTTTTCCTGGTGCATTTGGACTGGCCAGGCCAATCACGCCGCCACCGCCAGTCGGCATTTGAATTTCGTCTTCACTGTCGCTTGTATCTGCTCCACCAGCGGCTTCAGGGCCGTTGCTAAGAAACCCGCCAAATGGACCTCCTACCGGAAGCATTCCGCCACGGTAACCGCCTACCATTGTGCGCCTGTTACGTGACGGAGTTGCTGCAGGGGCGGCGTCATCATCGTCGAACTGTATATTGTTCTCTGGACGAAGAAGGCGATAGTCAACTTTTTGGTTTCTTTTGCGGAGCTTCGGTTGATCGTCCTCGTAGACGGCCTTTTCTCTACGAGTGTTGCGGGTCCGGCGGCGTTCTCGGCGATCAAGCTCCAGGTCAGCTGCCTCGTCGGCGAGTTCATCCTGATCTAACTCATCTTCGGATTCAGAGTTATGGCGGCTCCTCTGCGACGATCTAGTTTTACCAGCCAAGCGAGCCGATTGCCTGCGCGAACTGCTATCATCGGTGGAACTCTTTTGGCGCTTACGAGGATGGACATCGGACTCGGCCTCATCCTCTTCCTCTTGCTTGTCATCATCAACAGGCTCAAAGTCGCTGCTTTCATCGACGGCGCGCCGCTTCAAGGCGCCTCTAGTCCGTGGTCGGTCCTCCGTGGTTTCTTCAACTGTATTAATAGTCTACGAGATAATCAGCTTCAGTCACTTAAAAGGGACAATCCAACTCACCCTCACGTTACGACTGCGAGTGACAGGACCTTCATCACTGTCTTCTTCACCCTCAGCATCCTCCTGGGTCGACTCCTGTATGACAGCCTCTTCAGGCTGAGGATCCTCCACCGTTTCGTACTGAATCTCCATGTTGTTGACAGCTTGGCTTGGTTCCACCTGCTTCTCCAGCTCACCTCCGACGTCAGGTTCACCTTCAGCGTCGAGCATCGAGGGCCCCGAGGTTTCTTGCGATGCTTCTATGATGGTACTGGGATGCTTGACGGGTCCTTTGCGGCCTTGGCTCGGATGGAGAGGGCGGTGTTGCGGTGCTTCAGGTTCAGGGCTTCGTGTGCCCGGGCGGACAGTAACGGCGTATTTTCCAGACTCTCCTAGGGCGGCGAGCGGTAATTCGCGATCGTGAGAGATGCGACTACTCCTACGAGTACCCACAAACTCTGGGGTAGTACCTCGACCAAAAGACTTGCTAGCCGCTCGAGTGGACCTCGAGCGGGTGTTTCTGGAAATTGGGACCTTCAGTTTGACGATCAGCGAGGCAGGCTTCTGTTTGCTGCCTCTTTTCGCTCGAGAAGTTGTGGGACGGTCCGATTCTTCTTCGACAATATCCTCCTCGCTCGGTTCCTCGTATTTAATCGGTTTCTTGGCTGCAGACCTGGAGGGGCGACCGGTGCGGTGGTTGACTTCGACTTCTGACTGCTCGCTCGATTCGGAACCGGCAAACGACTCTTCGTCTACGTCGTCGTCGTCGTCGTCGTCGTCCTCCGTATCGACTATATCGTCGTTCGCACCACCGTATCTGTCGCGCTTCTTCTTTGGTTGGCTCTTCTTGTTGGGGGTTTTGGTGGTGCGTGAGCGCCGGGGCGTTTTGGGCTGCTGCGGCGAAGACGCTCCGTAATCGCCGTCGTCTGGATCGGATGCAGTAGGATCTTCGATTTGGAATGGACGTCTACGACTAGCGACCATGGTGCAAGCAATGAGCGGCAAAGGGAGGTGCTAACACTGCATGGCGATCATTGTGTTAGCGGAGAATAGCAAGCAAACAGCAGCGTGGAGGGTTGTTCCCATAACGGGGCTTCGGCGCTTCGCATACCTGGGGCAGCGATGTGGAATGACTCAGGCAGATTATGACTGGGTGGCTGACGCGATGCAGCCAGACGTGAGTGAATGCGACTGATTTGCAGGCGACTCGGGTGACGGTTGGCAACGCAGCGGAGCGCCGACGCGACGCAGAGATTTCGAGGCGACTTTAGGGTGCATGCGACATGAATGAGAAGATTTACAGATGCCTGCCGACAAATCCACAGCGCTGCGATGGGTATCAAAAACCGAGTGGGGGTAGAGAAGGTGGTGTTTTGGTGATCGGGCTTCGTGTTGGAGAGCGCGCAAGTCGCCACGTGATGCCAAGATCAGCATCGGGAACCAATCACGACAACGCAATCCGCGCGCGACACACGCGCTCGCAACGAAGCATCTATAACACGGCATTCAGGAAACGGGAACGACAACACGCCTTTGGGCTGCGGCCGCATGCTGATGCATCGAAATATCAAATCTCACCTCCGCGACTCGTTTTCTCTCATTTTCGAGCGACGCATTCCCCGTCCTGCGACTCTTTCCAGGACCTCAGAGGCCGCTTCCTCGCCCTTCCCAGCTACCCCAGCTACCCGTCGATCAGCTGCAGGAACCGTTGAGGCTTAAAAGCTTAATGCCATTAAGCTCGCTGTCCAGGCGTGCTGTCTTTGTGGGGATGCACGTGCCCTGCCGCCAACGCAACGATCCTTTACAATCCAACGATCGAGTGCTTCACGATATCACTGCAACATATCCCATCCAGGCAATGTCCTTCAGTTTTATTGAACTGGACACCGACTTAGGGGCAAGCTTTGGGTAGTCCTCGCCGCTTCGTACAGTACCCTGCTTCTCAATCCGTCACAACCCTACAATGGAAGGTCGCATGGTGCATCTCGCTGCGCTTATGGTGACGAATGTAGATTTTGAGTTGGTGATGGTTGCTTCCACCCGACTGCAGGAAGTGGAGAGAGAACACAGCGAACGAGCCAAGTGTGTGCGGTTCCCCTTGTGGACGCCTCGGGCGTAACCGAGTTTTTACCGCACAGCGGGAAACAACAATCCAAAGAGTATTTGTAGACCATTCACATTACGAGGTTATGCCTTGTGCAATCTTTTGTCGTCTGATTTCGGATTCAAAATGCTGTTTCTTTTCGCTTGTGAGTCTTCTTATCAGGAAATACAAGTATATATACAGCCCTTTACTCAATTCTAATAGTGTCAACACCCAAATGTTCCAGCAGGCCTAACTCCTGCGTGAAGCCATGTTCGTTTCAAGCCGCTTCACCACTGATAAAAGTATACCACAGTTACGCAGTACTTTCCGTGGCGTTTAAAACCCCAAGAGGATCATATCTGACAGCGCTTCCCGTACAAGCGATCGTACCACATTGGCAGCCATTTCCTCTGAATACCTAGCGCAGTGTTGACTAGACGGACACTTTGAGCAAAGCCTCTATCGTGGCCTGATCACCTGGTCGAGAACTAAACTCATCAATTAGGGTGGACTGAAGGGTGCAATCGAAAGATGTACTTACGCTTTCCATCTCCCAAGACCCATCCCCGCGTATCAACCTTGAATCTACCCTTGTCCTGGATTTGGAGCCGCACAAAACCTTGCCTCATAAGCACCATCTTCGTGTAATTCATCAAAGAGTACAACGCCCTGTTGATGAATCTGCCGGTCGCAAAGAACGGCTTCAGTACCAACGGATCGTTAGCACCCGCCGCTTTCTTGGCCTCAGCGAAACTTTGATTAATCGCTTGAACCTCGAATGTCACCTCGCCTATGGGGTTATCCGCTGTGATTTGTAAAGCCGGAACGTCGATTATCCGGTTCTTGAGTATGGGCATATGCGAAACCTCCACCCTCAACATCACGTTTCGCGCATTGCTTCCCGTCTTTGGGAGAGCCTTGATTGTCCTGACCATTTTATCCGGTGCCGCAAGCAAAAATGTTCCAAACCCTGACCAAAAAATGGCAATTACACCGAAGCCCGCGCCCACCCAGGGCGCGACATCTGGCGGCAGGTTTAGGTACAAGAACTTGTAGGTAAGAGCAGCTGAACCAAAGCATGCGAACGCTGCAGAGTATGCCACTGTGCGAAAACCAGCTTGAGAGGGCGATTGGTATAGAAGCAAAGGCTCTGCGTGGGCAGCGAGACGGTCGACGATGGACCCGGAAGCGCCCTCGGGACTGCGTTCTTTGACCGCATACGGTTTGATGGTAACGGGCGCCTTGGGCGACGCGGTTACGGTTGGCTTAGGAACAGGTTTGCGTGCTGCCGCGGCGCCGAGGCCCGTGGAGGATGTGAAGCAGCGAAGCGTAGACGGGCTGGTGATTCGACATTGAAGGGCGGCGGCTCGGAAATTGGGCAGTTGCCGGAAGAATATTTGGTGCTGAAGGCTGTTAGCACCTCTCGGGAGAGTTGCCATGGTTCCAATGGTCTGTTGATCCCAAGTCGCGAAAAGTGATGCGCGATGCGGATATGTACAAGACCCTTAGCGGCGGTCGAGCTCAACGGGACCAAGACCCGCTCGGTTTAGCCGTGGCCGCCTGACCAGGAGACAAAGTGCTTTGCACGTGGAGGAAGACAAAATTGGTGTGCGAGTGTAGATTGTGAACGTATAAGAGTAAATGGGAGATAAATTGCTCCTTTAATTCACCCATGCCAGAGCTGTTTTTTATCTATGCAATTGAAATAGACTTGCGTGGTTGCGAAAGGCCTGCGGCCATGACTAAATCCCCAGGCATCGGAAAGCTAAACTCCCCGCGCAAACCTCCGACACATGCCGCCGGATTTTCCCAACACCTCCGATACTCTCCAACGTCAGCTCTACTCCCCCCTCCACACTCTCTTTTAGCCATTCCTACTGAGGCACCGTTGCCTCGCTGGTCAAGATGGCCTCTCTGGGCGCTGCCTGCAGACTTTCCGCTCGCGTCGCCGGTCGCCAGTTGCGCAACAATGTCGCGTCCAGAGGTAAGCATAGCCACTCTTGCTCAACGACACCATGCTAATGCGATACGTTCAGGCTTCCGTTCCTCTGCTGCCGTCTCCGCTGCGCAAAACTTCCAGATGCCGGCGCTTTCTCCCACCATGACTGAGGGCAACATTGCCAAATGGGCTGTCAAAGAAGGTACGGCAGGCTCAAGCAAGATGCGGCTGAACCCCACAAGGCATGGCATGTTCGCATATGGCGGCTCGGATCTGACGGAATGTAGGCGATTCTTTCTCTGCCGGCGATGTTCTGCTGGAAATCGAGACGGACAAGGCACAAATGGATGTTGAGGCGCAGGATGACGGTATCATGGCCAAGATCACGGTAATACCCAAGCACCGAATGGTAGGGACAACCGCTGATCCATTACTTAGCAAGGCGATGGCACCAAGGCGATCAAGGTTGGCGAGCGCATTGCCGTCATTGCGGAGCCTGGCGACGACCTCTCTACCCTTGAGATACCGGCCGAGGAGTCGGCACCGCAAAAGAAGGAGCAATCCCCTTCCGAGGACAAGGCTGTCAAGTCCTCCGAGCCTGCACCGTCCAAGTCCAGTGGTTCTTCTGAGGCCGCTAAGTCATCCAGCGGAACCGTCCCTGGCAAGGCCCAGAAGCAGACTTACCCTCTGTACCCGTCTATCCTCTACGCCCTACGCGAGAACGGGCTTTCCAAGGAGGATGCCGACAAGATCCCCGCCACCGGTCCCAATGGTCGTTTGCTGAAGGGCGATGTTCTTGCCTACGCCGGCAAGCTGTCCGAGAAGTCTTATGCCTCCGACCTTTCCAAGAAGCTCTCTAAGATGAGCCACCTCGACCTCAGCAACATCAAGGTTGTGGTTCCCAAGAAGGAGGCCCCCAAGGCTGCTGATAAGGCGGCGGCTGCCCCTGAAGCTATCCCTGAGCCTGACACTGAAATCGCGCTTCCTATCTCCTTTACCGCCGTTCTCCAGTGCCAGAAGCGCCTGCAAGAGACTTTAAGGGTCACCCTGCCCTTGTCCGAATTTATTGCGCGCGCCACCGAGCTTGCGAACGAGGAATTGCCTCGCTCCAAGAACGCTAAGCCTACTGCTGACGAGCTGTTCAATGCTGTGCTCGGTGTTCAGGCCCCCAAGACCTCGCGCGGCTCGTTTATCCCGCAGATCACGGCCCTACCCGCTACCCCTGCCTCTAGACCGGTCAAGACGCAGAAGCCAGACATCTTCGACGTGCTGGCCGGCAAGTCCACCAATGCCACCGCGAAGAAGCCCCTTTCTGGACCGGCAGGCGTCGCTTCGCCTATCAATGTGTTTAGCTTGAGCGTGAAGAAGGGAGAGGAGAAAAGGGCAACTGTTTTCCTGGAGAGAGTGAAGAGCGTTTTGGAGGCGGAACCAGGACAATTGGTCCTGTAAAGGGGTTTGTAATGAAGAACATTGAGCCGATTGTAGATTAGCAGAAGCGGCGTGTTTTGATCTGAAAATATTGAATACCCTCTCAATTCGACTCAAAGTAACGCCTCTCAACGTCAAGAGAGGTTCACCGTTCAGCGAGATAGGGAAGTAGATAAGCAGTCCCTATGAATTACTCCTTGTCTAGTGACAAGCCTGATTCCTGGATGTGACTGAGAAGGTCTTACCTAGAATGCACAAACTAGAATTATCTTAACTGGACTTTGTTTCCATTCCGTACAAGCATTATTAACTCGTTAATCGGTGAATATCGCTTGACGGAGACGAACGTTACGGGCTGGCAAATCTGCTCAACACCTATACATTTTCTATGCACAGTTTTCTACGGTGTTTCCTATTTGGGAAGTGGTGCGTCGGGTGCCCCTTCAGGGATGCGCTACCCATGTCCAAGTTGGACTCTAATCGGCGTCGACATAATGTCAGGCATTTGCAACCGGACAGTTGTATGCATTGCATCACAAAATCCCTTCCATTAGAACAGGTATACAACCTACGTCAGTGACGAAATCTGGAGTTACGTTAACCTCGGACATTCCAGAGCGATCTCCATGAGAAGGGTCTGCTACTCCATATCTTGGCATTCCATTATCCAATTCTTTCGATATCACGGTCCTGCATCTGCCACTTGCTGTTCCCCAGATTTCGACAGTGACCCAGTTTCCAACTTCCAAGTTTGTCGGAGGAGCGAACGTCGCGGGGTGACTCCTTTCCCTCCGTCGCAGAGCCCGCCAAAAAGCAGACACGCAGAGCTGCACGCACGGTGTCACGTTGACGGCATGATCAGTCATCGTCTGCGGTCAGATCCGCAGTCGGCGAGCAAATGTGGGTTCCTCAGGACGCATCGGGCGGGAAGCTGACCGACAAGTTCCGATGCGAAAAGCATCGCTGGGCCGGAGGAAAGGAGGACGGAGGTCGTGTGGTCTGCGGAGAAGTCAGAAGCCGAGGGGTTGGGGGGAGAGAGGCTCTCGTTCCCCTGATGCCTGTTCGTTAGGTGCTGGGATGTTTTTCCGGGGAGGGTAGCCCTGGGCCAGGGACGGCTCCAGAGCCGCGGCAACTCGCGCGAGTCCCTGGATCTTGTGTGGCCTCAACGAGGGCGGCCGCAGCGCAGACAAGGAGAGCAGCGACGAGAGTTTAGGACGCGCCGCCGCGGCCTGCAGTCTTGTATATCGGCCTAGGGATTGCTAATGGCGGGATCTAGGTCCCGTCTTGGCTGGCCTCCGCTGTACCGGTGGTGCCGGAGCTATTCGGGGTGACAAATGCCGACCCTTCACTCTAATTTTATTCGGGGGCCAGCTTGTTGAACGAACACGGTGGAGACAAAGTTCTACGCAGGATCCGTTCCCCAGACCAGCCGCCAGCACGGGCTCTCCCTCCCACTACTTTGACCGCATCTTGCTTGTGACTCCTACTCACACCATCTTGCCATTGTCGCGTCCCTATACGCTGCCACCCCCAGCCAGAACCCTTCAACAATGGCCGCCTCCGTCAAGGAAAGCGTCACAGAGGCCCTGCTGGGCTCCACCGAGGAGCCCAACCTCTCCGAGCAGGCCAAGGCCATCTTCTACAGGCACGCGGTCAAAGACGAGAACGGCCAACATTACCTGGGAAAGGAGCAGTTCATTGACGCCGTTGCGCCGGCGAGCGAAGACTACGTACGAGCCCCCCGCAATCATTGACCCCATGATCCCCACTGTCTAATGCGCCAGCACAGCACAAGATCAAACGCGACCAATACGCCATCCTCTTCCTTGTCGCGGACCGCAAGAAGACTGGCCGAGTGACGCTCCACGACTGGACCAACTTCGACAACCTCGTGGCCAAGCCCGACGCTGAGTACGAGATCGCGTTCCGTCTGTTTGACGTCGAGGGCACGGGGCTCATCAACTTCGCCGACTTTGAGAGGGTATACAATGCGCACAAGGGGGAGGATTCCCTGCCGTTTGACTGGAACTCGGAATGGGCATCGCTATACATTGGAGCCAAGAACAAGCGGCACGCCATGACCTACCCGCAGTTCTCGCAGATGCTGCGCGGCCTGCAGGGCGAGAAGGTTCGCCAGGCGTTCATGCACTTTGACAAGAACCACGACGGCTACATCGAGCCCGAACAGTTCCAGCGCATCATCATCGACACGGCTGGCCACAAGCTCTCTGACCACCTGCTCGAGAACCTCCACACCCTTTGCAACATCTCCGCTGGTACCAAAATCTCCTACGCCAACGTGCGCGCTTTCCAGAACATGATCAGGGAGATGGATTTGGTAGAGCTGATCATCCGCAATGCTTCCCTGAAGAGCTCCGATGGCAGGATTACGCGGACAGATTTCCTCAATGAGGCGGCGCGGATAACACGCTTCTCGTTGTTCACCCCCATGGAGGCCGATATCCTCTTCCACTTTGCCGGCCTCGATGAGCCATCTGGCAGGCTCAGCATTAATGACTTCGCCAAGGTCCTGGATCCCTCTTGGCATACTCAATACCCTTCAGGCGCGGACCTTGTGAGTGACGCTGGCGCCAAGGCGTTCACGAAGACCAAGACCTTCTTCCACGATGTGTTGGAGTCGGCGCACCACTTCGCACTTGGTTCCATTGCCGGTGCGTTCGGCGCGTTCATGGTCTATCCCATTGACATGGTTAAGACGCGTATGCAGAACCAGCGCAGCCAGCGTGTTGGTGAGAGACTGTACAACAACTCGATCGACTGCTTCAAGAAGATCGTCAGGAACGAGGGTTTCCGCGGCTTGTACGCTGGTGTTTTGCCTCAGCTCGTGGGTGTCGCTCCGGAGAAGGCGATCAAGCTTACCGTCAACGACTTGGTCAGAGGAAAGTTCACAGACAAGAAGACGGGCCACATCTGGTGGGGCTGGGAAGTCCTAGCAGGTGGTTCCGCCGGTGGTTGCCAAGTGGTACGTATGGCAAAGCGTCGGTCGAGAGCCAAGCTTACAAGTTGAAACAGATCTTCACGAACCCGCTCGAGATCGTCAAGATCAGACTGCAGGTCCAGGGCGAGATTGCCAAGAGTGTCGACGGTGCCCCCAGGAGGTCCGCCATGTGGATTATTCGCAACCTTGGTCTCGTCGGCCTTTACAAGGGCGCCAGCGCCTGCTTGCTCCGTGACGGTAAGCAAAAGATTCCCAATAGCCTGTATAGCTGCTGATCAATTTCCAGTGCCCTTCTCTGCTATCTACTTCCCGACCTACAGTCACTTGAAGAGAGACTACTTTGGCGAGTCACCCACCAAGAAACTTGGCGTCTTCCAGCTTTTGACTGCTGGTGCCATTGCCGGTATGCCGGCTGCTTACCTCACCACCCCCGCCGATGTCATCAAGACTCGCTTGCAGGTCGAGGCTCGCAAGGGTGAGGCGACGTATAGGGGTCTCACCCACTGTGCCCGCATGATTTGGCAACAAGAAGGCTTCCGGGCCTTCTTCAAGGGCGGTCCCGCCCGTATCTTCCGCTCCTCGCCTCAGTTCGGTTTCACTCTCGCGGGTTACGAAGTGCTGCAGAACATGCTGCCGATGCCGGGCTCGGGCCATGGCGAGGGCGTCCGGGGCCACGTTGAGCCGGCCGTGGGCCTGCACGAGGCCACGGCGCCGCTGCCGTACCTGCGGAGCCGGAACGCGTTGAAGATTATCCTGGACTTGGACGAGAACTTTGGACGGCCCAAGCTGCCGGCGGGCAAGAAGTGGGAAGGCTTCCCAGGCTTTGGCGGCAAGATTGTGGGAGCTTAGAGAGAGCTTAGAGAGAGCTTAGAGAGAGAGAGGGGGGGAACGGGTGGCACGGGAGGGGTGCCCTCGACGGTCATGATACGGCGTTTCGCGGCGTCCTGCAACATCTCGTTTGTCCTTTTGCCCTTTGTTTCGGCCATGTTTTGGAAGAAAGAAGGAAAGATACGTAGAGTACCCACGTACACATCTAGAGAGATTAGATATGTACCCTCTTTCACGGGCGTGCAGGCGGTGTGAGTGGTGCGGAGGAGCGAACAGGTCACATCGAGCCGGGTGGCCCCCCTTCCTTTGCAGGCGCGGCCAATGAAGTGGGCAGAAATAGCGCTCATGCATCGATGATGACAACCCCCTCCTTTCTTCGGCGCAGCGAGGGGGATTGGAACGGTCGCGCCCGGCGTCGATCCTTGGGGGAGGGCGAGGGAGGCTCAGCCCGCTGCCGCACTCAGCCGCGACGAGCCTCGCCGATCCGGTTCAAGTCGGGCGCACGTGCGGGGGAGAGTTGAGGTGGGCGTGAGGGGGAAAAAACATGGGCAGGCCGCGGCCAAAGCCCAGAAGCCAAAGCAAAGACAAGAAGCAGAAAAGGGCAAGGCAAGGCGGGCGCGGGAGCGGCGGAGGGGAGAGGCTCTATTCGACGGGCGTTTCTCCAGCCGTGCGGGCGCGGTGGCTTCAGCTCGTTCAACCAACCCGTTTTCGCGGAGCGGGCAGGCCAATCAGCCGCATGTCACCAACCCTAGGCAGAGCATGCAAATGCCGTGCAAGACAGACAGGTGAAGCAAGTGAGATTCCACGCCGCCAATGGATTTTTCCCGCGTCTGCTTTTTCCCGCACACCCGCCTCTTTTGCCCATCACCACCACGACGACGGCGACACGACCAAGGCCTGACTCGACGGCCCTGCATGCCTCAGCTCGCGGCGCGTGCACCGGTTTAGCCCCGTTCCTGCTTGCCTCTCTCAGCCTCGCCATAGCCGCGCATTCCCTTTCCCCAGCCCGCACCCGCAGCTGGGACCCACCTCTACCTACCTTACTGTTACCACCACCACCACCTTACCTACTCTCTCTCTCTCATCCGTCAAACGCCCCACGACCCCACTCTCTTCTTTACTCTTGTGTGTGAGAGTGTTTGAGAGTGTGTACCTATAGACTCTCTCTCTCTCTCTCTCTCGAGCCAGCTCGCGATCATCGTTTAAGCTTCGCCAACGCTCGTTGAGCCTCACGGCTCCCGAGTTGCACGCGCGGTACGTGATGTCTCCCCCCTCCGCTGCCCAAGCCTTTTCTTGCCGTCGTCTGCTCTTCTTTATTTTCCGACGCCCGCCACTGTTTGTTTTCTCCACGTCTGTCATGGCGCGTCTGGGCCCGCCCGCGGTCGGAGCTATTACCCTACTTGCGGCTCTCCGCTCGAGCCCTTTCGACCCCAATAGTCACCATGGGCTGGGCGGGGGCTCTGCCGCCCGCGCGTTCCCCTCGCCGTTTTCTATTCTTGCAACGGGGGCCTCGCCGCTCTACGTGTCTCTTGTTGTCTCATGTTGGGCCTTTAGGCAGCCACCACGCGATCATTGTTGTTGTCGGCCTCGTCCTAGCGAGCTTATCGCTGACGGCTGTGCACTGCAGGATTGGCCCTTTTTGATCCATCCCGACGGCACGTACGCTCCTCGACGAATTGGCCCAAAAGTGCATCGCGCGGGCTCGAATTCAGCCATTTCAAGCCGGCTTCATCCCGAAGTCCCGTCGGACTTTTCTTTCACGTTTTGTGCACCTATAGTTGAGGCTGAATAGCCTCGCCTCGATCGCCGAATGTCCAACTACGATTCCGACGACGCCTTGCCGCACTCCCCGGGATTGCAAGCAATCAGGTTCAAGTCGACGCCCTCACCCTCCCCTCCCCCGTTTCCTCAACAGCACACCGCAAGAGTCGTCACTCAAAGCGTCAGTCCTACCTCTCCCCGCCCCAGACGGAAGCGACCTAATCGGACTCGGCCGAGCCAGGGCGATACGGTGTTGCTTAGCTTCCTTGACCCCAACCGCCCAGATATCGCGCGGGAGGCTGGTAAGCGGGCTCTCAACTCCGATTCGGGGTCGGAGGTCAGCGAATCGGAGGGCGATATGCAAGACTCGCCAGAGGAGCTGCGCAAGACTGCTCGTAAAGCAATCACTGAAGTCCTCAAAAACCATGATCACGATCCCGCGACACCCGAGGGGCCTCCGAAAGTCCAAGAAGTAAGATCAGACAAAGATGTCGATATGAATGGAGTCTCGCCGGCTCCCGTACCGATCGAGCAATCGAAAAAGCGCGACAGCAAGACTTTTGTGCACACGACCTTCACTGGGCTGCCGACTCCTGAAAACTTTCCCTCTTCAAAAGGTAACAACGAGCCAACCCCAGCGTCTTCTACGTACCACGAGGAAGACTCCCTAGCCACGTCGCCGAACTTGCGCGACTACACCATTCCTCCACCAAAAGATTCTCCGGACAAGATCCTTCCTGCTTTGAACCCTACATCTCCTGGCCGTGACGGCAACGGCCAGAGTTCACCTAAACAAAGTCTTCCTGGATTCCGTCATATCAGCGAGCTCGCCGAAGCTGCAAACCACGATGCCCAGCAAGCTCAAGCCAGAGAGCATACCTTTGTCCACAGATCATCAGTATCTTCAACTGGAGCTGGACCCAGCCTATCACCGACGCTAGTATCTCGCATACCCTCCATGAAACGAGCATCACCGCCACTTTTCCCGCCGCTGAATCCGATTTCGCCTGCTGCCAGCCATAGTGACGCAAGTCCACACGCGCAAGACTCACTGTTTCCTCTCAAGACGTTGAGTCCGTCGTCTGCCGCCGCGCAACACTACGGCTTTCCTTCCTACAGGCGGCTCAGCCAGGTCTCGGATAGCGGGCATGCAACGTCGTACATAGGACATCCCCCGCCGCTTACCTCAGCGAGCACCACGGAAAGCTATTCCAGCGGCAGCGTCGACGGATATAGCCCAAATGCCGGACCTCCGGGTGTTGCGCGAAGTTTAAGCATCGATGAGCTTACACAGCAGAACCACCAAGGATCCGTGCACGGGCTCAGTCCGCCGGGAGCACTTCCGCTCAGCCACGTTCCGCCGCATGGGAGTGCGGGGTTCAAGTGCGATCATCCGGGATGCACGGCGCCACCATTTCAGACGCAATATCTGCTAAAGTACGTGGTGTTTTCATGTGTTTTTGCTATGTCCCTCCTCAAATATTCAAAAACACTTACCTTAAACAAGGCTAACTGATCCTCCCCGCCCCAGCTCACACGCAAACGTGCACTCTCAGGCGCGCCCGCATTACTGCCCTGTTCCCGGCTGCTCACGCGCCGAGGGCGGCAAGGGCTTCAAGCGGAAGAACGAGATGATACGACATGGCCTCGTGCACGAAAGCCCAGGTTACGTGTGTCCGTTTTGTCCGGAGAGAGATCACAAGTACCCTCGGCCGGATAACCTGCAACGGTACGTCCCCACTCCGGAATTACCTGCTCCGTATAATCCCTGTCAATCGAGCACCCGGGATATGAGGCTGACCGTTTACCCTCCAAAAGGCACGTTCGCGTTCACCACATCGACAAGGAACGGGACGATCCCCAGCTCCGCGAGGTCCTGGCTCAGCGGCCAGAGGGTGGCGGAAGAGGGCGCAGGCGCCGCGTCGGCACCTAAAACGCAGCCACTGCCGTTTCTCAGATGGTTCCTGGTCTTATGCGTTTGATTTCGATCCGCGCAATCGCTGCCTTACCTCGCAACGGCATCTGCAGGCGTTGAGTAGTCCGTTTGATCACGAACGTCCGCGGTTGACGGAACATTGCTCGTGTCATTTGCTCTCTCGACTGGAGGCGTTGGGCGCTGTGGAGCTGCGGCGGGAAAATCCGTGGCCTGTTGCTTTCTAACACTATTATTCCAGGGCGGCGAGATCGAATATGGCGCCTGCTCTGTTTGGCTCGATTCCGTTCTTCCAGCCTCTGGTTCTTTCTCCCTTTTCTCGACTCTTTACCCAGGAAAAAGCGCTATGGTCCGCGGAGTCGCTCAATCGGTTGATCCGGATGATCGAAGGGAGCGGACGCGTTGATTTCTCTTCACGATCGTTACGACTGCGGTGTTTGCGAGCGCTGGGATGAACAGACTACGACAGGGTCTGTGGTTTCATTCTCATCAGTTTTCGTTCATCTTCTGCTCCTCTTATTTTTGCTTCCCAGACGCCGAGCCATTACCCCGTGCACCAGTATTGTCGATGGGGCTCGGTGCCTTTGTGGATGATTATGCGGCCGTCGCTCGCTGTTCTGACGGGTCATGGGGGGGGGGGGGGGGCGAGCTTCACAGTTATAGGAAGGAACGGCGCGGGAATGGGATTCCCTGCATATTTCAGTTTGTCGATGTCGTCGCTGCCGCCGGATTTGTCTCGCACTCGCTTTTTCCCCGTTTTCGTTGCTGGCTCTGCAAAGGGCTGTTTCTCGTTTTTCTTTTCGTTCGACTCCGTTATTTCTCTTCCCCCTCACGAGCTTGTATGGCGCGCGGCCTACGGGTCGTCGCGGATGGAATGGGTGGGATAGGTGGGATGGGAAGGCGAAGACCTCTCCCTCGCTCCTTGTCCCATGCCATGGGTTTCGCGGTTCTGGTTTCCTTTGGCTCTGTCCCGCTGTTTTCTTAGCATTTTTCTATTTTTTATTTGTCTCTGCGCCGGGGTGATTGCGCGCGCGCTCGTAATTTCCTAGGTATTCTCTTTTGTCATCAACCACTCCCCCGTTTCCTAAATTTTTCTTTCTTTCTTTTTCTTTGGTCGGACTCGGGGTTAGGGCTTGCGGGTTGCGGGTCGGGGTTTAGGGCGCGCCCCAGGGAGGCAGGCGCTGCTAGGGCGAAAATTGCGATATAGGGCGCGTTTTTGGGATCTGGGCTGCGGATGGGATGGGATGGGATGGGGAATGAATGATGGGCAATGGGCAATGAATGGGAAGGAAGAAATGGATGAATGACTAGATGGATGGGAGGGGCTAGGTAGGATTTAAAGCGCGCGGTGTGCTGCTGAATGGGATGCATTGGATTGCCCTGCCCTGCCCTGCTTAGGCTCGCTCGACCGTGTGTCTTGGGTGGCTGGCTGTGCTGTGCGGGAGCGCGCGGGTCAGCCTCGTGTGTGCTGATGTTGACTGATTAACTATGATGTGATGGGGTGGGCAGTGGGCAGATAAACGAACAAACGAACGGGGCGGGCAGGATGCTTGTCATGTCATGTCATGCATGGGTACCTGAGTGCCTGGGTTCGATCTGATGTGGGATCTGATGTGGGATGTGTGTGGGATGTGAGATGGGGGCATGGGGGATAGGCGGCCGTGGGGTGGGATGTGCTGATGTGCTGCTGATGTGGGGCGACATGGAGGCTTCGGTTCGGTCTGGTTGGGGACGATGGGTAGGTACCTAGGTTGGCTGGTTTGCTACCTACCACAGAAGGTCGGGTTGGGTTGGGTATCTAACAAACAAACTGGCTGGCACGGCAACGGCATCGACGGCATCGACGACATACTTGTAGGAGTGCTGACAGCCCACCAACCAACTAAATGATTCATCACCATTCAATACCACGTAAGGCCAAGCACCAAGCACCAACCAAGCACCATTGGAGTAGAGGGAATCTCAATCGGCAGCTGTCTCGGATGCTGGAAGCTGGCACAGAAACTAGGCCCTGGAGGACGGGCGCGCGGCGATCTGAGCCTGCCACTCAACACTCAAGCTCACTCACTCACTTGCTTGCTTCGAGTAAGATGCCGAGCTGTCCGAGAAAACGTCAGGATCCGTGGGTTGTTGACTGGTTGGGAGGAGACGGATTGGCCAATCACGTGCAGTACAGGTACCTAGCCGCCAGGCCGGTGCCGGCACAATTCCGCCTGGGTCCTGGCACGTCGCCGCCCGCCCCGCCGCCGCATCTCGGCTCTTTCAGCAGCTTCAACTGCCGTGCGTGGTGGGGCGGGGGCACTTTTTTGTGTAGGTATATTCGCGATGCGCCCGCCGCGCGCCTGGAGGGGCCGTCGGTATTTCTGTGCCGGTTTTTTTCCTCTCTCTCTCTCTCTTTTTCTCTCTTTCTTGAGTTGTCATTCACATCCTCCTCTGTCTTGTGTCTCTGTTTGTTGGCATTTGATATCCTTACCATCTCCGCAACTACCTATCAACCACCACAATGGGCCTCCCCACCGGCGTCTACAGAGCCGACCACGTCGGCTCCTGGCTGCGGCCCAAGGCCGTGCTGGAGGCGCGCGAGCAGCACGCCTCGGGCGCGATCACGGCGGAGCAGCTGCGCGAGATCGAAGACAAGCACATCGACGAGGTGGTGCGCAAGCAGATTGAGGCGGGCATGCGGTCGATCACGGACGGCGAGTTCCGGCGGGCGTACTTCCACCTGGACTTCCTGAAGCAGCTGGACGGGGTCGAGGTGACGGGGCAGCTGAAGAGCAGCGGCGCGATCAAGAACGGGTGGGCGCCGCCGGTGCTCAAGGTCGCGGGCAAGCTGGGGCACAGCCGCCCCGTCCAGGTCGCCGACTACGAGTTCCTCGAGCGCTCGATCGCACAGAACGCCCCCGCTGGCGCTATGACGAAGGTCGCTATCCCCTCGCCCACTATGGTCCACTTCCGCGGCGGCCGCGCCAGCATCGACATCGCCTCGTACCCGGAGCTGGACACGTTCTTTGACGACCTCGCCCGCGTCTATCAGCAGGAACTCGACGATCTGTACAAGGCCGGCTGCCGCTTCGTCCAGCTCGACGACACGAACCTCGCGTACCTCTGCGACCCCAAGATGCGCGAGCAGGCCGAGCAGCGCAACGAGGACCTGACGACGCTGCCAAAGCGCTACGCCGAGCTCATCAACGCCGCCATCTCCAAGCGCCCTAAGGACATGAAAATCGGCATCCACCTGTGCCGCGGCAACTACCAGTCGCAGTGGTTTGCGTCGGGCGGGTACGAGCCGGTGGCCGAAGTCCTCTTCAAGGACCTCAACGTCGACGCCTACTTCCTCGAGTACGACGACGCGCGCTCCGGCGACTTCGCCCCCCTGCGCCATCTGCCGCCCCACAAGGTCGTCGTGCTGGGCCTCATGAGCAGCAAGAAGGCGGAGGTCGATGACCGCGATGAGATTGTTAAGCGCTTGCGTGAGGCCGCCGAGGTGTGCCCTGGTGGCTTGGACCAGCTGTGCTTGAGCCATCAGTGTGGTTTTAGCTCGACCGCTGAGGGTAACGCCCTTTCCGAGGAGCAGCAGTGGGAGAAGGTCCGCTTGGAGGTCAGCATTGCGAAGGAGATCTGGGGCGAGGACTTGTCGCAGTAGACGAGGCGTAGCTGAGCCTTTAGGCGAAGCATAGCTGAACTTTTCAGGGGAAGCATAGCTGAGCCTTTAGGTAAAGCATGGCCGAGCCATTGACGTCTATCTACGTCTCCCTCCTTTCCTTCCCTCCTTCTTCACGCAACGCAACGAACGAAACAAAAAACAAGACAGATGCCCCCCGCATCACGTCTTTCATGTAATCGGCACCACCGCCAACCAACAAAAAAACAAAAATGGGCTGGCTAGGTTGCCCTTCAACGAACTTTTATAGGATATCCCCGAATCAACTTCGAGCGAGTAGTTCTTTTTTTTTTTATTTATGCTTATGCTTCTTTATCTCACTGCTTGCCTGGTGCTGTGATTGTGTCTTCCCGGTCATGTGAGCGGATTCATTTGATATGGGCGAACCGCCGAAACGAAAGCCATATTGTGGGGTGGGGTGAGTGTGGTTGTGTGTTGCGTGGTTGCTTGGTTGGTTTGCCTCATACTATACCCATGCCAAAGCACATGCCAACACAATCCATCATTCCGCGATTACAATCACGAACATCACGGCGTCATGATATCGAGCAGCTACATAGATATTCTACAATTCTACAATTCTCCAAATACGACACATCAACTTTCCACTCCAGCACTTGGGTTCTAAAGGAGAAGTTCTTGCTTTGGCAACCAGGTCCTAGTTATCATGGGCTTGCGTGCATTTTTCTGGACCTGGAGGAAAGTCGAATTCGTTCGGTTCGTGAATGGTTGCTATGGGGTGCGCTTTTGTGTTGAGAGAACGTGGAATTTGCGTTTGGTAGCTGGGGACACGGCACTGCTGCGGCTGCTTACTGTTTGCTGTCTGCTGTCTATTTTTGCTCGCTGGTGTATGTGTAGTTCATGGGCTGTGGGCGATTGCTGGGCTAAGAGGACTTTTGTGGTGCGTGATGTCGGTGTACTTGGAAATAGCGTCTAATGCCATAGAGCTTGAAGACGGCAATACGTAAGAATGTCATCTGTGGCGGCATGAGCGCTGGAGCATTGTCGAAGACTCGAAGTAAATATTTGTCGTCTGCGTGGAACAAGGTGCTGCTTGGTGAGACGGACCTGGACTCCAGAGCTCTCCTGCTTCGGCCTGGTGCACCGACTCGGGGTAATAAGACTACCTACGGTACGGAGGCGATTCTGGGGGATTCGTACGACATGGAGCTCTCCACTGAACCTTTTCCGTTGAGTTTGAACAGTTAGATCGCTGCAGGTGCCGTTACATTTATCTACGCAGACACTTCCGCTGCTTCATGTCAGTCGAGCAGGTTCTCCAATGTTAAAGTAGGTGACATTGTGGACAACGAATACGTCGACCTAGAGATCATGCGAGGGGTTCCATGGCAGTGATGGCGAAATCGTCGACTACGCATACACCAGTTTGAAATTCAGTTGTTTAGTGGTGGTGATGATGGCGGTGGTAGTTTTGGGATGGTGATGAGGGTTGGCGGGTCTGCGTGGTGGTGGTTAACATTGTGTGAATGTGGAGTTGTGGTGGTGTGCTTTCAAGTTACTATCACGATGTCTGAGATTGCAATTTGCATACCGGCAATGCACTTGGAGTCTGCTAAATTCGATCATTGCCTTGACCAAGTTCGCGTCATGGTCAATTTCGATAGCACTGAGATGTGTTCGGAGTCAGGGACGTAGGTTCTGATGAGTATATCCATTCGTGAGAAGGGGGAGTTGAGTATGGTGAAATAAGTGCGGTTTGAGTAAGAAGAGGTTCTGTACTTGTCATCGTCACTAAGCTCTGAGTTTGCAGTAAGTCTTCCTCTTTGCGGCTACGGAATAGTTAGTTTTGTCTACGAATGATCTTTTTCGACTTGGTATGGTTTGGTCTGCTAAACAACAGTGAATGATTCTATTACATCGCCCACAGTTTGGAACCAGAGATTGTGTTAATGGTAAAGTGGTGGTTGTAACGGCGGAGATGGCGCCTCGAGCTATCTTGACTAGATGCGCTCTATAAATGTCTGAAATCCTTCGCCAGGAACAATCTTGGGAGGCTATAATCATTCTGAGCCGCGTCACAATCAAGGCGATATTGGAACAAAAGAACCGGCTGTGCCCCGCTCATCTCAAAGCTAGGCCCGAGAAGCGGCGTAAGAAGTGAAAAGAGCGCCAGGAGCCGGGTGACAGGGGTGGCGCTGGTGATGGTGATGACCGTGGTATTGTTGTAGTGGTAATAGTGATATTGCTGAGGAAAGTAATAATATCACCTTCTTATATATCAGCCCGTTGATCTTCAGTGGTCCTCCTAAAGAGTGGGGTTTGAGACTTGGACGTCGAGGGAGCAGCCGAAGGCCTACCGAAGGTGTATTATATCGCTGATACGGCGTATCTAGCTTAATAAGTTTGGTGCTAGGGTTGTTGCTATGGACCGACCTTTTCATAAGATTTTTGTTTAATATGGGCACTGGCAAGTAAGTCATCTAGGACTCATTATTACCCTTATAGTTACCACAGGCAAAGTAAGGATTGCTTATATTAGAAGTCATTAATCTTTTAAGATACATTATCTCGCGCTGTACCTTATAAACCTCAACGTTTTTGCGCTTAAAGTATAAAGGAAAGGAAGACTAAGATGGGTTTAAAAACGGCGTGCTCGTTAGAGTAGGAGATCGGAGCATCATCCTTAAACTCTCATCGTCACTGATTTCTAAGACTACAGAGACAGCTTCTTCCTTTTACAGCTACTAGCCAGTCAATTCCCTCTGTTAAGAACTTAAACCCCCCTTTTTTTCTATTAGCTTTCGAGCTTTCGTCTACACAACAAACAGAGACCCAAGCGACTTTGTCGACTACCAGTATGGGCCTAATCACAGGGGGCTGTGCGAAGAAGTTGCCCACCTAACTAGACACAAACTATTTACACTATAGATAGGATCGTTTGACGTTTGTACTCGACTCTCAAATGATAACTATCATCATACTTTCTAAATAACATCCATCATCAAATAACTTTTGTGGCCTTCTCCACATTCTCGGAAGACTTTGGATCATTTCGATAGAATTTCATAAATTCGATTAGGACTTTCCCTTTTAAACTCTTCACTGCAACTAAGACCTTAGCTCCAGTACATTCTTCCAACTCGTCGTTCAAAGCTGAATGTAGAAGATTGGATCGCTATACCGATTAAACGACGGTGTCTAGTGGCCTCTTATAAAATTCTGATACTTTGCTAGGTTCATATGTAATGTTTGCTTCTTCATATGCAGCTTGCTTTACAATTTTCCGTTGGGGTGTGGGATTAGGTGGGCTTCCCTAGCATTAACCACCTTTACTACTACCTCTAACCAAGCACCGGTGAGATTATAAGCAGATAACATAGATGTTTTATCCGCGGGGGTTCAAAAATGGTTTAACCTAGCCTGCAATCAATAGTTCTTCTGTATCAATTTAACAGCATTGATTCTCCGTGTGCCAAAGCCCAGTCCGCAGCAAACCTCATCCGACCCGGCCTCTTTCAGATCCAGAAGAAGCTGTAGATATTAAGTGCTTACCTTTCAAAGCTATGTGTCAATCGCCCGACAGTGCTGTGCAGAGAAGGTACTAGAAGAGCTCACTGACACCAGAGCTAAGCTTGGGGCTCTCACTGAGCGAAAAGCGCCAAAGCTCCGCCCACTAGAGGAAGTCCACTTACGCGTCCCTCCTCAGCCAGGCTCCAGCAGCGCCAACCACCAAGACAAGCGCAAAACTTCATTTCCTCATCAACCAAGCATTCGTGCAAGCGGCTTCGAAGCTCTAAAACAAAGCCCGTCACGTGCACGACCAACATACCAAACGCTGGAGTTCTGGGAGTGAACCATTAACGGCGTAGACGAGTCCAGTGGGCCATTTTCACGCTCCAATAAGGGTGCGCTTCGTTGCTTGGGTGAGCGGGCAGTTGCTTGGCATTATTGTGAAGCATAGCACGTATGCAATATGCAGCGAACTTGCACGGGGTTGGGTTTGCAAGATCAAATTTGCGGCTTTGCCCGCCGTGTCTTAATGTCGCAGCTTCGGTGTGTGGATGCAGAGGAAGACGCTGTGGTGGAGGGTTGCTGGTGTGCATGCGTGTCGTGTGCAAGTGTGTTTGGTTGGGATGTTATCATGTTCTGGTGTGCAGTGAAGGACAAGAGAAGGAAAGGGGATGTTTCGGGTTCTGGTGTACTGCACTTGGTTTGTTTGGGCTCAACCGGTTGCTGTCCGGTACTGACTCCAATGTCTTCTTCATCATGGCTGAGAGTCCGATCTGTTTCTTCCTCGAAATCCCGCAGGTCAATGCGTTGCAGTGCCCAAAACGGTGTCCACAGTACTCGTAGACAGGACACCTGGCTCGACTTACGTGCCGTATTCTGGCAGAGGGCAGTAATAGCAGCGGCATGTCGTGTCAAGGAGGAGGAAGGTGGAGGCGAGAGCTGGCATGTGTTGGACGTGATGTTGGGTGGCAATCGGCAAACAGATGCTCAAACCTAGGCAGGCCGTGGAGGAAGGAAGTGAGGGATGCGGCCACAGTCTCCGTGTTTCTGATACAGTAGACAGATTCCTGCGCTCCTTCGTAGCTCTCTTGAAACACTCCCACCCAACCCCAACTCAGCAGCGTGAAGAAAACCACGGCCGCGCCAGCCACGCAAACAAGCAAGCAGAGCCGCTCGTCATCGGCACGAGTACTACTCGTAGGCAGGTGGTCTCGACCGCGCCGCCTCCTCCTCCAGGAACGACGCCAACGCCCGAGCCAGGGCCCGCGCTCGTTCGACCAGCACAGCAAGGCGTGGGCGGTGCAGCGCAACAGCGACCGCAACAATAGCAGCGCGCGCGTATCCTCGATCTCGCAAATCGCAGCCGCCCGCCCCCACCCATGGTGCTCCCCACGCGCACCCGTCGGCGTCACGTCAACGTCGCTCATCCGACACGCACGGACGGCCCTCCTCGGCCCTTCCCTTCCTCTCCCAGATTGCGGGACGCTCGCGGGAGATGCGACGCGACGCGCGACGTCAACAACGTCTCCATAGGCCCCTAGGTACCGTCCAACGACCAACGACCAACAACAGGCCCACTCAAACCTACCTACCTACGCTCACTCACGCAACGACGGCAGCCCAGATCGGTGCGCGTGCGTGATGGTAATCCGTAGCGCATCGTAACCGCGCGCGCGCGTGCGAGATGATGAAGATCATCAGTCCGCCCGGGTCCGGTCCTGTCCGCCGGACCGCCTCATGGCGACAACGTCGCGCTACTGGGCGCTACTGGGCGCGGATGCCGTTAACGTCGCTTGCCTGACGGAGCGGCACCTCGTGTCCCTTTTTTTTGTTTCGTTCATAGTTCCTGTTTCGTCGGGGTTATTTTTTCGCGCGCGTGGTTGGGCTGGCTTGGTCCCGGCGGCTCGAGTCAGGGCGTGGCTGGCGAGCGAGAGGCTGAAAGGTTGGGCGTGCTGGCTGGGGCTGGGGGGATGGATGGATAAATTGGTCGACCCACCACGCACGGCAGTCATGCGCGAGTCGACGTCCCGGAGCCGCAATCAAAAGAACCCATACCTCGGTACAGGGGCCGTTTTCAAGAAAAGAAACACTGGGAGAAGCAGCGGCAAAAGAGGGCAGGCGAGCAAGATCTCAATATTACACGGCGTCAAGGGAAATTAACACATTGAAAGAGCTGCGTACAACTTACATTGGCACCCCACCCACTATACCTACCTACGCACGCACGCAACCGCTCGTCTTACCAGAGCATCTTCTTCCGCCGCTGCACGAATGTTCTGCTTCGACGACGACCTCCCCGCCAATATGGCGCACTCGGCGCTGCGGTGCAAGATCTCGCCCGTCGACGTCCGGCCGGGTTCCTCGAGCGCCGCCGCCAACAACCACAGCAACAACACCAGCAGCAGCAGCAGCAACAACAACAACAAACCCCCTCCCAGCCGCAGCAGCAACACCAGCAACAACAGCGCCAACAACAGCGCCAGCGCCTCCTCATCCACAATCTCCTTCTCCGCCTTCAACGAAAACAGCAACACGACCTCGAAACCCAGATCCAGATCCAAATCTAGAACCAGAACCAAACTCCCACCCGCAACCGCACACGCACCCGCGCTCCCACCTCCGCCCCAACACCAGCAGCAGCAGCAGCACCACCACCACCACCGCTCCCGCCACGCCCACAGCCAAAGTACCACTGTCGCAAACACCAACACCAACGCAGCCCACACCTCCCGCCCCCGCCACCGCGCCTTCTCCCTCTCGCACCGCGCATCCGCTGCCGCAAATCCCGCTTCCGCTGCGGCGTGGCTCGCGCCACCATCGCCCTGTCCGTCGCCCTCGCCTTCTTGGTCCGCTACCGCTCCTGCTCCTGCGGTTAAGTCTACGGCTACGGCTAAGCCCACGCGTGCCCCTACGCCAATGCCTATGCCTGCGCCTTCGGCTTCGGCTTCGCCAAAGAAACTCGCCAAGCAGTCGGCGCGGCACGCTACCCCGTCGTGGCCTTTGGTGGAGGGGAGGGGTGAGTGGGTTAGCGGGAGCGCGGGCGCTGGTCGGAGGGTCAGTGGGAGTGGGAGTGGGAGTGTAGACGGTGGTGGTGGCGTCGAGCGCAGGGACTGGTGCGCGAGCGCGTGTGCGAGTGCGAGTGTGAGCGCGAGCAAGAGCGAGGGCGGTCATGGTCATGGTCGTGTCAGCGGTGGTGGAAGTGGCAGCGGCGGAAGTGGGAGTGGCAGCAGCAGCAGCGCAGCGCGAGCAGGCGCGCGCGTGAGAGGGTGGACTGGTTCTGGCGCTGGCGCTGGCTCTGGTACTGGCATGGCGTCGGGGCTGGGAATAGGGATAGGGATAGGTGGGGATAGAGACAGGGACAGGGACAGGGGAAGTGGAAGTGGAAGTGGAAGGGGTGGCGTGGAGAGGGAGAGGGAGAGGGAGAGGGAAAGGGAGAAGGAGAAGGAGAAGGAGAAGGAGTGGCATCGACGGGGCATGTCGTGTGGGAGTTTTTACTGGGGGTGAGTTTTGTGGAGAGAGAGAGCGTGTGTGTGTTTGTGGTGGTGAGTTTTTCCTACCTGGTTTTGGTGCATTGCATATGGGTTGGGTTGGTTGGTCTGGTTTGCTGGGCTGGGTTGGGTGTTTTGACTACATTGCATTGCGCGGCGTTGGTTCTTGGGTTCTTGGGTTCTTGGGTTCTTGGGTTCTTGGGTTCTGGGGTTCTGGGGTTTGGGTTTGGGTTGGGTATGCGCATGGGCATAGGGATAAGATCTGGTAGCACAACCAGCATGGAATGGATAGGATAGGATAGGAACAAATAGGATAGGCAGGGCAAGCAGGCTATGTATGCGTGGCTTCCTATAGAGCAGGATTGCTGCGCGCTTTAGCTTAGCAATAAACACACATACACATACACATACATACGTCTACGATCGACCTATCTCTATACTAGGCATGTTTACCGCTCTATCCACCCGGCCCTAGCCCCAGCTGCAGCACTCACTCACTCACTCACTCGCTTTAGGGCGTTGTTGGATCCCTGGCTGGGTTCAACTAAATCCCTACCTACCTACGTAGTACCGTATTCACCCATCGAGCTATGTGATAGACAGCATAAGTGCTGATCTGCCCTCCTACATCCCTATACCCCCTTCCTTTACCTAGCCTATATATATATATATGTATACACACAACCCCCCCACCTCGACACCCGCACCACGCACAGCACGCACGAATCACAGCCGTCCTAATTGCTAGCATAACATAACCCACACGCCTCCACGCCAATAGCACAGCCCTCATCCCGCTGACACCGTACACGAACCAACGCCCGCGCTCTGATTCGTCCACTTGCTTCAATTCGTCGATCATTGCTATTGTATTTACTTTACGTCTTTTCTGACTCGCTTGTTCCTCCCCACTTCCACCGCCCCCATCCACCCCACCACCTACCCACCACCAAACACGACACGCGCACCAGGCGACGACTGTTGTGCTTGCTTGTTTGTTGCGCACATTGTATGCCCGCATTGCATATATACCCGCCTTCACCCACTCATCCACTTATCCACTGCGCAAAACAAAAAGAAAAAAGATCTACCGCCCCTTCTTCTCCTCATGCCCGTGTTCATGCTCATGCTCATGATCATGCTCGTGCTCCCCAGGCGAGCTCTTCGCACTAACATCGCTGGGGATAAACTCGTCCATAAAGTCCTTCTCAGCAGCATCCGCGTCCTCAAACGGCACAAAGCGCACCTTAACGCGCTTAACGCCACGACAGCGCTTGCCGACGCGCTCGCGCATCAGGCGCTCGACGCCCGCCGTCTGCGCTACCGTCCAATCCCCGCCGACGCCCACCTCGACTTCAACCAGGTAGTTGGGGCCGCTCTTGACGCCCTGCACGCTGCGCAGCTTGGGGCCGCCGTCGGCGCCGGGCGACAGCGTCGCGGCTTCGAGCGCTTTTTGCGCGGCGCGTTCGACGGAGCTCCGCGTCTCGTCGTCGATGCTTACGTCGACGAGCTCGCGTAGCGACTGGAACAGGTTCTGGTAGCCGGCTTTGACGACCATACCCGTGATGATGAGCGAGCCGACGGGGTCGAGCCATGCGGCGTTGGTTGCGAAGTTCGAGGCTGTGATTATGGCGGCTGTGAGGAGGGCGGTGAAACTGTCGACGCGGTGGTGCATGGCGTTGCTGAGGAGGACGGAGGACTTGCGCTCGCGGGCTACTTTGCGCGCTGGGGAGGGGGGGAGGGGGTGTTAGCAGGGAATTGGGCCTAGCCTTGGACTTGAAAGGGGAGAATAGTGCTTACTGGCATAGACAAGCCACTCCTTGACGCCCGCGCTAGCAACCAGCATCCACGCGGCGTTGAGGCTCGGGGCCTGCGCCGCCATGTCCGCCGCCGAGTGGCTGTGGCCGCCGTGGTCGTGCCCGCCGTGGCTGTGGCCGTGGCCCAGGCCCAGGAAGTCGAAGTGCGCGAGCGCTTCTGCCAGCTCCGGCGCAAACTGCTGGCTCAGCGTCAGCACGGCGCTCCAGCCGATGCCCAGCCCACCCAGCAGCAGCAGCGATGACACGCCCAGCGAGCCCAGCGACTCGATCTTTCCGAACCCTGTGGGGTACCGTGTTGATGGCGGTTTGAGCGACCATTTGACCGTGAAGAGCGTTAGGATGTCCGATGCCATGTCCGAGAGCGAGTGGAATGCGTCGCCGATGAGCACTGTGCAGAGAGGGCGCTGTTAGTGTGGGTCCTTGGGGCGTTTTTGTGGTGGTGATGGGAATCGGGGGTGCGCCGCAGCGGCCACGGTGTGTACAACTGCTCCACCCATCTTCTCTTCTACGTGCAATTGGTTTGCGAGAAGGTGGCAATACGCACTCTTGCTGTTGAAATAGTATCCGGCGATGCCCTTGCCCACGGCCAGGACAAGGTTGAGGTACAAGCCCAGGCGGGTGATGCGCACGGCGGCATCGTGCTTATCGGAGCTGAGCAGCAGCGAGGGATCAGTGTGATGGTGATGGCCGTGGCCGTGTCCATGGCCATGGCCGGCATGGCCGCGCGTCTGGGTTGCGGTCATGGCAGGGTTGATATGCAGGAGGTGGTTGTGGAGATGCGACGTGGAAGCTGTGGTAGTGGTGGTGGTGATGATGGGCGCAGCAGCAGCAGCGGGGCGATGGGGGAGGGCGGGCACGAGCGAGCGAGGGCCGCGTAGAGACACGGATTTGGAATTCTGGCAGCGCGACGACGACGAGAAGGGACGGTGTTTTATAGCCCGAGTAGTCGTCGTCGTCGTCGTAGGCGTCGTAGGCGGAGGACGTGGCCCGAGGATGCTTGTCACCTGCCGACGCAGCGGGTGAGCGAGACAGACGCGTAACGACGGGGACAGGGCGCCATTGCTGCCGGCGGTGCGTGCAGCAGCGGCTGCGACGAGCATGAAGAGACGGCACTACGCAGCGGTTCGCGACAGCGAGTACCAGTATCGTGTGTATTTTTCCTTTCGCGTCGATTTGCGGCCCAAAGATGCGGGCGGGAGGCAGCACACGCGGCTTGCGGCAAGTGTCAGACGTGACTGGCATTCGTCATGGTCGCCAGGGGCCCTGACTAGATCTTTTTTTCAGTTCGCTTCTTGGCAGTTTCTCGTTGCATACGCGTCCGCACCATATGCTTCATGCTACTACCTAAAGCAGGTACATACTGTCCGTAGATTCGCAACGCTCGTGAGCCGCCCATAAAACAAATGAAAAATAGCAAAGCAAAAAATACTACAAACGAAAACAGACTCTTGCCGCCCAACGTTCATTGGTATCAAAAGAGAGACTCATAACGCCGTGACAACATCCTCCCATAAAACTTGTATCGTTGTGCTTTACAGCTTGGGTTGGCCGCTGTAGCTGGGTTCAGGGCTCAGCAAGCTTTGGATCGACGGGCCGCCCCTCTGTGGCCTCTCGTCGACCTCATCGCCCGGGCGCGTTGACGGCGCGACGCTGCTGTCCACCGAGCAGTTGTCGTCTAGCTCCGTCTCAGCGTCCGAGCATCCAATGCCGCTGTCGCCTTCTTCGGAATTACCTCGTTCCTTGCGTTGGGCCGCGCGGTAGGCAGCCTGCAGATTCTTCATACCACGCTCCATACACTGCCGCATGTTAATTACTGAAGGGCGAGGGATTAGGGCGGGGGCGAAGAGTGCGCGCTTACCTTGGCCTCGACCACTGTCCACTTTTCACCTACTCGGTCGGCTAGCACACTCCACATCTCTCTGCGGACGTCCATGTACTCCTTGGCCAGCGTCTCGATCTTGATGCCGTCCCAGTCCTCGGCGTTGCGCTTCTCAATAAGCCGCTCGTGACGCTTGCGGCAGGCGTTGGGTGACTTCTCTGGGAAGTATCTGGGGGCGATGACCTGCCAGCTGAGGCCGGACGCGCGGGCCGCCATGAGCGTCTCGTCGTCTGAAGACAGCCACTGCGCGGCGCCTCGGGCGGAGCCACCGGCGATTTGGGCGGGCAGATCCATGGGCTGGATGCGGTGGGAGGCCCTTGCGGCGCGAACTTCCTTCGGCATGGTGATGGTAGGTTATCGGTGTTCGTAGAAAAAGGTGTTGGTAGGTTTGGTCAATATGGATAGACCGAGAGGAAAGGACGAGAGAAGCGGTGATTAGGATTATAGGTCGGTGGAAGGACGATGGGGTATAGTGCCGAGACTTGAAGAATGAGCAAGCAAGACGACACGCTAGGAAATTGAACAGAGACGGAGGAAAAGAGAAAAAAGCTTTGTGTGTGTGTAGTCACTGTCTCGACTGAGGCATCTGGAGAACCAAGACACGCGGATCGTTAAGTACTTGACGACACTGTGCAATGCGGCACAGCAATAGTGCAAAGCAGATCAACTCCATCGCGAGACCCTCGGACCGCAGACCGGTGGCTAGGGTCGTCTACTCCCATGAAACGCCGTCTAGTTTCTATAATCGCCATCGCGGCTCAGTCACACCCGTTCCGGACCCACGCCTCATCCATGAAACGGGACGACCTGCCCATCCTACATAGGCGCCAACGAAGGAGCGTCGAGCCGATCAGGCCAGGTCCTCTGAGTGGCCGGGTGGGCCGTCAAAACGGTCCAGAGGGCCCGGCTGGATATGCCGTAACAGAAGGCGTACCTGCAGATCTGCTGTTTTTAGTGAGGCGCGGACGGGCGCCTATGTGTGTGCGCACGCCGCCGGGGGCTCCGCGAACTCATGTTCGGCGGCTAGTCGAGTCCTGGCCAGCGGCTACCGCACGGGGTCTGCAAATCATATCAGCGCGGGAGGCCCCAGTGCGGTCCGCGGTGGAGACGACGAGGGGCAACGGTGAGGGGTGGGTTGTGAAGGAAGAACCTAGAGACGAGGCAACTGCCGACGCCGCCGTCGTGGTAGGGCTGAGGCTCGCGCGCGGAGAGGCGGACCGCGCCGCACTCGGCGGCCACTGACGAGCCGCGTCGAAGCGCGAGAGCGGTGTTTTCTTCTGTCAGACCCCGGTGAAGGTGGAGAGTTCAGCTGGAGTCGTCTCTATTCCCCTCCACTCTTCATCTCCCGTCATGCTGGCCCGAGGCTGTGCCGACTAGCGATTTTCCCATGTCTCTTCACACCGATCTATTATCGTACCCCCAGGCGGATTCTGCCTTTTGCCTGCCCTTGGCACACCGCAGCACGTCACGCTGCCGTCGTCTGCTGCACGCCGCTGCTAGCTAACGAAAACGTCCCCCTCTCTCTCTCTGGGCGACGGGACCGGCGTGACCGGTTGCTGCGCGTGCACACACGGTCAATGTGACACGGCCTGGATCTTACAGAGTGACGGAGTACCTACTGGCGTACACCGGGTTCGCTTTCTCCGCACGATCATCGAGCCCATCAGCCCTTGCGACGTCGTTCCTGGCAACAGCAGAAAACCTCCACAAAGTCATGGCGGCCATCGCGTGCCCTCGGCCGACTAGGCCAAATGGCGTTAAGATCTGCCACAGCCGGCGGGCACGACGCCTCACCGTCATGCCCCAGCTCAAAAGAAGGAAAGTTGCAGAAGCCAGCTCGACGCCCTGCCTCTCAGTTGCCTCACCCTCGCAGCACGCCTGACCTTGAGGGTCTTCTTGCCAATGCCGATCTTGCTGCACTCAGCGTTGCACATCGCTGCTTCCGGCCCTCGGCCGGGGAGCCGCTCCGGCTCAATGCACCCCAGACGCACCTTCTCTCCGCATATGCTGCTCCTGCCTTGATGCCCCTCGCCCTTCGACCACTCGACGTTGTGCACGCTGCCACTATGTCACCACCATGCACTCGACCCATCAACGAACCAACCATCTCCTCCGTGCTTGATGTCATCTTGCTGGCCTTTCTCCGCCTTCCAAGCTCTTTTCCCCGTAAGAGCTCCGCTAGCAGCATAGGCTTGCAGCCATAGTCGTCTACCAAGAAGCCTTGTCGCAGCACGGTGATTTCTTGCCTTGCGCACGGCATTCCTACGAAGCCTAAATACAGCCAACCTTTCCCGCCTCGGAGGGCGCCTCAGACTTACTCGCCGCCATTGCCTGCATCTTCATTTCTCTGTGAAGTCTCCCATCGTCTCAGCATGAAGTTCATCCAAACACTGATCGCGGGCCTGGCCCTCAAGACAGCAGCTGCGTAAGCTTTTTTTCTTTTTTTTTTACTTCACGCTCGTTCTGTCTGCTCAAAATCTTTAGTATTCCTCTGCTTCAGCGTGACTATGCGCTTGGCTCGGCTCCTGTCCGTGGCGCGAACATTGGAGGCTGGCTCGTTCTGGAGCCCTGGATCACGCCCTCCGTCTTTGCCGAAAACGATGGCTCCGTTGTCGACGAATACACGCTTACGCAGAACAAGGGCAACGCCCGTGATATTCTAAAGCAACATTGGGACAGTTGGGTCACACTTGCAGACTTCCAGAAGCTCGCAAACAATGGGTTCAACGCCGTCCGCATTCCAATTGGTGCTACTGCGAACTCTTCGGATGCTTGACTGCAGCTAATCAATCACAGGATACTGGGCCTTCAAGAAGTACCAGAACGACCCGTACATTATGGGCGCGCAACCATATCTGGACAAAGCCATTGACTGGGCCCGTCAGACCGGTCTCAAAGTCTGGATCGACCTGCATGGGGCGCCGCGCTCACAGAACGGCTTCGACAACTCAGGGCAGAAGGTTGGAGCGCCCGCCTGGACGAGCGAGGACTCCGTCGCGGCAACCCAAGAAGTAATCGACATCATTTCCAAGAAGTACGCAGACCCAAAGTACGCGGATGTAGTCGTTGCGATCCAGCTGCTGAACGAGCCGCTGATGGGCGCCCTTCCGGGCGGACGTGGCGCGACGCAGGCCTACTACCAGCACGGGTTCGACTCGGTACGCGGAGTGCCTGGCAGTCAGGCCATGGTGGTAATTCATGACGGGTTCGCGCCGCCGCGCGAGTGGAACGGTTTCGCAACGGGCCAAGGAACCAACGGTGCGGTTGTCGACCACCACGAGTACCAAGTGTTTACAAACGAGCTGGTGGCCATGTCGGCGCAGCAACACATCGACCTGGTGTGCGGCAGCGCGCACACCTGGGGCGAGGGCCAGGACAAGTTTGTCGTTGTGGGCGAGTGGACTGGTGCCTTGACGGACTGCGCGCGGTATCTTGTGCGTCTTTTCCCCGCCCCCACAATGCATATGCACCAGCACCAGCCACAACTACCCCGCCTCACCTCACCTCACCTCAACCTTATTCTCACCCTCACTACCACACATACCATAGAATCACCATTCTGCTAACACAATTGCGTGCCTAGAATGGCTACGGTGTCGGGGCCCGCTATGACGGTACTTACAACGGCAGCCCCACTGTGGGGTCTTGCGCCGGTGTCAATGCGATTGAGCAGTGGACGCCACAGCGCCGCACCGACACGATCAATTACATCAACGCGCAGCTCGATGTGTTCGAGACGAAGGCGCAGGGCTGGTTCTGGTGGAACTTCAAGACCGAGGGCGCGGCGGTGAGTGACTGTCCTTCCCTTGCATTGTGGCGGTGCGGTTTATGGGGGCTGTGCATGGAGGTGGAGGTTGATGATGACGAGGATGCTAACGTCGTGACACAGGAATGGGACCTCTTCCGCTTGATTGATGCGGGCGTATTTCCGAAGCTGCAGGGCAGGGTTGCGAAGGCGACATGCTAAGAGAAGAAGCGCAACAAGGCATACTACGAATAACAAGAGCAAGCACAGTTGGCGGCGGTGGCGGTGCGTCAATGCAGGGTGCAGCAGATCTGTGTCCGATGCGGCTGCTGCCCGCTGTTGCACGACTGACTTATGACTTCATGACTCTCCTTTACCTCTTAGCGCGAGTATTTTCTTTGGTGTTGTTATAAAGTGTGGTTAGTGGCTTATATGCTACGGTACAGTACCTATTTGTCTAGGTAGGTAGTTTGGTACTGCTCATGAGGTACCCACTTGTCTAGTTAGTTAAGTAGTTCATACACCTGTTTCTGTAGCCTTCGGCGCGTCTTGCCTATCTGCCTGCTTGCCTGCTTGTCTGCTTGCTTGCCTACGTAGAGACGACGCGTCCTACCCCTTCTTCTCACAAGTGTCTAGTACCTATCTACTATCCGTGCGTTCAAGCAACTACAAAAAATGCTCCTGCTGTTCTGGCTCATAGAGGCGCTAAGCTGCCTAAGTGTCTTCTGGGTCTCGATCTTTGTGCTTCCGTGGACGGTTCTAGGCGCTGTTTTGCTGATAGTGTGGACGGTGCTGTCGGTGGCTTGTTTGCTGGAAATGGTGTTTGAGGTCGAGATTGTTTAGGCGGGGTCTGTGGGGGTTGTGTGGGGGTTGTGTGGGGGGTGCAGGCTACCTTGGACTTAGCCACTCACTCAGACGGACGAATACGCGGACGGGGGTGGGGTGTGCATGCATGGGTCGGTGTCGATGGCGATGTCGATGGCTTGCACATTGTAGGCACCATGGCACGCATGGCTCTTCGCTTTTCGCCGCACGCAAATGCAGATCATATACCCTCGGCGATCATAGCCCGCAGCCGCTGCCGCTGTACGTACGTGTTGACAAGCTGCCTGCCTCATGGCCAATCGATTGCGCGTATGACTGGCTGGGGGCGGATCGAGCACATCCTGGCTACTCCTAGCAAGCAAGCAGGCCTAGATGCAAGCGCCGTGCAGCTGGTGCCGAGGCGGCGTTGCGGGTGTGGGTGCGGGTGTGGCTGTGGGCGGCGCGCAGGGGGTGTGTAGGTACGGCCAGCTGCGGCGCAGTAGGTAGGTGGTGGTCGAGACGCGGGAGAGATGGACAAGCGCGCGTTTGTGCGTGTGTTTGCGTATGTGTGTGGGTTGAAGGAATGGAGGATTGAGGGAAGAGCGATCTAAGCATAGAGTTGGGACGAGGACATGGGGCCGTGTTGGTGATGCGCAAGGTTTGGTGCAGTGGCCGAGACACTCATTCACTCCCTCACTCACTCACTTACTCACTTACTCAAGCACAGGTACCTAGCTAGCGAGCGGGCCGGGGCAGTGCCATGCAGTGCCATGCAGGGACCCGGCCGACAGTATGTCCAGTACTCTACGTACCCTGCCGAGCTGAAGACAGAGCGTGGAGAGCATGACGCCGCCGATTGACCGGCCACCCAACCGGCCGCATATTCCTCCGTCTGACTACCGTATTCGGCAACCCCGGTGCGCGGCTATCTTGCCGCCTGATTCGCGGTGCGGACGTAACCAACGCGGGCTTGTCTGCTGGCGCGCGTGGTTGGTCCGTCGATCAGATCGCTAAGAAGGGCGTCCTGTATGCATGTGTGTGTGTGCGTGTGCTTGATGGCGGGCGGGAGCCGCTGCCGCTGCGGTGGGTATGCTTACATGGGTGCGGTAGGGGTCCCGGTGGGGATGTGCTACGCCACGCCGGCCGGCTGCGCCGCACGGGGATGCGCGGGAGGTCTGGCTTTGGGCGAGGCTTGGGTTGGGCTGGGATGGTAAGGACTGGGTTGTCAGCTTTGCGCTCTGTGATTGATGGGTGGTTATTTTAGGTGCGGGCGAGTAAAGAGCACCACGGTGGGGTGGCCGACTCAGTGCGTGCCTGTCTGGGTGAGTCAGTGAAGCAGCATGTCCGCGGCTCTGGCCCTGCATGCCTGCTGTGTGCGTGTGTCAGGTGTCTGCATTGCGGCCGCAGCTGCAGCCACGCGAGGATATTGGCTCGTTGGCTGCCTGGCTGCTTGTGTGTGGGTTGGAGGCGCTGCGGGTGCATCTTGATGCATTTGAGTGCAGTGAGTCTGTCTGTATGTACCCTGGGAGTGTGTTGGTGGTTTCTACACACTATCGGCTTGAGTCGGTGCTGCTAGCTCTGTTTTTCACTATGTGGTTGTCTTTTTTTGTTCTCTTCGTGGTCGTGGTCACGGTCAATCGACCGCACATCATTCACTGCTTGGTTTTGCGTACTCTTCTTACTCCACCGACTCTTCTCTTTTTTCGTCTCTGGATATGCAATCACGATGACAGATGCTGTTGTCCCTATACAGTGGGGTCGTGGAGGTGAGTGAATGGATAGGTTTGATTTGTGTGATGTGAGGGAGGGGGTAAGTATGAAATTGAAGATGCAACCAAAAACGATGCAAATGATAACAGACACATAACACTAGAAAATAAGATGCGATACAGCCTACCCTCGATGCGGTTTTCCTTGTTGTGTCGCTGAAGTCTTTCAGTGTTCGCTGACACTTTGGCTGCTCCTTCTACACTGTCCGACGCACACTTAATCATACTTTTGCGAAGCCACCATGTCCGACAAGCCATTCGACCGCATAGAGTGTAAAATGTGGAAGAAACTATCGACTTCTTGAATTCAAGGCCGATATAGAGGCTACAGGACGAACTGGACCCGGTGAAAGCTTTTATAATAGACCAAGTAAGGTCACCTTCTCCCGAGATGCATGTATTCGACTAACTTACAGTATCCTACCCAAATTCGAAGGAAAAAAAGTCATCATTGACAGAAGCATTGGGAGAAATACAGTTCAAGCTTTTGGAAGGTCCTCTAAGAGAGGAATGAGGATGGACTCCGATGGAAATAGCGGGCTGCTGACGGACGCCGAAAAGGAGATTGCCGCCATCGACAAGATTGCGAGGCGCCTCAAGCTTGAAGACGCCGAATTGAAGGCTAAAATCAGGGTTAACCGGGTGGAAGTCGAGAGACTATCGAAAGTACAGTTCCACAACAGAAATGCTTTCCCGGAAAATATTTCAATCACCACCACATACTTCTGGTAACTCACATCAACACCCTGATGTAATTATCATCATCATCATTATCGCATTCACAAAAGAAAAAGAGGCAGGCATCTGTCATTGTTTCCCTCGTGTTCCAAGGTGTAACAGATTGACACAGCTGGTCCGCAAACAGGCCAAAGAAACCCTTGGAAGAGTTGTCTTCTTTGCCAGTAGTAGTAGATGCTTAACGTGTGGCTTCCACGGATCGCGGCCCACACATATACATAGTTAATAGATAAGGCTTGCGTCTACAACTGGTGGAATCATGGCAGCAGTGATGGAGATAAAAGTCTAAAAATATGTCAGTGTCAGCGTGGATACGAAGAAGAGTGTAACCAGAAAAGTGATATATTGTAATAATACCTCATCTATTACATGATGGGTGTGACACAAGTTGGATGAGCGTGCACTGTCTACAGCCAGCTGAAATACAACTTATATATATACGGCCTGCATATCGCTACGGCTGTTCTGATATACACGATGTTTGTGGTCTCGTATCTAGTACTACCGGTAGCTGCTCTCCGACGCTATACATCCTTAATGATCAATCCACGCATCTCCAGCTAGTAATATTAAGCTTAAAGAAGGGTCGTGCACGCAGTGCTTCTTTTGTTATTAATTAAGAGAAGTTATCGCTGTTTAGGAAGGAAAATAACGGTGGTGATAATTTGGTAAAAACGATGAGTGGCGGCGATAGTAGAGCGCAGTACATGGCATCAGTATTAGGTGGTAGTAATAGTAGTAGTCCATGGTTACTGAGGGTATGTTATAATTTAGAGGATAATCAGTCACTAGTATCGAGGTTCCGGTTACCGGGGTTGTGCTTGTCTACATATGCTCTACGCTTAATTAATTAACGCATATACTCCTCGATTCCTACTAGTAAATAAGAATAGAGAGATAACCGAGATGGAGGAGGAGAACAAGGAAGAAGCTTTATTTATTTAGCTAGCTAGTACAAGTTATCGAAGGTGGAAAGAACTGTTTTCATGGCTTAAAGGAAGATAAAAATGCAAAACTTCTCCCATCTGTATACTTGCAGTAGCAGATGAGCCACGGGAAATTGAGTTTCTATCGATGTTTTTCTCTGGGATTTGGGAGGAAATGGGAGAGATGTCGTTCACTATCCTAACCTCAACCTTCGCTTGGCTTCCAGTGCTTTACATTATCTTTTAGGTCTAATTTGAAATTGTTATTAGTACATTCGGGAGACTGTGTCACTGTATTTCAGCCTTGTGAGCTGAAATAGTGGGGCACGAGTAAAAACTTGTGAAGCTGGGCGCGAGGAATTGGACGCCGCTTGTCCTCCTAAATTACTACTACCTATGGAGGTATATATGCTGCTATCTAAAAGAACATGTTTTCTCCTTAAGATCCTTATTCCCTTGTAGTGGATAAACGTGTGGTGTAAGGGGTAAGGCTGTAGTATAACAACTAACTGTAATAAGGCTGAAAAAACGAGAGTTATCGGAGTGATCCTGGCTGACAAGCTGCCTTGTTTCTACCTACTGGGGTATAATGGGAGACCGTTCAAAACCCGATACCGATCAAAAACAAAAGTCACATGAATATTACCCCCAAACAATATGTCGCCTAAAGGAAGACATTGACCTCAGAGTAACGGATTTCACACCTATCCAGAACGTTTCGCGAAGTCTTCAATTCCGCTATGTCGAAGACGAATCAGCCGCCAAAGGGAAAGGACCATGGTCGCCAATTTCATACGAGGGAGCAGCTCCGCTTCAGGTATCACTGTGTTATGACAGCCTTGGATCAAGAGTCGAAAACGTACGGGCGCATACAAAATTTTCAAAAGGCAATATGCTGGTTAACGAGCCATCAGCCTCAGTGAATTTAAGCAGCCTCCGCTTTGACACACTCGCTGTTCGGAGGCAACTGGGCGTAACATCTGAAAGACTCACCACTAGGGAGCGGGGTGTATGGGAACTCGACACAAAAAAACACAGGCAAGATGCTAACTCAGAAGAAAATCGAAACAGTACTCAAATTATACATGGCTTCGACGAGTACAGGCCTGTGGAAAAGGGTGTCATCATATGCACAGGCTGTATCGACAGAGACTTTTACGTTGTAGAGATTCAGGCCCTTGAAGACACCCAAAGCGCCATTTACGTAGACACGCTCATGGACACAGAAAACCCTGCACTGGCATTACAAGCATTGAACACCAACATGATGAGAATGCTGCACGCTGAGTATCTTCCGCAATTCGACTACAATGATAGACAAACCGCCGTCTTCTACGAAACGACCATTCTTCCAATAAAAACTCGCGGCTTCATAATTGTCATCACACTGATCTGGCTCCGCCTCATCGCCACATTTTGGATCACGGTCGCCTTCCTTACAAAAACACGTTATAGCCGCCTGAACAACGCCTGGCAGGTCCTAAGTCATCTGCGGACACTAAAAATGGACGACTTCCTGGACGAAAGCCTCACCGACAAGGAGATCAAAGAGCGACTTCAAGCCCAGGGCACTGCACATCAACTCGTGCGCCTCGAACCGAATGGAGATGTTGGAGATATTGGCTTATGGCGGCGGAGCGAGAAGAAAGCGGCTCGAGACACCAAGGAAGAAGAGCCGATTGAATCGGAGCAGGGTGAGGCGGCGTAGATGGATGTCTTAAGGGGTTAGGGACGGTCACTTTTTGGCAAGATGTTGATTGCTTCGCGCTAGTAAAGGAGTTGGTTCTGGTATGATTTGAATAATGACATATACGTTTGATTTGGCAGGCGTTGGTAGATATACTTAGTACTAACTTTCACTTCTACTTCATCACCACACAGTGATTGATCATGAAATAACTCATGAATATAAGCCTCATCCAGTCACTTAGCCGCTTTGTAGTATGGTCATATAACCGATAAACGCTACAAATAAGAGGATCAGTCTATATGACTGCTTTGTTTCGACCATCACACCCCTCACACCAGTGACTGGAAGCAATACTCCGTATTAGCCAGTGCATCTCCCATACACCAATGCCTCTGAATAGACATACCCAGTAAACAGACCTCGAAAAAAAATCCAAACATGAAAAACAACCTACCACACCCCCCAAGCCCTACCGCATCAAGATAGAGTTTACCTCCAACCTCATCGGGGTTAGGAAAATGCCATCGAGAGTTTAAACGCACTTCATCTAAACGAGCCTTCAACACATCCAAGCACGTTTTCCCATAGAAAAAATCACATACTGAACAAAAAGCTCTCAACCTACCAACAACACCTCAAAGCGCCATCCACTAACCTCCCCCCTAGCACCACAACCCCACCAAACACACTCCCTTAAGCCCGACCAATCCCCCACACCATACATCCATTCATCCATCCATCCATCCATACCCGTCCGCCCGCACCCCACACCCCTAACCACCCATCCGTCCGCCCACCCAACACCTAAACCAAACACCCCACCACCCCACCACCAGCAAACAGCTTCTCCAGCCGCGAAAGAAGAAGCGGTGACACCCTACCACCCTACCACCCATACACACCCACCCATAAACAGCCACCACAGCACCAGCCCACTAGATAGATAGATAATCACGACCGGTCAGCCACGGCCCACGGCACCACCTCACACCACCCCGCACCGTCAACCACACCATCAGGCCCCTTACTACCCTAGTTACCCAGCTGTTTCACCACAGCCGCGCTAGGTAATCCTACTGACTAGCTAGTTACGCCTCGTCTCGTCTTGTTCCGCCTTGGCTTGTCTCGTTCCTTCTCGTCTCGCTCCGCTCATCCGCACACAGTCCGGTAGTATGCTTTCTCGAGGCCAGGCAGACAGGAGCCTAGTGTGTGCGTTTACGTTAGGAGAAAAGAGTGCCGTTTGGAAGGGAGGAGAAGAAAGAGAAGGGATGTATATGGGGTGAATTTGAAGAGGCTGAAGCAGCAGTAGCAGCAACGACGACACAAAGAACACAGCGCAAAGGAAAAAGAACGACGACAAGAACAAAGAAACACCACCACACCAAACAAATCAAAGGCAGTCAAAGCATCGCACTCAAAGCACAAACCAATCAATCAAACCATCTCATTAATTCCATACCGATAAAGCAGCATAAAGTCGAAAAAGGAATTAATAACAATACCAGCATTAGGAGTAAAAAAGCGCAAGAAACCCCTCTTGTCATTTTTAGACCCACTGGCACAGACAAGGAGGAGAGGATAAGGTAAGTAGGTAAGTAGGCAGTAGAAGAACGAAATGAAGGAGAAGAAAGAAAACAAATAAAAGCCAGGAAAACCCACCGACAGCCCATCCCGTCCGTCCCTCAGCAAGAATCCGCACTTGCCACCCCACAGCTTGATAGTGAATGATTGCTACACAACCACGCCGTCAGAATCACCCCAAAAACGAAAAAGCCAGCGCAGCAGACCCAGCAGCCTACTGTAGTGTAGCCCCATGCAGCCCGCCCATTCGCTAGCCAGGCAGCCAGGCAGCCAGGCAGCAAACCTCTCTCGATATTAAAAGCTCAATGAATTGATTTGAATTCTGATTTATAGCATCTTTGCCTCGTTTCCAACGTCATTTGTCTCTTTGCGCCGTGTAGCACCGAACGTTTCGTGTGTGTGTATGTGGTTTGTGTCATGTGAAAGCAGCTAGCTAGCTCTCAGCAACCCCCTCCTCCTCTCTCTTTCTGTCTCTCTGCTTTTTGCGCACTCGACACGCTCTCCTTCGTTTTCAGCAATGAAAGCGTGCGTGCGTGCGTGCTTGTGAGAAAGCAGCAGCAGCAGATGTCGCAAGCCAGGCTTAGACGTACTGCGAGAGCCAGCGGATACCCTCGCCGTAACCTTGCCTCATGACCACGGAACACACTAAGAGGGTTATATGTGAGTACGTAATCCTTGCGCGCGCTGCCACGTGCAGCCGGTGAGTGTATATGTGTGGGCGGGTAAGACTTACTGAAGACCTCGATGGGCCGGATGCCCTCGAGAGGGACCTTGCCCTTGCCCGTCGTCTGGTACAGGCCCAGCTCATGCCTCAGCTGGTCCTCGCTGACGGCGTTGGGGTGGTCGATCTTGTTGCCGAGGATGAGGAAGGGCGTCTTGGCTAGCTCCTCCATCGACAGAAGAGCGTCGAGCTCGGCCTTGGACTCCTGGAAGCGCTCGGGGTCCTTGGCGTCGACCAGGAACACGATACCCGACACCTCGGGGAAGTAGTCTTTCCAGAGACGGCGAGCCTGTGCGTGACCACCCAGGTCAAAGGTGGTGAAGCGGCATGAGCCGATGCTCAGCTCCTCGGAAGCTGCCGGATTGTCAGTCGCTGTTCCTCTTTTACGAACTCTGCTCTGCAGGCTCAATGTAACGGTGTTCGGGGCGACGTACTAGGGTGAAGAGTCGGCTGAAGGATAGCGCTGCGGACATTGATCAGCTTCCACCGACGTAATTTGGACTGTCGCTCTCTCGGAGCGAGAATACGTACACCCGGTCATTCTGTGCAAGGTCCAAGTTAGCTCTCTATTTTTGCATCGCGAGGCCCATGTAACCATGGTCCATCCCGGATAGGGAAGCGCAGCAGCACTGTGGCTAGCGGCTAGCTTTGCATACCTTCAGCATGTGCAGGAGCGTCGTCTTGCCTGCATTGTCCAAGCCCAGGAACAGCAGCTTCTGTAGACCCAAACCATCGTCAGCCGTTATCCCCTATCGCGACGTTTGGCCCGGCAGACGCGCTGCCCAACGGAGCTCCACGCACCGCATGCTTGTTCATCAGACCCAGGCTGGCCAGGACGTCCCAAACTGTTCAGATAAGGATCAGCATCATTCCCTCCCTTCAATATATGCGCCCGCCGACCCAAAGCCATCCTGCCGGCAGCCAGGCCGCATGTCCCGGGACGCAAGGATCGCGGCGCCGCTGATGCGCTGTGCTCGCCGGCCTCTAGGCCGCTCGCGTGCGTGGGTGCCGGGCGGGTTGGGCTGGGGCGCAGCGGCAAACGGGATGTGCAGTGGGCGGCGGGCGGGGACGGTCTACGTACACCAGTCGATGATCCACATATTGGCGGTTCGGCGCGCAAAGTACAATGTTCGGTGGTTAAGAGGGGTTGTGCTTGACCGGAGGGTGGATGTCGAAGGGGCGAAGGTTGGTGGGTGGGTGAGGCCTGCGTTGAAGTGGTGGCCAGACTGGAAGTTGTGAGATTGGTCCCCGAACGTCAAGCTGGCTCTTGGCGCCGAACCCCGGGTCGGAGCGTCCATTGCTTGGCTGGGTCCCACCACATCATCACATCGACACTGGTGGAAAGCGCACTCGGAATCCCCAGTCCCGTGGTTCCGATAGACGCCTATGATGATGAAGCAATATGTCTGATGGCTGTAACTGCCAGGCAGCTGATTATTCTCGCTGCCGTCAGCTGTCTAGGCAAAGGAAACGTGTACATACGAACCACAACCTCAATTCACTCACGGCAACAGGCAGCACCAGAATTGGTCATCATCATAAATCAAACCTCAATTGCGCAAAACAACTGCTGCTGATGCGCAGCCCTCCGAAAAGCAATCGCGCCTCCCTCCCTAGCCCTGGACAAAACCGCCCCCATCCAAACCCCATGCAAATGCTAAGCTGATATCAAGTTTGCCCCTCCCAAGCAATCGGCCAACAACTCCCCCAGCCGCTGATGCCCATCCGTCCTATGCCATAAAATTATCCGCAGCAACAACGAAAGTGTTAATGACGGATGGGCCGTGGTAATGGTGCTGGTTTGAAATAAAATGTCCCACCGTGCTGGAAAAAGAAGAAAACCCGCCAAGTTCGCAATTGATGGAAATGAATCGATTCGTCGTCAAAGTCGTTCAGCTCGGGATGTGAAAATCCACCGCCCCCCCGTGCTCCTTGCGCCTTGCCTAGGCGGTATGCGCTCCCTAGAAAGCCTTTCGCTGAGCGAAGGAGAAGAAGAACAGAGACGACGTGAAAATGGGGCTTCGTGCAAAAGAAAATGATTAAGAATCTTATGAACAAAAAGCCCCTAAAATCACCAGCCTGCAGCGTCCAGCGGATCGAGGCCGGCGTCGAACGTGAAGCATGGGTATTTACAGTATGAAGTGATAGAATGCAAGAAGCGAAAGGCGCAGCCATAAGGCCGCGGGTGGAGAGCAGCGACCAGCAAGCCCTCGAAGGAGGAACTCGTAAAGGTGCTGACGGCGCAGCGGCGCTGCTCTCAGTAGGAAAACACATGGACAGGTTCGGCTTTCTTGCCGCGGTAGGCGGCAAGGTCAATGCCCATCTGTCTCATGCGTTGGGCGCCTTTGCCAGGGGCAGGGCGTCTTTCTTCTTTTTTGCCTGCCTTGCGGCAATGCTTTTGGTAGAGCTTCTCTCTGCGACGTTGCCGCTTGAGAGCAGTGCCCGCCTTGATATCCATCGGACCACGCTTGACCATGTCAACACCAGACTCGTAATCGTCGCCATCGTCTCTCAGCATTGCCGCTTGAGTGAAAAGCAGGTTGGGTCTACGAGGAAGCGAGGCGGTGTGGGTAGGCTGAGGGCCTTGGGCGAATTGAATGTTTGCACGTTGTTGTTTGGTCTGAGCGGCAAAGCTGGTGGTCCGGGTTACGGGTGGAGACTTCAGACGGGCAACTGGAGGTGGAGGAGAGCGGAGGCGCCTGGGTGATTGGCCAAAGGCCTTGCGAGGAGGCGGGGAACGAAGACGCTTAGTCGGGGGAGGTGAGCGGAGGCGCTTCGGAGACGGAACTGGTGAGCGCTTAGGTCCCGGACGACGACGGCCGCGGCCGTCGACTTCATCAATCTGTTCCAGTTGGCCGTGCATCAGCATGTGCTGATCGCTGTCCTCGTCCTTGGCATCCTGGTCATCGTCCTCATCTTCTTCCTCCAGCTCGGGGTCAGAGGTCGGGAAAGTCGGGTCGATGTCCTGGGGGGTAATCTTGTGCTTGGCGGCCCTGCGTTGTGAGAGAGCCGAAATGTAAGCCTCTTCGAGAGGTCGGTCTTCGTCCAGAGTACCACACACGAAGTCAGTGCTATCCGGAAGTTCGGGGCTGCGAGGGCGGATGTTGACACCCCTCCTCTTCTTGGGGGTTCCGTGCTTGGGACGACCAAGGAAATCGCTGCCGCTGCCCAGAGAGCCCGTCGAAGAGTCGGACATGCTGCGGTGACCAGCGCCAGGTCTAATGTGTTCAGGCTGGACAGCAGACGTCACGGCACTCGCACGGCCTGGAGCCCACCACTGGTAATCGGAACCAGCGTCGCTTTCGTCATCGGAGCCGGCGAAGCCTTGTTCATCATCCGTCTGGAAACCGCCGTCAGATATTTCGCTGTCGGAGACGACTGAGGCGCGATCATCGTCCTCGTCGCCATCCTCATCGTCCTCATCGTCCTCATCGTCGAGATCCTCGTCCTCATCTTCCTCATCGTCGAGGTCCTCATCGTCCTCATCGTCCTCGTCTTCCAACACTTCCTCTTCAACCTCCTCCGCAAGTTTTCTCAAGCCGTTTTCAACCTTCAGCGTGTCACCGACCGTCAGGCGGCTTTTGTGGCACGTCAACTCTTGTGTCCATTCTTCAACCTCCTCCTCCGAGCTTGCGAATTCATGGAAGCGAGTGGCTTCGCGGCGGCCAATGTCCGAGTTCTCGCTGTATTTTCTGGAATGACGGATGGACGATGGAATTTTGCGCACGTGCTTCGGTGACTCGTTCCTGACAGTCGAGTCGGAACCACGGTGGGACCTCGGGGAAGTCTTGGCAGGTACGGGAAGCCTCTTCGAAGGCGGCGGCGGGCTGGCCATACGCGGCTTCTTCGGTGTAGCGGTGGTCGTGGTGGTCGTAGTCGTCGTTGCCTTGGCGTCGCAGGCGAATTTGATCATGCATTTTCTGGGAGCCGGTTCCGCTGGCTTCTCCTCCTGGGGCTTGGGTGGCTGGATAACCGCGGTAGTTTCCTTCTTCTGTGCGCAAGCAAATGTGATGCATCTCCTCCTACCAAGGCCTTGCTCAACCGAAGTCTCGTTGATTTCCTTGGGCTTCTGTGGGGTAACATTCTCATGGTGCTCCTCATGGCGGATGGTGAGTTTGTGTTCACCATCTTTCTGGATGGCGATTGGTGGAAGATTGTGGATGATGGGCGGAAGCGGCGGGCTCGGGGAGCTGGTCCTCGTGCCAGGGCTGGTGAATCCGCCGTCGCTGGTGAGTTCTGCGGTCGATGCCGCGCTGGCAGTGCTCCAGGTCGAGACAGTCGAGAAGCCTCGCTTGAAGCCCATGGATTGATGGATGTCGTCATCGGACTGCGAGTCGCTCTCGGAATGCAACGCTTGGGTGAGCAGGGACTCTTTGCGCGAGGATGGTGCAGGCCGGGTTTTTCCGAAAGCGGCGTCGAGTGGCGCGGGCTTGGCCGCAGAGGGACGCGGTGTCAGTTGTTGTAGATCGGGAGGCTCATCAGCTTCTGCAAGGAGGTCGTCGCCGATGCTCAACGAGTCGTCGAGGGCCGGGAGCTTGCTTTGGAGCGTGAGGTTCTGCATGTTGCTATAATTGTCGTGGTGGGAGTGACGTAGAGCCATGAGAGAGCAAAAAGTGGGCCGGAATGCTATTTTGGAATTTCTTGGTCAAGTTGAGGTGATGAAGTTAGATGCGCAGGGTGATGCGCATCGAAGAGGTGCAAGCCGGTAGGTGGTAGGCCGGTCGAGTGTCCCTAAGGACAGTATTGCTATAATATCGAAACGAACATTGTGCCAGGCGGCTGATGTGGGAGGGTCAAGGACAGGATATGGGAAAAAAGAGCAAGAGAGACTAGAGCATAAGAAGGTCAGATGTTGGGCAGCAGGCAGGTTTAGAGGGCAACTGGGACGTACCTTGCGACAGAATCCTGACGGCAGCGTGTGGCGATGCGCGTGGTTGGCTCGGACCGACGAGGCCAAGTGATGGTTGTCGCGCGCACGCACGCCGGCTGAGGGAGGAGAGTGGGGGTGGGAGCGGGCAACGGGCGGACGGACTGCAAATGGGCGGGGAGAGAGGGGAGAACAGGTGAGAGAGAGATCGAGAGAGAAGGGAGAGCGGATGGCTTTTTGCAGTGCGCGAATTGCTGGGGGGGAAAAACCACGGCAAAAAGCGCCTTTTCCCACGCTGAACCGTGGTGGTGCTGGTGGGCCCGGGCGCGCAAACGTCGCAACAGATCGAGCTCGCCTTGACGCTGACGGCAGGAAGGCCTCTGCTGACCGTCAATCTTTGCCGTTGCTCAGCCCTACCGCGGCCATTTCACCCAGCACCCACTCTTTTCCCAGAGCACAGCACAGCACAGCACAGCCATGGCCGACCTGCCCGTCATTTCCTGACCACCGGGACCCTGATCGTCAGCTCGGACTTTGACTTGCGATCTGTCATACTCATAGGTATACGGCCTTCTTCATGCACGCCCCCCTCCGCCCGCCAAGCCAGGGCGCTTGTCTTGTTTCCCAAGCCCGTTGCTTTGCAGTCTCGGCTCGCTCCTGTCATCAATCTCTCACCGCACGAGCTCCTCCGACGGCCCCTAACATGCCTCACACCGCTCATCCCTCTTGGCACGCTGCTGCCTCGAGTCCTCCGTCTAACTTGGGAACTCTCCTGTTCGCTGGTCATCTGCCACCTGTTTTTGGTAGTTTCGCCAACGTGGCCAGCGTCCCAAGTGGGTAATGCTCCATGGTCCTCCCCAGCTCCGCCGCCGCCTTCTTTCCATTCCAACTTTCGTTGCAACCGCCGCAGCCGGGTCGCCAGCTCGTGACGCTGCGGGGAAGCGTCTCCGCTTCTTCCCGCTGACGCCCATGGCCCCCGGGGTCTCGACGGTGTGCGTTTCACTTCACGGCGCGTGGTGATTCATGGATTCTGCTAGCCATGATCCGACGGACTGATCCGCTCGTACTCCGCACTCTGCAGGGGTCTCAGCCACTGACTGCCGAACGATGTCCGGCTCTACTGCTACCTACGTCATCGCAACCCTCAAGATCACGGCATCTCAACACCACCACTCGTCGTTCATCTATCACATCCCCGTTTGCGTCACTGGCGCCCGCCGGCACTTGGTCGAGTTTTTCTCGCCATGGCCGAACTCCGCTCTAAGCTTTTGACTTGTCAGTGCGGCCCGTTTCTTAGGTCGTTCTGGAACCTCTCTAGAAACAGCCCCAACCTTATGTAACAGCCTTAGCCCTCTGGTGCCGCGAAGGAGTTGAATTCACGCAAATCTAGGCGACCGCCCGCAGACCCTTTGGCCCTACTCCATCAGGCGATCGTTGCGACATTGCGCGTTCGCTGCTCGCCGTAAAAGCCTCAATAATGCATCGCAACACTGAGGCATAGTCAGCCTCGTCCCCTCCGTGTCTCCGCGGGATAGCTTTGCCTCTCTGGAGCTCCTTTGATGACACTAGGAGCTCCACGTCTCGTGACAGAAGATTAGAGGAGATTGAAGCACCACCTTGGTAAGCTAATTCCACTACTACCTATCACAATGATAGCGTCTTTCTCCAATTCCCGGGGAACTTGTGCCGTCCACTGGCGGCATCGCAAACTAGCGCCATTGAGCTGTAAAAACGCGCAAAGGTAGGACAAGTAGCTCTCTTATCACAACCACTTTATTCTTTTACAAATTTCCATTGCACTCGACGCATCTCCATTCGCCGTCTGCCTAGGCCGCGGCCAAATTCCATGCGCCTATTTCCAGTTCTTCAAGCCCTTGCCTTGCAATGCCATCTCCCTCCTGACCTCGCGCCAAGACTTTCGCAGCTATGCTCTGCAAGACAAGCGCACCCCACCATGACCGGATCTGTCGTGCAACAGAAGCCAGTGCTGTGCGACACTCAAGCAGTGCCACAAGATCAACGTTCCCGGCGTAGCTGGAAGCCACACAAAGCTCGGCACGCTTATGCTGCGAGATGCAGAGATGCGAGCGCTCATACGCCGTGCGTAGTATGTAGGGCAGCACAGGCGCGCCGTGGCAGCCCGTCAGCGCTGAAGACCAGGACGCCTCAGGGGCGCCTCCTACGGTGCTGAGCAGCTGACAATGACGACGCCGATGCTCATCTCCCGTCCTGGGCATGCCGGTGATAATGTTGTGTGCTACGTCCGCGCGCGCAATATCCATCAGCGGCGGCGGCGGCGGATGCGGATGCAGATGTGGATGGACAGGAGGAAGAAGGAGGCGGAGTTGCCGCATCTGCTGCCGCGTCTGTGTGTGTGTGTGTGCGTGCTTGGCTGTGCCCTTGGGGTCTGGACTGCGGGGCGAGATTGATGCTGTGCGAGCAGTGCAATATATTCAACACAACCGTCGCGCACCCGCCCCTTCCCCTATTGCGCATCTGCACGCGTCGGAAGCGGCAGCCGTGCCCACTGCTCGCGCAGCTAGTATGTAGGGCGCATGTATAGAGGGACAAATAGGCGGTAGTAGGTAGCTACTAACCTTACTACTACTACAGACATGCATGCGGCTGCGGTGCCTGGGCTGGCTACTACTACTAGAGCATCAGTGCGCCACAGGGCGGCGGCGGGCGCGGCGTGCAATGTCGCGCCTCATCATCCCTCCGCGTCGCACGCGTGCTTGGCAACCCAGCGCCGCGCGCCATAACCGCAGCGCAGCGCAGAGCGCACACACACACACACACACACACACACACACACACGGACACGGCCAGCGAAAGCAGCAGCCGCAGCAGTGGAGCGTGTGCCCGCTTTCGACGACGACGACCTCTGTTGCGGCCGACTGCGACCTCGTTTAGCGCAAGTGATTCTGATTGGCGGGCGCAAACAACCCAACCAGCCATGCTTGCTCCCTCCCCTCCTCTCTCTCTCGAGCGCTCGCTCTCTGCTGTGCGCCTGTCCTGTCCCGTTTTCGGCTGCCGCCATTCGTTGAGACACGGGCGGTGGGCGCACACCCCCTTGACGCGGTGCGGTGGCTATGCTGCTGTAGAGTCGGAAAGGAAGAGGAAAAGAAATGAAACGAAAAAACGAAACTTTGTTGGGGCTTGGCCAATACGAAGTACGAAGTTCAATAGGGCAGCCGGGTATTAGCTACCTAGGAGTACGAGCTTGGTGGCTGCTCCAATTATCTACCGCTGAGATGGCAGCAGCAGCCGCTTCGAATTGAGCGCTGCCGCTTAGGTGGGTGGATGCGTCCCTAACTTCCTACGAGGAATATTGTAGGCAATCTACGTATTACGCATACCCACACACGCGCACCCCCAAGCTCGCGAGAAATTAAAATAGAGCTAGCTGGAGAGTCAGGTGGCCGTGGTGGCTTTGAAGAAGAGCCGCACCACCACCACCACCACCACTACCACCACTGCCGCCCTGGCCGCCGCAGCCTCACGACTCACGACTCACGATAGACAACTGAGACTGATGGAACTGCCGCCGCCGCTGATGCTAATCCACAACACCGAGCCACGCACTCCACGCCGCGCGCACGCACGCCCGCCCGCCCACCGCTCACGGACAGTTTTGTAGTTACCTAGTGTAGAGTACTCCGTACGGACGGACGCTCAATCCCACTCCCACATCCACACTACCAACAGCCCCGCCCCGTCGAAATGCCAATTCCGATTCTCGATCCCCTTCCTCTTCCATGTTGTATTGTAGCATGCGGGCTCGGACTGGCAATCTTGCGCGCACACCCACACAGACACAGCCCGCCCGCAAAGCACAAGCTCCCCGACCTGCCCACGCACCCAGCGCTCGTTCGCGATCCGTCCTCTCTGTGCCTCCGCCCTGTCCAATCCAATCCTCCGTCTTCGTACTCCCAATTTACAACTTACGGTACCTCACTGGCTAGCTCGCCTACCATAAGCAGCGTCCTCGCTTGCGCGCAAAAACAGAACCCCAACAGCGCAAAAAAGCGGAGATGAGCTCGTTTCCGGCGTGCCTGCTCTGCCGTATTAGGCAGTGCCAAGAGCGGGCGTTTTTTTGGCTTCGCCTCACTTCAGCAGTTCGTCCGCGCGCGAGCAAGCGAGTGAAGAACGAACGGGGGCTAGGTATGTACCTACTGGGTTCGGTCGCGAATCGCTGCGCCGATGATGCTTGGTGCTTGATGCTTGATGCCCGCTTGATGATGGGCGGGCGCCGGAGCGGAGCCCCAAAAAAAAATACTGCTGCACTTTTCTGCAGCGCAGAGGGATTGGCCCTTGGCTCTGCTCGTCGATGGGATGGGGGCGCCCCCACTCACCCACTCTCACTCGCACGCTCGTTCCCACGCGTTTGTGTTTGTTTCACGCGCACGGAGCGCTGGCTCCCGAGCTCTGCCGGCTCTTGGCCCCGGGGGGCCTGTCCTGCCATGCCTCGGGAGCCCCGACTCCGAGAGTTCGCCTGGGCTGCCTGACTCCGGCCTGCCTGGCTTGTCTTGCCTTGTCTTCCAATGGATGGACGGGATGTCTTGCTTTGGGGGCCTTCCCGTGCCTAGGTACCTTACCGCTGTTTGATAGCTAACCTACACAGGAGCCTAGGAGTTCGGATACCGGGAACGGCGATGCCGTCGAGGCCGCGCATCCCGTGAGCTGACCTGCGTGCTTGCCTATGGAGCAGCACCAGCACCAGCACGGCGACGGCGAGGAACCCACCCTATGCTCCCCTCCCAACTCCTCTCTCTCAAACAGTAGGTAGGTGCGGGCGGGACAACCCGCCCACGCCTACACCCACGGACGGGGAGGGAGCTGGAGCAGCCGCGTCCGCAGTCCGCACGCACTTGCTCGCGTGAGAATTAACTGTCGCGCAAATAATGCCTCGTTGCCTGACTGCGGCGCAGACGGGCGGCGTGTCTTGCGTGCTTGCCTTCCATGTCTTGCCCGTGCAGCAGCGTGAGCGGCAGAAAGCACCGAACCAGCAAGCAAGCAAGCAAGCACGGCAAGCTCCTCGTCGAGTCCCTCCTCCCAAACAAGGCCCGCCGCCCGCCCGCGCTGCTGCTGCTGCAAAGAAATAATGCCGCGTCCGTCCGCAGGCCGCAGGTCGCTGGAGGTAGGTCTGCTGTTCGCGCGTTCAATGAGAAGGGGTCCATGGGAGCCAAAAAAGAGCGCACGCACGCACGCAGCCTCGCTTCACGGCATCTCGCCCAGCCGCGCAGCCCCCTCTCTTTCCCGCTCGCGCGATTGGCTCACCAGCGCAGAAGGGCGTGGAGTGTGCAGCAGGCAGCGGGCGCAAAAACGCAGCCGCAGCTCGAACGGGAAGAGGGATGGATATTGAATGGGGAAAAGGATGAGACAACACACCAACAAAACAACACGACACGGCACGGCACGGCAAGCCGGGGTGCCGCGTAGCCGAGCTGCCGTCGTCCGCCGTCCGCGGAGCCCACCACCTGTTGGTGTGTGTGTGTTTGTGTGGTGTGGCGTGGCAGCCTCTCAAGGCTCGCTCGCACGCTCGCATCGCTGCATCAACTACCAAAAAGAGAATCTGACAAGGACGAGACTCGAACTCGCGCGGGTTGCCCCACCAGGAATTAGCGTTAAGATGACCTTAACCTGGCGCCATAACCAACTCGGCCACCTTGCCGTTGCTGAGAAACAATTTCCCATATCTCGTAATATCCTTAGCAGATATTGCTTGTGGGAGCGCTGACGCTCGCTAGCTGGATTACGCGACGATGAGCAAAGCAGGCCCGGAGACACCTCCTCCCACCCCTCACAGCCATAAGCCACTAGGCAGAGTACCAGCCATCAGCTCAGCCTTGCAACTTCCGGACTCGCCCGACCACCGTCACCGTCACCGTCACCGTTGCTGTCAGACGGCGCGACCGCTCCGAAACCCCTCTGCCGTCATTCAAATCCATGCCAGGCGCAGCGGTGTCGGCGTGGCGCGCCTGTCAGCTCAGCGCGGCGCAGCTGTACCACCACTATCAAATACGACGTCGAGTATGTACTCGAGTAGCGCCTAGCCTTGCGAGTAGTCTAGGTATAGTTACAGCGACGCTGGATGCGCTTCCGCTGGTACCCGCCCGTGTTTGCCCGGCGGCGGCGGCGGCGGCGGTAGCGGTCAGGCTGAGGAGAGAGAGCCTCCCTCTAGTGCAGCAAGTAAGGGCACGAGGAAGCAAGTTTGCTGTGCCCGATGATCATGATGATTATGATGGTGGTGGTGATGGCGTCCCACATAGCCACGAGGCTACGAGGAAACAAGCAAGCCATCCGCGGGTTCCGCTGAGCCGATAAATCTTGATTGCGGCAGAGTAGGGGCGCTTGCGCTTGTTTTCGAGGCTGTGAAGGCTCTCGAACCGCGTGGAATGTTTTCGTATCTATAACATTGCATCACGGTGCTGGGGCCTGGCCCTGTTTGCGTGGTGCGTGGTTTGCTTTACTCTACACTTGCCTGATGCGGTCGTGTCAAGAGTGGGTTGTAGCTACCTATGTACAATAACTGGGATTCAGGGTCTGGCCTGGCCAGGCCGGCCGCGGAAAGTATGCTACAATCAAGCTGGCTCGTGGTCTATCGTCACCATCGTCACCTCTTTGCAGGTTTCGCAAACCCCCTACCGCCCATCACCATCCCCATCCCCATCCCTCTCCCCCTCACCACCACCACCGTCCCCATCCGTCCCCGTCCCCAGCCGCGCCTCCTCCCGCCCAGCCAGCGCCAACCCCACCCCGTCCGCGCTCCCCGCCCGCCCAGCCGGCACGCTCTCCGCGCTCAGCCGGCTCGGCGTCGAGCCCAGCGCGTCGCTCGCAACATCCTCTGCCCAGTCACGCGCCAGCACCTGCCCGGGCAGCAGCGCGCTCTCCGCGATCAAGGGCTCTCGCGCCGAGGCATCGCTGCCGCCTCTATCACGCCCGGCAGCAGCAGGCCCGGCGAGCCCAGCACCAAGCCCGGCCCGCTCGGCAGTCGTGCCGCTGAACCCGGCCCGCGCGAGCGGCGCCTCGAAGTCGATCGAGAAGCCGTGCATGTCGCGCAGCTGGATCAGCGGCGTCGCGCCCAGCTGGGGGGCCGGCGGGCCGGCGGCGCGGTGCCGGGTTCGGCTGCGCGGGACGCGGGGCGCGTGACGGGTCCAGAGGAGGGTTTGCTTGGGCGTGGTGCTGAGGTTGAGGAGCTTGTATAGCGGGGTTAGGAGGAGGGTGATGAGGTTGACGGAGCTGCGCGAGATGGCGCGGAAGGGCGTCGTGAGGAGGCGGTAGCGCCGTGTGCGGCGGAGGCCGCGCGCCGCGGCGCTGTAGTTCTCGGTGTTAATGTGGCTTTGGAGACACCACTGTGGGGGAAGTCAGTGTTAGTGTGGTGGTGAATGAGAAGGAAAGGGGAGCGCACCTCGGATACTACGTAGATCATTCCTAGGAGCATTGTGGAGGCGCCTGTTCCTGTTCCGGCAGACCCTGAAGGAGTTAACTTGAGTATCTTCGGAGGCTGCTTTGATCGACTTACAGTACCATTTGACCCATTTATTGTTTGTGACGTCGCTCTGGTTGAAGTCCAGGTAGCCGCCTCCGCCGCCCCAGTAACTCGTCATGCATCTGCAGTTCCTGAAAATGCCAAAAGTTTGCGCCAGGACTGTGTAGAGCAGCCAACCGGTATTACACAGTTCTAAAGGGTGGAAAAACACGATGGCCGCCCATTTCTGGAAGCTCCAGCCCTTGGCCTGGTCCAGCTTGTCCCTTAAATGGCGTTCCTTTGCAGAGAACTGGAAAGGGAGAATCATGAGCACACGCAGCGTCAATCGAATAGACAAGCTCTCCAGCGCGTGGCCGAAGCTGGCCAGACGTGAGTGCACCCAAAACCAAAGACCACGCCAACTGTGCTCCATGCGTACAAAGGTAGGCTGGCGCTGAATGTTGCCGATGCTCCTTCGCACCCATTGCGGTTGTTTGGGAGGAACGGGAGAGGTGATCCACCATACGACAAACTCGGCGACAAGCAAGGAAAAAGCCATGGTGCAGTAGATCATGTACCCGCCGCTTCGGCAACCCAGGCCTACAGTCGGGGTGAAGTATGAGAGGACGAAGGCTCCAAGGCATGTGCCTCCGACGATGAGGACTGCACTGGCAACCTGCCAAAGCCCCCGGAGGTCAAACCATAACAGCCCCTTCTCTGGACTTCCGAGGACAAGATGCATCCTTGCATCTTTTTCGTCTTCGTCGAGCCAGCCGCGCCCATGAGTAGCTATCCAGATATCCTCAATGTCGTAAAGGATTGGATGAGCTGCTCCATAATGCCAACGGACCCGTCCTTGGCCGGCGAAGTCCACGAAAAAGTCACCGCCGCTTATAATTTCGCTTTGGAGGTGGATGTTGTTCACCAGTGCTTCCAGCCGGTCGGCTTCTTGGTGCCCTCTGAATGTCTGAATGAACTCGTTTCGGATGTTGTCGTCTTGCAAAGCGTCGCATACACTTTGTACGAGCTTGTTCAACTTCTGGCGGATATCGTCTGCGGCCACGGGATTCCGATCAACGATGCTGCAAAGGATAAGGACTGGCAACCAAGCCATGAGAAGGCCCAGGGCAAGATCATGAGCAGTGGCGTTCTCTCCGATATCTCCAAAGGCTGTCTGGATGGATAGCGCTAAAGAGAACAAGAACCACATGGTGGAAACGTATACCGGTACTACACCGCGTTTTCGGCCTGCACGAAATTTTTGCGCAAGCTCTTGTCGCCTTTCGTTGAGAAATTTCCCACTTTGACCTTTGTCTTTCAGTTGAAGATCTTTGCTGAACAAAACTATGCGAAGCAAACCCTCAGCCTCCTTGTTTAGAGCTTGGCTTCTTCGCATAGTAAATTGGTTCATGGCCATGAGGATATAGAACGAGTCGCGGATGCTGGAAAAATCGCTTTTTGGGTCCGGTATTTGCAAATCGTAGGAGATCGCCATGTCGACTGCTTCGCATCAGCACATGCCCATGTGCGGATTCGAGTTTGGACTTACCCATGAGCGCACACTTCCCCGAGACCTTCATGTTCCAAAGTATGTAGGATAAGGAAGCCATCGGTGAGCCGACCCACCTCGCTATTGCCAATACGGTATGCCAGAATGCGTTGCTTTCGAAAGGCGCTTGGAGAAGCATGCCTATCACCGGCAAAACCCATGTCGTTATGGTATTTGACGCGAGTGACCACTCATAATAGTCATTTCCAGTCCCGCAAAGCTTTCTGCACCCTTCAAGACTGATCTGGGTGGCATTATTTTGGTTGATGCCTTTGATCATTCCATTCCAGTGATACAGATCTTGCAGGGTTGTGTTTGTGGTGTACTTAATCTTGCATTCTGTAAAATTGACCTGTGGCATTGTAAATTAAGTTTTCAGCACCAGACTGAAGCTGTATAGGATGCACATTAGTGAAAGCGATGCGGAAAAATGTGTAAAGCATATTTGGCATAAACGCTCCTACATAAGCTCAAGATTGTAGCCGTTGCCTAATACTTTGAATGAGGCTATGGCTGTGGCTGAGAGGCAGTCGATAATCAGACGCCACGCATTACACAGGTGCCTACAGCGTGTGACCCAGTCTCTGGAAATGCACTGGTTGTCAACATGCTGATTGGCGCCGTGGCGTCCGAAAGACACTTCTATCAGCTATTTTTGGTCTTTCGATTAATTTAGACAAATTGGGAAAGATAAGAAAGATGACAACTGGTAATGAGAAAAGATAGGCCACGCGCCAACATGATGAGGCTGAAATGCCATGCTGGAGAGGGTGGTGCAGTGGCACGTGGCGCGTTACACAACGCCCAAGGTAACATTAACGAGTCACGCTCTTCCATGTGACGATGAATTTCGACCTGGCCATTTCTCGGAAAGTGGGAGATGATCTCGCCGTTGTCAACAATGCTGAGCTGACTCAACGTTGGGCGACCATCGCTGGGGCTGTGGCCTCCAAACGGGGCTCAGTTCATTTAAGACTGAAAGTGTTCGTGGCTGTACTGAAGGTTCTGTGGTTGAGAAGATCAAGACTTGAGGTGATGTTGTGTTGTGTTGTGTTGTGCAAGAGTTGACGACCGGCCAGAACAAAATAGCGATGGCGCTATTCCTATTGTAGAAGGTGGAGAAGGGGCTGGAAATCCCCCCACAGCAACATTGTTTTGACTACACTCAACTGCTGCAGGATGCCATCAGGGCCGACCTGATGCGTACTGTAAGCGGCTCTACGGAGAGTACTGCGCAGGTTCAAAACGCTCCTCATGAAAGCACCGGCATCTTTCCGCCGCACGCATGTCTTCATTGCCAGAGGGTGACAGTTAACCTCGGCTTGGTTCGCCCTTGGTACGACCCGAGGCCTACGAAGACAGGGAGTTTTGGTATATCGTATGCCGAAGCTGTCGAAGCTGCACGAAAAGGCTGTTCATTGTTTCAAAAGCTCTTGTTACGAGATGGCTTGTCTAATGTCTGGAACACAAAACTTACCTATAGAGAGCAAGAGTTGACGACTGGTCAAGACGCTGAATTGCTTGATACGCCTCTACAATATAAGTTGCACCTTCGTCGGTACAAAAGAGACAGGGGAATTGTGTTTGAACTGCAAGACCCTTTCGCATCGTCAGATGTTATGAGTTTCTGGAGAATATATGCGGATCACAGTATGTTCCCGCACCGGACTGCAAGATTTAGGTTAATAAATTCACAGAGGATCCGGCCTATGATTTGGTGTTTTTGCGTCCGCCTGTTTTCAGCCCTGGTTCTGAAGATAGTCTCATCACTGCTTGTTCATGGCTTAAAGAATGCGACGGATCCCATAAGAAATGTCTGGAATGGAGACAAAAGTTTGTCCCGCTAAGACTATTAGACTTGGGCGAGGAAAGTGCACCGGCTCAGATTAGGCTCACCACGCCAGACCAAAAGGCAGACGTGTCATATGCAGCTCTCAGCTACTGCTGGGGCGGTGATCAACCTCTGAAAACGACATGCGCTACCATCCTACAAATGGAGAAAGGGATTTCGATGGAAAGACTACCCCAAACCATCCGAGATGCTGTCCAAGTCACACACAAGATTGGCCTTCGCTTCTTGTGGATCGACAGCTTTTGCATCGTTCAAGACGACGAATATGAACTAGCAGAACAGACAGCGCACATGCACCAGATATTCAGGAGTGCTTACGTGACGATTGCCGCTACGGCAGCGCGAAGCTGTACTGATGGATTTCTAATCCACGAGCGAAGACTTCAAAGCTCGATAGATTGGAACCTGTGCCAGGTCACAGCACATTGCAAGAACGGCACTGTTGGCGCCGTGGTGGTCGGCGAAAACGAAGCAAGCAAGGATGGGTCAGAGCCTCAGCATTTTTCCGAGCCTCTGTCTCAACGAGGATGGACCCTGCAGGAAACCATGCTCTCTTCCAGGATACTTTCGTACAGCAGCACGCAACTTCGTTGGTATTGTCCCACCCGAGCTGCTGTGGATGGCGGCTACACCGACACATCCGGGCCTCTGTACGGCCTTGATCCCGGCATGTCTTATTTCCGCCCTCGGCCCCTGATACGATGGTTCTGCGGTCGCTGGGACAGTCTCCGCTACCCATTCGACTGGCTTGACCTTGTAGACCAATACCGATACCGGAAGCTGTCATATCCATCGGACGCCCTTCCTGCAATTTCTGCTATCGCCCAGCGATACGGTAGTCTCCAGAGATGCGGTGCCTATCTCGCGGGAGTCTGGGAAAGAAATTTCTTCCTTCAGCTTCTTTGGATGGAAGTCCACACGTTCCACAGTTTGCCTCAATACCCATATCGTGCGCCGTCGTGGTCCTGGGCATCTTCCAATCCTGATGCAGCCATCTGGTGGCCTCTACTGCAGGATGTCCACTCGCGGAATTACTCTAAAGTCAGTGTCTCTTGCCAGCTCTTACATTTTGATACGACACTGCAATCCCCGCAAGCACCCTATGGCAAGGTCACTGCAGGCTACGCCCGGGTTTCGGGGCGGATCAAATCAGCCATATGGTCTGCCGACCGCGAGACGATCAAAGATGCATCCTCAGGAGATCCAGTAACTTGCGACCTGGTGAAAGCGTATCTGGACTCTTCCGCAAAGGAAGTGGCAAACGGTGCGGATCTGCCAATCGCCTGTCTCGAAATCTGCCCCTACCGGTACGCCTATAGCTTTTCGACTTCGAAGCTCATGCTCAGGGCTTGTTGGTTTGTAGCCGCTCTGATACTCGTCTATGATCCCGAGCAAGACGTCTACAAACGTATAGGCTACCTGGGCGTCTCTTCTCAGAAACACAAATCTGAGCGAATGAGAAATGCGGAATGGTGGCTCCGGGGGTTCGAAGATCGAGAAATCACCATCATATAGAGAGAGGACGGATGAGTGAACAACGACTCATATTCCCATTTGAAATCCATTTAAATGTGTTAAACCAAAAGGCGGGCCCGCGCATTTGATGCGCAGGTTTGAGTGACCTATATATTCTAACAAAAATGTGATATGAAGATCTTTTTCCGCGCCAGCGATGGGCTATACTAATAAATAAACAACGCCTCTTCCTCGTTCCCCTCCTCTCTCGATATGGCACTACCCTTCTCGTTCCCTAATACCGAGCAAGAAGTACACATCAACTACCTAAGCACCAAACAATTCGGGCAAGCACAACACTAGCAACCAGAACATCAGCAACCAGGACGCCAATACTCAGAACCTGGACAACAGATCCCAATCCGCCAAAACAAAGCACTGAAAGGCCCAGAAACCCCTAATGGACAAAGCACGTGAAAAAGTCAGTGAGAACCGCATATAAAAGAGAGCTAGCTGGTTAACCAGAGCTAGTACATGCGCGGGATACACTGCCCCTAGTGCTATTACGCTTGGCAAAGCAGTAATCAACAGCACTTGGGCTGTTTATTGGAGCTTAATACACCACTGGTGTCCACAAGACTGGCATAAAGACGCCCTCCGTGACCGCAGATCACCACCATCACCATCAAACACTGACACCGCACAGTATCCCCCACCATCGGGGCCCCTCATCACCATCATCAAACCATCACCAGCATCGCCTCTCTCCCACAAACACTGCCTTGGTCTTCTCAACCAATATCTGAAAAGAAGTGGCAAGCGATGAAGCTGAGAGTGCTACCCCAATATCGTCTTGCTGATCGGGGTTGGTTCTTGAGAGTAGTCTTTCAATGCTTTGGGCGATAGTTCATAGGCAGTCTCATTGCGCGTACGGAGAGCCTTTTATCTTGAACTGGATTGGATTGGATTGAGCTGGTGTTTTGATCTAATCGCTGATTCTTTACTCCTACTGCTGTTACGAGCAGCGATGCTATGGAGCACACAGTGGCACCTCTCCATTCCTCTCTAGACCATCTAACCTATATCTCCCAAAAAGCGCCTGCCTATCTCGCACCAACAAAACAACAGCAAAAAACCCCACCTCCTAGCCAGCACCAGCGTCCACCCCTTCCACCCCCTCCAACCCCTCCCAGCCCGCGCCCCCAGCATCAACATCAACGCCAGCAGCACAAGCACCAGAGTCGAGCCACGGCCCCAGGACATCGAGCCGTTCTCCCCTGTCAAAATAATCATAATCGCTGTCCTCATCAGCCCACACAGGACGAACACGAGGATGCCCCTCTTCCTCGCTGCCAAAAAATTCCTCGCCCTCGCTCTCCGACGACAACGTCGTGCCGTACGAGTACCTGTCATCGACGGAAGAGTCGTCGTCGGCGGGAAAGACATCGACAAGGCGTCGCCACGCGACTGCTAGGGTTAGCAACTGCTCTGCGTGGGCCGAGTCTGCGGACGCCGTGGACTCGGTAGGGGAGTCGGCATTCTCTCCGAAGTCGACGACCTCGTCCAGGTCCGCTTCGTCCAGATCGCCAATCTCGGCCGCCAGAGCCAGAAGCGTCGGTTTGGCCAGCCAGCGCTGCCCGCGAATCGAGCGGCACTGGCTCCAGCGCCACAACTCCGCTGCAACGTCGCTCCGTTCTCTTGCGCCGTCGGTGGCGCAGCGGCGTTTGTGCAGCGCCCACGCCACCAGAGCGCGCAGGTACAGGAACGTTTCGTCGGGGCGGGCGGCGGTCACGAACGCCAGGGGCGCGTTGTCCAGGTCGCGGAGGCGGACCGTGCTGCCGTTTTGGTAAGGGTAGGAGGAGCGGATGCAGCGGTCGAGGTCTTTGTGGGAGGTGGCTAGGACTCTGGTTTTCAGTGCCCTTGGCTGCTGCTGCTTCTCCCCTTCCCCTTCCTTCTCTTCCACTTCTTCTTTCTCTTTCTCCTTTTCCTTTCCCTCGCCCGCCCCAAAATCCGGCACAAACACGACGCTCCCAGCCGCAAACATCCTGCCCAAGCCCCGATACAGCGGCAGCCCATTCTCAGGCGCGCACAACCGCGCTTCCGCAGCCGCGCACCCCACACCCAACAAAGCCGCAACATTCGCCTCGCCCAGCGCAAACGGAACCAGCTGCGCCGCCTCAACCCGACTGTCGCCGACAAAAGCCTTGGTGACGGGGCAATATGCCGGGTTGTGGTATCGCGGGTGCGCATGGACGTACGCCTTGACGACGCAGCGCGCAAACGCCTTGTCCAGCAACCTGCCGTAGTGGCGTTTGCGCGTGCGCGCGCTGCCCAAGGCGTTGGCGTTGTAGATGTCTGGCAGTGGCTTGAGCACCGTGCGCGCGTACGCTGCTTGCAGCGTCGGCGTCTGTGTCTGCGTCTGCATCTGTGTCTGCGTCTGCGGCTGCGTCGTGTACATCAGGAGCGCGACTTCGGCGTTCTTGGAGGCGCGCTCGCCCAGCAGCGCGTAGTCAGTTTCGTCGACGACGGCGCGCATGCACGCGGCCGCGCTTGCGTCGAGTGCGCCGTTATTCTCTTTACGGCGTATTTCTTGCCGGCACAAGCGGCAAGTCTCTCAGCGCTTCGTTGTAGGCGCGCCGTTGCGCGATGTACGCTTTGATGGCTGTGCGGGCGGGGTCGGTGCCTACGGGCGTGTCTGCTAGGCGCTCGAGGTCGGCGTAGGCGGAGTCGAGGTGCTTGGCGTTGTCTGCGAGGGAGTGGCTTAGTGTGCGTGGGAGGTGGGGGGCGCGGAGGACGGGGAGTTTCGCCATGGTGGTGGTGTTGTGAGGCGTGGATGCTGATGTATTTATTTTTAAGAGAGGGACGGCTTGGGCAGAAGTAAAATAAAAAAAAGGCTGCGGTTGCTGGTCCAGGCCAACATACACCAGCCATGGTTGGCATCCACCTACCTAAGCAATGGAATAGGTGCCTACATATGACTCCCTCTCTCACATACTCGTCATGTACCATAGGTAGGTAAGGTATCACGCTCGCACCAACCACCCCACCCCAACAAACCAAAAACACTAGGTAGTTCAATCCAATCCAATCCGATTCGAGACGCTTCACTTTACTTGACCGCGCTTCTGTTTTCCGCCTTTCTTCTCTACACCCCTTCCATCACCAGCAAACAACCCAACCCACCCAACCAAACCAGCCCAAACAAGACCAAGCCAACAAAGCCAACAAACAACCAAGCTTCGACATCGACGACACGCGCCCAGAACGCCATGCTAAGACACTCTCCCTCACACGCACTCGCACGCGCACGCACAGGGACGAGAGGCAGGAACCCGTGGAGGATAAGAATAGGAAGGACGATAAGAAGAAGGAGAGGAGAAAGAGGATAGAAGAAGACCGAGGAGCTAGAAAAGCTTTCGTCGAGTAAGCTGGTAGCCTGTATGTAGGTAGCCGACCAGCTAGCCAGCAAGAGGCGAGGCCGTTGTGTGCTCGCGAGGAGGGGGTGGGGTGGGTGTTCTGGATGAGGTAGCGGGCTCCGGAGATATGTAGGGCGGGGAGGCGTTTCAGACGGCGGGGCGGAATACAAGTAAGGCTTGCGCGCGGCCCTCCCCTCCCCTCCCCCTTCCGGTCCCTTTCTTCTTCTGCACCATCAACCACCGCCCGCGCATCCGCTACCCCGCTGCTCGCGCACCAGCTCCCACTACCCTTACCCCTACCTCTATCCCTGCTGCTGCTGCTGCTGCTGCTGCTGCTGCTGATCCTCACCCTTCTGCCCCGCCTCCCCCGCCGGCGGCGCAACGACCTTCCCCCCATCAACCACGACCAGCTCATCAAGCCGCTGCTCCGTCTCGCCCCACTCGACGCGCTTCCACGTGCGGATCTTAGCCGTGTTAGCGTCAATCTCCCACACGCGCAGGCGGCGATGGTAGCCGTTATAGCCGCCGTAGCCGCCGAAGCCGCTGCCGCCCGCATAGCACATCCAGAGGCGAGGATCGCCGTTCTCGGTCTTGCTGAGCGCGCAGTAGTCGTTGACGTGGTCGTGGCCGCACGACACCGTCAGCACGTGGTTCTCGAGCAGCGCGTCGTGGAAGTGGCTGTTGAAGCCGGGCGCTGTGACGCCTTCTTTCCAGGCGCCTACGCGCTCGTTGTCCGTGAGTGCGTACTCGGGAAGTGGTATGTGGATGAAGGCCATGTCGAGGTGGATGTGCGTGTATTTGTGGTGCGCTTCTTTGAGCCCTTTGGCTGTGTCTTTGAACCATGCGATTTGGTTCGGCTTCAGCCAGTCGTAGCCCCGGAATTTGTTCTCGTCGGGCGAGTACGCGTGCGTGTCCAGAAAGTAGAGCGTCAGAGCTGAGTGCTGGCTGTGCGAGCCCGGCGCGAGCACTTCAACGTAGTAGTTGCCGACGCCTTCGATGTTTTGCGGGCCGGGCTCGCTAAGGGAATAGGGGAGCGTGGTTATGAGCGACATTTGCGCGGCGCGTGAGAGGGAGCCTTCATCGTCGTGGTTGCCGAAGATGGCGGCGTAGGGGATCTTGCGTTTTATAAAAAGTTCGGCGAACTTGAAGATGGCCTGTTGCGGCTGTCAGTATGAAGAATTCCATATATGGATGTGAAATACCCACAGATTGTGCGTCTGGCGACGTCTCGCCATTGACCTGATCGCCGGACAAAACGACCATGTCCGGCTTCTCCTGGTCCAGGATTTTGCCGACGAATTCCAACGTTCTACTGTCTGCGTCACAGTGCCCGCCGTTGTGGTCCTTGGGCTCCGGGTCCCTGCAGTTGCCCAGGCCAGTACTCAAATGCAAATCAGACACCTGCAAAATCTTAAACTTGCCATCCTTGTTTATCCGCGGGATGGGCTTGTCGATGGTGATGGGCAGGCCGCGCCGGATGCTCATGCGCGCCTCCTGCGCCTCGCCACTCGTGTCCAGCAGCAGCGGCGTGTCGCGAATCTCCCAGCCGGGGCGCGGCTCGACCGCGTCGGCGCCAAACAAAATGTCGATGGCCGTCACGACTTGCTTGGAGTCGCTGTCGTGGCGCTTGGACGAGCGCAGCAGCCAGATGCCCGCGGGGCGCGACTCCCACTTCTCGCCTGCCTGGCCCTTTTCGCCCATTGCGGGGTCGAGGCGGCCGACGCGCACGTCCAGCACGACTTTATCCTCCGTCTTGAGCTCCTCCTCCTTCTTGCGCTTGACGTGCACATACGCCTTGTTGAACCAGCCCGTGCTCAGGTACAGGTCCTTCTCGACGCGGTGCCATTTGTCGGCGTCGAGCTTGCAGCTGGACAGCGGGTTGAGAGAGTTGCATGTTTGCACGGTGATGTCGGTGATGATGAGGCCGGCATGGTGGACGGGCAGGTGGGCGTGGATGGACTGTGGGAGCACGCGGAAGTGGTTGTCGAAGAAGATGACGAGCAGGATGATCAGAGTGGTGAGGGTGCCCAGCTGGATGCCGGTGCGGACCTAGCGGTGGGCGATTAGCAAGTGGAGCTATGAGCGCCAGGCGGGGGGGCGGTACTATTCGTCGTGTCATGATGAGTTGTGGTGGGAGAAGCGACGAAAAGTGACGGGGGGTTGTGTGTTCTCAATGAATCCCCACCAAACAGCCTGCCATTCTCGCGCGCCAGGCTAAGAGGGGGGTGAGATGGAGCGGGATGACGCGAGGACGAGGGAAGAGAACGGTCGAGAGCGGGAGAAGTCTAGACGGGAGAGTGTCCCTGGATCATCGCGTCGCCGCCAATCGTGGCCTCAGGCGTTGACCATCCCTGCTAGCGGCCGCTCGAACAAACGCTTCCCCAGATTTACAGTGCAAATCTGCGTGCCATTATTATTGCACCACCGCACCACCACCACCACAACACCACAACACCACACAATGTTGCGATTTTCAAGACCCAGACTTGTCTCGCCAGTCTGCCGCCAGTGCGTCCGGCGCCTGACCTCCGACTCCAAGGTCTTCGCTGGTACGTCGATTCCTTCCCGTCCGCCGTCGGCCCGCCGCCGCCGCTGATCGCACGCGACCACACAGAGGGCGACACGGTTCTGCTGCGCCTCAAGAAGCGCGCCGACCACGAGGGCTTCATCATCAAGAAGCTCAAGCGCGGCACCCGCATCGAAAACCAGCATGGCGTCATCCTCCACGACTACATCATCGGCAGGCGCGTCCGCGACGTCTTCAATGCCGCCGGAGTCAAGCAAACCGAATACCGCATCCACGAGCCCACGCTGGATGAGTACATCCGCCTCGTGCCTCGCATCGTCACGCCTGTTCGTTGCACCTTCGCGTGAAGCAAGAGAGAAGAAATCAAAAGAAGAGCCGGAATGCTAATATCTCGGGCCAACGGAGCAGATATACCCCAACGACGCCAACATCATAGTCGGCCTGCTAGACATCCACGTCGAGCCGCCCACAGACCGCAATGCCTCGACGCCGCCCATTGAGATACTGGAAGCCGGCACAGGCCATGGCTCCCTGACGCTGCACCTGGCGCGGGCCATTGCGGGCGCCAACCCGCCGCCGCCAACGCTGCTGGAGCCCGTCCCCACGGACGAAGAGGCCCCACACCCGCTGGAAGACGCGACCTACGACGGCAGCACGACGCACCACATGGCGGAGCAGACGATTGAGAGCTGGAAGCGCAAGCGCCGCGCGATTGTGCACACGCTCGACGTGTCGGAGAAGCACTCGCGCCACGCCGCCAAGGTCATCAACGGCTTCCGCTACGGCCTCTACACGCCACACATCGACATGCACGTGGGCGACGTGTCGGACTTTGTGCGGGGGCAGCTCGCTGCGCGCGCCAAATCCGCCAAGCCCGCCTCCTCCACCACCTCTACCCCCTCTTCTTCCTCTTCTTCTAAGGCGGCAACATCCCCCTTCCTCTCGCACGTCTTCCTCGACCTCGCGTCCGCAGAAGAGCACCTGGACGCGCTCGCCCCAGCCATGCGCACCGACGCCATCCTCGCCGTCTTCAACCCCAGCATCACGCAGATCGCCGACGCATCCCGCGTCATCAAAGCGCGACACCTGCCGTTTGCACTCGAGCGCGTCGTCGAGCTCAAGGGCAGCGACACGGTGCGCAACTGGGACGTGCGACTGACGAAGCTGCGGAAAGCGGGCGTGCCGGCCGAGGCAGCGCAGGCTGCGACACCGGTGCCAGAGGACGCGGACGCGGAAGACGGCGATGCGCTGTCTGCGCTAGAGGGGGCAGAGACGCCAGAGCCAGTGCCCACCACCAGCAGTGCTGATAGCCCGACTGTCGCGCAGGCAAAGGCCGTGGAGCAGGATGTTGCGCGCCGGGATGCGGAGCTCGTTGACGCGGCGGATGATCCGGCTGACTGGAAGATGGTCTGTCGTCCGAAGGCGGGCGTCACGTTTGGCGTTGGTGGCTTCGTGGGCATTTTTAGGCGGAAGGGCGAGTCATAGTGTGTGTGAGTGGGAGGGAGGCGGGGGGCAGGTGAGTGGGTTTAGTGTTTAATAGCTAGGGTGGAAGGGCATGTGGATGTAGATAAAATAGCTGAACCGAGAGTCGGAGAGCGCGTTATAGACTATACCTATCAAGCAACAGCAACAGCAACAGCAACAGCAACAATAGCATCTACTCGTGTATTTCAATAATCAACACGTCTATGTTCCACTACCTACCTATAATCAGCTAAGATATCGTGCACGACAAAAGGCGTTATACCTAGGCTTACAACGTCCATTCATTCCTTTATGAACATGCGCTTCCTCTGCTTTTTACTCTCTTGCTCTTCCTCACTACTACCCCCACAACCGCAACACTGTCGCCCTCCGCAGCGAACTACCGTAGGAGAGGCAGCTTTCTGCGCCGACACGATGGAATTACCGTGCGTGCGTGCCTGCTGGCGCCACACTGCGCTTCCGTTCCTTATGTGGCGAGGTGGCTGGTGTGAGGGAGGGTGATGGCGATGGCGATGCTGCATACAGCCGACGAATCTCGGTATCAATGCCGGAGTGGCGTGTGCAGTGTCATTAGGCCGTCGTGATGGTAAGTACAGAGGATGTGGTAGCGGCAAGTGCCGGTCAGTGCAGGCGCGTAGACCAGTGGGCTGTATAAGGACTCAGTGTAGTGGTGTTTACGATGCAGGACCCAGACTCGGTTTCTGTTATCACTCTTTCCTTGGTCGTGGGACTGGGGTGCAGAATGCTGTGCTGTGCTGTGTGCGGGTCTTGTTGTTGGGAACTTGGTTATCGGGAGGGGGTTTATGTAGGCGGTGGTGGGGTTGAGGTGGAGGGTTGGTGGTTGGGAATGGGTGGTAAAAGGAGGGGTGGGGAAGGGGTGATCTGTGTAGTGAGAGAACTTAATCGTGGTCTAGACTAGACTGCCTATGCTATGTAAGAGGTTAGGAGTTAGAAGACGATACACATAACACAGCAAAGGCAGTGCGATCAAGGCTTTATAACTCAACTCTAGCTCATTAGCACAGTAACCCTTACCATACAGCACACGCCTGTCTCAGCTGCGAAGAAGAAGTAGGATTTGGATGGGGGAAACTTGGCTACGGATACTGCATGTTCTGTTTCCACGGCGAGTTTCGCAAGTTGGTTGAGGAAGAGCGCAGCAGTGCGGACTGAGGAATGGTGAGCTGGGTCAACGACGACAGGACGAGGTGATGGGGTGCGGTATGGTGTGGTGGTGGTGGTGGTGGTGGTGGTGGTGTGTGGCATCTTGTTGGCGTGAGGGGTGTGGGGGTGTTGATGCTGTGTGAGGTTTGGGGAGAGGATGGGTAGAGGCACCGGTGGTTGGAATGGGTTGTTTGTGCCCCTTCTGACTCCTCTTCGATCTCACTCAACTCCTTTGGAATTGACGTCTGTCTCTGCGGTTCGAGTTCTTTCGGTGCGAGCTTGAGCGCTTTTGTACCTCGTTGGGGCTTCTAGTCTGGAGACTAAGTGAGTTTGGCGTTGAAATGAAGGAGTTGCGGGAGGTGTTGGTTGTTAAGTTTGGTGGTGGTTTTGTGCTTATTGCTGACTCGTCTTGCCTTGTCTTATGCTGTGGGTGTTACTAGCCGGGCTACGCTCTCTTTTCTAATAATACAATGTGATATAGCGAGATTGCGGTTATGAAGCTTTAATATAGTATGCTAGTCGATTTTATCTTATCGAAGAGCTCCTTGTCTTCGGCCCCATTCAGAAAGACATCTTTTAGGGCAAAGAGTAGCTTAGATGATGGTAGTGGTGATGTTGATGCCTGTGTCGCGACCGCTTTGTTATTTATATATTACTAACTTATTATTGATCACGTCAAGGCAATCTTGGTTCCACTATAAGAGAATGTCGCAAGAAAGAATAGAATGCGGAATGGATTATCCGCGAAACTGTGTAATAGACGATATTACGCCTCGTGCTAAGGCAGGTCGAATCGGCTATGTCCATCAGGGCGTGCGGGACAAGCTAGGAAAACTAGCTAACGAAATTCATGGCTTCCCTGGATCAATCGACGCAATTATCCTGTCAAGGGAGGTTGAGATGAAGGCAAGAAGAAGTGCTCGATTTACGCTCCGCTCAAGTGCTGGACCGAAGGGAAAAAGTATGGTGGTCACTTAAGTAATGCCCTGTATTAGTGGTTGGTGGTGCTGCACGACGCCAGTGTTTGGAAGTGATGATGTTTATGCTCACAACAAATAAAATAGGTACATCAATGGGTAGTCCTTAGTCTCCTTGTTGGGTTTGCTATACTCTGGCAAGATGGTTCCTGTCCCTTTGTCCGCTATGAGTTTACACGATTGACTGGGACGTGCGGAAGAAGGTTCTAGCTTTGGCTTGTGAAGACTTGGAGGCTAAATTCTTGCCGACTAAATACTTGATATTCACTGTTAATTCTGCACTGCTATATTGCCATCGTCACTGTGGGTTGTAACCTTTCAATACTGTGCTTGTTTGAGCTAGTAGGCTTCGCATACATGTATCGCTATAAAGGCTATTTATGATCTGTCTATTCGAGGGTGATCGAGGCCGAGTGTGCTAACCCGAGAAAGCGCCTTATAGTGTGTTAAAAATATATAGATGAAGGGGAATTTGGTAATAGAGGAACCAAAGGCATAATCGAGGGTGCAAGGGGTGTCAAATTTTAGAATGTTGCAGAGTATAGATGGATTAACAGAAGGAGCGGAGACTCGCCTTGGTCATAAATTGGCTTTTGCTTAAACTAAGTATGAGATCTCTACCACAAACAGATTATTATCTGATGATAAATTGCAGACTATCCATTGCCAACATAAGGGCAACAATCCGATCCGAACGATGTTCGCGTTACCAGCGCGTCACAACACGTCTAAGAGTATAGACAACATGTTTTTCACAGCAGAGCTCACTAGCACCGGGTGATGATGTTTTACACCAGTAGTATGTGGTGATTCATGTCAGTGGCAAGGGACGGTAGTGGTGGGTAGGTTTGCGTTTCGACGTCATATGCAAGTTGGATTTGTGCCTCAATCGGATCCACGAACCCGCCAAAAGCTTTCCCAGACAAGTACAGGGGATGTATCTAGACGATGGGATGTGCCGATGTTTGAGAGTGATTGCTTCTCCAAAAGATCTTTTGAATTCGTAGCCAAAGAATTGCTTCAGTGCCTCTTTATATTACATGGGTTGGGTATCTTGCCTTCTGCCGTGGAGACTGTGTTCTTTTTTGTGGGAAAAGTGAATTGATTGAATTAGGGGAACTGCAAACAAGTTGCAGAAGCAGAATAGTGCCATGAAAGAAAGAAAGTGAGTGAGAAATAGAGAGAGAGAGAACAGTTAAGCGTCAAATCAGTTAGCCTTATCGTCCTTAACCTTTTGGTAATGCGTCAGAATGACCGAGCTGATAAAATCATCGTAAAGCGGCCGGGGAATAGGGTCTTCGTCTTCCTCTCGATCAGTGCTCTCAACATCATTCCCGAAACGATGATCCTGCAAATCAGTTCCACCGGAACTAGACGTGTTGGGAGACAGTGTCAGGCTGAGCATGGTATTGATGCCAACTGGGCAATCGTTGTCCGTAGTCATGGTGCAAATGGGCTGTTTTTGAGTCCTCAAAGGGATCAAGCTCCTAGAGTACCAAACACCTGGCATATCGGGGATATCCGTAAGTTCAACAACCGGGAAAGCTCCAGCAATGACGGTCTGCAGGGTAGCTACTGGCGAAATCTTGGACAGAACAGTCGAGTCCTTGAAGAAGGTCGACTCGAAGAAGGCGTTGGTGATGAGGTGTTGGAACCAACTCATGTCGTCGGTCATCAGCAGGTACTCGTCGATGGTGGCCAACCTTGTATCGGCCGTGATGATCGGAATGTTGGAGCAACGCTCCAAGTTCGACTGGGTGCGAGCAAGAGCAGAGGTGGTTTGCTCAGGAGCCTTGTTGATTCCTGGGAGCCAGAAGTAGGCCTTCTCGACATGGGTCCTGGCAGTGGGAGGCGGGAAGAGATGGCCTTGGAAGGTCCAGCCTCCAGTGCTTACGTCTGATGGAACAAAGATATCGTCAGAGAAGGATGTCGCCAAACTGGTGTGGTCCTTGATCGCGTGGAACATGGAAATGATTCCAGGGAAACAGGGCAACAGGGCGTTGTGCTCTGAGATCACTGAAAGATCACTGGCGCGAGATGGCCCTAGCTGGATGGGAAGGATCGGATATAGCCATGACAAGGTATCATCTGGCTTGACAGCGCCCAACGACATGAAGAACGGCTTGAGGGGTCCAGCAATGGGCAGATATTCCCAGAGGAAAGCCCGTTCGAAACGCTGAAGAAACTGAGTCTCCTTCCGAGTTAGAGTGTGGGCCGCGGCCTTGGCTCTAAGCACTTGAATGAACCAGAGGACAGAGTAGTAAGCCCTGGACAGAATGGTGTTGTATGCCGGAAACAGCTTGGTGATTGCGTCGCTCCCAGCCAACACATCGTGGATACCTCCAAGCCACTTGAACATCATATGGCTGCTTGGGTAGTAGTGGTAGGCGGAAGGGACGGGTCCAGATGGAGACTGGCCCCTACGAGAGGGATCTGCCTCCGAGTTTCTGAGATTCGGCATACCTGTTCTCGGGGGGATGAGGAACCTCCTTGGAAGTCGAAGTTGTTTAGGCTCTGTATCCGTGTCGCGAGGATGTTGTTTCCGTTCGGGTTTACGTGTGGATTGTTTTCGACGTCGGTATTAACATAGTAATTGAGGAATGCTTTTCTAGATTTGGTTCGTCGTGGATTGTTCGTGAGGCTAAGGCTGCTCTGTGTTGTGAAAGCGATAGGTGAATCAGTGTTCGGCTTCGCTCGTTGACAGTCAAATTGCGAGTATCTTTGGCAAAGCCTCGTTGATTGTGTGGCCAGAAAACTAGTCAGGGTCGACACTTAGAGGGGCGGAAGATGAGCCTCTAAGAAGGCGGCTAGTAGAGACGGTATCTTTCGAATGTAGCAGGTGTTCGCAGCATGCGATTGAGAAGTGATGAAGTGATCAGACAAGCGCGCAATGAGATGTGCAATTGGAGCCCAAAAACACACCACAGAGGCGGAAAGCAAGTGGAGTGGTTGAATTAGAAGGAAGGAGACGCGTTGCAGGATAAAATAAAGGTTGCACAGTGCGGGCGAAAGTGCGCTAACCGAGTTGGGCAATATGTTAACATCGAGGATGACAAAAGGGTCTCAAACAAGCGAACTAAACAAATGCTGACAAACGTACCCCGGTTCCCCAGGTTTCCCATATCTTGCACTGAAGGTAATGGTCAATAGGAGCAAAAAGCGTGCGATCCAGATGCCCACACCTTCTCCCCATTCATAAGTCAACATTAGCATCCTCCAGCCCAAAGCGCATTACTGACCAGTCGGCAAGCTAAATCAAAAAGCCCCAACCATTCCCTTCTTCAGTGGCGCCACACTATCTCCCAGCCCAAAAGCCGGCTGAGTAACCCCCCGCTTAGATTGCAAAAGTCCATACCTCAGCTTAGTCTTCGCGATATCCTTCGCAAGCGGGCGCGCGCCCAAACTCCGTCCCTGAGCCAAATGATCCAAGTCCTTATTGCGCGAAGCGAGCACGATAGAGGAGAACGACGTGCTAGCGGCGTATCCATTTGTCCAGATGGCGGCAAAGCCGACAGCGATTGAAGCGAGTGTGACGAATAGAACGGTACCGTACGATGCAAGGAGCGGGATGGCATTGTACGCGTAATGGTTGACGAGGAAGGTGGCATTGACGGGGACAGTGGTAGTTTTGTTCGTGGCGGTCGCGAATAGACTCAGCGTGAAGTTGCGTGTCAGATCTTCGATGGCTGTGGCCAGCGACCTGTTGCGGCACATCCAGGCTGGGAACGGGTCAAATAGGCCCTCATAGCCGGTCTGGTAGCCAGCCCTCGGGGGCGTATAGAACTCTCGGCACCCTGGCAAGCCGGTGAGAAAGAACTTCTCGTCCTCGCCGTAGTGACTAGAGACAGCCTCCCCGATGTCTCCAACGAGGATATCGGCGAGTGCGAGAAACATTGTTTGGTATTCCAGGGTTCCTGGAGCTCGTTTCGAAGAGAAGTCCGCGTTGGTGTAGTTTGTCGGTGATATCAAATCTACTTGTCGGAAAACAGTGGATTGAACACCGTCGGAGAAGGCCAGATCGACTATATAGGAAGCATTCCACAACTTACAGGTGAAGTTTGTGCGCTTTTCGGGTACCCCGGCTCTAACAAGAATATAACCGCACATGTCGTATGGAGCAACAGCCCTGTAATAAACAGAAGGGGGCGTCGTGTTGAATAGCTTGGCGACAAAAACATCTTTTAACGGGCCATAGTCACTTATATCGTTCTTGTCATAACCAGTCGTACTCACGTTTTCGCACTTTAGAGTTGGACCGTAAAAGTCTAAGGTGTAGGAAGAGTTCGGAGATGGAGCAGTCATTGATGCAATGGAGGCCGATGCTGCAGTGGCAGATAGCAAACGTCTCAGTGATGGACTGGCCCCCATAAGATTCGCAGCGCCTTCCCATGTGCCTAATAACACCGAATTGTTGGTGGGATTTTCGGAAGAAAAGTCAATATAAGGCACCTCTGCAGAGGTTATATTGGTGATAGAAACAGGCTGGACAGATAGCGTTCCCGGAGTCAAGGTAGTGACGAGTGGAATCAACCTGTCAGCAGCAAACCACTTCAGCAGGGGATCCTCTAACTACCCGTTTTCGGCCTACTTACCACATGATCGCCGCCAACAGCGCCAGGATTTTCGCATGTAAAAGGACCTCGATACTGCAAAATGACGTAGGATCGGTAGTCAAAGAAAGGATCTCGTCGAGTCCGCTCACGCTAATATGCTTCTTCTTGACCGTCACCCAAAAGTACTGGACGAACGCGGCTCCCACAGCTGCCGTGAAAAAAGATTTTGTGAGAAACGTTAAGCCGGTGCCGATACGGATGGCAAACTCTTGGTGTGCCTGCGATGTTACCAGCGTGTTGTCCAAGCTTTTGTAAAATACGTGATGTGCTATGCTGAAGGCGGCGCCGAGGATGAATGCAGTGCCCATCCATGCCGGTGCTTTCCAGTTAATGGTCACGGGAAGAGCCTCCTTCTCGGTGGTATGGCCTTGGTCTATCAAATCGCAGTTGGAGGCTTGCGCTGTCGGTGGACCAATGAAGTTTGACCTGTCCTCCGTGAAGTTTTCGACTGGACCTGAGGCAGGCATGCTGTAGGTATCGCTTGCTGTGTGGCTCGCGGGCATTATCGAAATGGGCGAGACACCTTCTGGATAGTCCCATGCTCTTATGTAATCAAGTTCATGCCCTGGAGGAATGAGCATGGCTGCTGCGGGTTCTTGATCAGTTATCGACATCTGGGGCCGTGAAAGTATGAGGTTGTGAGGTAGTTTGTCTGTAAATCTCACCAGTGGGCATAGAAGGTTGCCATTATATGAGTCTCCGCACTTTCCTCTCAGCCTTGTGCTACTTGGAACCAGCTGGTGCGGTAGTGCTACACAAGCGAATGAATGTTCTCTTTGTGTTGCTCAAGAACAGGCACCAGGGAGGCTCAGCCTTCCCCAAAATATCAGGCATTAGTATTGTATCCCGTTGCTGCTGGCCGCGAGACACAAATAAAGGTGATTGGCTGGCGGCTCCCCAGTCGCCAACCTCGGTGTGCAAAAAGCGTCATTGAACCCGAGCCGAAATCTCAGGCCGATAATTATAGCTGCAAAGGAAAGGCTAAGATGGAAAGGCTTTCGTGTGAGTAGGTGGCTGATAAAGGGTCTCTAATTCTGTTGGCAATGCTGTACATCCACCGGGGAGCACGCGAAAACGCGAAAGCCAATACCAATAAAAGATGTTAAACGAATATGCTGAACCTTTTGTCACGAAAGGCGATGGATATTGTAGGATCTGTCCTAAGAGTCTCAATGGTGTGCGCTTGCTAGGTGATGGATGACGATACGATAAAGGCAGAAAAGCAGAAAAGCAGGGGTGTAGGTAGAAGGCAAGAAGGTAAAAGAAAGAGGTGAGAGCAGAAAGAAGAAAGGCAGCAAGTCAGAAGGCAAGATAGCAAGTAGAAAAACCAAAATAAAAGTTCGAAGAATAAATCGAAGATGAAGACTGAAGAAGAGGTAAGGAAAAAATTAGGTCAGAAAGCCCACCCCTCACCTCCCCAAACCCCAACAACGAACGCAATCCTTCCTCCTTACAAAACAAAACAAAACAAACCCACACACTTCATCCCCGTAAGACCGCGAACTTCCTTCTACAAAAGAAGTCTCTAAAAAGTCTAATAAAAAACCAAAAAAGAATATTGACAAGGACGAGACTCGAACTCGCGCGGGTTGCCCCACCAGGAATTAGCGTTAAGATGACCTTAACCTGGCGCCATAACCAACTCGGCCACCTTGCCTATTGATGAATAAATTCATTTGATTCCATAAATTATAATTCTCAATATATTTTCGTAAGAGCGAACTCCATCATCGTCTTCAATTCGGGGAAGCTTGGTGCTTGGTGCTTGTCTGGTGGTTGCATCGTTCGCGACTCACTCGGCATCTATCTTTTTTTTGGGGGGCTCCAAACCCATCATTTTTCTCTCGTCAAAAGCTTGCTGGACTTTTGTAGCCAGTGTATGCATGGATTGGATGTGCGAGGACCCCCGCCCATGGCATGGCTTTTATGTACGCCGATTTCTCCCAAGTCTAACAACTCGCTGCTCTACTATAGACGCATCTGCGTACACAATACGACACAGCAATCCACAAGTTCACAAATGATGCAGTAGATAAATCGAGCGGACAAAATTCTGGCATTAACTTTTCCGCGCGAACCGCAGCGGAGCGGAGCGGAGCAAGCAAGCAAGCAAGTCAACCAACCAACCAATCCCTCCACATCCATCCACCCAACCACCCAACCAGATCTAGACCAAGGTCAATAGACCGAGCGCGAGCCTGCAGCAAACCCCACCTATCCATCCATCCGCCCCAGCACCCCGATCTGTAGCTAAAGTAAAGCCGCTCCGCCGTTCCTTCTCTCAGAACCCATCCATCCATCCATCCATATATACAAGAAAAAGGACGAGGCAGCAGTGCGTGGTATCAAGAAAACGAAAACCCAAGGAAAGAAAATATAAACGAAAAAACCGTCGCGAAAAAACCCAAGGAAAATAATTATCCACCTCGTTCATCGTCATCCCCCGGACTAGGCCAGCCCAGTCTTCAGGTAGGCAACTCTTTCTTTCAAATTTTATTCATCTTCTGCGTCCCCATCTACCGCTCCCGGAGCGGCAAATCATCGCTCGGCGCCCTGACGGCCGACCCACCCGACGCCGTCGAATGCACCGGGCTCTTAACCGCGCCGTGCGTGCCCGCGCTCGCCGGCCACTGGTGCATCTCCCACTGCTGCTTGCTGTAGTCGACATCGCCGTTGCTGGTATAGTGCGTCGCAGGCGGCGCGGCGGGCGAGGTTGGCGGCCCGTACGCCGCTTGCCACTGCTGGTACGGGCTGACGGGCGAAATCGGCGACTGCGCGTATGCGATCCCGGGGCTGTAGGGTCCTTGCGTGACAAATGGTCCGCCGGCGCTGTAGGGCGCGGGGCTGTAGGGATGGGGCGAGGTCGCAAACCGCGCGCTGCGCGGGCCCATGGTGCCCGGGGTCAGGGGATATTGGTGGCCCTGCGCGGCCCAGTATTGTGACAATGATGCTTGGGCTTCCAGCGTCTCGGCTTGCAGGGCGGCAATCTTGGACTTGCGGTCGGATTTCTCTTGGACTTTGCTCACGTGTCTGAGGCGTTGCTCCTTGGTCGGTATCATGCTGTGGATGGCGAGAATGATGTAGATGCTGAAGAGGATGCTGTAAAGTGTCAGGCCTAGGTATTTGCAGATTTGAGTGCTTGACCAACTTACACCATGAGAATGGTCATCACAAAAGAGGCCTTAGCTTGCAGGCAGTAGCCTTTGATCTTATTCGTGGAGGACATGCCGCAGCTGTGGCCAATGTACCAAGGAAGGCCAGTGGAAGGGTGGTCGCGATCAATGGTGTCATGTCCGATCTGTCCGTGAAGACTTACGGAGTAGATAGCCAGGCAAGCGATGTGGGTGAGGAGCGATAGAATTGGGTAAAACATGTGCATGGTGAACAGCGTCGTTTTCGTTAGGAGAATGAACATCGACAAGACGGAGATCACGAGGTTCCATGTAGTGAGACTGGAAAAAGTTAGCTACTGAATGCGCGTAGCCATGAAAGATATTACGGTGGCAGTGACATTTCATGGCCCAGCAATGAAGTTACTCACAATTGACTCCACACCATTGGGATGTTAACCGGTCGGTAATTGGCCATGGCGTATAATATGGCATTGGGCGCACTGTTGAATCCCAGGTCATAGCCTTCTTGCCAGAGCTTGGTGCGGTAGAGGTTCGGGCTGGCGATGCCAAAGAGGGTGAGGACGGCGACGGTGAAGGCGAACTCGATGACCAGGCAGGCAATCATGATATTGCGCGTCCGCCAGCTGCGTGAGATAAAGAAGTTGCCCATGATAGCTATTGGCGGCGCAGACGGGGCACAGCTCTGCTTTTGCCGCGGCGTCGAGGAAAGGCTGAAACGAAAGCTGGGGTAGCAGAGGTACAGAATCGATAGGGCTGGTGCTGGCGCCCGGCGAGAGCTTTAACAGCAGGATGCGAGAGAATAGGCGCGAAAGTCAGAGCTGACGAAGCTACGCATCAGCAGGGCCAGCAGCGGGGGAGCCAAGCTGAAACTCTGGAGGAGAAGGAGGGTGAGCGAGACTTGAGCACAGCATGTGGAGTTCGCAGCGATTAAGTCGCACGCAGCGTGCCGGGCCATGGCGAGAGCGGGTCAGCCGATAGCCAGACCCGGGTCGAGGCAATGGCTCAATTTTGCGCTGTCAGGCTCCCGCAATGGGACCGGCTCTGGGCTGCGGTGCGAGGGTGAGCACAGTGAGAACGTGCAGAACGAAAGCTCGTTGGCCGCTGTGATGAGCGGCGACAAGGGAGTCGTGATGGTGGCGCCTATTTGCACACCAATCACAGCCCGAGGCGCGCGTGGCCCGCCCGGCGCGACAAGGCAAGGCGTGATGGCGCTAAACTCTTTCGGGGTCTGTCAGCGCCAAACCTTTGCGAAGATCACTGAGAAGCTTTCTTCGAATCGCTTGGGCGCCGCCGTGGCGAGATGGTCTGCAGACTGTCTGATCCGTGGAGAGTCACGGCGTTTGCGGAAGCCGGAGAAGTGAGCGGGAGTATGCAGTGTGTCGTGCGTGAGAGACCCGCTTGCCTAAACCGGCAAGTCGTGGCATCCCGGGGATTTTCTCTTCACTGCCTCGCCCTAGCCCCAGCCCGGGGGCTCAGCGACAAAACGTCGTCATCCTACGGATACTTACCTACCCTCTTCCCCTATCCTCGGTCTTTGCGCGCGTCGCCGCATCTGCCACATTTGCTTTTCCTTCAAGGAAGCACTCGAGGCGACAAGTTATGCGGGTCCAATAGCGCTTATACATGGCCCCGGTGGACACCTCCTCTCCTGCATCTAAATTGCCCGATCCTCAACGGCGATACCTGCTCTCTATTTTGCCGCTCCGCGTGAGCATCGTACCTGGATTCTGGACCCACCGCTGCAAACCGACCTTTCCACGTTCCGTGGCTTACGTGTTCCATCGTGACGACAGACGCGCGGATCGTGTCCGCAGTAGGTCCTACCACCACTTCTCGCACATGACTCTTCCCTCGTCCATACCCTTCTGCTCCCGCAACACCTTCACGTACTCATCCGTCATTGCTGGTGGTCCGCAGACATAGCACACTGTTTTCGCTCTGTTCTGCTCCGGCCCAAGCACGTCCAATGCATCATTCACAGTCAGGCGGCGAAAAGCCACGTCCACAGCCTCGCGTTCCATCTGCTGACGCAAAGGCTTGCTGTCGCCGTCGTTGAGTTGTTCAACGTTACTCGTCTGACCGGTGAGGAAGAGCTTGAGTCGGAACTCGCTTGGCACGTGATCGACAAGCATGCTTTGAGCAGGCGACAGCGTGGCAGAGATGAGGCGGTCGAGGAAGAGAATGCGTTCGCCCGCAGAAGCCTTGGTGGCGTAGAGGAACTGGACAGATGGGGGAGACTGGTCTGTCGTTTGCATATGGGATATCATTGATATGAGAGGACTGAGTGTGTTTGGGTCAGCATGTTTCATCCCAGCTATGCGGGGAGAAGAACTTACTTGATACCCACACCACCAGCGATGAATATCGCTCTGTCAATATCCTCCAGGGGCACATTCGACGGTGGCCAAACGAAACTTCCCCCAACGCGAACATTGAGTTCGGTTCCTCTGGTTTCATCTACTGGGCGCCACAGCCATGCAGCGGGCGGGTTGTTTGGGCTCTTCTGGATGGCAAGTTCGAGGAAACCAGTTTGAGGTGGTTTTGGAGACGTGCGAGCTGGCTCACTCGTAATTGTAAAGCCACCGGCTTTGGGGGTACCAGGAACGAATACATCCAGCCACTGACCAGGAAGGAACTACTAGGTCTGGTCAGCACATTGCCAATGGCGAGATCGTCGAATAGAAAAATATTTTAGGCAATCATAAAGGAAAAATAAGGTTCACCATATTCTGTTTATTTTCCTTGAGAGATAGCTTGATCAGTTTAGTGGTACTATTGACGTCCTTGATACGATCAATCCGCACTCTATGCAGATTCGGATCACGTGGCTCAGAAGCTGTGCGCTCCTCATGGGAGGCCTTCGAGCGGATCGTACTCATTGTTCGAAAAGCGTGAATGGGACGCAACGGTAAAGCCGAGGCGGGGAAATTGCAGCGCAGGCAGCAAAAAGACAGGCGTGCCCTGAACATTGGAAGCAGAGAATGGACACGGCCACCAATTGATTCTTCGGATAGCGCTATGTCCAATTGAAACGGGACGCAGGGGACGGGGGGTGGTGGCCAGCCGATTGATGTGTTGTCGTGATGCGGGGAGCAACGATGACGAAGGGACGCGCGCCCGCAGGAAGGCCAATGGAAGTGGCGTCAACGGTCAAGAAAAGCCACGGCGCGACAGGGCGCTCGACAACGCTTGCCCAATTGATGCTTGTAATTTTGAGCGCAAAAAGATGGGCCAAGCCTTGGAAACAGGGACCAGAAAGTCGAGCACGACGCAATGCTGCCCGAGTCAAGCAGTGAAGATCTGTTTATCGTTGTTGAACCCGCCGCGGTTGAGGCAGACAACAGCTTGCTACGTCGGAAGTTGGGCTTCACATGCACCTTGCCTCATCCGGTTAGATGCATGATGCCCTATCGATACGGAACCCTGGCAGATCATCATATGCGGCCACGGGTGACGGATTGCAGGGTCGGCAACCTGATGACGGGTGCGGAGAGGCGGCTGGGTGCCTTGACGGCCTTTGAAACCACTCGTACTCTTGAACTCTGTTCCCTGTTTCCTCACAACTTTTCTCTTTCCTCCCCAACACACACTATCTTTGTTTGAACTTGCGTTTTGTTAGCCGCGTAATGGCTGCAGCATTCACCACCGAAGAGGGCTGGCACACAACCGACGACGGCGTGAAGCTGTACACCAAGACTTGGAAGGTTTGTCCAACCCGAACTACCACGCCAACAGCACATGGACTGATTTCGCGCATCCACAGCCAACCAGCGAGGTCAAAGCCCGTGTTGTTTTCATTCACGGTTTTAGCGACCACTGTGAGCCGGGTCCCCTATCTCTCGTCGCCGTCGTCTCCTAACACGCCTTACCTTAGGCAATGCCTACGGTCCGCTGTTCCCCGTCCTCGCTTCCTATGGAATCATAACCTACACCTTCGACCAGCGCGGCTGGGGGCGTTCCGTCCAGCGCCCGCGCGATCGCGGCCTGACCGGCCCAACCAAGCGTGTCCTCGCCGATATCACGTCGTTCATGAAGGCGCTGCCGCCCGGGAGCGGCGTCCCGCTCTTCTTGATGGGCCACTCCATGGGCGGCGCTGAGATCCTGCACTACGCTGTCGCGGGCGACAATGAAGTGCGGTCCCAGATCCGCGGCTACATTGCCGAGGCTCCCTTCGTGGCTGTGGCGAAGGCATCGCGCCCCTCTAAGGGCGTCGTCATTGCGGGGCGCATGGCGGCGCGCGTGGCGCCACATCGCCAAATGGTCCAGCGGTTAGATCCGAAATTGTTGAGCAGAGACCCTGAGGTCCAGAAGCAGTTCGAGCAGGATGAGCTGTGCCATGATACCGGAACTCTCGAGGGCCTGAGTGCCATGCTGGATCGGGCAGCGAGTTTGGAGGTTGAGGCTGTGCGGTTGGAGGAGGGTATGGGTGAAGGAGGAAAGACGAGGGTTTGGGTGGGACATGGAACTGAAGATGGAGTCTGCGATTGTGAGCCGACGAGAAAAGTAATGGAAGGGTGGAAGGTTTCCGACAAGACCTTCAAGGAATACGTTGGGTGGTACCATAAGCGTAAGTCTGGATTGTGCGTGTAAAGAGGGCGCGAGCTAATACATGTGAGTAGTGCATATGGAGCCAGGAGATGATAAGAAGATATTTGCGAACGACGTCGCCCAATGGATATTATCGAGATCTGGTCCGGCAGATGGGAGCGCTGAGGGGCGCACTGGGTCGAGGCTTTGAGCAAATGGTAATGAGAGCGACATTGCATTCTCGAGAGACAACGGTCGGATAAATTTGGTAATTGAGGCAAGACTAGTAGCTTAATGAGAAGATATATCCCCGAAACTGAGATGAAAACAAGGCGTTGTTGAATAAGCATTATAGGAGAGTGACGAATTGCTCTTGACCTACGGTTCCATAGTGCGTATTACTGTACTCGACTGACCGACGTGTAAATTGTTTTCTGTTGAAAGTATGTCAGTGGGCATTTATTGGCAGACAACATGCATTCAGTATCAAATACAAAGTTCCTGTATTTACAAAGCATGGAGTGCTTGCAAAAACATAAAAGTCAATTGTCTTAAGGTGGCTCATCCTTCCTAACTTGGAAACTGGATGCTATTTTTGATGCCTTGTTTGATGCATGAACATATCACTTCCAATTCCAACGTGTTCCAACAATTAACCAACTGCACTGAAAATAATGTCTCTACGACGGCTGCTGTGAGTGTCAAAATCCATGGTTATTCTTGGCGGCAAAACTGAGTCGGTGCACCAGCAGTATGACAACGCTATGTTGTGACCCGCTTCTCTTTAGGATTTGGGACATTGTGCAGCTCGATCTTCATCGCCGTATGCTTACCACGTGCCTGGGCGAAAGGATCCATCGCGACGGTAGGTGGTCCTTACACCGGCTAAAGCCGAGTTGACAGTTGACAAGTGTGCAAGCATAAGAAGCAGCTTCCGTGGTTCGAGGGCAAAAAATCCATGCTCCTGCGCAGCATGCACAGCCAGGCAGGCAGGTGGTAAATCCCTGTCTGGCCGTCAATTGGTTTCTTCGGATTGCTATCATGCATGAGGTTGAGCGTCAATTGACGGTTGATGGGCTGTTTGTGTCAGCTGTGGCATGTGCGCAAACAGCTCATGCCTTTGTCGGGCAAATCTAGCGACTGGCTGCATGCTCAGTTTGAGCGGGCGAATATGGAGAGAAGCAGCGCAAGGATGGAGGGGTGGTGGTGATCGCGCAGAGGCTGAAGCTGAAGCTGCGCTGCTTACTGGATGGAGGCGGTGGCCCACGCTTCTCGACGTTTTGCTCGAAATTCGCTGCCACTTCCCAGATTCACATCACCGTCATCAGAGACAACCCTCCCACCGATCGACCCATACACGAGTTCCCACTCGCCAGCATCTTCACATCCGCCGCCTCTGCTCTTCCACCTTCCTTCCGCCTCGACCACTCCACCACCGCCCGTCGGTGTTTCGCTTTGCTACGAGTAATTAGCCACAGCAAGCTCGCGACTATCAGGTGCGCTCAATCGCCATCGCAACCGCGCGCGCATCTGTCCCTGCGCCGCCGCATACAGAGCGAGCTGCTGACCGCAGAGCAGGACGCTGATTGCAACATCTATCCGCGTATCGTCACCTCTCTCACTCGCGACATCGCCTACCACCCACATCTCGACGCGACAAAATGGCAACTGAGCAGCAGGCCATGAACGGGTCTTTTGGACAGCAGACTCAAGCCTACGAGCACGTCTACTCGCAACAGAACGCCGCTCAGGCTCCTGCCCACACGACTTCGGGATCGTCCAACGCCAACGGCGCCTCCGACATACCCAAGGACGAGGTCGGATGGTACTTCGTCGAGCAGTACTACACCACCCTTAGCCGTTCGCCCGAGAAGCTCTTCGTAGGTGCTCTGTTCAATTACGCCACCGCGTTGCTAACCGACGATAGTTGTTCTACAACAAGCGCTCTCAGTTCGTCTCTGGCGTCGAGGAGCAGAAGGTCGATGTGTGCGTCGGCCAGAAGGTATGAAACGAAGCGAGAACGTGTCTAAGACATACCATTGACCCAAACCCGTCAGGCCATCAACGACCGCATAAAGGAGCTCGACTTTGAGAACACCAAGGTCCGCATCACCAACGTCGACTCCCAAGGATCCGATTCGAACATCGTGATTCAAGTTATCGGCGAGATCTCCAACAAGGCCCAGCCCCACCGGAAATTTGTCCAGACCTTCGTTCTTGCTGCGCAAACGAACGGCTACTTTGTTCTCAATGACATCTTCAGGTACATCCAGGAAGAGGAGGACATTGCCGAGGAGGAGCTGGCTCAGGAGCCCGCCGCTGTCCCTTCTGGTGTCGAGGAGCCCGTGCCCACCGCCGAGGAACCTGAGACCCAGGCTGAGGCCCCCGAGACTGTTACCAATGAAGAGGAAGTTGCTCAGGTCGACGACAAGCTCGAGGAAGTGAAGGAGCAAGAGCAAGAGACTGAGCGCAAGGCCTCGCCACCTCCCGGACAGGTCAACGGCACTCCGGTTCCCGAAGCCGCCGAGGTTGCTCAGGCTGACGAGGCTCCCGCTGCTGCTGTTTCCACTACCGAGGAGGCCCCCAGCGCTGAGGAGGCGCAAGCTGCTGTTGCTGAGGAGGCGGCCGCCGAGGCCGAGAAGCCCCAGGACCCCTCGCCGACTCCTGCTGCCCCCGCTGCGGCTAAGCCTGCGGCCGCTGCCGCTCCCGCTGCCCCCGCCAAGCCCGCCGTTCCCATGAGCTGGGCTGCGAAGGCTGCTGCTGCTGCTGGTAACCGTGCCGTGGCTCCCGCCGTTCCTGCCGTTCCTACTCAAGCTCCCAAGGCTGCGCCGGCCACTCAGGCCAAGCCTGCTGCGGCTCCTGCTGCTGCGGCTTCTTCCGCTGCCGGTAGCTCCGCTGCTCGCTCTGGATCTCCCGCCGACACCACGCAGGATGGCTGGCAGACCGCCGGCGCTGAGCACAACAAGCGCCAGTCCCGTGTCCAGAACCAACCCCCTAACGAGTCTGGCACCGTTCGCGCCTACATCAAAAACGTCTTTGAGTCTACTGATGCCGATGCTCTGAAGGGTGTTCTGTCCAAGTTCGACAAGATTACTTACTTTGACGTCAGCCGTCCCAAGGTATGTCTTCCAAACTGTAATACCCCAGTAGTCCATATTGTCTAATTACTTTGCTAGAACGCTGCCTTCGTCGAGTTCGCTACTCAGGAGGGTTTCCAGGCTGCTGTTGCCGCTAACCCTCACAAGGTCGGTGACGACACCATCTACGTCGAGGAGCGTCGCCAGCCTGGCAACTTTGGCCGCTTCCCTGCCCGCGGCGGCTCCATGCGTGGTCGTGGTGGTGCTGACCGCCCCGGTCAGGGCCGCGGTGGTTTCAACAAGGACGGTGGACGTGGCGGTTTCACTCCCCGCGGCCGTGGCGGTGCAGCGACCCCCCGCCGTGGTGGCGGTGCTGCCGCGTAAGGAAGCTCGATCGTCTTGCTTTGTTCCGCGGTGCATTTTTAGAGCCGGGCCACTCTACTGTACTATTTCCTATTTCGATGCGATGACGTCCCCGGTGCTCACGAGTTACGTCTCCCGCTTTCTCTCACTTGTATTCTACAGCCCTTTTTCGCGCAAAAAGTTTGCTCTGGACTCGGGTTAAGGAAAAGTCAAGGGTCATGGGTCTTTTTCGCGGTCAGTCTTCAGTTTTTTGTTTACTAGCATAGCGGTTCTCTCTTGCTGTTTCCCTTCACCATCACACTTCATTTTGTTCGAGCAAGCGGCTTTTCCTCTTCTTTCGCTTTTGGCCTATGCTCACAGCCTTCGGCGCTTGGTTATGCCGCGTATCGCATCGCATCGCATAGCAGAGCCGCTGGAGGGGCTGTGGCAGCAGTGGCTCGGTGTGGCGCCAGGTCACGCGCCTTTGCAGTACATAGCTTAGGTTTTTGCAGCCAAGGGAAGAGGATGGGTGGACGGCGCGGTACAGGGTAGAGCTTTGTACGTATAGCTGCCGTTGCGAAGAATGAATCAGTTGAGTCAGCTCATGTGGTGTGCTACAATATGTACGGGGGGCACGTGAAACGAGCATCATCTTGGCGGGCGGTGTTGGGCACGCAGCTGACACGCACGCAGCGCAGCAACTTGTCCCTTTCCCGCTACCTCGTCGGAAACCTGCCCGCTTCCTTTCTCCCAGCGCAGTCCCCTTTGCGTGCGGTACCAAGCGGCCTTTCCACCGCGGCCACCGCCAGACAAGCTACAGCGCCCCAGTGGTCATTGCGCACAGCGGGGTACCCATACGATCGTCATCCGCTCCGTCAACCTGCATCTCCTCGACGAAAGCGGCACTCCTTCTCCTAAACTGTCTCTGGCTTTCTATGAAAGCACGCCGCGCCTCTCTACTAGACAAGGAATCCCATCTATGCGGCCAAACATGGGCGGCGACGCCCACCAACAAGCCCCGCGACCCAGAAAGTCCGGCGATGTCCCAAGCTCCTCGTCCGCCACGCCGAGTCATGCCGCAGGCCCGACGACCTTCTTTCTGCGCAGCGAAGACGAAGTGCACCAAACAATGAGCAAATCCCCCTCGCGCGACTCGGCCAAGGAGAGCGTCTACGGCGTCCAGAGCCTGGAGGACGCGCTCGACTCGGCGTTTGGAGACAAGGATCCCGGCGCGCAGGAACTCGCCTTCGATAAGACCGATAAGGGTGATAAGGATAGAGCCAGCGGCAGTTCGCGCTCCAAGAGGCGCGCCGAAGAGGCCATGAAGTGGTCCAACGAGGTTGAGCAGCGCCAGCGCGAGCTGGCCGACTTGACGAGCAAGCAGCACGCCTGCAACCTCTCGGAGAGTTTCATGACGACGACGTCCTCTCATCCGCTCACCCCGGTGCAATTTGCCCTTTCCCCCAATCCCGCCAGTGACCTACCCAGCACGCCCAAGAGCGTGAGTTTGAAGAGTTTCCGGCTTAGCGACGAGGACGATGAGGCCGCTAGCCAGGCCATTTTCTCGGGCGGAGAGGAGGACGAAGAAGGGGACGGCCTGAAGGAAGAGGACAGCAGCATTCCCCAATTGGTGATGCCGAGTATACAGATGCCCACGAGGCGACCATTTACGGAAAAGGGCAAAAACATGGGAAAGTTGAAGGTGCTTATCGCTGGTGAGACGGGTGAGTGCTGGCCTGAGGTGCTTTTAATGTTACTGGCGGGTATGCTAACATCGTGCTAGGTGTGGGCAAGACTTCTCTCATTAGGTCCATAGTGCAACTGTGCGAGGATATTGTCCACGTCGACCCGCTCACGTTTAGCCCCCCAATTATCCAACCCCCTGAACCCGCAAAGTCGAGGTCCAAGCGGAGGAAGCAACGCAGCAGCACGACGAAGAGCATCTCAGAAGTGTACGCCAGCACCAAGGCATACCCATCATGGTGGTCGGATATGGAAGAAAGCCGTGTTCTGCGCAGGCGTAAGAGCATTGGCGATACTGTGCTGGAGAGGAACTTGTGCTTCGTCGATACGCCGGGCCTCGAAGCGGGAAAGCAACCTCAGGAGCAGACCGATCCGATAGTGCAATATGTCGAGAGTTTGCTGCATAGGAATGCCTCGATGACGGCTATGAGCGATGGGGATCTCTTGGGTATCCTCAGCGGAAACGGAGGTGTGCAGGTTGACGTGGTCTTTTTTCTCGTCCGCCTGTCAGATGGTCAGTCATTTTATGATATCTTTGCATGCTTTAGATTAACATGTGCGCTACAGAAGCAGAACTCAATCGAAATATTGAGCATATCCGCCGACTCTCGAGCCTCACGAATGTCATCCCCCTTGTTTGTCATTCAGATACCCATGATGCCGAAAGGATTTCGTCGTACAAGATGGCACTTCTCCGCCACCTCGATGCCTCTTCTATCCGTCCGTTCCTTTTTGGAAAGTCTATTGAAGACGCGCTCATTGCCGCGCAGCCTGCGGCGAGACAGGACGCATCACAGCAAACGCTATCCGGTGACTCGCCGAAGCCGACGTCTCCTGGTCCTTTTGCCATAACGTCTGCCTCAGCAGCCGATAGCGAGATCATGGACGCCTCGCTCCTGATGTCTCCAGATTACATTCAGCCTCTCGTACCCTCCGAGCTCGCTGTCCTGGTCGAGCAGGTCTTCACTCCCGACACCATTGCCTGGCTGCGCCACTCCGCAATCAAGAAGTTCCTCCGCTGGCGCGGCGAGCGGATCATGGAGGAAAGCATGACGATGCACAGCACGGCGGAAGGCTGCGCCTCCGACTTTGGCGGCAGCACTAGTGGTTTCGAAACGGCCGCCACGCGCGCCCAAAACCCCTTCTCAGCACCATATATATCGGGCACAACAGGCGCCTCATCGATCTTCTCCTCGCCCTCGCCCAGCCAAGTGCTGATCCCGCGCCCGGGCACCAGCTCAACATCCTTCTCGCTCCCGCTCTCAGCCTCGCACTTCTCGGCCGTGTCCTCGCCCAGCAGCCCCCAGACATCGCAGTACTACACGACGAGCACGGCGGCGGCCACCACCGCGCCACTGGCGCCGCACAACTACAACCTCGCGCGCCTGGCGGACCACACGCAGCGCGAGGAGCGGCTGGCGCAGGTGCGCCTCGCCCGCTGGGCCGCGGACCTGCAGCGCAGCCTGGCCAACGAGCGGCGCCGCTTCGAGGAGCTGGAGCGCGGCAAGCGCGCGCGCTGGCTGCTCGAGCAGATTGGCGCCGAGGCCGGCGAGGGCCGCATCTCGGAGGCGGCATCAGCAGCAGCGGCGGGTATTCCTGCTCACGCCGACGTCGACTGGGCGCTGACGCGGCGGGCGGACGTCGAAGAGTGCGTGAAGCGCGAGGCGCGCTGGACGGGTACCGGTGCCGGGGCGGGCGAGCTACGCCGTGCTAATGCTAAGGCACGCTTGCTGGATCCCCGCGACCCGCTCGGCTTGTGCGAGTGGGGCGACGAGGTGCGCCGGAGCGGGTGGGTCGTCGTGCAGGTGCTGGGCGGGGCGGGCGTCGTGGGCGCGGTGCTGGTTGCGGTGTGGAGGGCTTGGGGGCAGGGCGGGGGTGGGGCTGGGCTTGTTACTGCTGGTGGTGGTGGTGGGGGAGGAGGTGCAGGGGGATGGAGTTGGGGGCTCGGTGCTTGGTTTGGTGAGGGTGCTGGGACGGCGGTTGTGGGTGGGGGGAGTGCGTGATGGTGATGATGTTGATGTTTTTACTTGCTTGGTTGCTTGGTTGCTTGGTTCTTGTTCTTTTTCTCTTCTGTGGTGTGGGTGTGGGCGTGGAGTGACAGGGCAGGGCAGGGCAGGACAAAGCATTTCTACCTATGACACGGCGGTACGGTACGGTACCTACGTCGATGGATGATGGATGATGGATGATGGATGATGGACGATGAAATGGTGGATGAATGGACGGGTCCTAGGTGGCTCAAAGCATAGGCGCAGTGGCAGTAGCGGTAGCAGTAAGTAGCAAGGCAGATGGATGGATGGAGATACCCCCTCCTTCAAACCTTCAGGCCAATCAATCGATCAATGGGTGAATGATATCAAACAACCACGCGCACGCACGCACATACAGACAACACACAACGCAAGTAGCATAGGTTCCTAGGACTGGCAGAACCCTTCTCCCTCACTCCTTTCCCCCCTCCCCTCCCACACAAACACACAACAACCAACCTACCAGAACGGGCCCTCAAGCTCCCCGATCAGCTCCGCAGGCCTTCCGACGCCAATACCACTTCCACCCCCACTCCCACTCGCACTCGCAGCACCTTCGTCCTTCCCACTCGCTCTTCCGCTCCCAGACTCAGTAGACCCAGTACCAGACGCACCAGACGCAGCAGCAGCAGCAGCAGCAGCGGCGGCGGCTTTCCGCCTCGCGCTGACGCTGCGCCGCCGCGCGGCCTCGAGGGCGCGTATGCGTGCGTGGACGGTGTGGGTGCGTTGGAGGGGGGTGTGGGGTGGTGGTGGTGAGGGCTGGGGTTGGGGTTGTTGTGGTGTAGCGAAAGCGTCGTCGTCGTTGTCGTCGTTGTTGTCTGTTTTTTCTTCGACGTCGTCGGGGAGAGCGTGCTCTTCCATCTCCTTCCCCTTCTCCTTCCCCATCCCAATTTCCGCCTCTGCCTCCGAAGCAGCATCAACACCAACAGGCCACACGGCATCCGCCGCCGCCTTAGCCGCCGCGGCGCCAATCCCACCACCAACAACACCAGCAGTACCAGCAGTACTACCACCAACAGTACCACCAGCGCCAGAGCCAGCACTTGCAGCAGCAGGCTGTCCCCATAAACAATAGTCGCCCACAGCCCTCGCAGCCAAAAAGCGCTCCTGCACGACCCGGGCCGGCAGATCCGGCGGCTCGAACGCAGTGGAGCCAGCTGCTGCCGAAAAAGAGGTGCGAGAAGCGCGAGAAGAAGAAGAGGAAGAAGAAGCGCGAGACGAGGCAGCACCATGGCTGTCTTTTCTCCTCCCCGCAGTTTCGCCATCTCCTGTAGAGGCATCAGCAGCACCCCCTCTCCCTCTTACCCGCCCATCCACCCCACGCAAGTCCAACCCGCCTTCCACCTCCTCCCCCGCCGCCCGCGCAGGATTGAACCGCTGGATCTGCAGCGCCGGCAACGGCTCTGTCTCGGCATCAAAAGGCGGGCGCTGCGCCCCCGGCGGCGGCGAATGCGGCTGCTGCAGCGGATGCGGAATCGGGACCAAGTGGCCGTGTTCGCGCACGAGGGTTTCGGGCGAGAAGTGCATTAGGGCGCGGCGCGGGGGTGGGAGGTTGCTGTTGTTGGTGGTGGTGAAAAGTAAAGGCGAGGGCGTGGGCGGGCGCGAGAAATGGCGCATTAGGAGCGGGCGAGGCGTCAGTGCGCCCTCTGTGTGCGCTTCCGCTGTCTGTGTCTGTGTCTGTGGCTGCGGTGTAGCAACTGCACCGTCGTCGTCGTCGGCCTCGGCCGGAAACCCCGTGCTGCTCGCCACGAGTGGCTGCGGACGCGATCCCGCCGGCAGCCACGAAAACTCCCACGTGCGCGCCTTCTCACGCGGCGTGTCCAGCTTGAGGAAGAGCGGGCTCTTTTCCCGCTCAATGCCTTTTCCTTTCCCCCCCACCTTCACTGCACCCTCCTCTTCAGCAGCAGCAGCACCAAACCCCTCACCCATGCGCGGCACGCTCGCCATAACCCACGGGCTCGCGCCGGGCCTCAACAGCGGCGGCGGCGGCGGCGGCGAGTCTGGCGCCCGTACAATCGGCGTCACAGGCCCAGCATCCTCGCTCAAGTCCGGGAAGCGCGGACAGTAGGCGCCGGGGCGGTAGGCGAGGGTCTGGTGCCGCGGGGGCAGGGGCTGGGGATGGAGCAGCTGGTACGGAAAGTACGGCTCCTGGGGGCGGGCGAAGGAGTCGGGGCGGAGTGGAGAGGGCGAGTGGTGGGTTGGCGCTGAGGTCGGAAGAGATGAAGATGGCTGTGCGGCGCGCTGCTGTCTTGGTGACGGCGACTCCTCTCTCGAGTGGCGCGGCGGCGTCGCCCGTCCCGCGCCCACGCGCTGCGCGACTGCGAGCGGTAGCGTGGTGTACAGGTCGTGCTCGCCGAGGCGGGGCGGCTCGTCGTTGCGGTACGAAGTCGGCGGCGAGGGCGGCGGCGTGACTGGCGGCGGCATCAAAGGCGGCGGTGTCGAAGGCGTATGCGTGACCGGCCTGTCGTCATCGGAAGAGCCCAGAACAGGGGACCGCCTATCTGGCGTCGAAGCGTGCGAAAGCGCTGCCGACGACGAGACGAGTGAGGGCGAGATAGACGGGGCCAAGCTGGTGAAGGGGTGTGCGGGCTCGTGGTGTGGTGAGGAGGGCGAAGCTGGTGCTGAGTGGTCTATGATGTCGGGGGATAGCTGAGAGAGCAAAGGTTCGCTTTCCTCCTCCTCCTCCTCCTCTTCTTCTTCTTCTTCTTCTTCTTCTTCTTCTTCTTCTTCTTGCGGCTCTTGCCCTTGTTCGTGGCGCTCAGCTTCACCTCCCACCACACGAAGCGCACCGCCAGCAGCAGCATCAATCAGCCGCACCGCCATCTCCGCCGCAACCCCCAGCTCCACCCCAGCCGCAACCCCATCTCCATCCCCACGCATCAACTCCCTCACCACGCCCCTCAAGCCCAGCAACCTCGCCTGGCCCTCCAAAAGCTGTCGCCTCACCCGTTCCAGCAGCGCAATATGGCGCGCCAGCGCCTCGTCCACAGCCCGAAGCGGCGAGGAGCCGAGGCTTGCGTGCTCGATTGCACCTTCTCGTTCTCCTTCTCGTTCTCGCTCACCCTCTTGCTCACCCTCTTGCTCTTGTTCATTCTCTTGCACCGGCAGCGGCGAAACCGGCCAATCCCCGGGCATCGACGCCGCGCCATCAGCATCACCCATTGCACCCTCAGCCTCAGGCGCCGTGCTTCCCCAAGCCAAGAAGAACGGACTCCGTTCGCCCACGCTCCTCGGCAACAACGGCGTCGGCACAAGCAGCAGCGTCGGGCTGACATCGTCGGCCATGGGCGCGCTCGTTTCCTGGTGCAGCTGCTGCGTAACACCGCCGGCGTCTTGTCTGCTCTGGCGCCGCAGCCGAGGACGCAGCAGGCGTTGACGTTCCGTGGTTGCATCTGCGGGTGCGGTTACGTTTGTGTTGCTGTGGTCTTTTTGCTCCATTTGCTCGCCATCACTTTCTAGATGTGGGCTCCTAGACCTCTCCCGCGGCCGTCCCCCAGCCCGACCAAACGACAAGTTCCGTGGCGCGAGGCCCACGCTCGGGCTCTGCTGGCCGCTGCGGTCGCGAGCATGCGTGCGTTTGTCAACTGTGCCAGCTCCAGTAGCAGTGGCAGCAGCGGCAGCGGTCGTGGGTTTCGGATGCCGACTCCCCGCCACCAGCGCATCCATAGCCGCCATGCCCAACAAATCACCGATATCCATGCCCTCGCGCCGGCGCTTCTCTTTCTCTTTTTCTTGCGCTTGCACAAGTTTCGCCTTCGACTTCGACTTCGTCGCGCCAGGGAAGTGATTCGCTGCCTCCTCCTTCTTTGGGCCTAGCCTGCCATAGCCGCCTCTGGAATCGACGTCTAGGTCGCCGAAATCTTTTACTGCGACTACAGGCGGTACGGCAGGCGCGGCAGGCGCGGTTGGCGCGACCCGCCGCTTCCCGACTCTTCGCGGCCCCAGCGTGCACGCCTCATCGAGCCACTCCTCCTTGCGCTCCGCCTCCTCTGGCGTCGAGGGGCCGAGGTGGTCGTAGAAGCTCGGGACGTGGTGGGGGGAGCGCAGCGGTGTCGTCAGTGGGGAAGACGAGACGGGGCGAGGGAGGCCTGGCTGTAGGTGGAGGTAGAGTTGGGGGCGGGGGCGTGGGAGTGTGGTGGTGACTTGGGGAGTGATGGCGGTGGTTTGGGGAGTAATCGTGGTGGTTGTTGTTGTTGTGGTATCTGTTGTTGAGGGTTGGTGTAGTTGCTGTGGCCCTTGCTCTTGCCCTTGCTCTTGCTCTGCTCGTGTAGACGCAGGCGCCAATGCCGGTGCCAGTGCCGGTGCCGTTGCGGGAGCAGTCGTACCGCTAGCCGCCAGAGGATGCTGCTGTTGTTGTTGCTGCAGCCCTTCAGCCAGAGTCGACACAGCGGCAGGCACAGCCGCAGGCGCCGGGACGGATGAAGACGAAAACGCAGACGCAGACACAGGCGACGCAGACACCTCCTCGACACCTCCCCTCCGCGCGAACGGGTTCCCGCGCCTCATTGCCCCAGCCCTCGCACGCTCAACAACCGAAGCGCGATGCGTCAAGTCATGGAGAGGGCTTGGCTCCTTATCCGGCATCACCGCGGCCTGTAGCGTGATTTTCTTCTCTTCTTTTGCCGTCTCAAATGCACCCTTGCTCTTTTCTCCTGCCTTGTCCACAGCGACTGCGGTATTGTTGTCGTTGTTGCTGTTGTTGTTACTGTTGCTGTTGCTGCCGCCATTGCCATCTCCTCTCTTACTCGCACTCCCACACGCACTCGTACCCTCCTGCACCACCAACGCGCCCAGAGATCGCCTCCCCAGACCAATACCCTGCCCCAGACCCAAGGCCCTTGAGTGCTCCCCACCAGCACCAGTACCAACAGCAGAGGAAGAACCACCACCAACAGAACCACAACCAGCAGAACCACCACCAACAGAGCCAGCAGGACCAGCATCCCCCGCCCTCTCCCCAATATCATCAAACGACCTCACCCGCGCCGCCAAAGTCCCAGCACCAGGGCGCGAGCCCCTACGCTCCGACCTCGTAGACACAGATGCAGCCGCCTCCCCCGCCTCCCCCGCGCCATCGATCCACTGCCGTCCAGCCAGCCAAGGACGAACAGCTTGCCAAGGGGGATGAGCTTGCCAATGGTGGTGGTGGTGGTGGTCACCGTGGCCGTGATGGCTGTGGCAGACACCGTTCTGCAACCCCCCGTTCTGTAACCCAGGACATCGTCGCCCGCAAGACTTCTTCCCGCCAACGCCGGGCCTAGGGCCACGATGGTCGGCCAAGAGCGCCAGGACCTGTCGAAGATGGTGCAGGCGACGGCGCAGCTTCGCGCTGTCTTTGCGCAGGTTGCGGGCGAGGATTTTGCAGGTGGTTATTTCGGGGGTGGGGGAGCGGTGGGGTTGTTGTTGTTGAAGTTGTTGAAGTTGTTGACGTTGTTGTCGACGCTCTTGTTGACGTTGTTGAAGCTGTTGTTCTTGACGCTCTTGATGAAGTTGCTGCTGGCGCTGGCGTTGCCGCTCTTGTTTGCGCTCAACCTGGCGCTCTTTTTGACGCTGACGCCGTGCTTGCGTCAGAGGTGTTCCTGGAGCATTGGCGGCCACGGCCGTGGACGCGGCGCGTGGTTGCCGCTGGTGCTGCATGTTGAGTGAAGTGTGTGAGTGAGTGTGAACGCGCGTGTGGATAGAAAACGAGAGGTTGTGTGGTTCGTGAAGTGTGGTAGTTTAATGGTGAACAGTTGGGAAAGTGGGTGGATGTGAAGACGTAGGTAGACAGTGCGTAGGTGAGTAGTAGCAGTGGGAGTAGTAGCTAAGGATAGCGTCGTGGTGATCAACGAGGTTTAGAGTCAGCGGCCCCAGCCCGGTCGTTAGCGACGTTGACGGACTCAGGCAGGCCGTAGGTTCTGCGTGAAGAATGACGGGGCGTATATAGGAAGCAAAAAGTACGATACGACGTGGCATGGAAGAAGAGAGGGAGTGTGAGCGAGCGACAGACGGACAGACGACGGAAGGACAATTCAGTGTTGGCATTGCGATTGCGCTTGCTTCAAGACGTGAATTGGGAGAAGGCGCGATTGATGCGACAATGACGACGCCCTGCTCCTGCTATACACAGCTACGCTCCACAACATCTATGTAACGCTACGCTTATTTCAAAGCAGCCTGGAGGCTCTCAAGAACCTGGTTTACGCGCACAAGCAGTTAGCTTCTCTCTCCATTTCTCACACAACAACAGCACCACCCGCGACTCACCTCAAGCTCGATCTTAGCCTCAGCAATGTCCTGCTCGGAGCCGGAGCCCGACGCGACCTTCTGCGCCTCGGCGATCTGGCTGCGGACGGCGTCGGCGGAGAAGTCCTCGAGAGGGAAGCCCTCGACGGCGTTTATGCTGAGGGCGTTGTCGGGCTGGACGACGGCGAAGCCGCCCGACAGGAAGTACTGCTTGCTGCCCTGCTCCTCGATGACCTCGACGAGGCCGGGCTTCAGCTGCTCGATGCTGGGGATGTGGTTGGCCAGGACACCCATGTCGCCCGTCTCAGCGGGAATGTTGACCTGGACGCTGCGCGGAGGAGCCCACTGTCAGTATCGGTGTTTCTCTTCCCGCAAACAAGTCCTGCTTCTCCTGGAGTGTCGGGGGGCCACAATGTCGAGGGGCAGGTTCATCGACGGGTTCGCGGCGCTGCAATTGGAGCGCTGGAAGGAAGGGAATGGCTGCCGGCGGACGGACGGGATACGTACACTTCGGAGGACTTGTAGATGGACTATGGCAGCAACACGGTCAGCTCGCACGCACGTCGTCGGACCCAGGTGCTCAGCGCGCATTGGCTGGCGCCCGCGGGCGGATGGGCACATACCTGGTGCGGCAGAGCCAGGGACAGCTTGAGCTTGTCCGAGGCAGCCTCAGCGTAGCCGCGGCGCTGGGCGATGAAAGGCGCGCGGAAAGCGGCGGGGCGGGCGGCCCTGAGGGCGGTTCTGGCGACGCGGAGGGAGCTCATGCTGACGGTGGGGAGCAGCTTGCGTTGACAATGGCGGTTGTGATGGCTGTAGATGCGCGAGCGGGCGGCAGAGTAGCGTTGATTGAGGTTCTTCGGATCCCAAAAAGCTTGGCGGGTCCTGTCACGTGGGCGCTGGATGGCTACCTGGAGCACTGCTATCCTTCCATACTTTCATGCATAGCAGAGCCTCAAAAAAGCAAGCTTACCTCCATCCGTCCAAAATCTATATTTTCCCCCTCCACTCCCAATGCCAATAACTAGCACCAACCACCCAAGCAACGCACCATCACTCCGGCACCCAGACATCCATCCATACACCAAAGCATTCAACCCACAAACACTCACAAGCCACAGCATAGCATTACACCCTACCTGCACACAGTCCAACTAAATAAACAAACTAAATAAATCAAACCAGCACTAACCCTACCCAATCCATCTAACCTCTCCCACTCAAAGCCTAAACATAACCAACCAAACAAACGCATATCAAAACAAAGAGTAAAGCACTACCTATCTATCTAGCATAGAGTAAATAAACCACTAAACCACACATACACGCATACACGCACACCAGCCGCACTTACAATCCCACCTACCCTATCCCATCAAACCACCCGACCAAACAATCAACCAATTAACCAAATAATCAACCAATTAACCAACTAACCAACCAAACCAACCAAGCAATCAACACACCCATCCCACCACCCACCATCAAACCACCACCAAACCATCTCAAAGCCAACATCAACGTCAGTATCAAAGTGAATCAACATCACAAACATCAATCAGCAGCAGCAACAAAAGCAACATCCGTTCGTCCGCACCACCCACCCTACCCCCACCCAACTACACCTACAACAACAGTAACAGCCCATTACAACCGACAGACAGACAAACAGGCAACGCTGCACTTTCATCGCTCTTAGCAACAACTACAACAACAGCAACTACTACAAGCTAACGGTAGAGATAGGTACGAATAGGCGTAGGTAGGTAGCAGTAGCAGTAGCAGGAAGTAATAGGTAGGTAGTAGCCCAGCGAGCGAGAGCGAGAAGGGAGAGAGAGAACGAGAGAGAAAGAGAGACAACGCATAAAAACGCACGCAGCCCGCTTTGCAGAAAACTTGTTGTTTGAATAGAATGTACCAGTCAGTCCCGTTCTTCTTTCAGCAACAACTCTCCCAAGCCGCTCCCATCGCCTCGCCCCCCGCCCCCACCATCACCACTACCACCACTACCAACCATGACCACGACGCCCCACCATCCCCCGCTCTGCTCCAATCCGCCTCACATCTTTCCCCCCCCCCCTCTCTCCCCTAAACCCCTATTTCTCTCCCCTTTTCGCTCCATCTCTCCCACCCTTTCGTCTTACCTCCCTTACCCTTCCAAGAGCGCGTTCCGGCGAGCGTGTATGTGTTTGTGTGTTTGTGTCTGTGTGGTTGTGTCGAGAGACAGGCAGGAGAAAAAGAAGGTGCACAAAAAACAGTGAATAAAAGGAAAGAGGAAAGGAGGAAACAACAAGCAAGAAAAGGAAAAAAAAAAAAAGAAAAAAAAAAAAAAAATCGAGAAAAAACAAGGGAAGGGGCGCCGCATAAACCGTTTGTCGTGCTGCTGATACTCGGCCAAACAAAAAGAGGCGTTTCGTTAGACCGCGCGAATGCCTAGTCTGCCGAAAATCGATGTGGCCGCCTAGGGGGTGGGGTTGCGGTTGGTGACGGTTAAGGTGGTTGCGAGCTGCTGGGGGAGAAGGCCCGTCGACATGATTATTCTCCCCGTTTCCGATTTCTTTGCCGTTACGGACTCCAAACATAGCAAGATTGCTCTTCAAACGGATGGATGCAGGCCTATTCGGTCGTCGACGAGGGGGCGTGTGATCATGGCGGGACAGACTGCTTTATCTCCGGCCGAACCTGCTGCACGGAATGTATCGGTAAATGGCTCATTGAGTAGTTCATGGTTTAGGACTTTGCTTTTGGGCGAGGAATGATGGGTCTGTTTGAGCCCAGGTTGCTGACGTACTTTTGCTTCTTCTCGGCGGGTTTCAGGATCTGCGAGGGGGGGACGCGAGGTTAGCCGGGTACAATTGCACTACTGAAGCGCTTTCCCTTACCTGGAACGAGCAGAGCAGACTTTCGTCGACGCTCATCATGGCACCAGCGTTGTCAAACTCGCCGCAGTAGTTGGGAGCGCTGAAGAGCGTGACCAACTGCCGCTTGGAGAAGAACTCGTAGCCGTCTTCGACGACCTGGTGAGCGCGACAGATGAGGTCCATGTCATGCTTCTGCAAGAATCGCGAGACGACGTCGGGGCCAAATGTGAATGAGACACCTCTGTCGTTCTCGCTCCAGCCAGTGATGTCCTTGTCAGGATCGGACCACAGCAGGTCGCAGAGAAGGCCGCAGTCGGGAATCTAATTGGGTCAGCAAATCTGACATGCATCCGTTTCCCGCACGACGTCCGCCAAGATGCGAATGGGGGGCGGCGGACAAGCAACTTACGTCGGTCGGTCTCATGACGCGGCGAATCTGCTCCATAGAGTTCAGATCCGGGCTCAGGCCACCGTGCATGGTGAAGATCTTCTCATCAATGATTGCGGCAATCGGCAGGCAATTGAAGCAGTCAGTGAAGGTCTTCCACAGCTTGATGTTGTACCGCCTCTTGCACTCATCGTAGAAGCCGTAGATTCGGTTGATCGAGGCGCACTCGTGGTTGCCGCGAAGGATGAAGAAGTTCTCGGGGTACTTGATCTTGTAGGCGAGAAGCAAGCAGATGGTCTCGAGGGACTGCTTGCCTCTGTCCACGTAATCGCCAAGGAAGAGGTAGTTGGCTTCGGGAGGAAAGCCGCCGTACTCGAACAGACGCAGGAGGTCGTAGTATTGGCCGTGAATATCGCCGCAAATCTAGATGCCGCGTCAGCCCCACCATTTGATGCACACCCCGGTCTTTTCCTTGAAGACAACGGGTTCTCCGCGGGCACAGCCCACTTACCTTTATGGGTGCCTCGAGCTCCAGTAGAATGGGCTGGGAGATGAAAATCTCACGGGCCTTGGTGCACAGGTACCGGATCTCCGTCTCGAGGAGCTGAACCTGCTTTCCAGGCCTGCTGCCCCGCACTTCCAGAAGTCTATCTATGATAGAGTCGAGATCCACCTCTTGTTCCGCCATGTTTGGCTATCGGCTATCGACAACGGCGCAATGAAAGGAGGGGCGGAAGAGGAGGGAAAGAGAGGGATGGGTCGGCTGGCGCTCAACGATAGTCGGGACGCGCCTGGTCGGAGATGAAAGGTGTTGAAAGCCTAGTCTTTGTGGACAAACGGATCAGCGATGTTGTTGTGCGACTGGCGCAAATTACGTGTCTAAAGTGAGGAGAAGAAGGGTGGAGAGCGCGGGCGAATCTGTGACTCGCGAAAAAATTGAAGAAAAAAAAACTCACCGACGGCCCTGGGAAACCCCGACTCCAGCAAACACAAGCGGTGCTTTGGAGGTGGTTTAGAACAGAGCAGGAGACGGTATGCGTGTAATGGCTACGAGCCCCTCAGAAAGTCGCCCTGTGGCGATGGCGGAATCACGCGACTTCGCACGGGTACCAGAGGGCTGCGTGCAATCCGCGTCGGCTGGGGAAAAGCGTGCGGCGGCGGGGAAAGGCTCTGCAACGGCTGGTTGTTGCGCTGTCAGCGTTCAGCAGAGGCTGTTGTCGTAGGTCGTGGCTCGGTCGAACGAGTCGTATTTCACCGCCAAGCAGGGTCGCGGCTGCAGCAGGGCAGGGCAGGTCGCACAGGAGAGACGGCGGCAGGCAGAGCAGAGGAGCTTGAGCGTGCGGGGCCGAGAGGCAGATAGAGAGACTTCGCAGCACGTTGGGCGGCAGCGGGTGGAGTTGGCGGGTGGTGTTGGGGTGTCGGGCGTGGAGGACGTGAAGTTTGTCGGTTTCAAAGTGAGCCTTCTCTCGTTTAGGAACGGGCAGGAATGCACGGGCGGCGGACGGCAAATTGCTGATCGGCCCTGCGAGAGGAATGCGTTTGGGGCACAAGAGACAAGCAGAGGATGCAAAGGCAGTGGTGCGAGGTGTCGACGAGGAGAGGAGCGGCCAAAATCGTCGCAAGCCCATCCCACGTCGCCCAACGCGGTCTAGGGCCACGGGTGACTAAGGCCAGCCTGCACGTAGCAGAAGCAAATCACTCAGGCAATCTTCATCTGTCAACCTTAACGAGGGGCGACCACGCCTGCCCGCGCGTCCAGCTTGCAGCCTTTGGAGCGCCCGCGAAAAAAAAAGCCCCCTAAACAAAGCATCACCACTAACCGCGAAACGGCCGAATGGTTGCGAGGGCGTCGCTGCCGCTTCCGGAGGGCGCTGCGCCGCGCGAGCCTTTGGTGGCCTCTGCCCGCCGAGTCAACCGCCGCGTAGGTTTACGAAGTACGAGTTGGCTCTAACTGCTCCCACAGGACCGCTCACACTTTTCTCACATCCCTAAATCCCTTGAGCCTGCCACCCCGTCACGTGTTGATTGATCGATCGCAGATCCGTCTGAGGAGGGTAGCCACGATCGCCGTCCAATAAAGTGGGTTCAATGTGGCCGAGCGTGCGAGAAAAGAACCTTGTCCATTGCATTTTTTTGGGTTTCCTGGCGTCTTCCGCGCGTCGCTCGACTATGCATCAAAAAGACCGCCGTGCCCGTTTCCCTCTATACGCCGTTCCGTGACCCCATCCAAACATCCAAGGGGAAGATGAGACAGAATAAAGAAAAAGAGAAAAAAATGGAGACCAAACTATGAGCAACAGCAGACCATCCATCCCATAGTGTACAAGGATGAGCGATAAAATAAAAGAGAGCGAGCAACTCCTCCCAAACGCAGGCCCGTCAAGGCTCGCCATGCAGATGCGGGCAAAAACAAGCTCGAACGACTGAAAATGGATATCTGTGAGGAAAAAGCCCAGGAAAAAGACACCCGAAGAGGAAATCCTGAAAACGCCTGCCCGCCCAATATGCTACAAATTAGGGCCGTAGTCATAAGCCCTTACTACTACTGAACGCAGAGAATAATCATGATTCTCATCAAAATGGAACTCGTGAACGAGATGCAAGAAGTCCTGTGAATGCTGAGAAACGAGAGAAGCAGCGCGGCATTTAGCCGAGCGTTCTTCCGCCAGAGACGATGCCCTGACTCGGCGTCCTGGATGAGGCCACCGTGGGCCGCAACGCGGGGCTCATGTGGTCCTCATACGACGGGGTCGAATGGTGGCTATCCCAAGTTTCATCACTGAGGGCGCTGAGCCAACCGTTGCCAAAGTCGTTACGTAGAGCCTCAATTTTCTTCCGGTAAAGGACGCCATTGACAGTCGCTTCGTCGGTGCCAATGGTGGTGAAATCGAGTTCAGCGCCCAGCGGCGGAGAGGTGATGGTGGTATCAATGTGAGGGAGCTTTTGCTGCTCCAAGGTCTGCGAAGAGGGCCCCGAGGGCTTGCGGACAGGTGCAGCCTCAGGGCTGCTGCCGCCGTAGGTGCTGTCAGCAGCCGCCACAGGTTTGGCGGGCTGCGGGGTTGGCATCATCGCCGAATCTGTGCGCTGATGCGTCGACCCATCGGTCTGTGACGACAACTCCACAATTCTCCGCTTCGGACCCTTGCGCTTCTTGATCGAGCCGACAACACGTGTCTCGGTTCGGGCGGGTGCATCGTACTCGGCCTTGATTTCGTCACCTGTAGTCGGTGGTTGGACAGGCTGAGGGCCTGCTTCAGCGAAGACGTCTTCAATTGGCTGAGGCTTGATGACTGGGACGTTGGCCGCCTCTGGTACTCGATCCACAAGTTGCTTTCGTTCACTGTAGCCGGGCCCGGTGGAATCAATCAATATATCTTCAGTGTAGCCCGGAGTGCTACGGAAGAGGTTGAAGATGGTGACACGGTAGTTCGAGTGCGTCTTGCAAAAGGGGTTTTTGTGGACATAGATCTCTTGCATTTCGGGCACGCCGGTGAGGCGAGCCATCTCCGTTGGGTCGATGAGCTTGTTTTCCCTCAGATCCAGGCGCTCGAGAGAGAGCAGACGTTCAATTCCCTTCAGCGAGATGAGGCGGTTGGCACGCAAGTTGAGTGTTGTGATAGCTGGCAGTGGGTTGCGCACGATGGAGTGCAGCGACTCGATCATGCAGTTGGCCAGGTTGAGGGCTCTCAGAGAGGTGAGTGTTGCCAGGCTGTCAGGGATCTCGGCGAACAGGTTGCAGGAGAGGTCCAGGGACTGGAGAGTAGTAGCAAGCGGCGCAAGGCTAGCAGCCGACACCGCGGTCAGTCCGTTGTCAGCCAAACTCAAATGTCTCAAGAACCGCCACTTTGAGGACGGAAGAGCACCAAGGGCAAGAAGGTTGGAGGAGCTTCCCCTCGGGGTGTTGGAGCGGACACTGGAGCCCGAGCTGCCAGAAGACCGCCTCAAGTTGGGCGCGCTGTTCCTGGCGTGTGCATAAGACGAGCCATGCCGGGAGCTGGCAGGCCTGGAGGGGGAGTTGCTCCTGCGCCTTGCGCGCGAGGCCTTGGAGCTGGCCGAGTTCTGGCGGGCCATGGCGATGCTCTGGGGGCTCCCGATCGAAGAACGTCTGTCATACATGGGCGGTGAGGGAGGAGACATGGCAACCCTGGACAGCTCGGGGTGCTTAGAACTAGGGCTGTGAGATCCAGGGACTGGGAGCACAGAATACGGCGACGTCTTAGCAGATCTCCTGCGCCGGCGGTCGGCATCATCCAATACAATGTTTATCAGCAGGTCAGTAGGGTCTTCCACACCGCCCCTCTTGATAGTGAGGCTGCGGAGCTGTTCAGCCAGGCGATCCCAGCCGTAAAACTGGCGGAAATCGACGTCAATGATCTCAAGCGCACTCAAGTTCTTGAACACGAAGAGGGGAACTGCAGTGTCGAAGGGGAACTCCTCATACCCAGCAATCAGCCGCGCCTTGTGGTCTGGGGCCAACCTCAGGCAAGGAATCTTAGTGAAGGCGGAGTAGAGATACTTCAGGTCCTCCTTGATGGCAGCCTTCTGCTTCTCCGTTTTGGCGGAGGAGTTGGAGGAGAGGCCAATGCTTGACCACAGAGAGGACATGCCGGTCATGACACTGCGCATGCTGGTGACGGAGTGTATGGAGTCCCGATCCGACATGCCCGTCTTCTTTCGCTGGGCTTGACTAAGGAAAGACACATAGTTGGTAGGAGAGGCATCCGAGTGTATGTTCTCGAGGCGCACGTTCATAGGCCCGACGGGTATGCCGAGTTCTTCGAAACGAGAGAGCAGGTAGAAGAGGTGGTGAGGAGTCAGGGTGAGCTTTGCCGGCTTGACATTCTGGGAGGCGAAGTTGAGGTATGGTAGGGACAGCGCGGCGGCGAAGGTCGAGGCCGACGAGGAGGAGTTTGTCGTCGGGGAAGCCGGGCTGGTGGCAGAGCCAGGCACATTTTTGGGAGCTTGCCGCTTGAGCTGCAGAGCGTTTGCGAGTGCTTTTTCGTGAGTGCGAACGAAGTATGCAAGGTTCTGAAGGCGGCGGAGCGGTTAGCAAGGTGCGCGGCGCGTGTCGTGTTTGTGGATTTTGGACGTACTTTTATGAAAGTGTTCCCATCCTCAGAGTCCATTTCGTAGGCTTGAGGAAGCCCGTGTGGAGGTGTTACGGCCTCAGTCGAGGCGGCGGCGGTGGATGCGGTGGTATGTAGGGACGGGGAAAACGGTCGGACAGGCAGCAGGAGTGTTTAGGCAGGCGCGAAGGGAGCTCGTGAGCCTCTTGGGACTGAGACACGGGCGAAGCTGTGGGAGAGAACGGGGTCAGCGGTCAGGGTCATGGCGGGAGGGTAAGCGAAGAAAAGCAAGCATTCGAGGCGAAATTGCACCTGCGTCGGCCGGGGGGCCGTTCTTGGAGATCTCCTGATAGTACGTACTTGGGGGTTACTGGAAGGGTAAAGGTAGGAAGCGGGTCGAAGAGAATTGGGGTGGCTGCCAATCACAGGTGCAGCGCGGTAGATTGCGAGAACAGGGTGTTGGTTGTCGGGCGTTGGCTTGGAGATATGGTGTCTGGACCAGGTGCGCACGGGTGTAGGCACGGGAAAAAGCTTCACAGAAGGCATGAAGAGCACGGGAACAGACCGTCTATATGGTACGACGGCGCCAGATTGCGACTTCAGGGTCAGGCCGGGCGTGCTGATAGCCCGCGACGATCGCCGCCCAATCACGCCTGCTGCTACAGCATGCGGGGTCGCAGCAGCTGAGACAGCGACGCATCTGATCGCTCACGTCGCACGCCGCCCGCTCGCCTTGGCTGCTTGGACCCTGAGAGAGCCCTTGTCCGCCAGCCCGCCACGGCTCCCGTCGCGGCCATGCGTCTGACCGGACAAGAGTCTGTTCCAACTTCACACGAGAGAGAGGCAGAAGAGAGAGCAGACAGGCCAAGGCAGGGCGATAGCTGGCTGGTGCTGCGGCTAACGCGGGCGCGCGCATCGTGGGCTGACGGTTTGCCCTCCCCACACTCCCATAGGTGGTCCCGGATTAGCTGCACGCTGCGTTATGACATCCCTTCGTGCCTTTCCATCCAGATGCTCTTCTTGTTCCTTTTTTCCCCCCACCCGGGCGGTGAGCCTTCGGTGCATGCTCGTTCGCCTTCGAGACGCCTACTTCGAGTCCGCGAGTGCGGCTCTCGCGACCGCTCGGCCAGTCGGCGGTCAGTCCTTCTGCCAACTCAGCCCATGTCCTGTGGAGAAACGCTCGTCGTCCCCTTGCCGCAGCCTAATCTTGCACTTGCAGAGCCCAACCAGGGACTCCCGGTCAGCAAAGCGGCGACAGCACGATCCCTCTGCCGGCATTCGTTGATCCGTCCCTGCCCATCACGACGAGCTCGGTCATAAGGTCACGGCGTCGCATGACTCGCCTATCAGCAAACTCTGAGGGCCGCCCAGCATCGTCGATGTTGTGGGTGGGCGCCACTATTCGCGTTGGCGCTTGATTGAATACTCCTACTTCCTACACCAAGCCTCCCCGGACTTGCCTTGCTAGCCTTGCTTCCAGCTCCATCCGGCGTCCTCGCCAACCCCACGAGTCGTAATTGAGCCAACTGACTGGACATACAGCTGGCAGCCTCGGCCCGATGCTCGTCAACCTCCCACCCAACCACCGCACTGAAATACGGCTTCGCTCCCTTCCTGCCCTTGTCGACACAGGCGCTACTCGCGGAGCATTATTTTGCGCAGAAAAAAAAAAAAAGTACTCAGCTCAGCTCTGGCAGAGGCCGTTGCGGCCGCGTGGCGGTGTGCTTCCCATCGCATGCCGTCCAAACAAAATACTTGAGGCGCGCGCTTATCACGACCTACGCCGCGACCTGAACTCATCCAGGGCCCACACCTTTTTTGGAGTCGGCTCGACCCGAACTGATCCCCACAAATGGTCTTATGGCCGAGGACAGAAAGGTCACAAGCTTGAGAGAGCTAAATTCCAAACGGTCAAGCTCTGTTTGATATGACGTCTCTACCCCTCCATGGTTTCGAAAGAAATCCAACCACCAGAAATGCCCCGCACGCGCGTCCGACGCGACCTGGCATAGCCACACAGAACAGCACACGGCGAGAATCGTGAGGCGAGATCGAATCCACTTTATGGCCGATTATCGCCTGCAAGCTGTTCAGCTACACCGTAATCGGACGCCGTCCACTCAAGTCCGAAACCTTCAGGGATTCGTGGCGGTGAGGGGCACGAGGACAATCGGCGGGTCTTTCTTCATCAACCCATGAACTTCCAAGGCCTCAATGGTCTCCGCCGCGAGAGAATGAATTATCTCATGATCGAAGACCACGGTTCCGCGCTGCCGGGTCGCCAGCGGAATTAGAAAAAAACCTGCCTTCTTTTGACGTCAATCATTCGGTCGGCTGAAACGACGGGAGCCAGTGACCATTGGCAACTGCAGGGTCAACCGCCCTACAAGGCGATTCCTTAACCCCAGCCGCAGAACGCGAAGAGAAGCGCTAATTCCATGGCTTGCTGTAGGATGATACCTAGCCGCGAAACCCTTCGGTTCCTCGCCATCTTCCGGATCGGCTCTCAATAGACGTAAACCCGATCCCCGCCACCCCTCCGAACGCGCCGGTTCAGCAGCCCGTAGTAAAGACGCAATCCAAGGCCCCCGACAGCCACAAACAAGAGTAATCCTGCATTCGCCCAATGGCCAGTAGGGTAACCCTTGCTCTTCTCGCCAGCCTTGTAGATCCAAACGCCCGCGATTTGGCCGGGCGCGCCGAAGGAGATGTTCAGCGCGATAGCGAGGCCAGTCGCCGCGGTGTTGAACATGTTGGAAGACAGCCAACCTAGCAGCGGCGGGATACACGAGAAAGCGCCAGCACTGGCAACGATAAGGCATCCATAGCGGTGCAAGTAAGCGTCTGGAGGAAGAACCGCTGAGGCGAGGAACCCGGCTGCGCCTATGGTTGCGAAGCAGGCCGAATGAAAAGCGCGTCTGCCGAAAAGGTAAGCTATATTTCTTAGTGGCTTCGGATGCTGCACCTACGCATTGAAGTGGTCTGCACTCCATGCCACCGCGACTGTCACTACGTATGCGACAGCGTATGGTGGCACCGTCATCAAGTTGGCCTGCAGTCCCTCGTATCCCAGGCCCGCTGTAATGCTTGGAGTGAACAGACTCAAACTACTGAACGGCGTGCTTATTCCGAAGTATACGGCATAATGCACGTACAATCGCCAATCCGTCAGCGTTTCTTTCGCATCCTTCCACTTCAGATTGCCCTCATGTTCCGTGGAGCTGTCGAGCTGCAGCCGGTCAGCGGCCAATTGCTTCTCCGCTTCCGAGAGCCATGATGCCGTCTGGGGATAATCAGGCAAGGTGAAGAGGATGAGAACAGAGCACAGACAGCTAGGCACGCCTTCCAGAATGAAGAGCCAGCGCCACGCTGAGAGCCCGTTGGCGCCATTCATGTGGCCGACGCCATAGGCGATGGCGCCACCAAAGGCACCGGCCAGCGTCGCGCTGGCAAGCATGACGCCAATGCGCACGCTCCTCTCGTCGGGACGGTACCAAAACGTAAAAAAGTAGACCAGGCCGGGGAAAAGGCCGGCCTCAAAGATGCCCTGGAACGGCGACGGTCAGCTACACGAGGGTGGCGCGCATATCAAACACGGGAAGTGCGGGACCTACGAGCAGGAAGCGGACCGCTGTTACGGTGGCATAGTTGTGCGCGCCGCCCAGACCAATGGTGACGGCACCCCAGGAGAACATCAGGAAGGCGATCCACCTCGACGGAGACACCTTCTTGAGGAAGTAGTTGGACGGAACTTCGAACACGCTGTGGCACGTCAGCGATCAACAAACATCCCACGCGGGCTCAACGCTCGACGCGATGACTGACGCGTAGGCGATCAGGAACGCCATCAGTGCGATGGTGTACTGATGGTCGGTCATGCGGGTCTCGGAGAGCAGATCGTCGCCCTCGGCTGCGTTGAGCACCTTTGCATTGCCGATGTTGCTCCGGTCCAAGTAGCAGAGCAGGTAGATGAAGCTGGTGAGGGGCACGATGCGGACATCCTGCCGCCAGAGCAGCGCCTTGGAGGCGGCGGCATCGTAGTCAGGGCCGCGGCGCAGGCGGAGCTGCTCGGCGTCGTAGGCGTCGCCGTCGCCGTCGCCGTTCTGCAGGGTCTTTTTTTCAGCATTAAGCAAGCCACGCGCGCGGGCGGCTCTTAACGCTTTGCGCTTGTTTACACTTGACGGACGCCGCACGCCGGCCAACGCAGCTGGGTATGACGTACCTGGTTCTGGAGATCGGCCTCGATCTTGACGACCTCGGACTTTTCCACGTCGTCGGTGGCGGCGGGCATCACTTGTGGCATGGCTGCTTGTGCTGCTGCTTGCGTCCTGCAGAGAAGAGAAGTCGGAAGGAGACGTGCAGCGGGACGGGCGGGAGAGATGAGACAGCCAGACAGGACATGGCGCGGCGTCGGGGCGACTGTGCGGCGCGCCCTTTTGAAATTCAAAGCCGCATCCCCCCCTCCCTCGCCAGGGCGGCCGAGGTTCCGTTATCGCGGAGGATTGATGGCGCGAGCGCGCCCTCTCATTCGCTGGAGACAAGGGTGCGCGTTCGTTGCGCCTCGCTTCCCCGCGCGGAGATGGCGAGCGTGGGGTGCGTGCGACAGGCGCCAGGGTGCACACACCCCGCACTGCCATGCTGGTCCATTAAGTCATATCGCCTATGGACATGCTCAGATCTACTCCTACAGCGACCGGACAGAAGACTTTCCAAAGCCATAACGAAATACGAACAAAGACTATACAAGAAGTAGGAGTACGCCAATCCCACTGCAAAATGCTTGTTCAGGCTACACTTGAAGCTGCGGATGTGGTGAGCTGCAGGAGGACTCGACCTACCGCGCCTGGGCCAGCTTGCGGCCGTCATAGATCGTTATTGCCGGGCGAGCTACCTACCTACATGGCACCAATGATGATGGTGCGACGGCGAAGGGGCGAGCACGGCGTTCGTTCCTGGCCTTAATGAGCAGGAGTGGGCGCGCTCCCGCGCTTCCCCCCGCCGCTCGTTTCACGCGCGCAAGCTCGTCGTTTCGGGCCCGCCAGGCCGCTCCTTCGCTCGCGTCACCCCGCGTTTCGAAGTGCCAGCAGTGCCAGCCAGCCTGGCCGGCAGTTGGGAGAGCCTGGCCTTCTTACAGTAGGCAGGCCCTCACCCTCGCCCTCGCCCACCCTCATGCTCCGACGAGCGCTGCTCACGCTGCTGCTGCTGCTGCTGCTGCTGCTGCTGCCGATCACTGCATATCCGCGCCCAGCGGACCACGCACGCACGCTCGCTCGCTCGCAAGCTACAGATCGCATCTCACGCCCCATGTCGTGCACGGCATGCAGCACGACGCTAAGCGCCAAGGCCGGCCAGCAGCCCTCATGCCAGTCAATGGGTCGAGGTGCGTGCATGCATGCGTGCTGCGGTGCGACGACACCTGCCGCTTGCGACTGCTGCGCGTAGGGCGCCTGGGCGGGTCGGCGGGTTGCGTGTGCCAAGCGTTGCGTGCGCTACGGCGGCGGTGGTGGTGTTGGTGTTGGACTGGTTGTGAGGTGAGGGTAGCCAGGTATCGTGCTGCCTTGCACGGAGCTGGTTGTGCGAGTGGGGGCTTGTGGCGGGTGGGGGCTTGTGGCGGGTGGGGTTGCGGTGATGTAGGTGTGGGTGTGGGTGATGTGTGCTGGGTGCTGGGTGCTGGTGGTGGGTAGGGCGGTGTGCGTGGTGTTGTGAGGGTAGGTAGGTGAGTGAATGAGTAGACGGGATGGGTGGGTGGGTGTGGGGGTTGGGGGTAGGAGGTAGGTGGTGTGCGTATAGGTAGGTTGACTAGGTAGTAGGCAAGTACCTGGGCATGAGGTAAGTGGGTGGTCTTTTAGGCGTTTCTATCCAGGAGCACACCTAGCGAGCAGCGCCCTCGATGACGACTGCCAATTCCATCGCCACAGAAGCAGCAGACGGTGGCAAGCAAGCAAGCAAGTAGGTAAGCCCATCCATCAATCAATCCCACACCCGTTCTTCAACTCCACCCCCCCCCCCCCCCCCCCCCCCCCCCCCCCCCCCCCCCCTATCTCCCCCACCACGCACTTCCCCTCCTCCTTTCTCCTTTCTCTTCTCTCCTTTCCCCTTTCCCCCCCTCTCTCTCTCCCTATCTCCCCATCGTCACACACACAAGCGCAAGCACACCCCCACGCCTCCATCTGCACACCCGCTCTGTACGCCCTCACTCTTCCCCGCTCCCACACCCGCGCCTTCTTAACGCGCGTGTGCACGCCTCCGTCCGAACGGGCTAGGGCGGTGCGTTGTGGTGGGGTGGGTGAGGGGGAGGCTGCTGCTGGGCTTTGCGTGGGGTAAAGGTAAGGATTTCTTATTTGTCGGCTCGTACGCTTTGCTTTGCTTTGCTTTGCTTTGCTTTGGAGCTAGGTTTTGGTTTTATTTCGAGACATGCTTTCTTTTGCTCGTGGAGAAGAAACCTACCCTACCCTAGAACCTGGGGGGAAGAGATGGATGCCACGTCATTGTGCTTCTGGTTCTGCTTGCTTGCTTGCTTGTTTTGTCTGTGTGCTTTTTCGTCTGTTGGCTTTGTGTTTTGCACGAGAATGAGGAATAAGTCGGGCGGGTATACGCAGCTGCCCGCATGGGAGAGCACCCGTGTCTGCGGGAAGAGGAGGAAGAGGAGGAAGAGGGTGAAGAAGAGGATGGACGAACCTACCTACATCCCTAAGCAGCAGCACCCACGAAATCAACACTTCCCCGACCGCTGTCTACAACCCGCACACCCAGTTCCCTCCCTACAGTACACCAGCAGCAACAACGCCCGCGCACCCCACCCGACCCGACCCGCAGCACCATCAATCAACTCTCCGAAACCACCCACACCCACCTCCGTACACACGCAAACCCGACCCTCAACTCCCATCCCACACCCGCACCCCCCACAAACCCGCGCGCGCGGCACCCTCAGCACGCACGACACCATCCGCCCCGACCACACCCAAGTCCACACGTCCCCGTCCACGTCCACGTCCACGTCCACGCGAGCGTCCTTGCCCGCGCGGTACCGTGCCGTACCCAGGCGGCCGTGGGCTTCGAATCGGATCGCGGCGGGTGTAGCCCGTAGGTAGGTTTGTAACAGACCTAGGGACAGAGGGCCACGCGAGCGCAAACCCACCACGCGGCGCCCTGCGGCGCCTCGGATCCGAACGGGCCGCTGGCCGTGCCCGTCGTGCGCGTGTCTGTGTCTGCGTCTGTGTCTGCGTGCTCGGGCCACGCGGAAGGAAGGCCAGCACAGCAAAGCGCGCGCTGCGCACGTCCACGGTCCGGTGGCTCGCTCGCTCGCTCGCAAGTACCAAGGCACCACGGCACGCCCTTTGCGCGAGGCTCGGTGCGGTGGCTTGCAACGGCAACGGCAACGCTCGGTGCACGCACGCCTTGCACGCACGCTCGCTCGCTCGCGAGTCAGGCCTAACCTTAGGTTGCAATTTGCAAAGGAAAGGGCGGCTCAGGTTCAGGTTTCTCCGCAATCGGCTATGCCCGATGCGGCCGTGGGCCGAGGGGGCCATGTGGGGTTGCGCAGCCTGGCACGAGGCGGTAGAACAGGCCAATACCACATCACGCGGCGCGACGGAGACTAGTTGGGAAGTTTCGAGCCGGCACTTGCGACCTTGCCGTGCCATGGCATACTACCTACGTAGGGCTTACAGTATGTGCAGCGAGAACCGTTAGTTAGGCTGCAGAGGCGGGGATGACGTACGTACCTAGGGCCGCTGCGGGTGCGGTGCGGAGGGGATGGGTATTTGTATTCGGGCGTGAGATGCCCCGGTGGGTTGTGTGCGCGGTGTGCGTTTGTGTTTGTGTTTGGTGGGTTTTTTCTTTCCTTCTTTCTTTCTGTTCTTTCTGTTCTTTCTGTTCTCTGTTTATTTCTTCTTGGCTGGGTTGGTCGGAGGGGTTATTCGTTGATTGCTTGATTGATTGATTGACTGATTGACTGGTTAGCTGACTGCCTGCCAGATACGCCGTACAGCTACAATGCTTTTCTCGCCTCTCCTCGTCTTTCAACCCGCGGCCCTGCTGCTGCCATTAGCGCAGTTCACAGCCGCAAGCCCCATAGCAGCAGCCGCGGCCGCGGACCCGCGCGCGCAGTGCAGCGCGCTGCAGCAGCAGAGCGGCGGCGTGCTTGCCGAGTTCGACGCCGTGGTCGACGGCACGCAGTACGTCGAGGTGGGCGAGCTGGACGTGGGGCCCAACGCTTCGCCGTTTTGCCGCGTGTGGGCGCGCCGCTCGTACGCGCTGAACGACTCGCTGCAGTTTGAGGTCTGGCTGCCGGACCAGGGGGTGTGGGACGGGCGGTTCGTGGCTGTAGGTGAGTGAGAGACGCTGGAGAAGAGGTGGTAAGAAGGGGCGGGAAAAGAACACCGGCTAACGCGTCCACAGGCAACGGCGGCATGGCAGGCACAATCGACCACTCAGCGCTGCTACGCTACCTGCCGACACACTCCGCCCTCGCAGGGAGCAACGGCGGCCACCTTGCCCAAGACAACAACAACGGCACCGGCGCGCCCTCAACCTACCTCCCCTACCTGCACTCTTCCGCCCAGCTCTCGGCCTGGATCCACGACAGCGTCGCGCTGTTCACGCCGCCCGCGCGCGCCCTCGCCACCGCCCTCTACGCCGCCACGCCTCCGCACCACAGCTACTTCGTCGGGTGCTCGACGGGCGGCGCGCAGGGCTTTGCGCTGGCGCAGCGCTGGCCCGCCTTGTTCGACGGCATCTATGCTGGCTGCCCGGGGTTTGCGTATGCGAGGCTGGCGCTCAGCTTTTTGTGGAATGCGCAGCGTACGCGTGGAGATGGCTATTTGTCGCCTGAGACTGCGACGTGGGTGCGCGATAACGCGGTCCGGAAATGCGATGGCTTGGATGGGCTGGTCGATGGCGTTGTTGAGAACCCCTTGGCGTGTAAGTTTGATGTCGCGGCTTTGGGCTGCGATCGTGCCAAGGGTGCTGAGCGCTGCCTTACGCCGGCGCAGGTCGCTGCTGCGCAAGCTATTTATGCTGGGCCTTCTGTGCAGGGCTCTACTAACACCACCTCTTCTTCTTCCTCTTCTCCCTCCTCTTCTCCCTCCTCCTCCTCCTCCTCCTCCACGCAAATCTACCCCGGCTTCGCGCCAGGTTCCGAAGCCGAATGGCCAAGCGGGCAAGAAGGCTCACTAGCAAACGAGTTCGCGCTGCCGCTGTTGCAGAACCTCGTCTACGACGACCTGAGCTACGACGCACTGAACGGGTTCGGCTGGAGCGCGGCCGAGATCGCAGACGTGGATGTGCGCGCCGGCGCGTGGATTAGTGAGGAGAGTGTTAACTTGGAAGAGTTTTCGGCGCGCGGGGGGAAGATGCTGGTGTCGCAGGGTATGTGCTGTGTGTGCTTGATTTGGTTTGGTTTGGTTTGGTTGGTGTTTTCTTTCTGCCTCTACTCCTAGCTAAACTGGCACAGGCTGGGCAGACCCGTACAACGCGCCCACGGCGCCGCTGCTCTACCTCTCCCGCCTCGCAGCCGCGCTCCCTCACCTCAGCATCTCGGACTTTTTTGCCGTCTTCATGGTGCCTGGTAAGCCTCTTCCTTAGCCCCCTAAACCCCTTCCCTTCCCCTTCCTTCCTTCCTTCCTCCCAGCCCCCACACCACAACCCCCACAACTAACCCCCACCACAGGCGGCGGCCACTGCAACCCGGCCCCCAGCTACCCCACCCTACCAGCGCAGCACGCGGTGCTCCCGGCGCTGGAAGCCTGGGTCGAGCACGGCGTGGCGCCCGAATACGTCGTTAGTAGTACGGATGAGGGCGTGCTTACTGGGGGCGAAGACGCCGGAGGGGACGAAGACGCCGGAGGGGACGAAGTCACCGGAGGCAGGACTGTCGGAGGGGGAGGAAATGGAGGGGGAAATGGAGGGGGAAATGCAACAGGAGTTAGGAGCCGCAAGCTCTGCCCGTGGCCGAAGCAGGGCGTTGTTGTTCCTGGTGGGGATTTGACGAGGTGGTGGGATTGGCGGTGTGTTTGAATTTTTGGATTTAGTAGTTATGGTAATGGTAATGGGGCTGGTCTTGTCTGGTCTGGTCTGGTGGACTGGACCTGCCTGGCTTTGGTGTGCATGTGTTGATGTTGAGGTTGATTCCACTATCAAACATTCGTGCCCAACACCACTCACGCCGTAAAGCGAAGTACGATCAGCGTCGTACTGACCCGGAGGTATCTGGAAAGAAGAGTGGAGGGAAAGCAGACAGAATGGAACGTAGCCATACAGCAGAAGCAAACCTATACAACTAACATGTTCACATTCATCAATTCAATCAATGCACACATCACCACAAGACACGCGAGTATTGCTAGAGAATCATGACTTTTCGTAACTACCAAGGCCGAAAGAGCCCGCAATCGAGGACGCAGAATTAACACATCCATACCCGAACCTTTCTTCCACCACGCACATGTGACGCCGGGAAAATCCGAATGATGCGACGATGCCATGCATGCTCACTAACCGTGGCGGCGCGCGAGCAGGGAAGCAACAAGTCAAGCCATAAAAAAAGGGAATAGAAACTGGAAAAAAAGAACCCGTAACGACGTGAAGAGAAAAACCCCAGCCAAGCTATGCTGCTAAGCTAACAAGGGGAAGAGAAGTAGAAGGGGGCGAAGACGCTTAGTCGACCTCCTCCATGGCGCTCTCGCCGGCGGCCTCGGCAGCAGGCTCGTCGGCCGACTTCTCCTCGGCCGTCTCGACCTCCTCGTCGATGTTCAGGCCGAGCGACACAAGCTTGTGGATGCGCTCAGAGAACTGGACGGGCTCCTCGATGGTGAAGCCGGAAACAAGCAGCGAGGTCTCGAACAGAAGCTGAGTGATCGACTTGACGGTGCGGTCCTCCTCGCCGTCGGCCTCGACCTTGCGCTTGAGCTCCTTGATGATAGGGCTCTTGGGCGAGATCTCGAAGGTCTTCTTGGAGCTCATGTAGCTGGACATGGAGGTGTCACGGAGGGCCTGAGCCTTCATGATACGCTCCATGTTGGCAGACCAACCGAACTGGCCGGTACGGATGGCGCAAGGAGAGCCGGTAAGCTTGTGCGAGACGACGACCTTCTCAACCTTGTCGCCAAGGACGTTCTTGAGGGCCTTGGCGAGGTCCTCGTACTCCTTCTCCTCGGCCTCGCGGGCCTTCTTCTCCTCCTCGGTCTCCTCGAGCTCGAAGTCCTTGGTGATGTCGACGAGCTTCTTGCCGTCGAACTCCTTGAGCTGAGTCATGGCGTACTCGTCAATGGGGTCGACAAGGAAGAGAACCTCGAAGCCCTTGGCCTTGAGGGCGTCAAGGAAGGGAGACTTCTCGACGGCCTTGAGGGACTCGCCAGTGATGTAGTACATCTGCTTCTGGTGCTCGGGCATGCGGGTGATGTAGTCGGCGAGGGAGGTGGTCTCGTCGCCAGACTTGGTCGAGCTGAAGCGGAGCAGCTTGGCGAGGGACTGGCGGTTCTGCGAGTCCTCGTGGATACCAAGCTTGATGTTCTTGGAGAAGGCGGAGTAGAACTTGTCGAACTGCTCGCGGTCCTCGGCAATCTCGTTGAACAGCTCAAGGGTCTTCTTAACGACGTTCTTGCGGATGACCTTCATGATCTTGTTCTGCTGGAGAGTCTCACGAGACAGGTTGAGGGGCAGGTCCTCGGAGTCGACGACACCCTTGACGAAGCTGAGCCACTCGGGAATGATGTCGGTGGCATCGTCGGTGATGAAGACGCGGCGGACGTAGAGCTTGATGTTGTTCTTGGTCTTCTTGGTCTCGAACAGGTCGAAGGGAGCGCGCTTGGGGACGAACAGGATGGCGCGGAACTCAAGCTGACCCTCGACAGAGAAGTGCTTGACAGCAAGGTGGTCCTCCCAGTCGTTGGACAGGGACTTGTAGAAGGAGGCGTACTCCTCCTGGGCAATGTCCTGGGGGTTGCGAGTCCAGATGGGCTTGGTCTTGTTCAGCTCCTCCTCCTCGATCTTGGATTCCTTGACCTTCTTGGTCTTCTTCTCCTTCTTCTCGTCCTCCTCGTCGACCTCCTCGACCTTGGGCTTGTTGTCGTCCTCGCCCTCCTTCTTCTCCTCAGACTCCTCCTCGTCAGGAACCTCGGTCTCAGTCTCCTTGAGGACGTGAAGGTAGATGGGGTAGGAGATGAACTCAGAGTGCTTCTTGACAACCTCCTTGACCCTGCTCTCGTTCAGGTAGTCCATCTGCTCATCCTTGAGGTGAAGGATGATCTTGGTACCGCGGCCGAGCTGCTCGCCCTCGGTGTCCTGGACGATCTGGAAGGTACCGCCAGCGCTCGACTCCCAGACGTACTGCTCGTCATCGTTGTTCTTGGAGACGACGGTGACCTTGTCGGCAACAAGGTAGGCAGAGTAGAAACCAACACCGAACTGGCCAATCATGGAAACGTCGGCACCAGCGGTCAGAGCCTCCATGAACTGCTTGGTACCAGAGCGGGCGATCGTACCGAGGTTGTTGACAAGGTCCTGCGTTGGGTTAGACGACTAGTCGTGTAGGCGGGAAGGTGAGCACACTTACAGCCTTGGTCATACCAATACCGGTATCGCGGATGGTGATGGTCTTGGCCTCCTTGTTGGGGATAATGTCGATGCGGAGGTCCTTGCCGGAGTCCAGCTTGCTGGGGTCGGACAGAGCCTCATAGCGGATCTTGTCGAGGGCGTCCGAGCAGTTGGAAATCAGTTCTCTCAGGAAGATCTCCTTGTTCGAGTAGACGGTGTTGATGATCAAGCCGAGCAGCTGAGAAATCTCAGCCTGGAACTCGAAAGTCTCACTCATGGTGGCGGATGTGGAGCGAAAGGAAGGATCCTGTGGCGAGAGCTGTCAGCGATTGATGCCGGTGGGCAGCGTGTGAGGAGGGGTGGCGCGCTAGAGACAAGTTTCGTTCGTCCCCAGGCAGGCGCGCTGGGAGGCAAACAGAAGACTCTGGTGGCGCGGGACAGGCAAACAGACGAGGCTGGAGGCGGCGGATGGGAGGACTTACTATGAAGGGGTATAAAGTCTAAGGAAACGCAATCGTGAAGAAGAAGAGCGGGAGGGGTGGCGGGAGAAAGGGAGGATTTGGAGTTGATGTGGGGAGAAAGAAAATTGTGGTGCAGCTTTGCTCTTAAACTGACTGCGACCAGTATCACCGAACCTTCTGGATAGGAGCTCGGGCCGATTGTCGCCCGGTGCGCGCCCACCCCAATGCGGTCTAGTCGCCAGATTGCCGCTCGCTCAGGGCAACGGGCGGCTATCTTCAGCCTCAACCTTGAACGGTAGAATCCTCCAGCTGCACCTCGAATCGCCTTCGTCTCTCGTAATCACCCAGGCAGACACTTTGCTCTCTGCTGACCTGATTCCTCCCGTCTGCCACTCTGTTCCGGTGCTCGGGGCATGTCTGTTCGGCCTCGCGCACCTCTCAACATGCAACATTAACCTCATCCAGGAATCCATGTTAAAAAGCCAGGTGCTGAGACCAATCGCTACCGAGTCATGTGCAAAATATCACTAGAGACTGGTCGCTGTTTGTGGCGCAGCAAACGCATTTCCTAGGCATCACGAACAAACAGAGCCTGTAATACAGCATAGCAAACACAGCACTCAGTCCTATCTGGTTAACCCTCTAGGAGTCCAAATAAACCAGGAAGAGATTACTCCTACTACTGGGACAAAAACAGAGTGAGGTCGTTAGGCCAAGTTCACATAAATTTCCCGTTCAACAGTATGGTAAGGAAAGCCAATGCTATTCTCGGCGTCTTGGTGTGGATTCTATTGAAAAGTCCATTTCGAATAACATCCGTCCCCGCGAACCGAGATCTACCGTCTAGCGAGGCAGGGGATAATATAATCAGTCCCTATAGAGTACTCCTTGCCTAGCTCCCAGCCCGAGTCCTAGATATGGGTGAAAAGGTCTTAGAGCACATATAGACTCAATATATCTTAACTAGGTATCTTCTTCTACTCTATACAAGTATCACCATCTCGCTTCACGGTGACGGACGTTACAAGGCATAAACCACTCGGATTTTTACCTATAATAGACAAGTATCCTGCCACTACAATGTTTAATGCTGGTGTTTATTAACACATCTAGTTGGTAACCATAATCGTCTATTATTATATATGTTTGTCAATAACCGACCCAAGTCAAACGAGTAGAACACACCAGAGCATATATCTGACTATTTGGCGATAATTATTCAAGCATTGTGCACCGCCAAGGTGAGAGGAACAGGTAGTGTCCTGTCTTATAGAAAAAAGCAACAGCAAACAATGGACGCAGGTGCAACTTAAGGTACTAACTAATAGGCCTATAGGTATAATATATATGATAGGTTAAATGCAATGGTCTTGACTGGCTACATTGAAGAGGTCTCGTATCCACCTTTGCCTCATCATTGTTCTCTTTCGACTCGTCGAATACTTGATCAAACCATCGACTCAGATACAACTACGGCAGCAAGACACCAGCTAAATGGAGCTTCAGGACGGAATCAGTGTTACCTTAATCAGTCACGAAGCGCGAATGGTAAGTAACGACGCTTTAGTTTCATGCAGCAGTAGAAGACACGATGACACCAAGCAAGACGGCAAGTATGCGGATATTCATATGGTGATATTCTGAGGGTGCTTGGCGAAACCCGGTATATCACCCAGATCTTGAAACCAGCCTCTTCAGCCAAGATCTTGACGACGGGGACGGTTTCGACCGTTCCACCGGCTGGTCCGACGTACAGCTCAAAGACTCCTTCGACAGCAGTCCCTAGCAAAGTAAGCAACAAGTTTAACAAAAACAAACCAGCAACACTGAGAGAAGCGAATCGACTCACCATAGCGTCCATACAGACCCGATCATCGGTAACCTTCGGTTCGTCGTCATGGATTGCACGCGGGATTCTGGGTCTCGCAACGATATCCGTAAAGCTGTAAGACAAGGCAGAGTCCAGGCTATCCATATCATCCATGAGGTATTCCTTGCTCATGTATTCGATGTAGAGAACCATGTCGGTGCATCTCGACCATACGCCGTGCTGGATGGCTCGTCGTCTGATTTCCTGCTTGAATTTGAAGACGTGTTCCTTTTCCGGAAAGGGTACGACGAGCAAAAGTCGCTCAGTTTCGGACAGGTGCACGACAACGTGGTAGCGATGTACTCCGACCATGTTGCGGGCAGACAGCTCAACAGTCAAAGTGAATGGTTGGTGGCTGCTGACCAAAGGTAGGGCGAACGCGTGACGACTGACGACCTGGACGAGGATGAGCGAGTGTGTAGAGAACGAGTGTGACAGAAGGCGAATGCGAGTGCGAACAGCCGGGTCCTGATATAAAGGAGAAGGAATATCGGCCAAAAACGTAGTTCACGTGTAATGATGATTCAGTGTCGATGGTGTTGAACCACGGCACGGAGGCGAAGGCCAGGATGCCGCGGAACCGGCGTTGGTTGACTTATGGTATCTACTCCAATTCCTTCTTGGCCTTCAGCAACCAAGCCCTATCACTAAAATGCACGTCACTATTAGCTCGTATACCCAGTTGTCAGGCTAGGCGCGAGCGAGCCTATGCAGCGAACCATTCACCATTACCTTGGCAGACCAGGAACCTCTTCACTCTCATGATAACTCAATGCAGAGATTCAAAGCCGTAAATGTATTAAAAAAAGGCAGAATTGATACACCTAAGGTCATCAACACAGTCCTCTACAGCTTCACTAGGACATCAGCCACATGTGAACGCGCGCACGACAATATCGACTCGTGCGGCAGAACCCCCACCCCCATCCAACACCACACCCCCACCATCCTCTCCCTCCTCCCACAGCCCTCCCCCACCACCCACCAAAACCACCACGCAGCAATGACGTCCCCCAAATCCATCCCCAAGCAACTCACTCCATCAGCATCCAAGATCGCTGCACATCACCACCACCGCGCATGCCTCCGCCTACTACCCAAGCACGCATGAGAGAGGACCTAAACCTGGTGTGACAGGCCGCGATCAAGAGGCTTCAGTAAGAGTACACCCCATTGCATTAAGACTTTGCTGTAGTGACTGGCAAGGGTGCTATCAAAGCCACCGACTCAGGGACCCGCGCATAGAAGCTGCCGTTTAAAAGGCATTTACCGGTTAAATCCTCGCCAACAACAGCCGTTCAGTCATGAGAGCCTTGATCAAGTACCGACTTAAGCAGTTGGGCACACGTACTCGCACGCATCGAAGCACTAGAAGCATGACCAGAGCCGGCGAACAGACAGACAAACAGACACTCTAGACAGACAGACAGACAGACAGACAGACAGGCAAACAAGCAAGCAGGCGGTCAGCTAAACGCAGCCACGGCAGAGAGACGACGAAGTGGGGAGTTTATGTTTACATGTTGTGTTTACAATGTTATGTTTACTTGTTATGTTTAGTTGTTATGTTTACATCCTCCTTCGGATCCGGATCCAACAACCGCTCCAGACTCCACTTGCGCAGCGCGCGCACCTCCAAGCCCGTCGTATGGCCCTGCCTGAACATCTCGACGCCGGCCCAGGCAATCATGGCCGCGTTGTCTGTGCATAGCGCGAGGGGTGGGTACACTAGTTTTATGTCTGGGTAGCCGCGGGCGGCGAGGAAGGATTCGAATCTATGGGGTGTATTAGTGGGATGTGTGGGGGGAATAGAACGAGGAGGAAGGAAGAGAAGGAGGGGGAGAGAGAGAGAAAAAGAGAAAAGGAAGAGGGGATACTCACACAAACCTCAAAAACTTATTACTTGCCACGCCACCACTAACCACGACCGTACGGATCTTGTTCCGCTTCTCCGGCTCCATCCCCTCCAAAGCCAACACTACCCGCCCAGCCAAATGCTCAAAAGCAATCCTCATCGCCTCTCTTGCCAGCTCCCTGCGCTCATGCACGCCCACCTCCTCCGGCGCCCTCGTCTCCTTCCCCACTGTCTTCCTCAACACGTCCCAGCCAAACTCTACAAGCCGCTCCAGCATAGTCGCCAGGCCTGAAAAACTCATGTCCAGGCTGCGCGCCGTCGGGCTGTGCGAGAGCGGAGGCCTAAGGGCCCAGCCATAGGTTGGCGAGATGCGGCGCTTAAGCTCGCCCTTGCGCGTCGTCGGCGGCGTGTAGTAGGCCTCGAAGTCGGCGGCACCGGAGGGAAAGGCGAATTCCTCCAGCAAAGCCCCGTACATCGTGTCGCCCCAGGCCGCGACCTGCGAGGCGGGCACAACGGCCCGCGCGATCTTGTCTAGGCTCTCCCCGATCGCGGTGTCAATCGTGCTGCCTAGCACTTTGTGCGAAGTTAGGTCGCTCGAGTGGATGAGGAGGGTGTGGCCGCCGGAGACGAGGACGGAGAGGAAAGGGAAGGCGGGCGCGGGGTCGTGCTGCGGAGTTGGTGGGGTAGAGGGAGATGCAGATGTGGCTGAGGAGGGTGTGGGCGTGGTGCTGGGCTGCGCCAGTGCAGACGCCAGGCGCGGCGTCAGCGCGTGCGCGTGCATGTGGTTCACGCCTACGAAGGGGACCTGCCATGCGACGGCGAGGCCCTTGGCCGTGTCCAGCCCGGTGAACAGGTTCGAGCGCATGCCGGGGCCGCGCGTGACCGAGACGAAGTCGGGACGTTGCTTATATTCGACGACGCCGTTGCCGACAGGGACGCGGATGGGCGGCGCCGAGGCATCGTTTTGGCTCGTAGATGACGAAGCGGTGTCATTTGCTGCGGGGAGCTTCTTGATTGCTTCCTGCACGAGGATTGCCAGATTTTCTTGATGCGACTCCAGCGCCGTCACGGGATGCACGCCTAGGAACTTGGTGTTGTCGGCGGTGACTTTTTTGTGGAAGTGCAGGACCGCTGCGGGTTCGTCTGGCTTCCGGTCATTGTCCTTGGTCTCCAGCACCGCGGCGGAAGTGTCATCGCAGGACGTCTCGATGGCCAGAGTAAGAAGCTCTCGTCGTGGTATCCATGCTGTGATTGGCCTAAAAAGATTTCTCCGCAAAGGCCTCGCGAGGCGCAAGGTGCTGTGGCGGAGCATGGCTGGAACGAGGCGACGTGGTCAGCGAGACATGGCGGAAATGTGAAACCAAGCCATGAAACTGTTGGTGATGGACGGCGGAAAAGTCCGGGCACATCGGTGGTGTTGCGGGCGGCGAAAGCGCTAGCCGGTTGCGGAGCGCGTGGCGGTGCATATTTGGATCAGCCGGCGACATTTGCTCGGGCAGGCAGTGAGCAGTGATTCCATTACTCCTAGAACTTCGATGGCTACATAGGGAGAGGGGAGAGACATGTTTAAACAACGACCTCCGCAAATAGAACACGTTGGGGGAGGGGAGATTGGACGGGGTTCGTGTTAATTGGCCAATTGCCCAGTGCCTTCGCTAGGGATCAGAGGGGTGCAGAGGAGAGAGCAGAGGGGGAGCATCAGTTTGTAGACAGGGAGAGAGCAAGAAGGGTCAGCTGCATGGGAAGGATCAAACAGAAAAAAAAAAAGAGGTCGTGTGATACATATCCATGTATGTTGTTGTTGTTTGCTGACGCTGTTGCCGCCGCTGGGGCTAAATGCGGCTGAGCGGCGGCGGGGGGAACCGCATCCCCAACGTGGTCCCTGCCTCGGCCTCCATCTCGCTACGTCACTGCCGCCTGCATATTCGAGGGCATTCCGTCCGCCTAAGCTCCAGTCACGCAACTCTATCTCGCCCTTCCCTCCCTGACACGCCACTCAATCGTGAGCATGTAAAACCTCGTCCCTGTCCGCCCCCGTTCCAAAAAGTGCCAACACCATGGCCGACATCCAGAAGGAAACCGACGGGCCCTCGCCCCTGTCGTCCGCCGGTTACGACTTTTCTCAGCTCCCTGACTGGGACAACGACTTCGTCAACGAAGAAGGCTTTGCCGACTTCGCTCGCGCCCTTACCGCCCCCGATACCACTTCGCCGTCGCAGGACGACTTGCTCTCCCCGGGCGCCCCGCCCAAGAAGAAATCCGTCTTCATCACCGCCCTCAACGACTGGCGCCCTGTACACCAGCGCGTGCGGAAGAAGAAGAAGCAGAAGCGCGCCCCGCGCCGGGGCAAGGACGAGACCAGAGAAGGTTTCGTCTACACGCTGCTGAAATGGCCGCTCCTCTTCACTGTGTTTGGCTGGTTGTTCGTGCTGGCCGTTAGCTACCTCCTGACGCGCTTCTACATATTCCTATACGAGCATTGGGTGACCTGGCGAGGGAGGAGGGAGGCTTTGCGCCGAAAGCTGAACAACACTACGACCTATGAAGATTGGGTGGCTGCCGCGAAAGAGCTGGACAGACATCTGGGCAACGAAAGCTGGAAGAAGAAAGACGACTACGCGTACTACGACAGCAAGACTATCCGGCGCATCAAGGACCACATCTCCAAGCTGAGAGCCCAGGCGGAACACGAGGCAGAGAACCCTGATGGAGAGCCGGCCAAGGCTATAACCGAGCTGCGCGGCCTTGTCGAAGCTTGCGTGAAAAGCAACTTTGTCGGCACCGAAAACGCCCATCTATACAGCGAGACCTATTATGGCACCAAAGACCTGGTTCAGTCCTACATTGACGAGGTTGTCGCCTCCCTTGAGTTCCTCTCCCGGACAAACGCCCTCTCTACCGAAGACAAGCGAAACCTCTTCAGACACCTGCACAACAACTTTGGTCGCACTGCACTCTGCCTATCTGGCGGTGCTACCTTTGCTTACTACCACTTTGGTGTTGCCAAAGCTCTGATGGACGCCAACCTGCTTCCCGACGTCATCACCGGTACGTCCGGAGGCGCCTTAGTCGCTGCGCTTCTCGGCACTCGCACCAACGAAGAGCTCAAGCGTCTGTTGGTTCCTGCCTTGGCCAACCGTATCACCGCCTGCCATGATGACACAATGACCTGGATCAAGAGATGGCAAAAGACGGGCGCCCGCTTCGACTCCGTCGACTGGGCCAAGCGCTGCTCCTGGTTCACTCGCGGCAACCTCACATTCCGTGAAGCGTATCTACGTACTGGCCGCATCTTGAACGTCTCCTGTGTCCCTTCTGATCCCCACTCTCCTACTATCCTCGCAAACTACCTGACCAGCCCGGACTGCGTCATTTGGTCCGCTGTCATTGCCAGTGCTGCCGTTCCCGGCATCCTGAACCCGGTTGTCCTGATGAAGAAGAACAAGGAGGGCAATCTGGAGCCGTACTCCTTCGGCCACAAGTGGAAAGATGGAAGTCTGAGAACCGATATCCCGCTCAAGGCACTGAACATGCACTTCAACGTTCGTTTCAGCATTGTCTCGCAAGTCAACCCTCACGTTAGCCTGTTTTTCTTCTCCTCACGCGGCAGTGTCGGCCGGCCGGTCACGCACCGGCGCGGCCGTGGCTGGCGCGGTGGCTTCCTCGGCAGCGCAGCAGAACAGTACCTCAAGCTCGACCTGACCAAATGGCTCAAAGTGCTACGGCACCTCGAGCTGCTCCCCCGTCCCATGGGCCAAGACTGGAGTGAGATCTGGCTGCAGCGCTTCAGCGGCACCATCACACTGTGGCCCAAGACCATCCCCTCGGACTTCTGGCATATCCTCTCGGACCCGACACCGGAGCGTCTGGCCCGCATGATCCACGCAGGCCAGCACAGCGTCTTCCCGAAAATGAAGTTCATCGCCAACCGCATGGCCATCGAGCGCCTGGTCGAAGACGGCCGCAAGGCGAACTCCCGCCAGGGCCAGATGGGCCGCCCCCGCGACGGCACCATCACGTCCGTTCTTTCGGAAGAAGACCTCAAGCAGCTGCTCATCGAGGCGCGCCGCAACAACGGCGAGGTGGCGCCCCCGCCCGAGCTCTTCTCGGGCCAGGAGTCGAGCACCGACAGTGAGGACAGCATGTTCGACGGCGAGACGCCGGGGCTCGAGGGCCGCAGCATCGATGCCGCGTTTGCGAAGGCAGCGGAGACGAACAAGGCGGCCGAGTCGTCGGCGTCGGCGTACGACGCTAGCAGCATCGGGCGGCGCCTCAGCGGCTGGTGGCAGAGTCTGAACCCGCAGAGCGGTAGTGGTGGTGCGTCTTCGTCGTCGGCGTCGTCGTCGGCATCGGCGGCGGCCACGGCGGCGCTGCGCCGCCGCCACCACGCGGGGCCGCGCTTTGCGAACGCGAATGGTGGACGCCCCGGAAGCATGTTCGAGCTGCGTCCGCCGCGCGATGTCGCGGCTGAGCAGATGCTGGCGTCGCCGACCGAGCGCCATCATGGCCGCCGCACGAGTGCCACGAGTGAGATTTTTAGACAGAGTCGGGTGTTTATCGATGATTCGGCGACTTCGTCGTCCGAGGAGGAGGAGGGGGGAAGCTCGGGGTTTGGGAGGAAGGTCATGCGGTGGGGGGAGGGGAGTGGGGATGAGGATGAGGAGGGGGTCAGGGTTAGGGAGGTGAGGGCGAAGGGTCGAGCGTGATTTTTTGGTTTGGGCGAGTGAGTGAGTGAGTGGTTGTGGTTGTGGTTGCATGGTTGGTGAGGGTGTTGCTGTTTGTTATTTTTAGTATCGTTTGACCCTCTCTTTCGCTCTCTTTCGCTCTTTTTCATTTCTTTCATTTCCTCCCCAATCTGTCTGTCGCAGTGTCGTATCTCGTCGTCTATCTACCCTTCATCACCATCATCCACATCGTCATCATCATCATCGTCATCATCATCATCTCTCCTTGCGTTGCGTTTTTCTCTTTCCTTTGTCGTTTCTGGTTGGCGGTCTGTCGAAAAGCACGGTTCTTTGCTTCGTTTTCTGGTCTTTTTTGTTTTTTTGCTTTTTTGGGGAGGGCATGGTGGAGGAGGTTGCTGGTTGTGAGGTTGGTGGTTGTGTTTATATACCTATACCTATGTAGTTGAGTGTTGGTGTGTGTGTGTACGGGTAGATATGTGAGGTGTGTTGTTGGTGTGTGGGCTTTTTTGTTGTGCGTTTGTGTGGGTGTGGGTGTGGTGGGTGGGTGGGTGGGTGTTTGCTGGTTTGCTGCACGTAGGATTCCTCGAGTTGCGGTTAAGTACTCAGTCTATCCGACACAACAAGCCTATGGACGCTGAGTACCTACCTTTGTAAGCCCGGATGATAGTTCATTTCGCGAGAACAAGAGCTGGTATGTGGCATGTGGTATGTGGGTTGAGTGCTTTGGTGGCTGTTTGGAAAAGTTCCCGGCTGATTTTTTTCGCTGGACAACTTTTACACCTACAGTGACGTATACTCTGGCTAGCTTATACACATGACAAGAAGGCAAACATGTCTGAGCTGGGGTGTTCCCTGACGGTGCTAGGTAGAGGTGGAAGGAAAGGACAAACGACTCTCTGAAGTCGCTGCCACTTTGGGAGTTGCCGTACTGGGCAGTCAGGGAACGAAAGTCTCTCCTCGTTGCGATTACAGTGCCTTCGTTTGCAACACAACGGCACATTTCCATCTTTATTATTCAAACGTTCAGTCATAGCTAAGCTTTCAGTTTTACACACACGCTCGATTTCCAAATCACTACCCTCTCTCTCTCCAACGCTCTCTAACCAAGCACACACTCGACAGCATGGCCGAGAAGATCTGGAACAATCCCCTCTTCATAATGCGAGGCAGCCGGTCATTCTCAGCCTGGGACGCCATACTACGGGGCCACATGCAGTCAGCCTCGCTAGCCGTGCTGGAGCAAATAACAGGCGAAGCGCGACGGCCACGAAGACCGTACGGCAGGAACATCTTCCACCAGGACGGGCGGCACACGGTGGAGCCGCCTCCCATCGCCAAGCGCATGCGGTACGTGCTCTGGCACGTCAAGGACGAGCAGGCCAAGCGCGTGCTCCTGCGCTCCGTGGCGCGCGACCTCCTCCCCTGCATTGTGGACAAGCGCTCGGCGAAGCAGATGTACGGCGAGCTGGTGCGCAGGTTTGGCGGTAGCAAACAGCTGTCTCGTTGCTTGTCGTTGGAATTTTATACGTGGCTCGATATCATGTACGATCGCTTCTCGACTAAGAACGTCGATAACACGATTGGGCTTTGGTGGAACGGCATCATGGAATGTCAGGACGAGGGGCTGTGTATCCCCGAGCCCGTCCAGGTCGCGATGTTCATTCGCATGTTTGCGAGACATGCGCCGGAGTGGGCACAGATGATGCGCCAGGATAATGTCGGCTGGGAGGGCGTGTCTCTTAAGGCGCTGCTGGGAGATGCGAATATAACTACTTTGAGGAAGGAGATTGAGAAGACCGAGATTGCGATGGGGCTGGTGGAGAGGAGCTTGCTGGCGGCTGAGCTGGAGACGGAGGCCCCGGAGAGGGAGATGGCTGAGATAAGGGTGTATGATGAGGAGGCGCCTGAGGGGGAGAGGCCTGAGAGAGGTACAGGTGACTGTGAGGGAGGTGCCGGAGAGTGAGTTGTCTGATGTGGATTAGCTTGCCAAGGTGGCGGCATGCTTTCTTGCTGCTTGCTTGGTTGCAGGTTTGTTTGTCTCGGAGGATGGATGCGCAGGCAGCGAGAATTACTGCCTCTATTTTTTGTAGTAGAAGCTGCGGCGAGGGTTAGAGCAGTCCGGATTATAGGGGTTGGATGCTTGCGCTCTTTGGCATTGGATTCTGTTGTCTACACTGCTGCCTGTTATATAGTCGGGCATTATCAATGCTAGTAATACACCAGTCTCTTCAAATGTTTCACTGACTGCTATATCTTTGTTCCTCCGAACATGTAGAAAAGCAACCCGATTTCAAGCCAGCCTCTTCGGTCAGATCGTGTAAATTATGTCTCAGTCTCCTAAGATCATGTCCGTTCCATTCCTCTTCCACCATGAAGATGCAGGCCAGATCACTGCCCTTGGATTACGTTGCCGGCTTGTATGATTCAGTGTTCTTCTGCGTTCTACCACGCCACTTACGTACGACTAGGTGGGTTTATGTCCTTGAATTGGGAGCTATGACCAAACTTCGCAAAGAGAGATGCGATAAGCCTTTCTTGATATAACATATCAAAGAAGAAAGGCAGCGTACAGTGCATCTTAAGCACACAATTGGGACCGGCGTGGCATATCTCCCCAGCTCTTATCTCTCCCCCAACGCACACTGTAGCAGGAATCGGTTCACAGTCTACAAAACAAATTACACAGCCCAACTAAAACGCTTCCCCCGGAGTCGGCTAACAGCCAGCGAACCGCATAGGTGGTCTCTCCCGCTACTGGTACGACAACCCACCTTAAAAGGCCATCGAAACAAAGCTGGGATTCTTCCAATTAGGCGCTCCCACAATCGCAATAGAAGCAAATTGGCGCCATCGAGATATGCATACCGTAATGCTCAACCACTGGGTTGCTGCATGCTGAAAAGGTTGGAAGTTCTGCTTATGTCTCCCGCACACGCAACCGCATGGTTCACAAAGTGAGCCAGACGCTGGTGCTACTCGCCGCCATCGCCCACCATAAGTGCAGAGCAGCTTCGCGTAATGCTGACGGTGAGTTCCATGTCTAAGCCATGGAGGGGTATGAGGAGCTATGCCATGCGTTTGCGGGCTTGCGGTCGCAGGCAGGAGGTGTGGTTATAGGGAAGTGTGCGGCCCACATATATTTGTAGTGCACACACAGTGCCCTAGCCTTGTTGTGAGCTTGTCACAATCTTCTTTGATCGTGGAGGAGTTGGCTCAGACAGCTATTTATAGGGAGATAATGAGTGAGGGCATGCTCGTTAGTGGTTCTAGAAGGGCTGGATGCGGGAAAGGGTTTACGGCTCGGTCATGTTGTAGTTGGGATGAGAGAAAAGGTTTGGGGTGGAAGTGTGCGGATAATTTTAGTTTAGAAGGCACAGCCCATATGAGTAATAAGATTCAGGCTTTAGCTGAGGCATAGTTTCGTCTAGGGCTATTTATATATAAGGTCGGGATGCTAATCATTCAGTAAACAGACTAGCCTCTGCAGGATTCATTCTCCTTAGCATATATTTCTGCTTTTATTTTAGGTTACCATCTTTTATATTGTTAAAGACCCTATTCACTGCAAACCTTATACAAGCATAATCAGTCACTGCTCTCCTTTTGCTTCTCTCCCGTTTCCTCCGTTGTTTGTAGAGGTGTGATGGTTGGAGCATGGCGGGTTATACTGCTAAAAATTACTTAGATAGCAGCAACACCCGTAGAAAAATACCTAAATCTCGGAATCCATTACAATAATCGTACTATGTGATAAAAATTGCTTTTGAGATTCGTCGATCGAAGCACGAAACTGATCCATCTAGGTGGAATGCCTCTCGAAAAATTCGAAGAGGGTATCCGTTCGTGGAATGAGTATTTTCCTCCTAGAAATTCAACCACTTTACTGCGATGTTGGAACGTGGTTCGGGGTACCAGGCATAGATTTGCAATAACAAATGCCGATTCCGCAAGCATAAGAACGCTCATTACCCAGCGCATTTTCCGGGAGTGTCATGCTGAGATGGTTTCTTATTTGTCTTACAGATTATTTACAAACCAGCAGATGGTGGACTCTTTCTAGATTATGCGTTAAGAGAATCGGGAATTTTCTGGTAATTCTGTTGTTTGTTGTCGTCCAGTTGTATTGCGTCGAGTATTTACCGCAATTTAAACCACCACCACAAGCAGATCACCAACCACGACAAACACTACCCAAACCACCTCCAGCAGCGGCATGTGAGCAGCAGAGCAGACCTAACCCACCAAACCACGCAAGAAAACAAACAAAACAAAACAGCCCCAACCCGCCCCAACCCGCCCCCAACCCCGCACCAGCCAGGCACTCACCCCACACCACCCTCCAGCCCACCACCGAAAACCCCAATAGAGCGCCATCCTTACCACACAAGCAGACCCTCACGGCACACCAACCCACCAACCCACAACAGCACATCCATACCGCGCACACACACAAAGGCAATCCGCCACACTCAGCCCCAGCCCCGGCCCCAGCCCCAAGCCGTCCCACTAAATCCTGCATCCATAGTGCCTACGCCGATGCCTTCGCTCCACCCACTAGTCCCTACTGCATAGAGAGCACATACTACCCAGCTATTCCTCCCCAATAAGCCCCCAAAGTAGTCTTCTGTCCATCTCCACCATGTCGACATTGCCACTGTTCCCGCGATTATGTAGTATGCTCGTGCTTGCACTCTGCAATACTGTCGATGCTGATGTCGATGCTAATTCGCGCAGCTGCGCGGTGGCAGAGTGCGTGGTTTCCCTGCCTGTTCATCTGCCCCGGCTGCCTGGTTGCTCCTGTAGTAGATGCGTCTTACTACGTACATACATACGACCCGATAGGCGCGTATTGTATGTAGGCAGCAGGATCTCTTCCCTCCCTTATGCAACTCTTCCTCAGCACAACCGACTCTCCTCTCCTACCCCAAACAGACACCACACTCAAGCCAAGAGCGAGCGAGTGAGCGAGCGAGCCTATGTACTGTACTGCACTGCACAAACACACGACCAAGTCCAACCCCCAGCAACACACCCATCCACCCACCCTTGCAAGCCCCCACCCAAAAACGGCGCGCATCCCATCCCGTATCCCAAGCGAGCGGCTCGGCAGCACGCTTAAGCACAGGCACGCGCTTCGCCTGCGCGTCGCCTCCGCGCGAGCGGACGAGCGAGTGTGGCAAAGCTCCGGCCTGCATGCATGCCAGGGCACATGGGGTAGACAATCCGTATTGTACAATCTATACTGCGTAGTTTACAGCGCAGTGCAGTGCCAGTGCGTCGAGACGAGAGCGTGCCTAGCTGCCTATCTATCTAATCTATATTTGTTTTGCATTTTTTGCGTGCATGCGGGCATGCTTGCTGCTGCAGTCGTGCTGCGCTGCGCGGTGCGGTGCGGCCATGCCATGCCATAGGTAGAAACCTAGATAGATACGGAATACCTACTATCGACGCAGCTGCACCCGCGGGCTCATGTCCGCGCTCGCGCACGGCACGGTCCCGAGGCCCAGGTCAGCGTCGCCGAAGGCAGGCACAGGCAGGCAGGCAAGCTAGCGCAATCAGACGTACATACATACTGTAGGGGCGGAAAAAAAGCACCAAAGCAGGCGCTCCGTGGCCAGGTCTAGTCGGTCGGTTGGGGGGGAATTAAAGTGACCTTCGTTCAGATTCTCGCCGGGCCGCAGCCCCGGCTGGTATGCTAGCTGAAAGAGAGCAACGCAAACAACAAGGCAAGGAAATGCTAGTGATGATTGGTTGATTGATGAGATAGGTGATGATGATGATGATGATGAGTGGGGGGAAGCAGCAAACAGCGGTAGCAGCGGAATGCGAAAGCGGGAACGGATCGGAACGAAAACGTGGTATCGAAAAGCTACAAGGTAGGGCGGCTTTTTCCCCCACACTCACTCCGGGGCATGCCCATGCCATGCGTGCGTGAGGCGCGTGCGTAAGCATGCGTGCATGCGTGGCGCGTGTGCAACCCAGGCAGCTAATATGAAGGAATGAGGGGAAACAATTGGATGGTAGCCGGAAAAAAAGAGAAAAAAAGAAAAGAAACGAAAATAAGTGAAATGAACCCTCCCGTTAGAATCCCCGCCGTGAACTCGAAAACAAGCAAAGCAAAACAGGCCCAAATGAAAAGTAACGTTGTGAAATGTGCGCCTCGTCGCCGGTCGCATATTTGACGTGTGAAAAGGGTCTTGCGCCAGTCCCGTGTGTTTCGCTGGCATGGCAACTCTTTCTCTTGTTTGAACCGTAATTTCGAGATCATTGCGTCCGCCCGTCCGTGCATAGAATGCGTCTGTGTCTGACCGTAACTTGGTATCTAGAATATCCCGTCGAAAAAAGCACGTCATCCCCCCGCGGTGCCTCTGCACCGGGAAGGGACATGGGGCCGCAACCATTACTCGTCGGCCTTAAGGAGCTCCTTCTCGTCGATGGTGCTCTGGCTGCCCGTGGGGCGGTGCGTGAATACGGCGTCTTGGCCGCTCATGCGCCGGGACAGGGCGCGGTCGAGCTTCGCGCCCAGGGCCAGCTTGCCAATGCTGTCCATCTTCTCGGGCGACGCGACGTAGCGCTGCTGCTGCAGGCGCTTGTCCTCCAGGCGGTCAAGACCGGCGTTCCAGGCCTTGATGTCAGCGGAGCGGGGGTCGATCGAGGAGGTGGTCGAGGGAGCAATCGAGGGAGTGAGCGTCGGGGCTGCCGAGTAGGTCGACAGCCGCGTCGAGTTGCGGGTTCCGTTCTGTTTATTATTATTAGTGTCAACAACAAGGTTGGACGGGCGAGCGGAGAGGGCAGATCCCCCTGCGAGGTGGTGTTGTTGCGGGGCGGGTTGCGGGGCGGCGAGGCGGGCTTACGCTGTTCAACATTGGTCGCGAGGATTCGAGAGAGTTGGGCATTGTGAAAGAGCTGGCGCGCGGGCGTAGTAATAGCGGTTCAAGCCGTCGCTTGCGTAAGGCGTCGAGCAAGGGATGTCGGGGAGGCGGCAACGAATGGGAAGGCTCGGTCGGCTAGTGGAGCGGAAAGAGAGGTACGCTATCGGACTTGGTTTCCTGTGACGTCTGACGGGAGGGTGCAGAGGAGGGATGTGAAGAAGTGTCGGGCGCGAAGACAGCGGCGAACAGGTCAAGGATGTATGCTACTGGCCGCAGGATCAGCTGTTTCGGGCAGCCAGTGCGTCCTGTCGTTTCACGACCTGTCGATCGGCAAGGGGGGCGATCTCAGGGCCAGCGGCTGGCGAAGGAACCAACGGCGGTTGCGAGCTTTGGGGGCGCTTCTCAGGACTTCGGCCGGTAAGTGTCAACATGGGCAGGGTGCGTCGAGGATCGTCCGAGGCGGCCGAGAGAAAGGCACAGGGAGAGGCCCGTCGGCAAGGACACGGAGGCCCAGCTAACGCCAATCCCTGCCGCCTCCTTGCTGAAGCCAGGGGCAAGGGCAATCTGCACGTGGCGCTTGCCTTTTTGACACGAGGCCGGCCCGTCGCCTGCGGCCTTCAGCCATGCTCCGAGTCTAAGACTTTGATCTCTCTGAGTCGCTCGCGTCCACGGCAACACGGCATGCCACTCCATCTCACCCATTCCTTCGTTCGTCATTAATATCTGTCCTTCATCTGCAGCCTTCTCAGATAGAGTGCGTGCCGATCGCCACATGCGTGGCATGATTTTGGCCCACGTCCGAAGCCTCGGAAGAGCACTTCCCCGCCTCGCGTCAGAGCTCGAGGGCCGTCGGTGAAGGGAAAGACGATCTGCCAGGTCCACTCCGTGCCACCTGTGCTACCCTCGACTTTGTCAGTCTTGTCTCAACAACCGACTTCCTTATCATGCCCAAATATTTCGAGAAAAACGGTGGCCTGCATGTCATCCTCTCCTCTCGACCACCGCCGCCAAGGTGCGGGAGCCCACACTCCACCACGACTCCACCACGATTCCAACGTGAGACTTACTGATTACTGCATTCCGATTTGCTTCGTCTAACCGAGTTGACTGATGATGATCCTTTTACACTCTACTGGTGGTGTTGAGGTTTCGGGAGAAGAATGAAGCTGACGCGTTGACTTCTACGGAGTTCAACTCCGAAGTGATTAGATTCCTGATCCACATTCTTCAGATCTTCACGGTCGATAGGCAGGAAGTCAGCCATCAAGGTGGTTGATCTGCCAAAGTCAGGGACACGCGTCGGAGGCCCATCACATGACCGTGATATACGTGGTAGGACGGGTGTCAGCACCGCCCTGTCGACTCCCGTCCAACACACGTTCGGAAGCAACCGAGACCATAAGCCCGTAAGCACGTGGAACTCGTGAACTCCTCTGGCTGACGTGAGCCCCAAGTGCTACACTAAGTGTCGGATAGCTGCAGCTCCAGATGACGATCATCGTTTGATGCAGGGCATCGTGACTATGTTTGCCCTTTAGTTCCCTATAAAGAGTGAAGGTATAGCCTGTTCGATGGCATTTTATTTGCTGGTTTTCCGTCTTTTCCCGTCTCCTTCTTCGGCAAGATTGCATATCTTGTAGGATCGTCGTGTAAGACATGTGGATATGAGATGTCTCTGGGCTTCAACGACAAGATTCAAACCGTTTGATGGCTCATTAAAGCCTTTCTTAGCAGATGAGAGCATCAGTACTACTCACTGTTCCAGTTAATGTCCTTAATAACCGAAAAACCAAGTTATTCGCAACGATAATTGCTGGAGGTCACAGTGACCTATTCCATCGTTACATGTAGGTTTGTTGGAACGGGTGACAAAATGGAAAAGTTCGATTCTCCACATGCGCCAGTCACCAAAATCCTTTTCACTATAATCTGGGGTTTCCACTCGACTTAGAGCCGTTGAGTTTCTGCCCTTTTATTTTTCTTGTTGTTTGTTTATTTGTCTATCCTCCTTCACCTTGTGGAGGGCAAGTTACTTGACGCTGCTTATCTTAACACCAGTTTTCTTTCGGGAATCTTTGAGCAGCGGACCAACACATATTTGAAGGTACAAACACGTCTGTAGAGTGCTTCATTTGCTAAAGACGTGCTTGTTAGACCAACGCAGGACGGGTGGCCGCATGAAGAGATGATCTTACCGACAAGGTGCCTAGCAGCGAGGAAACGCAGTCACTAACACAGTTGAAGCTATAGGAGGGTGAATGAATTCAGTCACCTTTCCTTTACTGCAGACATGACGTCAACGCGAAACTGGGCGTTTATAAACACTTCACTCTCTCACTCTTTTCGTTCCTTTGGCTTCCGCGAGCACCTCAGCTTTGCCACCTGCGTCTGCTGCAATCCGTCTGCAGTGAAGCGCCCTTGCTCTCAAGATCCGATCAAAGCTCTACGCGTCCCTTCACACAGCCCAAAGACAACTCCAGTGTGAGCACGCAGTCGGTAAGCGCGCCTACAAATACCACTCTCTCACAGCCAAATACACACTGACTCTCCACGCACCCAAGCAGCTCAGAGCAGAAACACACCATGCTCCCTTTCAACCCGCTGCTCAACGCATCGTTCGCCTCGTCCTCGGACCAAGCGTCGACGCAGGCGGACGCCGACGCCAACACGACCTACGACCCCTTCACGAGCGCGCGCTCGCCCAACCCGGCGCGCAACCCGCGCGCACACGGCAAGCACGTCTACACGCCCCTGGTGTTGCGCGCCTACCAGGCCGCGTTCATGGACAAGCCGACGCCCGACTGGGACGCCAAGTTGCAGGCTGCGGGTGTGCTGGGCCAGCCCCGCGACACTTGGACCGCTGGGTACCTGGCGCGGCTTGATGGGCCGGAGAAGCAGGAGCGGGCGCTCGATTGGCGCGAGCGGAAGCTGAGGAAGGAGGAAAAGGAGCTGCAGAGGGAGAGGGAGAGGTTTGAGCGCGAGAAGAGGGAGGCGGAGGCTAGGTTTGGGATGCTTGGGAGCTCGTTGGATGGGTTTCGCCCGGAGTCCCCGTTTAGGATGTTTGAGGGCTCGGTGGAGAGGCATCGGCTTGATGCTGAGAGAGTCAAGAGGGAGACGGAGCCCAAGGTTAAGATGACGGAGAAGGCGTTCGAGCGTGGTCACGCGGATGGCGAGAGGAAGACCCTCACAGCCCTGTCGACACAGCAGGCCATGGGCCATTTCGAGTATCCTATCAGCGCGCAAAAGTCCACGAAGAAGGTCACCACCACTACAACCACCACTCTTCAGCGGAAGCACGCCTTCACAAACGCTGGCAAGCAGGACTACTTCTCGCTGAAAAACGCTTTCACGCCGCTCAAGTACACGGGCAACCAGGACTTTGTCCCGCAGAAGTACGACGACAACGGCAACACCACCACCGCCTCGTCTCACAAGCGCGCCACCACTTCCTCCGCAAAGAAAGACTCCCCACTCACCGTCACCACGACCCCCACGCCCCCGAAGCCGATCCCCCACCCGCACTCGCACTCGCACGGCAAGAAAAGCCGTCAAGCCTCCTTCACCAGCAGCAACAATAGCTCGCCCCTGAAGCACATGATCTCGGCCTCTGACCTTGCCGTCGCCGCCTCGCCCCACAGTCACAGTCTCAGTCACACGCACCACCACCTCCATGACAACGAGACGCACTACGACCACGACCACACCGACAACAACCCCTACACCCCCCTCGCAGGCCCAGCAGCGCACCTCCTCGCCCGTGCCCAACGCCACGCCGGCCTCAGCACTCTCACCGGGCCCGACATCCGCGCCCTCACTGACCTAGGCGCCGGCATGCAGCTTGGCGAGCTGACGGTGCCGACCGTGCCGTTCGTGCGTGCGGGCTTGCTAGGCGCGGCGGCGAGGGTCGTCGCGCTGGCCGAGGAGGCTGACGCTGAGGAAGACGAGCATGCGACCAAAGTCGCGGAGACGACGGCCGCGTTTCTCGCGCTCTTGGATGGCCCGCCGTCCGCAGATCTGCCGCCGTTGTATTGTCGGCCGGAAAGGGCTGTTGCTGCTGCTGCTGCTGCTGACAGCGGTAACTCTATCACTGACTACGCGCACGCGCACGACCACGACGACGTCAACACCCACACCCATACCCACAACCACGCCAACGACAATGACGGCGCTCGCACGCCCACGCCCACGCCCACACGCGCCCCCCAGCCCCCGTACCCCACCTACCCCCGCACGCGCAGCAGCACTGTCCGCATCCTCAACGTCCCGGCCAGCACGACCGCGGACGCGCTCCTAACCTTTCTAGAAGCGCGCATCGGGCCCGTCTACAGTCTAGACGTGGAGACAGCGGCGCCGGGGTTCGGGTGCAAGACCGGCCGCGCCGTGTTTGCGTCGTTTGGCGGCGCGGAGCGCATGTTGATGCTGTCGGGGGTTGTTAGGTTGGGGGGGAATGTGTTGTGCGGGGAGTTGATTGATTGGGTTCTTGCTTAGTGTGGGGTGTGTGGACGATGCGAATGAGTTACGCCTTCTGGCTTTTGTGATGAGAGATAGGTAGGGCGATGGACAGGTGGGTAGGTAGACGCCGGTGCCTGCCTGCATCGTACCGTTCTGTTATGTACCGTACACACCTCAAAAGCCTCTATGTATGTACAGTAGGTAGTACAGTATAGTAGCTAGCTAGAGCGGAGCCCATCACTCACCCAACACGCACCCCAAACACGAACCCCTCACGTACAAAGATACAAACAGACACCTAAGAGCATCTAGGCGTAGTCCCAACGTTCAAGAATGCGCCCAGCAGCCTAGGAAAACAACACCAAGATGCCGTGCTGGCTTGGGCATTGGCGTGCTTTGCCTACTCCTAGCTTCTGTTGTCTGCTGTATGGACGAGGGGTTGGACGTGTGTGTATGGATGGGTGTATGGATGGATGTATGGAGGGATGCCCCTTTCTTGGTTTCTTGGTGGTGTAGCCTGCCGAGCCAGGACGCGATGGAGAGGGATGGGAGGGATGGAGGGATGGAGATGGGGCGCGATCTTTCAGTACTGCAGGCGCCGACCTACGTGCTTAGGTACCTAGGTACCTACCTACTCTACTCACCTCCTACTCATCGACCTTCACCTCCTTCACCTTACCTTGTACATCAACAAACGCCACACGCAGCACCACCCCCACAATGCTCACGCTACGCCCTTCCCTCCCCCTCCCACGCAGCCCATCCCACCGCCAGCGCCTACGCCTACGACCACGGCTCCTCCTGCTCCTCATCCTCCTCGCCCTCCCAGCCCTGACAGCGCTGTACTTGCTCTCGCACACGCACGGCACCAACCACACCACCAACAACCCCCACTCCATCAACACAAACGCCCCCAACACAAATGCCAAAGCCCCCACCACCCTAGACAGAACCAGCACAAGCATCCCGGCACGCCTCAAAACCTGGTGGCACCACCACGTCCACACGCACACCAAGCCGCCAGCCCCACGCATCGCGAAACTGACCCTCTTGCTGTCCCAATCCCAGCCGCCCGCACCCGCACCTGCGTTAGCAGGCCGGAAAGGCCGGAAAAACATTCTAGGCACAGAAAAAGAAGCAGAGAAGGAAGCAGCGGCAGAAGAAGCAGTACTAGCGCGCGCACTGCGCTCGCACGCAGCGCACGCGGCGGCGCACGGGTATGCGGAGCGCGTCGTGCGTGTTGCGTGGGGGGAGGGGGGCAACAACGACAACAACGACGACATCGACAACGACGACATTGACAACTACAATGACGACAACGACGCTGACATCGACATCGAGGACGTTGACGAAGACGTCAGTTCCGCGCACAGGGGTACTGGCCACAGTAACAGTAATAATGGAGTAAACAGCGCACTCCTCTCCTACCTCCGCACCGAGATGGCGCTCCCCCCCGCAGAGCGCGCAGACTGGGTCTTTGTGTTTCCTGGCACGAGCGTGGTACTGAATCCGTTGGTCGGGCTGGAGGCGTTTGTGCCACCTTCTTTGGGGGAGGGGGAGAGGGAAAGGGATGTGGAGGAGTGGGAAGGGGTTGATGTCGTTGTTGCTGATTTGGATGGGGAGAGAAGGGGGATGGGGGAGGAAGGGAATGGTGATAAGGATGGTGGTGAAGACGCCCTCAGCCTCGACCCCGCCATCGCCGTCTTCGCGGTACGCGTCTCCCCCCGCGCAATCAGCTTGCTGCTGCGCGCGGGGCTGGGCGACAACGAACCGCCGCCCCCAATGCGCATGCGCACGCACGGCGCGCCGCTGCTGCCGAAGCTGTCACCCCTCGACGACGGGCCGCAGGACGTGCCTTCTGCTCCTCCTCCTGCTCCTGCGAGGAAAAGACGCGTCCTCCACGTCCCGCGCGCTTGGCTCGACGCGTACCCCACGCCGCCGGCAACGTCCTCGCTGGACTCGGACCTGCCGCCGCAGCACCACGACCACGTGCGCGCCGGCGCGTTTGCGCTCTCCCTGCCGCTGCCGCGCCGCCACAGGAGCGGGAGCAGTGGTGCGTGGTGGGCGCGGATGGGGCGGTGGCTACCAAGGGAAGGGGAAGGGGAGGGGGCAGGGGACGCAGAAGCAGAAGCAGCGGAGAGGTATGCAGAGGAAGCGGCGAGGTTTTATGGGGGCGGTGGGGCGGGGCCTGATGCGGGGGTTGACGTTGATGGGGGAGAGGAGATGAAGATGGCGGTCGGGGGTTGGGGAGGAGCCGAGGGTGAGAGACGCGGTGGAGGAGTTGCGAGACCTATGCCACACGCGCGCGCGCTGACTGATGCTGTCACGACCTCGCACAGGCCACGACTCTTCTCGCCAGCGCGGGGCGGCGACTCGCCGAGAGCACGACTACCTAGGCAGGCTGCTGGCGCCGTGGAGCGGGTCGGAGGCGCTGGGCCGGATGAGCTCAGTGGAGGCGGCGGGCGAGCGAGTGCGGGAGCGGGCGAAACTGAGGCGGGGTAAAGTGGGGAGAGATGATGGTGGTCGATAGGTAGTAGGCGAAAAAGAACGACCTGAGGTTGACGTTGGTGACGCACGGCGAGACACGCATAAGTAATGGGACTCGACGATCAGTCAGAGGGTGACACGGTCAGACGCGCGTACCCGTGGTGTTGAGGGGGTGGAGCGACGTGTGCGAACGATCGGGTAGTGGGGGAAGGCCGCCCTGTGCGAGCATGATGTGTGTGATGAGCGGCCGGGATGCGGGATGCGACCCCGCAGGACTATTCGTATCTGACGCCTCGATCGATTGACATGGTTGCAGCTGTCATTCTTTTTCTTCAACTCCCAAGGTTCGCTAGCTGCTAGTATTGTTTTCCTAATCTCGACGACGTCTTGTAGCGCGCGGTCCAGGCGTTCCGCCATCCTTCATCAAATAATTCCCCACGCCCCCAAAGCCTGCATCCTACCTACTCGTACCTATCCCATCCATACATACTTTCCCTCTGTCTGCCAGGGGGCTTTTAGGCCTGCAGAATGCAGCGCTCCACTGCCTGGTCCTGCCTGCCAGTCGTCTCTTATGCCCAACCAGCGCCTGCCTCGGCTCACGTCAAAAGGTGGGATGGAAATAGCCTGACCTCGACCGAGTGGGACGGCCTACGCAAGGTAAGTTTTTTTTTTTTTTTTTCTTTCTTTCTTTTTCCTTACTCTTTTCTTTTATCTGACTGCCTGCACCAGGATGCCGAGCTATGGACCCCAGACGGCAACTGCTTCGTGCATCTGTACGAGCGCGGCCACTCCCGTCGCGGGCCGTCTTTCTGCATCCCCATCAGCGCTCTTCGTGACGCCCATGCCGGCACCCTCTTCAGCCTCTGCTTCGCTCGCTCCGTCTCCCGCGCCGAGCTCCCCATAGCCCAGCTCAGCTCCCTCGTCGACCCCCCAGACGTCCTGTACGAGCTGTACATGCCCGCCCCCGACGGCTGTCTGAGAGAAGAGGCCCTGCAGTTCCACATAACGACCCGGAACTTCTTCGCGTTTGTGCTCAAAAAGCCGCTGGTGGGTGCGCATCTGGGCACCAGCTTGATCCATCTACAAGAACGCCTCCATTTATTTTGCTCACGGGGCCCGACGGATAACCACAACGCCTTTCTTAGGTATGCAGAAGAGCTGGGCTACTTGGATTTCACGCATCGCCCTAGCAATGCCTTGGCTATACTCTTCTATGCAGAGCACTATCAGCTGGAAGAGCTGTGGCTGGACGCCTATGCTCATTGCGTAGGCATGAACGAGACACTGTATATGAGCCCTGAATATGATGTGAGTAACGTTCGGTACGAGGAGGAGCATCAACTGACACCGCTCAGCCGATCCCCAGGGTCACCAAGGCTCTCATAACACGTGCGTGGTTGGAGATGGATCTGCATCTCGGCAGGGTCACCAGGGCTTTGGGAAACCTCCTCGAAGACGAGCTGTCTCCCTCATACCTCGGCCTGCCTCACGGCGCCCGCACCCACCTCGACCGCTTCCGTGCATTCCTCCGCTCCTACTATGTCGAAAAATACGGCTTCTGGCCGCCCCCAAAAAGCGTCAACTTCCCAAAAGCCCTCTACCGATCCATGTACGCCGACTTTCGCAGCCTGTACGACCTGCTCGTCGACCTGGACTCCTCGGACTCAATCCAGTACCAGAAGCCGGCCGACGGCGGTATATGCGTGCTGCAGAACGTGCAAGCCTTCGACAGGCGCCACAAGTACGCGCCGCTGCCGCACCCGTTGCCGCTTGTTCCTTCGTCTCCGCAATCGCACGGCCACCATCATAGCCACCGTAACCTGACGTCCTTAGCGTTTAGCTACAAGAGATCCGACAAGCAGTCGGTGGTACAGAGCTCACTGAGCGCTGCAATGAACCCACGGGACTCGTCGGTAGCGCCTTCGCCGCTAGTCAAGGCGTACAAGCGCTTCGAGCGGGACTGCCTCACCGTGAAAGAAAAGGTCTCGGTCTCGGATGCCCGCAAGGTCCGCTGGATCCTCATCTACGCCGTGCTCCAGATGCTCATCTCGGTGACACGGGCGCCCCCCGAAGTCCACGATACGGAAGACGCCGACTACCCGCTCTGCTGTCTCACTGCCGGCACGCCGCCTTGGGCTGCTAGAAACAAGAGCATGGACTATTCCTACAGCAAGGCCGGGGACTTTGGCACCATTTCAGACAACGGAATAGACAGTCCTGCATCCACGCTCAACAAGCCGCTCCCGGAGACACCAGGCAGCATCTTCGATATCCGCCCCGACTGCGAGGTCAACGACTACATCACGCACACCAACCCCAGCTGCCAAAACACGTCGCTGACGTCGTCACTGAACCGGCGCTTTTCGCTTCACGCGGCGGCCCTGCAGCTGAGCGAAGTGCCGCCTCCACTGCGCATCTCGCGCAGCCAGACGACAAACACGCAATCGGACAAACGCCGCGGCACGGCCTCGCCTGCCCAGCTCGAGCGCAGCACGTCGTGGCGCTCGGCGCTGCCGAAGTCGCTCTCGCCCTTTTCGAGCCGCCGGAACAGCCTGGTCGGCCGCGCGGGCCAGCGCCGCCTCTCGTTCTGCGAGATCCAAGTCCCCGGGTACGGAAACGGGCTCAATGAGGCGACGCTTGCGGGCACTGCTGCTGCTGCACCACCAGAGATACCGGAACGCGCGGCCTCGTCGGCTTCGTCGTCGTCTTCGGCGGTGAGGGCTGCGGGAACGCACGGCGTCAACGCATCATCCGAGAGTTCTGTTGCTGCTGCCGCTGCTGGTGCTGCAGTGCGACGCGCGCTTCCGGGCAAGCTCGTGCTGAACACGAACACGACGTGCCTGCCCATCTCGGAAGAGGAAAAGGAGCGTCGCACGCCGACGCTCGATTCGTTCCAGCTCGACCAGGGCTTCCCGCTCGCGCTCCCGAAGCTGATGAGCACGATGACGGCGGCGCGAGCGACGGCGCGCGCGGCCACGCCCTCGGCCAGCCTGTCCCTGGCCTCGGAACAGCAGCACCTCCTCCTTCAGCACCGCTTCGCTGCTGCTGCTGCTGCTTCTTCTGCGTCGCCAGCCCCGTTCCGCGCTTCGCCGTCCGCGGCCCTCGCCGCGAGCACCGCCCGTCATAGCACCGACTCGGCGTCGACGACGTTCTGGACCCCGGCGCTGTCGCCTGCCTCGGCGCTGCCGTCGCCGGCCTCGTCGTCGGCCACCAGCATGTCGTCTTCTGAGGCGGAGGCGGAGGCAGAAGCAGACGAAGACGCGAACGCGGCTGGAGACGCGGGACCCTGCCTAGTGGCTGCAGAGGAGGAAGAAGAAGAGGTGGAGACGCCGCCGGCGCGGCGGCCGCCGATGGTGTCTGCGTCGTCGTCGGTCGCGAGCGCGGCCAGCGCGGCCAAGCTCGCGCGCATGGGCTACGCGCTGCCGTTCCGGGCGTATGCGGCGCCGGAGCCGGTGCTGCTCAGCACGGCGCGCGGGGGCAGGGACGTGCAGCAGTCGTTGGCGGCGCAGGTAGTGGGTGCGGCTGCGGCGGTGGGGGTGGGGGTTGGGGTGGGGGAGGATGATGATGATGATGAGTTTGAAGATGCGGATGAGGTTGGGGATGGGGATGGGGATGGGGAAGAGGAAGACGGCTCCGAGCTGCTGTGGTACGAGGCCGCGAGGGAAGTGGGCGAGGCGCATGAGCTCGACGCCGCGGACACGGCGGTGGCGGCGGCGTCGTCGTTGTCGCTGTCTGTGTCTGTCTCTGCGTCTGGGGGCGACTCTCGGTTCGCGTCGTCGCATTCTTTCATCATTACCGATGACAACGACGATGACGACAATGACGACGACGACAGCGCCGAAGCCAACGACGTCGACGTCGGTGTCGATGCTTTTGCGGCTGCGGCGCCGCGCCCTCCTACGTCCACTTCGACGTCGACTGAGGCGCAGGCGCAGACGCACGAACTCCCTGCCTCCACCACCTCACCCCCTCCCACCAACACCAGCATCACCAGCCTTCCACGCCCCCCAACCCCCCCACCACGACGGCATAGGCCCCTAGGCCCTCCAGGCGCAAAAGCAAGACACTTGCTCGGTCTCGACGATTCAGAGAAAGAGGTCGATGGCCGCCAGGTCGTCAGTATTTATCAGGCGCTGTTTATGGGACCGTGCGCTGTTTAGTTTGGGGCTGGGTGGGTGGGCGGCGGTTGGGAGTTGGGGGGGGGAGTGGTGTGGAAGGGTAGGAAGGGGGTTAAGTGAGGGGAAGGGGAGAGGTTGGTTGGAGCGCTATATACCCTGTTTTTCTGTTTTTGGACTTGTGGATTTGGTTGTTATGTTGTAGTTAATGTTTGATGTGGTATGTGCTGTTGTTGTGTTGTTTATTGATGTAGACATGTTTGCTCGTAAGCTCTGGTCGTTCCTGTTGTCAAGCTGTCCGGGTTAGCGGGTGTAGATACGGGTATGGTGGTTATCACAAGCTACCTCCTACATAGACGCTATCCCCGCGCCTGCTTGTACGACGACCTCTCAATCTCTGTCTGCAGGCTGCAGTCTAGTCTAGTCTAGGCGCCGGTTAGGGTGGTGGTGGTCGTACAGCTTGTGTATGTACCTATCTACCCATCAGTCAGTCGGTCAGTCAGTCAGTCAGTCTGTCTATCTAGACCACAGCACAACACAGCACCGCACCGTCACCCCTCCGCTCCCCGGTAGGTAGGCAGCTGCACGCTCCCGCGCCGATCGCCGCCTCACAGACAGACAGCCTGCCTTCCTGCCAGATGTCAGTTGTCACTGACGGTACGTACCTACCTACGTACCCTAAGTATACACCGATAAATGAATGATGAATGATGAGGGCGTATGTGTATGTGTATGTGCTCGTCATCGCTGAGCCGTCTTGCGTCGTCTTGCGCTGTACCACGCGCACGCGCAAGCACGCAAGCATACGCCCTCTTGTCTCTAATTGTCTCGACGACATTATGGCCTGCCCGAGAGGCGGGCACGTAAGTAGGGAGGTAGGGGTACCTGCACAGACGAACACATGCGCGCCGGAAGCGCATGTGATGCTATGCCCACCCCACCCGTCTGTTGGCTGTTAACGTAGGTACTTACTTACCTACCTACCTAGGTAGACAGACGAACACACGACCCCAACCAAGCCCGCGCGCGCGCGCGTGCGTGCGTACACCCATCCACTCACCCGCCCGGCCGCTTTGCCTGCTTTCCTTTTTCCATCGCTCTCGTGCCCCACTCACATGAACACGCACAACCATACATACACACGCATACGTACGACAACTGCCTGCTTCATCGCCACTGCACACCGCACACCGCAGCAGTTTGCGCGGTGCGCATTCCGAAAAACCCAAGACCACTCACTAGTGAGACGAGAGGAGAGAAGGGTAGGTGTATATGTACGTGCATACATCCAGTTATACCGTACGCTTTTGAATGGACATGGAGGAAGAAGACGAAGAAGACGAACAGCAAGGGAAGGAAAGAGAAAGAAAGAAACCAGATCAACCGAACAAGAGACAGCACCACAGAACCACAATGGAAGTAAACAACCTATAAGTGAACGCGAGCATCCACTCCTTTTGTCTTGTCTTGTCTTTCGTCTTGTCTTCTGTCTTTCGATCTGCTTGTCGTGTATACCTATCTGCCACGCTACCGAGGTAAGATAGGTACCCAAGCCTCCGCGCTCTTCTTTTCCTTTTCCTTTCCGCTCGCTCAGCCGGTACAGCCTTCCTGAACTGACCTCATGTACGCGTTACCTATGTAGCCAGCCAGCTGTGTCGACAAAAAACCCCACTACCCACCCACCCATCCATCTACGCGTCGTCCATGCAAAGTCGCGTCGCGTTATACATCCGGCCAAGCAAGCAAGCAAGCAAGCAAGCAAGCAAGAAAGTCATATCAAGCACGCGCGGCACCTAATCGGTGGAGACGTCGTCATCGTCATCATAAACCCGTGCCCGTCCTCGACCCAACCTTACGCCCTCCCCTAAACGCCGTCACTAGCAGCAATGCCACAGCCTACTCCACTGCCAACACCCAGCGCAGCAACGTTCACGCCCACGCTCACTCTCACGCTCACTCCCCCATCCAGCGTGCTCCTCTCCCGCCACCGGCCCGCCACAACGCCCTCCACAGTCCCTCCCCAGACACGGAGCGCGTCCCCGTGTGTCCTTCTCCTTGTCCTGCATAAGATCTACCTCACAGAGATGTCTTGTCCGTAGCATTGACTTTTATAATTTCCACAGCAGGAGACGATGCGTTACTTACGCTGAAGGAGCAAAGGGCTCAATCGTCTGCGCTGCCGACATCGGCTGCTGGGAGCCCAGGGGTTGGCCGCCGGACGAGTGGTGGCCGTGGCTCTGGTTCTGGCTTTGGCTGTGCCCGTGGCCGCTGCCGCCGCCACCACCACCACCGCTGCGTGGTGCCTTGATGTAGAGGCCTTCGTTCACCATGGACATGCGCACGAGGCGTGCGCGCAGCGTGTGCTCGTATTCTTGCGCCATGGTGAGGGCTTGTGTGTGCACGGCGTGGCGCGGGTTGGTGGGTGGTGAGATGAGGAGCTGCGGTGGGAAGTTAGCCATCGCAAGATGTGATTGCAGTGGATGCTGAGAGCAATAAAGTGCGAGTGACAGAACAAGTTAGTAACGTACCATTTCCACGAGGTCGATACGCGCATCGAGGATGCCGCGTTGGATCATCTCAATCAACTCGTCCTCGATAGCGACGCCGGGAAGCGGCGGGAACGCCTTGGCCATTTCGCCGAGGGTGACGCAGCTGAACGGGATAAAGTACTGCACAATGCTCTTGCTGCGAACGCGACCATACAGCTCCTTGACGTGCGCGCTAAGGTAGAGATCAAGTAGGTAGTCGGTACGGTACGCCTCTAGGACCTCCAAGCACTGCGTGTACTTGCTGCTGCAGAACATCGAAATGGCACGGCGGATGTGAGGCTCAAGCTCAAGAAATTGGCGGAACTCGTTGTTGTCCAGGACCAAGCGCTGCAGCTCGGAGCGGTCCATCGAAGCGAGGGCGCATAGGCCGCCATAAACGGCAATGTCATTGCCAGTGAGCACCTGTTTCTGCCAGACAATGCCAGCCTGCCCATCGTTGGTCACAAAAGACGGGTTGACGCCAAGGAGATAGGAAGCGGCTTCGCGATAGTTGCCGCTGACCATGTGACTGAGGCCCAGGACGGCAGAGCCGATGGGATCGAGTTTGGCCTTTTCCTCGGGCTTGAGGGACATGGGCTGGATCTTGGAGACATTGGTCTGGACGGTGGTCCAGCTGCGCTGCTGGATGCCAGAGTAGATGAGCTTGAGCGACATGTCGGCAATGTGCTGGGTGTTGGTGCAGAAGTCGCGCTCGCGGCCGTAGCACTTGATGGCGTTGCCGTGGTCACCGATGCTGGTGAAGAAGCGGCCCAAGTCATCGTGTCCCATGCGAATGCTTTCCTTGATCAGGTTGTTCTTGTAGCCCTTGAGCTGGTGTTCCAGGTTCTCGCTCTCGGCCTTCACTTCCTTGGTCTTGCGCTCGCACCATTCGATGTCGGGGATGCCCAGAGGGTCGTCGGGGGAGATTGCATGCAGGCGCTCGGTGACGTGAGTATAGAGGCTCACATCCTTGCCTTGCTTGGCTTCGGCGACGGCGGCGTGGAGGGCGTCGATGGCGAGGTAGGTGGAGGTCGAACCGATCATGTAGAGGCGCTCCAGACGTGTCCGTCCTGCATATCCAGCCGGGTTAGTTTAGAGAGGCCTTGGCGAGCGAGAGTGGGGTGGCATACCTAGGTAGTTGGCGATGTAGCTCTCGAGATCGAACTTGGGTTGGTCTGCGGAGGAGAGAGGCAAGCTCCGTCAGTGACGGCGGGCGGCATTGCGGACGGGGCTTTGTACCTCTGACGACGAGCTTGCCGGACCTGGCAGCTTCGAGGAAGAAGGGCGACTCATCGGCGTTGAAAGCCATGATGATGCAGTACCTAATTGTGGTAGCTAGGTAGGTGTACTGTAGTAGGTAATCGGTAGAGTAGGCGGCAGAGAGCTCCCTGTGGCTCGCGCGTTCGCTCAGCCCTACCGTCAAGCCACAGCCGATGCCGTCCGATCCAACTCCGTCCGTTCACCAAAACTTCTCCATCTTGCCTCGGCCGTCTCTTGACATGGGTGTGCGGGCCTGATGGCGATCTCTATACGGCCGTACTTTGGTCTCCTCCGAGGCTCTGGCTGGTCCTAGGGGAATATATCTCGACATGGCGCCCTCTCCTTTGCGCGAGCAATTCCTCGTTATACCCGCACCATGGCTTTCCCTCACACCGATCTGCTCGAAATGGATCACAGCCTTGCTCCGCTGGAGAAGGCCGACTCGTTCCTCAAGGTCGCCCGCGAACACCCAGACTACACGGTGCGTAGAACCCCTTCCTCGGCCCATCAGCCCACTCTGGCGCGACAACCGCTGACCCGCGACTGCAGCAATGGGACAAGGCAGCGCTCAAGAACCTGCGCGTCATATCCGCGACGGTGCGCGACCCCAAGAGCACCGACAAGACGGCGCCCATTGGCGCCGCCGTCTTCGAGCTGCTCGTCACCCCCGAGCTCTGCAACACGCGCGGCACCATCCACGGCGGCTGCGTCGCGACCCTCTTCGACATGTGCACTTCGATGGCGCTGAACGCCGCCACCCGCCCGGGCTTCTGGGACAAGGGCCACGTCAGCCGCAACCTCAACTGCTCCTACCTCAAGCCCATCTTCGCCGGCCAGCGCATGCGCATCGAGTGCGAGGCCACCGCTCTGGGCAAGCGCAACGGCATGACCCGCGGCGTCTTCAGGAGGTGGGTCGACGGCGCCGAGGATGGCATCGGCGGCGAGGTGTGCTATACCTGCGAGCACGACAAGGTCAACGTGGGCATTGATGCCCCGAGGCTGTAAGAATGACCGGTTATGATGGGCTTTGTACAACATTTGCTTCTATTTTGTTATTACATTAGCGGGAAAGGATAGAGCGTGCCGGAGTCTGGCGCCTTTTGGATTATATTTCACCATCGGCAATCGAATACCAACCACAATAACAACCATTCTTCCGCGTCCCACGATGAGAATGACCACGATAAATTGTTCATACAGCAATTGCCTAGGACCGAAAGCCTAAGGCATTCCAAACTTGCCAGTACAGCCAGCATCTATCGTCCTCTACATCACAAGTTACAACAATTCCCAACGCTATCCCACTGATCGCACCTCGCACTGGCCAAAATCGCAACGATCCGGTATCGGCAGCGAGGATCGACCAGATCCCAGCGCACACCCCTGACCTCCTATCAGCAGTTCCCAGCGTGCTCGAAAGACAAGATAACAAGATAACAAGATAACAACAAACGCAAAAAGTATGGAGAAATGTTTTATACATGCAGGCCTACAGAAAGATGAGATTCAGCAAGATTGGACACAGCACCATTAAAACAGCCTTTGGTCGTATATAATCGCAGGGAACCTTGAACCAGGGTGCAGTATCCAAGCAGGCTCGAAACCACCCCAGTCAGGCCTCGCCGACCATATCGAAATCTTTTGCGAATGCGTCGCCGCGCGCTCACAGTCGCTGAATGGGCGCCCCGCTGTTCTCGAGGAGACGCATGTTTCGGCATGGTAGAGGCTTTGTCCATGCCAAATACGCCGAGTAACTCTAGCAGTAGATAACGATGCTCATGATAGTCACAGGGTGTTGGTGCATGGTATCGCTGAGGGTTGATGATGAGTGTTAGTGTTAGTGGTTGGTGATTGTAGGTTGATAAAGATGCGGTCTATGTGACTTGTTTGGGTGTGTGTTGGGGGTTTTCCGGGAAGTGCGTGGGCAGCCATCACCTTCACTGGTATCCGAATCGTTGTCTTGTCGGATGCTGGGGTGAGGTCTTGACGAGCTCATCTTGCTACGGGACGAACCTTATGTTTAAGTAGTCACTGTCATCGCTTATCTTCATGTCTTCTCCCAGCTGCCTGAAACATCTTCTATGATATCAAGTGAGCCACCCTCAGTTACAGGTCTTGCTTCCACCTAAGCATTCCCTGGCTACGAAGTATACTCTGAGAAGTGATGCAAAAAGAGAACAGTGACTGACTATGCCTTCGTAGTTTTTGCAGTTAAATAAACATAATAGAAAACAATCACTATCTTAGCAAATGTCACTGCTCCAAATATAACAACATCCAAATGAGGTATGGTGCATCGGAAAGGGCCGGAAGAATGATATTACTTTGCTACTTGACTGACTACCCTAAGAGAAAACCACTATGTTTCTAATACATTCCATACTATCATGATGGATAGGAAGTGAATAAACGACCAAGAGAACGAATCCAAAAATACCAATCTCGCAAACCCCATGCCCTTGGTCTCTTGAACCATCGATTGCTTTTCAAATAAATCCCAAAAATAAAACACAAATGTCACTCTTTAACGCCTTACCACTGTCGGCGTTGGTGTCGGCCAAATCGTCAACACTTCAGTGTACCCGCAGTAGTTTCCGGTAGGCACAGGAGCACTTGTTGTCCAATGCGTGGTACTGCTCGAGACGGTGCCTGTGAGAAATACGGTCGAGGTGACGGTAGAGATCAAGGTAGTGCCACCAGTAGTCACGGTCACGGTGGTAGTGATGGTCGTGGCCGAAGTGATAGTGACAGTCGCTCGTGGAGAGGTGCTCGATGTCACGGAGATACTAGAGGACGTAGGGCTGCTAGTAGCTCCGGAAGTTGGAACAGAAGATGGCCCAGCAGGTTGTGGTACCGCTACTACAATAGGGCCACCAGTGATACCAACGAGGCGACGAGCACCCCAGATAGTGGGGTCTGTCACTATGGGTCCAACTTCGTACTTTGTGTCGCATGCTCCAGTAGTTCCGTTCCTCCATGAGACATCAACACAAGGCCTTCCAGTTTCGGCATTGCAACGGGCAATGCAATCCTCTAGGGTTGGCGTGGACGAGTAGGTGTTAATAATGCCACCAAAATGGTCAATTCCGCATTCAATGGTATAGGCTCCGCCTGACGAGTTGTAAAACCTCCTGTCGGAAGCAGGGCAAGATATGGCCGTCGGAGCGGGAATGGGAGTGGAAGGGTCAGCGTAGTTCAACAGGATCGCAGCATCCGCTGCCTTGTTTGCATACGGATTACCGGTCTTAGTTTGGCGCTTGATACCGATAAGATCCCGCTTGGAAGAAGTGCTGCAGCCAACGTCATTTGCCGCAATGACGCCATATGCGCAATACCAGTAACCATCTTTGCTGGTCGAATCTCCTTCGTAATGGACGAGGAAGTAGGAACTACAACCAACGGTAGTGCCGCAAGTCTGTGCACATTGTGACAGCCCGGAAGCTGCAGTACCTGGGCCATAAATGTCGTATTGTTGAACGGCGCTAACAGATTTTGGTGGGAAACAAGGCTGGACCTCGCTAGGCACAAAGGTGGCGCTAGGGATTGCAGAAGGAGTCACAATAGAGGAGGTTGCTGAACCAGTCGTGGAGGATGGCACGGCAATGCACACGTTTTGCCCAAGCATTAGTTTGTCGCAATCGAGACCCGGATTGTTGGTCTGTAGTTGACCAACAGTGAGACCGTATTTCTGGCTGATACTGTAGCAGACATCGCCCGACACGACCGTGTGATACTTGGAGCAGCTAGAAGACGCTGACGGAGTAGAAATTGTCGTTGAAGATTGAAGCACAACGGTGGCTGATCCTGAACCAGCACTGAGTGATTTAGAGGCAGAGTTGGCTGACCCTGAACCAACAGTGGAGGATTGAGACGTAGCATTGGACGATTCTGAACTAACAGTGGAGGATTGAGACACGGAGGTGGCCGACACTGGACCAACATTGGAGGATTGAGACGTAGCATTGGACGATCCTGAACCAGTAGTGGATGACAGCGAAGCAACGCAAACTTTTTGGCCGAGAATCGGGCTATCGCACACGATACCCGGGTTCAAAAGCTGCAGTTGAGCAAGAGAGAGGTTATAATTCACAGTGATGCTGTAGCACGTAGTGCCCGAGACAACAGTGTGCCATTTCGAACAGTTCGATGGGGTGGCGGATGGCGCAACAGTGGCCGACCCTGAACCAGTAGTGGATGATTGAGATGCAATTGTGGTCAGTCCCGAACTGGCAGTTGATGAAGCCGCAGCGACGCAAATTTGTTGCCCGATGTTCAGGCTGTCGCACACGATGCCCGGGTTCAAAAGCTGCAGCTGAGCAAGAGAGAGGTTGTAGTCCACAGTGATGCTGTAGCAGGTAGTCCCCGAAACAACTGTGTGCCACTTCGAACAGTTTGATGGGGTGGGAGACGGCATGGTAGAGCCTGTCGTTGAAGAAACAGAGCCAGAAGATGCACTAGCGCTTGGTCCAGAGACGGAGCCGGATGCGGTGCTTCCTAATGCAGAAGCAGAGCCCGGGGATGCAGTACTGCTTGATCCAGAAACAGAGCCGGACGCGGCGCTGTTTGACGCAGAAGCTGACAATACTGTGATTGAGCCTGTGGCTGAGCTTGTCGTTCCGGAGACTATAGCTGATCCGGACACTGATCCGGATGCTGTTGAAGCCCCTGAGCCAGACGCTGAACCGACAGTTGCGCTGCCCGACGATCCAGATGTCGCAGTCGTAATACCAGAAGTAGTGGGGCTTACCGTGGCCGGTACGCTACCTGCAGCTATGCAAAGTACATTTCCAATCTCTACGTTGTAGCAGACCTCATCGATATATGGGTTCAACTTCCGTAACTGTTCGAAGGTGATAGCGTATTTCTCAGCAATGGCGCCGCAAGTGTCGCCTTTGACAACTTCATACGTCTTTGTGCAATCAGAGGGTGCTTTAGGATCCGTGGGAGACTTGGTCACAGGATTGCTAGTCGCCGGTACACTATCTGCAGCTACGCATAGGACGTTTCCAATCTCTATGTTGTAGCAGACCTCATCGATATATGGGTTCAACTTCCGTAACTGTTCGAAGGTGATATCGTATTTTCCAGCAATAGCGCCGCATGTGTCGCCTTTGGCAACTTCATACGTCTTTGTACAATCAGAGGGTGCTTTAGGATCCGTGGGAGGCTTAGTGACGGGATTGCTAGTCCCCGGATTGCTCGTGCCCGAGTTGGTGCTAGGACTGCTCGTCCCTGGGTTGGTACCCGGGTTGCTTGTGCCCGGGTTGCTTGTGCCTGAGTTGTTCGTATCTGGGGTTGTGCCTGGGTTGGTGCCCGAGTTGTTGCTCGTTCCCGGGCTGCTAGTACCCGAGTTGTTGCTCGTTCCTGGGCTACTGGTGCCTGGGTTGCTTGTACCTGCGTTGTTCGTACCCGGGGTGGTGCCCGAGTTGGTATTCGGAGTAGTGCCTGAGTTAGGAGTAGTACCTGAATTGGTATTCGGAGTGGTGCCCGAATTGGTATTCGGAGTGGTGCCCGAATTGGTATTCGGAGTGGTGCCCGAGTTGGTATTCGGAGTGGTGCCCGAGTTGGTATTCGGAGTGGTGCCAGAGTTGGGAGTAGTGCCTAAGTTGGGAGTAGTGCCTGAGTTGGGGGTAGTGCCCGAATTAGGGGTGGTGCCTGAGTTGGTACCCGAGTTGTTTGTACCTGGAGCGGTACCTGAGTTTGTGCCTGAATTGTTCGTATCCGGAGTGGTGCCTGAGTTGGTACCCGAGTTGTTTGTACCTGGAGCGGTGCCTGAGTTCGTGCCTGAGTTGGTGCCCGAGTTGGTATCCTGGTTGTTTGTACCCAGAGTAGTGCCCTGGTTATTCGGAGTAGTATTCTGGGTGCCCTGGTTATTCGGAGTAGTATTCTGGGTGCCCTGGTTATTTGGAGTGGTGCCCTGGGTGCCTTGGTTGTTCGGAGTAGTATTCTGGGTGCCCTGGGTGTCCTGGTTGTTTGGAGTAGTGTTCTGGGTGCCCTGGTTTGGAGTGGTGTTCTGGGTGCCCTGGTTCGGGGTGGTGTTCTGGGTGTCCTGGTTCGGAGTAGTATTTTGGGTGCCCTGGTTGCTCGGAGTGGTGTTCTGGGTGCCCTGGTTTGGAATGGTGTTCTGGGTGCCCTGGTTTGGAGTGGTGTTTTGGGTGCCCTGGTTCGGGGTAGTATTCTGGGTGCCCTGGTTGTTTGTAGTAGCGTCCTGGTTGTTTGGAGTAGTGTTCTGGTTCGGAGTAGTGTTCTGGTTAGGAGTAGTGTTCTGATTCGGAGTAGTGTTCTGGTTCGGAGTAGTGTTCTGGGTGCCCTGGTTGTTCGAAGTGGCGCCTGAACTGGTATCGCCTAGGTTAGGGTCGCTGGGGACAGTACATACCCATTGACCCAATGCCAGGTTCGTGCAGTCTTTGTTGACTCCCGGGTTCATGCGTAGGAATTGTTCTATATTGGCAGAGTAAATGGAGCAGTCACCCGACTGCCACATATTAGCCTGGACACTCGTATCGCAGGTATACGCCTTCATAGCGGTGGATGGCGGGTCGACACAGATAGTTTGGCCAACTTGTAAGTTTGTGCATCCACTGTTGATGCCCTTGTTTTCGGCTATTACTTCTTCGGGTGTAAGGTTACTATTTTTTTGACCGATGAGGTAACAGTTGTCACCAGCGGCGACCATATAGGTTGTGGAGCAATACGGAAAGTCCGAAGTGACAGTCTTCGCCAGAATACTGTTTTTGCTGAGAAGAGTATTGGGCTTCAAAAGAGTGACGAGGCTGTTGACAAGAGGATCTACCAGCGGAGCTGGCATGGATAAAACAAAGGTGCTGAAGAGCAGTTGCAAGAGAACAATGCTCCAGCATGCCCTAGAGCACAGTCGCCCAGGGCTGCCCATGGTGGACAGCTTTCTGGTATAACCGGGTGCAACAGACAATTTGGTCCCTCACACTAAGTGAACGGATAGGTTAGGGGATAATGAAAATAAAAATGACAAGGCGTGCCAGTTGAGAACCAAAAAGAATGGAACAAGTGGGCCGATAATGATCGAAAAGCCTAGCGAAGCCGAAGTGTCGTTTGCTGAAGACGAGAACATCTTCGCCGGGTGATCGAGCCTTTTGTCTTGCACCTAGTCGGCCCGTGGCCTGAGGAGTGAGGATGTATTGTTGACGCGAGGGAATGAAGGTTCTCTTGGTGTTGGTCTTGGGTCGGACCAAAGGTTCAAGCCAAATGCTTGGCTCTCCGGAATCTCTCCTTGGGATTACTGTATCAAAGGTCTCGCCAAGATTTTTCGAACATTGGAATTATGGTGCTTTCCACAATGCGATGGTGAGAAGCTTCTGTGTCCAAAACTGTTGTCAGGCTCGCCACGCGATCGAGAGATATTGGCGACTTTTGGAAATCATCAACCAAAGTTTGTAAGATTAGTTTATGAAAGAAACCATGTCCCCGTAATTTCGTCTCAGATGCTTGCGGTACAGCCCTTGGGAGTCAGCGAACCAAGCGCAAGCGCATAATGTTTACCGGTAGCCATCTTGGCTTGATCTGAAAAACGCTCGGCAACCCCTCAACACCCGTTGGCAATAAGGAGGCACGCGTATCTTGCTGCATTCTTGAGCTCTTCTCAATCTCGAGCGGACAACTCGGCTGCTCCACTGTAACATCAGGTTGAGCGAAGAGCGCAAGGTCGTGCACTCCGTGTGGAGCCAGCTTCCGCTCTATAGAACATTTTCGCTTGAATGGTTCGCATGGGCAGTATTGTGTCCGAGAATGTTCCCTTGGATTTTGATAACTGGTCAAAACATTCATATACCAAATCGCCACTTACGTTTGAAGCCGCCAATCCCATCAGGGTCTGATCGAGATCCGCACGGCAGAATGTGGCAAACTGGCTCGTGCCGTACTTGTTTCAAGTCTTCTCCGCTGGAGTACCTCAGTAGTCCAAGCCACTCCTTCGACATGCCCCGTCGAACCCGCTATTGTCTCACCGGGTTGTCAGTGAGTATTCACAGGCTGCCACAAGCCGCATTCACATTTAGTTCGTCTATCCATGATCTCGGTTCATAATCCATGATGTCTGCCAGCACAGGGTTTCTGCAGCCAGCTCTGACCGTCCTGCAAGTACCAGTACAGACGGAGAGGGTGCAGTGGGAGGGTTTCGACGGGAACGGTTGGTTGGAGGAGCAAGCAATGTACTTTCGGCGACATCTACAACTATGTATAAACGCGTTAGCCAGAAAGTTTAGTCCCATATAGCCACCTTTGCAAGGTGAAGACGAGTTGGGCGCCAATAAATCTGCGCAATAATGAGCTGCTTCCAGGTTGTGGCTACCCCGTGCCTGTCGCTGAGCCTGCTCGACATCTTTGATGACGGTCAACGCGTTGCCTGGGCGCGTCGGGGTAGTACGCGACTATGGGGTTGGTGGGCAATGAAAAAGGGCCATGTCGCGCCATATCGTGTTATGTGGAAAGCTTCATAATCAGCCGACAGTCAACGGTGTAGGAGTAGGACCACTCTGTTCGTGGATATTTGTCTTGGTCGACAATGAGGTGAGTGGTTGTAGTTGCGACGTTGTTGATTAGTGATGACGCTTCGGCCCTGGAGGGTACTAGCGCGCCATCCTGGCACCCCGCAGGTCGTCAGGTCGTCTACAGCTCTCCCTCGCAAGCTCGCATCATCGTGCATTAACCTGAAGCCTGCCCTCTGGAACACGCTCCCACAATCCCGAGCTGCCATAAATAACCGACAGGATGGGAGGCAAAATTGATGTGTATCTGGATTGCGGTACGTCTTACATCCGGGTAGCTCGGTAGTGTATTTCGGACCATAACATGGGAGGGTATTGATGCAGTCTCCCAGTGTCACCTTATTCATACTATGCACTCCTTCATCTTTTGAGGAACAGGGAGGTATTGGCCTCTCATGGGGTTGAGCTTGAGTAAGTATACAATTTGCTTAGACATGAATTCGACCTCTGAAGCCGAGAAATTGCGGTCTGTATTGCTGCTCTTTACACTGTGGCCCGCCCCATCTCATATCTCTCCTAGCGACATGTATTAGTCGTCCGAGTATTCTCGCTGACCCTGTTCCGCTAGATTTCACCCGGTATTTCTTGGGGGCATAAATGTAGGGAGTGGTGTGTCGTCACCCTTCGCTTTCATAAACCAATGTTCTGACGATGAAAAGGAAACAAGCCTCCATGGACTCTGCCAGCCAAGGCTAAATATGGCAAATTTGACCATGAGCGAGCCAGGGATTATTTCGGTTGTCCTGATATCCAGACACCTTCGTTTTTCCCCATTGTCTCGTTGCTCGTAAGTACCACATTAGCCCTTCACTCTCTTTCCTCAATACCTGGCTGACCTTAATCATTCTTTAGCCTCAGAGGGCCATGACCTATATAAAGTTCTCCACCTCCATACCTCAAGAAAAGTACATTGCCAGCTTCCGCGAGTTATGGATTGCACTTTGGGAGCAGCAAATGGATCTCAGCAAACCACAATGCTTAGTGGAAACACTGCGACGTCAATTCTCCGCTGAGGAGGTTGAAAAGATTATGGAAGCTACCAAAACCCAAGAAATCAAACAGAAGCTCATCGACACAACGCAGCAGGCACTCGACCGAGGAGCGTTTGGATGTCCATGGTTTTGGGTCCGAAATGAAAAGAACGAAGAGGAGCCTTTCTTTGGAAGTGATCGGTAAGTGGGCCCCTCCGTCAACCGACAAGGGCGAGCCGAGCAGGAGGACTGATGTTAAGGAGCAGTTTTCATTTCATGTGGCGATTTCTAGATCTACCTTGGAGGGACATCGAGATCGTAGCGAAGAGCAAGGGAAAGGCAAAGATCTGAGACGCGGCCGAAAACATGGATCCACTGTGGCGACCAGCATACCGGAGACTTTCCGTCAGGTTTCTGTCTCCTGACCCTTAGCGTTTGACAGAAAACGTCGAGGGGCTCTTCAGGCAGTACACGAAACCTTGTCTCGGGAGCTCGGGAAAGATCCGACACACGGAAGCTATATTGCCTGGAATCGGGAGTTCTTGGGAAATCCATGGATCTGAGTTGTGTCAGGCCGAAACTCTGTAGTATGGCAGATATTGCTCTCGGTAAAGGACTGGCAATTGGAGCCAGGGTATCGCAGACAGCAGACTACTGACTTTAACCGCGTTGGCCCTAGCCTGCATGCCACTGTGGCCGTTGAAGTTATTCGCACTACGCTGCAGCTGTAAAGTATGGTAGCCTAACGGGCCAGCCCGGCGCAGGCACCGCCAGACTTATCAGTGCAAGAGCAATGATGCAAGCCACCAGCACCCCCTTGAACATATATCGCGACGACAGCGTGGGCACTCCAGGTTCTATCATACCTCACTCTGTGGGCAAACGCGCCGTACTCTCGGGGAAGTCTTCTCGCAGCGGTTCCCGTCGGAACCTGCAGGCACCATTGCCGACCGGGATGAGTAACAGGTGTAGTCTCGCCATTCATGACGCCAATTGTTGTGACACGCTCCAGCTTTTCAAGAGCGAGCGGGGATAGAGGGGCACGCGCAGTTAGAACAGAAATTCCGAAAGAGGCCCTGCGACGAAGGCTGCACATAACCGAAGGGGCACGAAGGATGCATACCTCCATGCCACGACATCATCTCAAAGGTTGACCGAGTAGGTGGAGGCACTGTGCGACATAAGCTGTACGGAAGTGCGGCGCTGCAGCTTGTGGTGCATCGGTGCGTGCGTATGTGAGAGATGTGATGGATGCCTTTGCCCTTTGCTGCTTTGTCGGACGCCGCATGAGGACGAGATTCTCAACGGCATTTCAACGCTCGTACGACAATTACTTGGCATTGACGGAGCATCTTTGACCCGCCGATGGAGCCCCTAGGCCGCAGAACATCGGTGAGCACCGCAGCTTGATGGCGATCTGGCGAGACGATCGCAGCATCTACTCGTATCAGACCTCCTCTGAGGGCGGCACCCTTCAAGGCGTCAGGATGGAGAAGATCCCCGTCATGAGAGGGGCTGGCCACGGCAACTAGTGTATGTGTAGGGCTCAAGAGAAGTACCTCCTGCGCAAGTGCCCTCCAGTCGGCAAGGACGGGGGCAGCTGTACAAACGCCATCCCGTAACGTGGCCGCAGTTGCGGGAGCGCACATCCGCACACCCGCAATACTATTGAAGTAGCACCACTTGGTACGATGATCCCGTGCTCCCGACGTGGGGATGTAGTCTCCCGCAAGTTAGCCCCTTGCGAGCCCGGCTGCAGGCCCCACGTCGCTGCATATCTTCATGGGCCAAAGCAAATCCAGGTGCGGCTTCTATCCGCGCCAGAGATTGGGCGGCGTTGGCGGGGTTGTCATGTCGGCACAATTAGACCCTTGTCATTTCCTACGTTGCTGTTGGCTCCCAGATATCATGAGGAGCCCTTGAATTGGAACAGCAGGGCTTTTCTCTTGCTCTTGGCCTAAACCAATTGAGCATTTGTGCAGTCAACCGGAGTTCTGGTGTCCCACGATTGATCAAACAGTCCTGACATGCCTGCGTTGCTGTCAATGGTTAATGCCTCGCTCAGTCCGCACCTACTTGATGCATAGCAGGGTGGGTCTACACCATTAAAAATGACAAGCCACGTTCTTTGTTTACTTCCCGTACTCGATTGCGGCTGTACTGGCCTGGTCAAGCACAGACACGCCAAATAACCCCGTTGGTACATGGGGCGCGATTGACCCGCATCTTCAAACGGGCCCGTGGTGATCTCCGCTTTGAGATTAATCTCGACGCGGATATGTCTTAGAAAGCCAACGGCCTGCCCGCCACTACCGCAAATCTCCAGATGTCGTCGCCATTCCTACGTGCCGTTAGCTAACCGCAACCGCACACCTTGTTCCTTGGGTGGTCATTTGTCTCTACGCGTTGATTTCAGCTCCTTTTTGTACCGTTGTCCATCCGGCGGCTTTCTCTGCTTCTTCTATCGTGCCCTTCTCCTAGTTTCCTCTCTTACTTGTGGAATTTGTTTGTTCGTTCAACAGGGTGTTTCTGTTTTCAACTAAACCGCCTGTTGTTTGATTTCTAAAACAGTTCAATCGACAACCACTGACCAAACAAACCAGCTCTCGGTGAGAGCTTTCTTCGGACCTTACCGGCTGAGCCTCAGCACTCTTGACGCCCGACAGCCGAGTATTTGCACTACCCGAGCAAAGGTACGGGCCGATGTCACGGACTGTTACGAGATACACTACTGACATGCAAGCCAGCACCCAATCTTGGAACTGAAGATAACTTGTACCTACATTTGCTTGTATTGGATATTCCAAACCAAGTAAAGTGTCTCTTGTGGATTTGCCCTGAATCACGGTTATTCCAAGGCCTGTAGTGCGTTCCTCTAGTCATACCTAGCAGTGTGCGCATCCTCTCCGAAAACAGCCATTTGAGTCGGCCAAGGCATCATCTGAGAAGGTGTGCTGCTTGCCGCCATTGAAGTTACTACATCCTTGGAACTTACCGTCGGCTACAGCTTTACCGGTTTTTGAACGAGGCGGTCAAGACGGACCAGGGATTTGGTCTGTAAAGACGGACAACACCATCAGACAGGAACATGTTTCGTATGCAACAATCCTAGCTGCACCAACATCCTGCTCAACCTACAGCGATAGAGCCCACACAACCAGAACAAAGAAACAGCATCCCTCGTGAACCGGCGGTGAAGACGCAGAAGTACGTGTGTTCCAAATTTGGCGTCTGATTCGGCATTCTTGACGGGAGGTTGTAACGATGCATCAGGGAAGTGAAAGCTCCACGAACAATATGGTGTTCCAGCGACGTTTGCCCTGGGGTGGGCTACAATCGTGTTTTGCCTTTCCTCGTAAGACGTGCACTACGCAACTCCATCATCCTCAAACGACTCGCAGCCTTCGAACATCTGGGACAAGGCAAGGAACAATGACAAGTTCAGACTGGAATGTAAGTAGGCTGCGGCGATTGTGAAACAGCATCCTGACCTTTGTTAATAGGGATTATTCAGCATGGGTGTTGACGCTGTCTCCGACAACACAATCGCGTCAAACTCACTCACTGACTGCAGCAACACTACTGCCCAACAACAGGACTTATCGCTCTGGGACATTCCGCTGTCCAAGTACGAGGGATACTATGATGCTACTAGCAACTGTTATCCAGTTGGTCCGGGTGACCAAGTGACGCCACAAAACCTGCCAATCGCGCCGCAGAGTTCTGGCTCAACGATGAACACCACCGACGATGGAAGTTTCGCTTCCTGGCCTCAAACAACCTTCCAGGACATGGCGATGTCAAGTATGCAGCCTTTCGCCGACCCTACTTTGCATTACGCCGACCACAATCCATTTGGGTTCAACTCTGCTGGTCAGCATCAACATCAAACTCAGACTCACTCAGCGCTGCCGCTTTCCACACTCCCCCCTGTCCCTGCCACAAACGGTTTGCCCGTTTACGACTTAGATTGCGCAAACAATGGCAAACAAGGCAAAGACGAGACAGACATTTCACTAGTCATCCCACATGAGTTACACGACCCTTATTGGAATTTCTTCAACCCTGTCAACGACAACAACAGCGTGTCATTGCCAACATACACGGTTTCTCAGACCCATTCCAGTGAAGGATATCAGACATCTCAACTGTCAAACTCGATGCTCTGTCAGAGCAACTACAACAACTATCCCATTCCAGAGCCGCTTCCGGACTGGCCGACGATGAATACTTACAATGGTCTCACCAGCCCGAGCGCGAGTGAGAGTGCGTCGCCTATGTCAACTGCGGTGATGTTAGATGCCAAAACTAGCTTTGGAGCTCACAGCTTTGCTGGCAGCATGGACTCAAATTCAACGCCATTGCCTGCTTTGACGTACTCACAAGGCTCACCAACCGATCTTGAGGATTCACCTCGCACGAGCCAGCACGAGGACCACAACCAGCAGCAAGGTCAGCAAGGCAGTAGCAATGACCAAGCAAACATAGGTCTCAGTCTTGAACCCGAAAGACATCGAGTTCTTCGCAACAACAGAGTGGATGTTGGCAACCATAAGTCCAGCACTGGAAGGACTCGCCTGTCGCGCATCAATAGCGCACCCAGTACCTGGCGTCTAGTGCCCACGAAGACCAGTGCATACTACACTACCCACCGACGAAAGAATCCCAAAGATGCCTTGTTGGTTGAATGGAAGAACGCCGGTCTGAGCTACAAGCAGATTCGTGAGAGAGCAAGCTTTACGGAAGCGGAGAGCACCTTGCGCGGACGGTACAGAAATCTGACAAAGGCCCGAGATCAGCGGGTGAGGAAGCCACTCTGGCTGGCCGAAGACGTGAGTTCTGTCTTTTGCCTATCGTCTTCGTTGGAGATTGAACCTCATGATTACGGATGAGACTGACTTATCATTAGATCCGCTTGCTTAAGGAGGGACTGAAGTTCTACATGGCCGGTTCGATATTCCCTCGTGCGGACCCCACCCAGATCAACGTCGAAGACTTGAACATCGATGCTTCAAAGGTGCCGTGGAAGAAAATCGCAGAGTATATTGCGAGCAATGGTGGTTCATACCACTTTGGCAATGCCACTTGCAAGAAACAGTGGCTCAAGATCCAAGGGGTTTTGTGAAGCCTTTATCGTCTATGCCGGACATGGCTTTCCGGTTCCGTCCCGTGTGGCGGTCTAAACTGGGATGGTGCTAGCCATCATCCTGATGTGGTATCGGGAATTCCGTTGAATCGGCAGCCCGACAGGGTCTAGGGGATAGGTTGGTCTCTTTTTACTTTCTCCATTCAGCTTTTTCTTGGCTTTAAGTATCCGGGGTTTGTCGGTACGTACTTTGGGGGATACTCATTTAGAATAAATAGCCTTGCGGCATAGCATCTGGCGGAAGCACTGGCTTTTGGGCGAAACTTTACATAGCACCTTAGATAGCATCTGGTCGGCTCGTTTGTCTTTCGTTTTCACTCACACACACACACACACACACTCTCTCTCTCTCTCTCTCTCTCTCTTTGTTTGTAGCATAACTACCTAGCGAGAAGGGCGACAGCAAACGGTGCGGCTGAGCGGTCCGCGCCGTCTCAGCAAAGTCCGCGCCGTCTCAGCAAAGTCCGCGCCCTGATCCACGCCCTCTTCCCCTTCGTCATAGCTGCAATGCACACAACTACCTCGGCGCTCTGCTCCCTACTCTTCCATTGATGTTTACTCTACGACCCAATCTCTCGCGACTTGCTTGTGGATACCTTAGAAGCGCCCTCCGCCCGTGTCGCGTTGCCGAAACCAGACATCACTCCACCATGCGCCTCAGCATCCCTCAACCGCTCCCCGAGCTCGTGGAGAGCAAGTTCACCGCCGCTGAAGCATCCAAGACACTCATCTTCTCTGCCACCGATGTCTGCGTGATCCGCACCACGGCTGGGATACCGGTGCGTAAGTAGCCGCCGCCGCCGCCGCCGCCGCCAACCCGGCACACCGCTCTCCTCCACGCGGCAGCCCGCAAATAGCCAAGACACCACACCCCACCACACCGCCGCTGACATGCCAACCGCAGTTCCAACTCCGCTACTGCCCCGCGCTGGCCAAGAAACCCAAGTCGCAGAATGATGACCCGCAATCCACGCCCAAGAAGAAGTTCGACCCGTTCGAGACGCCGCCGGAAGACCTCTTCATCGCCGACCTGCCGGGCCCCGACCCCGCCAACGCGTCGCACATCCTCGTTCTGAACAAGTACCCCGTCATCCGCGACCACGTCATTCTCGCGACGAAGCAGAACAAGCCGCAGACGCACTTGCTGGAGTCAGATGACCTGGCCGCGACGTACGCCGTGCTGCGGGAGTGGGACGAGCAGAAGACGAGCGCAACGGGCGCCGGCTCCAGCGCCGGTGGCCGTATGTTTGCCTTCTTCAATAGCGGAGAGCACTCTGGCGCCAGCCAGCCGCATCGGCACATACAATTTCTACCGGTAGAGCGCATGAGCGAGGGCGGGCAGACGGCAGGCTGGGACCTGCTGGTCGACCAGATTGTCGCTGCTGGCCAAGGTGCGTACCTGGTTTCGGAGCGGTCTGACATATCGCGCGGCTGCTAACATGGCGCAGACTCCAAAGACTCAAAAGACTTCCTCAATAACCCCGCACTTCCCTTCGCCCACTTCGCGTCCCGCCTCCCGCCGAACCCCTCCCCGGCTGAGCTCCACGCCGTCTACGCCTCTCTCTACACTCGCGCTCTCGAGTTCGTTAAGAAACACATTGCGTCAGCACCGCAGTCCGCGTCGTTTACGCTGCACTCTACCGAGAACGGCGACGCGGCCATCAGCTACAACATGGCGATGACAAGAGACGCGCTAGTCATTGCGCCCAGGAGAAGCGGCGGAGATGTGCTCAAGGGCTCTGATGGCGAGGAGCTTGAGATGGTGGAGCTCAATGGCACGATGCTGGGCGGCACGCTGATGGTCAAGGCGCAAGAGCAGTGGGATTTGCTGAGGAAGGATGAGAGAGTGCTCACGAGGCTTTTGGAGAGCGTGGGGCTGCCGTGGGGCAAGGGGGAGGGAGAGAAGCAATGAGTTAGAATGAAAGATGGCGCGTAGATAGGTGTGTAGATAGGTCAGGAAGGTAAATACAGCGATGAACTAGTGGTATGTCCGCTAAACAGTATTCATTGACTGCTCCAGCCTCGGCTTTCAGACTGTATCCGACTTTCCTTGAAGACTACGAACGTTGCACAATTGCTTTATTGGATACATACAAGGTCTCTTTTTGCTCTCTGCTTCCATCATCACTTTCGATCACCTTATTCAATTTCATCACCATGTCCATTCAACTCCATCAACCGTCAAATCTGACACGTCTCATATTGAATATCGACATTTCTCCACAAACCCCAAAAACGCTACAAACCCCCACGCAAGCCAAGACAGCATCAACAGACGCATCCACCAACCCCTCAACTCCCCGCGCATGACCAGACCCATCACGCACCGTCAGGCCGCTCAAAGCCGCGATCGCGATGCGCAGCAGTCAAGCGCGCGATCGGGCTCACACGCTCGCACTCACCTGCTGGCAAAGTCCAAGCCCAAGCCCAAGCCAATACCAAAACCAATACCAGCGAAGCCAGGATACAACACGGATACGCAGAGGGCAGCACACAGAAAGCGCAGGAGAAAGCGGGCCTGGAGGCGGAGAATCAATAGACGGTCTGATGAGAAAGCAGGCGGGCTAGGGCTCGCGGGGCATGGGAGATCTGCACATAATCAATCCGGTGCCGTCGATCGCCAGGTTGTTGCTGTTAGTGTTGTTATCTGTGCGCAATAGGCGGTCGCCCGGACGCCGGTCGCTGGTCTGTGGTCTGTGATCGACTGGGTGGATTAAAGAGGAGGCACGAGGGGGGATGTTGGATGCGGGAAGGATTGCGATGATGCGGATGACGGTGGTGGTGATGATGATGATGGACAGACAGCAGCGGTCGTTTTTTGCTGGTGCTCGTGCTGGCTTCGTCTCGTCTTCGTTGCCCGTTGCTCGCTCGTCGATCTTGAGGTCCCGCATGACTGTGGATGACTGCGCGCTTGCTTCATCAATTGATGCGAGAAAAATCCATCTCCATCATCCAACACATTTCCTTGCAGTCGGCCCATCCAGAAAAAAATAAAAAAACCACCACCACCACAAATCCCAGCCCCCAAACCCCCATATAGCAAAACCCCAGCCCCACGCACGCACGCACGCTGCACGCACTCAGCACGCACGCAAGCCCTGCGCCACTCCCTCTCGAGCCCCAAAAAAGCAAAAAATAAAGAAAGAAAAGACGGCCCCCAAACCTCCATACATAGGTATGTACCTAATGTACGGAGTAGGTCTTACACACACGCACACTTACACACACATACCTTGCACGCCTAGGTATCTACCATGTACCTACACATCACCCCTGCCCGACCCGCACGCCTGCTCGATGCCCGCAGCCTCGCAACAAACTACAAGACCGTACAAGCACCTAGCAACCACAGCCTCGCCCTCCTGGGCACATACTACCAAGCTACTAATCCCCCCACTTAGCTAAGCCAGCTACCTACGTGCCTACCTAGCGCGCGATCCCCACGCGCCCACACCCACACCCACGCCCGCTCCGTGCAGCACCACAAGCACACGCACCATCCCAACCCATCCCAATCCATCCCAAACCCAGCAACCCACCACCACCACCACCACCACCACCACCGTCACGATCAGCGCCATCCTTCCCAAACCCGCCCCGCCATGCCCCCAAGCCCCCAAAACGGAAAAAGATTAACGACCCTAAATTCAAAAAACAAAAAAGTAAAATAAAAAAATTAATGTGGCCCCTCCCCTCCCTCCCTCCCTCCCCAGTATGTACCCACCCCTGCCCCTCCCCTGCCCAAGCGCGCGTGTGTATGAGGCGTGCGTGTGAGGCGCAGACGCTGACGTCGATGTGAGATTACCTTTTTTCTTTCTCTTCCCTTCTTTTGCTGGTGGGTTTGTTCGTTTTCGAACTAGAGTAGGTACTGACTGAATACCAACAGCTCGTGCTCATGCTTGTGCCCGTGCTCATGCATGCACTTACTGAGCTATGTACAGCCTACAGCCTCCATAACATAAGATAAGTGGGTTAACGTGGCGGTCAATGATATGGACGGGCAGTGAGAGCCTGAGTCTGAGTCTGGTTGAGGAAGGGAGGGAGGGGGACTGAGTGATGAGGCTAGCTGGCTTCTTCTTGTGTGTCGTGTTTGCGAGCCTTGTTGTTTGTGCCCTGTATGTGTACCGTTTCCGTGCCTCGGGCGTACAGTAGGTGCCTTAGGTACAGCAAGTCGGACAAAGCGACAACCACAACCACAACCACAAAGACGGCGACAGGCAGATAGGTTCTCATCGTCAAAGACAAGCAGCAGCATCGCTCGTAGCAGCAGCAGCAGCAGCAGCGCACAAACACAATTCTTTTTCTACACCTAAACCATGAACCATGAACCATGACATCGGATTCATCATCGACGACAAAAAGAAATGAAAACAAAGAAACAAAGCAAAAAAACAAAACAAAAAAACGCCATCAAGATCTGATCGGATCTGCACATGATGTATGTGATCTGCGTAAATACCGCAAAAGACAGCTGCAGCTAGCAAGCAAACAAAGAAGAAAAGAAAAGGAAAAAGAAAAGGCTCGAATGCAGCGAACGCAATGGGTATCCCTCCAAGCAAGCAAGCAAGCAAGCAAAGCATCAAACAAACAAGCAAACAATCAAATCCGTCAATCCGTCATTCCATTATCCCAAGAAGCAGGCGCATGCACAACATCAAGCGCCCACGACGCCACCAAAAGCAGCAGCAGCGCCAGCACCACCAACGCCAACAACATTGTCCGCGCCCTCCAAGCACCACACACCCTTGTCCTCCTCAGGCATGGCATGCAGCGCCTCGGCGCGCTTCAGCGTCTGCACGTCCAGGTCAGTCACGTACTGTTTCCCGTCGCCGCCCGGCAGGCGCAGCCGCACCTCAAACGCCTGGTCCAGCATCATGTCGTCCTTCCACAGCCGCCGCTGCCCGTCGTACACGCACAGCACGCGCTTCTTCATCTTCATGCGCTCCGTGCTCGCGCCCCACGACACGGGGTAGTGCTTGCGCTTCTTGCGGGCCGACGCCGAGAGCGGCACCCCGCCGCGCGAGTACGTGAGCCCGGGCTTGCCGTGCCGCGACGATTTGGGCGGCGACGTGCTGTTGCTCTGGTCCGTGGAGCTTGATGAGCTCGACGAAGTGTTGTTGGTGTTGTTATTGTTGTTGCCACCCCCGGCGTGCTGCGCTGGGCCGACACCCCGGAGATGTGCTGATTGTCAATGCGAACCCATGTTGCGCTTCTTGCGTGGCCGGCAGCCATAAGTGTCGTCGTTGGCGTCGTCGTTGTCAATGTACTCGTCCTCGTCCTCGTCCTCGTCATACACGGCCGTCGTGTAGTCCGTGTCGTGCGGCAAGCAGTGCCTGTCCAGCGTGGCCTTGACATCCTTGTCATCCGCAACCGAAGACAGCAGCTTCTGGTTGATGGCTTCCGAGGGGTCTGCTTGCTGCACAACGCGCAGCACACAGTCGTCGAGATGCTCGTAAAACTCTTGCGCGTTGGCAAAGGTGACGGAGCAGGTGGAACAGGTACCAGCAGAGCTCTGCGTCGAAGCGAAGCCCTTCTTGGCGGACGAGGGAGACTTCTTGCGGCTATTGGGCGGCGTCTGCTCGACGCCGTGCACCGAAGTCAAGTGCCGCTTGAAGACGTCAGCCCGGTTGAAGCTCTTCTCCGCTGCGGAGCCAGAGCCTGGGCAGAAGCCACACACCATCGTGCCCTTGTAGTGGGTTAGCGTGTGGCGGTTCTTGTCATATTTGCGTGCGAAGCCCTTGAGGTGGTACTCGCAGCTCGCGATGGGGCACTTCTCGGGACGCTCCGTTTGGTGCGTCAACATGTGTGCCTTGAGGTCCTTGAAGACACGGCCACAGCCCTCGATGGGGCACAGGCCCTTCTCCTTGGTCTCCTCATCGAGCTCGAAACTGCCACTGCGCCGGCTGGTCTGGGACTGTCGCGAGTGGATCGAGGAAACAGAGGGTCGGCGAGCGGTGTTGTAGGCAGGGGGGTATAGTTGAGAGGAGTAACCGCCGACGCGGGGCGACTGGCTGCCAGAGCGCTTGAAGCCCCTTGAGCTGGAGATGCTGGAGATGTTGTTGCTGCGGCTCGAGCTGGTCGACGGTGCAGGTGACGGCGGCTGCTCAACGAAACTCTGGAAGTAGGGGGTGTTGAGGTTGTCGTATTGGATTGGTGATTGGAAAGGATTGATCAAAGTGGGGTCTGCCAAAAAGTACACGTTAGGAAAAGCGTCCATGTTGCTCGAGTATGTGAAATGCTTGAATGGAAGAGAGAGTGCGAGACACGTGGATAGGAAACTGAAGAGCAAGGAAACCGACAAGCTGATTCCGTTGGAGAAGAAGAAACGCCAGCGTTGATTCGCGAACACGTAGGGACACGAGAGATGACTAGGGACGATGACGGTTGCATGTTGACAGCTGAACCAGCTGACGTCCCGGTGGGGGCGGCGTTAGACGAGGCCTGGTTTGATGGAGCAGGATTGCGGCGCGGCCAATGGGAGCCTGCCCCGCGCCCTTGGCTGTGATAGGAAGGAGAAGCTGACGGCGGACTAAGCGCGGCCATGGCTGACGCGGGTGCCGTTGGGGTTTTGAAAAGATCGTCCTCCCGAAAGGGGCTAGACAGGCGTGGGGGTTTGGGTGCATTGCTGACACCCGGCGAATCCGTGGGCCGGTTTGGGGGAATGGAGTGTTGACTTGGACCGGAAGGATTGGAAGTGGATGCTTGAGAAAACGGGTTCGAAGTGGGGAAAGATGGATTGCGAGAAGACGAAGCTCGCGAATGCGAAAAAACATTGTGAGACTCACCAACACAACCAGTGGACATCTTTTCGTTCGCCGCGATGCCGTTGTATGTGAAAGCAGAGAAGGGCTCGCTCTCAAGAGCCAGGCCTTGGCCGAGCCCCTGACCCACGACGCTCCACGGCTCGAGGAATTGGTGGTTCATTGATGGCGATCCGACGGCCGAAGAAGAAGTGCTCTGTGCGGAGGCGGTGGACTCTGACACGGTAGAGAGCTGCGGCGGGCATTCGAAAGACTGTGCGCCAGATGCCGGCGATGCCAGAGGACTGAAGGGGAGGTGGTTTGCCTTGAACGTGTACATGGAAGACAGATCCTGTGACCTGGGGACGTGGGAGAAGGCGTGAAGCGAGGCGTGAGCATCATAGGTGGTGTAGGAGTATGAGGTCGTGGAAGGATAGTAAGACTCTTGCGAAGGGTAGAGGTCAAAGTCGTTGGAAGGCATGGTGGGCGGATAGTCGGAGTAGGGCAGCATTGCTGAGGAGGGGAGAGAAGGCGGGAGAGGTAGTGAGAGATATAGATGCCAAAAGCAGAGGCAGTTAGCATTGGCTGATCCTGCAGGAAGCGTGGGAGGGGCTGTAAGGCCTAAATATACTAAGTGGGCAGCGAAAAGTTAGGGCATCGTAGGAAAACCCGACAGCGTGGTACGGCGGCGGAAGGATCAACAGGCGGGTGAAGATGGCTGGCCGTGTATAGTGAACATTGGCAGCGGCGTTGGAGGCTGCGCAGAGATGCGGTGTGGCCGGGTAAGCGCCAGGGCCGCGGGAATGGGCGCCAGACCGCAAGCGGGAGGGAGAAGCGAGGCGAGCGCCCGAATCAGGAACGTGTCTGGGGGAGAGGGATGAGCGGTGCCGCCGCTTCGGCTTCAGCATTTCCCCAATCAGGCCGGCCACGAGCCCCCCGCGTACCTTGCACCACTTGCACACCGCGTGCCCCGTCCTCGCGGATAGGGCTGATGCCCTCCCGCCCTCCTAGCATTCCGACGCCCATGTCCCATGTAACGACTCCGACCCGCCGGTTATTGATCCTGCTTGCTTGTGCCCCCCGCCCCGCCAGATCTGGAGATTGCAGTGTGTCACAGCCACATCCAAGTCCACCGCCCAAAAATAGCCCCCCATTTTTCGCATGTACGTACTTACACCTGCCTGCATATCCACCGCCTCATCCTCACAATAGTAAGAGCCGCAGATGGCAGATGCCGTCATTGTCGTTTCAAGTTGTGTGGGTGAGAGTGAGAGCGAGAGAGCGTATCATGTCACTCACCCCACCACTCGCTGCCTGCGTCTGTCGTTGGTGCCTGACCGCTACCGCGCAACACGCAATAACGTAACTACCCGAGATAGGCAGCTGGCCTGTCTCAGGGCAATTGACCGTGCTTGCTTATTCCTGTGCCGTGCGAGAGTGTAACTTCATTGCCCCAGGCTCCTGCTTGGCATCTGTATTGCCTCACCCGCCCGCCGCCTCGCTTTCGCTTTGGCGTGCAATGGTTGGTTTAAGCTCGCCGGGGAGTCGTGGTGACGGGCCACGCCGCGCGCGACCCTCTGCAATCTATCTGCCGCCGTCAATCTCAGGGGGAGCCCACGTTCTTTCCGCGATCGTCCCATCCCCCCTCGCAGATCGATCTACACGGGCTGCTACCCGTAACCCACCCCACCCGCTGCTGCTGCTACTGCTACTGCTACTGCTACTGCTACTGCTACTGCTACTGCTACTGCTACTGCTACTGCTACTGCTACTGCTGCTGCTGTTGCCGCTGCCGCGCATTGCGTGCTGCCATGCCGGCGCCAACGGAGCAGCCCAACCCTGCCTTGATTGCGGCTCTGCTAAGACCCGCGTGTATCCTCTGCCAAACAACCCTCCGCCCCCGAAAATGAAGGATTCGGAAAAATCTCCGGCGTCGAAAGCCACCGTCACCACCACCATGGCCGTCATATGCATCCCCAACGCGAGCCGCACGGTCGCCCGACTGTCCGTGCCACGACGCAGGCCCGTCGCCCAGAGCGTACTGTGGGACAACGGCCGCCCACCCAACGTCGACGAGCCAACGTCCGAGTCAGAGCAGCAGCAGCAGCAGGAGGAGCAGGAGGCTGGCCTAACGGCCAGGCCCCTACGCCCCACCGGTCGAGAGGCGTCTCGCCGTGCCGCGGCCGAAAAGCAAAGCTGGTGGGAAAAAAAAGGGAAAAAAAAAAAAGGAAGCCGTTGGCAATGATCGCAAGACGGCTCCTGACAGCGCGAGCAGCCGTCTGCGCACGCGTATCTGCGGCAAGTCCCACGCGAGCGCAGGGCGCCAGATGCATGATGCGTCGATGGGAGTGATTTGCTTTGTCCCGCGGTCCAGGACATCGGGGCTGTGGAGAGCCTGCACGCCTCTTTGTTCTACCGACGCATCGAATGGTGGGAGATGTCTAGATGGGGGAGCCGTGTGTGTGAGGGAGCGGGTTTGAGAGGACAGGAGCTGTGGTGCGACCCAGTGAGAGTGAGTGGTTGATGATCGAGGGAGCGAGTCAGAGGTCCCGAGGTTGTGTGCGTGTGTGCGTGCGTGTGTGAGTGTAAAGTGTGTTGTGTTGGGCGCGCCTCGTCATCTCTCTCTCTCGGTCCTGGCACCAGACCAGGCATTCTCCGTCGGAGTGCCCGCAACCAAGGCCCGCGCCGGGTCCGCGCCACACCCACCCGCATTCCTCGCTATTCCTCCGCCCGCGCCCAAACGGGCAACGCGATCGGCCTCGCCTAGCCGCATCCCCGCATCGCATCCTCCCGCTTTGGGCACTGCTCGGCCGGTCCGTCGCTGGCGACGCTGGCACCGCGTGCGGACGTGCGTTCGTGCGTGCACACCAGCGAACGCCAGAAAAGCAGAGATTGGGAGAGCCAGACAGATACGAGTAGCTGCGGCGATGCCGTATGGTGGGGTGAGCCCCAAGCGCTTGCCTGCTTACGGCTTGCTTTTTTGTCTGAAAGCGTTTGCCTTGTTTTGCTGCCACTGACCTGTCTGCCTCACGGCCTCACTAGCTAGTACTGTACACTCGACTCTTCTCCTGCTGTCGCCGCTACTGCTGCTGCTACCGCTGCCATTGCTTGGTCCGGCACCCTCCGCGCTGCGCCATGCACCAGACGCCAAACGCCTGTTAGCCCAAATCAGGACCGGTCGGCGCCCAAAGCCCCCTCCCACCGTTGCGTCTAGGCCTAGGCCGCCAGGCCGCACAGGCTACTAGCAGCAGGAGGCAGTCGTTTTGCGGTAGGCCATTCCCACACGAGACAGCTGCGGCAGCAGGAGCGAGGGGGGGTTGTCGCTGCTAGTGCAGCGCCGTTCGGAATGGCCTGATGTTTGAGAGTGGTGTTGAGGTCCTGGAGAGGCCGTGGTTGTCACGAGGACATGGTGTGCGTGTGCGTCGACGGGGCGTTGATATTGGAAGTGAAATTGGGGCAGCTGGGGAGGAGCTTGAGGCAAGTCAGTATCCTTCTCTGTCCTGCGTCGGTTTGCTCTCTCCAATTTCCGGCCCCCGCCTCGCTCCCCACCCCTATTGCTCTCACGCCGATCCCTTGCATTCAGGGTCCACTCACCGCAATCCGCAATCCGCAATCCGCAATCCGCAATTCGTAGGAGCGTGGGATAATTTTCTACCAGCTCTCTCAGTCAGCGGCTTGTTCGCAAGAGAGCGCGTGCGGCGCTCGTTGCGCAAGCTAAGACTCGAAAGCTTGGGCTCAGACACATTGCGGTCCTGGCGGCCCTGCGGTCCAGGCCGCGAAGGTGCACGCGCACTTGCGACTTTCTAGTTTCCTTTTTTTTTTTTTTTTTCTAAAACCACCCATGTTTTGCACTGGGTTTTGCGCGCGCCATCAGGCAGACGGGCAGAATGCCGCGCAAAGTGAGGCAGCCAGAAATCAGAGGAGGGAAAGCAGCGGGCGAGCAGGGCGCACTGGACTCGACGCACCCTTGATGCAGCCGCAATCACTTGCTTCGCGCTCGCATGCACCCTAGTCGCCCAGCCTATAGAACTCACCATCGCGCAGGCTTGACAATCACAGAGAGGGCAAGTGCCGAGTCGCCGACTCCCGAATCTGTCAACACCAGCTCACGCGCCGCTCCATACTAGGCAAGCCGACGCAGCCACGCCCATGAAGTCTGCACCGAAAAGGTAGGCATGAAAGTAAGGGTATGCGTTGGCAGTCGTCAATCATTGAAGACGGTGATGAAAAACCTGGCATGTACCCAGCACCCAGCACCCAGAGTTGCAGCAGGGCGGCAATCCGGCGTGGCCGCGCAGCTGCGACTAACGAACCCGAGCCCGGAGCAGTTGAAGATCCGCAGATCGCATCATGCAGGCCCGAACAGATTGGGACCGCGGCCGGCCGGATCGAGGCGCACACCGAACGAGAGCGCGGAGGGCGGGGGGGGAGGATTTGCAGATGCAGATGCAAATGCAGGAAAGATGCAAGACGTACGCAGACGCCTCGGATGATGAAAGTGATGTGACTTGACTCGCCTTTGGTGTGGCGCGTGGGGGTTGCAGTGAGAAGGGGGCACGCGCTCGCTCACTGCGACAGGGTGCGGGAAGCGAGGGGATGCGAGGGGCAGCGAGCGAGGCGGGCGGGATGGCGAGAAGCTGCAAAAAAAGCTACAGGGAACGAAAAAGGAGAGACGACGACGGAGAGAATCGAAACGTGGGGTCTCGCCTCTGGACGCCTGAACGACCTTCGTTGGTAGGCCTTGCCGCCAAATCTGTGGTGTCTCTGGGCCGGGACCTTGGGCCCGTCTTTTTCCCTTCTCTTCTTTTTTTATTTTTATTTTTTATCTTTTTGGTTTCTTTCTTCTGACGCATGTGCCTACCCGTTGCACGCCTTCGCCCGTCCCGACTGGACGGATCTTGGGTGTGTTTATTTTGGATCGGGACCGAAAACCTGCCAGTCTAAGGTAGGAGCATGCTGTAGCGCGTGAGACTGCACGTGAAGGTTGTTGTTGCTGCTGCTGCTGCGCGGGCCCTGTTTGCGTGCTGCAGCAACAGACAGGCTGGCAGGCCGGCAGGCAGGGCAGGACAAGGCAGGGCAGGACAAGGCAGGGCAGGGCAGGGGGTGCTGAGGAAGTCGCTTGACAAAGATGGGAGATGTGGGAGATGATGAGCGTGCGCGCGAACTCCTTGCTGCTTGCTGATGCAGCCCCCGGAGCAAACACCATCCTACTGCAGTAAAGCGCGCGAACATGACAGATTGACCGGCGCGGGCGGCGGCGCGCGCGCGAGCGCGAGGACCGCTTGGAATTCCACAACACACTAGCACACACACACACACACATACACACCTCGAGCTCGGCCGAGAGAACGAGTGTGTGGTTGTGTGTCGCGCATTCCTAACACCTTCCATCGCGCTCGTTACTCAACCTTAGGCAAAGAGAGGAAGTAAGTCCGTCCCTGCCTCGCCGTGGTGACCCAGCGCTCGAGCACTTTTGCGCAAAGAACCAAGGCAGCCGTCGAGACAGCAAGCGAGCCACCCCAGCACATGCCCCATGCGGACTACAGGCAAGCAGGTCGAAGGGGGCGACGATAGCGCGTTGTGCGACCCCCCCATCGCATCCTCGCGCGCGAGACGTAGGTGCCATGTCAGCATCGCCGAAGTAAATTATCTGACCTCCACGCGCGCCCCCGCGGCTGGCCAATCGGAAGCCTGCGCGCCGAACTCCCCTTCTGCCCTTCCCCCCTTGGCCCTGATGACGGGCATGACACAGCGGCAGCAGGGGCAGCGGATAGGTTGGCGGCGGACAAGCGGGCGGTACCCTCCTAACTTCCGCGGCTTACTTGCCTGCTCACCACCACCACCATTACCACTATCATCATCCACCGGTCAGGAGTGGTAGGCTGTCAGTCTGTTGTTGGTGTTTGCGCGTGTGCGTCTGCCTGTCTGTCTGCCTGCTTGTCCGCCTGTCTTCCTTCCAGGCACCAGGAACCGCCGAACAGGTTGGCAGGCTGACTGATACACAGACAACGTAAGCTGGTGTAGCCCGCCCCCCGACGAGAAGACGCGGGTATTGGCCCTGTCTCGTTCTGGCAGTCCTCGTGTTGGTCAAGTCATGCATCCATCCCTTGCGGACGAAGAGGATGGGCAGGTAGTAGCATAATTCGAGGACGAAGGTGGCAGGGGCTGCATGAATGATTATGATGGGGTTGATTCAGTGGAGGCAAACGAACGACGAGGACGACAAGGAGAGATTACAGGGTATACGGGATGCGGATTGGAGGTTGGAGGTTGCAGGAGGCTGAGGCGGATGGCACTGCAAAGCTCCTTGAATGGTCATCGGGTAAGTCACTCTGCCGCCATCAAACCTCCGACGTGTGCATGCCCAGACTGCACAGGCGACAATGACATGTCCTAGAATAGCAATGACCGGCAAAGGCTCGGGTGCAGGCTCAGTTGTGCGAGAGGGCGAGAAAGAGAGAGAGAGAGAGAAAGGAGTATCGAGAAGCCTCCTCTCTGAATCTGCCCGTCTTCGCGCGCTCTGTCTCTGCTTGCCTTTCTTACACGTTAGCAATCTCCTCTCTCCATCCCCACCCACCGGGCGCCTCTGCTTCGAGCATTCGCATCCCGGATGCTTCGCATATCCTGATGACAATCTCGCGTACGGCTCTGACCTCGTCGGCCGTGGCGCCGTTGTTCAACGCGCCTCTGAGATGCCCCTTCAACTGAGGATTGACCTATGTTTCGTATGATCAGCCACGCGACGCCCTTCCCGGACTCCAAGTTCTCCTCCCCCTCAATCCACTCCGATAGGTAAAAGCATATACGCACATCCTGCGGTATCAGTGCGGCAACCAACACGAAGCTGCTGTCCCGCGCGTCAAGCACCCTCTCGTTGCTGAGTAGATACCCATACACCAGCCTGCCCGTCAGCCCCAGATCCTCCGTGCCGGACCGATCCATCTGACCCATCACCCGACGGGCCACCTTGCCGTACACGCGCTCGAAGTACCGCTGCCCCCGGCCTAGGATCTCCGTAGGCGGGGTGTCGTACATCTCGGCGCGGCGCTGGGTGGGCGACGGCGCGCCGGCTTCATCGAGCAAGTACTCCGGTGTCATCGCCTTGAGCGCCAGCAGCGCATTGATGGCCTGCGGTGGTGCGGTATGCCGTGGTCAGTGGCCGCGTGTGCGTGTGTGTCTGTGGGTGTGGCGCGCATGCGTGCGCGCAGCGTACCTTGGGCACACCCAGCACGGCGGCCGACTTCACCAGCCCCTCTCTCATGCGCCGGGCAATGCGCAGCTGCTCGGCGGCATCTTCGGCGACGGCGGCGGTGGTGGTGGTGGCTGAGCGCTCGTGACGCTCTGGCGCTGCAGTGGGTGTGGGCGCAGAAGTGGTCGTGGGTGCCTCGGCGCCGTTTTCGAGCGCGTAGGCCAGGACCTTGGGGACTTCGTCAGGCCGGTTTAGCGCGGATAGTGTCACGCCCGTCACATAGTACCACACGTGTCGGGGCAGATGCGGTTGGCTGCGGATGGAGTGGACGAGAGCCGGCGTGAGGATGGTTGGGAGGTTGAGAGGGGGCATCTCGTCTTGCGTGGTTTTGCGGAGAGTTTGCGGGGATGCGCGGGCAGGCAACTTGAGACGACGCGATTCGTGACGTACCTAGCGCGGAAGTATAGATATGCACGTGTGCCATATATCAAATATCATTGAGGACAAGGCGACTGTGCAGAGTTTTGATTGACTTTCTAGGTGAAGACCTTTCTATCTACTGCGTATGCACATTGACGGCCCCGCTGTCTCAAACGGTCCTCGATGCACACACAAACTATGTAGGAAATTGGGGCCTTCATCAGACCAGCTCGCTGGAATTCCATCCTCCCGTCGAAGCAGTGAGCTAGATGGTTCCTGCATAACCAATTAAGAAGCGTGCGCGTGGAAGCTCCAAGCAACACTCTGTCCAAGCCAACGCCACGCTCCCTATGCAGTATCCCTAAAACCCCTATGCCCATGCATCATTGCCGCGGCCAAACAAATGTACAGTGGTATCCGCGCGTTCAGGTTGCCTTGCCGGAGTCGAAGGCGCTGACTTGCTTCCGCAATTGGACCCAGAAGTCCTGGCCATTGGCCATGGTGTTTGCTAAAGTTTTGTCAGCGTGGACAGCAAGACTTGGACAGAAATCTGCGTACGCTTGCTACCCCAAACACCACCGCTACGCATGGTCACGTCGCCCTGAGGCTTGTAGAGCACTGACTTGCCATCGCCTTTAACACGGTGTCAGTGCCATCTGCCCTCATGTTGACCCATGGCCAAGCCTGAGGAAAACATACCTGAGCCGACCTTGTTCGCATCCTGGTACCCTGTATCAAGCCCCGAATCAGCACTGTAGTTTTCGCTTCAGGAGCGGCAACGGGGTTCGCCCTCCCAAGCTTCCAAGCCGCCAACAAGAAGTACCAACATTTCTTCAAGGTGTACTTTGCTTCCTTGGAGTTGAAACCTTTGACAGGAATGTGCTCCTCTTGGTATCCCTGCGGGCCAGCCGGAGGTGCGCTCGCTCTCTGTCCGGCACCACCTTGCCCACCACCTCTGCCCTTCTGGCCCCACGCATTGCCGGAATAATTGGACATGCCCTGGTCCTGCTTCGAGGTCGGCGTGTTGTAGCCACTGGCGCCGGCAGACCGGTCGCGTGAGTGCGGGCCGCGCTGCTGGTTGTTCGGGCGCTGGGGCGACTGGCGCCGCCATCTGCGGTGTGGCATTAGTGAGCAGAACAGTCGCGAGGGTGAGGAGCATGGCTTACGCGGCGTTTTGCGCGCTCATCCTGGATGGAGAAGGGCGCAGGGCTGGTCCGCGGTGCGTAGGGGCGAGTGTTTTGCGGAGAGCGGACTGCGACAGCTCGGCGTCTGAGCGGACCCTTGTTCGCAACTTCGTCATGCCCGCGACAACCTCCGACCTAACACACCAGCCAACCCCATCGTACCGGGTAACATCACATCAGCACATCGACAATAATGATATATATTTGATTCGCATGGCCCTCGCGACATGTCTGTCTTGAACTGGCAATCTGATATCGCGTTGGCTGGCCTATAATTAATCCTAGTACTGGTTTGACCAATTGCTACCACCTAACCTGACAAAGATGTGCTCAAGCTGAGAGAACATGCTAATTCTAAACTACCTAAAGATTGTTTCAACTCATGGCGGGGGGTAGGGTATTCATTCGGTCCTGCGACTCGCGTTCTTTCAGACCGAATGCAGCTTGCTCATCCCATCCTCAATGCGACTCTTCAAGGCCGTCAAAAACTAATCTCTCTTTCAAAAAGTCACCACAACATTGGCGCGTTGCCATCTCGTCGATGTGTTTTTCCTTTCCATACGTCTTGAGACCCTATTTTTCTATTTGTCTTTACCATTCATTTTCGATGTCATGTTGGTCTCTTACTATATTTTCGAGCGTCTAAAAATTGCCTGTCGAGGCTGTCAATGTTACTGAAAGAGATACAGCTCTTGAAATAACTCTTTGTTTTATAGATCAACCACCGCATGCGGCCATTTTGATTGTTGCAAGCGGCTTAAAATCACAATACAAGCTGATATTCATCACAGAGACTAACAACAAAGATGAACAAGATGTATATCATGTTTTGGTCAAGACCTCCCACCATCGTCTTTCATATTCCTAACCCCAGACCAGCAACATGAACAAGAATAACAACAACATTGTGCCATGCCACTAGACCTTGAATACGTGGAGAAAGAGGAGGATGCCCTTGAGGAATTATCATTGTACCGGGCCTTGGCGAGGCAGCTGACCGGCATTCCAGGGAACCATGAAATCATACGCAATGAAGTCCTGCATCACTTTCTCAGGGTATGGTACAACCCTAAACATCCGCTGCACGGTGATTACCGTGGTATTGCGAGGCGATTTGATAATCAGGATGCTCCCGAGGGGTTCTCCATCTTTCAGCAGCTCTGCTTCCCAGATCGTGCCAACAACACAGGGTGCTTAGACCCAGTCGTTCAAATCATCACCAAAGCACTCCGGATCTGTGTGGAAATATATAGGTTTGAGGCCGACAGGGAAATTTCGTCAAATCAGAATGCAACCAGGGACTTCAATCCTGGAATACATTACCACCGAAATTTTTTTGGAGGGAGCAACTTTCCTATCTGCAGACTCGGCACCGAACCGCACCTTGGGTCAAGTCTAACCTCCATTGTCGAAAAAGAAGACGGAGCGAATTTGATCCGATATATGTTGGATATCAAACAGCAAATCCGAGACAAAAGCCAAAACGGAAATGGCCAGACGTACCAACACATTGAAATCAAGGAGGCACGTTGGTGGTGGGATCCAAAGCATGCTAAACTAGCATCAGATGCTGTTCATTGCTGGAATGAACACGATTCGGTTAGTTACCCTTATCCTCCTTGACTTTGGCTGATTCGGATAGGCAATTGCATCTTTTGCGAACGCAGGCTACCATCATTCTGAGCCTCCATCTGGCAAAACTCTGAAAGAGAATCGTGTATTTTCCAATTTCACGGTGATTGTAAAACGGCCAAATGAAGTCTATGATGCACTCAAACTTCTAAAGGAGGCGTTGAATCGCGCTCCTGCTCAGCGCGTTCCAGTCAACACAGATTTTTCATCGCCCCAAAACAAACGAGAATTACGCCAATACGTCGGGATCGATGCTGAGTTCAAGACTGTCTCAACAACAACAAACCTGGACGACGGCGAATATTTGGTCTCAGTGTTGTCAATTGCAGTTGACAGACACGTCACTTTCATGTTTTACGTCCTCGACATGTTGCAAAACCCCGAAGATGAAACTGTACCTGCGGTAAGCAGAGTTGTGGAGAGCATTTGCAACCCTCCCAAGATCTAACGTCTCTAGCTCGAGAAACTTTTTAAGGAGACCATCTTTGATCCAAATCTTCTGAAAATCTGGTGGAACTTCCAGCTAGACATCTATGTCATAGATACCACTATAGGTCAGTGTTCGAGCATGCATTGTCCGTTGTGTAATCATACTAATAAGCTACAGCGCACATGTACCAGAAAGAACCGCGAGATACATACCATGTAGAAGATCTTCATGGTCTCGTATATCCACTTCAAGAAGTCCAGCCTACGTTCAAGCTCACCAGTCCTTATTTCATGGGCAAGCGGCCAGAAGCACTGAAGTTTGATTCCTCCGATCACGACTGCAAGATGCATGCTAAACGCACCGACGAGCCTACTCTCAACCCTCTAGAGGCATACCCTAGAAATATTGCATGCCCGTGTAGGTTGGGGAATATAGACCTTGCTGCTTTAATCGGTCACATTGCCAGCGACCTCGGAATCGGCCCCGAAGTTAATGTGAAGAAGGTTTGGAGATATCCGCATTTCAGATTGGGATATGCCAAATTTCTGGACACTTTTTTGAGCGGAGATTGGGTACTTCCAATATTGGACTGGTTCAAGGATGCCCCAGCGCGAGCTGTCACATCCCACCATAACCAACGAGCCGACGCGGAAAAGACCGCCTGGTACCGGAGCCTTGGTCCTGGTATGGAAAATGACGCTGACAAATTGGGATATAATATTGGAGATGGTGAGTACTATTGATCCAGACCGAAAACGTGGTAACAGCTGTTCTGACAGGCATGAGTGTAGTCGTCGGTATCACGCTAACTTTCAGGTATTGCGCCCCTCTCAACGTTTACTGATATGTCCTAATAAAAACGTATCATAGATTTCTCACGACGACAGACGATCGTTATCTGTATGTGGAAACTTCGACCTACTGAGCATTTAAACTAATGAGGTAACAGGCTAGCAAGCCGACTTTTCAATACAGTCTTCAATGGAAACCTTCATACGATTTCGAGGGGTAACAGTCAGACGAGTGTAGATCAGACAGTCTACGAGCGCAGCATACCGCTGATTGAGGATAACCCGCGCTTATATATCATGCCCCGAAGAGTTGACATGGCTTATTTTGAGGTATCCCCTTTATATGACGCCCAATGGCTCGTAGACAACTCGTACATGGCACACGAAGAGCGCTGCCACCAAATGAGCAGTGACGGGCCACGATTTTATGCGCAGCCATCTATCGGACCATTTTTTGATCCCCTCCACTTCACCCTCTCGGCCAGCATCTTTACTACCAGCTGTCCCGAACTGCCCGCTGGATTGACGCCGCCCGTGGTACGAAAAGGAAGGTGTTATACCGACGATCTATGCGAATTGATCTGCGACACAAGGCGCCAAAACCTCCAATTCCGTTATGAACGTCCGAAAGGCCTCTTTTCCGCAATACAAGGGCAAAGAGGAGTCTATGGCGCATCATTATGTCACTTTGAAAGAGTCATGGACGCTCTCAACTCAGAGCCTCCTTCAAACCCTATGAGGCCAGCTGAAGAAGACATTCTACACGAAGTCCTACGCAATTACCCGACTAAACTTCAGCATCCACCTCAGCTACCACAGAACTGGGATGGAAGTCAAGATCAGAAATTCGAATCCGCTTCCGGGAGATACTACCACGGATTACAAATAGCGATGAATTCTCTCTACAAAGCGCAAAGGCTTTGTGGTCAAGTAGTTGCACCTTTCGGGAAAGACTTGCTAGACCAAGACGCGTCAGACTATCTAGAACGAATCCGAGCGACTCCAGAATGGAACCGACCTGCCGACTATAATTTGTATATCGACGATCTCTTCAATTACAATAAAACAACCAAGGTGATCAACTTATCCCTGGATGCCATCACGGACCTGTTTTCCGATCTGGCTAGGATTTGCCAAAATTACAATGCTGGCCGGGAAAACTACACCAGGCACTTCGGTCAGGCGCCCCCGCAACCATTCATGTCACAGCTCATACAGCAATTTGGGTCACAGACCCAACCACCACCTAGGCCGCAGCCCATGTTATTCGGGATGCAGACTCAACCACCACCCAGACCGCAGCCCATGTCGCCATTAGGGGTGCGTCCTATGTCGCCATATGGAGTGCAGCCCATGTCATCATACGGGGTGCAGACTCAACCACCACCCAGGCCGCAGCCCATGTCGCCATATGAAATGCAGTCTATGTCTCCATATAGAATGCAGCCTATGTCGCCGTTCGGGATGCAGCAACAATTCGGGCAAGCCCCGCCGCAAGAATTCCCATACTTCTCACCACAGCCACAACCGGCCCCCTACCCCATAACTGGAAAACGCTCTGCTGATTGGGCACTTGAGTGGCCCGCCAAACGTGCCCGTATTGACAATCGCCCATCCTCCGGGGCCCCTGCAGGCCCTCGTGCATTCAACCGACGCAGCAACACCACGGACACGGCTGCTAGCAATTTGGGAGATCTTAGTATCACGAGTACTGGTAGTACTTCCCCGCCTCTTACTCGACAGCAGATAAGGAGCAGAAATTGGAGAAGAGACGTTAGACCGCCGCGGCGTGAAAGGACACCGGAGGAAGAAGATGCCCCAACCCAGACCATCAGTGCCCCTAACAAAATCAATACCAACGTTGTTATAAGGGTAGTAGCTACTTCGCAAAGTGAGGGAGGGGGCGCTACAACGTCCGCAGATAGTGGGGTGGACGAAGACACAGTCGATAGAGGGGCTCCAGGAGCTCCAAGAGGAAGAGGGGGACTTCCAGGGGGTGATAGAGATCAAAGAGGAAGAGGCCGCGGTGCGCGACGTGGCAGAGGTGGACGTCATGGCTAGAGAGTTGTGACTGAAGTGAGGCGAGACTGACGAGTCTTCTGGGATTTTTGTTCTTTGTTTGTTCCTTCTGGTGCTGGAGGTTTTTGTTTTTCTTATTGTTGGTTGGCCTCGTCCTGTTGTGTTTCAGTGCTATTTTCAGTTTACTGCTGGATTTCAGAATTGCTTTCATAGACAGTACTAATACATCTGCTTTACTCAAGCGTAGTGCTTAGTGAAAACCCAGTCATTCCTTTAGATATGATTGAGGTAGGATGTCGCCAGCCAAGCCGCAGAACGCGGGCAGTTATGCCATCACGCGAGCTTGCTTCAGAAGGAGGAGACTCATGAGTTTCGTGAGCTGCTTTTTACCCCAAGCAGCTGCTGCGTCGACGGTATAATACGAGCATCGCTGGCACTCAGGGCTCTCTGCTTCTTCGATTATCCATCTTTCTTCTTCCGTCCTTTTTGCCTAAGCTAATAACAGCTCGCGTCTGCACAAAGTCAACGGTGTCGTCTGATCCTTGCCGTCATGTTGTTCGTTCATTCTCGTTGTGCTGCTCTCGTAGCGGCTACGGCTCTTTGGTTCGGTTCGACAGCTGCACAGTAATTCCGACGCCTCAGAGCTTTCCCTGAGCTCGGATGTGTTTTTCCACTGGACCAGTAAGTCCGTTCACTGTTGATTATGTTGATGGGGCGAATTTCTTGTCCACACAGTATTTCGATATTCGGCTTGAGGTGCATGCACTCGTGTCAGATACAATGGGCCCGTGCCAGGAGTTGTTTAATGGCGGCGTGTATGACAAGGTCGATGTTTTTTTCAAGATGGCCGAGTGCTTGGGAGAGGCTCTCGGGTGAAATGGTGTAGATGAATCATTGCTACCTCAATGGCTTGCATGTCATGTCGGTCCCTGCGAGGTGCGTGCATGGTGGGGTTGTGCTGGACAAATTACCTCAGAGCGCCAAGGCGGCGCCCGACGATGTTTCTGTCCCTCCAGCAGCGTCAGGCACAAAGGATTGTCGAGACACACGACTCGCTCGAACATCCCCACCACAAAGTCTGTACCCAGAGCCCAAAACACCTCGTCGAACTCGCCAGGTCCCTCCTCTCACATGGCCGCCCGATAGCCCGACACACCGAATAGATTTTCTCTAACAAGCTCGCGACACTACCGGCGGTGGAGGATGGACGCCCAGGTACGGCCCTTCCGTCCTGCACCCTAGCACCATGGCTGACACGTGCAGGTCGAAAATGCTATTCAGATAGCCTGGAGCCCCTCCGCCGACTATGAGCTCAAGAACCAGGCCATCAATTTCCTCAACCAGCTGCGCGCTGAGCCCGTCGCTGCCTGGAGCGTCTGCCTCGCCCTGTTCACTCGCTCGCCGCGCGCCGAAGAGGTCGTCCGCCATGTTGCGCTCGAGGTCGTCAACAGCGCCGTCCAGACGCAGCAGCTGGATGCGCAGAGCCTCGCCTTCATGAAGGACAACCTCATGGCCTACATCCGCGAGACGTATACCCAAGGCGGCACCGTTGACGAGGCGCACATACAGAACAAGCTCACCCAGACCATAACGTACCTTTTCACTTCGTTGTACTCGGCGGGTTGGGAATCCTTCTTCGACGACTTTAGGGCGCTGGCTGGTGACGCGACGGCGATTGGAAACATCAACCCCGCGGCCACCATGCTTTACCTCCGCATCCTGGGCTCAGTCCACGACGAAATCGCCGACGTGCTCATGTCCAGGACGCAGGAAGAGTCGAAGCGCAACGTCGAACTGAAGGACCTCGTAAGAGTAAGGGACGCGGAGAAGATTTCGATATCCTGGAGGGAGATTTTGGCAAAGTGGAGGCAGACGGATTTAGGTCTCATTGAAATGTGCCTGAAGACGGTCGCGAGATGGGTTAGCTGGATCGACATCTCCCTGGTCGTCAACCAGGACATGCTCAACAATCTCTTCGAGATCGCTGGCCAGCAAGGCTCCTCCGAGACCCCGGAGGGCAAGGTCCGGGATGCTGCTATCGATACTTTCACCGAGACCGTAGGCAAGAAGATGAAGGCACCAGACAAGATCCAGCTCATTGTTTTCCTGAATCTTGGAAATGTTGTAGGCCAGCTAATCGCGAGCCCCAACCTCGCCGACCAGTCCGTCTCTACTTATGACAATGACCTTGCCGAGGCCGTTGCCAAGCTGGTCAACACTACTATTTTCGATATTGTCAAGGTCCTGGACACTGAAGCCGATGAAGCTGTCAGGCAGCAAACCAATGAGCTGTTGCAGGCCTTTGTGCCATATCTTCTCCGCTTCTTCTCAGATGAATACGACGAGATTTGCTCTACTGTCATTCCCTCCCTTACAGATCTCCTTACTCTCTTCAGGAAGGTCGTTAAGAGCCAAGGCGCTCTGCCGCAAGAGTACGCGGCGATGCTGTCGCCCATCCTTGAGTCCATCATTGCTAAGATGAAGTACGACTCCACGGCGAGCTGGGGTGACGAGGACGACGAGACGGATGAGGCAGAGTTCCAGGAGCTGCGCAAGCGGTTGCACGTCCTGCAGCAGCAGGTCGCAGCAATCGATGAGATGCTGTATATTGACACTCTGTCCAACAAGATTGCTGGCATCTTGAGCAACTTTGATCAGCCAAACTCGGGTATGACATGGCGCGACGTTGAGCTTGCCCTGCACGAGATGTATTTGTTCGGCGAGTTGGCAGTCAGAAATGGCGGCATGTATGCGAAGCGAGAGCCTTCTTCCGTGGCATCAGCGAGGTTGATTGAAATGATGACGAAGATGGTGGAGTCGAGTATGCCCATGTCCCGCCCTGAGCCGTGCTTGCAGATACTGACTTTCAGCAGATGTTGCTGCCACCGACGATTTCCCCGTCATCCCACTCCAGTATATGGAGATTTGCGTTCGTTACTCGGCTTTCTTCGAACAGAACTCCTCCCTCATCCCAAGGGTCCTCGAGAACTTTGTGCGCCTTATCCACACCAGTCATCCCAAGCTCCGCCTCCGCTCTTGGTACCTCTTCTTCCGCTTCGTCAAGACCCTTCGCTCGCAGATCGGCACCGTTTCACAGACAGTCATCCAGGCCATTGGTGATCTTCTGGCTATTAAGGCCGAGCTGCCAGATGACAATGATGATGATGATATGTCTTCAGAGGATAATGCAACCTCTCCGGACGCCGTTTTCAACTCCCAGCTTTACCTTTTTGAGGCTGTTGGCTGCATCTCCTCGCCCCCCACAGTACCCGTAGAGAGCAAGATCATGTATGCACGTGAAGTCATGAATCCTCTTTTCGGACAACTGGAGCAGAACCTTGGACCGGCTAAGAGCGGCGACGAGCGCGCCATCCTCGAGGTTCACCATCTCATCATGGCCATTGGTACTCTCGCTCGCGGTTTTTCGGATTGGATGCCTGGTGCCTCCGGCGCACCTCCAGCCAACGAAGTTTCCGAGGAGTTCGTACGTGCGGCAGAGGTCATCTTGGTCGCCCTTGAATCACTTAAGTCTTCTATGACTGTTCGTACATCCGCGCGCTTCGCCTTCTCTCGCCTCATTGGCGTTCTTGGTTCCCGTGTGCTGCAGCAATTGCCAAGGTGGATCGAAGGTCTGTTGAGCGAGAGCTCAACGAAGGACGAGATGGCCACCTTCCTGCGTCTCCTGGACCAGGTTGTCTTTGGCTTCAAGGCAGAGATTTTTGCCATGCTGGACACGCTGCTCACGCCGCTGTTGCAGCGCGTTTTCGCGGGTCTGGCCGAACCCACGTCGGGTACGGATGATGAGATTCAGCTGGCGGAGCTGAGGAGAGAATACCTTAACTTCCTGCTCGTGATTCTGAACCAGGATCTGGCTGGGGTTTTCATCAGCAACAGTAAGTTCCATCTGCGCCACAACATGACTTTCCATGTTCGATCATATATGGCCGCTTTGAAAGCTAACCTAAGATCGCCGCAACAGCCAACCAGTCGACTTTCGATACCATCATCACGACCATCGAACACTTTGCCCGTGACCCGACTGATTATCCGACCGCGCGCCTTTCCCTCTTAGTCCTCATCCGTATGATTGCCGTCTGGGGTGGCCCTGATATCTCTCTCAGCAACCCCACGCCGCCTGCGCCGGTTCTTCCCGGTTTTGATTCCTTCGCGATGACCCGCATTCACCCGCTGTCCTGGTCCGTACCCGGAACCCCTGGGTTCAACGCCAAGGATCCACAGGCGCGCCACGTTCTTATGGAGCTCGCCGCCATGCAACTAGAAATCCTGAAGAAGACCGGACCTGAATATCTCGAACGGTTGAGGAGCGAGTTGGTTGGCATGGGTGTCGACGCTGGCTCTGCAGATGACTATGCCCGCAGCCTTACCGAGGGGCAGAAGAACGAGAAGGGCTTCAAGAACTATTTCCTGCAGTTCCTGGGACGCGCGATGGGGGGAAGCTGAGCGCCAGGCTTGGTCACGACTTTTCCTGGTTCCTCTTAATTCCCTGGCGGCGCTGACCAGCCACACTCTTGGACGGCCCGCCTCTCTCTTCTCATCAGACGCATTCTGGCCATCATTTACCTAGCATCCTCTCTCCTCTTTGTTTCCTAAGCATCTCTTTCCTGCTCGTCAGCATACCCCCAAACTCTCAAAAGAATTGTCATCATAGCATCAGCTTTCAATTTTCTCATTCATCATCGTTTCTAGCGCGCAACTCTTCGTAAGTGAGAGGAGATTTAAATTCACCAAAGGTCTAACTCGCACACGGATGGAAAAGCAGAGGGGTGGAGTTTGCACAGAGTTTTCTGGGAGCGGTGGATTGTTCGGGAGGTGGTGGTGGTGGTGGTGGTGTTGTTGTTGTTGTTGTTGTTGTTGTTGCGCACGCACGAGCTTTCGTTGCTGCTGCGGGGAGTGGGATGAGGGGTTGCTGTTGCTGCCGAAGTGGTGGGAGGTGATGGCAGGAGAGGACGGATAGGGTTTAGGTGATGGGTGAGGGGCTTGTAGCTGAATAGAGAGATAATCTTTAGCTGCCAGTGTGTGGTTGTGCTGATACTGAGCGCTTGGTGGGGCTAGCTTTGCCGTGGGCGGGACAAGCGTTGTTAATATCGACTGGCTCCCACAGAAGAAGCAAACAAGTACTCATGCATGCATCCTGGCGCCGTACCTGCATATGTACTGTGTCTAGGTGTAACCCATAATGGAACCTCTCCCCTGCTCCGGAACAACAATCACCCTCTCCGCCCTCCCGGACACTCTCACAACAACCCGGCACCCCGCACCCCATAAACACACACCCCACCTCCCCCGCACAGTTAATCAAATCTCCGACCAGTAAGATTGCAATCTCGCATCCAGGGCCACTGAACAGCGCTCTTTCGAGCAAGATCCGACGTCGCGTCGCGCGAGTGTGGGGTCTTCCTCCCGTGGGGCCGTACATGTACTGTACATACTGTACGAGCCGTGTAAATACCACCCCCTGTGGTGTCTGAGCGCCCATGTAAGATGCAGCCCGTATGTTCGACGCTGGGGCGGATTGCCCGATTGAGGCGTTGCCGAGGGAGGCAGCAGCCAAGCGGGTGCCAAGGAACTGTACCCACTGCGCTGACGGTCAGTCATCGTATCACGACCTGACCGCAAATTTGCTGCTGTTACCATTGAAGAGCAATTTTTGGAGTCGTCCGGAGGGAGTCGTGGTGGCTGTGGTGACGGGAACGCGGGGATTCCAGCAGCAAGTCCACCTAGGTAAGTAATTGGATACCCGGGCGAGGGCAGACATCTACTACCGAAATGGACTCTCGTATCTCAGATCCCTCTTCTCCTTGGACGGTGGAGCCGTATCGGAGACCGAGTATGCAGGTCATATGCGATATAAGAGTCGAGTTTTTCCATCCACTCTCATGCTTGCTTGTCCATTTAGCCGCATAGAGATCACCAGGAACACTGACTGGGGTCGCGGTCGGAGGTGCATAGAAAAAGCCACTGAGCCCTGACGATGGCGTAGGTGGGTTCTCTCTCTCTTTTTAGCTACCAGTCATGCGTTTGCTGGTAGTCTTTCTCGGCTTCCTCGTGGCTGGCGCGCAGTCCGCAAGCCTCAATGCCTCTGCGCCTACTGCCAAGGTGCTCAATGGCACGTATGCAGGCCGCTACTTGGCCGGCTGGGATCAGGACGTGTTCCTGGGGATACCGTTTGCGCAGCCGCCGGTCGGAGAGCTGCGCTTCAGGTGGCCTCGGTCGTTGAACAGTTCGTTCTCTGGCGTGAGGAACGCCACTCAGTACGGCCACACGTGCATCCAGCACACGAGCACGCTGGGCATCACGGCCGACAACGACGAGGACTGCCTGAACTTGAACAGTACGGCCGGGGTGGTGTGTTGTTTTTATATCTCGATAACAGAAGGCTGACATGACATGCGCAGTCGTGCGCCCCAGCGGGTACACCAACACCAGCCTGCCCGTCCTCGTCTGGATCTACGGCGGCGGCCTCAGCGCCGGATCGGGCGCCGACCCGCAATACAACCTGTCGGGCATAGTGCGGCGCGCCCAAGACATGGGGCAGCCCATCGTCGGCGTCAGCATCAACTACCGGCTCAGCATCTGGGGCTTCCTGCAATCGCCGCAGCTGCTGGCCGAAGGCAGCGCCAACGCGGGGCTGCTGGACCAGCGCCTGGCGCTGCGCTGGCTGCAAGACAACATCGGCGCGTTTGGCGGCGACGCTGCCCGCGTCACCGTCTGGGGCGAGTCGGCCGGCGCCCAGAGCATCGCGCTGCACCTGTACGCCTACGACGGGCGGGACGACGGGCTCTTTGCGCGCGCGATCCTCGAGTCGGGCGGGCCCTCGGGCGCAGCCCTGTCCCCGCTGGCCTCCTACGCCGCGCCCTTCGAGAACCTCACCCGCAGCGTCGACTGCCTGGAAGCCGAGGACCAGCTGGCGTGCCTGCGCGCCCTCCCCGCCTCGACCCTGCACGCCGCGCACCCCTCGCAGGTCTGGAACCCCATCGTCGACGGGGACTTCCTCACAGCCTACCCTTCCCAACTCACCCCCGAGCGCAAATTCCTCAAGCTCCCCCTCCTCGCCGGCGCAAACTCCGACGAAGGCGCCTCCTTCAGCATCGACACCTCCGTCGACAACGCCACCGCCCTCGCCCACGCCCTCTTCCCCTGGCGCGCCTACGCCCTCTCCCCACCCACCATCCGCACGCTCCTGTCCCTCTACCCGAACGACACCACAACGCCCAAGCCGCCCTTCCACGTCCCGCCGGACGCCCCGCCCTTCCCGGGCCGGGGCGCGCAATGGCGCCGCGCAGCCTCCATCGGCGGCGACCTGGTCATGGTGGCGCCGCGGCGCAAGCTGGCCGAGGCGTACGCCGCCGCGGGCCAGGCCGTCTACAGCTACCGGTTCGACACGCCGCTGTGGAACGCCAGCGCCCAGACGGGCGCGAACCACTTCTGCAACGTCGTCTTCTCGTTCCAGAACGTGAGCGGGGCGCTGGGCCCTGTGCCCGGGTTTGAGTCGTACGCGCTGCTGAGTCGCGGCATTGGCGCTGCGTATGCGAATTTTGCTGCTAACGGGGATCCGAATGCTGCTAGTGCTGCTGCTGCTGCTGCTGCTGCTGCTGCTGCTGCTGCTGCTGCTGGGGAGGGCGAGGACGCGTTGCCCTTGTGGCCGAGGTATGATGTGGATGCGCCGAAGAATATGGTCTTGAATGCGAATGGCAGCTTTGTCGAGGATGATACGTGGCGGAAGGAGGGGATCGCGTTTATTAATTCCGAGGAGGTTGGGCGAGAGCTTTTTTCGTAGGGGACTTTGGATGGTTTCTTCCAGCTTTTTCTTTCCTTCTTTCCCTTCTTGCTGTCAATGGCGGACTGTTTAGGTAGGTAGGTCGTAGTTGTTTGGTTGGCGTGGTTTTTTTCCCGTCATGCTTGTACGGCAGTAGTTTGGCACAGTACGGCTATCTCAACTGAATATCGTGCACAGTTAAGCACTTCATTATGTAGATTTCTTTACTGCGTTGAGTTAGCTTCACTAGATACATCGAGAACGAGCACTTTACATATTGTTCAAACATCATAACCGCTGAGCAGAGCACTGCTTGCACAACTGGAAGCTATGGGTATTTTACTACTAGACTACAGTCATTATTCATACATCATCAAGCACTCTAAGTACAACCCCCGATTTTATAAACTTAACCCTGCATCTCGATGCCTCCGCTGTTGTGAATCACCTCGCCCGTGACGTAGCTACCGAACGGGCTGGCAAGGAAGACATACGCGGTCGCGACCTCGACGGGCATGCCAGGGCGGTTAAGCGGCGCCTGGCCGACACCAAGGCTGTCCATGGATTCCTTGGGGGCGTTTTTCGTCGCCGGCTGAAGGGGGGTCCAGCTGTTTTAAGCGTCAGCGCAATTAATCTCAGACAAGTGTGTTGGGTCTCAAGTCACTCACATGATACCAGGCGCGACAGCGTTGATGCGGATGCCGTGCTTGGCCTGCTGCTGGGCCAGAGAACGCGTAAACGTCGTGATGGCGCCCTTGGTCGAGGAGTAGTCGACCAGCTGCGGGTTACCCATGTACGCGGCGACGGAGGACGAGTTGATGATGCAGCTGCCCCTCTTCATGTGTTGGAGCGCGTACTTGGACATGGCGAACATGGACAGGATGTTCGTGCGGTAAGTCTTCTCGACAACGCTGAGATCAATGTCGCGGAGGTCCTCGCAGATTTCTTGCATGGCGCCTGCGCAGCAGATGGTGTCGTTAGTTCCAGCCTTCCACATTTTGGGTGTGGCCTTGCAAGCAAGCACCCTGGATTCGACCTACTGTTGTTGACCAGCACGCTCAGCTTTCCAAACGCCTTCATGTGCCCCTCGACAGCCTTCTTGCAGTTCTCCTCCTCGCGCAAGTTCAGCGCCATGAGGTTTGCCTTCCTGCCCGCCTTCTCAATCGCGGCCTTGGTCCACTGGGCATCCTCCTCCTCCTCGGGCAGATACACGATGCTGATGTCGGCGCCCTCACGAGCCATCAGGACGGCCACGGAGCGGCCAATGCCAGAGTCGCCGCCCGTGATGAGGACCGCCTTGTCCTGCAGCAGCCCGCGCCCCTCGTACTCCTTCAGGTATGGCTTGCCGTCGTCGGTCCAGTGCTCGAGCTGCGTAAAGTTCGCGCCCGGCTTGAGCTTGGCGTCCAGGCCGGGTCCGCCCTCCTGGTCCTGCGGCTGGAGCTCGGTGCTGGGGTATGCGGTGATGGGCTTCTGTTGCTCGGACATGGTTGGTGCGTGAGGCGGTTTGAAGTGGTATTAAGAAACACAAAAGGTACTAGAGTCTGTTAAGTTAACTAGAGAACTTTTAGAGAGGTGAATTGATAAAGTGGTGAGGCCGAATGGACGCAGCGAGGGAGGAGGATATTTGTTGCTTCCATTGCAGCTTTACAACGTCATAGGGCGACGACCGACATCATTCGTCATCGAGACGGATGCGGACCAACTTGAGAAGTCGCGCGTGGGTCTCTCGACTCGAGCGTTGCCACCTCCGTGGAGCACCGTTGTTGACAGCGCCAAGAGCGCTGCTTCAGACTTTTGCGCCAAGCGCAATTACTGCCCGTAGATTTGGTGTCACATGCGTGGTGTTGATGAGCCAGGGAGCGCATGGATCGTCAGGCCGGGCTTCGGTCCATTCATCCTCCGACCAAAGTCCTAGATTAATATCCAACAACAAACAACATTCTTTAAGATTCGTCTATTTCGTTGACACTGTAGTTCTTAGCCTCTGATGTACTTTTGTTTATTATGGATTACATTCTTGCATAGAGCACTCCAGCCCCACGCTAAACATCACATCCGCATCGACTTTAATCTAAAAAGTACCGTATACAAATCTCCAAAATAAAAACGTATACTGTATGCCTGCTTATATTTTCCTATCAGTTTCTTCAACGTCTCATGGTTGCTGCGCACGCACCGAAGATGCGATGAGCAAAAAACAAAAATGAAGGTCGTGCCCGGGATCGAACCGGGATTGCGAGAATGTTCTGAAGATCAGAATCTCGAGTGCTAGCCATTACACTACACAACCAATGAATCATCATATGATTGTGAAAACAAATTTTCACGTTTTAATCTATATAGTATAATATTTTGATTAAGAAGGCCCAGACCACTCCCCAGGATAAAGGCACTAAATTCCTTCGGTCCCCAGAATCATACGATGTTCTGTCTGTGCGAGAGAATATCATTGTACTCGCTCATATCTCGGAGAAAACTACTCCCCAACCATCTACAGAACAATTCACGAACCAATAGCTCAAAGTATGTAGGCGAAAGCGCTACGGACCCCTGCGCTGTTCCCCTAGTCGGTAATGTCCTCGTTGAGCAGTATTCGTATACCGTCATCAGTTGTCCAGAGAATCGAACCATTCTTTGTCAGAATACTAATCCACGGACTCTTATTAGTGAACACTAAAGTCTCGCCTCCAGAGCTCGACGCCGCTGAAGCCCACGCACGAGTCCCGTTGACGTAGTTGACAAGATTTCCCTCCTCTTAGAAAGCCAGCTTACACTGCTTGCCGTTTGTACTGCAATTGCCAGTGTATCCACCGTAATGCTCCGAGGACCAAAGAGTGATCCATCCCTTCTCTCCATTTGAGGTGTTGTAGACGACCAGATTGTTGTCGTTTTGAAAAACAAATCGTGTGTGTCCAGTCGTAGCGTTGTCGAACCCAGCTATATTGTCTCCGCTGGCAAGGATTTCGAGTTGGCCGGCGCGGTTGGTCTTTGATGCTGTAGCAAGAGCTGCAATGCCGCTGGGAACGTTTTGATTTAGATTGTGCAGCCAGGCAGTTTTTTTTTTTTTTTTTCCACTCACCTATGGTCCCTACCACTGTGCTCTGATCGAGATGTAAGGCCGCCTCCGACGCCTCCACCAATGGCCGCAGCGAGTATGATAAGAATGACAATAGCGGCGGTGATGTAAAAATGCAATGACTTCATGCCGCAAATACGCTTCGATTTATCACCTTCACATGCAGCTGCTGGTGTTTGATAACCATCAAATCTGTTATCGTCCTGAAAATGGTGTTCCACGACGCAGAGGGATGCATCTTGTTGTACTGTAGAATGGAGCCCTTCCTGACCGTAAACCACCTGTAGGCCTTCCGAATCCTTACTCATGTCAGGTATGTATGGTAGCTTCAAAAGACTAATATCAAGAAAGGAAAAATCGATGATGGTCGCACATTGTCTACAAGTGAACCAGCTGAAACTATATAAGCTGGTACAGCGCAAGGCTGTTGAGCTGACGGTGGCGCACTCTGAGGGGCCGAGAAAAAGAAATCGGCACCATTTAAGCCAATAAAAGATTGGCCCCGGTTAATTTCACCACCCCTCTGACTATTTTTACCACTCCACGTGGTTAACTCACGCTGCCAACACGCGTTTGAGTAACCATACAACTTGCTCCGTGTGACTGAAATAAGTTAAATTCTCATAGACCCTCAGGCATAGCCTGTAGAATCTGTTAGGAAGGAAAGTATAAAAGAGAAAAGCACTAAAGAAAAAGGTAAAAGTACGAGACAGTTAAGTAGGAAACGAACATACATATATATATATAAAGCTAAACTAAAGAAGTACTAGCGGTTGCCTATTTTAGGGGGTGGTAAAAATAGGTAGAAGGTGTGGTGAGATTAACCGGCGCCTAAAAGATTGGACATACCACAATGCAACGGGTTGTAAAAATAGTTCAAATTACTTACAGAGCTGAGTAGTGGTCGTATAATTATCCATGTCTGGAGAATGGGAGGAATTGCCGCAATCAAAATCGCATTAACTCTTGTCTTTCGAATGACATGCGCCCCGATAATGTACAGTCATGACTGATTGCTACGTTTGATCTGTGAGGCTTCCGACCGTCAAAAACCGTTTACCATCCGAGCCCTCTTTAGTGTAGACTGTTTCAAAGGCTCATCTCCTTAATCGTTAAGGCAATCAAGAGGCTACGCAAACGCTAGTCGGATACACCAACGAATGCTCTTTTAACGGTCGGAAGTTGCTGACTAGCTCAATCTGTGTTACCGGTATTGACTGTATGGGGACGCAGTGCATAGGTTGTAACAACAGCAGATCCCTACAATACCTCATCATCTGATTCTCCGGGTAACATGTTCCATGATTCTGTGAGTTCCAGAGACCAGTTCGACTCCCAATCCCATAGTTCTCCTGCCAGTGCAGTATCTCTGATCCATTCTTGGCAATCAAGAATATCGCCATTCATCATATGTCTTTTTGAAGGTTCTACTATCACCACGCCGAGTTCGAGCTTATGGTCTGTGACTGGCGTGTCCTCGACTGGGTGAGATACCCCAGAACTCATTCTTCCAGGGGAAAAACCATTCAATGCGTGGTCTGCCGCCACATTGACTATCAAAGTCTTCATGTCGCGTTGGGCGGCTATTGGAAGAATGGTCCTATGAAACGATTCACGATCGAGGTCGTCGGCGCGCGTGAGTACCAGGCAATCTAGCGAACTGAGTTGCTCGAGACTAGGGGCCATTCTGGGATCTCCAAGAGCCACATTGTACAGCGCCAGCTTTTTCAATTTAGACCAACCAGCCCAAACCAAAGTCTCAGCTTCTGCCGGTGGAGATCCTAGGTCAAATACCGAGAGGTAGAGTTCATCCCTAGAGCTGGTGAATTCCTCCAGTGCAGTTAGTTGCTGGAAAGCCGCACGGAGCTTTGGGCGTACGTTTAGATGGTCCTCGTCAGGGTACAATGAACGGAGAGGAATATCGATGACAAGGCGTCTAAGCGTGCCGCTCATGACTGACAATAGTTCGTATGTCCATTGAGCGGTAGGAAGATCATCGATTGTATGCGGCGGGAATGGAGCCAGAAAGAGATTCGTCAGGCAGGGCGCCAGGTCGACATGCGGCAGAGTTGAATCCTCGGAACGCGACGAGAAGGCATGAAGAGTAAGCAGGAGCCGTCGGAGCCGTTCGGCGGAGTCGATGTATAAACAGTGCTGGAAAAGGCAGCGAACCGCAACAGTATAGGTAGCCCTCGAGACAAGGGTGAAGGATAAGATGGCGCGAACTCTAGGGTCTGAGGGGCATAGAGCGACGGCCCTTGATGGACGGAGAGATTCCAGCACGTGAAGCCATAGTTCCGGCGGGAGCGTGGTCATTGTTTGCGGGGGAGAGATGGTCTGAGCTGAAAGCCGGTCATCCATGCCTGGGTTTAGTGGAGATCGATCTTATCTATCAGATTAGATGGCGCGCGCGTTTTCTACCGACGACGCGCCCGACCCGACCGCATCGCCGCCGCCCGCCGTTCAAAGCAGCTGCCACCCTCACCCACCTTCCTCCTATCGCAGCTGCTAGCCGAATACCACGGCTTTCTTCCATCACCATGTAAGCAAGCTCCCCACCTCCCAACTGAAATCGCCGCCGAACATGCGCAAGAGCACCTCTAACGCTGCCAACAGGTCTGAGCCTCTAAGAGAAAGCTTCGAGGGCATTTACCTTGACCTGTCCAGGCAGCCCGGACGCTGTCGCTTCGCTGAGTCGGGTCTTGGCTGGAAGCCCTCTGCTGGCGGTGACACTTTCACCCTCGACAGCAACAACATCACCCAAGCGCAGTGGAGCCGTGCGGCACGAGGCTATGAACTGAAGGTCTACACCAAAACCTCAGGTGTCATACAGCTTGATGGCTTCCAGCAAGAGGTGAGAACACTTTACACAGACTCTTTCAAGCTAGCGGCAAGCTAATGTGCCCAGGATCTCGACCGTCTCACCAAATTGTTCAAGCTCTGGTACACGATCAACCTCGAAAACAGAGAGCACGCGCTTCGTGGCTATAACTGGGGAAAGGCTGAATTTGGAAAGGCTGAGTTGACCTTCAACGTTCAGAGCCGCCCTGCCTTCGAACTCCCCTACTCCGAGATTGCAAACACAAACTTGGCCGGAAAGAACGAGGTCGCCGTGGAATTCTCCCTCCCTGCCAATGGCGAGGAGACTGGTACGAATGGACATCTTGGCGGAGCCAGGGCCCGTGGCAAGAAGTCGGGCGGTGCGCGCGATCAACTCGTGGAGATGCGCTTCTACATACCAGGAACGGTTACCAAACGGGAGAAGAAGGAGGACGGCGAGGAAGTGTCCGACGGCGACGAGGAAGAGGAGCACAATGCTGCAAGCCTTTTCTATAACACGCTGATCGAGAAGGCGGAGATCGGTGAGGTTGCTGGAGACACATACATCACCTTCGAGGACATCTTGCACCTCACGCCCAGAGGTCGCTTCGGTCTGGACATGTACGAGACCTCGTTCCGTTTGCGCGGTAAGACGTACGACTACAAGATTCAGTACGAGGCGATCAAGAAATTTTTCGTCCTTCCCAAGCCCGACGACATCCATCAGCTCATTACTATCGGTGTCGATCCTCCCCTTCGACAAGGTCAGACCAGATATCCGTTCATCGTCATGCAGTTCAAGAAGGACGAAGAGCTGGACGAGGCCGTACCGTTGAACATCGAACCGGAAGTGTTGGAGAACAAGTACAAAGACAAACTTTCGGCCACATACGAAGGTCCTATTTACAGAGTAGTTGCACAACTGCTTCGCGGTCTTTCGGGTCGCAAAACTATCGCACCATCGAGGGATTTCATCAGTCACCACGGCCAGAGCGGTATCAAGTGTTCAATCAAGGCCAACGAAGGACACTTGTACTGCATGGACAAGAGTTTCTTGTTTGTGCCCAAGCCAGCAACCTACATTGCTTTCGAGCAGGTCTCGGTCATCACCATGTCTCGTGTAGGCGGCAACTTGTCGTCTAGTCGTACTTTCGACATCACCGTGACGATGAAGAATGGATCGGAGCATCAATTCAGCAATATCAACCGGTAAGTGTTTGGTGCATAACCAATACAGTCTTTTTTTTGTTAACATGTTGGGATACAGCGAGGAACAGCAGCCCCTGGAAGACTTCTTCAAGATCAAGAACCTCAAGACTAAGAACGAAATGGCAGACGAGGTGAGTACCGATTTGACGGGTGACGTGAGACGAGTGGAGCTAACGCGGATTGCAGTCTGGGGCGCTGCTGGCGGCGGCCTTGCAGGATGATGACCTTGCGTCGAGCGACGACGACCAGGTGGCAGCGACTCGCGGAAGCGCGGATGAGGACTCGGAAGAGGCGGACGAAGACTTCCAGGCCGAATCGGAGTCGGATGTGGCCGAGGAATTCGACTCGGCACACGAAAGCAGCGGCGGGTCGTCGGACGAGGAGATGGCGGACGCCGACGGCGACGCGGATGCCGACGGCGATTCGGACACGGCGGAAATGGCAGAGCGGCCGAAGAAGAAGGCCAAGCGTGAGGATTGAGGGGCGTGGGATGCACGCGCCGGGGACAGGCGTTTTGTTTAATTTTCTATTGGGGCGAGCGTTAAGGAATACTAGTAGCTAGATGCCCAAACAGGCGCGGTGCATGGACGCCCCGCACTGGATTGCCGCGCCGCCGCCGCACGCACGCCCATGACTTGTGCTCGTCACCTCTCCACACGCAACTTGAGAACGGCTTCGCCCCAGCCGGAATGCGCTTCGCCTCGCAGGACCCCAGGAGCGTGCGACTCTGCCGACACAAGGACCGATGAGGTCGCGCACGGGTTGGTGAGAGCTGCCTCTGCTGCTCGCGACTTTGATGGCCCGCCTGACTGACTTTGTCGACAGTGCGACCTGCCGCCGACGAAAGCTGAAATGCGACGAGAGGAAGCCGGTGTGCGGGCCCTGCAGCAAGGCCAATCGCGAGTGTGTCTTCAGCTCCGGCCTCATCTTCCGCCACCAGCAGAATGCTTCGATGAACGGCGGCCTGGACGGCGGCGAGGCCAGCCTTAAGGGTTTTTTCGCCTACAAGAACACCTTCGACGAGAACACCGTGTGGCTGGACATTCCGAAGCAAGGTCGGTCGCCTTGTCGCGGGCGCTGGCGGATCCTGGGCTGACGGCTTGCAGTGCAATTCTGGCATACGACGGACCCCTATAACGAGCCTCTGTCGCCCGAGGCGGCGACACCTCCTCCCGCGCTGCCGACGTCCGCGCCGCCTCGCCCAGATGCCGCCCTACACTGGGCGCCACATGATGCTTACCCCCCACACGACAACCAGCCCCCAGCCCATGGCCTGCACGCTTTGTCCGCTGTCGCCACAGGCGATCATTTCGGATACCTGCAACACGCCGCGCGGTCAGACAGCACCCCGGCTTCGAGCACTCATGTCCCTCCCATGCATCCGCCCACACCTCGCCCTCGCCCTCCTATAGCCTCAGTCGACTCTCCCATCTCCCCTCCTGTGTCGATGACCTCCTCGAACCATAACATTGACTTCATCCTGAACCATCCCGCCGCCGCTTCTCCTCCAGTCGACCCTCACCTAAACTCACCATATGGCCCTTCGCGCGATGCCGTGTCTGGTGTCAGACCGCCGAGCTCACGCTTGTCCACCACCTCCAGTCAAGCTGAAGGAAGCGTCGAATCCGACCATGAGATTACCTATCTCTTGCGATACTATTCAGAAGGGCCCGGGCAATGGATGGATCTGTTTGACCTAGGCTCTTACTTTGGTTCATATGTACCAGTCAAAGCGCATTCAAATCCCGTGCTAAAGTATGCCGCCGCTGCTTATGCCGCTAAAGGCCTTGGACGCATCCGCGGGAAGAGGCCTATTGCAGGTGGAAATGGAATACGCCGCGCCCGCACGGAACTTTACCCAAACGCTCATTCCGTAGACTGGTACCACAAGGCCGCAGAATACTACGACCACGCGGTGTCGCTCCTCCGCCAGGCACTTCAAGAAGATTCCCGAGGTAGTGCCGCGCCGGAAGGCCAATGGAGAGGTGGCGACCCTCCAGACAGGTTGGGCCACGCAAAGCGGCGCAGCGTCTCAAGCATATCCCCCTCACGGTGCAATTCGGATGAGCTGCTTGCCGCTACGGCGATTTTGTGTGTATATGAATTCCTCGACGCCTCTGGTTTGGAGTGGTCCCGTCATCTCAATGGAGCCAAGTCTCTCATCGACATTGCCAAAGACAGCATGATGCCCTTGCAGCTTCCATCGCCTGGTATTCCACTCCAACAGCAATCTCCCAGGCTCTCTAAAGCTAGAAGAGCTACGTTCTGGAATTTCGCGAGACAGGATATGCTTTCTGCATGTAAGTTTTCCCTCAGCTCAGCCCAACTTCGAAGCCCCAACACACAACGTTATTCGACTCTCCGTGTAAACTTCTCTTCTTAGCAAGGCGGCGTCAGCTGATTTTTTCAGTTATCAATGTGACTCAGACTCGCCTTGACACGGAGGATCTTCCAATGTGGAGAGATGCCGGCCTGTTCATTGATGACAATGGATTTATCCAGATGGGCGAGGTAGCAGCCAGTGGCTATCCGGAAGGCGACGACATCATGAAGGAAGACATGATTGCCAACGCTCTTGTCTGGCTCATGTCTAAGGTGGTTAATTTCATGGCCGCGGGAGACGAGCTCCCCCAAGATCCTGGTTCTCCTTGGCAGACGGGCGTCCCGCAGCGTACGCTCCTTGATTACTGGATTTACCTCAACCGCCAGTTTCAGACCTGGTACGAAGGTCTCCCTATAATCTTCAAGCCGTGCGCGCGAATTCCTCCGTCGCGTATCCCCAACGCTCTCATTGAAGACGACTGCGACTCTATACTTTCAGAAGTTTGGTACAGCCTTCCACTCTGTGCTTCAACCATGCAGTCATATCACATGTCGCAAGTGCAGTTGCTCTTGAACAAGCCGCAGGAGACAACCCAAGGGCGGTCGACCGTCTATGACCGCTTCAACTCATACGGATCTACGGTCAATGAATGCCAAGCGCACAGTCGTGAGATCCTTAGCATCGCCCTGTCTCGACCGGACGCCAGTGTGCGCATCCACTCAGTGCAGCCGCTGTATACGGCCGGCCAGTGCGTTCAGGACCCGCGTGAACGCAGGCTGGTCGTCAAATTGCTACGAGATATCGAGGCTGATACTGGCTGGGCTACGGAGTATAGAGTGAGACAACTGCTGCAGCACTGGTCTTGGAGCGAGGCCGATGTCCCTTGAAGCATCTATTGTTCTGAGCTTTTGTTCTTGGCGACGGACAAGGGTGTTGCGGCTCTCTGGGACTTGCCTAGAAACGCCTTGTTTATCAGACTCCTGCAAACTTCCAACAGGGTCAACTTGCTGACAGCAAGGCCTGCAAGAGATTTTCTCTGGTCAAACCAAGCAAAGGACGCCTACGGCTTAAGTACCAGCCATCCTTTCGTCTGTTCGCCAATCTGCCACACATCTACCAACGCCAAGACGCCAATATGCCCGGACGTCGAGCAGGCAAGCGAAGGAGCGCTAATAGACGCAAAAAGGTCCTTCCGTTCAGCCATGAGCACGACCCTTGTTCAACATCTGTCACCGTTATTGCAATCACCGACACGGCTCTTCTTCCAACACTAGGAGTAGCAGCAGTAGTAGTCCATCAGTTCACTTCTCTCTGGCGCACGGCGTTCGCGCCTGCTATCTCATTACGGTGCGAACCCGCGCCGAATCAAGGAGAACGGCCGTCATCGTTTATACACCTCGGCTTTGTCGCAGCAGCGGTACATGGTGTATCAGGAGAGGCTTCGGCAGATGGGACACTGCGGTGACAAAGCAATGCGCCAGACCGGCTGGCGAAGGAGATTGGAAACCTGTGCAAGAAGTTTGGTGCGGACAAGGAACGGGAGTCCATCTGCGGGAACAAGTTTGTCAGCCTGGACAACAACAGCCTTCAAAATGGTGGCGTGCATGCAGGAACAGAAAGGGGAAGCAGAGATCGAGAGATGCCGGTATGATGGCGCCGGTGACTCAACGCTCTGTTGTCAGGTTTGGCGCCGCTGAGACTACAAGACAGCTGTCCCTGGAAAAATAGGTTGGGAGATCGGCATCGGGGATGCCATGGGATCTTGGGTGAGCGGCATGACGATGCTACCTACTCTAGAGTAGTGCAGGACGACGGTAATCGCCGCGCGTATCTACCCGCACAGCCGTACCTTGACGGTCCGCAGTTCTTCCAGCATTCGCCCAGCAACAGCAAGCTTGCAAGTGTACCTTTGGCTGGGCCACGAGTATGCCCCTCGATTTCAGGGCTTAGGTTGGGCTCGGATAGCTCGGGTGCTCTGGTTTCACGGACACGAGCGGTGGGACGGATGACGGGATGACATAGGAGAGACGATGGGCTGCAGGAGCTGTTACGGCGCGAGCGCACAGAATTGCGTGTATGAGTAGCGTGAAGTGCTTGATGGCGTATGTAGGATGCGAAAAGGGCCTGTAGAGTACAGCTAGGAATGGTAGCACGTTGCACAAGGGTGAAACGAAAGCTGACGGGCATGGGCGATGTGAATCGTGGATCGGAGGGAATGTGTTTTGGCGTTTGGTGGTGTCGTTCGTTTAGCGGCGGATTGATTGGAGATCGACGGGAATGTCGATGTGTGGCTGCATCGGTCGCCGATAGGATTTTGGGCGTGCGAAAGGGGCATTTGGGATCTCGATGATGGAAGAATGGATGTCCGATGAAATAGTGAACCAAGATCTCGACGACAATTGCACGCGCGCACCATGCTGGCCGTGCAAAGTAGTACGAGGAAAGTGGACGAGGTCGGCGGGGCGGGATTGGGCTCCGACTTTCTCTCAAGGCCTAGAGGCTAGAGTACTCTAAAGTGTACGCAAGCACGCAACCCGCAACTTTTATCTGACACCGAGGGTCCATCGCACCAAAACCCTTGACCCCACACGTTGCGAAAATCCTCAGGCAGGAATAACGTCACGGAGCTTCTCGACCAGCAGTGAGCCCGACAGGCCCTCGTTGTCCAGCCACCAGCAGCCGCTAGGATCCGCACCCACGTGTCGATCGCGATTGAAATTCCTGGACTTGGGAAGGCTTTGGAGCGTGCTGCGGGAGTGCGTGCTGAGTTTCAGGATTTTTTCGTCGACGCGGGGTGGGTCAAAAAAAACGGCGCGCGCCCGTAAGTGACGACAGCAGCAGCAAAGCAAACGGGGGGTTGGGCAGCTGGCCGACGAGTGATTGGAAGGCCGCGCACCCCTGCCTGGTTTTTTTGTGACTTTCATCATCATCAGCACAGGATCTCACGCTGATTCTAGACACCACTTCCATCGCGGGGGGGGGATCGCACCGCCACACCAAAAGCCGATCTGTAGATCCATTTTTTCCCCGGGGCATGTCGTATCGCGAAATGTCTAGGCCATGACGACATGCTGCTGTTGACCGAGGTGTGTGTTTTTTGGCTGTTCAGCCCTCCAACAGACAATTCATTTTTTTCTTTAGCATCCCTCGCGCGGCTCCCGTAGCGTAGATTCCTCCGCTTACAAGAGCCATCCCGCGTTGCGGCGTTAGCGCATGAACAAAGCGTCCACGCGACGACTCGCAGCGATCTGGCGATTATGCGCCTGCATTCTGCTCGTGGGCCGACGACCGGCGGCGACGCTGATCAGGGGAGAAGCGGGCTGGTTGGCGGGTCGATGGGACGCGCGTCAGAAGGAGGAAGGGGAGAGACCTCAGACAAGCACAACGCAAACACAACAGCCCGGTGATCATGCGACAGACTGCGCGCGCCTGGTTGGCTCAGCACTTTTTTTTCCTTGTGCCCCGTCTCTACTCTACAAAGCTAGAGTTGCCTAGCTCCCCCGGTCCGCAATCCGCTTTCCCCCACGACAAGCGGCTGGGTGTGAGTCGTCGAACGCATTCGCGGGTGCGCCGGTCTTAAACTTGTCCTGCGGATTGTATCTCCGAGGCCACTCCTGCTGGCCGATCGAGATGTGATCGCCGATGAAAGCTCCGGAGCCGGTTAGATCAACGATCTGTTGCCAGATGCCCCCATCACGCGTCCCGCTTCGCCTTTGGGCCGCTAAACCATGACGAATTAACTTTGTTGCGGCGGGGACTCGAGGAATGAGCTCCGCCCCTCCCTTACTTTACTTTCGCGGCAACATCAGGAGATGTGGGTGTGGCTCTTGTGGGGGCTGCACACCGGTGAAGCCAAGCTATCGAGTGAGCGGGGGAGGAAGTAGCTCCGTGCTAAGCGTGGATCCGCCCAGTCTGAGCGCTAGCAAGGGAAGGTCAAGCGAGGCGCAGCTGAGCACGTCGAGATGCGAACAAACACGGGAAGTTGAGACTAGTCATTTCATTGCTTTGCGCGTTGATATCTACTGAGGCGGCGTAATCTCCTCCTCTTGAACTCCAATAGTTATTCCCGGGTATCGTAACTGGGTAAGACAACAATATATATAAAAAAAAAAAATAAAAAAAAAAAATAAAAAAAGCATCCGATCAACGACAGGGGCCTGCGCTGCAGGTGCGAGTTCGTGACCCTCAATTCACTCCCTCTTTTTGTCCGATGCATTGCTGTGGTGGCGCTAGACATGACATGGTCCTTCGTCGTTTTCCTCCTTGCCTTTCGTAAAAGCCTTCTGCTGCGTTGAGTAACCAAAGACCGGGCCGACAGGTGGCAGCGTTCTCGGTAAAAAGCCGATGGGCGACTGGTTGAAACCCGACACGGGCATGTCGTTGTTGTGCAACTATGACTGCAGCATGCGGTTGACAAATCGCGGCGGTGCGTACGACGTGCAAGTGCTGCCAATGCCAAAAAAGATGATGGGTAAATCAACATGTAGGCCTTGGTTGGTGGTGATAGGTTTGGTGTGGTTGCTTCCGGTGAACGAATCCGGAAGGTGGACGAAGCGCTCAGCCAGAGCCAAAGCCCACGATGGAGGCGCAGCGCGTGCAGTAGTACGAGTTGACGCCGAAGCTGACCATCTGCTTGGAGCCAAAGCTGGCAGTGCGGTGGCAGCGAGAGCAGCGGATGGTCTGGAGAGCCGGGGCAAAGGAGCCGTGAGAAGAGGCATCCGAGCCCGAGCGGGAGTCGCTGATGGGGCTGAGGTCCAGGACGTCCTGGATGGGCTGGGGCTGGGGCCTCTTGGAGGAGTAGGCAGCCGACGTCTGCAGCTGGAGGAGCTTGGAGGCGTCCATGGTAGGCATGCTGACGTTGAATGGAGGAGGACGGACGGCCAATAGCGGGTTGGAGGGTTCCGAAGGAGTCTCGGGGGAGAGGACAGTGAAGAAAGGCTCAGGCGAGGGAGTTTCGATAGAGTAGTGGCTGGAGAAGTCGGAGTCGGCGGTAGGGTAGGTGGAGCGGTGGGGAGTGATGGTGAAGTAGCAGACTTGAGAGCCGGAGGAACCGGAGACAGAAGAGGCTGGCATGCTTGATTGTGTGCAAGGTGGGCGGGAGATGTGCAGGCTAGCAGGGCAAGTAAATAATAGGCGCGGCCGAGGGATGCGCGCAGGCTGATATAACAGCCCGAGCAAACGTTTCAAGCCCTAAGTCTCGCGAGGGAGCGGGGGCCGGCAGGAGCCCAAGCCACCGGTTGCCCGTCGTGGCTGCCCTCTTAACTCCGCCCATCGTCCGATCGCACTTGACCCGTGGTTCCCCTGCAACGCCAGGAACGCCGCATCTCTCTCTCTCTCGCTCTGTTGCCTGTCCCGTCGCCCTAGGTCTTCCTGTCCTGTCCTCGTCTCCGTCTCCGGGCCTCCCGCCGCTGCGGCACGCCCGGCCATCACCTAAGCCTCCCGTGCCTCCCTCACTTCAGGCTCTCACCTCTCTCACCGGCCGCCCGTCCGCGACGCGCACTGCCCCACCGCCCGCTTGCGCACGCCCGCCCTTTTTCTCTGCTCACCGTCGTCGCCTGACTCCCCTGACCACCTACTAGCTACTCAGTAAGTCTAAACTTACAAACTAAACTACCTTGTTGCCTTGCCGCTTCCCGGGGGCCGACGGAGGCGACGCTCGCCGCACGCATCTAGGCCGCGGTCGACACAAACGCCCGCCAACCCGTCCCGCCGCCACGGCACAGCTTACGGCAGCTCTCTCTACGAGTAGGTAATCACTTATCTCGAAGCGTTGAGAAAGAGTAAGAAAAAAAAAAAAAGTTCCCGCGTTAAGGCAGCATGGCGAACCCGACATTCCGTGCGCATACAACAATAGCCTCACTCTTTCGCCGTGACCATCTAATCAGGGTCCACTCCGGCGCCCGACTTGCCGATTTGAGGCGATTATCACCACCGGTTCGGAGATCTCTCTCCCGCTTGCTCTGCGCACTGAGGTTGGGACACAGCCCAATGTGGGGAACCCGCAGCCGAGAGGCTGCACACCGGTCAGCAAACAGCAATCTGTCCGCACCCTTCCTGTGCCATGCGTGCTTGAAGCGTCCGCCTGCATCCTGCGCTGCTCAGAGCGTCCCGAGCGAAGTTTCTAGCTTCGCTTCTGCGGTGCGCCAAATTTGCTCGGGCGCGTATGCGCGCTCGGCGCAGTTGAGTTGTACACTGATGGTTGGCGGTGCTTGCGCTGCTTGCGGTGGGCCACACGGCCCTACGGGCTCCCGTAGTCTGACAACCGTCTCGACGATAGCAACCGTGCCTCGCCTTAGCCGGCTGGCCTGACTCAACTATTGCAGATTGATGAATCTATCTTCAGTCTTGCCTCAGGCAGCCTATCGCAATTCTTGGTGCAGTGCTAGCTTGCTTCTCAAGTGCTTCATGAGCGGGCCAGTGCATGCGTGAAACCCTTCTCCATGCCCTTCCCGCTGCAATTTCTCGTGTTGGCCCACGGCTTGGGTCCAAGGGTCGCCCATGGACTATTCCCTTGCAAACAGGAGGCTTCCGCAGAATCCTGGACACCGGTCTCGTCTGGGGCACGCAGTCTCCCGTGCTGCTAAGGGGGTTCCTGCAGGGATGAGCTCCTTGCCAGTTGTTTGCATTTGATAGTAGTACCGTATGTACAGGTGGCTGGACGCGCAAACAGATAGCATCCCTTTGTGACTCGCAGCCCCAAAATCCAAATCATTTACGAAGCACGACACGTCGTCCTACCGCTGGCCGATCGCCATTGGCTTGGAAATAAACGGGCGGGAGGAGGCGACGAGCATGTTTCGTCTGGTCGAACATGGCAATCTGAAGGGCCGGGGTCGCGGGGTCTCCATTGCTCTCGAGGGCGGGATTCCTTGCTCTTCTTCTCGCGTACAGCGCTGCTCAGGGCTCAGGGATAACCAACGGCCAAGGGCAAGGGGAGGAGAATAGGAGAGAGAGTGCTCGTCTAGTTACGAGCAACGAGAACCCCCCTCGGCCGAGTGATTGCGAGCAGCATCTCAACAAAAACCCCGCGCACCGACGCGAAAAGGAGATGGGCAGAGGCAAATAGAGAGAGGAAAGAGAGGCGATAGGCACCCGCTATGTTCTCGCTGGACCCTGGTTTGCGCAATTTCAGACCCCGAGGGCAGAGGTTGACCTGAGCGGATTGGGCTGAGTACTGTAGTGTGGTTGGTGGTTTGCCTTGCGACTGGGCTGCTCCATGAAGCGACGGCGCACTGACGCCCCGGCCGCCGAGACGTTCGACATCGCCAGCTCCGCAGCTCACATGCAACATCCGGCCGAAGCACACCATGGACCTCCACGACGAAGGCGCATCCGCCTGGGGTGGTGAGCCTCCCCATTCCTGGCCCCCGCAAATGCTTGGATTCATTGATCGATTGACCTCGCCGAACAGATGTCCCCTCCAACCCCTCGCGCTCCAACTCCAGCCAAAACATACCCAAGATTGCTGCCGACCAGGCCGCCGCTGAAGGTGACCCATTCCCCCGCCATCCCACTTTGCCCCGCATCAAGCTCACTGGGCCCAGAGAATGCAAAGTCTCAGCCGGCCGATGATGCTCCCGCTCCCACCGCCTCTGCCGCCCCCAGGTCGCCGGGTAGACCCAGGCCAGGCCGCCGCGTCGGCGTGCCCCAGCCCACCCGTCTTGAAGTCGCAGAAGACCCGCTGGGCCCTTTGGGCGCCTCGATCGACACGCTCGCCGAGCCGCAAGTCGACGAGCCCCCGGCGCCTCCCCAAAAGGAGCTGAAGGGCTCGCGGCCCGCGACCGCCACTTCGACGTCGTCGATCCGCAGCATGATGGATTCGGTGAGCCTGGATGACGACCTCGAGACGAGCTCGACTGGGGCGAGGATACCGCCGCCCGTGCAGCCTGCCGCGAACAATGGCCTGCCGAAGCAGAGGCAGCCGAGTGTCAGCGTGGAGCAGGCAGCCAAGCCAACCTTCAACATCACCGTGGGAGATCCGCACAAGGTCGGCGATCTGACAAGCTCGCACACCGAATATCAAGTCAGGACCGTGGTATGTAGTCCAATTGCTCGAGTGGCGTCGCATTGTTGGGCTGACCCCCGAAGACAACGTCCAAGGCCTATCGCAACCCCGAGTTCGCCGTTTCCCGCCGTTACCGTGACTTCCTGTGGCTGTACAACCAACTCCACAACAACAACCCCGGTGTTGTCGTTCCCCCGGTTCCCGAGAAGCAGGCGGTCGGCCGTTTCGATGCGGACTTTGTTGAGTCGCGACGCCAGGCGCTTGAGCGTATGCTGAACAAATGCGCCGCGCACCCGATACTACAGCATGATGGAGACTTGAAATTGTTCCTCGAAAGTGAGGCATTCAATGTCGACATCAAGCACAAGGAGCGGAAAGACCCTCTCCTCACCGAGAACAAGGGAATGTTTGGTTCAATGCTGTCTGTCGGTGGCGGAGGAAAGTTCATTGAACATGATGACGTAAGTCTCGCTATGTCTAGCTACCTCTCGCGGTTCTGTTAACCTCTTTCAGTGGTTCCACGACCGCAAGGTTTACCTCGATGCCCTGGAGGGCCAACTCAAGGCTCTCTTGAAAGCTACCGACACTGTCGTGGCCCAGCGCAAGGGTTTGGCCGAGGCTTGCGGCGATTTCTCGGCATCTCTCCACTCTCTCGCTTCTGTCGAACTATCCCCCGCTCTTTCCGGCCCTCTGGATGGCCTGTCGGACCTACAACTCCGTATTCGCGAATTGTATGAACGCCAAGCCCAACAGGATGTTCTTACTCTTGGCATCGTTATCGATGAATACATCCGCCTCATAGGCTCCGTCAAGATGGCCTTCCAGCAAAGGCAGAAGGCCTATCACGCATGGCACACTGCCGAGTCGGAGCTGGCAAAACGCAAGGCAACACAGGACAAGCTCTTGCGGCAAGGCCGGAGCCAGCAGGATCGTCTGAACCAGCTGAGCGCCGACGTTGCTGATGCGGAGCGCAAGTCGAACCAAGCGCGTCTGCTGTTTGAGGACATGGGCCGGCTGATGCGCAGTGAGCTAGAGAAGTTTGAGAGGGAAAAGGTCGAGGACTTCAAGAGTGGGGTGGAGACGTTCCTTGAGAGTGCGGTGGAGGCACAGAAGGAGGTGAGTGCATGGCCCCATTCCGCTTACCGTATCGTTGCTAACCGTCGACGCAGTTGATCGAGATCTGGGAGACGTATCTCATGCAGCTTGACGCGGAAGAGGACGGGACTCCATTCGTTCCGGCGGGCATCCAGGCCGCATCGACTGGGGACGAGGGCGCTGAGAGACCGCAGACGGCGGAGAGCCAGGATACCCAGGGCAGCGAGGCGGATACTGCGAATGCCACGGCTGAGTCGGAGGAGTAGTGGGGGCGGGAAAAGGGGTGAGGGCAATGTGTATTTACGGAACGGTAGTCTGTTATGAGCATGGAACAAGACGTTGGCGTTGATCTATGGGGTGTTTGCACGGAAGCAATGGTGCCGAGGCATGGGTAGGGTGTGTACTACAAGCTCGAGCCTAGGCCTTCCCCGTACCTGTGGTTCTCAGCTAGATGGGTCAGGGTCTCAATCGTTGGGCGGAAGGGACGGCATCCGAGGGCTGACTGCAGGAAGGGAACAAACAGCGGTAGTGGTCCCCACTACTGCCCTGGGTAACGCGCAACGCGGCACAGCTGGACTGACTCTGGTACAGCGGTTTCACGTCGGCTGAGAATGGACGGGCGAGCTCGGCCGGATGCGGCGGAAACTGTCGGCCCCGGAGCGGGGCACGTGGCTGTGTTTCACGGCAGCAATGAGGGCTGTTCCTGTCCTCGTTGGTTCTTTTTCTTTTTTTGGCTTTCTCTGCGCCTCGGTGGTGGAGTCAAGCGTGCGCTCCGGCCCCTTCGTATTGGCTGTGGCTGTGGCTGTGGGCTGTGGGGGCTGTTGGCAGCTTACGACTAACTTTTAAACCTTCTCCCTCGTCCTCCGACCCTTAACAACGACATAATGAGAAGCAGGATAATTTGCAGTCATGGCGGTTTTGCGTCGTCGTTGTCGTCGTCGCTCGCCCGTCCGGCTGGCAAGAGCAACTACCTCCTTGACAACTTTGCCGATCGAAACCGTCTGTCTTTGCACCGTGATCGCATCTTCCACCGCTAATCACTGATTTTCCGAACTACTCTCATTTGGTAGCTAACACTCATTCACCAACCTGTCATTATGTGCGTTGCCTTCACACGGTCGCTAGTGCTTTAACATCAACACATTGACGGTCAACGTCTTTACGCCGCCTTCTCATCCGCAGCGTCCCGTCCACCAACACTGACTTTTTAGTGCTTGCTAAACCAATATATGGAGTTCTTTAGGTCTCTGGACACTTCAGATCGAGACGCTTTGGAAGAAGCACGTGAAGGCCTTCCGGATATCAAACCGGCGTATGCACGCTCGGCCCGCGTCCTGGAGCCTATAGTCCAGCAGCCCGAATCTCCGCTTCATCCCCGATCAAGCCGGACATTCTACTACAAGCTTCAAGTTGGACGAAATACATGCTCTAAGATGACGCTCACTCTGCTGCCCCAAATGCCTGCAACTGGTCAAGAGAACGAGAGAAGCGAACCTCAAGAAGGCCCTCCATCGACACCACAGCGTAAGATGCCCGTTACAGGTCCAGGTAACAAGAGAGGTGAACTGCAGGGACCATTCCCATCGATGCCGTCAACGCCACAACGCAAGACAACAACGTTTCTGCTGTCGCCTAGCACCGTCACATATTCCACTTCTAGTCAGGAAGACAATCAGGAAGAGAACAAGACGTCTCAGGAATTGATCAGTCCGTTATCTCCACCTTCCACCCCGGCTATCCGCGACTGGGAATTGGACTTCAACCACGTCACGCCAGAGCGTTCAGGCTTCCAGGAACGCGCGCTGAGAGACCTACACGTGGGTTCGTTGAGCGACGTCACAGTGGAATGCGAGGGCCACACCTGGCAGGCACACATGGCAGTTTTGGCGGCGGACTCGCGCAAGTTCTATCGCGCCTTCATGTACGGAGCTCCGGTAAGTCGAACGCTCAATGCACAATGTGGAGAGATTATTCGAAGAGCCGTATACGGGACACCAGTCTGACGAAGATACGTACGCACAGGAATTTGACCAGAAGACACGGACGTACCACTGGACTGGCCCAGGAGGCCACGCGACGTGCGATGCGTATCTGCGATTCCTCTACACGGGAGTCTTAAGCGGACCTTTGGAGTCGGCAGATTTCGTGCCTGAAGTTACAGAGACGACACACACGAGCTTGATGAAAAATCGGTGCTTGGAGGATTGAAAGAGCTGCGGGTTTCACCAGGGCAAACTAGGAATGACTCAGAAAAGGCACGAAAGGTCTGGGATGACCTTAATACATGTATGCTAATGAGCAGGCTACAACACGAAAAATATGCATACATTCTCTCGGCGACACTTCCACGGAGCTTTGTCTTTTTCAAGGCCAGCACCAAGGCACTAAAAGTATCGATACTACTCAGTCATCAATTCTCCCCACAGTCGATCTAAAAATGGCACGGAGATGGACGATAAGATGCGATCGCCGGCCAGGACCGCCAAGTCGGCAATGCAGCCGTCCAGGGCGCGGCGCCACGGCTCCACGGGGTCTCAACCCGTCACGGCGCGTCGTCGATCGACAACAAACGCGCAAACCAAGCCACTCGCGTGCAGACGAAGCGCAATAAAGGAATCCATGAGGCCATCTTCGACCGGGCGCAGCAAGCAGTACCATGGTGACGCGAGGAAGAAGGAGGAGGCTGGCGGTTTGCCTTGCCGCTGCTGCCTGGTGGTGCTATATTGTGAGCAAGCGCCCGCTGCCTCTTGCCGCTGTGCCGCTCGCTCGTAAGACAAGGTTACCTTCTTTGCTGCCACCAGCACCGCCTGATACGAGGAGACGTGGTCTATTGATAGTTTATTCATCCACTCCTCGTTGTCTATTTATTGCCCTTCTAGCTTCTTGTTCTGTTGTGCTCCTTGCGCGCGCCTACAAATCTCAACACTCGCTGCTGCGCCTGCGATACCATTCCTCCGTCCATTCCTCTCGTGCTCGTCCGATAGATACATACCTACCTACCTACCTACCTACTCCTCCGTATACGCATAGAAACCAATCCAATTACTACAGCAGCAATCCCACCGAAGCAGACAATCAAACCCAGCTTAACCGCCCACAATGACGCTCGCTAGAATAGTCATGCGCAGTGTGCAGGTGCGCACCCTCCGTGCCCACTTCTTCCCACAAACACACACTCCCCACTAACACCCTGCCCAGATCGTCTTCTCAGCCGTAGTCCTTGGCCTCTCGATCAAGCTAATCCAAGACCAAGTCTTCGGCACCAGCCGCACCATCAACGTAGCCGCTTTCTCAGGTGCCTTTGGCATCTTCGCCGCCTTGGTTGGGCTCGCAAGCCTCTGGTTAACGGCGATGAGCCCCACCGTCCTGTCAGCGGTTGATGGGCTGGCGACCGGCTTCCAGCTTGCTGTGGGCATTGTGAGTATTTTGTCCATTCGGCCCCTTGCTTTCTTCTCCTCACCCCTTCCTTCCTTACAGCCATTTGCCTGCGCGGAATAAGAACAGAAGAAGAAGAGGGGGACGAGACAAATGAGATGGACTTTTCTCCTTCAGAACTAACCCCGCACAAACAGACCATAGCCGTCAAGCTCCGCCACATCACCTGCGCCTCCAACAGCGACATGAACCGCTACCGCCTCTACCGCAACGACCTCACCAACGGCGGCTGCATCTCCCAAAAGAACGGCGTCTACTGCGGCCACGGCAACGACTGGGGCTACTTCCACGAGCGCTGCCGCATGAGCTCCGCCGATTCTGCCTTTTTGATCATGGCTGGCGCGGTTTTCGTTCTTCAGTCGGTGCTTACGTATATCCACTTCCGCCGCGCCGCGAGGGACCATCGCGGCGGTACCTTTGTGTAGGGTTGTAGTTATCTGTTTGCGTGTTCGAGAGGGGTGTAGAGAAGAAGGGTATGGGAGGGAATGCCGCTTTTGAATACTGCATCGTTGTTATTGGTGCTGGTGAGGACGTCGTTAGGGTGGTTGTGCCTCAGCTTGGTTTGTGCACGCTTATGAGCTCATGTATGTGTAGTTGATGATTGCAATGATGAAGGGGCTCTTCGATTCGATTATCCGTGGTACGTGCGGTGCGATGCGACGTGGTACATTGAGGGGTTGTGTGCGAGGAGAGATAGAAAGAAAAGGAGACGACAAAATAGACAAACAATAAAAACCAAGGAACTGAGTAGATGATAGAAATAGAACTTCAAACCACGCATGCATACCTAGCATCCCACTGGCAAACAAGCCGACCCAAAACCAGCAATAAGACGGAAGAAAGCGTGACCTTCGCTTTCTCCCGCATGCAAACTACCTAAGCCATTGCTCCCTGCCTATATAATACACACGATTGCCCAAGAACCTATGCGGGATATCATACAACGACAAAAGTCCCCTGCACTACCTCCTTCGCCCCGTCCCGTCCCGTCCCGTCCCGCTCCGAGTCGTGCGGCGTCATACAGTGCCGTGCGGCACCACGGAGGCAGCCGATATCCGGCCGCTCGCACTCCTTTGTTCTTATCACACCCGTTCCTTTCCTTCCTGATTTGTTTCTTCCGTATTTTTGTTTACAGGCCATTGGGGATATTGCCCCGTAAATCTGCTGTATGCGCAGGGAAGCTCTTTCGTAAGTCCCGTGGCGACGGCCGCAAGAGAAGCCGTTGGTAAGGGGAGAAAGGAGAAGCAAAGACGAGTAGGAGCAAGTTGACACTAGTCGTCCGGTTGAAAACAAGAGCGAGATGACGCCTCGGTGGGCACGCTACTATATAAACAAGAAAGGGAAAATGAAACGAAAGCTCAAGAAAACGGCCAGCAGAGCCAACGGGAGATTGCTTCCTGGAGCAAGGAAAGAGAAGGAAAAAAGCGGATGGTGGACGGACAGCGACGATATAGGTGAGGTTTGCAGCCAACGGAGACAAATCCTTGGTGGTTGTTCTCATGCCAACTCGCCAACTCGTAGACGTTTGTTCATTCTTTACCGTTCCCGATCCGCGTGAAGCACTTGATTGCCAAAGAAAGCCGAGCAAGCCGGCACCCACCGGCGCTCGAGCCACGTCAAACGCCACAGCGGGGACGCCTATGTCAAGAAAGGTGAAGACGAGCGGAAGAATCCAGGGACCAAAAGGAGGCGCCAAGAAGGAAATAAGGGAAAAGGTACACCAAAAAGAACATGCCGCCGAATGCTCGCTCGCCGGGCCGTCCGCTCCAGGCACCGGAAAGGCAAAAGAAAGGTAAAAGTGAGCCGTACTGATGAGCCAGAAAGGTTGCCGCCGTAAAATACTGTTGTTGCTGTGTGCTGGTGGTCGAATACGCCTGTACGCCTCCATGTGTGCCTGTGTGCCATGCGAAATGCAGAATGAGAGAAAAAACATGATGATCAATCGCCGCGCTGCACTTCAGCAGCCCTCTTACCGTCCTGGTCAAGAGTCTCGTGTTTTCAGTGTTGCTACACGCATCGCCGCGCCAGCAAGCTATACCCTGACAGCGGGCGGCATCACGAGACTGTCACCACGCGAAGTCCTCCTCATCTGACGGCTGTCTCTAGGCCTTCTCTGTCCACCTATTGCTGCAGGACCACTTGAAGCCCTTCTCCCTCCACCATGGCTAGGTGCTCCACCGGAAGCAACGCCACTGCTGCCACCTTCCAGCCTCTTCTTGACAACGAGGCCCGCATCGCGACCAGGCGTCCTGTCTAGCTGGGCGCGGCAGCCCGAGCAGATGCGCAGCGCGCACCAGGCGCAAGCCCAACGGCAAGTCGTATCAGAGCTGAAACAGAGCATGCAAGCGACGGGCGCCTTCTCATTGCGCGCGCGGTGGAGGGTGCGGTGTTGCTGGTAGCAACGAACGTGCACGGGCGCGAGGTGGGGCGGAGGATACCCTCCATTGGGTTTGTCTGTGATCTTCGGGCGATACGACAGATTGTTGAACTTCTCGCAAAGTGAGGCTGCATCCGCTGGCGAGGTCTCAGCGTAGGTGTTGCGGCTCTTCGTCTCGGCGACAGGCGCGGCTGGCGCGGTTGTGCCGGTCGGAGTGGAGATGGAGATCGGCAGCTTGCCCGAGATTGGCGGTGAAAACTTCGCTTGCGATGCGGCCGTGAACATCGGCTTTTCGTTCGACTACGAGCTGGGTTAGGGTCAATGTGATCTCTGAAAAAGGGGGAAATTCCGTCCGATTGGCGAGAGGGTGATGTGCGTATCCGGCGATGATGACGATGCTGTGGGCTTACCTTGACGAAAAGATCGAAGCCCGTACTGCTCTTGCCGCGCGCATGCATGGTCTTTTGTTGTTCGCCGACCATTGTCATGCTGGGGTCGTTGACAAGGCCATATTTGGACGGGCTCTCCTCTGGGACTGGGCTGGGAGAGGGCAGGAGCTGGATGGCCGCCGCAGCGGGGTTGAGCTTCGGAGTCAGTGGCTCGTCGGTTTCGGTCTCGCTGGGCGGCGTATTGGTATTGTCCCTGGACGGAGCAATGGTAGGCGTAGAGTGCAAGTCGTGCGTGTCGGTCAATGTCGAGGGGACGGAGACGGCCTGCGAGTGTGTCGAGACATGGGCGGGCGAGGAGTGGAAATCCGAAGCCTTGGATTCGGGTTTCGAGGCGACTCGGTCGAGTCGAGGATTGCTATCGGGCTTGGGTTGCGGGGATGGAGCTTGTTTGACGGGCTTGCGTCGGAAGGTGAAACGGAGGTGGTGGTGATGGTGGTGGTCTTCCCGCGCGGCTTTGGAGGGCTTGTTGCCCATTGTTTCGGCGTTCTTCTCAGGAGGGGGCGGCGGGGTTGGTGGAAGGGGGAGTTGGTGGTGCAGACGGGTGGAGTCGGCGGCGGTGCTCGTGTTGGCGGAAGTGGCAGTTGTGGCAGTGGCAGTGGAGCCGTTGCTCTTGGACAATTTCAAACTCGGGGGCCGCCTGCTTCGCGAGATGGCCGTCGAACGGATGGTCGCTTGGCTGGCTGCAGCGCGCCCGTCGCCGCGCGCTGTGAGACATGTCGTCAGCCGTGCTCTGTTGTTATCGTGGTGGTGCTCTCGTCGGGAGAAAGGATGGATGCACAGGACGCGACGTGACGCGGGCGAATATCTACACAATACACACCTGGTCGAGCGGGAGAATCGTCGCCGTCACGGCCCATGGCCTCGTAGTCGCTCAGGATGGCGCTGATGACGTCGCGCCTGCACGGGCGGAGGGCGGCGACGGCGGCCATGGTGGGTGAGCGCAGCAACAGCGACAGAAGACCGCGGCGGCAAGCCGACCCTCTTATCGTCTCCCCTGGCCATAAGGCTGACGTCGCACCAGCCTACTGCCGAAACGAGTCGTGTTTTGCTGCTTTCATTTCTCTGCCTCTACTCACATGCCACGCGACTCTCCGCTAGCCACCACCTGTTTTCCTCATCCCTCCCGGCCGCCCACTACTCCACTCCCGTCCCGCCCGCCGATCTGCCGCCCCTTCCCCACACCGGCACATAGATGAATACAAAGCTATGATGATTATTGATATATACCTAGTAGAGTAGTTGGTAGTTCTGTACACCATGTCATCGACGTCATCAACTTAAAGAAATAACGATAAACAGAGAAAGAGCTGCGGCGCAGCACGTCAGGACGTGGTAGGTACGTCGCTAGCAAAGATCAACCAGTGCGCCACTCTACCGAGCCGGATCCGGCCTCTGAAAAATGATAACGTCAGACGATAAAGAAAAAAGAAAAAAAAAGTAAAAGAAGAAAACCAAAGATTCGGGCCCGCGACATGCTTTATGCGGGCTGTCTAGCGGTGTGCGTGAAGTAAATTAAAGAAAATATTGAGTGCAGGAAGCCACCGAAGGGTCGCGTCAAATTAGCGTCGCCGCGCTGGGGTATCGCGTGGTATAGATTCAAAAAGAACATGGATGCCCCATGGGGGGAGGATTTGTTAACCCCGCCCAGCTTTACAACGTTCCGGTCGTCTCTCGCGTGTTAGAAGACAAACGCAAAGAGTGTCATCAACAGTGCCGCCGAGGATAGCGCTCCGGGCTGGGTCAATGTGGCTGTCACGCCATTGGTGGACGCGGCTACTGTCCGGTTTATAAAATCGGGACCGCATTGCATGGCAATTTGCGATGCGCTATCGCTGTACGTCTGGCTGATGGGTTGGGTCGAGTTTGAGGCATGCGTCCAGTATGCATTCATGGTGTTCTGGAGGCAGCTGTTGCACGTTGGCCGGGAACCGCCCGGCAGAGGGACGCCGAGCGGGAGGTAGTAAGGGTAGGAATTTGTGGGTGATGAGGAATTGGTGATTGCGTTGGCGAAGCCTTATACGTGAGCATGTTAGCGTCATTGCTAGCTTAATGGAACAAGCTAACATACAGTAGCTTCCGGACGAGTCGCGCAGACAGCCGGCTTGGTATGAGGGAACATAGGCAACAAAGCCGTCGTAGGCCTGCATGACAATGGGGTTTCTCGCCCTGTAGTCGGCGCCGCAATGGGCGTCCTTGACCAGCTCGGTGGCATAGTGGTCCATAAGAGCAGTGCATTGGGGAAGGTCGGCCGAGCACGAGGCGTCGAGCACCTGGGTGATGCGCAGAAGCGACTTTGTGGCCTGGAAGAAGGCGCTGGAGGTCTGGAGCAGCAGGGACAGCGGGACGCAGGCCTGGAAGGTGGAGTTGTCGAGGAACGAGTTGAAGAAGGTGGGGCAGCTGGCAGCGGTGAAGTTGTTGCCGAGACTGGTGTCGAAGGCGTGCGGGAGGGCTGTCGCCGTAGCCACACTGGGGTCGGAGGTGACGGTCAGAACCGTGGAAGTCGGCGAGCCGGACGCTGCCTCCCCACGCGGCGCCAGAGGCATTCGTTGCTCGTCGGACGGAGCGCTGCGATCATAGACGATCTGGCGTCGATCACCACGAGTCCCTGCAGCAGGCGCGCATTCGCCTACCAACGCCAGCACAAGCAGGAGGAGCGCGACGAGACGGTGGGACTGGGAGCCGGGTGATATATCTCGTCGCTGTCTCGGTGGACGTGGCTCATGGTGCGACACTGCTCCGTCCCCACAACTGGGATGCGGCCCCACGGCACATGCTGCGCTGCAGGACGAGTGCGAGTCCAGAAGCGCCATGGTTGCAGCTGTTACAGACCCCGCCTGCACATCCTTTAATCTTTTTTATTATTATGATGCTGATGCTGTAGTGGTTTGCTTGAAGATCGACCTGCAGAGCCAGCCGGTTTTTAATAAATAAATAAAATAAAATAAAACAAAAGATAAAAATGAGCGACGAAGAGTGAGCGAGTGAGCGAAAGAAAGAAGGAAAAAGAGAGAGTGATAAAACCAACAACAACAAGGCCTGCTATTGTAATAATGGCAGTCGTAAGCCTCTTTCTGCTCCTCCTTTCAGCCACCACTGCCCGAAGTGGAAATTGGATTAACGGTTTAGGGCAGAGCGACGCCTCGGCAGTCAGGCCACAACCGACGGCAGCCTACCACAGTAGGAAAACCGACCGACGCGGTGAGCATTTTCCCAATAGGCCGCTGCTCATGCGTTCCTCCAGTTGCAGCGCGCACACCGACTCATCACATTCCTGCCTTCCCCATTGCTTTGTCCGCGAGCGTGCTCCGCGCCACGTCGAGCAAAGGGGGGATGTGATATATTTATCGCCCTCTAAACGCTCTTGGGCCTGGTCTAACGCATCCCGCCGCGCCATCTCCATCACTTCACCCGCCAAGCCAATACTAACCGAGCGTTCTCGACCGTCGCTTGCCCCGGATCACGGCGCCCGGAGCCTCGCGTGGCACCCTCCCGCCATGTCGCAATCATCCGCCGATCCCTTTCTCTACCCTTTCTTCACCTCGTCGTGGCTGCGCCCTAACGCCCGTACGCCACATGACAATGCTCCTTCGAAGAACATCCCCTTTCCTCGCCCTCCTTTATCCATCGCCGTTTGTCCGCTTGCTTTGTTTCCCTAATGGTCTAGATCGTCGTCCCCTAGGAGTAAGAACAAGAACGATTCCATCGTCTGCGAAGGCTCGTTCAGAAATAATCCCCCTTGGACGAGCTAATCCGGTCCATCGCGGACAAGCGGTCATAGAGACTTTCGAATCTCCGGTATACGCCAATTCCTTAACCAAAGATAGAAGCTCATTCAGGTCTGGTCAGACGCCATCTTCGTGTATTAGGTAGCGTCCATTGGAATGCCATTGCGCCATCCCCAATGGTCATTCCCACCAAACTGGGAAGCTATCGATGGTGTTGTACACTGACCACAGTCCTAGGAAGCGGATTTGTTTATCTCTATGCCATTCGCTAGGTATATTTGCCACCTGCCTCAGCATGAGACAGGACTAGCACGCCACTAAACAGCAGAACCTCGATCCGCCACGACGTCTCGCCATTCTTGCATTATCGAGAATGAGCAAGCGTTTAAAGCGATCGGCGACCACAGGGTCGATTTTTTCAAAAGAAACTTCCCAGGCCTGGCATATCATTCATCTGGAAACTTCATTTGTTCAAATTCGCGCTATGGACATCGAGTTCTGTGTTTCCCTGGTTTTAGGTACGGTGTGGTGAGTGCATTGCAGATGATGAAACTGTTTTGTTTCGTCGCTCATGTCATGACGGTTGAAGAACAATAGCAATATAAAAAGTGTTTTCTTGCTCATATTTATGAAGGATCAAATGGCAGCACGGGAAAGAAGATTAAGAGGTTGAGTATAACCACAGCCGAGACTGGTTACAGCTTTAAGCTGGTACGTAACTTCCAACTCTTAAAAGGGCGTTTACTGGTATGTCTGTAGATTTTGAATGCCCGTTTGCATACCTTTGCCACTATAAAGAGGAAAATAATATAAATAGTTAACGCTATAAAGTAATCGGACTGTATATGTTCTATTAAGAACTATCGGCACGACTATCTACTGAGTAATTATGCGAGATATACTTACAGCCGATATATTCTTTACTACCGTCCTAGTAATAGACTACTAACGTCCGTTACCGCGAACCGAGATCTACCGTCTAGTGAGATAGGGGACGATATAAGTAGTCCCTATAAAGTATTCCTTGCCTAGCTCCTAGCCCGAGTCCCGGGTATGGGCGAAAAGGTCTTAGAGCACACACAGACTATATATCTTAACTAGGTTTCTTCTTCTACTCCGTACAAGCATCACCATCTCGCTTCACGGTGACGGACATTAAACAGACTACAGATGATTATAGAATCAAATTGGAAAAAGAAAACAGATGGAGCATACCGTTATCAACATACCTGTTGACGCGATTGTTGCGAGCATCGAAAGCCTATAATAGTCTCCTACATTCCTTAAAAATTCGCTTTGCCACGCCGTCCCCAGAGGTATAGCTCGTAACTCATGATAAGCCCTATTGGTACCGACATGTCGTCGGCTATCCTCTGCAGTGCTGTCTTATGAATGCTATTGAATCTTCCGGAGTGGGCAATGATGTAATTCTATGGACTTACAGGCCCGGAGAATTAGTTAGTTGGTATTGTAGATGGTGTGTGTGCTTACTGCTATTCTGATCTAGTTCATCAAAGAAGCCAACACCAATAAAGAAGACAAGAAAATTGCTAGAGTCTCGTAACCCTCAGAATGCTAGAGTTTGTCTTAAATGACTAAGCAAAATGAGCATGGCGGATGTCAGGGGCCTCAAGAACCTTGACACGAATATGCATCTTCTCCGAAGGTTGCTTGTGGCAGAACAATGACCTGATTAACAAGATTAATCGTAGCCCGAGTCAAATTTTTACGCCTGCCGGTTCCTCGTGACAAGATTCGTATCTAAGATGCCCCTTGGGTGGAAGGACAATTTCGCTTTCAGGCGCCTGACAAGTCATCATCCAATAGCTAGTCAGAGCCGGAGTTTCTTCCGCAAATAACTCGTACACACACCACAACCCAATTTTTTTTATATGATAGCTCTGCAATAATCTCTCCTAAGCTCGCCGTCTATACGCATGTCTGAACTTTTTCTTCCCACGTGCATCTGTCGCACATACACATACCGCCTAGCGCCCCAACTGCCCATTCCCGTCTCTCATTGACCGGCAGCTCAATATCACAGTAGTGGCTCAGCACTTCTTCGTCCTTGTTCAAACCAGGCTCCTTCTTGCCTTCCTTCCCTTCCCATTGCACTCTTTCTTTCCTTGCCCAGAATCTCATGTTGCCCGCCCACTCCCAGGCGACGTTCGGATCGCAGCTGTGGTTTGCCAGACACCAAAGCGGATGAACGGCGCCTACGTCTGGTTTCCCATCCCGACCTTGTCGAGCAGAAGCCGTTCCCCTAAACTTAGCGTAAAGGGTGTTGAACACCCAAAAGTCGTATTTGTCGCTAGTCTCGAAGATGTTGACGTCCATCTTTTCAAGCATGTGCAAGGGAACCAGGATGTTCGTGCTGAAAGTAAAAGGCAGAGTCTGTGGCATACCGCCAAAGGAATCGTGTTGAGGCCCCAAGGGTACAGAACCAAGCCTTATCGCCTCGCCAGACGGCGGGATATAGTAATCCCCCCAGATGTACTTGACTTCGTGAAGGTCAAGCGGGTGTGTGTCTTGATTCTCTGCCATAGCAAGAGCTCGCAGAAGGAGTAGAGCGTAAAGCGCGTCAGCAGCTTCGGTGGCCGGTGCATCCTTAGCGATAGCTTCAACATCAGCCCCGCATACGGCTGGATGGTAAGAATCCTGGGCAAGCTCGTGACACTCTTTGCTACAGAACACTATATCGTCGCATTCATCGCAGAATGCACACTGACTTGCATTTGAACCTTGCAAATCTGGAAGAGCTGCACTACAGGCATCGCAGTACGAGTCGTGCAGTCGCGCGTTCGCAGTGAGAAGGGACTTTTCGTTCAGAATAACCTCGCCAGGTGGAATATCTTGTTTGACAAACACTCCCAATTGCTTTATCGTCGTAGGTCCGGATTCCTTTGACGTGGCAGCCCCGTCTGTGTCTGACACCAGAAGAGGGAGCTCCGTGATGCGTGCTTCTAGTTTGGGAGCGATCTTGGAAATCTGCTTATTGAGGAGAGCGAGGGAGTCCGGTGAGTACCTGTCTGGTTCGCGATCATTCCAAGCGTATAACTCGCGCCTGACACAAGTACGCTCAGGATAATCCTCGATGGTGATATCTTCGTCATCTAAGCTAGCGCCGCGAGACTCGAAGTACGTTCTAAGTCGCCGGTCGAGCATCTTTCTGAGCAAGAGTAGATGGACATTATCGGGCGTGGATTTCAATCCCCGCAAACAAAACTCGTACGCGCTTTTGATGCAGCCACACGCGAACAAGTTGCTTGCGACATAGATGTAGGCAGCCTTTGCCCACAGCGTTTCGGTCCACATGGTTACCTCATCTTCTGAAGCTTCCATATGCGACGTCTCTTCCGCGACCTTACAGCTGGCAAGCTGTTTAGCAACATCCGGATACTGTGCGGTCTGCGCCGCAGCGTATTCTTCTCTCAAAATGGCCGATTTGCTGCTTAGCTCTTCGATTGCGGTCTCTAGCGCCTGGTCGTGGTATTCTCCAGAATCATCAAGAACCTCGTCCACGAGCAACAGTACCCTGTATGCTTCGCCTGCTGCCAGGTCCGGGTAACCAAGGGCTCGATACAACTCTGCGACCTGTAGGCGACAAGAAATGCTGTAAGGACATGCCAAGACTCGGGTCCTTGCACGGTCGAGGCGCTCAAGAAGAGCATCGGTAGCGAGCGGACCTCCAGCATCTGCATCCTACCCGGTTATCTGAGGATTATTACTACTTGATCTTTTCGCAGGCGGGGTTGGAGGATAGCTACCTCAAGGTTCATATCACCCATCTTTTCCGCGAGATCGCCTTCCGGATTGTACGAAGACAGGCATCTCATTAAATTGTGCAGCGCATCGTCAATTCCTTGAGGTGACGATTCAAAGTGTGACTCCATGGTGGTTGATCCGGTTGATGGCGGGCTGGCCTGCTGGTGGACTTTTCGGCAGAGCGTCACTTGCTGTGCTTCGCTTGATCTCCATTTTGCGCCCTGGCGCTAATGGAACCACCTAGCACCCGACCACCCGACGTCACCTGGTCAGGTCTACAACTCTACAAGTCCTCCCGCATCTCAATACATCTCGATCAGCACATGCGAACACACCAGAATTACGACATTAGATGTCCTTTGATTAATTACTCGGCTGAACTATTATATACGCCATAACTACCTCGCCCTCATTATCGGGCCTTGACCGAACACAACTGCCTCTCTACGAGGCACCATTAATGATCGCATCCGCTGCCTTCTCGCTGATCATGTAAATGGGTGCAGCAATGTAAAAGCCAGGAATCTTGGGGAAAACCGAGGCGTCCACCACACGGAGGCCATCAACACCGCGGACACGGAAGTTAGAGTCAAGAACAGCCATCTCATCATCATCAGCGCCAATGGGGCAGGTGCAAGAAGCATGGTGGCCCCAAGCCTCGTCCTTAATGAACTGCTTGAGCTGCGCCTCAGAGCTGATGTTCGTACCGGGCCAGCTCTCGGAGAAGGAGCCATCAAGCGGAACCAGGTTGTCGAACATCTTGCGCGAGAACTCCATGCTCTCGTAGACAGCCTGCAGGTCCTTGTCGTCACCACCATCCTCGGTGTTACCTGTGTCAAAATAGTTGAAGGTGATGGCGGGCGTGTCGCGAGGGTCCGCGGACCGCAGCTTGACCGTGCCGGCGTTGTTGCGGGTGTGCGCCTTCAAGGTGATCCAGCTCCAGTGCTGAGCATCCGACAGACCAATATCGCCGTAGTTCGGATAATAGCCCTGGAAGTTCGTCGGTGCGCCGGTGATCAGAATGTCAGGATCATCACCCTCGGCAGCAGCAGATGATTTTTTCACGATGGCAATGGCGATACCGTTGGTGGCGTAGGTGCCCCTCAGCGCAGGAGTGAGGCCCTCTTCGAACTGCTCCAAACACGGGTCCGGCATCGTCATCATGAAAGTGCACTTGTGGGTAATGGTAAAGTCCGTGGGGGTCTTTCCAATAACGGTGGTCTCGTAGCGATCCTGCATGTTCGTACCAACACCCGGAAGGTCCTTAACGACGTTGATACCGAAGTTCTTCAGCTCTTCCTTGGGACCCACTCCACTCAACTTAAGAAGCTGAGGGGTGTTGAATGCGCCGGCAGAGACAATCACCTCCTTGGTCGCGTTGACGGAGCCGGATGTGCCTTGAGCACCAGCATAACGAGGATCGGCTGCGTAAAGACTTTGACCCTCGAGGTACTCAATACCCACAGCTTTGGGCGTGTCACCTGATTGATCAAAGACGACCTTCGTGGCTAGAGTGTTGAGGGCAATGTCGAGATGGTACTTGCGCGAGCCATCGGAGTTCTTAGCATTGTGTACCTCCATGATGAAGTCCCGAGGGCCCATGCGATGCGAAGACCCTTCATCCACGGCAATCGGTACCTGGAAGAGACCCGTTTGTTGGTCGCGACCAGGAAGGCCAGAATTAAGATCTTGGGCCAGAACCTGCGCCAGACCGCCAACGGTAGTGAGCAGCTTGGCAACTATGTTCTTGCCCATGGCTGTGGCTGCGGAAAGGATAAGTGACAGAAGCTTCTGGTCCTCAATGACGAGTGACAGGTCGGTGAGCGCCGTGCCCAACCAGCCAGAGAAGCCATGTCCAACAATGGTGTTGGGCAGGTAGCGGTTCCGCTCAAGCTTTTCGAAATATTTCTTCATCTTGGCCGGTTCCCAGGAGTCGTCTCCGGTGATGCTTTGGATGTAAGTCCAGTCGCTGTCGTGGGGGAGGATGGTGACCATGGCATTGTGAGAAGCGCAACCTCCCAGTGTACCTGCGCGAGGATACAATATACCGACAGGCTCGGCTCCCTCTGGTGGATACTTGCCCTTATAAAGTTCGCCGGAAGTTGTATTGTACAACATCTTCGAATCACGCTTCTGCCGAGTGGTGTCTGCGTAATGTTGGACGTAGTAATCCCATCTCATCGGCTCGTATTCGGTGGACTGCAGCTGCAAAGCAGGGACATATTGTCTGGTAGCGTTTCCTTGGTCGTCGCCGGCATCGATCAAAAGAACTTTGTTCCCAGCAAGAGCAAGCCTAGAGGCGAGGGGGCCACCACCAGGACCGGAGCCAACAACGACGTAGTCGTACTCGACATCGGGGTCAACGGAGCGACGAATATGGTCGTTATAGTATCTCCTATAGTGGTTTCCACCGTGGAGAGGGCCCTCGCTAACCGTATGTCAGCTCAAATCTTGCATACGCGGCACCAGCTTGAACCTACATAGCCGAAACAGTAACGGCGAGCGTACTCAACAGCCCAAGGTACTGCTTTACGAGCATCTTGGAGGCTTAAACGCGACAATTTCACAGAAAAGATTGGAATACAGTCAAACACGACTGTCAAATGGGAATGTACTAGCGAGTGACGGTGGGGTGAACGACAAATATTGTCTGGAGGAGGTGGTTTAAAACGAGACTTAAATTGAGGAGTTTGGACGTCTCAGGGTATGTACGATGCCCCCTACGAAAATGATCACAGGTGAACTGACTCCAGAGCATCTTTGCAAGGGCTGGACCGGGATTGCATGCCTCCTATGGGTAATTATCGCGAAAAAGGGGATCATTGCAGTGTACCCGGAATTCGGAGGGGTGTGGTATCTTCCACATGGCCAAAGCTTCGACCAGGGCTGAGATTTGGGGTAAGGAGAGCAAGACATGGAACGGTCCTGTATCAGACAACGCTGACGTCCTGAGTGCCCGATGTGGTTGACTGCGGCAATCTAATATTTGGATCGACATAAGGTCTTCACGGGCGGGAACCTTCCGTCCCGAAACCGTTTGGCGGTACCTGCCAAGCTGCCCCAGCTGCGACCAGGCCGTTGGAAAGCAGGGATCTCTGCGGAGAATTTACCGAATTAAACACCGCTTTTCGTCTGAGCACAACGTTCGGCGAAAAGTGGGTTGAGGACCCACACGGAAGCATGGACATTGGGTCATGTCCGCCTTCTGATTTCGAATGCAATTGTGGAAATATCCAATTATTGTGTACAGGGTGTAGGTACCTCGTATTGGAACGCGGCCGCTGTGGACTAAGAAATGTCGATGCCGCAAACAGCACAGGTTTTCGTACTTGTTGAGGCATCGAATTACGACTCGGAAGCTTAAGCACAGATGCCGAGTTCCAATCCGATGCATCTACACCCTGCACAATACTATTGTAAGTACAGTAAACGGGTAGATCGACCAAAAGGAGACACCCACAAGCTGTGCTGAAATGGGATCTACAATCAACTGGGCCAAGAACATCATGCCATCTGAAAGAGCCATTTTTCAACTACCTGCAACGCAACTGATTAGTGTAATCATTGATCAGGCCTCGCACGGACTTACACGGAACGCTTCCCCGTGCCTCACAGGGAAATCACCATCGACCAGCTTGCGTCCTCCTCTCTTCCAGAACACGCGTTCGGCCATCGGGTAAGGCCCACCACACACGGCCCAGAGTTCCGATAACCGTTTGTGGATCGGCAGTTGGCTATCGCCGCCTCACAGCGTCAGAGGCATGGTAAATCAGTCTGAGCAAGTTCGAGTTGTTAAACGCGCCTTATTGCATTTGTTGCTGACTTGATCCTCAAGGCTTTTGTATCTGTATGACCACCAATTAAACCGTATCCCTAAGCCAAATGGGTATATAAAGAAGTTGTGTTCCAAAACATAAAACCGCCGCTATAACATGTCCACCGAGAAGAGAAAATGGAAAGAAACAAAGAAAAAAAAACAAAAAAAAAAAAACAAATGCAGGTCTGTCGTCAGGCTATTAAGCCCCGATACCACACATCATGTGTGTGTTACGGTTGCGGTAGTACCATGTTTGTCGTTGTATGTGGAGCCAACTTCTCCTGCTTGGCTTTCTACATCGACTAGTGGAATAAAATCGCCATCTTCTGGCCCTTTTGGTCTTTGGGATAACTGGCTTCCCTTTGGGCCAGTCCCACCGCTCGATGAGAATCCTGTGGACTTGCCCTGAGTGGTCTGACCCATGGCCTTGGGCATAAAATGTGTGAAGAGAGACCGCATGGCCGGCATGCACGCGCATATTATGCCAACGTGCACTTCTACGGTACTCCAGTATCCGACAGACACGTAATCCCCTTCAATTGTTAGCATCTGAAAAATCAATGCAGAAAGCAAACAAGCTTACAAGTCAGGTTTGAGGTACCGCCAAATTTGATGAGCACTTGAAGGCGAAGGATACTAACAACAGTGACGCTGGTTTCCCGGTTAGATCATTCCGAGGGGCTTGTGGACGTCCGAGACTTACAAAAAACCGACGCAGAACATAAGCATGAGTAGAGCTTTCTTCCTCTTGTTTAGCTGTAGTTTAGCCAGCAGTGGCAAGGGCAGGATGATAACAACCAAGTCCAGCACGACGTTGATAGCTGCACTTGTCCAGCCTTGCGCGTTAATATTGTTGCAGGAACCTTGATGCTCGCCATCCCATTGAGTCCACGCGTAGCTGATCGGCCGGCATTGGAAGACCGAGACAAGCAAGAAAGCAATGCCATAACCGACACAACAACCGATGACGCCATAGACAATTCGCCTAAAGTTGCGCTCTGGAAAGATCCGAAGATAGAAACAGAGGATGGATATCTTGATCATCGGAAGTGCTGTCAAGTAGAGATCTTCGTCAAAGTAGTAGATCTGTATATTATTAGAGCTGTCACATAGTAGGGTAATGCAAGACTCAGGAGGACCTACGTAAAGGACTTGGGTGATATTTTTGAACGGTAAGGTCCAAATATCTCTTCCCAGACCAACGTCGGCTAGTACAACGGACAGGCACGTTAATGGAATAACCAGGAGCTATCATCGTCAGTAACGTAAAACATTCAACACCAGAAGTCTTGTTTACATACCACCGCGAATGTCATAACGGCATCATCCCAACCGACTTTGCCGCCAAACTGTGGCAGACGGGACACCATACGCAATATATAGGCCACAAGGGCAATGATCCCTCCAATGACACCAGTGTATGATACAGCTTTCGTGTTGTCCCGGATGGGAGCATCGCAAAGGCTTTCAGTTGCGTTCTTTGTGGCTGTAGCAGTTAGAATAGCCGTCAAAGGTATATCGACAGTGGGAACTCACTAAGCTGTTGCTTGAGAGTGCAGGTCTCGGTTACGCAGAGGGTGATCTGGGCATTGAGGGTTGCGTTGGAGCAAGTACAAGCCGTATCCGTCAGGCCACACGGTGAGGCGGCGATTGATTTTTCCAGGCACATAACCTGGAGCATGAGTTAGCAACAAGCCGAGGCAATCGGAAGAGTTGAGACGTACTCCACAGGTAGGCATGCTTGCAACAATCCCCAGCAGCTCGGCAGCTGATCCTGCGTGGACAACAGACACCATAGCGGCCGCAACGGCCGAGAGGACCCAGGTGAGCTTCATCCTTGAGGGAAAAGGTGGAGGAAAGTAAAAAGAAAGAGAAAAACAAGGATGCTCTTGCCGGTTCCGAAGACGAAAACGGGCAGCCAAAAGGCAGGTTTAAAGGCATGAAGAAGGGATTAAAGTTGGCAACCCCTACGAGCAGGCGTCCATCTGGTTGAGCATCGGAGATAGATGTCAACGGCTAACTCCACAGGTAACAGACATGACATACCGTTTGGGGCAACGACTGGCAGTGTGTTTCACGAGGCAGCGTTGAGCCAATTCCTCAACCGGCTAGTCGGCGGGCACAGATCCCCGGCTTTGGGACTCGGGACGGCTCCACAAGGGCTCCGCGCCAACGGTCGCGCACGGAGGAACGGGAAAGCCCCGCGGCACGAGTCAGTGCGGCACATGCCGACGCACGGCCATGACCCGACGTTGATCGGAATCTTAATATCAGGGCCTCGCCAATCTGCCCGCCCGGCGCCCGCCCGCCTTTGCCCCGATCGGGGCCGCCTGTTGCCCTCTGGGTCCTCTCTGGGCCCTCTGCCATGTCTGGACCCTCTGGAATCTCTGGAATCTCTGGGACCTCTGGGACCAGTCAAAACGTCCCTATTACCCTCACTCCCACCCATCATTCATTCGATACCACCACGCTCGTTAACCATGTTTGTCCGCGCGCCTCTGCTCCTTAGTTCACTGGCCGCCGCCCACGTTCCTTTCGCCAACGGCATGCCCACCCTCGACAATCTTCTCCAGCTTACCGGCGGAAAACTCGACGCGTCCGTACACAACAAGCGCTCCCTGACGGATGAACTCCGTTCCCGCTTGGACAAGCGTCTCTTGTTCGACCCCATGACCACGCCCGTCGATGGTAAGCATATAATCATGCCCGTATGTTTTGCACTAACCAGGTGCCCAAGTCACTGGCGACCATGCATTCGAAGCACCTGGCCACAAAGACCAGCGCGGCCCATGCCCTGGCTTAAATGCTCTTTCCAACCACAAGTATATTCCTCACGATGGCGTCACTTCTGTAAGGCTTCATATTCCCACGGATATGCCTGACGCTTGACTAACTCGATATAGCTGGCAGAGGTGATTCCTGCAATCAACGAAGGTATGAGCGTACCGGCGATCTCAGACAGGCACATAATTTACTTACTGGCTGCTAGTCTATGGTATGGGCCTCGATCTTGCAGCAATCCTCGCCATAATGGGTGTTGTCTGGACCGGCGACCCCATTACGCTGAACCCCTCCTTTTCCATCGGACGAAACTCAAGCGACGTGAACAACGCTCTCGACAACCTGGGAGGCTTACTGAGTATGGAATCAAGCGCCCCAAAGCTTCACTGTGGATACTTTGTCTAACTTGATCTTTAGGTCAGCCGCAAGGCCTCGTCGGTTCGCACAACTTCATCGAATCCGACTCATCACTTACTCGTGATGATTTGTACGTTACCGGCAACAACTATGCTTTGAACATGACAAAGTTTATGAAATGGTACGACATGGCCGACGAGAATGGGACATATACCATGGATATCATGGGCAAGCGGGCTTCCGACCGTTTCCACGAAAGCATCTACGAGAACCCCAGCTTCTACTACGGCCCATTTACCGGCATGCTTGCGCGTAATGCTGGCTATCTTTTTGTCGGTCGTATCTTTGCCAACCATTCCTCGGCCCATCCTGACGGTGTCTTGAGTAAGTGGGATATGCAATGCATTGTGTCGGCTATTACTGACTTCTAGCTAGCCAAGGATATTATCAAGAGCTTTTTTGCAGTTTCTGGAGAGGAGGGCAACTTCACCTACAGCGAAGGCTCGGAGAGAATCCCTGATGTATGTCAGCGAAATTCCTCATCGAGGAGATAAATTGCTAACGACTCGGAAGAATTGGTACAAGTTGCCTGTGGATTATGGCCTTGTTCAACTGAATTTGGATACTGTTGACTGGATCCTGAAATACCCTGCACTGGGAAGGTACGAAAAAAAGCATCATGTGCACCTTCAGGATGTCTTGACTGACATATTAAACCTAGTATCGGTGGGAACACCGGAACAATCAACAGCTTCACTGGCGTTGAGCTGGACAACCTCACCGATGGAGTTCTCAACATTGAGACGCTCCTCAAAGACAACAATCTCCTCTGCTTCGTTCTGCAAGTCGTCAAGATGGTCAGCCCGACCTATCTCGCCAACATCTACAAGACCTTGTCTGGACCGCTGCACATGATTCTGGATGTCCTTTCCACCCCTTTGCTGGACTTGTCATGTCCGGAGTGGAAGGACATGACTTACAACGGAAAACCACTCTGGGATGCACTGGGAAGCCAGTTCCCTGGAGCCAACAAGAGTGGATCCGCGCTTTAAAAGGTTTCTCACATGCCAATCTTTTCGCACGAATCTGCCGGTCTTCAAACATCTATCACATCTTATTTAATCGAAATACCGTTTTTCTACGCTTTGTAGTCATGTTATCACCAAAAACAAAGCCGTGATTGAAGAGAGGGCAAATTTTGTTGCTCCTTGATGGGCTTTTACAAGTGGTGACTGTGCTGCCATTATTAAAATGTGATGGCTAATTCAGCTCTACATACCCGGTCTATTATTGCATATCTTCGCTTTCGCTGAGCAGTCTAACCTCTCCGTGGAATATGCAGCAGACTTAAGCACCAACCCCTAGATGCTGACATCATCAGCCTTCCGGAATAACCCCCAGAACAATGAGCATCATGGAGCATTGGCCACTCAGTGTAGCAAACTGTATAGCTAGATTGGCGCAAGTATGAATACCGTGCAGTTGTTAACTACAAACGCGCAATAGGGTGATTTGAGACAGTGTCTATGTAAATATTCAGGGGCTCCTGTCTATAGCCGCCTAACTAATTTACTACGATAAATCAAAGCTACGTGAACTTTTACAATTGTGACTAGCCTTTTAGACAAAAAAGTAATCTTCTTCATCCAGGCAATATGCCCAGCACATACTTATGCGACATTGATTGGTCTTGCCACGAGCCATATGTCATCTTATTGTAGTAGGGTGGTATCAGACCGTCAGGCATGTTGGACTGGGCAAGGGTAACAGTGATGGCAGCAAAGAGTTTCATAGTGATTTCTGCTGGAAGTATGCAATCGAAATGGTCAATGTTATCTGCGCAATGAGATATGTAAGCCTTTTGTCATTCTCACGTTAGGGGAATCATGGCCAGAGAAATTGCCAAAGAAAACTACCAGCCTGCCGTTCCTCTACCCACGACCAATTGCCTCCAAAGTCAGCAAGACTGAAAACTTAGTGAAGCCCGGGCAGCACCGAGAAAGTATCTCGGATATCCTGTTGGTTTCGTTGAGACCCTTGATACGAGATCAAGATCATGACCAAATGGCATCCAGTTCAAGACCAGCCAGAATTGCCACCGCCTTGGTCCCATTCATTTCCACCAGGCTTGTCCCAGTCGTTCGAGGTAGTAGCAGCATCATCCCAACCACCTCCAGTGGTATCACCCCCAGTGGTATCGTCCCAACCACCACCAGCAGTGCTGTCGTTCCAACCGCCGTCGTCCATGGGCCTCGGAGGCTCGGGGCACTTCTTGACACCATGGCCCTCTTCAAAGAAAAGTTAGCCATACGTTCCACTAGCATGCAGAATTGAGACACTGACTGTTGCCGCAGTTGTTGCACGTCACACGACTCCAGTCCTTCGGGGTCGGACATTCTCTCGAAGTATGTCCTTCGCCGTCGCAGTTCCTGCAGATCAACTTGCGGGGCTCGGGGCACTCCTTAGCCATATGCCCGGTCTGTCCGCAGTTATGGCTTCTTCGTGTCAGCAAACATTCCAGATGATCGTTAAGTAACGCTTACCAAGCACGTCCGCCGCCACCTCCACCCTGCTTGGGTTCCGGACATTCACGCGCAAAGTGACCAACATTGCCACAGTTGTGACTTTCGATGAATGTCAGCCAACAGCGTGAAAGACCGGTCAGGATATAGACTTACCAGGGACGATCGCCGCCGCCACCGCGGGGTGCCTTGGGTTGAGGACAGCCCCGCGCCATATGACCGGACTCACCACAGTTGTAGCAAGCGTTGTCTCCGCGTTGAGTCTTTTGGGGGCATTCGCGGGCATAGTGGCCATCCTCACCGCAGCTGGAGGATTATCAGCAAAAAGACGACTTGGACTAGAGTCTCTTATGTTGGTGAACTCACTTGCGACAGCCGCTGTTGCCTCCACCAACCTGACGACTAGACTTGCTGGTGCTCCAGCCGTTGTTGTCGCCTGAGTCAACCCACGCGTTGCTGTCGCCGGCGGTAGGAGCACCCCAAGTGTCAGTGCCGTCATCCCAAGTCTGTTGTCCGCCGGTGATGTCAGTAGTCGAAGCCTCGGCGGCCTCGTTGGCCTGATCACCCCAGGATCCCGAAGGTTGGTCGCCGGAGATGGCCTGCTTGTTCTTCACGGCAGCGTCACGATGCTGTCTGCCGGCCCTGTGGGAATTCCAGTCCTTAGTTTTGATCTTGCGGTCGCAAATCTCGCATTCAGTCCACTCCGGGACAATGACCTTGTGAGACGGGTATGGATTGGACTCCATGGTGAATCGCAAAGTCGAAGAGGCACAGATGATGAGAGTGGAAGAAGAAGGTTTGAAGGAGAGAAAATATATGGTGTAGTATGCTGCTCCCTCTAACCACATCTGGCAACCGCAAACGCGCTGCTCTTTCCCCGGGCTCTTTCCTCTTTCCAATACAGGTCCCCGCCCCCCTCCCCCGACCTTTCAAAGGACCCTTCACCTAGCGACGTGCTTCTCCTCTTCTTCATGCTTCCTACCAGACCTTTCACTCCTAGGTAGACCCTTTCACTTCTTTGCTTTCCCTTCCTGCTCCTTCGCTCACCCGCAGGGCCTCTGTTCCCTGCTCTCCATTTGATGCTACCTCCGACTGCATGTAGCCGTCTGTAACACTCATCCCGGTAATCCACATTCTGGGTTCCCGTAAGGCCTCTTGTTGACGGGCATCGGTTACCCGAGGGCTCTTTTTACGGTTCGCAAGGAAAATTTCGTCAGGATTGGAAATGGCTTTTGTAGATGATCAAAACCGGCCGCGGCTGATGATTCAAGGGGCCTTGATGTGTGGTGGAGCATCACAGGCAATAAGGACGGCCATGTAGGCAACCCAAGCCGAGATCAGGACGCCAAGTATGATCAGCGCCGTGACGATCATTTGGAGGCGGGGCTCGAATGCGGCAAGCTCTAGTTCCTGGGCCTCCAGATCGACGGTCTTCTGGCGTTGAACAGACGACGGGATGGTGATGGTCAAAGCGACCTTTGGCACCTTGAGGTAGTTGCAGGGCGGGACCTGCAGGTGGTTGTTGGCCTTGATCTGGGGTTCGTTAGCAGAGTGGCAGCTGGTCATATGGGGCGGGTGGCGTACGGAAGCTTTCTCGTCGTCCATGGTTATCTCAACAGCGTGGGTAGAGGGTATCTTGTTGTCCATTTCGAAGGCTATGGATCGAAGGTATAATGGACTGGGGCGCATTCACATTTAAGTAGGCAAAAAGACTGCGCCGGGTCCAGTGGGACGATATAGGGGTCAGGACCGCATAATGCTCACGCTGATAGCGCAGGGCTGTATAGGATTCCAGCCCCAGCAGCTACGAGGAAGAAACACACGAGCAGCCCGCTCTATACGAGGTCGCATTTGCGCGCGTCCCGCGAAAGGACCGCGCCGGCAGTTGGCGCCGGTGGTTACGCCCGTGAGCTTCCAGTGGCCCTCGCGACCCGCGGCACCCGCTTCACCGCGACCAAAAACAAACAACCTATAGACATCGCCGCCCCCATCTTTCCGCCCCCCGCCCCCATGGCACTGCCAACAACATGCCTCATGAGCAACAACAACCCGCCGAAGCCGCTCCGCCGCCCTCTCCCATACCTGCCGCTCCGCCCCTTCTCGCCCACTCTCGGCATTGCAGAACCTCGCGCTCGAGGCTACGCTGAAACGCTGCTCATACTCCAATCTCGCTGCCTGCCTCCCCAATCTTGCCCTACACATCGGCTTTGATGCACTTTTGCGGAACATCAAAAAGGTGGTGTCTATGAGAACACACTGCGCTGCATAACCCAGGCTTCGACTCAGCTTGGTGTGATCCCGATCGAGATGGCTTCAAACATGGTTGAAGGAAAGTTGTTTCGCAACTTTCTTGTTGCCAATCTTCCCGGAGTAAGTATCAAAACGTCGGTTGTCGTGCCTCTCAAAAGGACGCAACGTCCGGCAAAGCATCCGAGCCAGGGGTGAAGAGCTTTCCAGATGTGCTAGCCTACATAGCGGCAACATTGGTTTCCTAGGTTGCAAAGCCTCTAAGATGACAGTCCCAACAGAGCAATACCCGTGAATGATGAAGACTCTAGACAAAGAGAAAGGACACGCCAACTCGTGAAAAGTTGTGGATGAAACGTCCTTAAGTACCGCTCATCACGAACGTACATACAACGGCTTTACGCCATCGGCCTTGAAGACAGTGGTGACAGCGAAGGTCTTGATGTTTGACTTTATTTTCTATGGCATTTTATCAAGTACCCCAGCGCATGACGTAACGTACCCATCTGTATTAATAATATGCAAACCTCACATGTAGATATCAACCCACAAGGAGCGTTCCTTCTCCCGACCTCCAACCGGACATCGCCTTCGTGTGCTCACTCAAATCCCAAAACTCGCCTTAACGCCCATATCAACATCCATTGAATCTCTGATATCATGAAGGCTATCAAGATCCAATCCAAGGGCCACGCAGCCATTGTCGATGCGGCCATCCCCAAACTTCGAACAGACTATGTTCTTGTCAAAACAGTTGCCGTGGCGCTCAACCCCACAGATTGGAAGCACATTGATTACCTCCCAAGTGAGGGCTGTACTTCTGGTTGCGATTATGCTGGCATTGTGGAAGAGGTTGGCCCCAACGTCTCCTCCGGCCTAAGAAAGGGGGATCGAATTGCCGGATTCACTCACGGAGGAAATTCTTCTCAGCACGAAGACGGCAGTTTTGGTGAGTATTTGGTGGCAAAAGACGGTATACAGATGAAGATACCGGATGGTGTAAGCATTGAAGAGGCGGCAACATTGGGTGTTGGTATCACGACCGTCGGCCAAGGGCTGTACCAGAGCCTGGGGTTACCTTTGCCAGAACAACCAAAAGATCGGTTCTCCGTCTTGATCTACGGAGGTAGTACAGCTACCGGAGCCCTGGCCATCCAATTCGCCAAACTGTAAGTTCAAAGGCCTTCTTTCGTAGGATAAAGAGCACGGCTTATTTATTGCGTCCAGGTCGGGGTTGGAGGTGATCACGACTTGTTCACCCCACAATTTTGAGATGGTAAAGTCTCTTGGTGCATCTGCCGCTTTTGACTACCGCAGTCCTAGTTGTGGCGCCGACATCAGGCAACACACAAACAACGGGCTGTATTATGCCTTTGATTGTATCTCGGAAGGCAAGTCATCTCAGATTTGCGCGGATGCTCTATCATCCAACGCCTCAAACAACAAGCCCGCATACAGCGCTCTCCTGGCAATTGAAATGCCTAGGGAAGACATTGAGCACAAGTATACCTTGGGTTACACTGTCGTAGGAGAGGCTTTTTTCAAGCGCAAGCAGTTTGAAGCTAGCAAAGAGGACTATGAATTTGGAAAGATGTTCTGGGCATTGAGCCAAAGATTGCTGGAGGAGCGCAAGTTCAAGGTTCACCGCCCAGATGTTAGGGATGGTGGCTTGTCGGGCGTACTTGAGGGCCTTGAGGAACTACGACAGGGTAAGATCAGCGGAAAGAAGCTGGTTTATCGGATTTGAGTGGTTTGGGTTTTGAGTTCTTGGGGGAAACCCGGTGGTATCTAATAGACCGACACATGACGCCCGAGCGCCAACTAGATACCTAAATTAGAACAGAACCGGTGTAATCAGGGGTGTCTCCGAGCCTCGTTAGCGTGAGCGACAACAGTCGGTAGCATCTTAAGGCTCGACAAAGGGTTCAGTGACTACTGTAAGCCACATGCTTACACAGGCAATCCCCCGTTTGCTAAGACGCTCATAAATCGCTTGTACTACGATAGCATGACATTCAGTCGTAATCGATACATGGCAAAAGAGGACCAATGATACCACAAATAGTTGTATCTGATTGTGCCCTTTTAAGAGTAAGTATGGCGTGCACGGCATGGTAGCAGGTGGTTAGATATGCGGCGACGGAAAAAGATGACTCCGGATATATCTCTTTATTGCCAAGCACCTTGCTTAAGTAGGCAACATCCAGCGAGCTAAACGATCTGGAGCTAATAGTGCTACATTACTAGCTTAGGCATAAAGATAAACTTAAATAAACTTAAAAAGTAAATAAAGTTATATAGTAAAGATACGATACTACGAAAATACTAATAATCTTTTCTAGTATTTACCTAGTAAAGCTATATATAATTATATTAGTATAATAAAGGAATTATTTAAGAGTAGATAAATTAGTAGTTCCTTTCTAAACATGTAAATAAAGCCTTAAAAGTTAGTAGAGAATAGAATACTTTAGATTTATAAATAAGCTACTTTCTAGATTAAGAAAATAAATTTCTTTAAATTTTTATATCTATAGATATATATTATTTTTTTAAAAAAAATTCTATATAATTCGATATACTATAATATATTATAAAAAATATAAACTAGCTATTTACTAAGGTATATATTTTTTTTTCCGAATATTTTCTAAGATGTATATATTATTTCTAAGATAAATATATATATATATATTAGAATTTTTCGTATAATTTATTATAAAAAAAAGTTAAATCTTGGAAATATTTTTTTTAAAAAAAAATATATATACGGCTATTTACTAAGATACATTTTTTTAAATAAAACTTCTAAGATATATAAAATAATTCTAAGATATATATACTTAAAAAGTCTCTTTAAGATAAATATAATTTTATATTTTTCGCTTATAAATAAAAATATTATAGTATATTATAAAATATATATATATCTTAGAAATATATCTCTATAGAGCGTATATCTTAGAAATTATATTAGAAAAAATATATATCCTAGAAATTATGTCGAAAAAAATTATATATCTTAGTAAATTTTTTTAGGAGAAATATATTGCTAAAAAAAAAAGATAAATATACTCTTAAAAAATCTAATATATTATAAAAAAAAAGCTAAAATATACTCTTGATAAACTCGAAAAAAACACTTAAATATATTTAAAAAAAAAATCAAAATTTACTCTTAATATTTTTTTAAAAATATATTCGATTTATTATAAATATATTTTCTTAAAAAAATATTTCTAACATATATATTTTTTTTAATATTTATATTTAGAATATATAAATTTTTCGAATTTGTTTCTAAAATATATAAATTTATATATCTTAGAAATATTATATAGATCTTAGAAATTTTATAAAAGTAATTTTATATCTTAGTAAATAACCGAAAAGCGAAATATACTCTTAGAAAAAAACAAAATTCATTCTTAAAAAAGAAAAGCGAAAAATATTCTTAAAAGTATTCTAAGATATATTTATTTTCGAATTTAGTTTCTAAGATATATATATTTCTTTTTTTTTAAAAAAAATATTTCTAAGATATATGTTTTTTATAATAAACTACATATATATTATAAATATTCCAGTATATATTTATCTTAGAAATATTATATATATCTTATAAAATACTTAAATAAATTAGTATGTATTAGTAAATAGCCGTTTAAAATATTTAAAATAGTTATATATTACTAAAATTATATAAGTCGATATTTAGTAAAAGCTTTTTTAATAAAGTTTTTTTTTAAAAAAAAATAAGTTTTTTTTAATTTTCTTTATTATAGTATAATATAAAGAACATATTTAAGAAACAAAAACTAAAAACATTTATATCATTTTTTTTAAAAAAAAAAAAGATTAGTAAATATATTAGAAAAGCTATATTTAAAATCGGCTATTTACTAAGGTTTATACTTTCTTCTAAATAATTTCTAAGATAAATATATATACTAGAAAGTCTCTCTAAGATATAAATATTTTTAAATATTTCTATATATTTCGATATATTCTAATATATTATAAAAATATATATCTTAGAAATTTTTTATTTAGGAATATATCCTTTTTTTAATAAATATATTTTACTTTTTTTTTTAAAAAAAAAAACTATTTCGCTTTTTCTTAAAAGTATACTTTACTTTTTTTTTAAGAATATATTTCGCTTTTTTTTAATAAAAAAAATATACTTCCTTTTTTATTTTATAAAACCGAAGTATATTCTTAAAAAATTTATCTTTAAAAAAAATATACCATTAAAAATAATACTCTTTAAAATAGTAAAATAAATTCTTAAAAAAATTATTTAGGAAATATATTCTAAAAAAAAAACTAAAATATACTCTTAAAAAAATAAAATATATCCTTTAAAAGAAACTATATTTTTTTTAAAATAAAAGATTTCTAAGATATATATTTTTTATAGTATATTATTTTAGTAAAAGTAACTTTATAATAAATTGTTTTTATTTCACTAAAATTTAGTAGTAAATAGCTATATTTAGAAACTATATATACTAAAAAACTTTAAAATTTAAAATTTCTATTTCTAAAATAATTATATTTATAAATATCTTAATTAATACAAAATAGCTTATAAGACTGTAACTACTATAATTTTAGAATTTAAAAAATATTATAATTTTTATTTATTTATTATAGAATTAATTCTGGAATATTATTTTTACGGCTATTTACTAAGATATATACTTTTTTCGTATAATATTTAAGATATATATAGTATATTTATCTTAGAGTTTTACGCTATATATATATATAGATAGTATTTTATTACGAAAATTATATATCTTAGAGTTTTACGCTATATGTATAGTATTTTATTACTAAAAAAATATATATCTTAGAAAAATATTTTAGAAATTAAATTCGAAAAAATATGTGTCTTAGAGATATATTTTTAAGAATTATATATCTTAGTATTATTTTTTTTAAAAAAAAAACTATATTACTATAAATAATAAATATACCTTTTAAAAAACATTAAATATATTCTTAAAAAAAATCGAATATACTCTTAAAAAAATCAAATATACTCTTAAAAAAATCGAAATATACTCTTAATAAATTTTTAAAAAAATTCTTAAATATACTCTTAAAAAAAACTATAATATACTTTTTAAAAAATAACTAAATAGAATACGTAAACGCCTAAAAGTAGAACTATATAAAGTTAATCTTTTCTTCTTCTTCCTGCGCCTATAACCTAAATATAAGCTAGGGAAACGTTATAGCTTAGGAGTTAGGCTAGTTCTCTATAGTCGAATTTTGCGAAGAATTAAGCTAATTCTCTATAGTAGATTTTTTAGAGAAACCTTAAAATCCTTTAAATTTTCTAAAGAATTCGAATTTTCTTTAGCAATTTTAGAAGAACTCGAATTTTATCTCTTTATTCTCCTAAAATTTAATCTTCTAAGATTAATTCTATACTAATTAAAAGTTTCTAGCGTTACCTTTTAGCTAGGCGATTATAGCGACTAGCTACTATTTCTTTTTATAGGTATTTCGTAGGAGGTCGCCCTAGCTTTCTCTTTCTAGTACTATTTTTATTTAGCTGCGTATCGTTAGATTCTAGCTATTTAAATAGTACTAGAGAAAAAAAAAATCTTTAGGATCTAGTCCTAAAGTAGTAGCTAGAGCGTAAGTATATCGATAGGGGAGCTTATATTCTATAAAATCTTTATAGAAATATTCTTAAAAAAATAAGCCTAATTTACTATTCTCTATTAGAAATAGATATAATCTAGTATCGAGACTATTAAATAAATTAGTATATTTTCTTAAAAAAAGAAATAGGAGTATATATTCTTTTTTTTTAAAAAAAAAAAATAGAAATAGTAGTCTATCTTCTTAAATAAAAGCGAAAATAAGAGTATAACTTCTTTAAAAGAAAAGACTTCTTATATATAGTTTAATACTAAATTTTTACTAGGTATAATTAGCAAATCTTAAATTTATAGAAAATACTATATAGATTCGATCTTACTATTTCTCTTTATAATATAACTAAATTCGATTTATTATATAGAGAATAGGTAGAGATCTCTCTATAGAGAATAGAGAATTAGCTAATTCTAAGATATTTAACGTAAATTAGCTAAATCTAGGATATTCCTTTAGTACCTAAATTCTTAACTAAGTATCTATAGAAATTTCGCGAATATAGTCTATAGCTAAGAGGTCGATTTAAATAATTTACGAAAGAATTCTATTAAATTCTCGTTAGATAGTTTTATAGTAAAGTTTTCTTTTAATTAGTATATCTATTAAAAATCTCGAATTTTTTAAATATATTTTCTTTTAAAAAAATATATATATATACTCTTAAAAAAATCGAATTTTCGAATATATTTTCTTAAAAAAAACTTATATTATAAAAAAGAGTAGTAATATTTTTTAGTAATATACTACTAGTAAAAAAAAATACTAAGTATTTAGGTAAATTTCGGCTACTATAGGAACTAGTCCTTTTCCTTAATCTAAAGTAATAGTAATTCTACTAGAATTTAGTATAACTAGTTAATTTCTATAGGAGAAAATTCGCTTTTTAGTTGAACTAAGAGACTTTTCTAGAAATTAGAAGAATTAAACCTAATTTTCTTTATTTTTAGCACCTAGAGCGATTCTAAAATAAATTAGAATAATATTATTATTAGAATCTAATATTATTACTATTAGTAAATAGTAAAACGCGTTTTCTAGTTAATTTCTTATATAGGTAGTATTAATTAAAATATACTTACGTAAATTTAAGATAGCTACCTCTAAAAATACGTCTAGAGAAATAAATATATATCTATTTATTAGATATATTAGTATTTTCGCCTAAAAAATAGTTAGTATATTTAAATAAAAATAAACTTTTAGTAATAAATAGTATCTAAATTTTTTAAATTATTTCTTTTTAGTCGTCCTAAATACCTAAAGAAATCGAATCTTTAGCTCTCTAAGCTACCTAATATAGAATCTTTTTTCTATATAAAATTCGCTTATTTAATGGAATTTATACTACGCGAATTACTGGGTTATCTAAAATAAATTTCTAGGTATAAGAAGAAACTTAGTTAAATTTAAATATCTCTAATTTTCGTAGGTAGATTAAGGGTATATATATTTTGTAAGCCGTTTAATAATAAAAGGATCTAATAAATATTAGTATATTTTCTTTTTTTAAAAAAAGCGAAATAGGAGTATAACTTCTTTAAAAAAAAGAAATAGGAGTATATTGTCTTAAAAAAAAAAGTAAAAATATACTTTTTTTTTAAAAGATATATATCTTAAATAGATAGCTATTTACTACTAGATTACGGTAAATATAGTACGATATTTTTAAATCGCTATATTTTATTTTCTATAATTCTCCTCGCTAGTTAATATAGAATAAGGCCTAATTTTTTTTACCTCGTCTATAGTTAAAAACTCGGTTAAAATTAAAAATAGCTCTATAGTCGATTTTTTAAATAAAAAAAAGGGAAAAAAGGTCCTAGTATTTATATCCTAATATTAGGCGCCTGTCTAATTAAACTAAATATTAGGCGTCTGCTTCTATAGTTTAGAATTTTAATTATAGTTAAACTATTAAATTAGGCGCTTATTTTTAAGTTCTAGAATATAGATCCTAATAAAACTAAATATTTTCGTAAATTCTAAGCTTTAAGAATCTATACTTAATTAAACTAAATAATAATAGCGTGATTATAATAAATATATATATATTTTTACTTAGAAAATATTCAATTTTTTTAAGAGTATATTCGATTTTTTTAAGAATAAATTTAAGTTTTTAAAGAGTATATTTATTATTTATAGTAATATATTTTTTTTAAAAAAAAAATCATTATAGAGGTGTATAATTTATTCAAACTATTTCTAAGATATATAATTTTTAAAAATATATTTCTAAGATATATATTATAAAAATTATATACTAGAGTATTTTAAGCTAGTATATATTAGAAAAGAAAGTTATTTACTATTTTTTTTTAAAAAAAACAAAATATAAATCTAATATAGTTTAAATATATTTTATAAAGAAATAAAAATCTTTTTTTAGAAAAAAAAAAGAGATAACTATAAAGTTTTATAAAATTTAAAATCTTAATTATTAATCTTTAAATAAAAGTATTCTTTAGATATATTTTCTAAAATATATATTTTTATAATTTAATACTTTATATATATACTTATAAGTAGCTCTATATATTTTTATTTTAAGTATAATATATATCTAATTAGTAAATTTTATAAATATCTCACTAGAAAAAACTTTTTAAGAAATAATATATTTTAGTAAGTAGCTAATTTAAAAATCTAAAGAGTTAAAATATATAAAATTTAAAAAAAATATAAAAATAAATCTACTATGATTATAGTTTATTAACTAACTTACTATTTTAATACTAAATTTTTATTATCCTAATAGATATAAAAGTTACCTATTTAAATTAAGCTAGAATATATACTATTATTTAGTAGTAGAAGTAATATAGTTTTCGTTATACTCTAGTACTTTTTACTTATATTAGAATATTCTTATATTAGTTAATAAATATACTAAATAATTTTAAAACTATAATATGGTTTTTTTTAATAATTATATTTAAAATTTTAATAATTTATTAGTATATATATATATAATAGTATAAAAGTAAAAGATATTTATTTTAATAAAATAAATATTTTAAAAAAAAAGCTTATAAAATCTATTTTAAAAATTTAACTATAATAAAAAATAGCTATTTACTAAAATATATATATCTTTTTAAGTATTTTCTAAGATATATATATTACTTCTACTAGATAAATATATATAAATATATTTTAGTATTTTTTATAATATGCATAGTAATTTATTATAAAAAATATATTTTAATTTATTTTAAAGATTATATTTACTCTTTTTTAAAGAGTATATTCTTTTTTTTAAAGAATATATTTTACTTTTTTTTTAAAAAAAATTATATCTAACTAGACTTCTTAGTATATATATCTTAAAAAATATATAAAAAAAATTATTTATCTTAGTAAATATCTATAAACTTAAGCTTTAGAATTATTAAGAAGCTATTATATTTTTTCTTAAAAAAAAGTAGTATAGTATTTAAAAAAAGTTAAATATATATATATATATATTATTATTTTTTAATATTTTTAAATTATTTTTCTAAAATATTATTAGCTTCTTTTTTATATATTAATATATATATTCTCTAAATTAATATAATATTTTACTAGAATAGTCTTTTGAATAGTATACTTTAGAAATAAATAGAATATTAGAAATTATTTTTTAAAATTATATATATATAGATAATATTATAGATTTATTTTATATAAATTTAAAAATATAAGAATTTTAGAATTTATAAATCTAAAAATCTAAGACTTTAGAAGGTTAAAGATTTAATATATCTAAGTTATCTAATTATTTTTACTATAATTAAAGTAATTAAATATATGTATTATTATTTAATAGAGAATAAATACTATTATAAATATAAGTAATTTAATTTACTACTCTATCCTACTTCTTATTTATAGATTAGAGTAATCTAATCTAGATTATCTAATATAATTTCTTAAAAAAAAATTGTAATAAATATACTATTTTAGAAATATTATTAAGAAGTATAATTAGCTATTTACTAAGATATATATACTATTTCTAATATAAATAATTCTAAAAAGTCCCTCTAAAAATAAGATATATATTTTTTTTAAATTTTTCTTTTTTTATAAATTATAATATATTATAAAAATATTTATCTTAGATATAAAACTAATATATATATATCTTAGAGATTATTTTTCTTAAATAATATTCTTCTTTTTCTTAAGAATATATTTTTTAAAAGAAATAATTTCTAACTGATATATATATTTTCGGATTTTATTTCTAAGATATATATTTTTATAATATACTATATTAAATAGAAATTTATAGAAATATTTTTCCTAATTATTTCTATCTTAGAGAGACTTTTCAGATATATTTATCTCAGAAATAGTATGTGTATCTTAGAAAATATCCAAAAAATTATGTGTATCTCAGTAAATAGCTGAAGTGTAATATATACTAATAAGTTGCCGTATCTTATAAGTTTGTTGATTTACTAAATATTAATTATACTCTATGCCGCTCCAATAAAATGGCCCATCAATATTTCTCCAAGCTACCTGCTCGACGCTTTTCTCCCACCCCATCATAACAGCCAGCAGCCGACAACCAGTCGCGCTTACAGTGCATAATACCGTATCAGCCTTTGCTAGAACGGCCAGATCTAGTAAATATGATCGTCCGACCAGCTCACGCATACGCATGGCTTCCTGCGAAGCCTCCAGGTTCTTCTCTACATCCAAGGCAACCTTTGAAGGTTTACCCAAGCTCCAGAAAACATCGCGGAAAAAGCCACCCTCCCAACCGGATATTTCATCGATGTATCTGTTTTTGTTTTTGGCGCCAGTTGCCTCAAGTGTGGTTTTGCTGGCAAGGACAATACGATCTTGAGCGCGAATCGCATCGCCAACTTCAACTGCGCTGTATACGTCCGGGTCATCAGACGCCAAAATGATCTTGGAGGATACGCTCGGCAAAGATGCACCAGTGCTCGATACCGCTTGTAAGACATTGGAGGCAGAGCCGCTCGCTGCTGCAGCCTTGGATTCTCGGGTGGAAGAGGCGTTTAGAGACAGCGACTGTCCATGGTGTGTAACAAGGACATCACGGGCAGCGAATAAATAGCGGTCTAATGGGATGTAATCCTTGGAGTATTCCAATTCGAACGGGTGACGGTCTCCGCGACGAACGTGAAGACCGATGCTCATGTTGCCTCCTTCCTGGACTGGCGAGTAGAGATTCTGTGCCCGTTCCAGGACATAGCCCGCATCGTCATGCCGAAGGTTGAACAGGGCCTCGTATCCTTGGCGCAAGAGCCCAAAAATGCGATGCTGGCGTTGAACGGCACTTTTCTTGGTGTCTTGGTACTCCTCATTAAAAGAGGATCCAAAAGTCCAAGACGTTGTGGCGGCGGAAACAAGAAGGTGTCTTGCATTATGCGGGCATGGCACGACCTGGTTGGTCAGTGGTGGCAAGCAAGAAGGTGCTGGTGGCGGCGCGAAGTAGCTCGTATAATTGCCGTACGGCCTGTGTGCGAGAAGGCAGTGTTAGCTTATAGCGGGAGTAGACAGCAGCGTAAACCAGTAGGTCAGCGCACCATCGGGTATCATCCACGAAAAAGGCCCTCCCCTCCTTTTGCGCCAGCCCATATGCCATCCACAGAGACATTAGGGTCTTGCCCATACCCGCTTCTGACGTCTCCATCACAAAGGTTAAACTAGTCTCGCAGAGCTTCACCTCTTCACTGCCCATCACACCCATGGCATGCTCATCCCAACCGACTGCTGACACCATTTTGACGTGTTCCTGCGACTGAGGCAACAGACCTTGCTCCATCGCTTCTTGAACGTCGACGAAATTCGGATCAGTGTAATAGTAGCCCCGCTGATCAGCGAGAGACACCTCGGAGACTTGGCGGCACAGCTCTTGGTATTGAATTGGCCGCAACGGGAACTCCAGATGTGCCGGCAAGGAAAGGGTCCATAGCATCTTGCCGCGCGGGTCTGTCACGGCAACCACCGACGGTTCTTCCGGAAGCAGGCTGTCGCCGACCATTTCGTACTCGCCCTGGTAGGCATGAGGCCGGCTGGTGCACCAGTGCCTGATGCCGAACCAAGCTAGCACGGTAAGACTGCAAAAGACGGCCAGGAGCTTCTTGACGATGCGCGCGTGGGCGGAAGACGAAGCCTTGGCATGGCGCGGTGGGGGAGGTAAGCCCGGCGAGGGCGGTGGAGAGCGTGAGAAGAGGGCCGAGTGAGGGGTGCGCGGGGTCAAGAGAGCGGCGGGCGGGCGGGCGGAGGTCGAGGGCGAGACGATGGAGAGGTGGTTGGCACGGCGGGCGTGCATGGTGGGCGAGAGCGAGGGCGAGGGCAGTGGAGAGAGAAGAGCGCCATTGGGGAGACTTTGGTGCAGCTGTAGTGGAATGGAGATGACGGGATGCTTCGCGTAGGCGCAGCGTGAGACGAACTTGAGACGCATTACTCGGTACGTGCGTATGTACTCTAGGGTATCAAGGGTGCTACAAAAACGAACATAACCAAGAGGAAAATAAAAAATAAAAAGCAAATCAGCTGTCGTGCGCCGGTCTGAAACTGAGCATGTCGTCCAGCATCTTCGTAATGTCCTCGACCTCGCGCGAGTCCTTCTCCGATCGCGGCGACAGCAGGCCACCGGGGCTCGTTGCCCAGCTCTTGCCGCTGTTGTAGAAGTAGCTCGAGCTGGCGGTGCTGCCACTGCGTCGCACCGCCGCCCGGCGGTTCTCCAGCGCCGCCACCGACGTGTCGACGGTCAGGTCGGCCACATCGCGCTTGCGCGCCGCCGACCGCAGCGCCGCTACCATGCGGTCCTTGTCCTCGAGCTGCGCCCGCAACTCTGCTATCTCCTCGTCCTTCTCCTTCAGCAGTGACTCGATCCTGCCCTCTTCTATGCCCAGGGCCGTCAGCCGGCCCGAGTGCGACAGAGCCATCGACATGCGCGATTGGCTCGTCCGCCGCGCCTGCAGCAAGCGCTTCTCAAGCGTAGATATGTAGCGGTTCTTGTCCGCGAGGTCTACCTGCAAGGCTTGGATGTGAGCTGCGGGGCTGGCCGTGCCATCGCCGTTGTCGCCCAGCGACTCCTCTTCTTCCGACCCGTTCTCGCCCGCTTCCTGCCCTAGAGATGGCGGGAATGACATTGCCGAGCCTCCGGAAGAGGTTCGGTTGAGGTTTGGCACCTCAAGCGCCATCTGACTTGCCATCGAGTTGCGCACAGAGACCGTGTGAGGCTCGCTGTTGCTCATGATCGAGTTGCGGTACCGAGCGCCCAAAGACGTGAAGGACCGGCGGGAGTTTACCCCTATGGACCTTGAGCTCAGGATTAGACGGTTGAGGTGTTCGATGCGCTCTTTCAGAGCCGTTCGCGCAAGCTGCATTTCTAGCATCTGCTCTTCGTGCCGCACTTCTGCTTCGACCTCACGAGCTCTTTCTTCTTCCATCACTCTGGCTACGGTCTCCTCTTTCGTTTTGTTTTCAAGCTGTTTGCGTAGTTCTGCAATCTCCATGCGATACCGGTCCAAGAGCGCGCGGCTGTTCGGGTCGGCGGCATGTGCCTCTTCTGCTTTCTTCGCATGACTGACAATGCTATTTTTGGCACGTGAAGCGAATTTCAAGGTACTGAGCGTTTCGTTGATGTGCGTGTTGGTGCTCGCAACGCTTCCTGAAAAACCAATTTGGACAGTGCATAGGATGCTGACGAGGGAATTTCCCGACAAAGCGGGTTGCAGCAAACGAGTAAGTTTGCTGTCTCTGTAGGGCAGATGTTTGTCTCTTTCTGCATCCTTGTCCTTGTGCTCCGAAAGTCGAGCGATGACCGTGCCGAGCGTAAGAAGACTCTTGTTGATGTGCGCGCCTTCGGCTCGCCTCTCTTTGTCATCTGCAGCTCTTTCTGAGCCCGCCAAATCGATCAGGCTCAGTGTCGAGACGCGCACTCCACCAGGTGCTATGGCCGAACGCTTGCTATCCTGGAGAGTTCCTCCTCCGGGGACGCGCTCGCGGCTTTCGACGACAATCTGAACAACCGCATGACTCCGTGAGCTCCGGGCGTTGAACTGCGTACCGGCCACCCTCCGGCACTGGTCACCTCTGGCAATGACCCGCAGAAGCTGCGTAGGGCTTTGGACTATTTCTTCTTTCAATGGCGTTGCGTAAACACCTCTTTTGCTGTCTTCCCTGAGCTTGATTTCTTCCTGCGGTCCGGCCAGCGGACCTGTTCCGGTGGGGTTTGCCAGAAGGTCATGAATCTTTTCGTTGTAGATCTCTAGGTAGCTCACACGCAGCAAGAACTCTCGGTGGGGAGTTTCCCGGATGAAAGAGAAGATGTCGGTGATGGCGAGGGGGATTACACCCGGAGACGTAGTCGTGCCTTGCATGGAGAAGGTTTTTCCTGTGCCGGTCATACCGTATGCGAAGACTGTCCCGTGATAGCCTTCCATCACCCGCCGAACCAGCCGCTTGGCTGCCGCATCGTAGACGCGTGCGTTGTTGTCCTGCGCAGTAAACACATTGTCTGTCCCATCAAGATATCAGTGCACCGAACATGCTCAGAGGGGACGATGCCATCCCTACCGCTGAAATAGTCGCCGCCTTCTCGCCCTCTGTACGCTATCAAGCCCCGCCGTCCATCCACCATCCACTCTGACTCGCGTGGCGCTTCTGACCCTCCCGCATCAGGCCTTACTCGAACACTCACTACAACGTTTCCTTTTCCGTCTTTATGGGTAGACGACCGCCCCCCGGTGCCTGGGCTTTCCTGCTCTGAAGACATTTTTTCGGCTTCGCCGCTATCATCGAGCTCGGTGTCATACGATTCTTGCGACGGATAACCTGGGCTTTCGGGGGGCGATGAGTTGGCAAAAGAGCCATTCAGGGCCAGCCTTCTATCGACAGCTTCGACCAGCAAGCTTGGCGAGCCCAACGGAGACTTCGTGGAAGACTGTCCTCGAGCCCTGGCGCTACCCGGCTTCCTCGAGGGGACACCCGTGGAGCCGAGCGAGCTCCGCCTATCCGTGGTGGTGCCATCTGAAGTGGTGCCGGCCGACAGAGGACTTGGTGGATGGCTTATGCGATTCACGCCTTTGGGAGGCTGAGGAAAGGAACCAATGCTGATCGTCTTGCGCAAGCCTTTTGCGGGCGTGGCGGCCGCCAACGGGCCCCGGATCTGAGAGGTTGTGGGCAGGTTCGAGGTAGAGTTGGATTGCGCTTTGGGCTGCGGGCGCGTTGGGAGCGTCGAGGGTGACGAGGGCTGGGCGGACATGCGTCGTTCGGGGCTGGCGGGACTGCGCGTCTTGGGCACAGGGAGGGCGGGTAGAGGCGCGTCGGGGGGGTTCAGTGAAGGTCTCGGAATGGCGGCCATGGTGGTGGTTGGTGATGGCAAGGCTCAGTTCCACGGGCCCAAGCGACGTTGCCATGGGGTCTCAGGGAAAGTGCACTGCTGCCGCGCTGGCCCGAATGGAGCGCACGGCGATGGTTGGCGGGTGAAGGAACGAGTGCTAGCAGTGTTGACGGGCGACAATCATAACGAGCGGGAGCGGCCTGAGCTCAGGGGCTTAGCCGCAGGGCAACTTGCCCACAATTGATCCCTCCCCCCGGCCAGGGCCCTTTCACGTGAGGCTGATTTGATTTGATGTGATTGATGTGACATTCTCCAATTGCTCATCTACTTTTTATGCTGCTTTTTCCCACCCTTAAACACCTAATGCACGCCGTTGCTGTAGCCGTTGGCCCCTTCGACGTAACCGTTGGGTCCGTCCACTCCCTCCGGCCCCGACGCAAATTTTATCGACGACTGCACGGGACCGCCGTTGGGCACACCGTCGGCCGCGTCGTCGCTCATGACGGCTTTCTTGAGCATCGACGGGCCATTGGCCTTGGCCTCCACCGATTCGCCATTGACAGTGTATCCTGTGTCGCTCGAGTCCACAAACGCCTCGATTCCAGCCCCCTCACGGGGGTATTCCTTCATTAGCTGCTTGTGCAGATGCAATGCCTTAACCATCTCCTCAGACGACACGTCGTTCAAAAAGACGCAGCTGCCCAAAGGACTGGGAACGGCTGCACGTAGCAACCCGTCTCTAGTCTTGAGAATGGCTTTGGTGCCCTTGTCTAGGATGTCCTCGTCAAACTGTGCATGGTCCATGGAAAGGCCGGCACGAGAGAATAGGTTTAGGATAAGACGGTGCTCCTCGTCGCTCAGCTGTCCCCGCATGTTTGCAAGTGTGGCTGAGTATGCCATGTCAATCGAAATGGCATGGCCGTGACGCAAAGGCACGTCGGGGACAAGCTCATGGAGAGGTGACCACCTTTCACGCGTCAATAATTTCGAGACCCAAAAAGATGACTGAACAACTTACGTATGGCCATATGCAATCACCCTGTCCAGGCCGATCTCATGCAGATTCGGCGTCTCCAGCTTCAGCATCTCATAGATGCCTGCACGGTTGATCTTGTCCGCTGCCGACCTAACTTCCGCGGATGCGCCATCCGCGCGACCAAAACCAGTTCCGATAAGCTCTTCACAATACTTGTCCAGGAGGTTGAACGTCTCAAGATGAGCGCAGGTCGAGATTTTGATCAGTTCAGCGAAACCATTCCTGATCTGAGCCTCGGGAAGAGTGCGAAGGAACCCAAAATCGAGGAAGGTGTGGATAGGTGCGTGGTAAGCCCCCAGTCGGTTCTTGTAGTTACCATAGTTGACCGCCACCTTGATAGAGACAGAAGCGTCGATCAGGCCGATTACAGTTGTCGGAATACGGATGTAGTTCGTATTTCTGCGGTATGCGGCACAGGCGAATCTGCGTTTGGATGGTTAGCCTGATGTTCCCCAGGGACTCGAGACATTTGATGGTATCGGGCCAGAGTGCCTTGAATATATCTTGGCGATGGACCGGTGGAAGTTGTCTTTACCCGGCAACGTCTGTAACCAGCCCACCACCAACGACGAGTACAGGCTCCTTTCTGAAAATGCCAAACTCTGTCATTGAGTCGACGATACTCAGAAGAGTATCCATAGATTTGGCCTTCTCCCCGATCATGGTCTTGTGAATCTTCAACTCGATATTGTGGTGGTCAAAGTACTCCTGCATCTGCTTCCCGTAGACGTTGAAGATGTTCAAGTCCATGACAGCAAGGCATCGCTTCCAGCGAGTGTAGCAATCGGCGAGCTGGCTGTTGGGCTTGTCGAAAATCCCGTCGAGGAAGGTGAAGTCATATTCTATCTTCTCGTAACCCTCGACGTGGAAGCCCGCCTTGGTCTCGGCGACTTTTGCGCTCATGTCAGACATGTTGGATCGGAGTGTGGAGTATGTTGAACAACAACAAAATTGAAAAGAGAAGCAAGAAACAGAGGACCGAGGAATGGTACGGAACGTTGGGGAGGATATCGGTCCCGTCCAGCAGACAGGCTAGCCTTTTAAACCTGTCCGACACAGTAACACGCTACACAGTCGAGCCGCATGAAGAGATGACAAGGCCCAACGCATCAACGAAATCCACGCCAGCAAGCCATGGAAGCGCTGAGGCATATTTGCAAGCGACGGCGCATGCGGGATGCATCAGTGCTTCGGCATGCCATGGTCGAAAGAGGAGCTAGCACGGTCCAAAGGAGCGTTGGGGTGGCAGTCATGATGTCGAGGAAAAGGATGGACGCGCATGTCGTCAACGCAGCGACATAACCCAAGATGCTAGTCTCACGCCATCTCGGGTAGATTGGCGACGCGGGTGGGGCGGGCGCGCGATGGTGATGCTTTCGATGCTGGGCGCCTGGAGATCGACGCGCATTACCTCATGCAGCAGCTGTACCTGTCTGTGCGTCCTGTGCCCCTCCCCCGCACGCTTCAACGGCTTGGCGCGCTGTGTATACCCGTACACAACCTTTCCTCTCTGCTACACACACCCACACCATGCCGCACTTTGATACCTCCAAGGCTTACGCCGAGCAAGAGGAGACCTTCTTCGACGATGGCCGCGAAATCGAACTCCTGCACTTCGTCTACGGCCAGCCCGACGTCGATGACATCCGCGGCCACCCCGCCCGTGTCCTGCGTGCCATTGACGACTTTGCCCGCACCAAGAAGTATCTGATGAACGTCGGCGAGGACAAGGGTAGGATCGTGACAGATCTCATCGCCCAAGTCAAGCCCCAGGTCATGGTATGCATGCTGTGCTCTCCCATCCCCGCTTGGCACTGACGTGGCACCAAGGTCGAGCTGGGAGGATACATTGGCTATTCCTGCATTCTGTTCGGTGACGCCGTGCGCAGGGCCGGTGGCAGCCGCTACTTCAGCCTCGAACGGAATCCTGAGTTTGCTGCCGTGATCAGTTCCTTGGTGGACCTTGCAGGCCTCAGCGATGTTGTCAAGGTTGTTGTTGGCTCTAGCGATGCATCAATCAAGAGACTTCAGAAATCGGGAGCTTTGCAGCACATAGACTTGATGTTCTTGGACCACTATAAGCCGGCGTACACTGCCGACTTGAAGCTGTGCGAGCATCTCAAGCTTGTGACTCCAGGGTCGGTCCTGGCCGCGGACAATGTCATCAAGCCAGGAAACCCGCCCTACCTTGAGTATGTCCGAGCGAGCGTAGAGGAGAAAAGAAGAGCTGTAGAGCAGGAAGGCGCCGCGGGTGAAAGCGGCGTCGACGGCCGCTTTGCGGACAGGACGTCGAAGCAGTACGTGAAGCGCGAGGGAGAAGTCAAGTTGGATACAACGATCAAAGGAAACCCGAACCTGATATATGAGAGCGAGCTCGTGAACAGTTTCGAGCCCACCGGGGTGCCGGTAAGTTTGGCAGTGAGTGAGCTGCTGGAATTTAGGAACTGACAATGGCATCTAGGACGGCGTTGAAATCACCAGGTGTGTGGGAGTGGAGCAATAGATGGCATGGATCGAAGGACAGAATACTTGATAGACAACAGCTACGTGTAAACGTAAAATTTGACTTGCTTGCCCGGCCCCAACCTAGGTAGCTAAGCAGGAGGTCCATGACGTACCCCAAAGCTCGGCTGTGCACTCTAAATACTTCTTGCCCTACCTAGCCTCTTCTCTTCCCTCTCATCCATTCTTGCCTTTTCACTCTTTTTCAACCATGGAAGGCTTTCTCGCCGGTCATGTGCCCAAAAATGCCCTTCTCCTCTTGCTGAGCATCCTATTCCTACCTTTTGACACCATGCTGCTGGGCCTGGTCTACCTTCTTACTCGCGCCCTTCCTCATTTGTCTCCGGCTGTGTCGCGTAATGCGGGGGCAAAGACCATCTTGGTTACGGGTGTCGGCATGAGCAAAGGTCTAACTCTTGCCCGGACATTCCATCTGGCAGGCCATCGTGTCATTGGAGCGGATTTTTCCCCCCTCGCTTGCGGTCGCTTTTCCGCCGCCTTGTCAGCTTTCTACACCTTGCAGAAGCCCACTCAAAGCGACTCAGGTCCTTATATATCCTCCTTGCTGGAGACTATTCGACGCGAGGGCGTAGATCTGTGGGTCAGTTGCTCCGGCGTTGCCTCAGCGGTCGAAGATGGCTTTGCGAAAGAAGCCGTGGAATCGCAAACTATATGCAAAGCTGTGCAGTTTGGAATTGAAGACACGCGGCGATTACACGAGAAGGACACATTCATTCAACACACTCGCAGCATCGGGCTGGAGGTGCCTGAGACACACACAGTGCGTAGCAGGGATAGCATGCTGACTGCTCTGAAGAAGAGTATCGGACTTGCGGCAGAAAAAGGCAAAAACAGAAGACGTTTTATTGCAAAGAGCATTGGAATGGACGACAAAAGCAGGGGAGATATGACATTGCTCCCGTGTCCGGCGGAAAACGAGACCAAAGCACATATTGCAAGGCTTGATATCTCTGACAAGGATCCATGGATTCTCCAGGAGTATGTCAAGGGCGAGGAATACTGTACGCATGCTCTTGTTATTAGGGGACAGGTCAAGGCCTTTGTGGCCTGCCCCTCCGCAGAACTTTTGATGCACTACAGTGCTCTGCCAGCCGATTCACCACTCAGCTTGGCTATGCTCAGTTTCACACAACGACATGCAGACGCTGGTGGCCCGGAATTCACTGGGCACTTGAGCTTTGATTTTCTTGTAAAAGAAGAAGACATCAAAAATGGAAACGCTAAGGACATACTACTTTATCCCATCGAATGCAACCCCCGCGCACACACGGCTGTTGTCCTTTTCAACAGACCGAAAGATTTGGCGGATCAATACTTGTCACTGCTGAGTTCTGACGAGCATTGTATCGCCACAGGCAGACAGGAAAAGTCTTGCTCCATCATCGCGCCCCACCAGTCAGAAAATTATTATTGGGTTGGACACGATCTCGTTGAGCTTGTATTACTGCCTGCAGTAAAAACCATTTCTGGAAGGTTACCATTAGATGTCACCCTGAGATCCTGGAAGACGTTCTTCGAGCACCTTGTCTACTGGAGGGACGGCACCTATGAGTTTTGGGACCCGCTTCCTTGGTGGTGCCTGTACCATGTATTTTGGCCGACACAATTTGTGGCCAGCATCAGCATTGGGCAAAAATGGAGCCGGATGAACGTCAGCACCACCAAAATGTTTTCCTCTGCCTAGCCACGGATAAAAGGGGAAGACTTTACTACAGAGATGAACTGTTTTATAATCTTTGAGAAAATCTGCTTTCAGCAGAAACCACTCACTGATATTTGGATAGTTTGTATTACCAAAATGAAACACCATCACATTGCGTGCTTCCTCCGAGACTATCAATCTTGCTCGTGGGCCACCACGAAAATACGTGAGAGGTGGACTACGCTACTACAGTTGCCGTTCCTGACACAAATGAGCCCTCAATAAGCCCTCAATGAGTTCCTAGACTCGTGCGAAAGAAAACTATGAACCACATCTAACCAAATACAGAGGAGATTAGCCGACGACCTCATCCATCTCCCTTAGCGTAAAATCTAACAAGTAACTTTCGTCAACAAGCTCGTCTAGTCGTCTGTAGTGTCGCTCTGTGTAAGCTCCAAGAGCATCCATAATCTGCTTCACAGTGCTTCTGGCCTGGAGACCTCCGGTGGCTTTCAGGTTTGAGAGGTGCGTAGCCGGATATGAGCGCATCACTGCCCACAGGATTCTCTGAGCAACAGCAGCCGTTCTGGCATTCGTGTTCCAGTCTCTCAATCTTAACAGCAGGGTCAAGAGCTGCTCATCGGCAAGACTGCACAAGACCTCGTCGACAGCGCTTTTGCCGGATAAACTCCCTTCATCCTGCTCCTCAGCCTCGACGACACCTTTGAAAAGGCTAAGGAGTCTCGCTGGCTGGTTAAGTTGCAGTGCGAGAGTGATTGCCTCGCGGAAGTTCCCAGCATGCACAAAGTTTTGTAGCCTTTGGTCCTGCTCTACACGCTCCGATTCTCGCGTCACAGCAGCCTCCATAGTAGCACTCGTTGTGTCCTCCCAGAACGTGATGACGCTGTCACCACCACCTGAAACAAGGCTGTTGGAAAGTGGGTTTGCAGTGAGTGCCCAAACACGGTCAGTGTGATTGTCCAACGTGCACGCCACTTCACCGGAACTGAGGTCCCACACTTTGACCAGACCATCACCACCGGCGGAAGCAACTTGGGCTCCTCTTTTATCCCGAGCTTCGCTCGCAGGCAGCGGATTCAACCAAACCAATTTGAGCACACTGTTGGTGTGACCCTCAAAGGTCAAAAGGCAGCTGTAATCGGTCAAGCTCCAAACCTTGACCGTCTTGTCGCCGGAGCCTGTGGCGATTAAACCACGATTTCCGCTTCCGTCGATTTGCGGCGTCTCTTTGGGCGCGAATTTGACACTCCATACGCCACGACGATGACCTCGTAACACACCTTGTGTCTCTCCTTCTTCAGTGGACCAGATTTTCACGGTCCTGTCTTGGGAGGCTGTGGCGAAGAGTGTGGCATTATAATTTGTGTCGATGGCGTTGATGTCTTTATCGTGAGCTTTCCGGGTCCACGTGGCTTTTGATGGTCTTGTGGGATCTTTGAGTGTGTGTGCATTGTCCCACCGCTTGATAGTTTTATCTTGCGAGCCGGTAACAACAAAAGAAGGAGGATGGTCCAAAGGATGAGAGTGTGCGGCTGAGCCAGCTGGCGGCGGAGTTTTAGGTAAGGCGATGGCTCCAAGCGATTCAGCGTGACCAGTGTATGTGGCGAAGCAGACGTAAGAATTCTGCTCAGGATCCAATCTCCAAAGACGAGCGGTGTTGTCCTTTGCGCCGGTTGCAAGCCAATGTCCGGACCAGTCCGTATCCAGACAAATGATGATGTCCTCGTGGCCCTTTAGAAGAGCTACATCAGCACCGAAATAGTTGCCCCCAATTTGTTCGTCAGCGACGTCCTCGCGAGGTGCCAAGGAAACGATGCGGACGTCTTCAAGGTTTGTAGCCAGTGCGAGGAAAGATCGATCCGATCCGACATATGCCAAGTCAATGACCTCGTCGTGAGTACCGGATATGCGTCGTAAAATCGGCAATGGAGACATTGTCTGCGCATCATCATAATCTGCCAACTGGCCTGTCGAGTGCAAAACAAGAGTTTGATCGGCGTGGACCGACAGAAGGTAGGGTAAGCCTTCGTGCCGAATAATGGCAATGATGCCCTCGGTCTCCGTTCCTGCCACTTGCTCTCTCGTCACCTCTCTTCCTCCAGAGATCGCCCATAATCGAACTTTTCCGTTTTCTCCGCCGGTAAATATCAAAGAGCTATTGTCAGTAAAGCCAACGCTCTCAACTCCTTCTAGCACCGGAATCGTGCTCCGTACTTTCCATGTTTGCGCATCCCAAACCATGACCGTCTTGTCTCTGCTCCCCGAGACCAAGGCGTTCTCTTGTACCGAGAAGTCGATGCTCCGCACGACGGAAACATGCGAATCCAACACAGCAATGCTTTTCCGCTTGTGAAGATCCCATATCCGAATCTTGCCGTCTTCTCCTCCGGAAGCCAGCCGATAGCTTAAGGAAGTATCGCCCTCGTCATCAGGCTTCTCTTCTGGTCTGGAGTTTGTCTTTTTCCTGCGGTTCTTTCCATTCTTTCCCTCATCACGACTCGAGACCTGCGCCTCGAAGAACCGCAGTGACGCAATGACGCCGCTGTGACCATGGAAAGTGTGGGTGGTATAGCCACCGCGAATATCCCATACTTTGACGACACCATCTGCACCTCCAGTTGCTAACAAAGTCCCGGTACGGTCGGTAACGGATACTACGACAGGCGACGTATGCGGCTTCAAGGTTCTCGTAAGGTCCGCGTCGATGACTGCGTCTTCGGAAGCTGAAGGCTTCAGAGAAAAGATGCGCATAGACAATGAGCGGGAGCATGTGATCAGGTGCGAGCCCGAAGGTGTCACTGCACAGCATTAGTAGGTTGTGGTGGTTGCGACGCATGAGAGAAGAACGTACGGCAGAGTGTGGTGATTACTTCTCCATCCTGTTCTGCGCGTCAATGTCAGACACACACGACGAAGACCGCGCATGTACGCGCCGACTTACTCCTTCAATGCGGCCAAGCTCAGCGCCTGTCGCAAGGTCGGTCAGAAGCACATCTTCGGCTAGGCATGTCGCTAGGATGCGGCCGTTCCTGCTGAGAGCGACGCTGCCTCCGGTGTATATAGGCTGGATAACGCGCAAAGGCTCGAAAGTCGTCTTGAGTCCAGCTTTTTGCGCCATTCTGGAGAGTGTGAATGGTGAATGAGAGAAGGCTGAGGCCGATAGTGGCTCGAGACTTTTTCCTTATCGGCCGGCAAGCGAGTCGGTGCGCCTCGGCAATCGTTTCCTCATGACTAAGTTAGGTTATGTTGACGGCACCTCTCGCGCCCTAGGTAGGTAAGTACCTCCCTACTAACTCTCAGCGATGGGGAGAGATGCCTTTTTGACCAGACTAGCGCTGGTGAGTCTGATGATCCCTATTCCCTCGCCTGTGCTGATGGTAGCCACCAGGGTCGTTCTGCATATGAGCTCCCAGAACGCTTCCCGGCTGGTACTCATCAGTATGATAGTCGCGGGCATCCAGTCAACCCGCAAGCGCGCGCCTTGGGCCGCGTTCTGCGCGATGCTCAAAACGACGTCCTGGCAGCGGTTGGCGTGGTCGAGCGCAAGCGCGTAAGCCTTGCGGCGGCAACTCCGTCTCCGCCAAAAGATCCGCTGGTTGTTAAACTGGTCGAGGCAGAGGAGTTGAGTGGTACCTCTGTGGCCGTCGTTAGCACTTTGGCAAAGTATGCTGGACTGTGGTGGGTGTATGCCCTGCTAGACCGTATCTTGGTGAGCAAGTCTAGAAACAAGTCAACCAGACCTTTAGTACTGATGTCGTACAAGACCTACGATTACCCACAAGAGCACTCTTTTACGGATCTCCTCTGCGCTCAGTATCGCTCAGAAGGGCCGGCCGCGTTCTTCTTCGCGGGCCTCCCCGCCCATCTGATCTCCATGCTCACCAATGATGGAGAAATGTGGGCTTATTTTGCTATTTCAACACTTGATGAAGCTCTTCTAAGGTCAAACCTGTCAAGGGATCGCCGAATGTTTTATCATCGATGGAGACCACGAATCCGCAACATGTAGGTGACAGCGACACGCTTGAAGGGTTTCATCTTTCCGTTCCACGCTGATCAGGTTCGATAGTATTTCCATCGCGGTAGAGCTAATATTCGCCCCAATTGTCCTTCATGCAACTTCCCAGAGGTTGTTTCTCACGTCGGCATCTCAGCTGTTACCGCCTGCACAAATGTTCAACCCTTTTTCCGCAGGTTCCCCCTTCATGACATTAACTACACCTTTACACTTTTCTCTGACAGCTGCAATAAGCTGCGTCTCCTCAACAATCATTTCACCAGCTATCATGGCCTTCGTTTGGCGGCGGGCTTTAACGCATATTCAGCGCCTTATGTATGAACCTTTGGAAAGGAACATCTTGGCACCTGACAATCCAGACGTGTACACGACTGAAATCGCGGCGGACAGAAAGAATGATGCCCTGCCGTTAGCACCCAAAAATTATCCTTGGGCTGATTGGTTCTTTGGATGCCTGCAGTGGAATCGGCGTGACAGTCCACGCGATGTTACATCTGCTGAAATACCTGACGAGCTGTCACTCGAAGATAGGCATTTCAACCGTGGCCACCCTGTGCGGTCCACTGATATCGAAGGCCCAGATGAGGATGACCGACCGGGTACGCCGGTTGGACTACCCCCAAGTCCTTTCAACCCACAAACCCCACCAACACAATCTCACACTGGCTTTCCCACACCACCGATTTCACCTACAGAGTCTTTTAGAAATCCGGACAATGAAAGAGACGCGACCGTACGAATCGCATCTCGAGACGAGGGCTCGGGGGTCGTAAGCCTTGAGATAGCTTTGCCGGAGGAGTTGCAAGAAAACCCGAGTGCCAGCAGGAGCGCACTTGAGGCGCGTCGGCCTCAGGAAACGCTCAATGAACGGCATCATCGACGCCGCGAGCGCGAGCGCACTAAAGTGCATCGTATCACGCAGCTTGCCGAGGAGCCTGCAGAGATGTTGATGACATGGCTCAATTTCACATTTTCGGACTGGATGCTTCTGCCTCTGAGGGCAATTGGCCTTCGCATGCTGGCAGAGTGGTATTTACGGTCGCTTAGTGGGAGAAGCGGCGGGCACCAATTGCCTGCAGGGGCGCAGGCGATTTACGGCGCATGGCCAGCACCCTCAGCAAACAGGAGCATGGGCGTGTACATTGGCCGAGTGGGCTTGTGTTGTGCCCTAGAGGCAAGCGTAGGTCTCGCGGCATGGGGGCTCGAGTGGGTGGTGGTTACGGGCATGGGACGAAGATATTTTGGTTGGGGACGGCGATGACATAGTCAAAGGCGGAAAGAACTATAAAGAACAAAATAAAAAATGCATGTATTCCCATCATCGACGCCTCCCTCCCATCGCCATCACTTAAGACGACCCATCGAGAGGAAAGCTTCCTATCCGGGAAGGACAGTTTATCTCCAGAGCCACATCGCAAAAGCGACTGGCAACACTGCCCGCTGTGGAAGAATCAAAGCGGTGGTCGTGGCTGGCTCCGTTGGTTTTTGATCGAGGAGCAAAAGAGGATCAAAGGTCGCGAAGCTTTTTGAAGACGGTCCGGCTAGCGCGGATTATGTCAGCAAACGCTCGGCAGCTGCCGCCGGCTTCCGCCCAATCGCCAATCGCCCACCAGGCCACTTCCATGCTGTTGCTCGTCGTCGCATGCGTACACGTATTTTTGGTAGGTAGTTATCCGGGCATGTCCATAGGTTGCGTGCCGAGATAAACCAGTCCGTTCCAATGACGTGTGTGGCCAGTCGCCCGTCTGATTGGTTGCGGAGGCGGGCAATATCCCCGCCAACACTCAGCTACCCTCATCACTGTTCTTGCATGCCTTTCTCTCCCTCTATTCCCTTGTCCACTTCTTTCCATCTCTTGAGAACCTGCAGCTGAGTGCTGTCCCAGACCAATGTCTCTCGCTTCTCCGCGATGAGCAAGCCTATTCTTCCTTTGCCTTCCTCTCAGGCTGGCTCCCACCCTGAACCCGATCCAACACCTCCAGCACCCATGAAGCCTACATATGCGAAACGAGGCAAGATTACTATCGTTGCCTGTCTGCCGTGTCGCAGGCGCAAGACCAAGGTACGGTCCAGAACATCCTGCCACGAGGCTTTTGTGTCTTCTGGCTGACCCTCCGGCTTCTCCAGTGCGATGGAAAGAGACCTTCGTGCTCACAATGTCTCGCTCGAGATGGACAGTGTCAGTACGACATGACCGACGAACAACGTCGTTTAACATTTTTAAGAGAGAGTCTGGAGAGTCTAGAGGCTGAGAAGAGTGCAGCCGACTCACTGTTGTCCATGCTCCAGCGTTACAGTGAAGATGATGCGAAGGAACTGCTCCGTATATTACGAACAAAGGCCGACTTTCGTGCTGTCGCGCGGCAGGCACATTCCGGTCGGTTACTCCTCAATCTCAGACCACAATCGTCATCTGCTATTAGTAAGACCAGCTGTGAGCAGGAACCACTATTCATGAGGCTTGCTCTCCTCCCTATTTGGATATGTATGCTGAGGCTTGAGATTGTTTGCCAGACACTCATGCGTCGGAAAACCCGAAACATGGTCCACCCGTCCTGGCACTCGCACAACAACCTGCTCTAGAACCACGGAAGAGCCAGAGCCTTGCTCAACTCGTAGCAACCGCTCCGCCCGTTGAGTTAGATGAGATAGTTCGTCGTCTACGACTGGGGGAGGAGGAATCCTCGGTTTTAGCTTCGGCGCAGGCGGGCACACTGCTTCAAACTTTGAGCCCCTGCGATCCCACCAGCTCACCCGATGTGGAAACGGAATTCTCTGGCCCCGAAGCTTTTGGACTTGTTAAGGGTGCAGAGTCAAGCGTGCCTCATGAGAGTTCACGGGACCCTGGCGCTGAAGGTCAATTGATAGACCAGCCTTGGACTTCTGTCACCAACGAGACCGAGCTCATAGAGCACCTCCTCGCACTATATTTTACCTGGCAGCACCCCTTAACACCGAATTTTCCAGAGGAGCTGTTTAGAGCTGACATGGCCTCGGGTCAGACGAAGTATTGTTCAAGACTCCTCGTCAATGCTGTATGCGCAGCCGGTTGTCTCTTTTCTCCAAAGTCGCAGGAACGGCACAAACCTGACGACCCACATACGACCGGCACAGATTTCTTCGATGAGGCTATCAGCTTACTAAATCAAGAACGAACGTCTAGCCTGCCCACTGTCGCTGCTTTGTCTATCTTGTCACATTTTGAAGGAAATCATGGCCGCCTCAGCTCGTCATGGCATTACAGTGGCCGTAGCTCGCGGATGGCACTTGATCTAAATTTGCATCTACGGAGCGATAAGACGGCATCCGACAATCTCAGCCCTACGGCAAACATCGAAGAAACAGCGCGTACTCATGTTTTCTGGAGCTGCTTCGTCTCTGATCAGTAGGTACCCTTGGCAGACCAGTGCACAAATTCCTACGCCAGCTGTTCCCTCTACCAGGGTTAGGCGTGAGTCAGTCAGTTTCCATCGCAACAACTCGGCAAGGCTTTATGAGCTTTAGTTCTATGCCTCAACTCCGTCTTGGGTCACTGCTGTTTTGCAGTTCTGACTTTTCTTAGAATCAGTAGTTTTACCCTTGGCCGCTTACCGATGATCCCTACGAATGCTATAACAGTGGATTTGCCGACGGGTAATCCAAAACGGGATGAAGAAAAGTGGACGGCACACGATGTCGAAGGCTCAAAACCGGGAGCCAGAGCTGCAACATTCAGGCAACTCGTTAACCTATCAAAAATCGTCAATTCTACTCTTCAGATGTTCTTCGCACCATCCCAAGCAATGAGTGGCAGCCTACTCCTTGAAGAATACCAAAAGTACCTTCAGTGGTACGCGAAGCTACCATCTATCGTGTCTTCGCTTTCATATGCTGTACCTCACATTCTCACTCTCCAGTAAGTCGTCTCAGGGTTTATCGTGTTTTTCTCTCGGTATGCTGGCCAAACCGACGCTCTTTATCACAGTCTCATAGGAAGCTTTATACGGTGGCATTCCTCTAATTACAGCATTTCACGGTCAGGAAGCATAACCCCGTTAACATTTGCATAGCATGTATTATCACGCAGCCGTGCTGCTCCTTTTTCGACCCTTTTTGAAAGCTGAACTCACTGACTCGGATATTTCGCCGCGGGAAATATGCCGGACTTCAGCGAACGCCATTTCCGATTTATTCGCACAGCACCGTCAGCTCTACGGGCTTGTTGGCATCTTTACCTTTCAAATGCATTGCCTGCTGACTGCGTGCACAATCCACATCATCAACTTACCGTCTGTTTCTGCTACGAATCATCTGGCTTTTGCTTGTAACAGCTTTCAGGACCTCGTTAAGCAAAATGCGTGGGCAGCAGGAAGCCTGAACATCATCAAGGGTTTGGTCCAGAAGTGGCAGATCGTGTTACCCACCGAGGTTGAGAACACCCTGTATCGCAATCAAGGAGACGTTGCGACCGCCTTCGACTTCAGTAGCAGCGGTAACGACCAAGCCGAAGCGTATCGTCCGGAAAAACGCTCCATGTCCCTCAATCCTTCGACACAGGTAGTGCCTAAACGGCGGCGCATAACGTCGGTGGAATCACGAGAACAACCTAGCAACTACTTTTTCTCTCCGTTCCCAAATCAACCCCCTCCGCTGCTTGGACCAATTCACACGAGCACGAGTGGAGACGTCGAATGGAACGACGAAGTTAGCAAGATGTCCCAGAAAGTTGACGGGTTGAACTTCTTTGGAGACGATGGATTCGATCCCTTCATGGGCTATCAAGGAGACTGAATTCGCGTAGCTACGAGGGGAGCTTTCGGGCTTGTACCCATATTTGCACTGGAATCTACGGGAGAAACTAAACAACCACTGGCTATGTTGAGCAGCAGTGCATAGGTATGATAGTGATTGCATGCAACGGACCTTCCGAGGTTAGGAGCAACGTTGGTTTTGCGGAAAGATGTCGAAACACCTACCCAAGGACCGATCGCTTTCGGCAACCTTCGCCACGCCCGCGGAACAATAGTTTGCTCTATTGTGCGAGGAAAGTGAGATTGAAATAGGAGTGCGTGTGGAGCAACTAGCAGCACGCTACCAATGTCTGACGAATCTGGTGTAGGACTACGTATGGGGTATTTGCTGCGACGGATGAACGTGGGTGAGGCCAATACTGGAAAACGTACAATGGCGGATTACAATCAACTTTCCCGCGTAGGGCCTTGAATGATCACATCTATAAGCATAAATTATAGTCTGCTGGGACCGTATACGGTGTGCTTTGCATCAATGCGCTCGTGTTAGAAATCAGCTGGTCGCAGTCAAAGCTGTGACACTCGGTTCAACTAGATCCACGTAGCCATTGTTATTACACATGTCATAAACGCCAATCAACCGTCTCCGGCACCCGTCTGACGATGGCAGCAGCCGCTCAACAGCTACGCCGGCTTGACAGGCGCGTCGTCGTTGTACTCTTCTTCTCTTATGCCATCCTTGCTGATCACCTTAACCGAAACGCCCTTGAAGTCGATGGGCAATCTCCGCTTAAGCTCGTCGGTGCACATGCGCAAGATCTTCATGCCCTGCTCGAAGTTGATGCCCGGGTGGTGGTGCTTGTCGAGAATGGAGAGACAGTAGTACCTAGCAGTTGACAGAGATCAGCAAACGAAGCTCATCAAACGCGCGAAGGGCCAGAGCCGAGTGGAGCTCCAGGTAGGGCACAACGTACTGAGCATAACCGTGAGCGGCATAAGGTACGGGAGCCAGGGCAGCCAGGTAGTCACACCAGTACAAGCAAGGCTTGTCAGTGATGGGGTCCATGCCGCCCAGCAGCAGGTTGACGGTGTAGGGTCTCCGCGACCTAAGTGCCTGGGCAAGCTCGCCGCGAACGAAGCTGGCAACAGCGGCTGGGCGAAGGTGGGTGTCGTTGCGCATCGAGTACAGCTGGACATTGGCCTGGATGTACTCGGCAAACTGGACTGCATGGACGTGTCAGCAATACTGAGCATGGGCGCGAGAGGCTGGCGTACGCACCCGTGTCGCCCGCCTCGCCGGAGAAGGCCATGAGCGTGTGCTTGTTCAGCACCTTGGTCTTGTCGTCAGTGGCCTTGAGGATGCTGGCGCCGCGCATGGCAGCCTTGGAGGAGGCAATGATGGTGAAGTCCTTGCCGGTGATACCAAGCAGGACCTCCCTGTGAGCTGGTCAGCGAGGTGCAGGCGCGGGCGTCGGGGCGGGCTCGACGTACATGATGGGCGACGGCGAAGAAGAGGCGGGGACGGGGCGCGAGAGAGGCGGGGACGAGATGTGCTCGACGCGGAGGGCAGGCGAGCAGGCGAGAGCGAGTCGGGGTGGGCGGTGGTTGATGTGGTTGTGATGTTGGAGAGGTGGTGGTGAAGGGCAGCTCCGACCAGCCAGCAGCTCTTGGGTACGTCGTCCCGGTCGGAGCTTTGACCGGCCGACGAAGAGAAATCTTGGCGAAATTTATTCTGTCGCTGTCTTTCTCGCAGCAAAACCTCGCTGCCGCCACCGAACAATGTCGTCCTTTTTCACTGCGCCGGCCTCCCAGCGCAAGAGGAAGCGCACCTCGGCCGCCGCACCTGACAGGCCCAAGACGCAGCGCCGCCGTCGCGAGGATTCCATTTCTAGCGAAGATTCAGACCAGGGCGACCACCCGGACAACGACGACCATGGCGACACCGACGACACGGCTTCCGACGCCGCAGACGAGACGGCTGCCGAGCGCCGCCTGCGCCTCGCCGAGCGCTACCTGGACAACATTCGCGAGGAGGTAGACGAGGCCGGCTTCGACGCTGCCGAGATTGATCGCGACCTCATCGCCGAACGCCTCAAGGAAGACGTTGCCGAGGCCAAGGGTCGCCTCTACCGCCGCATTGCATCCTCCCTCGACTTCTCTGCCGCCGAGCACACCCTCTTCCGCGCCGACAACCAGGCCACCACGGCCGCCGCAACATGCCCGCCCTACGCATACACGGCCACCAAAGACATGGCTCTGATCAAATGGTCTATACCCACACCCCCCGATTCGACCGCCAACCTGCCCACCAGCCTTACTCCCCGCCGTCGTCCCACCCAGCTCGTCTATACCAAGGGAAACAAGAACCGCGCCAACGACCCCACGTTCCACCACCACACTGCGCCCATACTCTGCATCGCCGCCTCTGGCGATGGCAAGTTTGTTGCAACCGGCGGTGCGGACAGGAAGCTCATCATCTGGCGCGCCGGAGACCTCACGCCTCTGAAGGTCTTCACCCAACACCGCGATGCGGTAATATCTCTTGCCTTCCGCCGCGGCACGAACCAGCTTTTCAGCGCGAGCAAAGACCGAACGATCAAAACGTGGAGTCTGGATGAACTGGCATATGTCGAGACGCTGTTTGGACATCAGGACGCAGTCATTGACATTGCAGCGTTGGCGCAGGAGAGATGTGTCAGTGTGGGAGCACGGGATCGGACCGCAAGGCTGTGGAAGGTTGTCGAGGAGAGCCAGCTGGTCTTTCGCGGCGGCGGGACGAGTGTCACGAGAACGAACAGGTCTGGTGGAAGCACGAGCAAGGCAGGAGGGGGTTATGCAGAGGGCAGCATCGACAGGATCGCGCTCGTCGACGAGGAGACGTTCGTCACTGGTAGTGACAACGGCTCCATTTCGCTGTGGTCCATCAACAAGAAGAAGCCCGTCTTCACGCTACCACTCGCACACGGCTTGGACCCGCCCATGAGGCCCGACGAGGTGCATGCGGACGCCAAACTGGAGGGCGAGGATGTCTGGATACCGCCGCAACAGCCGAGGTGGATCACTGCACTGATCACCATACCATACACGGACGTGATTCTCAGTGGAAGTTGGGATGGGTGGGTTCGGGCGTGGAGGGTTAGTGAGGATGGCAAGAGGATTGAGCCGCTGGGAGCCGTGGGCCAAACGTCGCCAGGCGAAGGCGGTGACGGGCCGATGAGCGACAGCGTAACGGCGACCCAGGAGAGTGGAACGGCGAAGGTCAGGGGCGTCGTCAATGATCTCTCGGTGTTCGAGCGGGGCGACAGGGGTCGGGACGGGATCTGCGTCGTCGCGGCCGTCGGTAAGGAGGCGAGACTGGGGAGATGGCGGAAGTTTGCGGGCAAGAACGCCGCCGTGGTTATGGAAGTGCAGAGGAACGGGGCAGCCGGGGAGGAGACAGGAGTGGCCGAATAGGGCCAGAGAAAAAAGGGCCGGCGTTTGTTTGGGACAGAAAGGCGGCCGCCCCCACAGCGACGGGGCCGGGCCCACAGTGAAACATATTTATTTTTAGAGCCGCCATGGCGATCAGCCGCCGCTCGCAGCAATGTAACTATTCTCAGCAGCAGCGAGCCCCACGATTTTTCTGCGCCAGGGCAGCGACTCCAAGAAGCCACAGGCGTCTTCGCTGATGCACGCCTCGGGGCGCATCGGCTTGAGGCCGGGCTCGCCCAGGAGAGAAAGCGAAGCCAGGCCGAGGTACGAGTGGTAGATGTCTGGCGGGTCGCCGGGCACCTTGCCAAAGCCGCCGACGGCATGCTGCGTCTTCTCCAGCAGGTAGCGACGGGCGGCATCGTGCGCCGGCAGGTCGAGGCGGCCGAGCATCTGCGCGGCGCGTCAGACGTGTGGGCGTGCAGCAGGAGAGGGAGAGGGATACGTACCGACAGCGATGCGCCAACCCACCAGGCGTAGCAGGTGTCTGCGATCTTGTTGCAGCGGCCGTTGAAGCCGAGACAGCGCAGGTCGAAGCGGTCAGCGGGCCGGTTCTCGTAGTTCAGGCGGCCCTTTTCCGAGGGAAAGGCGCGCAGCTTGACAAACGAGTGGGCGTCGTGGCAGGTGCTGGGCGAGTCGGTCTCGTCGGCGGCCGTCGAGTCAATGGCGTCGTCTTCGTCGAGCGTGGCCGTCTGGCGCGCGATCAGCCAGCGCGTAGCCAGGTCGGCGTCGGCCACGTCGAGGCGGCGGCCGACAAAGGACAGGGCACCCAGGGCGCAGTAGGTGAAGCCGGCGTGGGCCTCGTGGAAAGGCGCCTCGGAGATGCCGCCATCATAGGTCTGGGGAAGATTGTTAGCATGGTAAGAGGACCTTAGAGAGCTATTAACCTACCTGTGACAGAGCGACGCGGCGGGCCAGGGCGGGCACGTCGACGTCGGCCACGGCGTCGACGGGGCCCTCAGCATGGCCGCGCAGAATCCAGCGCACGCCGGCCGCACAGTAGCCAAAGCGCGTGTCCAAGCCGCCCTCTATGCGCCCGCCCTCGCCCAGCGTCTCGCCGAAGCTGCCGTCGGGCCGCTGCAGCTTGGGCAGCCAGGCCAGGCAGTCACGGCGACGCACGCGGCTCAGGTCGTCGCGCAGCAACAGCAGCGAAGCCAGAGCAAAGAAGGTGGCGGGCAGGTTGGCTGGATCCCAGTGGGCGTTGGCGGGGCTTGCACTGCCATCGAGGTCAGTGGCAGGCCCGCCGCGGAAGCCGCCGTCACGAGGGTGCTGGCAGCGGTAGATCCAGGCGATGTAGTCGTCGCGCTCGCCCTGTGACATGGAGGAGTCCAGCTCGCCCAGCAGGTCCAGGGCCGAGAGGATGAAAAAGGCCAACGTCATGCGATTGCAGTCATTGCCCGTGTAGTGGTGGGGGAGGAAGGTCTTGAGGCAGCGCTTCCAGTACTGCAGCTGCTTGGGCGTGTTGAGGGCCATGCTGAACCGACCGACCGACAGATAGACCTGTGTAGGTATGTATGTAGGTAGTTATTCTTGTATGCAGTAAACTTAAACCAACTAGGTGCAGGTGCACGGAGATTTGCACTGATTGGCCCTGACTCGGCGCGTCCGGCTCGTAACGCTCGCGCTCTGGATGCCCCGTGAGACGCTGGAATATTACAAGTACCGCCTGCCTCCTTAACTGCCCTACCTTGGCCTTCATTAACACCCTCTCGCTCCCGCTCTCCCTCGACCTCTATGCCCGCCGCCCGCTAGCACCACCCACCGTCGCCGCCACCAATCCCGCCACCCTTTCCCACCTGCCTGCGCTGCTGGCCAGCCCATCGTCATGTCGGGCTTCGCAAATTCCTTCTGGTCTGGCGACTATGCCGGAGGTGCGCGCGCCCACTTACCCATTCCCACCTTTCCTTGGTTTTTTTTTTTTTTTTTCTTTCTCTCTTTTTTTCCCCCTTTGCCCTTTGTACGTTGTCTAACTCGCTTCCGCAGGCCTGGGCGTGCTCTTCGGCAAGCTCCAGCAGGGCGTGCAAGAGAATGAGCAGGTCCTCACTATCGCCCGTATGCGCGCCGAGGCCGAGGACGTCTACGGCCAGCGCCTGGGCGAAATCGCACCTGCCACCGACAAGACGTCGGGCGGCTTTGGGCGCGATGACGGCGCCAGCGTGCGCAAGGTGAGCTGCACCCTGTACCCCGTCACACCATGGCCCCGTCGCTAACCCGCTCTCCTAGGCCTACGAGGGCATGCGCAGCGAAATGGAGGCCGCCTCGCAGAGTCACCGCAAGATTGCCTCTAATATCCGCGACCTCGTCATAACCCCCTTCAGCCGTTGGTGTGAAGCCCACGCCGCGCGCGTGCAGAACTCGCAAGACGACCTCCAGTCCCGTATCAAGGTCCACGACAAGCAGGCCGACGCCGTCAGGAAATTCCGCAGCCAGTACTACAACAAGTGCCGCCTGGTCGAGGACTTGGAGGAAGAGGACAAGCTGGCCTTCCAGGAGCCCATCCCGGAGACTGCTCAGAGCCCCAAGAACAACATCCCTACTGTGCGCCTGTCGGAGCCCGAGGACCAAGATGACGAACCCATCGAGCTGGGCGACCAGACGTACCAGCCCGAAGACGTCAAGAAAATCCTCACGCACATGCTCGAGAACATCAAGCTCGGCGAGTACAAGCTGCCCATCATCGGCACCTATCAGAACGTCTCGACCGGCGCCGACATCACCGAGTACATCCAGAAGCACATGGGCGCCACCACCGTCGGCTACGCCGAAAAGATTGGCCAGGACCTTGTCGGCAACGGCTTCCTCCGCCTGCTCGGCACTGTGGGCAACAACTTTGCAAACAGCTCCAAGATGAACTATCAGTGGAGGCCAAAGGTCTTCAGACTCACCGGCATCCCCGAAAAGAAGAAGCCACTTGAGCGCATATCCTCAACCATGTCTTCGGACAGCATGACGGCCGACACGCCCTCGAGCGCCGTCAGCGAGTACCTGTCCGGCTGGAACCCCCTCAACAACCCCCGGCCTAACGAGACGCCCTCCGACAAGCTTCGTCGCGAGGCCCGCGAGGCCGATGAACGCTACAAGGCCTCTGTCAAGAAGCTGGATGCTCTCCGCTGCAACCTGGAAGAGGCTATGGTCGACAATCTCAAGTTCATGGAGAGGTGCGAATTGGACCGCCTAAAGGCTATCAAGGCCGTGATTCTGGATTTCTCGGGCGCCATCAGCAATGTCATCCCGGCCCTGCAGAGCACCGTTGACAACATGATGCTGTTCCAGGAGACGGTGCAGCCCCTGGGTGACCTGAGGTATCTCTTGGAGAACTACCGAACCGGTCACTTTGTGCCCAAGGTCCTCACTTACGAGAACTACTACAACTCTGTTGATGGTAAGCCGAAATCGCCCGTTAATCCATTCGCCTGTGAGCGCGCGTGTCTAACAATATCGCAGAGCAAACGTTTGGTGTCGACCTCGAGGCTAGGGCTCGCTCGGATCGCAAGCGCGTGCCCATCATCGTCACTACGATTCTGACTTTCCTTGACAACCGTATGTTCATCCGTGGCCCGCTCTGCCTCAAACCCCTTCTTTTTCTGACAAAAAAAATGCAGACTACCCCGATCTGGAAGGCGACGAGGCCCGCCGCGGCATATGGCTGGTCGACGTGCCTCTCGCCGCTACTCACCACCTCCGCTCCGCCATCAACACCGGCCAGCCCATTGAACATGATGTCCTTGATAAGTATGAGATACCCATCGTTGCCAGCGTTCTGAAATTGTATCTTCTGGAGTTGCCAGGTAAGCAAACATGAGAGAAGCTTCCACGCGGCTTTCGCAAGCTAAACATTGCCAGATTCTCTTGTGTCTTCTCACGTCTACGAAATCATCAAGACCATCTACAGTCAGACTGCGCCTTCTACGACCGAAGAGACCCGCATTTCCGTTATTCAGTCCACCCTTGGACAGCTCCGCTTGGCCAACATTGCCACTCTGGACGCCATCACGACTCACTTTGTCCGGCTCATTGAGCTCACCTCGGCCGACGAGACTTACATTGCGACCCTTGCGCAGACACTGTCCCCGTGTATCTTGCGCCCGCGGCAAGAGAACTCGCTTACCATGAACGAACGCTACAGCTACCGCCTTATCCGCGATCTCTTCGCGCACAAAGACGCCATTTTCGGCGAGCTGAAGCGCGCTTCGGCGTTGACTCACAGCAACTCGGGTGCCTCTAGGCCGCGCGCCATAAGCACGGATGAGAGCAACCGCCGCCTGGCCATGGAGGAACGGCAGCGCGCCATTGCTTCGCGCAGCAGCCGCGCTCCGAGCCCGGCTGCGAGCCCGCGGATCCATCGGCGGGATCGAAGTTCTGGAGCAGAGACTCGATTTCCCATCCAGACTAGCCCTACCGAGCGCCGTACCACCGGTCCGAGCAGAAATTCACTTGAAGTTCCCGGCTCCGCGGAAGGTTCGCCCGTCATCAATGATTACTCTCCCCCGAAGCCCACGGCAAATGGTTCCGCTTCAACTACCAGCACAAGTTCGAACCGAGACAGCGCATCGACAACCATTTCCGCCTCTAACCGGGACAGCATCACTTCTGACGGCTCGTCCACACCCACCTCCGCTACCGTTGAAAAGCGCAACTCTTTCAACCGATCCAGCGTCACGGCCTCGCGATTCCCTCGTAAGCCCGGAAGCTTGGCAAGACACAGCCTGATCAGCAACAAGCGCGACAGCATGGGCAGCATGAGAGATGGCGAGACGCCGAGTTCGCCGGCGGTCGAGGAGCAGAGGCCGGTTGGTGTCGAGTTGGTGGACAAGCCCATGGATGACTAAATGCTACGATCCTGCCATGTCAATGACTGCACGATCCAAGTGCGATGACAAGTTTTCCTTTGGGGGCTACAGTTTTTTCGCTTCTCGTAAATGATATCATACAGTGTATTATAGGCGCTGATTAAGCTAGGATGGAATGGAGAGTACGGATCTAGGACGCTCTAATTGAAGTTTTGTTGAATCTGAGCACAGTGGACAACCTCTGTCGTGATCTGCGCAAGCCAAAAGTCGACGCCATCAGCAAAAAAATATGTATCTATATTGCAAAAAGCTAATCCAAACGCTGCCGTGTATCCGCCCCTCCTTTAGCCCCGCCATGAATGGCCGATCCTCTAGGAACCGAAAGCAATGCCCCTCGCCGCAAGCCTGACCTTGACAATGTCGTAGATGGCAGTGGGCGGCTGGTTCGCCTCGATCCTAACCACACGATCTTGAGCAGAGAACTCATCGACGACGGGCATGGAAGTCTCGACGAAAGTCCTGAAACGCTTCCTGATCGATTCGGGGTTGTCATCGGCGCGGCCGGACGTCTTGCCGCGGTTGAGCAGGCGCGCTTCCATGACCTCCTCGGAGCAGTCGAAGAAGAGAGTGAACTTGGAGGGGCAGACGGAGGCCTCAAAGGCATGGGCTTGGTCAACCTTGCGGGGAAAACCTGGAATCCCAAGAGTCAGTTTACAGATAAAAATGAAGAGTCAACGCTCTCTCGCAGGGCCCGTACCATCGATCAGGAACTTGGTCTTGCCCTCGTCGTCAATGGCCGCACGCATGGCATTCTCAAGCAGCTGGATCGTGACTTCCATGGGAACAATCTTGCCCTCGCGGATGTAATCCTTGATCAGCTGACCGAACTGGGAGCCAGGCCTGTCCTGCTCCTCGCGCAGAAGGTCGCCCGCAGACAGGTGCTTGAAGGAGTAATCGCGCTTCAGGTTCTCGCACTGGGTGCCCTTGCCGGCGCCAGGGCCGCCCAGGACGAAGATGACGGTGATCTTCTCGGGGTCGAAGGCGGGCTTGCCGCGCGACGCGGCGGGCAGCTGCTGGATCTGCGCTTCGGTCGAGGCCATTGTTTACTTTTGCTGTTGCGGCGGGGGCTGCGAGCTGTAGTTGAGCGGGGTCGACTGTCCCGGGGGCGGCGCTGTTCCTTGGCGCTGCTTGACGATCTGGGTGAAGAGGACGGTGCCGGCGGCGAAGATGAGGACGAAGGGCCAGACGCGGATAGGCGAGTACTCGGGGTTGCCGCTGCGCTTGGCGAGAAGGCGAGAGGAGGTGGAGAAGAGCTTGGTCGAGGACTGGGGGCGCGGCTTGTAAAAGATAGGAGAAGCACTGGTTGAGAGACGTGGGGAGAGTCTGGCGGTGGACATGGTGAGAGTAGATGAGGGGTGCTAGACGGCGGGGGCAGGGGGGGATCGGATTTGGTGTGAAACAGCAGGACGGCGCCACGCGCGAGGGCTCTGTAGTGCAATTCGTGGCACACACTTCACGGCGCATTGGATCAACATTCAGCAACCTTTCAACAATTAAATGTGTCGGGCTAAGTTGTCCAGTTTTTGACTGTTTATCATGATTCTCTCTCTCTCTCTTTGACAGCCAAAACTGGAAAAGGAGAATCAGGTAGTGTTGATTGATTTTTTTTTTTTTTTTTTTTTTTTTTTAACCCAGCAAGTACCCCTCGATGGTTTGCAATGCAATCCGAAGCATTATTGCTGTGCTTCCGTTGTCTGGAGCCACGAATTTTATCACTCAGCCTCGACGGGTTTTGATTCGCCAATGTCGGGGATCTGCGCCACGAGGTTGGCCCCCTGCCCCAAGTGGTGCAAGCGTTATCCGACCATCCTAACGCCTCCCTTTACCGCCAACACCCCTAGCACCTCACTTGTTCTTGGGGTTCCGCGACGACTCTTTCCACTACGTGCCGCATTAGCTACGATGCTTTACTAGAGGGAACCAAGAAGAGAGCCTTACCATTTTGCCCAACTTCTTCTGCTGCGTCTTGAAACTCCACTGCGCAAGTTGAGGGCGCTTTTCCCTGACTGCATCCGCGTTAGCGTCGTCCTGGTCAAAGGAAATTTGGGACGAGGGGGGGCTTGTTGACGGCTACTCACAGAACCTATGCATCTCCTTCAAGTGGGCACCACGGCCGTCCGTCTCGCCACTGTCAGCGATCTCAGCTGGCTTGCCCTGCTTGCGAGGAGGCGTCTTTGCAATCACGACGACGGGATGCTGGCTGCGACGAGGGCGGCCATGACCACGAGAAGTAGAAGTCTGGCCTGGTTGAGAGATAGACGAGACGCGGTGGGTCGTTGTGCCTGTGAGACTTTGTGTTAGCAGTGTGTCAGGCCTGGCTTGTCATGGAGAGAGCCACGCTGACCCGACTTCTTGATGGCGGCTGGAGACGGTGTGATCTTGGCGGGGCTTGAGCCTAGATTGGTCGTTATTATAGCTGGTCTGCCAATATTCTGCAGCGAGACGTCTATAAGACGGACCTTTCGTCGCGTTGGTGCGTGACTCTATTCAGTGATTAGTACTGGTCAAGGAAGTATTTGCAAAAGACAATTAAAGTACCTTTGTAGTCAACCGTGCTGATTTTACGGAGATCTTGGTGAAGTCATTAATATGGATATATGGCGGATCGGCAGGATGAACTTACTCATTATGGGCGATCTTGTCAGGAATTAGGTGTATGTAAAAAGGTGTAGGAGATGGCAGTGAGGAAGTTGAAAGGTTTTATGTGGAGGTGGTTCCTTCCAACTTCAGAAATCAGTTTGAAGTTCAGTCACCCGAGAGAAGGCGTGTCAACAGCTCCATGCATGAAAGCTAAACTGACAACACTATCTACATGATTTTAACTTGAAGTCATTCTGGGTCTCGGCTGCAGTGCCCATCAACAGATACTATCAACCCTCATATTTTTAAAACTATTACGGCTGAAAGGTAGACTCTATTGTAATTTGCATGTCTATGTGAGCTACGGTGCATTGACGACGAGTAACTCGTGGGGACCTACATGCTTTGTATTGTAAATTAATACTTGACTTCATGGCTTGATTATTTTTCGGTTTTTTGGAGTATAAGTAATATTTTACCCATGTAACCAGAGAAATATGTTCTTTTCCATGAAAGGACAAATGAAACTGATTAGATGTCAACACAATGGCGCAGTGGCACACATGACAAAGACCAAATAGAGAGCAGACTATTACTAAAGACCACTCCCCTTGCTGTGCCAGGACTGAAATTTTGACAGTAGTGGTATTCGTCTGTCCCACAACTCAATTATTTCTTTGGAAGAGCCTCCATGGACCGTAGCATGGGTCCAAGACATTCATCTAAGAACTCTGTTTCGACTCCAATTTCACCTGCAGTACTCCATCAAGGGTAGCAAGCGCACCCTGGACAAGCATCGATGCCGTTTCCGCAGTTGCTGGCTTCGCGCGACTCCCCAGCAGTCCCTCCATGGCTTCCCCGATAGCTCCGGAACTTGCATGCTTCATGAGATCCTCAGAGGCACCGTCGGTAAGCTTGTTTGTCCAGTCCAGTGCCCGCTGACGGACAGCTTGGAAGAGGTCCTGAGCCACAGACTGCAGTCCAGCAATTTCTTTTTTTGGTATACTGCTGTGCCACTTTTGCGACTTGCTTTTTTGGATCTTAAAAGCCGCATCGGAGAAACGCATGCAGGCTTGCAGAAGTTCCATAATCAAGAACATTGGTTGAACGTGTGGCGCCAAAGGAAGAAGATCAAAGCTTCCCTCACTTTTGATCGAAAGTTTCTTCAGAGCCTCAGCAAGAGAGGTATCCTCTCGGATTCCAGAGAGCCATGCTTTCATATCCTCGAAAGCTTCGGATATCCCTTCGATCTTTTCCCCGAGGAGGGCCATGGTAGCAAGCGTACGCAACTTCTTCCAACCAGATGTAACGGATTTTTCAGCCGTTGTCAGCTCAGCGTCATCATCTGAGGTAACGCTTTTCAGTTTCCCTTCGACCATTCCCATGTGTATACGTGAACTTTCCGGTGAGGAAATGAGGGCACAGGTGTCGTCAATGAACAGATACAAAGCTATCCAGTAGCGTCCCGGAAGAGGCCCCGAAGCAATCAAGTTCTCGAATCGAGGAGCCTTCGAATGTTCATAATTCCATAGTCTTTGCGTGTCACGGCTATCGATCAGGCCGGCAACATTACCATCTGTTAATAGCATGTTAGTGGAGGTTCTTAATATCTTAATAGATTTGAAGCAGTTTTCGATCTCAGACACCATCTGCGAAGCTCTGAAACGGCCTTGGGGAACCCAGCTCAGAGCGACTGAACGCTGCCCAGACCTAGCAATCATGCAAGGCAACATTCAGTTTGCTTTACCACATACCTATCAAGTCCAGATAAAGATCGTCGCATGAAAGGCCTCTGAGGCGCTGAATTCGTCGTCTTTCGAGGAACAGGAGGTGGTAGCTCATGCTCCGAGTTAGGGCCGCTTTGAAGTCAGCAATTTCCAAAAGCCGATCATATTGCATGGCCTCAAGATCTGCGCCCATGAAGTTGTCTATCCTGTGAATGATAGTTGTCGCCGTCTTTAAACTTTTCTCCAGCGCATTGATGGGATCTTGTTTTGATCTGCCATCCATCCTGGCAGTATACGGGAATGGGTGAGTAATAGATACCCTCGTAAACATGTGGTGCCCGAGTGTCTCAGATAGAACTTCTTTGATGCGGAGTCCAGACCACACCTGCATGGCTTCACTGAAATTTCCTAAGAAGGAAACAAGACGAGCTTGTAAAAGTCCAGCTTTGCGGCTGTCTCCTACAGTAGATAGCAGCTGGCGCATCAGAATCTCAGCTTGAACCAGATACTCTTGAGAAGCGCCGGTTTCGTGAAGCTTGACCAGAGTCATTACCGCCAGCGCGCAGATGTCTTCTTGGGAAGCGTAGTCATCCTCTCCGGTCCGTTTTAGCAACTTAATGCACTCTTGGGCAAAGGTTTCGAGCCTTTCTTTTGACGCTCCGTCTTGCGTCGAAATAGATAACAGATAGTCAATCTTACAAGCGGTCACTTCGGTCCGGAGAGCGTCAGCGAGTCCTGACCCCCCGTCTTGAATTTGGTCTTTGCCGCGGATAAGCTCGTGATACCAGTCTTCGAATTTAGCCTGGTGGGAGCTTTCGAGCATTTCGATGTAGGGGCGTAGATCATCGAAGCAATATCTTTCTTTTGAGAACCCCTGGAAATAAGAACAGCAACTCTCAAGCAGGGCATCTTGGTCTGGCAAACTGCCTGCTGTTCTTGCCAAAAGCCGCGCGCGTCGGTTCTTGGCTTCATGTTGCTCGTGTATGTTTCCAGCCGTTTGGCGCAGTTGCTCTCGCGCATCGTCGGACATACTAGATGGCGTGGATATGAGCCCGAAGAGTTCGTTCCGGTGGTGCAGAGAGAGCGGGACGACGACCTGGACATGGGAAAATTGACTTACTCTTGCGACAATAACGCGTTGCAGGAAGCGTGTAACCCTTTCCACAGAATGTAATCAGTCTGCCAAAGGTCGTAAGATGTTCTAGACTTCTCGTCGGGACTGTGGGTGCCTTTGAGGGCCGCTACGCAGAAATCCCATAACTGCTGCCACATTTCCTCCTCCAAAAGTACTTCAATTTTCATACGGACAAAACTCAAATCGCAAAGAACAAGCTGCGAAAAAAGCCCGATAATGGGATCGTCGAGAATCTCCAACACCTCTTTGCGACGGCCTTGCTTGAGATAAATTTGCAAGACCAACCGAAGTTCACGGCGGGTCGTGACTGCGTCCACCGACTTGTCGCCTTTCATGGCTTTGGTGACGGCCGCAGACAGTTTTTTGTACGATAAAAGCGTGTAGAACTGAGACATTTTTTGATCGTTCGTTTGAAGCACGTCTGCCGCCAATTGCGAGACGGCAGGAAGGGAGAACAGATAATGCTCGTCTTTGGGAAACTTGCTGCTCAGAACAACTAGAGCCTGTTTTCCAGGTCATTAACCGGCAGCAATACGCCAGTCCGAGAGGTCTCACCTGCTGTGCCTCCTTCCAACGGTCATGGATAGCCGCACTCTCAAACCATGTGATCAGAGTGTCACTGTCTTTGGTCGACTTGAAGGCATTTTGCCACAATGCCTGCCGCTTCGATTCGGACCCATTGCCATCCACAAGCTTGGAGTAGACGGCTGACAGAAGCTGGGGGTCGGTTATAGCCGGAGTCCAGTCGCAGAGCTCCTCAAGTTGTTGGATTGCTTCCTCCCTCTTTCCGAACTTCAAGTGGACGGCGGCCTTCCAGTAGAGCAGATACGGATCCTTTGGTCTTTTTTGAAGTTTTTTGGTGCAATCTTTAAGCGCTTGCTTAATGTTGGTGCCAGATGTAGCCACCTTCTCATCGATGCTTCCTACACTAAGGGCAGCCATGATGCGCGCACGTTACCAAGAAACGTATGGGAAAGGGGTTTGCAACAACACGAGTAGACGAAGTGCCGTCCTTCGTGACACCAGCTGCGTGCCGAGAGATGCAGAGCCGTGAGTGGTGATTTGCCAAGCGGTGTGCAGGAAGTTGCCGTTCAATGACTTTGTGCGCGGCAGAAAACGGCCCTACCCTATTTGTGGGGTTAAGGTGCGCCGTCTGTCTCACCTGGCCCATCCTCCATCAACACCAGCACCCACGTCAATACAGCCGTCGCCTGAATAATAGTGCTCTGTATTGTATTGGCCGGACGGTAATACTTCGAAAGCGCAACGCCGCATGATATAGGTATTTCTCAGAGGAGCAGGGTGACGGATCCTGTCCGAGCGGAAAGCCTGTCAGACGGCCCTCATTGTTATTGACTGCATTTTCCAATATCCAAACGCCTAGCCCTTCTGATACAGTATGGTACAGTCCAACTCGGTCCAATTCACCAAAACGATTTGCCTTCCTTCCGCTTCGCTTCCTTTCGTGCCTCCGTCTGTGTAAATCCAAACAGTCAGTTAAGTCTGTAGTGGGTGCGCATGGAGAAGCATGGGGAGGCAGTATTCTATCTTTACGCACCCACTCTTTCTTGCAGTCCCGGTAAGCCCTGCGGTACTAGCTGTCAGCGACAAGCGCAAGAAATCGCAGCGAGTGAGAGTGTATATACTGGAAATAGTCGGAACACATGTCCCTATCTCCACCGTTGCGATGAAGACATCTCAGGCTTCGAGCGGCGGCCTCTTGACAAGGATCAAAGTACTCGCTATACTGCTTGCTGTGGCGGCAGTCAGCAGGACCGGACAGGAGCCGTGGTGCGGAGCTGTATGGGCGCCTCACCTAGCAAACTTCTTGCCGGCGGCAGTGTCCGCCCATTGCTTCTGATCAGGCTGTTCGGCGGTCATCTAGACAGGCACGTGGTGGAGCTGGGTAGGTCGGGGAACGAGAGATGGGCGCAGGAAAGTCGATCGTCCAGTCGCGCGGTTGGAGATGCACAAGATGCGGTGTTATCGATAAGGACCCGCCTCTAGCCGTGCGAATGGGCGGATTCCGTCTCTCACCCACCAGATCCTTCCCCAGAAATAGGCTGTTCGCAGACTGTCCATGCAGCATTAGGAGGCCCAGATCGGGCGAGATCCGCATAGCGAGCCAAGCAATGGGGTCCAAGGGCATGTAGAGTACGTGTAGGTGGACGCGCCCGCGTGGCTGGGCCTAGCTAGGGAGACAGACTTACGGCACGGTCCTTGATCATACCGTTGGTACGTAGCAGCCCAGCCGTTGCCGCATCCGTTGGGCAACGGTGCATGAAGCAGGGTCGTTCGAGGCGGGAGAGACGGGACGGGATGATCGGCACGTATTTGGAGATGAGCTGCACAAGGCACAGAGGACGAGTATTTTGACGTCTTCAAACTCTCAGCACCGAACAAGCATCTCAAGTGCCGCTGTGGCTTTGTGGTGCCGTTTTCAGGGAGGCGATGGCTTCTGTCGATCCGCGCGTTCCCGATTTGGATAACATTTCCATACGGCCAACGCGTGCCTTCATGCCTCTTCCTCCTTTGATGGTCCTCGATGCCGCCACGGTCTTCTAGCCCTTCACACCATTGATGCCCTCCACTTTTGGTACCCACGTCCACATCATCATTGTTTCCCACTAAAGCCACAATATTGCATCTAATGTGCCAGAACGCTGCCAGGCGCATGGCCAGTCCCATTTCATGGGGTTCGCGGGGGGGCTGCAGTGTTTCCTTGACTAAGTGGCCGCGATGTCCCTACCAGGATGTCGATTTGCAATGCTTGATTGAGGCCGGCCTCGCTAGCGCCAACGATGCTGCAGCGAAGCGGCGACTCTGGCCTTCCTGGAAGAGAAATCGTTTCCCTCCCAGGGGGATCGTCCGGGGTACCAAGTGCTTGGGACAAGGTGCGAAAAGCACGAACAGGAAAACCGCACCATGGACGTTGTAGTCCAAGGCGCCCGATAACCGCCTTGGTACGGACCGATGTGCGCGATAAGCTGGCGTCAGATAAAGCATATGCGGAGAGGGCGTAGCAGCATTGCGTCGGGACGGCGAATATGCGGAGACTGCTCGACGTCGTGCGTGGCCAAAGATAGTAGTCACCCACTCATGGCAATCCGGTGCGGTGTGGAAGAGTCTCGACGGTGGATCATGATGAAGCGCAACTGGCTGTAGTGGCAGACGGTGCCAATCGACGTCTGATAGACAGCTTCACACGGATCTAATGATACTTTTCCGTCAGTACGCGGCGCCGCACTATCGACGCGGTTGAGAGATATAAAGGCATATCTCCCATCTGCTATTTGTGAGCAACATCTTCATCTCTTCGAAATATTAAACTTAGTCCCACAGGCAATACCTCTCTCGAGAAGTGCCCTTTGCAACTACCCATAAGCTTAGCTCTTTTTGCTTTTGCTTGCTCCGACATCTTGTAAGCTGTCCTCTTCCTCTCATGGTCACACCATCAAATTACTTTGCGTAGCTTTAGCGGCGGATTAGACGAGGCTGACCTACAATGCTACAGCCACAAATACCACAATGGCAGCCGTTGCTACTCAACTCGTTTCAACAGTTCCACGACCTACCTTCAAGCCCATTATCCAGAATGCGGCACCTGAAGAGAGGATAGTCGATGCTGAATTTTGCCCCTCCAAACACCTTGCTTTTAAAAAGCCACCCGAGACTATGTCCATGGAAGACATTGGCTACTCCAAGAACAGAGGGGTGTCTCCAATCGCTGTCTCGCAACCATTCCAGCTCTTCTCTGAGGAGGCAGTCCACGAGATGAGACGCGAGATTTTCAAGCCAGAAGTCATGGAGAACTGCAAGTATAGCAGCACTATCGCGGCCTGCCAACTCAGAGGCTACGCCCCAAAGTAAGGCATGGAGTCTTGCATGGTACCAAGCTGTTTAAGCTAACAGAGCTTCAAGGTACGCTCCTTTTACTTACGACGCATGGAACCATCCGGACACCCTTGCTGTTATCTCAAAGGTCGCCGGCGTTGACCTTGTGCCTGTCATGGACACTGAGGTGGCCCACGTCAACTTCTCAGTCAAGTCTGAGCAGCAGACAAAGGAAGAGCTCAGTGTCATCAATAAACAGAAGCGATTCTTTGCAGACGACGAGGGCATCGCGGGTTGTCCTTGGGAGGATGACAAGCCTGTTGTTGGATGGCACACCGACAGTTATCCTTTTGTATGCGTTTTGATGCTAAGCGACTGTACCAATATGGTTGGCGGGGAGACAGCCTTGCGTACAAGCAACGGCGATGTGCTCAAGGTCCGCGGACCGACGATGGTAAGTTGCTTGGCAGTCTGTGACAGCGAAGCTGTAATATGCTCATACTTGGTTCAGGGTTGTGCTGCGATTTTGCAGGGTCGATACATCACGCATCAAGCCCTTCGGGCTTTGGGCGCTCAGGAGCGTATCACGGCTGTCACATCGTTCCGTCCCCGCTCGCCTTTCGCCCGCGACGACACAGTCCTGACGACCGTACGGCCGATTTCAGATCTTTCCGTGCTCTACCAGGAGTTCGCCGAATACCGCCTGGTGATGATGGAGGAGCGTGTCCGTGCCAGGCTAAGGGAGATTCGGGAGAAGCGTCGCGTTGGAAAGAAATTCGACACCAGGAGGTTCAAGGAGTTCCTAGCGGAACAGCAGGCCTTCCTGGAGCACATGAACCGCGAGATGGTCCCAGACGAGGAGGTGCAGATGGGATACATCGAGCAGGTGAATTTTCCCGACGTAAAGGTCGGTGTCGATGAAGACGCCAAGTCAAAGCGAGCCAGGCACGAATAGGCAGTCGAGCCAGTGCTGGCACTTGTAACGATTTTACGAGTCACAAATCCTTTGGTGCTTGATTCTGACCGGAAACGGGGGACAGGGTGTCGTGATTGGTCGCGGAGGACAGTGTCGCTTGGGCTTATGAGCAGGAGGGCGCCGACATTGCCTTGGGCGTGTCAGACTCGCTAGTAGATAAACCGTGAAGCCACGGGGCGATGAATGGAGAGGAGTTCGGTATATCAGCGTTTTGGATGAAAGTGAAAGGTGCAGGTTGCGGCTTCTGCGCGGGGCGTGCACGGTTCGGTAGAGCACGGGCGCGCTAGCAGAGTCAGCAGCTGCAGCTTGTCTCGCCAGCTCCACGCCCGCCTTAACATACTTGACAACAGACAACTGCCAGCCCAACCATCCCACTTTGCCTTCTCCGCCGCCGTGTTGCTGCTGCACTGGCACCAGCGACCGACGTCCCTGCCATTTTTCCTGCGTCTGCTCCGTCGCGCGGCCTTATGACACGTCTGCATGGATCCAAACGTCCATTCCTCCGCTTCGCGCACTTCGCGCCAGAAGCCTCCGACCGAGACCTCTTCGGCCACGTCTTCACCCGCCTCTTCCTCTAGACGCTCCTCCTCGGACATGACGCCTCACAAGCCTGTCGCCGCCTCTGCCACCAAGAACCAACACGGCGCGGCTGCCTCGCGACCGGCAGCCAAGCTTCTTGACACCGAACGCGCTACGCGTACTGGCAGTAAAGACAGCCTGCGGTCCAAGCAGCCAAAGAAGCTCGACGATACGCCCAAGCCAGACAAAAATGAAGAGGTACTATTAGCGCTGTCGTCCTTCAGATACGTGCCTCGAGCCTTAGCTGACTCTACAACTTAGCTACTGAAGACCTTCAGATCCGACTTGGACAGCCTTCGGTCGCTTGTTACTTGCAAAATATGCGACAGGCTTCTCTACGAACCTTACGTCATATCATGCGGTCATACGTACTGCTACAGTGTAAGTTCTCAATTCTTTCCCGTGGCTTCGTGGCTAACGTGCTTTACAGTGTCTTTGCACTTGGTTTGTCAACAACAGGTCAAGAAAGACATGTCCGGATTGCAGAGCTACAGTCGTCCAGCCTCCGGCACCCGCGTACCTCGTTCGAGAAATGGCCTCTGTCTTTATCAACCGCGCCGAACTCCTTCCACCTGGGGAAACGCTTGAACAACATAAAAAGTGGCAGCAAGAAGAGGCAGATGCTGTGCAGCTGGATAAGAACAACGATGATATCCGCACAGGCGGGCTGTTCAGAGGTTGCTTCAGCAGATGGCTCGACCCCAAACTGCGAGTCATTCGTGACGAAGAAGACGGCGTTGACCGCTGCCCCATATGTTCATGGGAGCTTGAAGACGGCGAGTGCGCGCAGTGCGGATTGCAATTCGATGACAGCGGTGATTTGGCATGGGGAAACAGTTTCAACGGCTTCAGCGACATGGACGAGACGTCCGAACATGACACTCTAAGCGAAGATCTGGATGCCGACATTGACCTTGAGGACCCTGAAGCCATTCTTGATTTGGACGGCTATGATCACGGCACAGAAGATTGGCAAGACCAAAGTGAGGACTACGAGCAAGAGTATACTGTAAGGAGATGGCTCCACAATGATGCAATAGCTCGAGAACAACCCGCATTTAGAATCGTACGCCCGGCTGCCCACAGTGCTGCCGGCAGCAGGCGTCGATCATACAGCGCCAGCATCGTGTCTAACGTACACACCGAGGATACTGAGATGGACATACTGGAGGAGGAAAATGAGGACGAAGATGACGGGGATTCGTCCATGAATGATTTCATTGATGACGATGAACTTGAAACAGCTTCTCAATCCACTCAGTCCATTCAAAGCCAGACTCCTACGCCGCCGAGTAACTTCCGCGCGCGTAGGCGACGTGTGGTAGGAACTGAGTCCCCTTCAACCGCCTCATCACAACACGACGATGACGATGAAAACGACGACGAAGAGGGACCTATCCCAGCCGGAAGAAGACGGCCACCGTATCGTACACTGCTGCAGGCCAGGTCGACCAACAGACGTCGCGTCGCGCCCTCTGAAACGACCGAGGAAGCTTCTTCTGTTGACCAGGATTTTGGGTCTTCTTCTGTAGACCAGGATTTCGAAGAGGACACTCAAGCTTTACTTTATCAAGAAGGATGGTCTCCGCTGGGACACGACGCTCCAGATGATGAAATGGATGAGGATGATGATGATGACAGTGATGGGGGAAGCACGACCGTTGGGTGGGAGCCGACTACGAATTCCATTGAAAGATCCCGAATTGGTGGTTCTCTGACTCCTACTGCAGATAGACCGAACGCGGCGATCCGACCGCCGTCCCGTGTGGGCAACTCCAGACTTCCCGATGGCTCCCGGGGCCTACGTCGGCGCAGTTCTGTGCTATCCGCGGTTTCAAGCGCCAATTACGAAGATGGAGAGGCCGACGACGATGATTCCGATATCGACCGAGACGGAGACAGTAGTATGCGCAGCCCAACTATAAGGCCTCGTGGTTCACGCTTGCGTTTGAGGGATGTTGCTCCTGCGAATAACGGGCGTCCGCCGACTCGCAACACTCAATTTACGAATAGCACAGTTGACCCAGATACTGACGAAAATTCGGATGACACTATGGCCCCAGGAGCTCGCCGTCGCCCCCGCATTCATCGACAAGAATATGACCCTCGAATTAGCTGGGCTTTTGCGCAACACATGGCTGACATACGCGATCTTAATCTTCAGCGAGGTGATATTCTTAATCCGTTGGATCAATTGCGTGGGACCACTCCCATTTCCCGTCCTAGAACAGCGAACAGGAACCGACACTCCGGCATGCTCGCACCTGCTTTTTCCCCGTTATCTAACGGACCTTTACCTCCTTTCTCGCCTCCAGCAAATGCCCCAGCTAGACTTCGTACCCCCCTTGATCAAAGTCCTGCCAGCGGAGCCTCCAGCATGTCTCCACGCTCTGGAAGGACATCCAGTTCGGCAGCTCAATCATCCAATCCCAGTGCCGAGGGAACCAATGTTGGACCTCGTAGAGCGCCTACTAGCCCCAATGGTAATGGAGCAATTTCTAGCACAATAACTTCTACGGCCCATATGGAGCATGGAACCTCTCAGCAGAACCGAGCGCCCGCTTCAGACGTTGTAGATCGTCCCGGGAGTAGGGTCAGCTCTCGACCACCATCGGCTGCAGGAAGACGCAATTCTGGTGCATTCAGTACTGGATATCAAGTACCGATGTCGCCGGGTCTGAATTTCGCAGCGCGTTTCCAGGCACAACAAACTCGCAACCCATGGAATCCCTTCATTCCAGCCAACCCCCGGCCGCGGCCGTCCACACAGCGTCTTAGAGACCAATCTTCCACCGCCACACTGAGACCTCGTAATTCTCAGCGTGGACTCCGTCAGCAACCGTCGCAAGCTAATATGAGAGATGTTACCCCTGTTCAGCACATAAGGCAGCAATCGTCACGAGTAAACCTACGTCCTCAGCCTTCCCACAACCGGTTGTCAAGCCAAGCCTCTACACGCACTCTTAGAGGCAACAGTGTACCTGTAATGCAACCGTCGCCAGTAGTAGGCCCTAGTGTCAGTCCTGTCGGTTCGGCTCGTTCGCGATTGACTGAGGAGGAGCGTCTGAGCCGGGCTCGTGAACTCATTAGTAGCAGACAACAGGCTCTCGGAGCCGGGACTAATCCTTTCGCCGCCGGAAGAAGCAGGCAAGGCCCTACTCAAAACAGCGGTGTCGCTGGAGGAGCTGCACGAGGCCAGTTTGATGCAACCAACGTACAGTCTGTCAGTGGTTTATCCACAAGTTCTTCACACTCGGCTTCGTCGCAGAACGTAAGCTCTGCTGCTCAAAATGCCTCTCCAGGTCTTGGTCGGCGCAGAAGCAACCGCAACATTGGAGCTCCTCCTGGTGCATTTGCCCCTTCTCCAACTTCTCCATCTAGTGGCTTCATACGAACTAGAAACGGGTCTGCTGGGATTTCACCTTTCCCTGCCCGTGATCGCACCGTGGTTTACAGCAACGAAATTGCCGCTGGTGGAAGCAACCTGCAGTATTAAGTGCGCTAGATGCGTTCTTGCCGAATATGTCTTTTTACGCGAAGAAAAATCCCCTTTTCCATACGGTTGCTGATGGCTACGGCTATGCCGGCGAGCGATCCGGTTCATTTACGATTCACGACGGAATTCATGAAGGGTTACGAGGGAAACGAAGATGCAGATGCATGGAACTGGCGTTTAAACAATGGCGAACTCTTTGGTATGCCCGATTCGGCGAGGTCTGGCTCTACCTAATAAGCATGGGTGCTCGGGCACGATGACGCAACTGGTGAATTAGGTTTTTGTTTTGCTCTTCGCTCCTTGCTCCTTGCTCCTTACCACTTTGTACTTCGACGAGACAAATGCATGATACCCCTCTTGCTTTCATATTGAATGTGCGATGGCCGGTAGGGCTGAAAGCTGGCCATTGCTCTTTGCGGGGCCCCAGATCGTCCTAAGAGAGCCTTCTACGTCATCAGGGTATCAGCTTTCTTTTCGTACTCTTGCTCTACCTATGTGTAGAGTAGAGAAGGGTAGTAGATAGCATCAGGTACATCGGCTTATACTGCCTTTTCGCCCCGCGCTCCGAGCAAGTTGAGCCGATAGTCATGGCTCCTGCCAGGTTTGTAAAAAAATAAATTATATGATGCCCGTCAACGTACCCCACCATCCCTGTCAATTGAAAGATGACGTATGCCAGACTCCTATAACTAGGAGTATTGATCATCTTTCTCCATCCACTTTTCACCGCTATCCACCAGCCACTCGCAAGCTTCTCTCCCATTATGTCTACGCTCGACCAGTTGAAGAGTCAGAATGAGGCGCTGCAAGCAGGTGTGGCCAAGGTAGCCGCCGGAGCGGGAAAAACCTCCAATACTCCGAAACCATCGACAAACACACCTTCCAAAGGGGCCAAGGTCTCGACTGGCACCAAGAAGCCAGTCTCGCCAGCTACAGCTAAGACTGTCACTTTCTCGAAGGACGCTGGTGCCACGAAGACAACGGCCAATGCTGCCCCGAAAAAGATTTCTAGCGGTCATACGCCGATAGGCTCCAAGAAACCCATTCCCCCGGCAGCGGCTAAGACAACAGCATCCAAATCTCCTACTTCAGCCTCGGCTACAAACCCAACTAAGATCAGCCCTGCGTCAAAGCCACCGCCTGTTTCCGCAGCCAAGGCCACTACGGCCAAGCCCTCTACAACTCCCAACACGCCTGGCAAGGCTACTTCCACACAGGCGCCAAAACTTGCCTCTAAAACTACATCAACCGCGACACCAAAGCCCAAAACGGCCACCCCGGTGAAAAAAACACCCACTACTACGGGTTCAAGTGCTGCACCAACCACCACTCCGAGCAGCACGGCCGTCACACCTCAGGCTAAAAAGAAGCCGGTCAAGATTGAGCGGCGCCAGCCTACCACTGCTATCGGCAAAGCTAGTAACCTAGCGACCGGAACTGTGAATGGTGCCGTCAACACCGCGACCTCAGCAGTCAATAGCACCACCGGAGCCGCGCTCGGGGGTACTAATGCTGTCGTATCTGGCGCCACCGGTACCGTTGGTAAGGCAGCTGACCGACTGCCTCAAGGCGTGGGCAAGCCTGTTGGCCAGATCACCACTGGAGCTGGCAAAACAGTGAAGGGGACAACGTCCGGGTTGAACAAGACGCTGAGCTCTACGACAAAGGGTTTGGGAAAAAGCGTCACTAACACGACGGAGGGCATTGGCAATGCCGACATCAGTGCAACTGCTGGGGGGCTCACGGAGGGGGTAGGCGGGACGGTGAGTGGCGCGGGGAGAGGGCTCGGTGATACGGTCGAGGGGGCTGTCGGTGGGCTGGGGGGAACAGTAGGTGGGCCTGTTGGAGGTGTTGTTGGAGGGGTAGGAAAGGGCGTTGGAGATGCCGTTGGAGGAATTACTGGTGGTCTTGGAGATGGCGTCGGAAAGTTGGGAAAAGGAGATGTCATCGGAGGGTTGGGATCAACACTTGGTGGTGTTGGTAAAGGACTCGGGGGATTAGTCGGAGGAATTGCGGGAGGGAGAGGGGAGGAGTAAAGGTCCGTTTTCGTTTAGTTCTTGGGACAAAAATCATGCTTTAGTATGGAATGGAGCACAAATATTAATTGTATAACTAAATTATATTCTAGGATAATCGAGAACGAATTCTGCTTCACTGTAAAAGCTGCAAGGAACAAATCCAACGTTAGGGACGTTTTCATATGCGCATGCATATATAACCTTTTTTATGGAGACAAATCCATATCTACGATGTTAAACCTATTGTTTGCGTGTAGGTATGACAAGCTCCAAATTCCACGAGCACCACCAATATCCGCATATTGATAAATATCACCAAACTCAGACAGTGACGTTATTCATCAGTTCGCTCCACCAAAAAACTCAAAAAGGCCGAGCGACACCTTTTCCTTTTCGCGCCTCAGCCAAGGTTAGCTTTGTATTTGTCCTAGCATGATTTGCAATTTCGCTTTGGTGCGGGTTTCAACTCAGGAGGTTCTGAACTCGGCTTCAACTAATATCAATTTGAGGGTTCAACATGTTTAAAGATTGTTTGCTGCGCTTCTATAAGTCTACAAATATCTATTCGCTTTGCTCTGTTACAAACGCTGTCTTCTCAACATATAAAGCCAGCATCCTCATGCAGTTAGATAGATCTTTGGTCAATCTCACATTTTCCTTCCAAGGTCGAACAAAGATTCGAACATGATGCCAATCGCAAATATGCTGAAACATCAATCAGCCCAAAAGTAGTTACACCACATATCCACCGGAATTCACTTGTCGAGGCTCACTGGCCGCCTCGAACGTGCCATTAGTCAGTCTCCTCAGAGCCTGGGCCGTACTCTGCCCAGGAGCGGCCCAAGTTACGTTATGGCCAAGTGACTGCATGAAATGGACCGTCTCGTTGTTATAAGCATACTCGAAGCTTACGTAGGTGGGGTACAGCTGGTCGTGTAGCCTGGGCTGGGCTAAGGCCTGGGGTGCCGTCAATCCTAGGTCCAGCATGTAGTGAAGGTTCTGGATGGTCGCGGTGATGATACGAGAGCCACCGGCAGAGCCCACTGCAATGTAAAAGGTGCCATTGGGCCACTCCACAAGGACAGGACTGATGGACGAGAGTGGACGCTTGCCGGGTTTGATGTAGTTTGCCGGGGTCGGTATAAATCCAAAAGCGTCACTAGATCCCGGAATGGAGAAATCATTCATTTCGTTGTTCATGATTACGCCTGTCTCGGGAACCATGAGACGTGAACCGAAGAGCAGATTGACGGTTGTCGTCAGGGTAATGGCCAAGCCAGACTCGTCGGCCGCAACAACATGGGAAGTACCGGGTGTATCAAGGATCTCAGCACCTCTTGGGTCGTAGAAAGAAGCGTCATGAGTATGGGAATCGGAAATGTTGTTGCGCTTAGAGGAAGCAAAGGAATCGCTGAGCATTTCCTCTTGGTACTGATCCATGTTCTCATCGGTAGCAGAGTCACCCAGCTGGGTACGCTGGTACAAATTAGACAAACTCAAGACGCAGATGATTCAACACTCTGAACAGAATCTTGCAAGGCCTTGGGTATGTGCTTACCTCGCCGTAAACAAACTTGATAGCCTCATCTAGCCGATGAGTCGTCAAATTAACATTCTTTGAGTCACCAAAATCATTGTAGCCCTCAACAATCTTTAACGCACTCAGCGCAACACCCCCGCTACATGGTGCACGACCAGTCGTCAGTTTAAAGCCTCTGTAGTTGATACTGAGTGGCTCTTGGGTTAAGGCCGTGTAGTTTTGGAGGTCTTCCAGCGTCATGGTACCATTGGCGGCCTGCAAAGCCTGAATGGTAGCTTCTGCAATGGGACCGGTATAGAAAGCATCAGCCCCATCACTTGCGATGGTCTCCAGCGTATCAGCATATCTTTTACGGGTGATTGTTTCGTTGAGCTGAACGCGGCGGCCGTGAGGGGCAAAGTCGATGGCCCAAGTAGGATCTTCCACTAAGAAGTCGCTTTCACCCGCAGTCGCAGAATTCATATACTTTACAAGGTCTTCGTTAACACGGAATCCGTTGCGTGCCAGTGCAACAGAAGGCAAGACAACATCTTTCCAGGACAAGTTTTTGGACCCGTAATTTCTATGGAGGTACTCGAGGCCGCGCAGCTCCCCTGGAACGCCACTGGGGAATCAAAGTCAGCCGGTTTTAAATTCAAGCAGTGTAGTCTCCTTACCTAGCCAAACCCCCATAGATGGATGCATCTTCGTTGTTGCGATACATTTCCTCGAAGGCCGCCGCCGGAGCCGTCTCGCGAAAATTGATGAACTCATAGGTGCCGTTCGGGCTTCTGACAACCAAGAACCCGCCTCCTGCAATACCGGAGTGGTACATGGCGACTGTGCCCACACAAAAAACTGTTCCTACCATCGCATCTGCCGCATTGCCACCACGTTTAAGAAGGTCGGTTCCAATTTTGCTGCAAATTGAGTTTTCAGAAGCCACGGCGCCGAGCTTCCCATCCGTTGAGTTGGATGCCAAAGGGATGGCTAGGACGAACTGGAACAACAAGAAGCTCGCAAAGAGCCCTGTGCCAAAGCGTGCGAGGCTCTTCGATGGCATGGCTATAGAGGAAACTTGAAGGGTTGAAGAGGACCGTCAAACAAGGGCGGAATATTAGCAGGGGGGAGCCCAAAAGCGGGGCTAGGATGCCCAGAGCTGAGCAATGCCAAAGTTCAGATTGTAGGACGTATGTGGCCGCGTTCGGTCAATAGATGAAGAAAGAGGAAGAGGAGGTAGTTTGTGCTACATATTAGTCGGAAGCCGCGTAGCTAATAATGCCGGTCAGTCAGGCCGCATTGCCGTGCAAAGCCATGGTGTTGTTGCACAGATAGCTACCTGCTGGGATTTTCGGCGTGGTGGTTGGAAGGTGGTAGCGAGCACGCAAGATAAGAAGCTACATCTCGCGTCCATCATCCATGCATCGGTCGACAAGGCGACGGCCCGATCGACCAAGTCATGGCCGACGAGAGAGTAGCTTGCGAACTCTTTGTGCAAAGTAAGCGTTGCTTTTCGCAATAGACGGCAACTGCCATCAAGCATTCTCGTCCGTTCTGCCCAAACTCCTGTGGGTAACTACATTGCACTCAAAGAAAAAGAAAATAATAGTCAGGAATATTTGAATATTTCGACAAGAAAGCGGGCGAGGGTCAGTCGAGCTTTTCGGGGTGCTTTTCCACTTTGACAGCAGGAAGCCGACGACCTGCCTAAATGCAGCGGATTTCCGACTTTCATGACTTGCGGATGAGCATGGAGATGCGGGGTTAGTTGGATGATGACGGCTGCGCAGATCTTTTATGTCTCGGGTAATCGTCATTCCACACTCCCTGAAGACAGCCGTAGCCTTCCCGCTTGCTACGGGACGCTATCACTGAGCACTAGATATCATAAGGCTTTATACCATGAGGGATACAAGGGATCAGATGTTCGACGTTGTATCTAGTGTTTCGGGTTCTAGCCAAGAAAAGGCACGGCAGGGCACTTCTGGCATGCCATGTCCTTGCAGTGCCCTTTATTGACTATCCCCCAAAAGTCAAATGGTGAGAGGGGCTTGCCATATGTAACAGGTTGCAGCGAATGATTTGAGCCGAGGGTTGGTTGGGCTGACCCTGGCTTACAGGCAGCCACCAACGGTACACTCCACGCGGGGAGAAACCTGAACTGCGACAGGTCAATCTGCGATCCACTTTCTTCCTACGTTCGAAGTTGTTGTTAGCTCTTCTGCCACGTACCGCAGCTAGGCAAGTAAATGCCTTTCCCGACTTTTGACAGCAGTGGGTCTGCGTACACGTACCGTAAAGCTTCTTTCCATCCGCAATCAGGAAGGCACCTCGCCCACAGGACCAGGGCACGCGCCACGTTCAGGATCAGACGAGACGTCCAATGTTATTTCTAGCGCCTTGTGCTTTGACCGGCGAGGGGGCTAATGTTACTTTGGGCCCTGCCACTGACATCTGGCAAGTGATCCGACGTTCAATGTTGTTTTTAGCGCGGTACGGCTTAAGTCGGAGAGACCTGTACTCTACGAGTACTCTACTCGTATTCCATGGAGCCTTAGTGTGGAAAGCAAGCTTTTGCATAGCCTTACTGTCTTCTGCGTAATCGGTACCATTTCAGAGCCTAGAGTAGAGGTTGGACGTTAATCTTCAAAAATATTATTCCTGGCCGGATAAGCCCCACATTAATTGTAGATGCTGGCAGGCTGCTACTTTCGCCACCAAGCGCAATAACAAAGGTTGAACCCATTTTGATGGTGCCCATCCAGGCCTAACGACAGCGCATGCTGATTACCAATACGAAACTTGTACACCGCTTCCCAGTGCGGGTTATATGTGGGGGTTCGAACAAGAAGATGTTAAGCCGCCATGAGGGGTAGGTAGATCCTACGTTCGAAGTTGTTTTTAGCGCTCCATGCTTACACCGAAAAAGTGCTTGAAACTGGGGTCTCCCAACGGCCTCACAGCAGCCGTTACGTCATGATGCCGTGAGTTGAGCGGGTGGAGACTCGGAAACCAGTGCTTGTCTTCTTTATAATGACGACCAAGACCCAAAGTTGCATGATTCGACTGTTCGGACGGTCGCAGTTATTGATTTTAGCGTCCACGTGTTTTGTACGGAAGCCGAAGAAACGAGAAGCAATATGCTCTAGCCCTAGCCATTAGCTCGACCGTCGTCCTGCCGACTTTCCTGAGCCAGGCCAATATGCGGTAAGAGGTTGCACAATGTCGGTTCAGACGTCCAATGTTGATGCTAGCGTTTCCCCAGAGGCTTTAAAGGTGCCGGGAGAGCGCAAATTAAAGAGGATCGACTGTTCAGCGGTTGTCCAAGTCCGTTTCACCGTGACCCCATGGTAGAACGGCGGCGCCCAATTGTGATGAAAAGCCAGGTTACGCAAAAATCCAAATTACTTAGATGTTCGATGTTAGACGTTAGCGCGGCATCGTCTGCCGGAAGGGGCATGATGTGAAGACTATTTGCAAGTCCCATGTGTCCGAATTTTCGACTTTGGCACCCCTCGTTTCAGTTTGCCGGCAAAAGAATAGGCGAACAACGCCGAGAGTGCGTGTATAGGCTTCCAAGGCGAAGGGAATAGCCATGCCAGAAACTGGTATGTGATAGGGCCTACCGTCGATGGTTGATCATATATGTATTTTGCGGACGCACCAGTACACCCTTTCCATGTTGTACATTGAAATAAATCAGCTTGGAGAGCTTTCGAGATCTGCTCCAGGTTAGGTATCGCAGATACTCCATAAACCGCTCTTCTGCACTTATGCCTTGGCCTTTCCTTTCTTCGGCTCTCTTCTTCTTTCCCAGACCTGAACATAACTCTCTTTCGTAAAGAGCGTTTCCGCCCGCGCCTTCTCAACGAACAGATCCTGCACTTCCAGCCAGTCCTCCCTGGACTTGTCTCTCAGCTGAACACGCCAAACCTTCCCCTCCGCCTCACCCTCCACGCTGTCATCCCTACTCCTGATCGCTTCGTGCGTGATGTTTGCGACCAAATCGTACCAGATCGGCTCACCTGGAGGATGCACAGCCGGGTTGGGCTCAACATAAGGACTCATGTCGAGGGAACGCACAGGAAACGTGACAATGGTCGGGTTGCGCTCAGATACAAATTTGTTCTTTGAGAAACGCTTGATGTGAAATAGAAGGTAAGGCGGTAGAGGGTGTAGGAGGCGATAACGTCGGCGATAGTTCAGGCGTTCTTGTGCCGAAACTCCATCGTACTTGCTCAATACCCTAGTGAGGGGAACCTGGGGGATGATGTTCTTGTCTAGTTCGTCTTGAAACAGGGGTGCGGGCGGCAGGTCGAGAGTCAGGATGAGGAAGTGTGACTTTTCCGTCTGAACGTCTGCGTCCTCGAAGCGGAGGCGGTCGCCAGCGTCGGCGCGAGCGGTGATGAGCTGGGACTCTATTTTCAAAGTACCTTGGAAGACACGTTGGATTATGCTAGAGCCAGGTTTTGTTTTACTGCCTCCAAGTGAAAGATGCAAGTTGTTGAGAAACCAGGAGAGGAAGTCCACTGGATCAGATTGCTCCGTCAAGGTAAAGCGTTTCGAAGAGCGAAGTGCAATCTCCTGGAGCAGTTCGTGCGGAGAGACATGTGCCTTGAATGCACGAGGATTCCAAATTTTGCGGACCAGAGTGCTGAATCGTTGGGCCAACTGTGGGCGGGAGGAAAGGTCTTCGAGCATGAAGAAGTTACGAAGTGGCGTTACATGAGCCAATGCATGCGTGACAACATTGAAGTAGTCGTTGGCTTTGATGTTGTTCATGCCCACGAAGCCCGGGATGTACTTGCGGCCGACGAGATCCCACGCTTGCCTTTGTTCTCTGTCCAGCTTCGTCACCTCCTCTTTGGACAATTTAGGGTCTACCACGAACTTGATATCCTCGAGAGACTTGCTTTTTACTTCATAGCCCTCTGGAAGAACGTATACTTTCTTCGTCTCCAAGTTGATATAGACATGGTGTCCCTCTTCCAGCGCATGGAAGTATGCTTGCGATTTAGGCCCGCGACCTTGGTAGTACTTGCCGCACACCAAACAGGCGTAAACATTGATGTTGGAGAGAGTGACCGAACAGAGCTTCTCGAAGTCGAAGTCCAGGACCTTGCGTTCGATTGTGTCCAGGTAGAGATCGGTATAGCCTTCTGCGGGCCCTTCCTGGCGCTTCGGGGCATCTATGGCAGGTTTGTCGGCTTCCTCGTCGTCTAGTAATACACCGGCCTCCTGGAGCTCAGCAAGCCTTTCGCCTGCCGCATCCGCGACATCTACTTTCACTTCATCTTCCGGCCGCGAGGGCATGAGGCCGCCATTGGCATTTCCGTTGCGGAAAGGTAAGTCTTGAGCGTCTTCGTCAGCATCTTCGACGCGCGCGCGTTTCGAAGCAGGGGAATCCTCAGGGAGGGCATCCCCAAGTGATGCGGCGGCCCTCTTAGACATGGCAGTGGGCGACTGTGGATGGAGGACAGCGTGGCGCGAGAGAACGAGGCTCCGTCGCAACTCTACCCAGGTGAGCGAGCTGGAGAGCTGTCGAAGGCGGGTTTAACCGCGGAAACCCCGGGCCCTATGATTTTCACGTCTCCCCCAGGCACAACGCGTCCGCGGCAGTGTAAAGACCCCTCCTTAATCCCAATACCTCCGTCCATTCAGATCTCTCGCCATGGTATGTCCAACACCAAAACCGGCATTTGTTTCCTGCACTAACACAGCCCAGGCCCAAAACCCGACCCAGATCTTCGCCGAGGACGTGCAGGAGGAGAGGGGTGAAAATGCCCGTCTCTCCGCCTTTGTTGGCGCCATCGCAGTTGGTGACTTGGTAAAGAGCACGCTGGGACCCAAGGGAATGGACAAGATATTACAATCAGCGTGTGTAGCGGGATGGCATAGCTAAGGGGCGACAGTCGGCTAACGTGGGGCTCTATCTAGTTCCACCGGCGAGATCATGGTCACGAATGACGGTGCTACTATCCTCAAGTCCATCGCCCTTGACAATGCCGCCGCTAAGGTCCTTGTCAACATATCGAAAGTCCAGGATGACGAGGTTGGCGATGGAACCACTTCCGTCACAGTGCTGGCGGCGGAGCTGCTGCGGGAGGCCGAGCAGCTTGTCAACCAGAAGATTCATCCCCAGACGATCATTGAAGGTTACAGGATAGCGAGCAAAGCTGCACTCGAGGCCTTGGAGAAGGTCGCGGTGGACAACAGCAAAGACATTGCTGCCTTCCGGAAAGACCTGATTGCGATCGCGAAGACCACTCTGAGCTCCAAGGTGCTCAGCCAGGACCGCGAGCAGTTCGCAGAGTTGGCTGTCGATGCCGTTCTGAGGCTGGGCGGCTCCTCCGACCTTACACACATCCAGATCATCAAGAAGGCGGGCGGCAAGCTCAAGGACTCGTACTTGGATGAGGGCTTCATTCTGGACAAGAAGTTCGGCGTCAACCAGCCGAAGCGCATTGAGAACGCCAAGATCTTGGTGGCAAATACGGCTATGGACACGGACAAGGTCAAGATCTTCGGTGCGAGAGTAAAGGTTGACGGCACCAGCAAGCTCGCGGAGCTGGAGAAGGCGGAGAGGGAAAAGATGAAGCAGAAGGTGGATCGCATTAAGTCCCACGGCATCAACTGCTTCGTCAACAGGCAGCTCATCTACAACTGGCCTGAGCAGCTCTTCGCCGACTCGGGTATCTGCTCGATCGAGCATGCCGACTTCGACGGCGTGGAGAGACTGGCCCTGGTTACTGGCGGTGAGATCACCTCCACCTTTGATCACCCTGAGCAGGTCAAGCTCGGCCACTGCGACCTCATCGAGGAAGTCATCATTGGCGAAGACACCCTAATTAGGTTTTCTGGGGTCGCGGCAGGAAAGGCTTGCACTATCGTCCTTCGCGGTGCTACCGAGCAGCTTCTCGACGAGGCTGAGCGTTCGCTGCACGATGCTCTTGCCGTTCTCTCTCAGACCGTCAAGGAGCCTAGGACGACGCTTGGTGGTGGTTGCGCGGAGATGGTTATGGCCAAGGCCGTTGACCAGGCTGCGCACAACGTTGCGGGCAAGAAGGCCATTGCCGTCGACTCTTTCGCCAAGGCTTTGCGTCAGCTTCCTACCATACTCGCGGACAACGCCGGTTTCGACTCGAGCGATCTCGTTAGCAGGCTAAGGAAAGCTGTTTACAACGGCATGACCAGCTCGGGACTTGACCTACTGACGCCGGGCGGTGGTATTGTCGACATGAGGGAGCTGGGTGTGGTTGAAAGCTACAAGCTGAAGAGGGCTGTTGTGTCATCGGCAAGCGAGGCCGCAGAGGTAAGCAAACATGGGTCCCCGGCGCAATGTGCACATAGACTAACGGTTCGCAGTTGTTGCTGAGAGTCGACAACATCATTCGCAGCGCCCCCAGGCAGAGGACGCGCATGTAAGGGGGGTAGTTGGTTCTGAGGATGGAGCAGAGGGCGGTGGCGCGTAGGAGCAGGATGAACGAACTCGACTGGTTACGATAGAAGCGTGCAACGGTCGGAGGGGTAGATATTGTTATAATATACACGCCCCTCGTGAGCAACACATCCCAATTATGAATGCGACCTGTAGATCCACCTACGGAGTGACCTATAGGAAACGTTTTAGAGGTACCGTAAGCATACCTACATGCTCCTATATTTAAATTTGGAGCGACTTGACATCACCACTGTCACTCACCGTAGGGATGGGTATGTCTGAATGACAATGAGGTCCGTCACGTCACTGTCAAGCGAGATTCATTGCCTACCTTACCTACCTACCTAACGAGACGATGGTGCTTGTACGCATATGTGTATTACCTATGCGTGCACCCTAAGACCCCTTCACTCATGTCCAGGACTCGGGCTTCTTTCTAGGCTGCTTGTATGCTCCCCCATCTCGCTAGACGGCAGATCTCTCTTGCCGGTGAGGGGCGTCATCTCCCCCTCCGACGGTACCGGGAGTTAATGAACGAATGGATTGCGAAATGATCGCCTGCGGGGGATGGGCTGATTTGAGGGCGTGGTCCTTGCATGGGCGACGCGCAATCCGTGTGTGAAGTTGCGCAGGCTTGATCGTCAGGCTGAGGCCTGCGAGGGCGGCGTTGCACCCTGCACCCCTGTCTGCCCTTCCCCGTCCCGCCCGCCCGCTCGCGCCTGCGCCTGCGCCTGCGCCTGCGCCCGCGCACACCACCTCGTCTCACGCCCCAGCCCAGTCCGGCCCCAGGCCAGCTTTTTGCTTCCACTGCATTCTCTTCACCACGACCCATCCTTCCAACCCTCTGATGCCTCACGCCTGTCCTCCAAGAGGCCTGTTTCGGGCGCAGCGATACTCCCATTAAACCGCTTTCTTCATGCCGCGCCGTCGCCCTCCCGGCAGACGAGGGCAGTCGGCTGCTTTTAGCTCGACCCTGATCGCCCTTCTCCTCGTCTTCCCGCTCGTGGCCTCCACTCAGCAGCAGTACCATGGCCATCAATCCAATGTTCGCCGGAACTCTCCGCGCGAAGAGACGCTCCTCGACACCTCGACCCGCAACTCGCACTGGTCCGAGGACCATCTAAACACCCTCTCTGAGCACTCCGTCAAGGATGTCCGACACAACACAGAAACCCCTTTCATCTCCAAGAACGAGCGCGCCATTGCGACTCTCGCTCCAGCAGGCTCCGAGTTTGCTGTTCGAGCACCTCCTGCCAGGTCCGCTGCCGGTCCCTCTGGTGCCATCTCCTCCCGAGAACGTGCGCGGTCCTTGCAGGATTGGGAAGTCGTGGACTTTGTCCTTTTGGCGACTGTCGATGGGATGATGCATGCTAGAGACAGAAACACTGGCGAGGAGCGATGGACTCTGTACGCCGACCGTCCTATGGTGGACATGGTCTACCATCGAAGAAACTCCACTGGAGGACCCAGTGACCAAATTCTGGACGAGGGCTTCGAATGGATAGTCGAGCCAAATCAGGACGGGAGTCTATACATAGCGACACCCGCTCCGAACATTGGCATCCAGAAGCTCGGTCTCACCGTCAAGCAGCTCGCCGAAGAACTTTCGCCTTACGCTAGTGAAGATCCCCCAGTCGTCTACACGGCCGAAAAGAGGATTACCATGTACACCGTCGATGCCACTACTGGCCGAATCCTCAAACAATTCAATTCCGGAGGCGCCAGCAGTTACGAAGGCGAAGGCAGTTGCCGTCTCAAAGGATTCGAGGGTGTTGATGATGACGCCTGCAAGCCTACCGGCACGCTGGCGCTGGGCCGTACGGAATACACGGTCGGCATCGCCAACAGGGACACAGGTGCTCCGATTTGCACAATAAGATATTTCGAATGGGCGGCCAACAATCGGGACCGAGACTTACACAGCCAGTATTCGTCGACCATGGACAACAAGTACATTTACAGCAAGTTCAACGGTCATGTCTTTGCCCTGGATCATACCCGAGACATAGAGCGGCGAGTGTACAGAGGAAAGTTTGACTCGCCCGTCGTGCGGGTTTTCGATGTGGTCAGGCCGTTCCATGCGAACTCCAACTCCCGAGATACGGCACTTGTGCTACTTCCGCAGCCTCCTGGGCCGGCTATTGTTCAGGACGTCGAGCAGGATGTCTTCGTTAACTGCACCGAGAACGGCAGCTGGTACGCGATGTCTGAGAGCAGCTATCCTGCGGTCACCGATGGCGCGACGAGGGCACAATGCTACTCAGTGGATTGGAATCAGCTCGCCATCAACTGGGGTGTAAATCATCCATCCATCAAGCCCTTCCTTGTTGGTGTCCATTCGTTGTCGGACGATAATCGAGCAACCCCATCACATCTCGCGACTATTGGAGGGACAGAAGAAGTTTCTTCTGTTAACAAACCTGCTGGTGACATGCAGCCTGTCATCTCTACCAGATCCGCTCCCACGCCACTTCCAACTCCTCAAAAGCCAACCTGGGGTCTGTTCTTTTGGACTTTGGTTGTTGCAATTGCTTTTCTGTACCTCGGTGCTGTCGTTGACTGGAAGAAAACTTTACACGATCCACTCTCTACGTTGAAAGCAAACACCGCTGTTCCTGATCTGTCTCCTAGAGTCCCACAGATTGAAATTTCTGAGGCCCAGTCGCCAACCGAGGAACCTGAGGAGGCAACAGATGAGCAGCGCAAGGAAGTACGCTTCAAGGTCGCCGAGGAAGAAATTTCCGTCCCTGGAGACGAAACACCGCCATCTCCCACTGACAGCGAATCCAAACTTCTTCCGGATAATGGTTCCGAGAGACCGGTCTCACCTGGACCGGGTGAGGATGGCGAGAATGCGGAGGCGCCGAAAAAGAAGAAAGCACACCGTGGCGTGCGTGGGGGTAGGAAGCGTAAGGGGAAGAAGAAGTCGTCTGAGGAGGAGGAAGATGGCGGTATTAGAGTCGTGGAAGATGTCAAGAAATTCGGCGAGGAACAAGCTCCTAAGCCTGAGAGCATAGAGGACCAAGATGCCTCATCCTTGTCAGCTGCCAAGCAACTCCACAACCTCACCATAACAAATCGCGTCCTTGGCAGTGGAAGTGGTGGTACTTTCGTCTTCGAAGGAAAATTCGAGGTAGGTCAAATGTGTAGATGGCTTCGTGTGCCCCAACTAACGCCTACTAGGGACGTGATGTTGCCGTTAAACGGATGCTTCATGAGTACTACGAGCTCGCTGACCAAGAAGTCAACCTCCTAACGCAGAGCGATGATCATCCCAACGTCATCCGTTACTTCTGTAGGCAAAACGACAAAGACTTCCTTTACATCGCCGTGGAGCTTTGCCAAGCCAGTCTTTGGGACCTGTACTCCGAGAGCAGCATTAGAAGCGACTACGAGGACTGGACAGATAAACAGAGCCGACTCGTCGGCGAGATAAACAAGGACGTTCCTCGGGCACTCTATCAACTGGCGGCTGGTTTGAACCATCTTCATGGCCTGAGGATCATCCATCGAGATATCAAACCACAAAACATTCTCATTGCCTACCCGAAGAAGAACCAAACTGGGGGCCCTCGTTTCGTCATCTCTGATTTTGGTCTTTGCAAAACATTACCTGACGGCGTTAGCACATTGGTCGGTACAACAACCAATGCTGGCACTGTGGGATGGAAAGCTCCCGAGCTCATCCTCCAGCCAAAAGAGATCGAAGGGCGTGGGAGCTCCACTGGTCATACCCGTGACTCTTCTCAGTCCAACGACGCTGTCAGCCAAGGCGTCAAGCGCTCTGTGGATATCTTCTCCCTGGGCTGTGTATTCTTCTACGTCCTGACCAACGGCTCGCATCCCTTTGACGACGAAGAAGGATGGATGCAAATGCGCGAACTCAACATCAAGAAGAACAAGTACAACTTTAGCAAGCTCGAATATCTGGGTGACGACGCAGAAGAACCCATGCACCTTATTTCGCGCATGCTGTCAAACAACCCTGTCGACCGTCCCACAGCTGCGCAAGTCATGCAACATCCTTTCTTTTGGAATGCTGAAAAGCGCCTCACCTTCCTGTGCCAGGTCTCGGACCGCTTCGAATTTGAGCCGCGCGACCCGCCCTCCAAGGAGCTGCTCAGACTGGAATCGCACAACGTCGAAGTTATTTGTAGCGCCAGGGGCACTCATCCGATAAAATTCCCAGACTTTTTAGCAAAGTTGGACAGAAAATTCATCGACACGCTGGGCAAGCAGCGCAAGTACCAAGGTGACCGCATGCTTGACCTCCTCCGCGCGCTACGCAACAAAAAGAACCACTACTACGACATGCCGCCCGATGTGCAGGCCAAGGTCGGCCCGTTGCCAGATGGCTATCTCAGGTACTGGACGACGCGGTTCCCGAAGTTACTGATGGCCTGCTACGAGGCGGTGCAGGAGTGTGGATTCCATAAGGAGGCGGGCTTCAGGCCGTTCTACGAAGGAGAGGTGAAATGAGCGGCGCTTCGGGGGGTTTTTTTTTCTTTGGTTGGTTACTCTTTCGTTTGTATGATGGCAATGACGGCATTGATGGTGGCCCGCGTCTG